CCCTCGTTACACACCCCTCTCCCCCGCTCACACACACCCCTCTCCCTCGTTACACACCCCTCTCCCTCGCTGGTACACACCCCTCTCCCTCGCTCGTACCACGTTTCACACCCCTCTACCCCGCTGGCACCCCTGTCACACGTCACATGCTCGCACTCCGTCGCCATGGCAACTACCCGCCAGTACCGGCTCAAGTGATTGGCTTGATTGGTGTCATCGATCTCAAGCCCTTTCTCGTCAGTGCGCATAAATGTGTGCTCTAGTCAAGCAGTCGCCTGGTCTGATGATGCCATCTATAGCTCAACACACTGACTCGAATGATTGTGCAATAGAATGTCGGTGCAATCGGAGATGCCAGCTTGATGGCTGACAGATTGAGATGATTGCCGCTGTGACCAAGTCACTCAATGTCACAGTCGCAGGAAGCAGGCTGCAAGTCGCCGATGCATATAAGCTGGTAGAGGATCTAGTGTGTATCTGACATCGAGTGTGAGTCAGACAGTGTTATTGCCGAGAGGATGAGTCCAGGATTGACAAGCATCAGTGTGAAGGTGTAGATGCATCTGATGTCATCTTTGACACAGTCTATTCGGAAGATACTCTGATCATGTGCAATGTGCACTGCAAGACGGCCAGCTCAGAGATGTCGAATTGAAAGACGAGAACACATGTAGACAGCTCTTGAGAGTAGAATGACGATTGCCCGGATCTGGTAAGCAGTGCATGCGGGACTGCCAGTCAATGCGACTTGTTTAGAGTCATTGCCGAGATAGACAAGCCCAAGCTGGTAGGGCGCCGATAGACCACGTTGTCATCTTGTGGACAAGTCGAACAGTCTGACGAGCTCCAGCCTGACGTGTTGCCTCGTAGCTAGCCGCCAGTAAGAGATGATTGCTCGCTAGCGTCCCACGCTTCTGACTATCGGCGTTGTGACGCATGATCTGACCATGTCTGAGCGTATCATCAGTGGCAGTAGCTCGCAGTGTCTATAGCTGCTGTCTGCGGCCTGAAGGAAGATAGGCGACGCGACTTGGCGTGATTTGGCAGCTCGTGGCAGTCGTGTCGACTGGACTTTGCAAGGTATGCGTTACTCGACGATACATGATCGGACTGGACGATTGAGCGAGAAGTTGCGAAAGGAAGGTATGGCGGACAGCTGATCGATCTTGATGATTCATGTCGACGATCAGAAAAGATAGCGCCGCTCTGCCATTGTCGAGTAGTGGAATGCCAGGGGATTTCTTCAATTTGCCTTGCCAAAACTCAATGTTGCGTAATTCATGGGAAAGTTATTAATCACCCGAATATCTGATTGGCGTGATTTATCTAGGCGCGTTGGCAGGACATTCGCTTGACCACAGCGACTTTAGCGAAGCCACTCGTACTGTTCAATTGGTCGCATTGCTGCAATTCAATGGTAAGACATCCAGTCGCCACCACTATAACGCCACGCAAGTTGCAGTTTGAGGCATCGCCGCAAGACTCCCTGCACCAATTACGATGGTTCAAAGGAAAGGACAGTCAGCCTGCGCCCTAAACCAAGTGACATCCATGAGATTGTATCTCAGAGCACACTGAAATATCTTCACTCGCAATACCAGCTCAGTCAAAATGCTCGATGCTGCCTGTGTGGCCGGCAGTACGGCTGAAGCAGTATCTTGCGACGGTTGCACAAAGCAATAGTCCCCACGACAGTGTCTAGCGGACCATTGATGCATTGATTGCTCGAGCGGACGTCGGCAGCAGTGGATCGTTCACTGCTGCTGAGTTGCGTATGTAATGTTGACATGATGGTCATCGCTGCGCTCGTCCAAGTGATATGCTCCTTCAGATCATTGCAAGCAATAAGCCACCACTAGCTTTGAAGACTCAAAGACAGGCCTGGCACAGTGTCTGATATATCACACGGCGAGGTGTACGACTGACAGATGGCTTGCTGCTTGTGGTCACCTCTCATCATATCTTTACTGTGCACTTGACATTCTCTAGGGGATAGTCTTCAGATTTGACCGTTCGCCTCGACCATTGCTGTCACTTCCTGGGGCGTTCCTTTCTCCTCGATGAAGGTGCTCAGTTGTTGCTGAAATGTTACATGACGAGTTCAAAATCCTTGGTGCCTTTCGGTTTCAAAGTACCATCGGGAGGATCGAAGAGATCAGAGTCTTCTATTACTTGCAGTGGATGTTTTAGCTTGAGCTGCTGTTTCCAAAAGATAGTCTTCAATTTCGGTTGTTCGCCTCGACCACTGCTGTCACTTTCTGAGGCATTCCTTTGTTCTCGATGAGGAGCTCATTTGTTGCTGGTTTGGTATATGACATATTCAAAAGACCTAGCTACTTTTCGGTTTGTGTGCCATCGGGAAGATGGATGAGATCAAAGACCATGGTTGCTTGCAGCGAATATTCTTCGGCCTGAGCTGCTCGTATGATGTGCATGAAGAGAGGAACATGTATCAATGACGATCTTATGCGCCAGCAAACGTATCGATGTTGTAGATTTGCTTAGTATGCATCCGCTTGACAATGATGACAGCGTGATCTGTCAGCTTGTATTCTCCACTTTACTCGCGCGAAAGGTTTGATGGTGGCTGAGTCTGGATTGCCCTTTTTTGACCAATAATTGGTGATAGCGCGTGACTGGGACATGTCGAGCAGCGAATGCAAAGACCTGGGTAATCACAGAGAGATCAAGAAATGTGACCATTGAGGCTCACCATGCACATGATCCAGCGGCGATGACACCGAAGGATCAAACATGATTGCCGATAAGTACGAGACAAGGAGCGCAAGGCCTGGTCGGTATACGCCATACTGTCGTGTGAAATGCCAGAGGCATGCGGTTTCCGGATGATTGTCACTCTCGCCGTCAGCTTGGAGCTGGCATACGACACTGGCCGAGCTTGTGGAGAGATGTGAAGGCTATGATGCTAGACGACTCCATTGGTTGCAGATCTGCAGGCGCGTGATCAATCGGACAAGGCGCGCAGATCCCCGAACTCGCCCGAGCAGAGATGATTAACACGTCTGTGCTTTTTGTCCCTTGCGCGCCAGTCTTGACCAGCACGACAACACAAGTCCGACACTCTCTTGCGAGGATCCTTGACAGCACTCAGAGATCAGCACGATCGAGGACGAGTAATCTGTGTAGGGAGATGCAGCGAACGAAGAGTCTTGGCCGGCAACATTTGGCTAGTCGTAGTTGCTCCACGCTGTCATCTGGAGGCCTGCTCGCTCGTCAACGACGCTCTGGCGACCACAAAACGAGATCGACATGCCCGTTCAGACCCTTTGCGAAAGCTGTGATGATCTGGATTTAGCTCGAGGCCAGACTCGCAAACTGGCTGATTCGACGGGGAGCTCCTTTTCTATGCGACTAGCTGCGAGAGAAGGACTGCCAATGACCCTTTCGGAACTGTTGAAAACGCTAACGAATATCGGGGGGAGGCGCCTTCACTCGTCGAGGCGAGAATGTGGCCAACAAGAAGACAACAGCCGCTTCAGACGCTCTAATTGGGAACATGCCCGGGACCGCGGCCCTTAGGCAGGGGTGGTGAACTGTCGTCTGATGGGGAATTGCGCGTGAGGTGACNCNAGCGGACGAGCGNANGCCGACGAGATTTGACCTGCTGTGCTCGCGGCCGTCAAGTTGAGGCGCGCTCGGTCGTTCAGACGAGAAGCTGGTCAGCAAGAAGACAACAACCGCCTCTGGATCTTGCTTTGCCNATGAACACTGGAGCCCGGAGGTAGCTTTGCAACCTNTCAGCGANGGATAACNNCAGANGAGGTATNNGCAGCGAACGAAGAGTATCNGCCNGCGNCAAGTGCTCTNCCGNATGNNGCCAGCCTTNGAGGCTTGCTCGCTCGTCGGATCTAGCTCGTGGCTCGACAGCAACACAGCCGACTTACCGGCAGCACTGACAAAAGCAACACCTTCTTTCCTCAGCGCTTACGTCTGCAATGCATCTACATTGTCTCGCTGCTTGGCGAGTCTTCCCTCTCGTGAGGCAAACCAGATCATGCTCCCACGGTAAGCCTCTCGCTGCCCAAGCGATCGCCGGCTGATGTGCAAACAGCACTCATGTCAAATTACATTTTGAGCAGTCGTGGAAGACGTGCTGGCCGTCTTTAGACTGGACGCTGTCGACTACTCATCGCTCAAAGTGCGCCGAAGAGCTATGCGAATATCAAAGAGCATCTTTCAGTCGGTTGCTGCCACAGTCAAGGTAGCGAGCCTAGAAAATGCTCGAATATCCCCATGTCTATCTTATTCTGGCATCTCTTATCTTTCATGATTTTGCATTCCATATTCTCCGCATAGTATCAGGTTGACTTTGTCTGTGAGTGTAACACCGACCTCGCGCGTACCGGCCGCGCGGCTCTCGTTATACGGCAACACAGGCAAGCTTGAAGTCAAACGAGACGCAAAGAAAGCGCGCGGTGATCTGAAAGCATTCCCTCCGAAAGACGCCCATCCCGTCTTTGGAATCCTTGATGACTTTTGCAATGCAACCACAAATTCAGTCGTGCTGTTGCCGCACAGCCGCGTGCGTGCCGCAGAGACGTCCTTGGACTAGGAAAGTAGTAGGGCCGATGGAAAGCGGTTGACCAACAAAGTGTCAGCCTAAAGTCAGCTGTTGGATGCCTCAAGGTGCCCACATCGGGCAGCATGATAGATACACCCGCGAATGACAGGGCACTCATCATGAGCGAGAAAGCAAGAGCGCTCGACATCACTAGGCCGGGCGTCGACCGAAGAGAGCCGACATGATCAGCTCCGTGTAGATCGCCGACGGACGGGCATAAGGCACGCGCGGCCAAAGTCCGACGGAGCTTAGGAATCGCTGACTGATTGCTTACTCCGCACATGTTCGGNACTATCGCGCTTGTCCTCGGTCTTATTATGACTCGAGACACATAAGAAGCNAGGCCGTGAAAGATCTCACCAGCAANCACACTAGNAAGCACACAGGCAAGCAAGCAAAAGAGACACAATGACAAAGCTTATCGTCGTGTTCAATGCTACTAGCCAACAAGGCTCAACCATCATCGAGTCTATCATTCGTGATGACCAACTNTCCCGCCAGTTCAGCATCCGCGCGGTCATGAGCGACCCAGAAGAGCCAGCTGCAGCAGAGCTAGAGGCAAAAGGCATCGAGGTCTATGCGGGCAGTCTNGACGATGTNGAATCAGTCACCGCTGCAGTCGAGGGTGCATTCAGCGTCGTCGGAATGGTACCTATTGCGGATGACAGACTTCAAGCAACGAAGATGAGCAAGCAACCAAGTAGACAATGCCGCTATCGTCAAAGCCAGCAAAGTAGGCAGCCACCACAAAGCTCTCGCGCGCCCATTGAAGCCCGCGCTTGGCGAGCCGCTCGTCAGTTCTTGATGTAGACAACCATCTGCTGCAGCTCATGTCGAATCAGTCGTCTGCTACCACTCGCCTCGAGACAGTCAGCCAGCATTTGCTGGATCACATATCGCAGCCAGGAGTATATCTTCGCGGGAACGACGGATACGCTCAGTCGGCTTAGACGGCCACTATGAACGTGTAAGACAGCTCGCTGTCCACCCAGGCAGCTCGTTGTCCTCTACGACAATAGCCACTGCTCGCTGTGTATGTGCTGTAGAGTCTTTCGACTTTTCAATCAATATCAATTGCAAAAGCGATGTTTTTTTGCTTAGCCCCATACTCGAAGTAATATGCATTGCAGCTTGTAATGAATGCAATATACGAGACGTTGCAGTAACGAAGCTTCGAGCTAGCATAGCAATACATATCCTACATTTGGTAAAAACAGCGGTCACGGGCTATGCGCCAGACATGGCTCAATGGACGAGTGTCAGGTCTGGCTCATAACCTGTAAGTCTTTTCTACAGGCCGCGAAGCCATGCACCTCGCGCTCGCTTGCTATGCTGCGGTCTCCTTCATTTTGACGCAATCGTCGTCGGCAGTTGCCGAGTTTTCTTTGCCGTTCAATATGAGGTATATGTATTTATTCTGTGGCTTTCCACACTCGCGCGTGTAGATCAGTGGTAGATCACAGGCCTCCTATGTTTTGATAGCCTGGGGTCCGGAGTTCAAACCTCCGTTCGCGTCACTTTTTGGCCCACTCGCGCGTGTCGCTCCTTCTTTTGGTCGTCACTGAGCAGTGGAACATACGCAGCGGTGACTGCTGGCTTTTTGCAAGGCTCCATTCGGAGCTGGATGTTGCCAATTTCGACGCGCCAAAGTTCATTTCGCGCTTGCCGGCTCAACGCTTAACGATGGGCGATGACTTACCCGAATAGCCTGTGATACCTTTTGTGCTACACACTTCCTCACATATCAGCATCGATGCAGCGATCCGACGGCGCATTGCATCTATGTACCAGTCTTGCTCCACACTGTCCGCTGGAATATCCTGCGATGATTAGTCCATATTCTGTTGGGCTTCGTCAGCATGACCCTCCGGCCTCAGACTCGTGGAAGTCTCAGTATGACACAATTTCATCAGCTATGTTCAGTCTGCACCCGAAAACTGCCGAGCGAAAGCTTGCTTGCATCTGCCGCATACTGTCTCGGAAGTGGAAGCCGGCGACCGGCCTGCTCGGCTGACCCATACAAACGTAGTCATTGTCTGCCTTTGCTGACGTAGCATCTTGGCAATGTGCATGACACTCTATGCAGCTGCGCGAGCAATAAAGACAAGCTGCCGATGGCTTATTACTTGACCCGTCCGAACGACAGGAGCGACAGTCCGAATAGCTCCCATCAGACAAGAGAGCCTGCCTGGTTATATCAGTCTCGAGACACTCGTGATCGTGCAACAGGCAAGAGGCTCGATCATGCGCGCCGTAAGCAAGACCAGTCGTGTGACCTTTGCGGTCAACCATGCCAGTGGAGCCGCATGTCGGCTCATGCTAGATCCACGTCATGAAAACTTACAGATCAACGTCATGCGGAAAGCCGATCGACAAAGTCAGGGATGTGTCATTCGACCATCTGTCACGATTGTCGTGACACGCGAAAATCCCCCAAATCTCGAGCAGAATTCGCTGCAAGGATGACCATCGTTTTGCCTGCCCTCGCACTCTGGGTGAGCATGCTCATCGGCTCGAGCAGCGCTCCAGTCTCGAAATATAGCTATTGCTGGATGATCACCGCTGGGTCGACTCACTGTCCTCGAATTCCGCAAAGTCTCAATGCTGCTTTTGCGGTACCAATTATGCCTCGTCTGGACTTTTCAAAAGCTGTCATCTTTGCAGAGCTCTTTCCTTTTCTCCATTTTGAAAGCGCCAGCGCGGATTGTGCAAGCCTCTCCGTCGATCGGACCAAACAACGAGAGCTGATACAGTCCGGTAGCACGAACAGCCCCGTTTTCGCAAGGTGGATTGCAAAGCAATCCGCACAGTGGTCAGACCGGACGAGCACCGCCTTGATCTGACGATAGGCATAAGGATGGATGTCCAAAGCGACGGCTCGCCAGCTGGTGACATCATCCGCGGTTGTTGCACGGCAAAGTTGTCCGTTGCCGTGACGGTCAACGTACTCAACAGTGGGTCCTCAGGGCGCCACAAATTTTCAACAGGCTGACGCATATACAGATGAGGTTAGATTTCAGGAGCGCTCGGCAACGTTGGTGTGCGATCCTCAGAAGCTAAACAGCGCGTCTCGAACGCGTTGCCAACGTTACTTTCCAGTACCCTGTTCGTCAGTCGTGCTCTCTTCCTGATCGATGCTCACGTACGCAGACGAGAGCGGATGCCAGATGCCATTTTATCAATGCGCAGTTCAGCCTCTTCGCCGCGAATCAGAGCGATGTATTGATCCGACATCGATATTACGATAATGCATTTCGAGTCAAATTTTGACATACATCTCTGAAGATTCGTTAACAGGCCAGACAGGATTCGTCGGCAGATTTTTCTCCGGCGGGCTAACGTTCGGCAGCAGATCACAGCGCATCGAAACGTCTTGGCCAGGTACCTGACGTGTCGGCGGCGTTCGTATTCGTGCGGCAGATATCAGCTGACCGAGAAGTCGATTGACGTGCCTTGCCACAGGAAGGGCTGTGTCCATCTGACGTCTTCTTCGCGGCCGAAATCTTGCACCAAGTCAGCATGTCCTCCAGCGCGAAGAATCAGGCCTACCCGGCGGAGGAGGAAACAGGTTGGCTCGATTACAGCCCGGACGGTAAAAGTCCGGCGTGCACTGCAAGCGAGCGGTCGCCCTGGGTACAAACGGTGGATTGTAAATGCGCTCTGTACCGCCACGTCAGTGAGCCTCCCTGATCAGCTGATCCGACTTGCGACTATTCAAAGCAAGCGTCGGATAGCTCGTGATGACGAGCGCGCAACATGCAGCATCTGTGAGTGCAAGCTGTGAGCGAACGCAAAGAGGCACACACAATGGATCCCTACAATCGTTCGAATTGATTGGTCGGGCGTATGCGATAATTCTCGCCTTGGAGACCATCTCTTTAGTGTTTGGCAGTTCTGATACTTTCGTGAATCGGGCACTAGCGCCCCACCCAGTGACAGTTGCGATCGACCATTGCACACGCACTGTTGGATCGCTCAGCGTTGTTTCCTGGACGACGAGTTCGACTCTTCTGCGTGGCCGTCAGCGGTCGACGATGACAAGCGAGCAAATGACATGCTCTGTGCGCATTCTGTCCAGCTTCACGCTCTGGAATTGGAGCGCAAAGCCGGGCGTGATGGCAACAGACGCCCGGTAGGTCGCAGTGAGGATCCAGTCGTGGGTGATATAAGCTGGGACATAGTCGCTTATCACCGCTGAGCGTGCGACAGCGATCAGGCTGATCAGTCCAAACCACGATCCTTTGCGCATCCTGGGCTGAGCAACGAGAGGGGGAGATCCCGTTTCGGTACAGGTATCGTACAGGGAGCTGAAGCGTCTCTGCTACACGACGCAAGATAGCGTCGGTTGGATACTTACTGTCTGTCGAATGGAAAGTCTGCCCAGGAAAGCTCTCCGTGCTCTGTCCAGAGACACATATCGTCGGGCGATATATCTGAGCGTGTGATGAGAAGTTGTTTGCCAGTCCCGATGAGACAGCTGACCTGGAGTGGGAGGCCAGAGTGACTCGCGATTGCAGCCCGGTCGATGGAAGTCTGGCGTACAGACGAGCCTGCCGGTTGGAGCTACGTCGGGAATGGGGACAACGGTTCGAGTATCGAGATAGACCTGGAAGATGCTCGTCATGCGTAAAACGCAACAGAGAGCGTCTTCTCCTTCAGGTCAACGCCCGGCAAGTAGCAATTTGATGCTGCTCACGTTGAGCCGAATTGAGCGGACGAGCGTAGACGTCGGCCCAAATGGTGACGACGGTATGCTTCGGGTTTTGTGTCACTTGGGGCCTTGAACAGCTGGCGTGGACCCCTTGGGTGTTGAGCTATATAGCGTGTCAGATGCATGCACCTGCGCGCCGCCGACGGCGATGCTCACAAAGTTGATGCTATAGCCTGCCTCTTCATGCACAATCATAAGGTCGAGGTGTCTGGAAAGCTCGTGAGCCGGAGGAGCGAGCATGGGCGATGAGACTCACTCGCGGCGCTCATCGACCGGTTTCTGCCAGCCACCTGATTGACCAGCGGTAAGCAAGTCTTTGCTGATCGAATGATGCAAGCGCACTGTCGAATACGAGATGGATATTGCGCTGCAGTTGACAGATTCCCGAATAGACTGGATAGAGTCGCCACTCGTCGCCGCCAGACTGGGCAAACACGATAAGAATGAAGTTGGCGATGAGGAGCCAGCCTGAAGGCAGGAGCATCGGCATGCCGGACAGGCTAGCTGGAAGAGTGTGTCGCGGTCAGCTACGAGAGGAGGAGTGCACTCATGCTGAAACGTAGCGACGAAGAGGAGCGAGCAATGACAAGCAGACATGCAAGCGACTGGATACAGGGTTATGTTGGACCTGGACGGACGGATGGACTAGACTTCGACAGACGAAACTTTCTTGCGCAGATCATCGACTTCTTTGTCGCCCCTTGCCGGAGCCGGATCTTCCTCCGACTCTGGGAGGGCGGTCGCGTCTGATGCCTTGGTGGCCCCTCGTTGCAGGCGCTGAGTGGCGGTGACGGCAGAAATGGTCGAGCGCCACGTCCTTCTGGCATTCCAGTTCTCGCGTAGACCATGGGAAAGATCGTGTTCGTCCGAAGGGCTGTGCTCATTGAGCCACTGGACGCAATGGTAAGCACGAGCAGGATGTATGAGCTCGCATGCGATTTGCCTTGTGCTTCAGAACTTGGTCGGCCGTATAGCGATCTTTCGGATCAGGCTTGATGAGACACATGATGAAATCCTTGGCTGCTCGTCCGGGTGAGCGAGTGCGTCTGGCAAGCGCGACGATGGGTACCTTCATCGCTGACGTTCTTCCAGTAGCGCGCGTGGAATTCAACCTTGGCACGGGTAGTTTCCTCGAGCAGCTCTTGTCGATCCGTCGCGCGGAACGGTGTGTAGCCGCAGAGAAGGGTGTAAGTGATCACACTGAGCATGGCCGTCAGCGGGAAAGGCGAGCGGCTCGCAGGCGGCTCACCCGATTGACCAGAGATCGACGGCCTTGCCGTGGCCGACCTTGTTGAGGACTTCGGGCGCAGCATAGCCTGGACTGCCACAGACGGTCGTGAGCACTTCCTCTTCGCTGTGCAGATGCTTTGCGATGCCAAAGTCGGCAATGACGAGCGAGGAGTCGGGTGCGCGTGTGCGGTAGAGCAAGTTCTCTGGCTTCAGGTCACGGTGGACGATCTGATGAGAATGCAGATAAGCGACACCGGCCTGTCGTGCTTGTCAGCTCGTGCTGCAGATCATCCGGTGAACGCTCACGAGAGTGGCTTTGATGCAGCTGATGGCGTCCTTCTCGGTGAACTTGCCCTTTTCGCAGATGCGATCAAACAGTTCGCCACCGCTGGCAATCTCAAAAGTGAGGTAGTATTTATCCTTTGACTCGAACCAGTCGTATAGCTTGACGATATTGGGATGATTGAGGCCTTTGAGGACATCCATCTCATCGTAGACGATCGATTCTTGGCCGCGGACGATCTTCTTCTTGATACACTTTACAGCGACTTCGATCTCCTCGTAGCCCTCGTCGGCCTCTTTCGAGGGTTGATGCTCGCCCTTGGCAGCCTGCTCCTTGTCGGCGTGCGAATCGTTGGACGAATGGGACTTTGGACGCTTCCAGACAGCCTTTTTGACTTCGCCAAACGTACCTTCACCGAGGATAGTGAGGAATTTGTAGTTTGCCTTCTTAGCATAGCTCTCCGGCTGCGAGCCCGCATGTCAGCTTGGCTCAAGCGCGTCCGAACAAAGCCAGGCGAGGGTGATTGCGATGGGGATCAGCTCGAGCAGAGCGGCGATGGTAGGCTTTGCTTGAAACTGTGCTGCTACAGCGATGCCGAGCAGCATGAGAGAAGTACCATCGTCGCGAGAGTGAGGTCGGTGTGCAAGATTGATAGAGCCAAATCTGACGTGCCTGTTTCTGCAGCAGGTTGGAGAAGCCCATGATGAGGTGGGAACAGGTGATGCGAGCTTATACGGGGCGAAAGGATTCCCTAGTGGCCTGCCCGCACGGCTGAACGGTTGAGCGATAGCGTTTGGCTATCGCCGCAATTTGCGCGCTTCTACGGCGGCGCTGTTGCGCAAGGAAGCGTCGTTGACCTGCGAGTCCTCTCTGTCGCGGATGGTGAGGCGTGTACGCTGTCTAGGCTGATGCCCTTTGAGCGCAACGTTGCGTCATCGTCGGTGGATGAGGTCACCGCAGCGGCAGCAGCAAGCAACGCGCCAAGCAGCACCGTCACCGTCACCGTCACCGTCACCACCATCACCGTCCCCGGATCGAGCCTCGACAGACGGCCATGGACATCAGATGTACGTGCGCAGCGAGCAGAACACTGAGACTGGCCGGTATGCTGGCCACGAGACAATGCAGTCCGATACAACGCAGGTTGTTCTCTGCTACCCCGCTGGTCACCAATAGTGCCGTCTTCTCCAAGCAGCAGCTGGACCAGCTCGAACAGCAAGGCTACTTCAAGGACCGACACCACGAGCGAGGACTGTACTACATTCGCTGGCCGCCGAATCACGCTCGTGCGACTGAGAGACCGATCTTGCTTGTCTCTTACGTGCCACAGCCGCCGACTGATCTGAGCGATCCTACTCTGCTCGGCTCGCTAGACTATCCGCCCGAGCTCAAACCATCAGCAGATCGGGCACACGATGACACGCCGCTCGACCAGCTCAGGATCGCGCCAGGCTCGTTTCATGACAATCCTGATTTCATCAATGTCGTCCATGCTATCGTGTCTGGCGCGATCTACGAGGACGAGGTGATGAAGGTGAGAGCGGAGATGGCAGCAGAGGGTTGGCTACATCTGCTAGGTGCGTCTCTTGCCCCCAATGATGCACTTGCGAGCTCGATAGTGACTGACACGTTTGACGCCAGACGAGAGGAATCCGCCGCCACTGAACCGAGCAGGCGAGCCAGACGACATCATCGCCACCACGCTCGTCCAGCAGGGCAAGCTCGTCAGGGAGTCTTATGAGCCCATGCCGTCCTATCGGGTGCACACGCGTGATGGCTTCCTCACCTTGCCAGAGTCGCTCCACAAGTCTGTCCTGCATGGCATCCGCGTCGCTCGATCTATCATCGCCGATGCCAAGACAGACAGCGGATGAGGTCACCCTATACGCTTGTTGTAGACTCTTCTGCCCGTCAGAGAGCCCAGCCTGATGATGGAGAGGGAGCCGCTTACCGCTTACCCCGCGCGCGCGCGCGCGCATTTGCTCCTCTTTGAAGCTTGCCCTGCCCTTCGATGATGCGGCGCCGGCTCGGTCGGCAAGCAGCATGACCGTGGATACATAGCGAGCGACATGTCGGCACTCATTGTCAACCCGGCAGTGCCGAGCACGATGCAGAAGCTGCTCGAGTACGCAGGCAGTCCGGGACCGCTGCCGTTGCCCATCGAGCTCGTCCTCGACTGCTCGTCGCCTATGCTGCTCTGGCTCAGCAGCAGCACGCTCGGCATGCTCAGAGACGCTCTCGCCTCGCCGGGTCAGCCTGACAGGCACCTGCAGCAGTGTGTCCGAGCTGATCACGTTGGGCGTTGACAGGCATCAGGGCAAGCCACATAGAGTCTTTCACCTTTCGAGCAGGCCAATCCACTCGGGTCGTGCCTGCACAGATCACAAGCGTTCTGTCGAGCCATGCAAAGCACAAGCCTCCCGGTGACCCCCGCCAAATTCATACACTGGCGCTCTACGAGACAGTCTCTGTCGAGGAAGCAGAGACGTTCTACGCCTCTCTGAGCGGCCTCGAGACGCTCATCCTCAGAGGTTGCTGGGGAGGTGTCTTCAACCATCTCCCGCGCTACTCTGAGCCCATCCACTTTGCGCCTCGGGAGCGTCTCGCAGTCAACGCTGCCAGTGCTTGCGTTGGTGGCAGCGCGGACGATGCCAGCATTATACCCCGGTCGGCCTCACAGATCGATCTCGACACTTACAGAGCAAATCCTCGCAAAGGCTCGTCCGCACATCTCGAGCGGATCGAGGATATACCCGAGATAGCGCCCATGCCGCCCTCGATGATTCACATGATCAGCGAAGAAAACGTGGCTGAGGAATATCGCATAGAGCGGTCCAGCTCGTCAAACGGTCTCCCTGCACCCGAGCCGCTCTCGAGGCTAGCCATGCTGGATCCCACCCCGCCTGTTCCAGCTATCACGACAGCAGACTTGTCCACAAGGGCGGGTCCTATTGCAATACCGATCGCTATCAGTCCAAAGGTCGTGGCGCAGGGCGGCTATGCCACCTTTGGCCATACCAGAGTGACTTCTGGACCTGGTGCGCCGACGGGGGCACTGGCAGATCTGCTCGGCAGCTCGTGGGGCTCCTCACCGCGAGACTCGCCTTTCACCTCGCCCGACGTGAGGCCCTTCGATCAGCAGCCCCTGCCCCTTTCGTCGTTTGCACCCATGCCCACCCAACACTGGCATGTAAAGCATCTAGAGATCGTCAGGCCAGAACGGGACGGTGGACCAGCTTGTGCGGCTTGGTTCGAGCGCGGAGTCGTGTGGTCTCAGATTGAAACGCTGCATGTCGAAGGTATCGACGAGAGCGCCATCGCTGCCATCGTAAAAGGCTACAATGTCAGTTCGACGCCGCGATCTGCTGCTTTCTCTTACTGATGGAGATTTTTGACGGCAGACGATGAAGGCTCCTCCCCAGCTCGTATCGCTACACCTTCAGCTGTCATTCATTCTTGCGCCACAGCTCTTGACAAAGCTTATTGATGCGATCCCATCAACTGCTCTCGAAACAGTTGCGATCACGTGGATATCTCACGATGCTTTGCAACCAACGTTGCTCGATTCAATGGCGACACAGTGGCCAAACGTGCTCGACCTTGACTTGCGTCTCGGCGGTCCCGGCGCGCAGACCACGATGGAAGCCGAAGCTGCAGGCCGCAAGGGTGTCGATTGGGCAAGCCGGAAACGAACATGGGACGAGCTTGCAGGAGCGCTCGGTCAGTTCCAACGTCTCGAGACGCTCAGCATCAACCATTTCCCGACCGAATCGAGTGTCAGCTCTGCGCCCAAAGGGTCGGCGGCTCGTGGTCGTCGGAGGGCGCCATCACCGCCTCCAGTCAGACGTAATAAAGCAGCGACAGACAAGACGCAGAAGGATTTGCTCATCGCGGCTGCTCAAAAAGTTGCTATCAGAAGCAAGACACTCAAGCTTGTCCGATTCACTGCGCCCGTCACTGGCAAATGGCTGTCGGTCGACTTTCAGCGTGATGCAAGTAGCGGTACGCTGACAGGCGTCCGCGAAATTTGGGACCTCGACGAAAAAGCCGAGGCCGAGAAAAAGGCGACAGAGGCGGCTCACGCTCATGAAATCGAGTTTTTCGAAGAGGAATGACGCATCGGGCGCATCCGTACAGCATCACCGCTCACACCAGCAAGATCTAATTGTCGAATGTCTGTGTCTCTGTGTTGTCAAATTATGCATCGCCCGCCGAACTATGCGCCTAGCAAGTCCTGCAAGACCTTGTAGGTCGTTCCCGCCGGATGTGCTCCCCTGTCCATGCCAGGATTCAGCACGTACCCTGCTGTCGACGACTGAGTGGCCACGTACAGATTAGTGATGAACAAGCTGACGAGCTGCGATGGCACGCGATCAAAGTAGGGCGCTACAAAGTCACATTCGCCGTGGAGACCGATCCGAGGTTTCGTCTTGCGCTCATCTTGCGCGAGGAGCTCTGTTGGACTTGCAAAGTCGAGCAACGCCGTATCGTCGGCCATGAAGACGTGCGAGAACTTGTAGACGCCTGCGCAGATGACAACGGGCACGAGATGCGCCTTGGCGATGCGGCAAATGGGCAGAGCGCCCGTATGAGCCACGAAGGAACCATCTGCGAGGACATTGTGCGCGCCGAGAATGACTTTGGAAACGCGAGACATGAGAGCAAAGACGGCGGCATCTGGTAAAAGCACAGTGTCGATGCCGGCGTTGGAAAGCGCAAGCGCCATCGATCGCCCCGTGAAGCTGGCCACAAGTCAGCACGCGTATGAATCGACGCTGTCGACCTACGAGGGCGCGCTCTCTGCCACTACGACTGTGAAGCGTCGCTTCTTGGCATGAGCGGTCTTGAGAAATGTCTCGACTGTCTTTGAGTGCGCAAGGGTCAGAATGATTTCGCTGAACGACATGTGAGCCATTGCGAATCTTTCGCAGAGAGTTCGCTGTACGCACGACGAATGGATGTGGTCAGGAGCCTGCGCGCCAATGTTCTCTGCAGATGTCTCGACCTCGTCCAGCAAATCCGTGATGGCGTCGCAAAACACCGGCTTGAGCTGCTCAATGCGCTTGTCAAACGCACGACTCTCTGCTCTTTGCGGCCCCTGCGAGCTCTGGAGGGGGTCGAGACTGGTGCTGGAAGAAGACAACTCGGCGCGCGGACTTTTGGACGTGGTGGCCTCGATGTGATCAGGAGGCCCGAATGCCTCGCTTGAGTGATTGCGCGAGAAAAAGCCACGTTTGAGCTCGTTTGCATTGAGCTGGGACAGGTCAACCGACGAGTGAGAGGGCGAGAAGCCAGTGTGACGAGGCGTTGTCGACGTTGAGATATCGCTGGCCGGAGCATGATCACGGTGTCCGAGCAAGTCAAAGAGCGAATGCGTGCTACCCGCAGAGCCCTTGATTTGCGTCAGAGCAGACTTGCTGGCGCTGTTGGTCACGCTGGGTGCCTTGCTGATGGGCGAAGCTTGCATCGAGACGGGTGAGGACACATGCTCTTCTGTAGTCGTCTGCGCGAGCGGCAGCGCCTCGAGATGGCCAGCCAGTGCCGTCGAATACTCCTCTTGGATGTTGCGTACGACTCGAAGGAGGACGTTGTTGAGCACGAGTTCACGCTGCTTGCCGGCTGCCTTGTCTAGCTGTGCGCCTACGGCACGCAGGATCGAGACGAGCTCGTCGAGGGAGTCAAACGAGCTTGAGCTGACAACGAGGTGTAAGAGCCGTATGAGCGTGGTCGCTAGCTGGTAGCTGCCCAAAACCTGCCGTCTGCTCAGCGAACGAGCATACACATCTAGTGCCGTGTCTGTCGCTGGCGGGAGTGCAGTCATATGAGCTCCTCTGGCCTTGCTCACATGCAAAATCGTCTGCGCCGTCAGCTCGGAATCGCGTCTGTACGTCCAATCGCTGTCGATCAATCAATCGATCACTTTTTCGATCGATCGAGGTGTACCTAGGTCGCGCGCACTGCCCTCTCGTGCGATTCTGTCAGCTTGACCGGCTGCAAACTCCGCTGATGCCTGTCCTTGACCTGATTCCACCAATGCCGAGACAAGTTCCAACGTTTCCAGACACGGCCACATCTTCAACGCCATTCCGTGCGTCACAGAAGCTCCGTATTTGTTCCCTTCGGTGTTTTGTCCGCGTTAAGCCGACTAGACACGTTCGAGCGAGGCGAAATGGACATGAAGATCGCAACGCTACTCGTCCTCTTCTTCGTCAGCCTGGCTCACGCCAACATTTGGGAGATCAGACTGAGCGGAACGACCAGCTGTGCTGGCTTTGGCACCGCGGCGGTCGGCAACATCATGGTCCTTGCGGACATCAGCAGTGAGAAAAGTGCAGTCACCGGTCGCTACACGGTCACGCCTGTCCGTCTCTCCAGCCTTGCTAGGCACATGCTGATCTCGAGGCCCGCAGCAAGGCGACTGGGATGTCCTCACCAGCCATACCGAATACGGTGATGTTTACTGGGCCACTATCAGCATTACGGCTCGCGCTCTTGGCGCCTACTGGGGCCCTAACAATGACCGTCGAGGATGTAAGCCAGCTGCAAACCCAGCTCAGTCAGCCTGCTTATCCGCCAGAAGGTCTCGCTCAATGTGTGCCGGTCATCTCGGTTCAATACAAGATCGATCCATCCGCTCCCGACGGCGATGTGAGCTCATGTCTTGCCCTCATCAGCAGCGCTGATGGGTCGATAGCTCGACTATACTGCTACTGCTGAAGCAGTCTGCGCGACCAGCCCCTCTTGCAAGTCGCCGGGAGGCAAATGTACCAATCTCGGCCTCTCCGTTGAGGTGGACAAACGACCCTGATCGTTCACAGTGCTACAACATGCATCCTTTAGCTGATGATAGCTTTGACGGCCTGAAGATCGCTGCCCGGAGCAAGCTCGAGCAGGCGACGGATGCGCTCGGGCTCAAAGACGTCCATGCCGTCGGTGCCCTTCTCCTCTCGACCTTTGAGAAGCCAGTCGAGAGCAGCCTGATGACCGCCAGATGCGCGGATCACGCGAGCTTGCTTCCAGTTGACCAGCGTCGGTCCAAATCCAGCGAGCGAGAGCACACGTCCAGGTGGTACCGAACGACGCAGTGGATCCGCTCTGATCTTGAAGGTGCAGCGACAGATTGCTTCGCAATGCGTGACAGTTCCTTTGGGTGTCTCTGTGGTCCATTTGGCCCAGAGATAGATCTGTGCGGGTGTGAGCCACAGCAGAAGCTACGTACATGCAACTTGCCCATTTCTGGTCCCATGTCTCGATACCAACGTCGATGGTATACTCGGTGAGCATGGGTACTTCGCGCTTGAACGTGTAGCTGACGCCGCCGAGAGCCATGTAGAGATTCTTGAGCTGATCGGTGGCGAAGAAGACCGAGTGAAGATACCAGGCCATGCGAGCCTCGTCCAGTCTGTACGAGAAGGCGCTATTGGACAGATGAAGATGGTAGTCGCAGTCCTCGTAGGTCGAGCCGAAGACCGTGGAGACTTGATGTTTGAAAGGTGACGCTTGGATGGTCGTGTTGAGTAGCTTGGGTAAAATCTCAATCTCGTTTTTGGAACCGTAGTATGACTGTGCATAGAGGATCTCGAGCGTACGAGCAAAGTAATACCGAGGCACGAGACTCCAGAGACGGATGTGCCAGACAAACGGCAAAGTGCGCCAGTTGCAGATCAAAAGCAGTAGAATCGACAGGAGAGGCCAGTTGATCTTGTCTGCCGTCATACCGAGAGCGGGCTGTCGCGTGAAAGTGCCGTGCGTCAGAAGCTCTTGCATGACAAGCGCAATCTTATAAGGCAATACGTAGCCCAAGATAAAGGCCCTCAAGCGGGCCATCAGGATGCGCTGTGGCTCGGCTGAGGGCTTGATCAGTGCGCTGTAGCCATTGTCTGCTCTCGCACGAACTTCGAGCTGTTCATCCTCCATTGGATTGCGCGGAACGTGATCTGCTGCCAAGCCAGGCATGGGTGACGACATTGCGATTGGTGACCTGGAGGAACCAAAGCGAGTGCCCTCGAGAGATCCAAGCGAAAGTGTCATCGGCTTGCGATTTGCGCCATCAACCTGTTTGCCTTTGTTGAACGGAAGCTTAGTCTCAGTCTCTGCTTCGCGGCAGATCTCGGCATCGTAGGCCAGCGATGCCGCTTCTGTCAGTTCCAGACCCGATGTGTTCTCTTCCGTAGACCCACACGAAGGTGCCTCGTTAATGTGAGTGGATGTCAGCGACATGCTCCCCGTGCTTGCGCTGTCTTCGCCGGGGTCTTTTGACGAAAGCACGGACTGAGCAGGTTTCGTCAGCATATCTGCCAGGTCTTTCGACTGCGACTCATGCGGAACGCCGACGGTACCGCGAGTGACATGCGTGGCTGCGTGTGCGAGAGCGGCAACGGCGCTCGCCAAGGCCGTTTTCTTCGTTGTAAGGTGGCCGCTGCCTGGATCACTGGATTTATGGGGAGATAGTTTTGAAGGCGAAATAGCTGGCGATTCGAGCAAGAAGCTGTCCTCGCAATCCTGACTCTGTTTGGGCGACTTACGAAACGGTGAGAGGGTTGATGAGATGCGCTTGAGATGGCGCGTAGACGATTTCTTCTTCACTTCGTGTCCAGGCGACGAGGGCATCGTCTGAGGTGACAGAGGCGTTATCCTGGAGTGATCGGAGCTGATCTTGCTCGAGGCATTGATGGCACTTGCCTCGGCCGTGGCATGCGACATTTCAGCTGCCCAATGATGTCAGATAGACTCAATAAACACGGCGTTGCGTACCTAGCATTGACGAGGTATCGCCGTCATCTTCGGCAAGGTCGAGCGGGGGCTTCTTCAGCGGGCTCTCCGCCTCTTCTGCGACGGGAGATAGTACGGTAGCGGCGCCTATGGGAACGTCTGACAGAACTGAAAGAGGCATCTCTGTTTCATGGATAAATTTGCCGGGTGAGCAAGGAGACGCCTTGAGGGGTGAATCGCCGGGCGATGAGGACGGTGAGCTTGTGAGGTTCTGGTCTACGAGTGAGATGCTTCCCATGGTGCAGAATGTGTGTGTGCGTGAAATTGAGATGTGCGGATGAGATGGGGTCAGGGTCGAAGCAGATATAGATTCAGAAAGCACAGACCGAAGACGCGTCGGAGTCGCACGTCACGGTAGTGCCCTCGGTATGATCAAGAACATAGCTCGCTAAACGTTGCGGCTTGCTCGCCGCTGATGAGTCTGGAGATGGCCAGCTCGAAGGCGGAGCCTAAGCGCTCAATGAGATCCGGACCGAGAGCATCTTGGAAATAAGTGAGCGTAATGATAAGATCTCTGTTCACTCCACCGACAGCATTGAAGCAGAGAGGATATCCCATTGGACTGGCGGCTTGAGCAAAGATGATACGATGCATGTTATCAGGAACTCTGATCGCGCCCAAGTTGGATAGCTCAACGGAGCCGCGGAAGTAGGGATGCGTCGAGTAAGCGCGCCTCAGGATTGCTTCTTTCTCTGTCGGCTCTTCGGGCGTAGGTTTGTGATGGGGTGAGTCTGGCCCGTAGGCGATCATGCCGATCATGCCTTGTGCCCATGAGCGCTCGGCGGGCGAATTGAGGGTGACAGCGTATTCTCTAGCGCGCTGCCAAAAGTCTTGTTCCTGCCTGAGCGCATAGCGAGTCACGATGAGCGTCGGAAAATTGCCAGTGGCATCGGTATGTATTCTGGCATCTCGCAAGGAGACTGGTGTGGAAAGAGACACGAGCACTTCTTCATCACTGACGGCAATCACAAGAGCCGCCATGATGGCTGTCATGAGAACAGGCTGCAATGTGGCCACGCCATGTAGTCTAGCAACTGCTTTGAGCCTTGAAACAATAGTAGCCGACCAAGCAAACGTCCTCAGACCTTGCGCACAGTCTTTTGGCCGCCTGAGGACTGCATGAGGCCAGCAAGGCCGTGGCGCAAGGCCGAGCCAGCCGGGGAGTTGCTTTGCGATCTTTTCCTGATAGAACATGATGAGTAGCTGGGACCAGCTCGGCGTAACGTCGAGGGACTGCTCGAGCGAGGGTGTAAGTCGATCAGGCGGCGATGGGAGGACTGACTTGTCTAAGAACCTGACGAGCGCGTTGAGCGAACCTCGACCGTCTGTATTGGCATGTGACATGGTCAAGGTGATGGTGCCGCTAGCTGCATGGCGTGTCAGCCGCCACAAGGGACCTGTGGCTAGATCGAGCGCGGCGCCTGCTTCTAGCTCGGCGAGAATGATTGCGTCCACAGAATCTTGAGGCGAGTCGTCGCTGAAGAGGACTTGATCAGCAGAGAGGTCGCAGGTCACAAAGCGAGGGGAGCGAGTGCGTCCGTCCAATATGCGGCACTTCAAAAGTGGATACGAGGAGAGCATGCCGGGCAGACGGTCTCTGAGATGCTCCATCGATGGCAGCTCGTCTGGCGCATAGACGCCCGCAATCACAATCACAGGCGGCACGTCGACATTGGCTCGTGCGACGGAGAAGCGCTCCATGCGACCGAGGGGCCGTTCCATTGCAGCTGCTCGCTCGACTTTGGGAAGGTCTGCTAGCAGCAGGCAGATCTTGTGGGAGTCATTCCCAGTCCCGATAAGTCCGATCTGCGCGAACGAGCAGCTTCCTCGTGCCCGTGTTGCTCGCTATCGGTAATCATCCGCTCTCATCCGGTCTGTGATGTGTGGCATGATGCCTGATCTTGTCGTCTGCTTGGTCAGCCCGCTCCCCAGTCATTCCAATTCCTCAGATAGTCTTCGAGACTGCTTCGAGCTATTTACCCACGGGGTTGCTACTCAGCGTCCTGCAGAGATCAGCACCGACGATTGTTTTGCCGCCAGCGGACAGTAGCAGAGGTGCGAACGAGTGTAGCAAAGCGATTGGTCGCCTTGAGCCGGCTTCGAGTCCGTTGGATGTCCTGCAGGCCTGAAGATCGAATGGCAGACTGTGACGTCTCGAGCTTTCCCCGCGGTCAGCTGCCCAATCTGGCTACACCTTGTGCGGCCCGAGCGAGCTTCGAAGGCTTGCACGAGCCGACCTATGCTGGACCGCTCCTGCGGCTGGCAGCAACGATCGACGCTAGATGTAGGGTTGCTAGACACGGGGTCACCTCTTCTGGCGAAGAGCGCACGCAAGTCGTCGCTTCCACCTGTCCGCAGGCGCTGATCGTGCGCATAGCTGACTGCAAGTCAAGACAGAGATAGTGGTAGTGCCTCTCAGACTCGCCTCGGTGAAACACGATCACTCCGCATCAGCTCAGCAGTCCATTCTCAACGTCGAGCAGCTCGGGCCAATCGATCTCGTCGACAATGCTGTGACGCTCGACAACACGGCTGAGCTCAGACCGGTTTATTTCCCGGATGAAGCCAGTCGGTAGTCGATGATCCCCAGACATATCAGCTCAAGCTACAGCAGTACGCGACTGTTGCCGTCTCGTCTACTCGTCGATCGTCTCCTTCCAGGCTCTGAAGGGTGCGGAGCCAGCGGACACTCTTGCTCATGTCCTCACAGAGCGACCTCGGGCTGCCCACACCTCTCTCAACTCGTTCGCCGTACGCTGCTTTGGTCAGGATCAGTCGACAGCGTGTCATGGACAGGAAGACATTGACTATATCCTGCCAGGTAAGCCACAATGCTCTCTCGAAAATCGCGCTCATCGTCAACAGAGTCGTCGAGCGACTGCTCGACTTGCCAGCTTACTTGGATGAGCTATCACTACGGAAGAGGCTATTGAGCGTGAGTCCTTAACTCGTGCTGCCGCCAACCTGTTGTCAGATGATGTATCGAACTACAACATTCTACTTGCTCTATAATCAAGCCTGTGATTCGGATGCATCTGGTTCGGTGAGGCCTTCCCGCTGGACGATGTTGACGTGGTCTTCCCATCGGATTCGGTTCACAATGATAGTGCCAGCAGTCGCACTGAGGAAGAGTGCCACGGAAGCTCCGAGCCAGAGACCGTTAATCTTGAGGTGCGCGGTGAAGCACAGCACGCCGCCCAAAGGTACCCCGATTCCGAGCAGACAGACGACGTTGAGCCACGCACCGATCCATGGCAGGCCTGCACCACGCAGGACGCCTGCAGTGACGCCCGCCAGACAGTCGAAGACTTGGAAAGCGCTGACGAGAGGCAGACTGTTCGCGACGATCTCGATGACCTCTGGGTCGCTCGCGAACACTCTGCCCCACTGGTTCCGCAGAGAGAAGATGACGATGGCGCTGAAAACGCCAATGAGGACGGAGATGATCATACTTGTCTTTGCAGACACTTTTGCGAGGTCTGGTCGCTCTGCGCCGAGTAGATTGCCCACACGCACAGAGGCTGCGATGTTGAGCGACATTGGCAGTTGGTAGAGCTGTGCGCTGATCAGACCAGCACTACCGCTGGAACGAGCAACTCACCAAGGTTGCGGTAGCGATGCAGACCGACATGCTGGCCAGATAATCCGCGCCTAATTGCGATGACATGAGGAAGATGGCTTCCCAAGTCCACCATTCTGATACTGTCTGAGCAAGACTTGCTAGCCCCAGCTTGGTCATCTGTCCAAAGTTGGTCAAGGCGCGGGCTGTGAAGCCAGTGTGGCCCTCGCGCGCATGCATGCCGGCGTATGCTGCAAGCAGTCCAGCAGACAGGCTGCTCGTGATAAGATAGCTTATGGGAGTGCCCAGGTAGCCGATGCGCAAGGCTTCAACGGGTCCAGAGACGAGAAGGTACGACAAGACGATGTTGATGGGCGCTATACAAGCGATGACGATGGCGGGGGCACGCATGAGGTTCATGCTCTGAAGGTACTTCCTGAGCACTTCGAAGACGATCATCGGAAAGATGGCGAATCCCTGAACGCGCAGGTACTTGGCAGCCAGGTAGGAGATTTCTTCACCTTGCCTGAGGAAGAGGAAGATTTTCTCTGCTGCCAGTGACATGACGAGACATTGTACGATAGCGAGTGAAAGCAGCATGAAGAGCATCCGCTGTGCGTGTAGACTTGTCTCCTTTGGGTGGGAAGCCCACGAGTGAGGACATAGCGTGTCGAGCGCTCCGCTGAAGCCGACGCTCAAAGATATGCCGAGCACATTGAAGGTGACCAGACTGATTGTGCTGGCCGCCAAGTATTTGGTGCCGAGATGGCCGAGGAGGAAGACAGAGACACTGTACAGGGACCATTCCAGCAGCTGAGTGATCGCAATCGTCCGCGTCGCTCTCAAGAGGATCCACGTCTCACTGCGCGAGATAACCTCGACAGCCGAATTGGGAGGCAGCAGGCCTTTGATATGACCAGCTTCGTTGTCCTTGCCAGGAGGCAATAGCGCCGTGTGCTCGTCTGCCATGTCGTGAACAATGAGGAAACGATAGACGGCACTCGCTTCACATCCTGTCAAGCGGAGTCCGCGGAGAAGCGGTGACTCGAAATACGAACCACGTGTGAGCGCGCGTGCCAGAGATAGATCGATAGCGTCGATAGCCCGCCACGCGTGGCGCAGATCAAGCTATCACGCCCGAGCGGTCAAGCACGTCGGGTCCTTTCTTTGCATTGCAGTCAAATGTACAAGACTAGTGCGTCGTGATGTGTGTATAGAGCGTATGCTAGTTGTCGGACGATCTTGCCAGGAGCTGCTTGAGTGCCTTGCCAGCGGAATCACGTCCCACTGGACCGGAGAGGAGACGAGAGCCGCCTGCCTTGATCTCGTCCCACCTGACGAGACTATCGCCGATGATGATCTTGACGAGCCATTCTTGAGATTGCTCCCATGCCGAGCCAGCCTTGGACTGTAGCTTTTCCTTGCTCGTCAGGACGATAGCAGGCACATCTGGGTACGTCTTGCGAGATCGCTTGAGCTCGAGGTACGAACGAGAAGTGTGTCGATGTGCTTCAGCTGACTCTTGCAGAGCAGCTCGCAAGATTGGCGCGTTCAAGCCAGAGGTGACAGTCCCGAAGATTCTGCCCTCTCGAGAAGCTCGTCCGGGCAGGAAGATGATCTGCAGCCATCGCTTGATGCCGAGAGGCGAGACAACGGCGCCGAGAACTGCGACAATGTCAGCCGTGCTCGCCAAGGACAAGCAACGAATACATACTGTTGCTGAAAAAGAAGCGCCAGGTTCGGGCTAGCGTCTGGGCATCCGGGCTGAAATGGGTCAGCTCTGTTGAAGCGTCGAGATAGAGAATCGATTCGACTACACTGGGATTGCGGGCTGCAAAGACGCGAGAGACGAGTGCGCCATAGCCTGCGCCGACGAGGACGAAAGAGCTGCCCAACGGAACCGCGCTTTGGATCTCTGCCATCACGCCGGCTTGGACAAGGGCAGACTCGAGCGAACGGACGGTCATGGCCAGCTCGGCGCTCGGTGCGACGTCGCTGAGTCCGTAGCCGGGTCGATCGTAGATGCATAGCCGGTAAGCAGTCCCGTTACCGTCGAGATGTTCCATAGCATCAACAGCCCAACTGGATTCGACAGAGGCAGGAATGCCTTTGTCAGAGTCGAAGAGAACCGTCTTGATGTACCGGGGTTCGCGGACGGGTGTGCCAAGAAAGCGACAATCGAGATGAAGCCTGAAGTCACCTGGGAAGATTCCCTTATCGTCTGATCGATCATGGTGGCGTAGCGTAGACGGTGAGTTGACGCTGAAGCTGGAAGGATTGATCTTGTACAGGTCTGTACTTTGCTGGTGCACGACAGTGGAGTCGTAGGCCCGTAAGATGAGATCGAGCATGATGAGCGCAAGGGCGACAGTGGTGGCGAGCTGCAGTACAAAGACGGGCAGCGTGATCGTCAGGAGGGAGAAGAAACTCTTGAGATTCTCGCCAGCGCGGGCGAAGAAGCCGACCTGTTCTGCCAGTGCTTGCTGACGCTGATAGATTGGCAGATCGGGTGCATCTTCCTGCGGCAGAACTGACGTCGCAGCTAGGGAATGGACATAGCTCACAAAGTTGATGATGAGCAAGATCAAAGTGAGCCAGCCCTCTTCGAGTCTGAGCTGCCTGTTGACGCCGACGAGGACGACGTCGACGAGGATGAGGATGGCTGAGAGCAGGCTGAAGAGCTTGGCCGGACCAGCAGGAAAGTCTAGCGGGTCCGAGTAGTAGATCATGCTCAGCAGGCCCGACAGAAAGCTAAAGATGGACAGCCAGAGCGGCAAGAAGAGCGAGCCGCGATGTGACGGTAGCAGGTAGACAAACTGACTGTGCGTTATGGCCAGGCAAATGAGGACGAGGAAGGCGAGAGACGCCCAGGTGATGACGGCCGAGAAGAGAAAGCTCAGCCTGAGCAGATACGGCCTCGTCTTTGGCGGCTCAAATCCTGCGCCTGCCGTCAACGGTGGCGGCGGCGTCGGTGTAGAGCCAGCGAGCAGGGGTGTCTGCTCGCTAGCATGAGGCGAATGGGACCGAGGATGAGGGAAAGCAGAAACGGTCATGGCCCTGTCCGTGTCTGCCGGTATCCTGATATCCTCTGTGGTCCTTGCCGACTTGACGCTCCCCCCGCCGTTGCTGCTGGAGGAAGGATAAAAGTCTGTCAGCTTCGCCTGAGCCATCTTCTGGGTGGCAAGGACGAAGATTGCCTGGGCCGGCCGAGCGCACGAGTTGCGTATGCGAGCGAGCGATGACGGCAGAATTCAAGCGTATCCGGGAAGAGGTGCCCCCTCTGCAACTCGCTGGCGTTGCCGGGCGTCGCGCGCCTGGCTTGAGCAGAAGAGCGCCGCTTCGCAGCTGCCCGACATGCAGACTGCGGCCGACCAGGAGATGCTCGACAGCCGGCCAGCCGATGCAATCTCGGAAGATCAGGCAGAGGCACGCGAGGAAGCGAGTCATGCCATGGCCGACCTGGCCCAAGGCCATCATCTCTCAAATGGATCAGCCGGCGCGAACCAGCTCATGCAAGGCATCTCTGCAGACGCACTCGCCGTCCTACCCGGTGCAGATCTTGGCCCGGACGATCTGCCGTCTGCGGCTGCACACGCTGCGCTCTATCGTCCGCTCAACGTCAAGGATGCCCTGTCGTATCTGGACGACGTCAAGCTGCGCTTCCGCGACGTGCCCGAGGTCTACAACCGCTTTCTGGACGTCATGAAAGGTGCGCTACTGTTCTGCGTGCTCGTTTGGCCTGTGCTGACCTGGCTGGATTGCGAAGAATTCAAGACTCAAACGTCAGCGTGACTTGGATCGTCCACCAGACTGTCTGGCTCACAGAGGCTTGCAGGATTGATACGCCCGGTGTCATTGCACGGGTATCGACGCTCTTCAAAGGTCATCCGGCTCTCATACAGGGCTTCAACACCTTTCTACCGCCCGGCTACCGGATCGAGTGTCTGCCCAATGCCGACGGCACCCAGTCAGAGTGGATCACCGTCATCACTCCGGAAGGCACGACCCGGATCCAGGGTGGCCTGTCTCTGGACGAGACGACCGCCAGCTTGCATCTCGGCTTGATGCCACAGGGACCACCCGAGCTGGACGGGCACACCACTCCCGGTTTTGCTACCCCCGGCGCGGCAAACGTACTCAACGCTCTCTCCCATCCCTTCAATATACCTACAGGAGGCACGCGCGAGACGTCTGATCGATCGTGCCAGCTGACCGAAAAGACAGGTGGTACACCGACCATGATGGGCGCGCCAGGGCTTCTGCCGGGTACTCCGGGTGGCAAGGCGCCTATCGAGTTCAATCATGCCATCACCTACGTCAACAAGATCAAGAACAGATTCGTTGGCGAGCCAGATACCTACAAAAAGTTCCTCGAGATCTTACAAACCTATCAAAAGGAAGGAAGGCCGATTCAGGATGTAAGCCTTTCGTTCCACGGTCTTGCCAGCGCTGACCGCACGCCGGACGCTGCAAGGTATATGCGCAAGTGTCTGGCCTGTTCGGTCATGCAGAAGATCTTTTAGACGAATTCAAACAGTTTTTGCCAGACCCGGCTCAGCCCCAGGAGGATAATTATTTCGGCACGCCCGGCCAAGACCCATCGAATGCTGGCGCGTCTGGCATGTATGACCCTCACGCAGCTCTTCCAGGCCGAAGCGCGAGTGCGCATAGGCAAAAGTCAGACGGTCCTCCGCCTGCCAAGAAGAAACGCTCTGCTAGACCGGCGGGATCCCAGCTTGAAGATGCGAAGGGGCGCCCTCGAAAGCGAAAGCCCCCGACGACGGCGATGCCGCAAGAGCCGATGCCTTTGCCCGAGCCACTCTATGCTCCTCCGCTGCCCACTAGAACCATGCCACCTGCTTATAATTTGTCTAATTATGGTGTGCAGCTCCCGCATCACCTGCCGATTATTCCACCCGTTCCACCTCCGATCGAAGCTGACGAATCGTCGTTCTTCGAAAGGGTTGCAAAGTGGATAGATGACAAGAAGACATATCACGACTTTCTCAAACTGCTCAATCTGTTCGCACAAGATTTGATCGATTTGCCCGCCCTCGTGTCTCGAGCCTACCTGTTCCTAGGTCAAAATCCAGATCTTTGGGCCCAATTCAGAGGTATAGTAGGCTGGAACGATGGCTACGCTGGCCCGGGTCGAGTGCTGCAAGAGACAGGCGAATGGGTCATCACCAACGTGCCCACTGCAGACACAAGCTGGACAGATGCAGGCCAGGCCGATTCTGCTAAATTTGGACCAAGCTATCGCAAGCTACCCAGCACCGCACGAGAAGTGAACCAACCCTGCTCGGGGCGTGATGCACTATGCTGGGATGTGCTCAATGACGAACTCATCTCACATCCTACCTGGGCGGCAGCAGATGACGGCTTCTTCATCGCGCACAAAAAGAACACGTGGGAAGAAAATCTGCAGCGGTCAGAGGAGGAGCGTTTCGAATATGATTTCCATATCGAGGCCAACGCTCGTACGATAGCTTTGCTGGAACCGATAGCTGCTCGTATCCAGCTCATGGATCCCGAAGATCGCATTCCGTTCCGGCTAAAGACGGGCTTAGGCGGTCAATCGAAGAGCATCTATCAGCGCGTAGTCAAGAAGGTCTACGGTAAAGAGCACGGCGTCAACGTCATCCATGCGCTTCATGAGAATCCTTGCGTCGCAGTACCGATCGTGCTCGCCCGACTCAAGCAAAAGGATGAAGAGTGGAAGCGAGCTTTGCGCGAGTGGAATCGAGTGTGGCGCGAGATTGACGCCAAAAACTTTTTCAAGTCACTCGATCACAAGGGTGCCGAAGCAAAGGTCCAGGACAAAAAGGCGGTACAGATGAAGACATTTGTCAGCGAGATAGAGACCATTCGTAGGGAGCAACAGCAACGCAGTCTGATTGGCTCGCTTGATCGCGAACAGCCGCCGACGCAGCAGCTCGCTGCTCAGATAGAAGATAGCAGCATACTCTTTGACATTGTCAAGCTCTCGCTCTCCTATCTAGATCGCGTGTCGGCGACTGGCTATTCACTCCTCGACAAATCTCGCATCGAAGCATTGCTCAAGCTCTACCTCCGGGATGTCTTCCTCATACCACAGCTCGAGGTCGATAAGAACATACAAGCTGCGGTCTTTGTTGCCACAGACGCTGCCTCCGATGTTGATCCGAGCGAAGACGGTGCATCTAATGCCGGTGAGGAAGCGCCAACGCCTCCCATTGCCGGCAAAAAGGGCGCTGCCCGACGTGCTGCCGACCTGCGCAAGCAAGTGCTGCGCAACGCAGATCGAACTGCCCGCGGACGTAAGGGCGAAGCAAGCGCTCCCGTCTCGCCCATGCTCTCCTCGCCGGCTCTCGTTGCAGATCCTGGCTCACCTAGCGCAATTTCGACAGATGGAACAGAGGATCTCAATCTGCCAGATGCCACTGCAGACGAAGATATGCCGCCCGTGCCGGCTACAAATGCGGGTCTGGATGGGATGGAGGGCGTCGAAACTGTCGATGCGCTGCCGGTGCAGTCCACGATTGAGGTCGAGACTAGCACGTCTCCGCTTCCTCTCGTCGAAGGCGCGGAACCTGTCATTGCGATCACGCTGACCGAGGAGATCGCTAGGCGGTCTGACAGGCCGACGTGGAACTTCTTCTGCGGCTCGTCACAGTATGCACTCGTTCGTCTCTTGCATTTCCTGTACGATCGCTTGTGGCAGCTCAAACGGACTGCGACTGTCCTTTCCTTGGCGCGCGTCGCACCAAGCTCACACCCGCAAGCCGCTCCAGTGTTGTCCACGAAGGGCGTCTATCATACACCAAGCATTGATGCTGATGCATTTTACGACAATCTGCTGGCGCTCTGCGAGCGCTTCTGCAATGGCGAGCTTGATTCTCACAAATTCGAGGATGCCGCCCGTAATCTCTTTGGTACTGAGGCTTGGCGTATCTTTTCGGTGGACAGCGTTATTCGCAGCATCATCCGCACCGTCAGTCGCTCGCTTGTCCTGCCCGTGCAACCGATGCTGATGTCTCGCCGCGAACAGGCTCATCATCTAAGCGACCCGCAGCATGTCAATGCGGCAGCGTGTGAGCGGGTAGCACAAGAGCTCGCCAAGGATCGAGCAGACGATGCCACTAGTCGGGCCAGGCAGGTCGGCTATCGCTCGCGCGTCGAGTCGGCACTCGGCAGCGATGCAAACTTTTATCGCGTTGAAACTGTGCGTACTGGCTCATGTCTGTCTGCTGATCTGGCGTTAATCTTGTACTGCAGGCCGTGCGACATGACACGCTCTACATAGGATATCAGCTGCTTGGTCGCGACGATTTGCTTCCGGAAGACGAGCACACAGCCAAGGATCAGTGGGAAGCGTATCTGCAGAGCTACACACGCGATTTCAATACCGAAGGACTGCCAGCGCAAGCCTGGCGAGCGGATGGCACACTGAGGAGCTCTGTTCTATTGCCTAGGTATGCGCCTTCTCGAGATGGGACGCACGTCTGATGAGATCTTCAGAAACGTGCGAAATGCTCAGTTGGGCTCGGCCGAAACGCCTAAAAGTCAGATTGGACTCGAGTCGCGCGTCTGCTTGAGATCGTACAGGATGTTTTTCGTCAGTGGCACCGGCGATACGCTTCATCGCAAGCGGGAGGAGCCCACGATCGGCGCGGGTCGTAAGCTAGAGATCTTCCGTCAGTGGCTTGATACAACCTTGCAGCAAAAGCAGGTAGATCAAGAGGTGACTATGGCGCAAGAGGTGCCTGATATCGCACTGCCGGCAGAAACCTCGTCTGTGCGCGACGAGGATGTGATTGTATGATACACATGCATTGGGATCACAAGCAACAGTGAGGAGAAGGGGTCGTTAAATCGCGCCCAAAGGATCGCTATGCGTGCTTTTCTCAGTCTGTGACGCCTGTGACTGCCTTTTTGGAGATGCGGTGTGCGGCGGTAGCCTATCTGGTAGATTCGCACTGAAGGGAACTCGAGGCAAGCCCGTCGCAAAATGGTCATCCCGAGTCGACAGCAGCAAACTGGGACTCGCCCGACGCATCGAGGATGGCTGTACTTGATCAAGCGAATTTTTGACAGCTTCCAGAGGACCCAAGACACTGGCGTCGAAGCCGCTCGAAGTGCCCTTTAGCACGTCGCGTATATGCCGCATGATGGTGACGGTCATGAACAGAGAAGTAGCGGAATCGGACGACAAGGTGCTCGTTCTGGTCGGATCGTCCAGATTGGGCGTGACGGGCGCGGCGATCCGCTCAATTACGCTCGTGCATAGATCAAGCGCATTGGCCATGTTTGCGTTGCCGGCTCTATGCGCTGCTAGCTCGGCTGCGTAGTCCCGAATGCCGTTTACGCTGGCGGTCGGCTGCATCATGCCTGCAGCCTGGCTAGTAGCCAGAGCATTTTGATAAGCGTCGACGTTGCGCCTGATTTCCGTAAAGGCAGACAAGACGGCCTTGTTGATTCCAGCTGCCTCTGCGCGTGACCAGACCGTCTTTGCAAGGTCGCTCATCGACGTGAGCTCGTTTGCGCGGGCAGGCGCATCTCCTATGGGCCGCGGGGTGCTCGTGACTAATCTTCTTGGAGGGACCTGCATCGAATGAGGTGTGAGTCCTGCGCGCCCATTTTGCTCTCGGACCGTAAGACCGCCAGTAGGATTGCTGTTGTCGCGCAGGAGGATGGCTTGCTGCAGCAAGAGAGGGACCTCTAGCTCTGAGTCACTCGGAATCGGATAGCGCAGCAGGGCTTGCAGGTAGCTTGAGTAGTCGGCGGCTAGTACTGCTCGGCACTGTCAATGTGTGTTGAAGAATCAAGATGGTCAACACTTACGTTGATCTCTGATGCGCTCAAGCAAAGCCAAACAGACAAAGTCGAGCAATTGAAGCGAGGGATCCTCCGCGAAGAGCCCGTCCCAGAGTCGCAAGACTGATTGAAGGGGCAGCTCGCGCGAAAGCAGAAGTCTCAGCCAGCGTATCCCCCAAATTTGAGGTTCTATGCCGAGCTGGTTCTGATGAGTCCAGAGCTGTTCGTCGATTGCACGCAGTGACCGATCATGGATGCGCTGACATCGCTCGACGATGGGCTGTACGTGTCTAGTGGCATCTTTGAGGGATGTGAGGCCAAGACCGGGATTGGTGTGAGTGACAAGCGGGACGAGTGTGGTGTGGTCATAAAAGGAGGCAATGGATCGCATGAGGATCTGGAAGAGTGACCATGTGTCATGTTCGACGCGGGCCCTGTCCAAGACGAACATGGCTCGTACTCGCTCGCTCTTGCATGGGAGTGAATCGCGGTCAACGATTGCATAGAGCAGAGCGAGGATTTCGTGCATCCCTTGACGATAGCCGATGCCCTCGTTGAGCTTAGCCCAGACGAAGAGCAGATCTGTCATTGTGTCCTGTACGAGAGCATCGCGGAAGAAGGCCAGCTCGGGGAAGCTGCTAGCACATCAGCGCAGTAGACGGTAAAGCATTGCACGACGGACGTTCTGTCGACATCTTGCCTGATCATCCTTCGAAGCTCCATGTCCACAAACCAGGCTTTCCAAGGCGACTTTCAGGCCATCAGCGAGGCACGACTGTCGGACATATCAGACTCACGCTCGAGTCCAGTGCCAGTGGATTATTGCGCGTCAAGTCAAGGTGAAGCCGTTCTGCCGAGATGGGAGAGGTCCGGAGGGTACCGTCCCGAGCTTGCTTGGCCGTTGAGAGATAATCGCCGACGCCCTTGCCGTCTGGACCGCTGAGGAAGCGGTCTGCAAGCTCATCCCATTCTGAGCGAGTGCGTTCGAGACTGAGCGCCCAGAGTGGAGCGCGTGTGCTGTCTGGCGAGGCAAGAGGCAGGCTGAGCGTTCCCAGACAGCAGCGCCAGTAGATGGACCGGAGAGCAGTCGCGGGACAAGGCTGAGTGCTTGTGCTAGTCGATGGCAAGAGCGCAAACTGCTTTAGCTGCTCGAGAGTACGTGGGGAGGGGGCCGCTGTCGGGAAGAGCTCGTCGAATGCTCGCAGGGTGTCATCCTCCAGTGGCCTGATCAGCCAAGAGGGTACTGCCTCCTCGGGCTCGGCCATTTGCAGCAAGCCAGGCCGTCGGCCGTCGTCAACGTCGTCTCTCTCGCGATGTTGACGCGCTTCTTTGATCGATGGCATCATCGCCGACGATGGCGGCCTCAAGACTGCTGAGATGCACCTGCGCTAGCCTGCGCTCGCTCGGCACGAGCGCACGCGTGAAGCAGCCACGCACATTGCCTGCAACACGCTTCTCGTCCGTCCAGCCACCCGAGATACCGTCGACGATTGTCGAGAGCTTCAGACAGGAGCAAGACAGCATTCCTTGGTTCGTAGATCCTTCGTATGAGCCAGGCAAGGCTACACCGAGTCAGCGCACGCCCGAGCACACACGACGCGCTCAGCCACGGCCTGACAAGCTGCCGGAGAGGCTGTGGCAGCTGCACGCGCATCTGACTGAATCGCCGCTCTTTGAGGCTTCCGCGACGACTTTCATCGACGCCAAAGCAAGCACGAGCGCGGACACCCTCGAAGACATGACAGGCGGCTCCGTATGGGACTGGGTCGTCGTGCTCGAGATGGCGTCTGGCAGAGAACGCGGTCTCAGATCTGCGACTGGCCAAGTAGCCGAATGGGTCAGTGTTTTCTGTGCTGTCTTTCTCCGACAAGTATGAATGTCACCATGCCAGGCGAGAGATGTGCCAGCTGTGCAAGGCAAGAGGAAGCGCGTAGTGGCAATCGAAGGACTGGAGCCGCCAGAGCCTACCTGGACCCTCGTCGACGGTGGCGAATTCGTCGTCCACCTTTTCACGACAGAGGCACGCAGGACAATGGCCATCCGAGGTGATCAGTCTGGGAATCAAACGCAACAGTACTGAGTACATGCAATCGAGGAGTGTACATCCAATCGCCTAACGAGCGATCATGACAGGTGCGAAAGAGGCGAATAAGTTAGGAGCGCGGTCTCTGTATGAGTGTCCGAGCTGGCTTTCCTGGCGAGATTGACTCAATCATATCTCGACACGACGGACGACTCGCTCGAGTTGGTCCTCCGGTCGTGCATCTCGTGCTCGTCCTCGTATGCCTCAGAGCCAGTGCCATCGCGCGATCGAGTGTTGTAGGATCGGCTACCTGCGCCTGTGCCAGATCGGCTGGACCGTTCCGAGCGTGTTCGACTGGAATAGGATGTGCCAGATCGGCCAGATCGGCTGCCGTAGCCACTCGTGCCGTACCCTCTGGACCGCTTCGAAGAACGGCCTTCGTCGACGACAGAGTTGTCGTCGTGCACAGACATGTCGTCCCAAGTGTAGTGCTTCTCGTCTCTCGGCCGTTCCTTGGCAGGCATGGCGATGAGCAGGAAGATGAAAGCCAAGATGGTGCAACACACTGCGGCCAGTCCAAGCCAGTTGCAGTTGCCCAGCCGGGAGGAGACTGTGCCATTGGGGAACTGCTGGTACATCCGACTGTTGGCTTGTGAGTAGACGATGAAGCTGATAAGCAGTGAGATGGCGCCGATGCCTGTGTTCGCCCTATCAGACACATACGACTCACGAGCGGGCAGAGGGAACCTGCCGAAGAGCATGAAGATCAGGACGAGGGCGATGATGGTGACCAATCGGAAGGGCAGAAAGGCAGCCTGAAGTGCCAGCAGGTTCTGACCGAACGCTGCAGGAGGGCGGCGTCAGATTGAAGATCCCCAGCAGATCTGTCGTGTGACTTACTCAGGACGTAAAGAATGAGAGCAGTCGATAGCGGCTTGCCCACGATGACAGTCGTTGCAGGTCCGCTGCCAGTATATCCTGGCAGTCCGGCGGCATCTACCGGACCAGTGGGTGAGCCAAGAGATCATCGAATCTACATCACGCTCGACTGACTCAACACGTAGCCGACCGATGAATGCGGGCAGCTCTCGACGCCCTGAGGGTTGCGGACACAGTATCCCCATATGCCAGCTCTGACGAGGGTGCCATCACCGAGGGTGGTGGAGAGAAAGGTGAATTGCTTGAAGACCGGGGTAGATATACAGATGATGAGGAACATGACAGCCGATGCCGTCAAGAAGGCGACGGCGATGACTCTGTTGACCGCATTGCCGACACCCATGTCTGTCGGTGACCGTCGAGCCCTCTGCCTTCGCCTGGATGTGTCGACGACTTCTGTCTTTGATTGGCCGTCGCACACCCCGCATCATGCCAATTGGAGATAGTGGCGCGCCACACGGCTACTTCGAATCCAGACCAGTCGTGTGGCTGGTAACCGGGGACCCGGTGCCATATAAAGGCGATCTAACAAGGATGCGCCTGTGTCTGCTGCTGCCTGCTCTGTCGTATACCCCGTCTGTATTCCCTCGGTCACTAGCCGTGCGAAGATTTGCGACTCGGACGTTCTGCGACGTCATTGACGCTTGCGAAGTGGTCTGTGATGAGCTCAGGCCTGTTCATCTGGTCGACGCTGTCAGAATTCGGGCTACCGTGCCCGAGAGCATGATCCTCATGTTTCTCAATCCTGAGCAGTATCCGGTCTCCCATGCGACCTGTTCTACTCAGCCGTCTCTGCGGAAAGTCAAGTGTGCGGCCACCCTGTCGCTCGTGACCGATCAACAAATGATCTACAGGATGTCCCAAGACACGCAACTCGACATCCTTGACGATGGCAACGCTAGCACGTTGGCCATCAAGCACTGTTGTCGTGCCTTTGTCAGCCATCAATTTGACTTGGGCTATCTCGATAGAGAGTAAATCGATACCCTCTCCCATGCGCAGTCTTACAGAGAAGCCACAGTCTTGATTACCGGGGACGCTCGGCTTACATGCGCTGTGACTTTAACAACTTCCGGGGTTCGGACGACCCACACCATCGAATTTGGTGTTCCCAATTTTTTCCAGAGATCAGTCAGTCGCCTCTGCAACCACCGAGGCTCTGTCTTACCTCATGCAGTCACGCGAGCTTGCACCATACCTGTCGGAATGCCATGCGGAGCCGAGTGGTGGCCGACAGCAGGCCGGAAATGTGCAGAGTATACGCCGGATGCAAACTAGCGAGTTGACTGCATACTGTGTTTGCAACATCAGCCCGCGTCAAACTGAAATGTGCAAGCAAGCGCTCGGCAGAGACTGCTTCCATCGAGCGCTTCGGTGAGTCTGCCGTCTCAATGCTCGCTGCGTCGGTCATGCCCGCTGCGCCGTCCTGAGTGATGCTAGGGCAGGCCCTGAATCAATAGAGAGCGTCCTCAGAGCTCGTCAATCGTGTACATCGACGCACTAGGTCGCTTTCGCTTCCGCCGACTCAGACTCATACGCGGGCATCTGTACGCGGCCACAAAGGCAAAGTTGGGTATACTTGACATGCTTCTTCGACCTGCTCATGGCCAGCAAGCAACTCGCATGCTTCAGCTATCAGCAGATCCTTGCTTCACCTATTGATCATGTTGCTGTCTGCAATGCAGGACTTGCTCGTCATAGTACAACAACACGGTGCTCAGCGCTCTGCAGAGCACTCTTGCCTGATAACTCATCTATTCGCAAGAAAGTGTTGTCCTCGCCATCGACGAGACGAGCGATCGGAAGTGGTCTGGATTCGTCTGGTATGTCTCTTCAAGCAGCGATATTTCGTTTAGTTCAGTAGATTCGAGGCCCGGAAAGCTGGCTCCCCGATAGAGCGAGTGACGCTGGCAGAATTGAAGTATCTTGCGCCACCATACATCCTCGATCAGCGTTTTTCCATTACCGACAATGATCAGCAACTCTTTTGGTCTTGTGATCGCAACGTTGAGACGCTTCGGCTGATGGATTAAGCCGCGATTTCGAAGGGCATCGTCTGCCAAAAAGTCGACACGTCGTGACCGTACAGTAGAGATGATGACGACACGGCTGCTCGACAGGTTTCAGCTCTCAGCTCTGCTCAGCGATTGTGCTTCGCCGCTCACTTTTCAGCGCCCTGAAGGGCTTCCACATTGCCTACGTCAACCTGACTCAGGCCACGCGATCGTAGCGCCAGTCGAACGCGCCAGACTTGCTCTCGGAAGGGCGAGATGACGGAAATCTCGCTGGGCTGAAGCCGTCCTTTGAAGCTTCCTAAGAGCGAGCTGACGTAAGCCACAACTCGATCGACTTCTGTGACGTTGTACCAGCTCGCGCCCTCATCGACCCAATCTTCTTCGCCGTCGACGCCGTGGAACAACAGCGGTATGTGAGAGCCAGACAACCCAGACCAGCTGAGTAACGGAGTAGCTTTGATCTGTTCTGCTGCTTCCGCCCTCAGCGAGTTGTCGTAGAAGAGCGCGCTAGGCATCATGAGAAGACCGGGGTGCGAGCGGTAATTGCGGGTGAGGTCTGCAAAGTGCACGGGTCGAGGAGGCAAGGGCGATCTGCCAGTCCGGCTCGTTCCCTTGGATCTCGCGCTCGGATGTTCAGCATAGAGAGGCAGCTCAGACAGGCGTTCCAGAAGTGACTGATCGAAATCGTGCGCTCTGGCTTCCTCGCTGTCAATTGTCGGACCAAGCTGCTTGACATCACCACACAGCACAATTTGCGGTTGGCGGACACGATCGTCGAGCTCGCCAGAAGGTAGCATGACGGCTAGCGGTAGGAGCACCTCTGGCTCACAGCACTGACCGGCTTCATCTACTAGCAGATGCGTGAAATGCGGCTGGGCAACTTTAGACAACGGCGCAAGTGGATGTATGCTCCGCATCACATTTCGCTCAATCTGTTGCAATAGGCCGTTGGTACAGCCTACGTGGAGGAGCATCTGGGCGTCCAGACAGGTTGTGACGATGACGCGCTTGGCGAGCAGAGCTTGCAAGGATGGCATAGCGAAGCGATCATCCTCGATATGTGCAAACATGAGGAGGTCATCGACGACCTCTGTGAAAGGCCTGCTTGCGTCTTGCAGTCTCAACATGACAGAAGGATCAAGGTGGCTTCGCAAGCGTTTAGCGAGCGTGTCGGCAGAAGGGTTGCTGGAGCCGACGACGAGCAGATGGGCGTTAGGATCGTGTTCGAGTATCTGAAGAACGCACTCAACCAGCGTCTTGGTCTTGCCTGTTCCGGCCGGGCCATGGATTAGATAGGGCACTCGCCGGGTGCGCAGGGTAACATCTGTGATCGCTCGCCTTTGCTCGGCGTTGAGATGCTCGTCTCGCCACCGCTCGAGCGAATGCAGACTGCTATATCCTACTCGGGATGCAAGTTCCTCTGTCGGGAACAGCCAAGCTCTTGCTTGCTCCTGCTTAGCTGGACTGGGACCCCCGGGGTAATGACTAAGGGGAAAGTGTGAAGGGTCTAGCAGGGACTGGTAGAGCTGGAGCGTTTCGTCTATTGCAGAAAAGTACTGCGACTGGGGCGTGAACTGGACGTTGAAGTAGCCAGACACCCAATTCTGCAAAAGGGCATCGCAACGAACGATGACTCGGCCTTGGACGCGCGAGATGGCGTGAACTCTGGCAGCGAAGCAGGTACCTTGAGCGGTCAGATGCTCCGGGTAGAGCTGCCGGAGCAGGATTCTGTCACCAATCTCGACGGGTGGCCAACCCTCGCGAATGTTTTTTGCATCAAATGCATATAGCTGTCGTGCCGGCGAGATTGCAGAGGCGGGCAACTGCTCAACCTCGAGAGTGGTCATGTATATATCTGCCGATGTGAGCACTTCCTTTCTGGCCCTGAACTCTTCATGGAGGATGCTCAGAAAGCGGAGACCGTAGTGCTCTTGCGATAGAGTGGGCAGATGGACAAGCCGGCCTGGGGATCGTGACATGGACCTTATGCTCGTCGCAGCCGTCGTTGCTGTTGTCTGCGAGGCGAGACTCGGAGTCTGGACAGCAGGAGGGGCAGGCGAAGGAGTTTGTGAGCTACGTGAGCTGTCGTGCTGAGCCCAGGCTGCTCTTGCGCTCGTCTGAGGCGACGAAACGGGCATTGGTCGAGCTTCTTGCAGAATGCCGATGTCATACTTGGCTTTGAACTGGGTCAAGAGATCTGCACAAATCGCGTGGCGGTTCGCCCTCTCTGCGTCGTAAGCTTCGAGCATCGACGACGGGCACAGAGATCCATTCCAGGCACGCCAGTCAACCGCAGGAAGCACGCCCGGATCAATCAGCGGGAAGGGCGCAAGATTGACGTCGCGGAGCCAGCGAGGAACATAGGCTTTCGCGAACCGATTCGCTCCTGCCCGCTCTTGTACCAGGCCATTGTGGCTCCGTGGTGGGTGAGCCATCGATGGCAACAGTGACGGTGACGTGTCACGCAGTTTGACATGTGACACGATCACTCTGATCACGCCGCGAGGACGACGCGCCTGGCTGGCCGGCGTTCTTGGCGCGCAGCACTTCCTTTGAACGGTACGACATCGAGCGCTGGTCGCTACACAGAGACGCATATCAAGCTTCGTAACACGACGCGAGACTCCGCTGGTCGGCGCTCGCTACACGCAACTCACACTGCAATCGACGCATTCACGCATTCACGCCTACGCATCAAACGGAACGCACGACAATGAAGGCCATCGTCTTGAGCCTTGCCATCCTCCTCACCTTGGCTAGCTTCGTCTCTGCGGGAGGAGCCTGCTGTGCGGGTGACACCACTTGCTGTAAGCTCGTGCACCTTCTGTGTCACGAAGGCGACTGACCGACATGATCGCAATGCAGCCGGCTGCTGGATGTGCACGGGATCCACCCTTCGCGAACTATGGGATGCTGCCACGCCGCTGCCTTCAGCTTGCTCGAGTCAGACGGGCACAAAGGCCCAGGCGACTTGCTACTGCGCAGCTTACGCAAAAGTAGCCAAGGCCTGGGCAGGCGGCGTGTGCTGCACCGAATTTGCGCCCACCTTTGCTGCTGCGAGCAATCTCTGCAACCTTGCCACCTACCCTGAAGCGCAGATCTCAGCGGCAGCACTCGCAAAGGCTGTCGCCGACGCAAACACCGTCGTCTACGACATCTGGCACAATGACTCTGGCACCGACGTGCCAAAGCTGTCCATCACCATTTCTGCATATACTGGCGGTGCAGTCGAGACAGCAGCGGCCTCAGCTGTCAGCTCCGTCGCGTCAGCGGTCGAGTCAGGTCTCGTCGGTAAGGCGGTTAAGAAGAGCAAGAAGCACAAGAAGCACAAGAAGACACACAAGAAGCACAAGAAGCACAGCAAGAAACACAAGCATTGCCGTCGCTCTGTGTCCGAGGACAATCCTCCACCGACGCGGACGACCGACGTCGCATTCCCGGAAGTCAGTATACTGGAAGATGAGCCTATCGACTTCTTAGGCCGCCGAGGTCAAGCCGTTAGCGGGCCTGTGCCTGCAAGCGCACTCCGGCTTCAGAAGAGGTACAATTGTGGCATCGACTTTCAAGGTGTCGCTTATCCCAGCACGACGCCTTCGTGGCTCGCTGCCGCATAAAGTTATTTGCGATCCCAGGAATGCATTTCTCGTCCGAGCTAGCGATGGATCTGCAGCTCACTGACTATGGACCGGTAACCACCTGCAATCCCCATCCTGGCCCCCTCTTGACTGCTGAGAGACCCTGCAGCCTTCGATGACCTCGCATTGTCCGATGGTACTATCGAGACCGAACACACGTGCGCAAAAAGGGGAGACCTTCTTGACTGGCCCTGCATTGCAAGCTACCTCGAAGGTCTGGGAAGAATAGGACGATGCGTCTATCGCAATTCAGCCTGAATGAGAAGGATCGACAACGATGAGCTTACCAGGTTCCACGGCAGTGATGAAGGCCATCTCACGCGAGGCATGGCAACATTCGGCGATCACGTCTTGAGCTGTACTCCAGATAGTCGAATCCATGCTTACGGTGGCCCAGGTACTGTAGTATACGGCGTCCGGGTTGCTTCTGCGTTGTTTTGCATAGCACGAGGGCTTGAATCCGATCGGGATCGAGCTCTGCGTAGTAGCATGAGCGCTGAGCAGCCAAGCGATGCGACTGACAGACACAAGAGACCTTGGACACAGCATACATTGTCGGACTCATTCGCAGGCTGAGCAGATACGGCGGCGTGGCTGCTTCGAGGATGAAGGGGGTGTCAAAGACTTTGCCGCTGCAGCGGATAGCGCAGGAGGATGTGCCATAGCAGTATCGTCGAGTCACGATGGCATGCGTGCTCGCAGATAAGAGAGCCGACAGTAGAAAGAGGCTAGCCATGTCAGAGTGATGGGGTGGGCCAACTCAGTCAAAGTGTCACGTGTCAGCTGCTTGCGTGAATGACCGCGCCGATGTCGTCTTCACTTCTTGCGACAGCGGGCGTGCATCTCCCTGCTGAGGTTGCATCCTGCGTCGTCTCGCCTTCCTCGCTATTCTCAGCAACTGGATCTGCTGCTGCTCAGCCATAGCCACTGGTCTCCTGTCGTGCGATGATAATGGCGATAGCGTCAAAACGATCTGACTGCTTGGATATGGCTTTGGCGATTCGCAAAACTATCGCGAATTATCGTCAGGTTATCATAGTGGATATGACGAAGACGCCGAGATCGACTTGACAGTCCAGCAATTGGCCGTTCGCTCCTACGTCGAGGTGGTACGCTTCTCTTGCTATCTGCGCGCCTCCGCCAGCTGAACGGCCAGGATATGCCAGCAAAGGTGTTTTGCGCGTCACTCGATCAGTACCGTTGGGCAACCTCGCTCGATACTTTGGATATATGATTCTCGTGGTCAGCCGCCCGTACAAACGATACTATTTGCACTGCTGCCGTACCTTCACGACCACCAGGTTTGAGCTTCATCTGACAGTAGCCCAGCCATTTCGCAGCCTGCCCGACAAGACTACATGATACGTATCCTGCGTAGCAGAGGACAATGACGGGCTATGCGATCGTCCGTTTGGCGTGTCGTCGCGATCTATGGGCTGATCGTTGCGCAGGCTCTCAGCCGGATCACTTACCACCAGGTGCTGCCTTCTCAAATCGGCTGAAGTTAGCCGATGTGACTTCAATGTCAAATATCAATGCAGCCTACACGGACCTCATGCAAGTTGTAGCAAGATGGAAAGATGATAACGCTGCCTTGGTCAAGGCGCGCTTCATGCTCCGTGCCATCCTTACCGTAGATCAAATACAGCAAGATCTTGCGCTGGTCCGACGTACGCAAGCAGTGGGCAGGATTGAGTTCCGGGCAGTGGGCAGCGATCGTATCAAAGGATCAACTCGCATTCAACGTCACCGCGTTCGACGATCATACGCTGTGGCTCGATGGCGGCAAGGGAGTGTCGTACTACAGTCAGCTACAGGTTGAAGGCTTTTTCATTCACTACGCTCCCGCTCGAGTGCGCTTCAGCGTACGACCCAAAGATATTGAAATGGCCAGATGCTGTGATGCAGACATTTTGCTGGATATAGACATTCCTCTCGAATCTGATGGTAACCTCGAATTGTCGCACCAGCAGCATTTCACTGACATACGTGCAAGACCGCTGCTTTGTGCAGCAGGAGAAGATGACAATCTCATGTGGCGGTCCCATACGCGACCAACGAGTGTGATAGCACGCATATATGGTCAGATTCAACGGATATGCTAATGCTACGAACAGGTTCACTTGATTTACGAAGCAAGTTGCAGCCAAACACGTAGGCTTTGCTTATCGATACTCACAGCTGAGCGCACGAGCTGTCAAGGGGATCTCAAATGGACGATGGAGGAGGACGATAATGGGTTTGCGACTGCGTAGCTGTACTGTATGTACAGGCTAATGGATATATCTTGAGGACCATTTGACTCTGGCCTCGCAGGACATCCATCCCGTGACAGCTGCACGATGTCAGTCAGGCTGATAGTATTACAGGGGCTCGTCTGACCAATCAGTGGTGAAGAGGCGGTTGCAGTAGCTATATCGCGGCTTGTCAACACTATGTGTGATGCAGGGTCCGGACTCACCGTCGCAGCTCGGCAGTGCGACGAGCTCATTGCAATAGAGCGCCATCCAGCTCTTTATGCTAAGCACCTCTCCGCTGATGAGATCCAAGACGCCGCTAGTGATGACGCGCGCTTGACAGCAATCGTGCCCTGCCGACGAGCATCAGCCCTTGGGCGAAATCTGAGAGCATTGGACCAACATTGGCGAGGTCTTATCGGTCTTGCATTGAATTCTAACCGGATTTCCTTGGGATGCTTGACATAGTAGCTTTCATAGTCAAATTGCTGGTACCAAACGATGTTTTTCGAGTTGTCGAGGAAGAGGTTGTAGCTGGGAAGCCATATCGATACGTTGAGTTCGATCGGTACCTGTGATGCTATCGGAATAGTGATTTCCGGTGTGACCGCGCAATGTCCTTCCAATCCTCCTTGTAGCATGAACGAGTTGTCCTTCCATTCTCCCGTCCCATCCCTCTGGATCCATTGGAATTCGGTCACGCAATGATCAACAAAGCCGGGCGGTCGAACTTTCAAGGTGTGTGCTGCTTTGACGAGTCACATCAGCTCTGACAGATAGCACGGGGCACCAACGGACGATTGCATGTCCCGTCGTTGTCGCCATCTCGGAAGCAGGAGACGTAGCTCTCCGTGGGCAGATTCTCAACGCGCTCTGCGGCGACATAAATCTCAAAGGCAAAGGGCGTAAAGACTCGACAGCAGGCCTTGACTTGCATGTCCGGATTAAGGGGGCGATTGACGACCATGCCTTCGACTCTGACTCGTCGAGCATGACCGGGGGTGGGTACTATCACCCCGTATCTTTCGACGTTGGTAGAGCTTGTGATGCGAGCCTGGACGGTGTCAGCGAAGGTTGTGACTTCGACATCAAGTTTGTGTGCCCACAAAGCCCAAGTGAACAGCGGTTCTGGGTCGCGATCTTCGCGCCGAGTCACGGTAGGCTCGTCGCAGTGTCCCTGCGCATCAACCTCAGCGTGTCGTGCTACGAAGTGTGTCGAGACAGGCGGACAGTGCCGAATCCCGTGACAGTATACAGTCTGAGGTTGGGGTCACGGCGATCAAGAGCATGAGCGAAGGACGTTGCCGAGATAAAGAGCACAGAGGCAAGCGTGCAGAAGACTCTCGTGGATATGATCAGCATGCTCGGATCACTAGCTGATGGTGGCGCGAGTCGTTCTTAGAAGGGGCAACTCGAGGAGAAACCAATATAATCTGAGTTTCAGTGAATTTCGGGAGTGTAGCGCATCTCGCTTTCTCTCGAGAGCCAAAGACACTCTATCTCTCACTCATGATGCTCCCCGTTGCTTCCACAGACAGCAAAGTCCCACGATATTTTGCATCATACGAGCCTCGACGAAGCTCACGATGCGCGCCGACAATTCGAAGCAAGCTCTTCGGCCGATTGTGTCTGCAGCTCAAGTTGGCACAAGACCTCTGAAGATCCGAACAGGCTCTACATAGCAAGATCAGCCGATCGGCTATGGCTTGCATTGATATGTTACGCGAGTATTGCGCCTGTCTGAAGCCAGCAAGATTGTGGCTCGTAGAATGCCATCAGGTACACATTCCAGCGATGCGTTCGAGATCAAGCGGTCACTGCTACGTAGCCTCTTACGGCCTAAAGGCTCCCTCAGACCAGCTGAAGGAATCTGTCAGCAGTTTGTTGTAAGTTGCACGGCCATCAATCGCGCCCGTTCGGCGACGCGATCAGGCTGCATCTCACACTGCACTCAGCATGCGGCGTGCGCGCTACCCACTATGTGCTGGTGTCCGAGGTGCGTCACCATGGCAAGTTCTACGATGCTCGCTACCGCCTCGTCATCGACGACATTGCAAGTCTGCCGTGGCCTCACGCGACGACGATCGACGCACCGTAAAGAGCCCGCAAGCCAACCGTGCCTAGATACTGTTGACAGCGCGCCTGCACTGTGTGACGCATATTTCGTAGCAACATTGACTCGCACTGTCGTAGTAGCAAAAGCTCGCAAGTCGAAGACGAAGGCATCCATGTTCGCAAGCCCGATACTGCCTCTATGTGGTCTCGCGATGGCTACAATCTCGCCGGCCGTTGCGGCCAGATATAACAAAGGCGCCTGCGCTGCCGTCGACGTGACGACGGTGTCCATTTTCGGCAGCCCAGATGCTACAACGCCAACGCTAGAGATGTCCTTTTGTCTCAACTATCGCCCTAAGGATGGATATGTCTGGCTGTCTGGCTGAGTGCCGTCCGTTGATCGCTGACTGGCGCGACAGTACTTTGCCCCTTTTGGATCGTCAAAGCCACAGACAATCTACACGCCTGTCTGGCTGGTAGAAGACCTGCGAGGCTATCATAGCGAGGGTTTCGATGTCTACGGCATGGACGGCAGGACGCCCTTCACGTTTGCGATCTACTTCTTTGCCAGAGGCGCTGCAATCGAATACACCTACATCGATCACTTTAACGCCCAGAATACCAATTTTGATACGAGGAACATCCACTCCAAGGTCACGATTGGCGGGGTTGTCCGTCCGACGTGGCCGGGAGAACTTTACTGAGCAGAGCGCCATCGTTGCCTCACAGCGTTCGTGCGCATAGATGTCGATGAATGCATGTGTGTCCGACGATGACGATGAAGCGAGCAGTTTCTGGATAGAGGAGGATGCACGCCCCAGCGTGGCTTATCAGCCGGTCAGCGCATCGACGGCGGGCAAGTCGCGTCGTCGTCGTCTTTATCATTATCAGGCCTATCAGGCGCGGGCCTCAGAGCAGCTCAGCCACTGCCAACCAGCCTGTGGTGCACTCACCCGACCTTTGCAATGGTATCAATCAGGCCGACAGTCTACTACGGCACATTTGTGCACAGTCTCGACGTGCTCACGCTCGAGTACCTGAAAGACACTTTGCTTGGCGTTGACGAGCAGGGCGTCATCAGCTTTGTCGAGCAGGGAGTGAGCAGAGAGGACGTCAAGTCGAGGATCACCAACAAGGGTAGTCAGTGGCAGGATGCAAAGATCGTCAGACTTGCGAGGGGAGACTTTATCGTGCCTGGGTATGAGTCGGCCCTCTCAGCGTCATTGACCGACTGACACGGTCTGCAGGCTTGTGGACACTCATACACATGCGCCACAGTAAGCAGAACCGTGCAGTCCACGTCAGTCAGCTGACGGGTGACATAGATATGTCAAGTGAGCCCGGTCTGGCTTGCCAGGCTGCGCTGTCGTTGATAAGGACGCCAGCCTGGGCTTAGGACAGCAGCACGAACTGCTCGATTGGTTGGAACATGTCCGTGTGATTCGCAACGTCAAGTCTGTGCTAATGCGCAGAGATAGATCACCTTCCCAGCAGAACGAAAGGCAAGCACTAATCTGAGCAAACTCTGGCCGAGCTTATAGCTGCGCCAGTTCGAGAACCCAGTATATGCTCAAAAGGCGTATGAGGCTGTCGTCACGCGAGTCATCAATTCGGGTACCACGACGTGCGCGTACTATGCTACCTTGCACCTCGAAGCCTCAAAACGACTTGCCAATGTCTGCTTCGAGAAGGGCCAGCGAGCACTCATCGGCAAATGCTGCATGGACCGTAACAGTCCAACTTGGTACCGTGAGAAAAGCGCGGCCCAATCTGTGGAGGACACCAAACGTCTCGTCGCTCATGTACGCGATATGTGCTACGAGGCTTCCCATCCGCTTGACGCGCCTCAAGAACGCAATCATGAAGTCCATCGGACGTCCTCCATCTCCTCCAATTCGTCGGCCAGCTCGACTTCCTCTCACTCGTCTGCCTCCTCAAACGGTCATCACAAGCATGTCACCCTCTCAAAGTCACATCGAGATGCCCGCGCGCTCGTTCATGCCATCGTCACGCCTCGATTTGCCATCTCATGCTCAGATGCTCTGCTCGCGAGCTTGCAAGCGCTGCTCGCTCAAGACAAGACCTTGCGTGTCCAGACGCATCTGTCAGAGTCGCCAGCAGAAATCAGCTACACGCGAGAGCTTTTCCCTTTTGCTGATACATATACTCATGGTATGTTGACCTCGAGGGACACATTCGGGCCTGACTGATGCCGAGAATGACAGTGTACGATCACTTTGGCCTCCTCAAAAACAACACCATCCTGGCGCATTGCATTCACTTGGACGATGCTGAAATGGAGCTCATCCGCGCAAAGGGGAGCGGTATTGCTCACTGCCCTTCGTCCAATCTCAATCTGCGCAGCGGCGCCTCTCGCGTACGCTTCTCTTATGCGCGACGCGCGTCCTATCGTTGACATGGCTTGAGCAGGTTGCCGAGATGCTGTCAAAAGGCATGAAAGTGGGTCTAGGCACAGACGTCTCTGGCGGTTTCGGCTTTGGCATCTTGACAGCTTTGCGAGAAGCATCGGTCGTCTCGAAGGTCCTTGCATTCTCAGCGCGCGATAATGTCGCAACGACAACGAAAGGGCGGCGAGGTCGCTCGCAAACGCCAAAGGGCGAGGCCAATATCCGCGTGACTTCACAAACCGGTAGATCAACAGTAGAGGCAAGTTCAGACAAAAGTGTTCAAGTTGAAGTGCGGACCGATGAGGGCGAGGATATCAAGGCGACCGCCGAAGCGGCAGACGGGCCTGACTTCCATCCCGACTTTGCGAATCGGCATCTGCCTCTCGAGACACTCTTCTATCTCGCTACGCTAGGCGGCGCTCAAGTGTGCGCCTTTGACGAACAGATTGGTAACTTTCTAGTCGGCAAAGACTTTGATGCTTTGCTCGTTCAGACTGGTCAGAAAGAACCCGACAACGTCGCTCCTGGTGACGTATCGAGTGCCGAGGATGCGATACAGACGACCCCTTCGCCTTATCCCGAGGGTCTGAATCCTGCCATCTTCGTAGAACCGGACGAGTCCATCGAGACGCTTTTCGAAAAGTTCCTCTTCTGTGTCAGTCGCGTTGATCGGTGGCCAAGTGTGCTGATTGACACGGACGTCAATAGGGTGATGATCGCAACATCGGTTCCGTCTTTGTACGAGGACGGTGCATCGGCGGTGCTAGACCGCTGCAGCGCTGATGCGGCATGGCTCGCCACTGCGATGCCAGATTATGAATCTAGATTTCTGTGCTATCCGGGTGATACCACCGCGCAACGCCGAGGGTGAGGATGAGCATCGTGCCGGTGAATATGAAGAAGACGTTGCCCTGGCCGTTGCCCGTACCTGGCCCACCGCCCGCTGAACCAGACAATGCGTCGCGAAGGGGCAGGAAAGTGAGGCCAATCAGCGCGTTTGATGTCCAGTTGACAGCGAGTCCGAAACTGGTTGCGGCAGCAGATGCCTGGTTGCTCGATCAGCCCACACTACTGCTAGAGGACAGACATAGATGCTTACGTGCTCCGGCACGACCTCGCCAACGAGAATGAACAGCAAAGGACCCAGACCGATAGCGAAGCTGGACACAAAAGTGATGATGAAGATGCTGGCGAACGCACTGAGACTGTGATTGATTGCCATGGCCAGCACGAGCGAGGAAATGCACATGCCGATCGAGGATAGCAAGAAGAGCGGCTTACGACCCATGTTGTCGATGAGAACAATCGACGGGAATGTCATCAGAACGTTGACCGCTGTGACGAGCAAGGCGATGTACTTGGCATTTGTAGGCATGACCGTCATGAGAATCGAAGTCGAATAGTAGAGCACGGCATTGACGCCAGAAACCTGCTGGCCTGCAGAGATAAATGCTACGAACCACTTGCCGTTTCTGACGGCAGGCTCGCCGCTCTTAAGCAGCTCCGGGACGCTCAAAGGAACGTATCGATCCGGCTTGGCGCCTTCGAGTGCGTCTTGCTCGCCCAAGAGAGGATCGCTCGCTTGGGGCCCTATGAGGGTAGAGGAAGTCTTGCGAGCCAGCTCGTCCTGTTGCGCTTGCCACTTGGGTGATTCCGCGACTGATGCCATCAAGAGTATCTGCGAATCTGCTGAGCTGTGCGTGATACGTTCAGCAAGGAAAGATCGCCGACCTGAATGAGAGCAATGATCCCACTGATAAAGGGTATGTAGCGCCATTGGCCAGGTCCGACGAAAGGCAAGGATAGGGCCTGAGCTGCAAAGATGCCGAGGACTATAGACAGCTGCGTCATGATGCCGATCTTGCCTTTCATCTTGGACGGCGCAATCTCTGAGAGGTACATCGGCACAAGTACGGTCGACATGCCGCAGCCAACGCCAACGAGTACGCGCCCGAAAGCGATCATCCAGACAGAGATTGGCAGCGTCATAGGCAAGCTGCCAACGATGACGAAGAGGGCCGCATAGACAGTGGACCTTTTTCGGCCATGCGAGTTAGCGAGCTTGCCAGCTAACAGGCTGCCTATGAGCCCACCGAGCGTATAGGCAGATGTGATGATGCCAAATTCGACATTGGTCATGGGGATGCAGGTAGGTAGCCAGTCGACGGCCGAGTCTACAGGTCCCGATCGGTCCAGACATGTCAATGCGCCGTGTATCGAATTGAGAGCTGAGATGTGGTAGCCGTACTGAAAGCTGGCAAGACAGATGATAGCTATCGGGAATGCAAGCGCAGTCATGCTGCACGAGCTCAGAGCCAGGTGAGCCGAAGCGGGCTTCGTTCAGGCCCCTGTGATGGTCTATCGGTCGAGGATCAGTGAGGCTTGAGTCTCTCTGTGTCAGCCTGAGCTCGCTCAATGTCACGCGTCACGTGTCACAGTGCAGACCTGCGGCCCTCTCAGTCTGCCTCGAGCCTTGCGCATCGGCCAGACATGATTGCCTTCCTCTACGTACTGCTTCTCTTGCATCATCAAGCACCGTCAGCGCTAGCTCCGCACACCGCCGCCACGAGGAATTACTGCGATTACGTGCCTCGTACCTCAGTTTACTGCGATCCTGTGCCCTCGCTCGGCCCGCTGTTCTACCCGGTCTCGCTGCAAGCCTTCTTAGACCCAACAGTCGTGATGATCTCACTTAAGCCAAACCATCCCACGCTGAAGAGGGGAGCGACATGCCAAGAGAGCCCCAAGGGCCGCAGTGTGAAATGCCGTGCGCAACTCCTACAGGGCGACCCATCGCACGCCGTATACGAAGTCAGCCAGCGCATGACGATGACGCTGCTGCCCAATCCGATTGCTCCCGCTTGGCCGATTCTACAGCGCTGCTGTCGTGTCTACCACGAGGTTATCGTTCATGTGGGCCTCACGGATCGTCAGTCTCCCGTCGCTGCCCATCATCTTCTGACAGCCTGAGCCATGCCACAGGTGACTTCAGATACGACGATCAGAAGGCTCGCTGGAGCTGCGACTACGACGAGATCTTCTACCGAAAAAAGGATGAAGGCGAACGGGGCGAGTGCGCAAAGCTCATCCCTCAGAAAGGTCGTCATGCTTCAATATCATCTTGAAGATGGAACTCACGGGTGTGCAGGCAACGGCGCATGTCCCATCCGTTCGCCGCAGCCCGTCTTCGAACTCGCCACTACATATTCAGGCTGCAAGACTCCCCCGCCTGCGCCTCAGATTGCATAGTACCGCTCTCAGTCAGAGGTGGAAGACAGGGCGATGATATGCGTTCGCCGCTCGTCCGTACGATCAAATTGGGAACTGTAGATGAAGCGAACAGGTAGTCGAGCTTACACTGTATCCGAGATCTGCCACTTGTAGCCAAGCACGATAGCTCGCCAAACGGACATGGATCTGATTGCTTTGGTCGCATTGTCGAAGCATATGTTACGCTCGAGCGAGTCGCCAGTGGGGAAATGCAAATTTGCGACCACGAAACCCGTCATCTGACCTGCAGACGTGGCCTGACTCCCGCCAGATGCTTGACACCAGGCCATCGCGCAGGGAGGACCGTCCAATCCTGCCATTCAGATCAACCTAAGCAACAGATGTCCATATCGGAGGCTCACTGTGTCAGAGTCAAGCGTGAAGCCAGCCAAGCTGATGGCATTCTGATGACAATGGGCAATCTCCAGTATGAATGTTTGTGGCGAATTTGGCAATGCTTTGCCTGACATTGCTCCGGAGCCAAAGCTCGCCATTGCAACTTAGACAGGGCAGGATGTACGTGATCTGCATGATGTACTCAGGATCGAGCTTTTGTAGACTCTGTGACGGGCAGAGATTGAAGTCGCGCTCTTCTGTGCCCGTTGACTGGATCACACCCCAACGGCCGTAGGCGTATTGCAGCTCAAAAGTGTCCGTTGCAGTGTCATGACGATGGCTTCGTCTCGGATTGGCAGAGCTCAGCGCGCTGCATTGAGTAACCGTAGCTCGTGCAAGACACTCCATCGTGGCGTTCGAGCAGGGTTGGTGAGTGCCTGCATGCCATACACGAGCAGTCGTACGGCGGCCACAACAGCAACCATCCATCTCGATTGGAATCCAATCTCGACAGTGCAAGAGGCGCATAGGGTTGTATTGATATCGGTCATATCCGCATGTAGTGATTGCAGAGCTTGTTGTACGTCGAGCGAGACCAAAAGCATTATGACCTGGCAACAGTGCGCCACAGAGAGGTCAGCTGCGCCGAGGCGGCTGCTACCAGGTTGGAGAGCATTCCCGTCTCGAGCCTGCAGACCATTTCCTGCGTGTTCTCGCTGTCCAGTATGGCTATGTGCAGCGTTTCCTTCGCCACGGGGAGAGACAGAGCAGCCATTTGTGAGCTCGTAGTTGTGATTTTGAGCATTGTGGACGGGCGTGCAGAGGTTCAGTGGAGGTGTTTTGAGGATACATGTGCAGAATGCCATCGGAATCCTGCCCAGACTCTCTCGAAACTTGAGCCAGCATCTGAGAACAAGGAGCCATGTCGACTCGCTAAAGGTGTGATGTCGACAAACGCAGATGAGTGAAGTATCGATCTGATGCCATGAAGACTGTCATGTCATATCAAGTCTGACAATCTTCACGTTTTACATGAATGTGCGACCGATGTTCCTGGCAATTTGCCTTCTCTTCCTGACGCAGCGAAACTCTATCCGACAACTGAGGGGCAATCCCGCGGAATTGAGGGGCAATCTTGTGGGCGGGGAGGCGTCTACGGGGCACCTGGCGCGACAGCGGTCGAGAACTGCCACGTCACTGGATCGAGTCACTTGTTAACAACACCAAATTTCGCAGGCTCTAAATGACCTGAAACTTCGCTGAGAATGTTGTATGACGTTGTGGTGCCTACAGCCGTACGGACAAGGCTCATCTCAGAGATTTTCTCAAAAGCCTGCATCGTGCATATTTGAGCATGTTCTTCTTGTACACTGAGTTTAGAGCAAAAGAGTACCAAAATTCGTCCAGATGCTATAAACCGCTAGCAAGAACCATACAGCCCATTGTGACTTTGGTGATCTCTTTTACCGCACATGGCGTCGAAAATATTTGACGCGTCAAAAACTCCATGACACGTGACTCGACCTCCGAGGCCATCAGCGAAGATGAGTTCGCCTCGGGCCAAGGTGCCGGGAACAGTCGTCCTCAAAAGGATCCGAACCTTCTCAGCAAGCGTGCGGGGCAAACCCAAATAGGCTCGCGGTGAGGCTGACGGTCGAATGTTGAAGTTTATCTCAAAAGACGAGTGAATTTACTTCACACATACTCTCATCAGATTAGCATCACTGAGACATATGTATCAAAAGGCTTGCAATAATCTCTGGCTACTCAGTGAGACTCAGTGAGACCGCAGTGTATTGTAGACGCGGGGCAGTCCAATCGCATTCGGACTAGTCTCGCACCATTGTATCGCGCGTTCAGATCATCATGATCTTGAGCTGTGTCGGACCCCTAGCTTGCTCTGTGCCCAAAGCAGCATGTCTTCGGTAATAAGTGCGCAGAGTTTACGTAAGCTGACAGACAGACGGTCAATCCTTGCTCGCTCGGAAGTCTAGTGGCGCGCGCGAAGGTCCTTCTGCCGTGTTGCTCAATGTCGTTTTTTGTAATGCCCAGCTGGCTGACGTTGCTTGCGTGAATCATATCGATGATGCCAGACTCGTGCCACGTACAAGCCACAGCTCGGGCATCCAAGACGTCTTGCTGAGCTCTCCGGGCTCGAACACACTGCTGAGTGTGGAAGACATAGCGGTGACGATGCTGCCTTGAGCGCTCGCGAAAGGATCTCCGAGCGAGCGTGGGAGATCTGACGGTTTGAAGAGCGCCAGACGCAGGCTGATGTCACTCGTCTGGTGGTTGACATTGTGTACTTTGAAAGCAGCTGCAATGAGATCGAGTGACCGGCCGATGCTAGTTGATTCGTCTAGCCATACAGACTTGCTCTCGCTTGATCCTGCAGAGGTATGGCAGCGCGCGAGAAAGTAGACCCTGTCCTGCTCGGCTACGGCGCGCTTGTTGAGATCGCCAGGAACGGCCTTGCCTTTAAGTCGCATACGCTCAATGACGGCGTTGCGCTTGACAGCAGGCTTTGGCTGAACGGTCGACGGGCTTGCACGTGCAAAGTTCTTTGCGATGAGATCTCTGGCCTTGCGAGAACGCTCTTCTTTGGAGCTCATGGCAACTTCGCGCTTGGCATCTATGGCTGCATAACCCGCTTGTCGGTCCGGCAAGAGTTCTGCGAAGGATGGCCCTACAGCTGGACCGACACGCGCTACCGGGATGTCAGCAGGACATCCGTGATCATCACGCGCTGCGTGGTGACGACAGAACCTCAGCTGACATGCAGTACATGCGATGGGCAGCCAGTCCAGTGTGCGGCAAGTCGGCAGTGCACACTGAGCGCCGATGTCGTCCACATCGTCCGTCATCGGTCGATTGAGAGGATCATCCAGGGGGTATGACCGGAATTACGCGAGCTCCAGGCAGAGTGGCACGGGCAGCGAGCGTGGTCAACGACGCGTCAAGACAGAGTGGCAAGACAACTCGTCATCATCGGCCGGGTCGCCTCACGAGATCAAGTCTACTCTCGCATGCTCAAGCGCTTCGGTGGTCTCATCTTCGGTCTTTCACAAGCATCTCATACGAGTACACCGCATCTTCAGGCAGCAACGATGGCTTCACAAGCGCCGTGCGTGGCTCGTTGGTCAGCTGGACAAGCGCAATGCTGATGGCCGACCGCAAGCACAGATCCGGCAAGGAGCTCTGTACAGTCGCCAATGGGTGCTTCTGGGGAACAGAGCACATGTTTGCCAAGCACTATGGCAGCAAGGTCGACTCCATGAAGGTCGGATATTGTGGTGGCAAGGAGAGCTCGACATCGCCAAGCTACAGAGAGGTCTGCTCGGGCACGACGGGACATGCAGAGGCGCTCCAGATCACCTTTGATCCTAGCAAAGTCAGCTACGAGGAGCTCGTGACGTTCCATTTCAGGATGCACGACCCGACGACGCTGAACAGGCAAGGTGGCGATCGCGGGACTCAGTATCGGTCTGCCGTCTACACTCACTCTGACGAGCAAGCCAAGACTGCCGAGAAGGTCAAGGCAGACGTACAGGCCAAGCATTGGAAGGGTCAGTCTGCGGCAGTCCATCATCCTCGAGAGCCTCGTGCTAACGCGATCTCCAATCAGGCAAGACCGTCGTCACAGAAATCACGCCGGCAGGACCATGGTGGGATGCAGAAGACTATCACCAAAAGTACTTGCATGTACGTGTCAATCTTTGCGATCTGCATGTCCGATGCTGACCCTGCCTTGCTGCAGAACAATCCTGGCGGCTACGAATGTCCCGCGCATCGGTTGTATTGGTAATTGCTCTTGCTCAGATGTGTGCTGTATATTGCACGCAACTATAAGTGCAGTAGATCGTCGCTCTCTGCGGGCACCTCGAGCATGCTTTGATAGCCCCTGAAACTGAGCACGACTTGTCATGTGCAGCCCGTTTGACGGTGCGCGTTCTCTCGCGTCCAGTCGAGTCGGCCGAGTCGAGCGATTGACTCAAGTCCGCACAAGACTACCTCGTACGTGTTCTGCAGAGGCGCATAAGCAGATGCGAGCCTGACTGATCGGTCAGCTGTCAGCAGATCTGTCCCCTCAGGCAAACTCAGCAGCCGACCGCCGTCACAGCGTCAAAGCCGCGTCATCGTCTCGAGCTTGGTCAGGCCACCATGGCGGCAGAGGAGGGCGAGAAGATGGCGACAGACAAGCCAGAGGAAGAAGAGCTGCCTCAAGAGATCCTGGACGCCTCTGCGGATGAGATTGCTACCCGCATGCGCCTCATCGACAATGACATCAAAGTGCGCCTCACGTCAGGATCATCTTGTGTTCTGCAAGGCTGACAGGCCATCACATAGGTCATGAGATCAGAGCAGGGCCGTCTCAGGCATACACAGAAGGAGATGCAGCTCAAGCTGGCCGACAACTTTGACAAGATCAAGAACAACAAGCAACTGCCTTATCTTGTCGCCAATGTTGTGGAGGCAAGCCATTGATGTTGTGAGGGCTACGGTCGCAAGCTAACATCCACGATCACCGACAGCTGCTCGAGATCAACCCAGATGGGGACGAGGAGAATGACGGGGCGAACGTAGACCTCGACTCTACCGTCAAAGGCAAATGTGCCGTAGTCAAAACATCCACCCGTCAGACGATCTTCCTGCCCCTCGTCGGTCTCGTCGACCCCAACAAGCTCAAGCCGTCCGATCTTGTCGGCGTCCAGAAGGATTCGTACCTCATCCTCGACACACTGCCATCAGAATATGACTCGCGCGTCAAAGCTATGGAGGTCGATGAGAAGCCCACAGAGGCGTACACAGACATCGGTGGCCTGGACAAGCAGATCGAGGAGCTCGTCGAAGCCATCGTCATGCCCATGAAGTCTGCAGAAAAGTTCAAGGCACTCGGCATCAAAGCCCCCAAAGGCTGTCTCATGTACGGACCGCCCGGCACAGGCAAGACTTTGCTCGCTCGTGCATGTGCCGCACAAGCAGATGCTTTCTTTCTCAAGCTCGCTGGACCTTCTCTCGTCCAGGCAAGTGCTGTGATCAGCTGGCTGTCTTGACAGGCTGATATCCGCTGCAGATGTTCATCGGCGATGGTGCAAAACTCGTCAGAGACGCTTTCGAGCTTGCGAAAGAAAAGGCGCCAGCTATCATCTTCATCGATGAGCTCGATGCGATAGGTACCAAGCGGTTCGACAGCGAAAAATCAGGCGATCGTGAAGTGCAAAGAACCATGCTCGAGCTGCTTAATCAGCTCGACGGCTTCGGTAGCGATGATCGCATCAAGGCCAGTACCTGTCCTCGAAAGCGCCGACATGAGCTCACACGGTCACGCGAGCAGGTCATTGCAGCCACAAATCGGATTGACATCCTCGATCCGGCGCTCTTGCGATCTGGCCGATTAGACCGCAAGATTGAGTTCCCCTTGCCGACTGAGGAAGCGCGGGCGAGAATATTAGAGGCACGTTACTCGGACGTCTGCGCACACACGTGCTCACAGGACGAGTAGATCCACTCTCGAAAGATGTCACTCAGCAATCGCATAAACTTCGAAGAGCTCGCGAGGAGTACAGATGAGGTCAGTCTCTGGCTGCCCTGAGGTGGCAAGACTAAACGTCTTGGGTGCTACAGATGAATGGCGCGCAGCTCAAAGCAGTCTGTGTCGAGGCAGGCATGATCGCGCTCCGAGAAGGCGCTACGGCACTGAATCACGAGCATTACCTCAGCGGCATTCTCGAGGTGCAGTCGCGCAAGAAGAACGATCAGTTTTACTTTGCATAACGAGCAAATGCATATGTGTGTATCGATACAGAGGGCGCGTCTAGGTTGTTGTGTAATCAGTCCGCGTTGGCTTTGGCGGTCAGCTCGGCTTGCTTTCTTAGCGCGCGAGGTGCGTCACACTTGGGCAAGATGACCTCGACCAGACGGGTTTGCTCGAGCGTAGCGAACGATGCGTCTGCTATGAGCGCCTCGAGCTCTGTGCGTGTCGAAACCCGCACTGAGGTCGTCTTGCCTGCCTTTGGTCCGAAAAGCTCTAGCAGCTTTTGCCACTGCCAGCCCTGAATGTCGTTGTACTTGGCTTCCATGCCATGTATGAAGCGCTCGATCGCATAGCCATCATTGTTCAGCACAAAGATGATGGGATGAAGATCCTGGCGAATGACCGTGCTGAACTCCTGCGCTGTCAGCTGCAAGCTGCCATCGCCTATGAAGAGCAAAGTCCGCTGCTTCTTGCCTAACTCTCTTGCAGCTAGCGAGCAACCGAGTACGGCGCCTCCTGTGTAGCCAATGCTGCCCCACAAGACTTGAGACACAAACACCGCGTCTGGCGGAAATTGAACGTCGAGTAGCCCGAAGGAAGAAGTGCCAGTTTCGCCGATGATGATGTCGCCTGCCTGAAAGAACTTGCCCATTGTGGGCCAGAAGTAATCTTGCGAAATGATCTCCGAGTTCTCTTTGGGTTGCTCGAGCACCTGACCGGCATTCTCTGGTCGAGGAATCTTTTCTTTCTTTGTAGACTTTGCTATCGCGCCCAGTGATTTGATCAGCTTGGGTAGAATCGTGTGAAAGCCGACATCCTTGTAAGTGGCGTATTGGATCTGCGTGTATCCATGATGTAGCTTAACCTCTTGATCAGGCCGGATGTTATACGTGAACGAGCCAGAATTGAAGTCAGACAGGACTTCGCCCAAGGAGATTGTTAGATCAGCTTGCTCTACATGAGCTTGCACGCTGTCCTCGGATGTCGCGCCTGCATACACGCCCCCGAACTGAGGATGATCTTCTCTGATGGCAGATTTGCCCATAGGCGTGGTGAAGAATGTGATATCCGTTGCTTCGATGAGCTGCTTAGCCAGATCCTGTACGCCGAACCGTACCGCACATGCATCGATGAGTACGATGGGGCGTTGCGAAGCTTTGAAAAGCTTGCCAATCTCATTGACCACAAAGTCTTCCATCTGCACGCTCATGTCAGCCTGCATGATCAGTGCATACGACAGCATCTACCTTTTCGGACACACTGGACGTCGTGAGGTGTTTATGAATGCTTTGTGGCGTCAATTCGTCTTCGAGTGGCTTAGCATCGATCTGAAGAGGCACAAGGTCCGTCGGCAATGAGATGTATCCCGGTCTGCATTCGGTCATCATCTCGACGAGAACTCGGTCGATCTCTGCACTGATCGAGCTCGGACTCGCAAGCGATTTTGCACCGAGTATGGCGCTCGAGCAGGTGACGAGCTTGCCAATCGTGGAAAAGACGTCGAAGCGCCCATCACCAAGCGTGTGATGCAGGAGGGCGTGATTGCCCTGCAACTTTGTCGAGGGTGCGCCGACAATGTGTAGAACAGGCAAGTGCTCGCTGTAACTGCCCGCGATGCCATTGAGCGCAGACAGCTCTCCGACGCCGAATGTAGTGACGAGAGCTGCTAGACCTTGCTTGACGCGGGCATAACCATCTGCTGCATAGGCAGCGTTGAGCTCGTTGGCACACCCGACATACTCCAGTCCACTCGACGGATCAACGACATAATCGAGGAATGCGAGGGTAAAGTCGCCGGGAACTGATAGCACTTGCCGACAACCGAGCTGATGGATTCGTCTGAGCAGGTAGCCCGCTACTGTGATCTTGCCTGGCTCCAGCTTGGGCAGCGAGAGATCTTCGACCATGCTGGAGAGGTCTGCAGGGCTTCGTTGATGTCAAGGGAGCTCCGAACTTCGCAAGCCTTGTCGATATAAAAGCGCGGAGCGCGGACGTTACTGCTCCTTCTGTGTGCCCCAAACGTTGTTGCAGTGACATCATCGAGATGTGTCTGTGCTTTGCTGCCTCTTGCACACCCATTCCTCTCTCGTCGCTGTCCAGATGATCTTCACTCATCTCCGAGCGAACGGGAGTGTTGTCAAGACCTCGTCAAACACTATGGGCTGACACAAAGTACCTCGAAGTTTCGTATTGTCTGCATTCTTACCCTCCCTTCAACTCAATGTGGCTCGCATTGCTGCCCATCTTGATCGGCTCTGTCTGTGGTCCACCCAAGTCATCCCACGAGCTTTGCTTGAGTGTCCAGTCGTGCTGCATTGGAACACACACTCTGCCTGGCACTGATGCGCCATCGTCATTCGAAGTCTTCTCGGGGCCGTGTCCGTCTAGTTCTGCACACCTTGTTGCTTGTCTGACAGCGAACGCAGCAAGAACACTCTTTCGCAGCACCGTGAAGCCTGCAGCTGATGGCGAGTTGACTCTCTGGGCCCACGTCAGGTAGACCAACCTGAAAAACCTTGCGGTCTCCAGGAGGCCCCGACTTGAGCTGCACCAGCCGGACCGGTATTCCCTGGATACCCGATTGCTTGCTTGTCGAATCCAGGATGTCGCCGTCTTGGACCGAATTTGTCGTGGATGTCAATGCGATCATGAAGAAACATGTTCAAGGCAGCTCGGACATGATCGTGGCGGCGATCGCAGACTGCTGTGATCTCAGGTGGGAAACAAAGATGAGCTGGCATCTCAACACGGGTACGATCGGCTCGATGTCGGCTCACCTTTGCGCTTCTGACCCCATGGTAGGTGACATCGAGGCAACGGAGCCTATCTTCTTTCTCAAATGCACGAATGCCTGGGGAAGAGTCACTCGTTATCAAAAAAGGAAATGCAAGGCCTTCTTTCGGGAAACAGTCTACTACACTTGCGAATTGGACGAGCTAGGCAACACCTGCGGGCTTTCGCTAAAGAGCTGCGAACGCCCAATGATTGTTATATCAAGCGAATAGCGAGCTTGCAGTGAGAACGCAATGCAAGCACTTATTGCGCTGCCTCTCAATTCAGCAACAGGAACGCAAATTCGCTGTGGCGTGGGCAAGCTTTGTTGAGAGTACGTCCGCCGGAACCCTGCTGACGGACGCCACGAGTGTGTCATTCACATCATCTCTTATTGACAATGCCTGCGTCGATGCTCTTGCAAATTGCTATCATACTCGAGCGGTGCAAGACAAGAAACCCTGGTCGTCAAGGCTTCAGGAGAGATTCGCTCGAAAAACAGATCACTGGGCAATAGCATATCTATCGTCGTTAGCCCGGCAAACTCAATTTTCCTGCATGTCGCTGCTCTCGCTACTCGGCCTGCTGGTCACTTCGGTCACTGCTCCTCCGCAAGGCTCTGATGAGCTATGCGTGGGCGTTCAATCGTGCATAGTCAACTGTGTCGGATCGCACACTTTACGCGGCGCCGCCACACCATCTGCTTTCGAGGTTTTCGCAGGACCAGGTCAGTACGGCGCCGTACAGACTTGTCGGCCTGACCATTCGAACAGCGCGAATGCTGTTCCTTCAACAGCTTCAGATCTCCAGAAAGGGCAAGTCTGACTTCCAAGGCCGTGCTCATCTGCTTCCTCTGAGCTTCGAGTGGTGCAGGCTCTCTGGAGCTGCGCTGCGATACGCAGCACGATCTGCAATGGATTCCGGACTGCACACTTGTCGAAACTCGACTGTCCCCTTCCAAGATCGAGTACATTGTCGACATCAGCGCGATCCTCGAGAAGCACGTCCAAGGTACCTCCACCGCCATCGTCGCGGCCATTGCCGATTGCTGTGATCTGAGATGGAAGACGCGCATGGACTGGCACCTTGACGCAGGTCAGATCTGGCACCTGCCCGACTATCGTGTTGCTGAGGTCAATGCTAGATGACTTTACAGCGACAGCACCAACACTTGTGCTGGACTGTTCGAACGCTTGGAAGCGATATACAAGCTATCTTGACAAGAACTGCAACAATTTCTTCGCCAAGAGGACCACTTTCAACTGCGAACTGGATGAGATGGGCGACACTTGCGGCTTGACGAGAGAGATCCTTGCCTCTCACGAATGTCGCTTTGCAGACGGCGCCAGCTCGTCCTAGCCCTGTCAAAGGTGCATGTAGCACATGCAATCTGGCCTCGCTCACTCGCAAGAAGCCAAGTTTCGCGTGGATCATTGCACGCACTGCTCTGCGTAGTCCGGCGCGGCCAACGGTCTAAATAGGCCCATTGGCGCTCTAGCTTGCGTGCATGCTGATCACATGGATCTCGGCCGACTTCGCGTCGCAGCTGTACATCTGTCGCCATGCGGACCGGCGAGAAAAGATCATTCCTACGATTTCCGAGTGCCCCCGGACAGTCATCACGCACTTTCATCAATCGTACTTGCCCTCATCTTGAATACCTGCGTGGCTACAGCTACACTCATTGATGCTCGTGCGAATCCATATCAAGAGGAGATGGTCGTTGTCAAGACACGTCTCAAACATGTGGATCGACACAATCTCGAAAGACGTCATCTGCTCTGCACACTCGCGTACCAGACTCAATGCTGCACATCTTGCTCTTCACGTTCATACTGCAAGTCACCGCCCCGCCGAAACGCAACCAAGAGCTGTGCTTGGGCGTACGGTCATGCATAGTCAACTGCCTTGCGTCGTTCACTTTGCCCGGCGACCACGAGCCATCCTTTTTCGAAGTCTTCTCGGGACCGGGTTCGTTCATAAGACGCAGCTACATACCTGTCTGACAGTCCGGGTAGTTCAGACGCTCTTCCGCGCACGGGTCCGGGCTATATCGAGCGATGGCGAGTCGTTCGATTCGCGCGGTAGATACAGATCTGAGCCTCGCCGTCTGCAGGCATACCTAGCTTGACCTGCCTCAAGGAAATTGACTACCCATGGTCACCAGACTGCCTGCTTGTCGGTTCTCAGATGTCACCGGCCAACATCGAATACGTTATGGACGCCAGCGCGATCATGGAAAAGCACGTTCAAGGCACCTCAGCTGCAATCGTTGCCGCCGTTGCAGACTGCTGCGACCTGAAGTGGGAGGCCCGGATATTATGGTATTACAGCAGAGGTACCTTCGGAAAGCTGAGGTTCGAGTGCGCACGTTCCTGATCCAATCGTCAGATGACTTTGCTGCGACAAGGCCAACCTTTGCACTGAGATGCACTGATGCCAAGAAGAGATATTCCAGCTACTACAATCTCAGCTGCATAGCCTTCTTCCGACAAAAGGTGACTTTCAAGTGCGAAATGGACGAAATGGGTGACACGTGCGCACTGTCACAAGAGCTACAGACAAAGAATGGCTGTCAACCTAGATCGCTCGCCAGCCCGCAATAGATGAGCGCATTGCAACCTATCGTCTTATCACGCGCGTCTTCAATCAACCATGTCGAATACTTGCTTTCTGTTCCCATCACAGCGATGGAATGGCTGTCGTCATCACGACACTCGTCGCAGAAACCCTGAGCCAACGTTTAGGAGCATCGTCGTCGTGACAGAAGCCTCCTCCAAAAAGCGCTCATTATTGAGCTGGGCGCGTCAGCATCTCTACTTTCGTGCTCTATCTGCAAATCCGCTCCTGCTTGATGCTACTTCTGCTCTCTTCCGTCCTCGTGGGCTCCGCCATCGCTTCGCCAAAGAGCACCGGTCAGCTCTGCATAGGCGTGCAGTCATGCATCGTCAACTGCATCGGGTCATACATTCTGCGCGGCGCAGACTCACCAGCAGCCTTTGAGGTTCTCTCCGCGCCGGGTAAGCGCAGTGTCGCCGCAATCTATCAGCCTCATCTAGTAGCTGCCAGATAAAACACTGTTCCGTGGTCGAGTGCAGCTTGCGCGTGACGAAGGCAAGGCAGTTTTGCGCTCATCACCCCTCGCTCTGAAACAGTTTGACACGAACAGAAAGCATTGTCTTGGGCTGTCACAAGCAGCGCGACCAACCGTGGGGTCCTGATTGCAAGGTGATCGATGTGCGATCGTCACCTTCGACGATCGAATACATCATAGATGCTGAAACGAAGTTCGACAAGCACGTTCAAGGCAGCTCACATGCCATCGTCGGAGCAGTCTATGACTGCTGTGATCTGAAGTGGGAAGCACAGATGACTTGGGACCTTACCTGGGGTCCGCACAAACCCTCGCGAAACACGGGCCACTGACCAATCTCACAGGCGATTTCGATGCAACAGAGCCTACTCTTGTCTTGCGATGCTCGAACGATCGGACCAGATACTCCAGAAGCGAAGGAAAGTCATGTCAAGAGCTGTTCGAGCAAGCAGTGCCTTTCAGATGCGAATTGCTCGCCGGCTATGGCACTTGCGCCTTGTCAAAGGAGAGGAGAGGCCCTGACGGCTGCCACTTCATCACGGAAGCAAGCTCGGCGTAGACTTCTCATTGCAAGCCGTACATAGAGAGCGCCTGCGTCTGGCAACCATGTCACAGCTCGAGGATTTTGCGGAGGGATGCTTGCGCTTGGGTGGCTGTCCACATTGCATGTCGGCGCTCTGCGCCCAAAAGCGCGACGCGCACTTCTCTATCTCTTTCTCTGGTCTGATCGTCGCGGGTACCATACCGGCATCCTCAATCGATCTCCAGCTCTATCGGAGGGACAACGTCAGCATGCGTCCAGACAAGCACGGTATCCGGCCCATATTAGGGGCTGCTCAACGGTCGTGAGGGCAAGGGCAGAAGTCTGCCGCATACCCTCTCAGACAGTGTCATCTAGTTTGCTCGAGCGCTCTCATCGATGTGGCTCACATTGTTCCTTGCTCTGGCTGGATCAGCCGTCGCTCCGCCGAGAAATCTGGTCGAGCTTTGCATCGGCGTTCAGTCATGCATAGTCAACTGTTTTGGGGAGCACATCATACCTGGCACATCGGCGCCATCGACTTTCCGGGTCTATGCAGGGCCGAGTGCGTGTGATCTCCCTTGCATGTGCCGTTCTGATGGAACAGTCAGCCAAGACACTCTTCCGCGCCCTACTTCAGAATATAAACGGTACGTCGTGCTTGGCAACGTCCCTAGACACAGAGCTTTGAGCGTCGAATCGTACAGGCGTCCCCAATGCGTACTGTCACCAGTCGAAAGGTCAGCCGTGGTGGCCGAACTGCTCGCTCGTCGGGTCGGATTTGTCGCCTTCTCAGACGGAGTATCTTGTCAACGCCACAAAGACTGTGGACAAATTCGTCCAAGGCAGCTCAGACATAATCGTCACGGCGATCTCCGACTGCTGCGAGCTGACATGGGAAGCGCAAATGCAGTGGAGTCCTGGAAGGGGTATGTTCTGATGATCTGCCTCTCCCGATATGGACTGATGAAGTCGATTAGCGAATGACTTTACCGCAACAGAGCCTACCTTAAGCCTCCGATGCACGAATCTCGTGACGATACCGTCCACCAGGAGCGGGACGCGCTGTCAAGACTTCTTCGGTCTGAAGACCAGATTCGATTGCGAACTGGATGAAGATGACGACGGCTGCGCTCTGTCGCTAGAGCAACGAGTCAGCAAGGGCTGCCGTTTCCGAGAGTCAGCAAGCTCATGAACAGCTGCCTTAGCATTGTTGGCTGCATTGCGCCTCGTTTGACCACATGACTGATACGCATGCATTATGAGCAAGCTATGTGAGTCGCTCGAGTCTGAATGGACATAGCAGCACCGGTGCGCAAGCCCTTCTTCGCTGCCCCCGCTCGCATAGCGGAGGCAGGCTTCATTCGTTGGTGTTGGTCTCGATGTGAACACGGCTCGATCTTCATGGAGCTGAGCCCGGCTAGAGTGTCTGGATACTGTCGGCGAGCTTGCGTAGCGGGTCCTCACCTCGTGGAAGACGAGACGTGCGCGGGTCCCGAGGATATTTTCTCCTACTGCAGTCTCTCCGCGCAAATCCAGAGCTGATTCGAGTTATGCTGCTTTTGATTTGATGATGAGCAGGCATTCTTGTCGTTCGTCGGGGGAACGAGCGACGCCTACGTGGCAACTGTAACACAGCTCGAGGATCTTGCGGAAGGACGCTGCGATGCTTGCGCTTTAGGTTGACAGCCGCATCGATGCATCGGTGCTTTGCGCCCGAAAGCGCGACGCGCACTTCTCTAGGTCCTCTGTCTCTGTCCCGGGTCTGATGGTCGCGTTGACCGTTCAGGCATCCCCAGTCAGTTTCCAGCTCTCCTTTCGAAGGGAAGGGCTGCCAGATCGCGTCAGATGAACAGGGTCTTCGGCCCATGCCAGGGGCAAGTCAACGGTGGTGAAGGTGAGTTGTGCCGCATACCCTCTCAGACAAAGTCATCTAGTTTGCTCGAGCGCTCTCATCGATGTGGCTCACATTGATCCTTGCTCTGGTTGGGTCTGCCGTCGCTCCGCCAAGAAATCTGGGCGAGCTTTGCATCGGCGTTCAGTCATGCATAGTCAACTGTTTTGGGCAGCACGTCGTACCCGGCGCATCCACGCCGTCGGCATTTCGGGTCTATTCAGGGCCGAGTTGGTGTAATTCCCTTGTATTTGCCGTTCTGACAGTATGGTACAGCCAAGACACTCTTTCGCGCCCTTCTCCAGCCTGTGAAAGGTATGTCAAGTCTATCACCGTCGGCAGACACCAGCTTTGAGCGTTGCCTTGAACAGGAGTCCTCTATGCGAACTGTCACAAGCAGAAAGATCAGCCATGGGCGCCCACATGCTCGCTCGTCAAGTCGGAGATGTCGCCTTCTCAACGAGACTATGTCGTGGACGCCACTGCGACTTTTGAGAAATTCGTTCAAGGCAGCTCAGAGGCGATTGTTGCGGCAATATCGGATTGCTGTGAGTTGACATGGCAAGCGCGGATGGAGTGGCGTCCTGGCAAAGGTACTTTTGAAGTCGTATCTGTCCCGACATAGACTGACTGATTCGATCAGCGGGCAATTTTGCGGCAACAGTGCCTACTTTCATTCTCCGTTGCACGAATGCCGTGACAATCCCCTCCCTCAGGACCGGGACACAATGTCAAGACTCCTTCGCTGCGAGAACCACTTTCAGCTGCGAATTGGACGAAGATGGCGACAGCTGCGCTCTGTCATCAGAGCAACGAACAGGCCATGGCTGCCGTTTTAGGCTATCAGAAAGCTCGTAGATAGCTGTACTTATAGTGATGGCTGCATTGCGTCGTCTCCGACCGGGTGTTTTGACAAGTATGCGTTCCGAGCAGACCCTACGAGACTTGCATGGGTCTATGTGGCAACGGCGGACTAGCCGCTCTACTGTGCGCTGATTCAAAAAGGCATGCTTGAGTATGAGTATTGGCTTCCTCTAGACCAAGCTCGATCTTGACGACGCAGAATTATGTTTAGCCAACGTCGATGGATGAATAGCACACAGTCAGCCCGCAGCAAGTCCGGAATCGAGTGTGAATAGATCGTGTACAGCAGGAGCATCGAGCGCTTCTCGGTCAAACACGGCGCGAATCGGGTTTCGTTGCACGTGATGTGAATGGGTCTAATGCATTGTTTGCAGAAGCGATGCATCGGTGTCTTTGTGGTGCGAGGGCTGCTTCTCATGCCACGCCAGGAGTCTGCGGAGACAGAACGCCAATGGTTGTCAATGCTGCACGGCAACCCGTCTCGAAGTGGATTCTGTCGCGCTTTTATGAAATTTGGGATCACACGACCCCTCCAAAGGTGCAGCCGCTCTGCAAGATGTTGCTCGCAGTACTGTTGAATCTGGTCGTCTTGATCGTCGCGCCACCACGGAACCATGACGAGCTCTGCGTGGGCGTTCAATCGTGTACGGTCATCTGCGCCGGCACCTACACCCTGTACGACAGCTTAACGCCATCGACCTTTAAAACCCTGTCCGGACCGGGTTCGTAGATAAATCTGTATACCAGCTGGCCCTGACGTGCGCTGCAGCGAAAACGCTCTTCCGTGGACGAGTCCAGGCCGCAGATGGCAAAGGCCAGCAGATGTTCAATTGGCTTGCGGGAATGTCTCATCTTGCGTGGAAAGCAGGAGCGCCCGAATTGAGCTGCGTCAAGGAAGCTGACCAGCCATGGCTGCCAGACTGCTGGCATATCAGCTCAAGGATGTCGCCCTCTGGGATCGTATACGAAGTCGATGCCAAGACAATATTTCAGAAGCATGTCCAAGGCAGCTCGAGAGAGATCGTTGCAGCGATTCAAAACTGCTGTGATGTGAGATGGGAGACAAAGATGGTGTGGGCTTTCCCTTCCGGTGAATCACCTTTTGATTCTCGTGGGTAGTTCCTACTGATCGGCTTGGCAGGCGACGTCGATGCGACGCAGCCCAGCATAAGACTGACTTGTTCGACATCGCGGTCGAGATCTCCAAAGTTCGAAGGAAAGACGTGTAACGACTTCTTCGCAGCAAAAGAAACTTTTGGATGCGAGTTGTGGGAGATGGACGACGCTTGCGCAGTGACCAGTGCAATAGGGACCGCAGAAGGTTGCAAATTCAGAGATGGATCGAGTTCTTCATAGCTACTTTTGTTTGATGATGAGCAAGGTGTTCTTGTGGTATCACAGGGGACTGAGCGACGCCTGCGTGGCGACTGATCTCGTGGTGCAACATCCCCTCGCGTCAGAGTCTGCGCAGTCCCCCCACTGATCCTATCGTCATGCTCGGCCTTTTCTTGATCCTGCTCGGCCTCCTTCTCGGAGTTGCCGCAAGTCTCGAGAAGGCAGACTTCTGCCTGGCTTTTCGCTGCTATGCTACCTGTCAAGGTAGCTATAGCGATGGCACCCAGACCGATGTTTCCTTTGTCAAGGCAGCAGAAGTCACGCCGTCAGCCTTCAGACTGAGCCTCGAGTATGGTGGCAAGCAAGGGCAAGAAAACGTGGTGTGCAAAGCCGAGGGACTGCAGTATGCGCCTCAATGTACCCTGCGAGGAGCAAGAATGACGCCCGATTCTGCCGACTTTGTCGTGGAGGCGCTTCAGATCTTGCCCAGCCGGACGAGCTCGACCTCTGATAGAGTACAAGCGATCACGGCCAGGTGCTGCGAAGTCGTTCTCGGCGTTGGTCTCGACTTGTCAGTCATAGCCCCTCGTCAGCGTGAGCGGACCATCACTGCACATACAGTCCAGTGCTGACGATCGCTAGCTGCAGTCAGCCTGGCAAAAGATGAGCAAGTGCGGTTGCTCTGCCTGTCGCGCCCGGACGTCATTGCCGCTGGTCGCCCGTGCTCCCACTGGTTCCCCAAAGCACCAGCACCACGGCTCTGCGAGATCATCGAAGGCTGTCGAGTCATCGGTATCAAGATGAGGGAAAACATGTGCAGGATTTCGAGCCTCTGAGGCCGGCAGTTGCATGTTGTTCGCTACTGCATTCGCCGCGTTTGCCACAGTTGACCCGCAGATGGCACACGCGATGACGGCATCGCTCTTGATAGCGGTCTCGTTCAGATCAGCAGCCATCCTTGGCGTACCCGGCCACATTCGCACAGCCTCTATCCTTGCTGACATCGGAAGCTCTCTACAGCCGAGCATATCAGCAGAAGACACCCAACGATGGCGAAAGGCGTGCCTGAGGTTGCGCCCGGTGAAGCACCGCCTGCCTACGAGGCCTCCAATGGCTCCAGCTCACTTGCACCGGCGCTGTCGTCGAGCATGACGGCGAGCACGAGCAATGACGGTCATACTACCGACGAGGAAGACAACAGCACGATTGCAGGCTACGAGAGCGTCGTTCCTCTCGAAAGGCGTGCATCGATGGAGGACGAATTGAGGGAACTGCCAAAGGGATGGATCAGGCAGATGGACAGCAAGTCTGGCCATCACTTCTATGTCGACACAAAGGCCAATCCGCCTCGATCAATCTGGACGCACCCCTACGACGATCCGGTCTACTTGCAGTCATTACCGGATACCGAGCGACACAGCGTGCCCACTGCAGGGCCACAGCCGGTCAGGAAGAGAGCGCCCGCACAGGGGTCGAGCAAGCAAGCCTCTTCGAGCAAGCAGGCCGAGCCAGCGTACGATCCCAACCGGAAACGTGGTCTGGGCGAGAAGATCAAGGACAAGGTGACCAACTCGACCCATGCCGAACGAGAAGCGAAGCGCAAGGCAGCTCGCAAGCGCGAAGCCGAGCTCTACGAAGCCCACCGACAGCGACGGCTGAAGATGATCGAGCAGCAGCGTGCGCAGGAGCAAGAGTATTACAAAGCCGTCCGCGAAGGCAGAGCGCCACCGCAACAGCAGGGTGGCTACTATGATCCTTACTATTCTGGCGGGCGCTATGCTGCCCCTGGCGATCCTTACTATCGCAGGAGCGGCTATGGCTATGGCGGAGGCTATGGTCGTGGCTATGGCGGCGGTATGGGGATGGGCGGTATGGGCATGGGCATGCCTCTCATGGGCGGCATGGCCGGCGGCTTACTTCTCGGTTCACTCTTGTGCGTCCACACGTCTCTCGCGAGCATGAATCGAGCTGATCTTTCATTCAAAGCTAGTTTCTGAGACTTCGCCTGGCTAGGCCTCCGGACCGACTGTATGCGCTTCCTGATTATTTGAATGTAACATCTCAAATGCACTCTGAACGTCAAATCTGCTGCATTGCATGCTGATGTTCAGAGCTCGCAACGCCATCCCTGCCTCGTGGGAAGCGTCTGAACAATCTACTTCATAGAGGCGAAGATCTTAGGAGCAGCCTGCGGAAAGCGTAGACAAGTCAGCGATGGCCAAAACTGAAGACAGACTGCGCGACTGACGCATTCGTCCACGCAGTGTAGCAGATGGACTATGACCGGAACGTCAGCACAGGACCCATCGTCTGCTCTGCAGATACTCACACAGCTCCTCGACGCAGTTCTCGCCCTTGAAGCCCTTGCCGGCCTCTACGCGTTCCTGGCACTCCTCAAAGTGGTGCTTGGCCGCCTTGCACTGCGACGAAGACTTGCACTTCTCCTTGATCTCATCCGCCGGATCTACAGGCTCCTCTTCCTCCTCCTCTTCCTCCTCTGCCTCTCCGCCCTCGCCGCCTCCTTCCGCTTCCTCGCCCTCGTCCGCAGATGGCTTGGGATCCTCATCCTCGCCATCATCGCATCGGATGCTCGTCATCCTGCTCCATCCCGTCGATATCCTGTCTCACATCTCGATCAGCATCCCGAGTTGCGATGCCGGATTGAGGACACAGACGATGAGAAATCTGACGGTAAGGTGTCCGCGTCCGGCAGCGCGGGCGTGTCTTGCTGATCTTGTGAGCTGCTCAAGAGCTGCGATGCGCTGCCGAAGAAGCTGCTCAGCCAGCTCTCCTCCTTGCCTGCCATCGTCCAGCAAGCACTTTGTTCGATTCTTATAGCTGCCTCACGCACCAAGGCGATTCTCGCTTCTCTCACGGCTCCACCGGCAAAACGGGCCGGCGGAAGACTCGAGATTTTAAGATTTGGCTCGCTCGCTGCTTCTGCTCAAATAGTCAAAGGTAGGTGACTCAATCGAGCTCTTCCCCGCTCCTCGTCACATCTGCTCTATGATAGAGCCAGCACGCAACGTCCGAGGGGATCCCTGCCTCTCGCACGAGCACATCGGCTCGTGCATCGCGCTGTGGTTACCTCCACCGTCCCTGCCCTTTCTGCGGCCGCCTGTGTCCCTGCATCGAGTCTCGTAGCAGTCTCAGAGCATGCATACTGACAGGCGTATCCTTGCATGGCGACAGTCAGCCTCACTCGGAACTTATTCAGACAGACCGCTCTCCAATCTCGATCCTATTCGTCAGCCCCGACAATGTCTAACGGTCAGCCACGCACTCGATCAGTCTGACACCCAGGCTGACGCTAGCGGCTTGCAGTCTTCTTTGAGATCACCCACAACAACAGCCCTCTCGGCCGGGTTGAATTCAAGCTCTACGAGTCAGTCTGCGCTCCGTGCCTGGGCTGGCCTGAGCTGATTCGGCATTGTGTATTGCAGTGATGTCGTGCCCAAGACGACCAAGAACTTCAGAGAGCTCTGCACGGGCGGCCAAGGCTACGGTGAGCTCTTCTGTTTGGACTATCGAAGCAGACACCGTCTGAGCACGTGTCATCTACAGGCTACCAAGGATCCTCTTTCCACCGCGTGATCCCCCAGTTCATGCTTCAGGGTGGTGACTTCACCCGCGGCAACGGTATCTTCTCTCGCGTCTTTCATACAGCGCAAGCTGATCTATGAGCACAGGCACCGGCGGCAAGTCCATCTACGGCGAAAAGTTTGCCGATGAGAACTTCAACCTGAAGCACACCAAGCCCGGTCTCCTCAGCATGGCCAACGCTGGACCGTCAGTCCTTCCTCCCTTCGATACTACCTGGAGTTTATGCTGACTTGAGCCTATAGCAACACCAACGGAAGCCAGTTCTTCATCACCACCGTCGTCACCTGTACGTGCAACTGCGCTCTTTTCCGGCGCCCAGCTGACCCTTTGCTCTCTCTCAGCATGGCTCGATGGCAAGCACGTCGTCTTCGGCGAAGTTGTCAAGGGTGAGCCATCGCACGCTTGCTGATACCTTTTGCTGACGCCTGCAACAGGCATGGACGTTGTCAAGAAGATCGAGACTCTCGGATCTGGCTCAGGCAAGCCCAATGGTACAATCAGTATGTCCTTGCATGCGAGCCCACCCTCCCTTTGCTGACTCGCGATCTACGCAGCCATCGCTAAGAGCGGTACCGTCTAAAGGCGAGATGATCGTCCGACGAGCCATCATACAACGATCGAATGGACAAAAAGTAAGAACGAAACGAAAACTTGACATGATTCCGCATGAGGTTGTATAGAACAACTGCAAGCTCATTTCGCGGGACCCGCCCTCAGCAGTCCTTGAGCTCGACCGAGCGCCGTAACGATCTAGTTCAAACGCGTCTTCGTTGCGACACCACGCGTTCCCTCAGCTACCTCATCCTTCCCAACGCTCTTTGGTCGGCTCTGACGGCATGCGCTCATACCTCATAGTCGCAGTCTTATCTGGTCTATTTGCGGCCTGTGCGCTCTGTGGGTTTCCCCATCAAGCACCTACTCAGCGCAGCTACTATCGGTTCTACAAGGCGCTCGGCTTCTGTCCCACATCGCCTTCGACGTTCACCCGCTTTGCCTTTACAAACGTCAAACTGCGGGTGTTTCTCTACCCTGGAGCGAGAGATCTCATCTGTTCCGTGGCGAGAATAACGGCACCTCACCATATCGATACCTCTAGGATCATTTTGAATCGCGAGTCTGATCCGACTGGAGTGAGCTGCAAGCTAGTGCTCTCGATCAAATGGCGTGCAAACTCCGGCACAAGCATGTCCAATCGTTTCAAAGACCCATCGCCGCTTTCTGATACTTTGTACAGGCTGGATCGACAACTGCTGTACAGCCACGCTCAACCACACAATCACAGTCGGATACACGAATTGTGAGTATGCCGCTATCGAGCTTGCCGTCTCTGAAGACGAGGGACCCAGATAAGTTCCGCAGCGAAGGTGAAGCTCTTACGGTCACTTGCGGTGTTGGACAAGCGCCAAGTTACGATCTGCCCATCATGGATATGTGCAGGCAAAAGTTCCCCCAAGAAGGTGCGTCCGAGCTGCTTCAACGGAATAATGATCATCTGGTGCAACAGTGTCGCACGGTTGTGAGTTGTATCTTGCTCAAATCGATGCCAAGCCTTGGGACGAGCCCATGCCGCCTCCGATCATCGAAGACTAGAACTCAGGACGATTTCAAGAGGGCTGTCCCATTCGAAATGCATTGCATCGAGCATATCACGCTCACCCAAGGGAGCTTACAGAGGATCTAGGACTGAAGCTAGACACAAGCGGCGGCGGGGAAAGGGCATGCTCTTGAGTTGGCGAATGGAGCTGTACATCGTCGTAATCTGCCTCTGTGCTCTCATCGTCTTCAGCTTCTTCTCGCGGATCGATCTGATAGTACTGATTTGTCAGTGAATCGAAGCGAGCGGAGCGCGTCGTCCGTTGAGGTGCGGTGACATGCGAGGCTTCCGTATCGGCAGTGTCGTCTGACCACATTGAGCTGGCCATCGACTTGTGGCGAGCGAGAGCAGCGGCTTTGGGTCGAATGACTTGAGCAATGCTGCCAGCTGCGCTACCGGCGCCAGACTTTACTGACTGGGGAGAAGACCGCCCAGTGGAGGTCGTTGTCTGCTGAGAGGGCTGCTGCTGCAGTTGCGACATGGGCATCCGCTTTGCAATGGACAGCGCGCGTATCGGCACAGGACCCGAGTGCATCTGGATGACCGCATCATCGGCTACTTGGCTAGCGGCGGACATTGTGCTCCCATTCGAGTTGCGATGCAGACTGGTCGGGCTGCCAACAGGCTCACTTGTACCTGCTGCGGCATGCGACGAACTTGGCAGATGGAACGGGATTGATTGTTGTCTGACGAGTGCAGGCGGCTGGGCTTGTCGGGGCGTGGCAGGTCCGGTGACTGTATGATCCGACATCGTCTCATCGTGCTCATCTTCCTCTTCTTCCCTGATGCCAGCATATCGCGGCTGATTAGCAGCCAGGACAGACCGAATCGCCAGTGGCGAGCGTTGTCGCATGCGAGCATTGGCCGCGGAGGAAGCCGAGCCAGGCGAGCGAGGGTCAGCGAAAGGATCGATCATCATCGCGTCTTCCTCTCCATTGCGCAAGCTCCATCGGCGTGCAGCCGCTCGGCTCTCTCCAGTGAGCGCATCCCATGGTTCTTGACCGTCCGAATTCGGGAAGAAGTTGCCTGATCGGTCATCATGTATGAAGCCAGCCTCTGAACCGGCGGAGCTCGCTCTACGGCCTTTGTTGCGGGCGCAGAATCGTCTGAGAGCAAAGGCAGAAGAAGCAAACAGCAAGACAGTAGCACCGAGTGCGCCAAGACTGACAATGACGATGTTAGTGGGCGAGTGAGGCAGATCTTTGAAGAACGTCGATACCGGGTTGGCCGAGATGGTCGTCGTTGCTGTCGCAGACGAGCTCGTCGCGGTGGAAGTTGCATGATCATGCGCCGTGTAGCTCGTCGCTGGCCAATCCGTCTGCGTGCCCGATAGCGTCGATCCACCAGCGCCGATGATCACTGTCGAGGTTGACGTGAAGCTCATGCTCGTGCTTGTCCTCGTCATGTTGAGGCTAGAGGTCGCTGTCGCATTCAGGCCACGCGTTGACGTTGCGTTGAGCGGCAGACTGATCGACGATGTCGCGTTGAGCGACCGTATGCCCGTAGAGGTCGCATTGAGTCCTCGTACGCCGGTAGCAGTCGCGTTGAGTGAGCTCAAGCCTGTCGAAGTCGCATTGAGACTCCGCGCAGACGTGGAAGTTGCATTGAGGGTGCGAATGCCGGTGATGCTCGCCGTCGCATTGGTAGGCATCGCCGTGACAGATGCCGTCGCGTTGAGCACAGACGACGTTGCATTGGCTATGATCGAAGTCGTATTCAGACCTGGCAGCAGAGTTGAGAGTGGGATCGCAGTGCTCGTCATTGTGGCATTGCTCGGCGCAGACGTCGTTGCTGGTACAGTACTGTTGTCAGCCACGGATGTTGCGATTGGCGCAGTTGTCGCAGCTGGTAGCGACAAGCTTGATCCTGTTCCACCTAGCCATTCAAATCAGCCTTGGCTCATTGATGCATGCCATTGAACTCACCGGCTGTAGGGGATGCTGCGAGGGATGACACGTCCGTAGATATCGGCACGTCGGTTGCCGCCGCCGAGGTTGCGCCAGCAGCATCTGATGAGCTGGGAACCACGACATCTGACGAGCTAGACACAGCAGCATCTGACGACACAGTCGGTACGGCAGCATCTGAAGAGACGTCTTGCGATACACTTGCGGACGAAGTGGGCTCGTCTGCGCTAGCGGAGGCTGTCGGCGCAGCATCGGGCGAAGTCGTGACGGTCTCGAGACTTCCGTCGCCGAACTGGATCGAGCTCAGTGCGCCGCCCAGCTTGACCGCGCGAGACGGAGTGCCTGCTATGACACTGACTGGCGAGCTTGCAGCGGTCGGCTCCGCAGTGACAGCGGCGCGACTGGCTGTCATACTGCTTGAGGCTTGCGCGACAGACGAGGCACTTGCTGCATTGGATGACGATGCAGCCGCTTGCGAGGGCCGCACTATCTTAATCTTCTGGGTAGCTCCATTTCCGCCAAAGACAGACTGGCTAGACTCATTCGGCGCCGTCGCGATCGAAGCCTGCGCTTGTGTCGAAGTCAGAATGCCAGAGCCTTTGTTGACTGCTCTGGTAGGAAGCGCTTCGACCTTGCTCGAGCTCGAGCCGAACGAGATGGCAGAGCCAGCAGACGCAATCTTGACAGCGCCACCTCTAGACGATGGAGCAGCAGTGGCCTTGCTGAGCAATGAGCTGAGTGAAGCTGCCGCCGAACCCAGAGCGGCCGTATAGGATGAGAAGGCAGCATCGGCAGTAGGTGTATAGACGACTGTCTCTGTTATAGTAGCACTGTGCGTCTCGTGTCAGTCGCAGAAGTGCATGCGGAGGGCAATATCGCGTACGCTGGCGGGGCATCAAAGGTTGGCGTCGCGTCTGCTCTGGCTTCTGCGGCGGCAGACGAAGCAGCAAGGGCAGAGAGAGTCGCAACGAGCGACTCGCCACCTCTCGCATTCCTCAGTGCCTCCTCGCTCGCTTTCGGGTTACCGCGCGCGACCAAATTCGCCGATTTTGCTTCAAAGTCCTTGAGTTGCGAGTAGAATGAGGCAGATGGACTTGAAGGATGGTCCGCGGCTGCCGGTAGAGGGAAGCGGCGGGTCCAGTAGTCAGACATGTCGAGTCAGATAACCAGTACCGACGACAAGTGACTGAGATAGGTATAGGGTGCCTGCCAGCAGGCAGTAGCAGCCTGTGCGAGCGCAGTAAAGGCCGACAGGTGGGTGCTACGACGAAAAGAGTGTGGGTGTGGGGGGCCTTGCCAGTACCAGACGGGGCCTTGTCTGATGGATCTATCAGACGAACGAGTTTTGATATGCGAATGCGTATGCGAGAGAGTGAAACCGGTTCGCTCTAGACTGTGAGCAGTCGCAGGGGTGCAGACAGTCGAAGCCCAATCAAGTGCTCGTCCTCTGCTGCGCTGTCTTGTCTGATCAGGTTCTCAAAGGCACTGCCTTCGCTCGCTGACCACGCAAGCCTTCAAAATCTCGGCCTGCATTCCGGACAGCACATTGAGATTCTACGCATGCCCCGATCGCCTGGCTTGCCCGGCAAGAGAGAATCTCTGACAGACGCCATCGAAGCTTTCCATTGATCGCTGCAGCTGATGAAGATCCAGGCTCGGGTAATGCGATTTGGTGGGTCTGCCCAAAATGGCGGCAGAAACGCGTGTGCGTCAATTGATTTTTGACGATGACGCACCCGGCGGCAAAAGGGGTGACCTTGGTGGCACAGTTGTAGCTCCTCAAGCATTGAAAGTAAGACAATTGAGTAGCCACTATGGAAGCAGGACCACAAAGTCAAGCTAGCAAGGCACGCTGCATGCTCACTATGCGCAGCATCAGAGCTCATTGATCCACAGGACGCTTTCTCCGGCGACACTCAAATCGATGGCAACACCACTCTAGGTGAAGCAACGGGCCAGAAGGAGGAGACGCAGGGCCAGGCAGGCAGCAAGACTGCTCAAGACGAGGAGACCAGAGTGAAGGAATCCATGTCTGGCCAGGCACGAGGCGAAGGTGGCTACCAAAATGAGACATAATCTCAGGCTCTTTGTCGAGCGAAAGAACGAACAAGCGAATTAGTAACTGCATTGCACATCACGCACTGTCTCGCAGCGAGATCAGTCGTCTTTGTTCTCGTCCTGCTCTGCTAGCTTCTTGCGGTAATCCTCCATGATGCTCGCATTTCGCTTGTCGGTGATGGTCTCGTGCGTCTTGCCCGCCTGTCATCAACGCGTCAGCTGCTCTTGCGGAGTGAGATACGTAGGAAACCAACAGTATTGACGACGAAGCGATGCCATTCGGGCAAGGCTCGGATAGAGGGCAAGATGAGGCTTGCATAGAGCGGCATGACCTTGTGGCCACTCAGGCCAGAGTCGATGAGCGCAAACATCTCCTTTGCCACCTCTTGCGGCGTCAGAACAGGTGTCCAGAACTGAGATGGATGGTCTTCCATCGCTTGGCCCATGTTCGTCTGAACCTTGGTCGGGCAGATGACGCTCGTTCGCACGCGCGGGGCATTGTATCTGTCTATGCATCAGCAGGCCGATATGCCATGCGAGTGGATGCGCATACCTATGGATGAGCTCGGATGAAAGGACTTCGTGAAGCGAGAGTACAGCAGACTTGCTGCAAGCGTACTCGCTCAGTTGGGGAATCGAGGCATACGATGCCGAAGAGGCCACCGTCATGATGTGACCATGATTTGTCTTGATGACTACGACCCAATCCGGTTCAGCACAAATCTCCTTGGCTAGTAAAGGCACGGACTGTGGGGAATGAATTCTTTGATGATGATGAATGCAGCGAGCGTGTTGACCTTGTACGTCTTCATGAACTGTTGCGCAGACAGATTCATGATGGTCTCGCCACGAGCGATACCGGCATTGTTGATGAGGATAGTAGGATGGCCGAGCTGTTGAGCATGCGTCAGGCCTGTGTCTGTAGATTTGCGTCGAGCACCCTACATCTGAACGGATCTGCTTGGCCACTTCGGCCACTTGCTTTTCGCTCGATACGTCGCACTTGTAGTAGTTGACATTGCCTGCATACTCATCAACACCATGGTCAGCTACATTGGAATCTACGCACGAGCTTTATAAGTGGGTGGTCCCAAGTCAAGCACGGCGACTTTGTTAGTCTTTTTGCTAAGCAAATCGACCAAGGCACCACCAATACCTCCAGCGCCTGTGACAAGCTCATCAGTTCGTGCTTATGCGAATGAGGTATCATTGCCACTTGCCTCCCGTGATGACAATGACCTCCTTGCCGCTTGTCCAGGCAGGACGATCACGCTTCCAGCCCCGATTGATGATCAATCTCACGACGACTCGATTGAGCGTCTTGAGGAAGACCCAAGCGAGATACGCTTTCGTTCTCGCCGAGGCGGTATCTTTGAGCCATTGACCAAAAGTGAGCTCATAAGCCGAGAGTTGTCGTGCTTTGTTCCACAGCAACAGCGAGATGACTGTCGCTCCCGCTGGCGAGAAAGGGTACTTGTCCAACAGTGAGACGACAGTGTCGATGGTGAACGTGCCCGGCATACTTGCTTCTACAGTAGGCAGCACAGAAGCGAACAGACTCGTTGCTGATTCGGCTATGGCCGCGTGCACCCCGGACTCTGATCGTTTTCGGCAATAGAGGGGTAGAAATCAATTGACACGTTGGACCCCTATGGAGCCGACATCCTGTGTGTTCCGCGACTGACAACCTGATTCATGACCCGTCTATATCTGCTGCCTTTCCTCGTCAACTTTGCACTGTCCGGTTCCGGTCGACCACCCGGTCCCGACAAGAAGAGCGGCGAGATTTGCATCGGAGTCTCGTCCTGCGCAGTTCGTTGTGAAGGCACCTACAAGGCCCCCAATGGCGAGCTCGGGCTCTTTGCAGTCACAGCCTCGTCACCTCAGACGATCTTCCGAGCACGAATGAAGCAACCATTGCCTTCTGGCAAGCTATTTGCCTCGTGCATGGTCGGGGCCGATAGATCGCGATGGTTGATTTGGCTAAGACAGTCTGCAGTCGCAACAGGGGCCAAATCATTGGAATCCCAAATGTACCATCAGGGATATGATACAGACGCCCAGTGAGCTCTACTACTTCATGACCGGCGTCAGAGACACGCCATTCAAAGTGACTGGCGACACTCAAAATGTGGTCAACTTTGTCCTGAGCTGCTGTGATCTCTACTACCACGTCGATATGACGTGGGGGTTCATCAACCGTGAGTCGCCTCGGATCCGCTGCAGAGTATGGGGGCTCATTCAGACCAGTAACACTCGAAAACGACAAGCCATTCTTCGAGTTCAAATGTCGCAATGACGGCAAACCGACCATCGCTGGCGTCGTATGCAAATCCGGCTCGGAAGAAGCCGAGCAGCTCAAGACCTATGCATGCCAAATCCAACAGGGCGATTGCCAGCTGGCTTCCCTCACCCGTCGTGAGAATAGGTGTCAATGGCCTCTTTCGCCTGCCGCCTTGACAACAGTAACAGGAGGACTTGCGCATAGGTCCAGATAGCCTCGCATTGCTCTCGGTGCAGCTGTGCAGATCAGAGCAAGAGCCATCTGTGCATTGCATGCTATTGGTGTCATCGAACGTCACGGACTATTGCAGACGCAACGAGCGCGAGGAGATGCAAAAACTCGGATGATGCAAGCGTCTAGACATACAGAGACAGCAAATCCATGACTAGCAGTTACGATCGCATCGGTCGTTTGCAAAGCAGCACTGATATTGAGGCGCGCCCTTGCAGAACCCGGTCAGCGTGTTGCATCTGCCACCGATGCCGCAATTCGAGTCATCACACTGATCAAGGAATGAAGGCTTGGCGGCTGACCGACGCCCGGTCAGCTGAGTCCGACCGGGCGACGCAACCGAGAGCTTACTTGGAATGGCAACGGCCGCGAGGACCAGGGAGAGCAGCATGATCGTCTTGACCATCATGGCTGTGTGAAGAATGTACGAAGCCGTCTTGCTCTAGCGCACTAGTGCTGCTTCTCAGTACCTCCTCAGTACCTAGACTTGGCTGGTGAGGCGAACAGAACGACAGGATACATGAGATGACATGACCAGGCGATAGTTGTCGAGGCAACTCAGAAGTGATAGCTAGTCTTAGCATGCGTGTATGGGACCCTAGCGAGATGAAACAGAGCTTCGAGCGACGAGATAGGCCGGCCGGGCGTGTGCACCGTCGCCACAACTTCGAAGCGTGGCGCGAATCGCGACGAGGTCGAGTTGCCAGCGGCGAGCCAAGATGAGTGTGGAGCAGAATGAAGCCAAGGCCAAGGCAAAAGCAGCAAAGAAGGCGCACAAGGACGCCAGTGCTCAGCAACGACCTCAAGCGAGCACGAGCTCAGCAGCCAGTCATGCCAATCCGACCTCTCGACGAAAACCTAACGCTCCTCCTACAGCAGCCCAGCCGGGTACCACGCCAGCCTCTATCGCGCCAGCACAGGCCGCACAGACTCCTCTGAATTTGTTCCTGCATCTTGACCCGCCACGGTCTGCAAGGACGCTGGCCAAATCGAATGCGTCAGACAAAGACTATGTTCATCCTGCCGTCGTCAGACTTGCGAGTCAGTACGCAGACTTCAAGATCGTAGGCGCAAATGCACGAGCTATAGCCATGCTCGAAGCCTTCAAGCTCGTCCGTTGCCCGGGCTGCTATTCGAGCAGACCAAGAGATTGATCGAGACACGAGCAGGTTATCCAATCCTATCAGCCTCCGGCAGGCACGGCGCTCTTTCGCCATCTGCCCACCCATCTGTCGCCTCAGATCACGCATCTCGTCAGAGCCAGACCGCTCGCAGTGAGTATGGGTAATGCCATCCGGTGGCTCAAATGGGAAATCAATCAAGTCGGCCCCGACATGCCAGACGAACAGGCAGGCTTGCTGCGTTGTGCAGATGACTCAGGACTGACACAGCATGAACAGGCAAAGGCGATGCTTTGCGAGAGAATTGATCACTTCATACGCGATCGCATCCATCTGGCTGGCCAAGTCATCCAGACCCACGCGCTCGACAAGATCAACGATGGCGATGTCATCTTGACCTACGCGCGTTCATCTCTCGTCGAGCAGATCCTCCTCACAGCCTGGCGATCAGGCAAGCGCTTCAGCGTCATCTGTGTCGACTCTCGTCCCATGCTCGAAGGCCGTCATCTCCTGCAGCGGCTTGTAGACCACCACATTCCGGCGACCTATGTCTTGATACCTTCCATGTCAACAGTATTATCAAGTGTCTCCCTCGTGCTGTTGGGAACATCGGCCCTCTTGTCGGATGGGGCCATGTTTGCACGTGCGGGCACGGCAACCGTTGCTCTTCTTTCAAAGTCTGCAGGCAAACCTGTCGTCTGCTGCTGCGAGACTTACAAGTTTAGCGACCGCATCATGCTTGACAGTATAGTCGGTAATGAGATGGGTACCTTTTCCCTCACGCTGGTCCGGCAACATGACACTGACAAGATGAGCAGCATCGCCTCTTGCAGTATGGCCTGCGAGCGCAAGGTCTCAAGACAGCTTGGTCGACCCGCCGCCAGCCCAGCATCAAACGTTCGTGCCACCTAACGAGCATCTCAGCGTGCTCAACTTGCTCTACGATGTCTCGCGACCGGAGGATATCACTTGCGTCGTCACCGAAGCAGCCATCATTCCCGTCCAGAGTGTTCCGCTCATCCTGCGAGAATTCAAGCCGATCATGCAATCTTAGACCGAGCTCTCAAGCTCGACAGGTACCGTTGTGAGCGACCAATGCACTGACAAGTTGCTCGTGCATATCTCGCGCTCTACGCTTCTCATCAGCTTGATAGTCAATCCAGCGAGACATCCGACCTGGTGGAATCGGCACCAGATCGGCTTGTTGAGCGGGCGGCGGACACAGCATCTCGAAGCCGGAAGGTGAAGTCGTGTACCGCTCTGCCGACCATCAGCATGTTACGCGCAACTCAGAGCGCGCATTACTTCTCAGCAGATCAAACGCAATGACCGTGCCCATCCGTCCATAACAATAATCCGCGTACCCCTCGTCGATCGGACGACTGGAGAGCACTGTGGTGAGCAACAAGAAAGGCTCATCCTCTTCATTGTAGAAGAATTCGCTATCGACTCGTATAAACTCGCCCGGTCGTAGCTGCGCCGTCGTCAGGGTTACTTATTCGATATCGACCTTGACTGACAAGCTCGAATGAGTAATCTTCAACGAGTGACGAATCTGGTCGCCGCTCTGTGATCCAGAATGTGAAGCTATCCGGACCGCCAAGGTTCTGAAAGTAGGTCCAGTAAACGCCAGCCAGCCAGCAATCGGTCTGCTTTCGTTAGCAACGTCAAGCAGCAAGGACGCCCTCGACCTGCCTTCCATCTTACATCGAAACGATACTCCACCGCGAAGCTATACGCAGTATGCACAGCCGCGAAGAAGACTGCAAATCGCATCGCTTCGACTTTGATCAGAGGCAACGCTTTGCACGACAAGGGATGCATCGCGGACACATCTCAGGAGACCTCTATCGGCGGATGATACTTGTCGATCCACTCAGCATGGAGCTGATCATTGCATGTCGTGATCTCTGGCGGCCAAGGCACGAGCGTCCAGTCGACTTTGCTGCGGGGACATTCCATGTAGAAATCTGGATCGGGGTCAAATTCGATGGTCTCTGTGCTCCTCTGTCAGCAATCACACAGTTTCACGACGAGAGATGACTTGCCTCGGATGAAGTCGGCCAGCATGTACGTGCCCAGCTCGCCTGTACAAGCGCGATCGTAGCCTACCCGTTCGTTCAGCCGTGTGCCTGTCAAGAATTGCAGAGAGCGAACCTCTGTTCATCGGGTGATCTTCCAGGACAGCCCAGATGCGAAGAGCTGGATGCATCTCATCGCGCGTGTAGACCTTTTCGGCTTCGACGACTTTGAAGGGGCCTTTTCTGAGCACCTCGAATGACCAATCCTGTATGCGATGAGAGCCCGGCCTATTTGACGTCGCCAGAAGCTCAAAGGAACTATCCCGAGAATCTGAGCCGAAGAAGACTCTGTAGTCGTTGCCTATGATGCATTTGACCTGATAAGCCAAGCTTCAGCAGATTCGGCTCATCCTTTGGTTCTTCACTGACAGCATAGGAGATGCTCGGTCTAAATCTGACGAGCTGTGGCTCTGTGATCGGGTCAATCGGGTTGCTGAGACACACCGACAGGCAGGCCGAAGACAGAAGCAAGCGACGGAACATTGGGCTCGGCTATGTGTAGGATGGTTTGTCGATAACGGCGCCAAAGGAGCCAAACATACCGTCATGACGACGTACTCTGCCTCCTCTGCGAACTGTCGGGTGTCACCAGAAGCCATCCTCGCTCGCGCTCTCATCTTCGCTCTCTACTTCTTCGCCCTTCGCGCGGCGAGCTTCTTTCGCCTTGCGCTTCTGTATCTCTGCCTTTGCCATCGCTTCCTCCATCTGCGCATAGTCTTGCTCGAGCTTCTCCTTCCGGATCCGCTCAATCTCTGCTGCCTCTTGCGCTTGAAGCGTCGCTGACTTTGATTGGGATTGTTTAGCCTCGAGAGCTTTCAGACGCGCCGCTCGGATTCGTTGTACATTCTCTGCCTGGAAATCAACCTGCCGAATTGTGCGAGTCTTCTCAAGTCGAGAAACGATATCTCGGTCTTTGTCGGCAACATGGACCCGTCTGACAAGGCGCTCATTCGTGAATGAGACTGAGCCGACTTCCATGCCGTTCGTCTTGAGCAGATTGGAAGCAGGCGTGTATATAATGATGAGATCTTTCATCTTTGATCCTTGAATGCTGTTCGCCTTGACAAGCTGTGCGGCATCGATGAGATACTGCGATGGGATCGTCTGCAGAGTCATCTTGCGCGTCGTGTGCGGCACTGTGGAAGGTCTGGGCATGGCTGGCCTAGCCGTTCCTCTTGTCGACTTTCCACCGCGCTGTGTGCCTGGCTTGGCAGCAAGTGCAGGCGCTACAGCTGCTGGAGTGACTGAAGTCGCGTCTGGCAAAGCGATGGCTTCGCCCGGCATGCGCAAGTAGACGTGCGCCGAAGAGACCTTGTCGACATGGAACCATACGTCTTCTGGCCAAGCGTGCTTTCGTGAGCCACGAGCGTGTCAGCCCCACGAGGCTGGGCTAAGTGGTTGCGCTTGCCTTGATCAGATCTTCATTCTCAAATTTGTCAACGCCCATGTAGAGCTCGATCGCCGACTCGCATGCTGGCGCTGTATGCGTTGTCAGTCAAGAGCAAAAGGGTAGGCGATGCGCTGACGATGTGAGCTGAAGAAGATGACCATCCGTCGCGATGGTGGGCTGCCAAAGCACAGAAAGTATCGACGCGTCTCGGCCGTTGAGCGCTTGAGCAGCCTCGACGATGACAAGCCAGGAGGCTCACGTGAGGCCTACCACGCCCATCCGACGCATCTCTCGTGGATCTCTGTCAGCACTATCAGCTTCTCGCTCGGGCGCGAACGGCGCACCTCTCGCTCACCTCGAAAGCGTCTTTGGCGAGCTCAGAGATGCCATGGAAGACTACTCGAGCCACATGGCTTCGCTCTGCGAGATCAACAATGGTCTCGACAGATTCAATCAAGCCTTCGCTGGCTATCTCTACGGTCTCAAGATGAACGCTTACACGACAGAATACAGCGAGGTGCGCTGGCCTCCCAAGCAAGCTGTGGTCGTGCTGAGCGTTGTGAGCAGGCACCTGCGAAGATCTCGTACGAGTTAGCAGCACAGCGTCACGCTTCGCAACAGCAAGCGCAGCAGCAGCCCACCGCGGCACAACAGCCGCCACCGAAAGAAGAGCCACCGAGCACAACAGTGACCGCAACGACGAGCGCGCCTGCGCAGAGAGGCAGAGTGACGAGCGGTACACGCGGCAGAGGAGGTGCGCCCAGCTCAGGCAGGAATGCTGCTGCTGCAGAGAAGAAAGCCCTCGCCGCTTTTGCGGGCACGATACTCGATACGCTACCTATCAAGTACCGCGAACAAGAAGTTCGTGTCATCAGATCCAGAGCGCATTCGTCTGCTGATGCGTGAGGCAGCCACATCGGAGCGAGATGCAGAGCGTGATCATCCTGCTCAAGCGAAAGCCAGAGGGCATGTCAGTCGCAGAAATCACCGCGTCGGATCCCAAGATTGCTAGTCATCGAGCCAATCAATGTCTGCTCGCTCTCGTTGCCGCCAAACACGCGACAAAGTCGACAAATGGCGTCAGTCGCTCGCACTGGCACGCTATGACAGCTGATGTTGACTCCGCAGGGCTTGACCTATCGACTCAACGCGGCGTAACCATACTTTCGGGTCAAGACTGCATGAGGCCCAATGAAACAGCCAATCCGCAAAGCTTCTGACGACAGTCGTGTCCGTCATCAAGCGACTGCCGAGCTCGGGAGTGGACAGCGAGACAGGAATAGGCTTCTTCGATTCATGAATGGCTCGAGCTTGCAAGACTCGCCGACGATGTCACAGGTCGCAGAAACTGCGCGATCATCAGAAACCGCATTCGTGAAGCAGAAGCACGCATGCCCGGTGTGGCGAAGACGTCGATGCATGACTTTTCGGGGTCCGTGTCTGGACCACACTCGATATCAATCTGAGGAAGTTTGTTTTCTGACATCGTTCGACTGTAGAATGACAGATCGAACCGATGTAGCCTCGTGATCTTGCAGCATCTTGCATGTTCGTCTGCACGCTTTCTACTGAGTCCCCATAGCTCGAATGCGGTCCCTGAGCTTACCCGATCGACTGCTCAGTGCAAGCGGCACAAGGCCTGCTCGCAAGCGTACACTGTAGATAGCAGCAGAAGGTTGCAGCTCCTTTGGCCGAGCAGAGCACACAGGCTCGCTAGGTGCAACCTGATCCTCGGGCTGTGGACACTATGCATTGGGTGTCCTGATCCAGAAAAATGTTGTAGGACTGACCAATTTACAGGAGGCGCCATACCTCGTCGTAGCGCTCGGAAACAAGTCAAGTTGGATGAGATAGCCATCGAGAGGATCGCTGCCCCAGAAATAGAGACGCTCGCCCCGGTTGTCCGTTATGAGGCCATTGCAGATGACCGAGCAATGCTTGACTTGTAAGCAGAAGAGTCTTTTTCCCGCCGGCGGTCTCGGCGACTGAGCGATAGAAACGAATGAAAGGATGGCGAGTGATATCGGGCACAAGATCCGCATCCGAGAATCAAGGCGGGACGAAGGGCAGATTATATCAGAAGGGATCTCAAGCTGTGCCCAGTCATCGTCGCGTGACGCGCTTCACTAGCCTCAGTCACCTCAGCAGCGGCACACAGTCGCATGCATTCAGCAGACCGTGTCCTGCCTGCGTCCGACCTCCATCTCGTCCTCACGAAGTAGAGTGCGGGGGAGGGACCAAGTAAGGCTGCCAAGCGCACAAGCCGCCCTCTCGCGCGCCTCTCGTTCTGGCGATCCCGCAATGAGCTTCTGCCGTCGTCTGACACTCTGCAATGACTGCTCGTCAACAACCACACATCAGCGCCCGAACTGATCACGTCTTGAGTCTACCCACCTCGCTTCGATTCGCAATCGAAATCCGGACGGATCTTTCCTGAGCCTTGACCGCAATGAACATACACGCCCGGTCGACCGACAATCATGAACGATTCGGTGAATCCGAGCGTAAACTTGCTTTCCAGGATAACCGAGCAACAAGCTCCGAGCCAGGCTTTTTCGAGTCGAGCAGCTTCATCATCGCCAGGCACGAGAATTTCTCTGATAGCTCCTGGCATTTTGATCCGGAGCGTGTAGCTTGCCGTACTGGGACTCAAGCTAGCAGGCGTCATCGTGAACTCGGGCCGAGATGGACCATACACTGTCTGACAAGCAAAGGATTGGAAAAATGTGATCCAAGCGTATGCGAGTTGCTCACGAGGGCAGCGATTGCCTCGAAGCGGCTTGGCTCGACGCGCACATGAACGAGAGCTCTGGAGACAAAGGTCTCCATGATCCATGTAGCATCACCCGGCATGCATGTCGAAATGCAATCAGCCGTTTCTTTAGCAATCGAGAAGCAGTATGTTCGTACGACGATGGCTGATGCAGGCAGGATCGTCGATAGAATGGCGACGAGTCGAGCAAAAAGCATTTTGCTCGGGCCAGCAGCGAATGAAACAAAGCAGACAACCGAGGTAAAGCCCCAGGTCGAGCGCGACGCGAGAGCGTTCTGTTTGGCTGCAATTTCCTTACCAACCATCCCAGCCACCTCCGCCATCTCCTCCGCCTGAATCTCCTCCGCCCCACGAGCCCCAGGACGACCCGCCTTGTTCCTGAGGAGCCGCCCAGGGATCTTCGAGCTGCTGACCTTCATCCATTCCTTCGTTGGACTCGCCCCAGACGTCTTCATTCGACCAGGGAGAAGGCTCAGTATCGCGAGGGGGCTGATCGGCTTGCTGATCCAGCGGGAAAGGTCCCGATCCGTCTGCTGTACCGTCGATCGGCGTTCCCACTTGACCAGCTTCGCCTGCCGCGCCCGCTTCTGCGCCTTCTGCTGCTCCACTACCCCCGCCCATGGGCCAGAAGATAGGCATGAAGCCGCCGCCGAAGCCGCCTCCGCGAGCTCGAGAGAAGTAGTCAATATCGATCGAGACTGCTGCTGCCAGGAGGACAGCACGTTGGTCGAGCGTCAAGGCAGCAGATTCGGGCGAGGGAACGAGCGCGTTACCTGGCGTTTCTGTCAACGCTTTCGAATCGCTGTTTGTCCCAGTCGACGAGGGCTCGGGCTGAGGAGCTGATTCGGCAGCGAGGGCTTCGAATTTGAGCGCATACTGACCAGTATCCGTGAAGAGCTCGCGAGCAAAGCCAGCGAAATTGCGGTTGATGGCTGCGACGGGTTTGTCATCCTCGTTGCGTGCGATGAAGTCCCAGCCGAGGAAAGGCGTATCGATGGCGCCGAATTGGTCAAACCCTTCTTCACGTTTGGAGAAGAGATTGTACTTTCGCCTGAGCAGATGCCATTCCTGCTGCGCTTCGCCGATAACGTTTGTCGGGTCATCGCCTTTGCTGATGTAGATCTTGGAATTGATGAGGCTCAAGGGTCGATTGACGCGCATGATGATCTCGCCGTCGCTGTCCATGACGGTGCACTTGAAGGCTCTGTGTCCTCGTAAGAACTGTCGTCCGATGGCTTGCCGGAAGCCGAGGTCTTCCTCCGCCAGGAAACCGACTGCTTCGCCACTGGCCGCAAGGATCTGATATTTGTTCGCCTGCTCGTAGCCCAGAAAGACATCTATCTCAGTGTCAGCATGAGGAGCGGTCGGCAGCAAAGTGAGACTTGCTCATCATCTCCAGCTGTCGAACAATGACGAGACCAGACTGGGAGAGCAGCCTGACGGCTCCTTGAGATGTCGGATCGCTCGCTTGCAAGACGCCTTGCGGATCATCAGGCACATGCACAGGCACTTGCGCAGCAGGCGACGCGAGGCCTGCTGCACTCGTCTGTGAAGGCTGTGCATGACTCTGTGACTGCACGCTCGGTGTCGTATCCGACAATGTAGCTGGCTTGACCTGTATCCGATCTCGATGACGAACAGGAACAGGCGGCGGAGGTCTTCTGCTCAGTCGAGAACCAGACGCTCGTGTAGCCGCCAGACGGTTCCTCACAGCTGCAGCAGTCGATAGTCGTCTTGCTAAGCCACACGTGCATCGCTCTAGAGGCTGTCGCATGGAGTTGAAGGCACCAGTGTTAGCAATATCAAGCTGATGATCGACCGCCGAGCAAACGCGCATTTTCGCTGACGCACCGGCATGACCGATGATCCTACGATACATCAGGCCGGCACTCCAGCGCACAAAGCGACAGCGACATCTCTCTAGTCTAGTTCTCCTTCCCTCTGCCCTCATCGGCTTTCCACTCGCACTCTGGACTTACAAAGTCAGCCTGATCTGACCTCCTCAATCGAGCCAAGCTCATGCCCAGTACAGTGCGCAATGATGATCGCCTTCCAACGGAAAATAATTTACATGCCTGGCGTACCGCTCGGAGCGCGACGAGAGCCCTTCGATCCAGCATCGCCCGACCTGGAGGGTTTGAGATCTGAATTGGTGACCGTCGCGCATAGCAAGGATCGCTTCAAGCTCAGAGGAATACTCGTCGAAACTGAGAACCGATCACCAAGTGCACAGCATGACATGGTCATTGTCTATCTGCAGGGCAATGCGTCCAATCCGCTCAGACGAGCACCCGTCTTTTCCTCGCTTCTTCTGGGCCGTACTCGATGGCGAGACGAGACGATGCACCTACGCATACTCGCCGTTGCTCCACGTGGCTTCTGGCTATCGACCTCGCCGACAATAGGCGGTGGACCTACTCAGCCCGGTCTCGTGCAAGACTACATTTCCGTCGTACTCTACGCCAAAAGAAGGTGGCCAGAGGCACGCGTTGTGGTGCACGGACATTCGATTGGGGCAGCTGCAGCGCTGCAAGTCGCTCTCACAGAATCAATAGACGGACTGGTCCTGGAGAGCACGTTCACCTCGATGCTCGATCTCGTGCGCGCATTCTATCATTCGAAATGGCTGCCGTACCACTACCTCGGTCGCTTCGTGCTCGACAAATTCGACTCACTCAACGCCATCGCCAGACTCCCCTCGGATATGCCCCTCCTTCTCATCGAAAGCGGTAACGATGAGCTCATCCCAGGCGGCATGTTGTCCACACTTGCCTCTGCCAGCTCGGCGCAAACAACATTGATCACAGTCCCCAAAGCGCTTCACGATACAGGCTACATGCGATCAGAATGGCGGGATGCAATACACAAGCACCTGAGCACTTGCAAGCCAGTATGAATTTGAGCGACATCGATCTAATTCGAACACGCAAAGTCAGCACGGCCAACAACACCAAGATGTGCGCTACCAAAAACGCATGGATCGACGTCGACTTAGGGTCGTTCACCGATCGTATTGTGGCGTATATCCTTGACATACCAAAGCGGCACGATCTGGTAATCGGCATGGGTTGGCTACGCAATATCAAGGGCGTGATCGATTCTTCAGCTAAAAAGGTCATAGTCCAACACAAGGACAAAGGCTACGACATTGACATCATCAACACTCAAGCCCTCGAACTCGACCTCCTGGACTTATGAGTCGGGATGCAGACACGTTGCTCACGTCAGAGATCAAAGAGATCGACAATCTTCCTGATCCACTCGCTTAGATCTTCGTTCACCAACCCGTCATAGCAGGCCACAGATCTAAAATCAGGTGTAGTATTATTGTAGCCATACGTCTCACACGTGTACTGAGCCGCTATGTATTTGTCACCGAGACACTCTTTCATCTCTGCAAGCAACTCCGGGGTGCAAAACACTGGACGACGTGCTATCGTCCAATTGTCGATTCGTGCATCACCAAAGCCGCCGCCTTGACAGCCGCCGCCTTGGCTGCCGCCGCCCGGGGGACCGCCGCCGCCAAAGCCAGGAGGACCGCCGCCGCCAAATCCAGGAGGACCGCCGCCGCCGCAAGGAGGACCGCCGCCGCCAAAGCCAGGAGGATCGCCGCCGCCGCCGAAGCCAGGAGGACCGCCCGGAAGGTTCGAAAACCCTACGGATAGGCTCTCTGCTCGCTCGTGCTGGTCATGCGAGGGTGTCCTGCACTTGTAGGTCCTGTTGCTCCCACTTAATGCTGGACTGCTGGCACGTCGGGCTGCCCACCGCCGTTACCGCGTCCTGATGAGCGGAGGGGATAAGCATTCTTCTCCGTGCCTCTATTGAGGGCACGAAATTCCACGCAGAATCTGATTGTGCCGTCCTTCTTTGTTATCATCAAAGGACCGGTTCCCCCGGTGGCCATCCCGGCGGCGGCTGTCAAGGCGGTGGCTTTGGCGGCGGCGGTCCTTCTGGCGGCGGCGGTCCTTCTGGCGGCGGCGGCGGTCCTCCTGGATTTGGCGGCGGCGGTTCTCCTGGCTTTGGCGGCGGCGGTTCCCCGGGCGGCGGCCAACAAGGCGGCAGCTTTGGTAATGCACGAAACGTCCAACGACAGCACGTCGTCCAGTGTTTTGCACCCCGGAGTTGCTTGCCGAGATGAATGACTGTCACGGTGACCAAGCGGCTCAGTACACGTATGAGACGTATGGCTACAATAATAAGACACCTAATTTATCTCCCTCGAGAGACACGAAGTCAGAGAATCGAGCGATTGTCACGTGCGGGAACCGCCTTATGTGGCGTTCCCCACTTTGCCTTATCTCTAGTTTCTTGTACCTCTTTCTGTACCATTTATACACAAGAAGCAAAGGCACTCTCCTCATCAAGGATTGGTGCTCGCCTGACGTATAACGGTTAAGACTTACAAGCGCGCGATATCATAACTCTTATTGAAAGCGCATGTGCATATGTGAGCGCTTGCAGTCCGCGAAGCCCCTACGATGAAAGCCAACTTATCAATTCTAGACGACTGATGGGGACACGTAGACGTCATAGACCGCTCAGATCGCAATGTACTAGGAGAAGTAGCCGTCCTGCTTTCCATCCCAGCTAGAGTGAAATGCGCAATCAGTGGTAAGCGCTGTGCAGGTCTTGAGTCGGAATTTCTACTCGTTGTATGAAGCGCTGACCTGGTAGCGTCCAATCGAGCTCAGCCGCTATACAGCGCGTCAGCGCATCAGCTTGCCGCTAACTTCGCTGACTTTATTGATACTGACGGTGACATTCTGCCAGTGCATGTTCTCCTAAGCAATGCATCGTTGCCGTTGGCTTGTCAGCGTCAAGAAGCGCTTTGACAACCGTGTATTCGTCTAACTACCGGTCAGTCAGGTATCGGTCCAAGCAGGGGGCCTCACAGGGTATAAAGCGGACGCGAATCTCAGAATGCACGATTGCTCGGCAGCATTGATGCACTGGTGACCGTGAGAAACGTGTCAAGTTTGTGATGCAGCATGCGTATCCGGAACACTCACGAATGCCGTTGTAGTAGTATGTCGAAGGGCGAATGGCAACATCGACGGAAACGAGCACGTCTGGCACGCCACCTTGTCTGACGGGCTCGAGCTGTCGAAAACGATAGACGCTGCGGCTTGCCGTTCCCTATGTCACCGACAGTATTCGCTAGACTGGAATCATGCCCATGACCGAGTGAGAGCTTACTGGTGAGATAGTGAACAGGCCAGAGTGGCTTTTCCAGCTGATGATATTGAGCCAGCTGCCCCTAGCAATTAGTCATTCCGCTATGCTCTTAACATGAGCGCACAGAGTCTTCTGGTCAATTCTAAAATAAGCTTGGCGTTGAGGCTCTGCCTTGCCACCGTCAAGAGGCTCTTTTGGCCAGCAATGACCCTATTGACAAGTCAGTGTTTCGCCCAAGCTAGCGCGAAAGTCTGACGGTGATCATGGCGCCTATCTTGACTGTCGCTGCTTCCTTTGCCGGTGCATCTTCATTAGACCACTCCGGTGGTAGAGCAGATTTGCATTGTGTCAGAGCCGGTAAAGGCGGAGAATATCGGGAAGCTGCAGAAGTGGACTGAGCAATTCGCAACTAGCTGACCGTTGACTCACGATTGCAGTCGGGATGCATGTCTTGTGGACGGAAGCAACTGAGTTGAGATTCGAACGAGATGATCTTTGTCTCGCCGCTCAAAAGGAAGAGCTCGGAAGTCAAGGTGAGATACCCTCTGCAGCACGCACGTTGAATAGGATCTTGGACATCGACGGTCACACGAGCGAGAAATGGGACGGCGACATCGCCAAAGACAGGATAAGCCGGTTGTGTGACGATCCGAACGAGCCGTGTATTCTACTATGGCGGTCTGGTCAGTACGCTGAAAACAATGCGGCGCCCATCTGCTCGTGTACCGTTTCGATCTCGTAGTGTCCATTCTGCTCCGTTGCGATGAACGTGACGACATATCTCTCGTAATCGATCGTCATCCTTGCAAAAGGTACCGCATCTTCATCCTCGCCGGCTCGCGAGCATACTTCATCGAAGAGGAGCTTGAGTGTGTGCCGGATTGGCAGCCCATTCTGCCCTGACAACTTGCCGCTCGCGAGTTGAGAACGAGCGAAAGAGGTCGGTAGAGTGGTAGAGAGCGATGACATCACTTTGCTGAAGACCAAGAGCGATGAGAAGAGCATCGTTCGTTGCGGGGTATGCCCAGCACAGCAAAGCGCGGCGAACAAGGAACGCGCCATCAAAAGCTCAGATCAGGTTCAGATGGGCAGGCCACGCGAACGCGTGACGCCGCTAGTCCGCTTGGGAAAGCAAGCAGCAGGTTGCATCAGGAGATCGTGTGCTCATCAACTAGGGGTGAAGTGGCCTTGCTGCGTTCCCGATCATTCGGAGCTCGTGACTTCGCAGTCACTCGTGAGAGCTGTGCTTCACAGATTCAGTATGGTCACCGGGAGTGAAGCAGCGGAAGTGAAGCAGTGCGTCTATTTGTTACGTCTCAGTCGAGATCGGCAGCTACAGATAGTGTCACTCTCATGCAAATGGGTCTGATAGCAACCGACGTTTGCAGGTCGAGAGAGCATGCTCTCACAAGCAGCGCATTGTCCTCGTTGGCTCGTCTGCATCTTGAGAGGCGCGGATGGGGCCATACTGACCTGAGAGGAGCAATCAGAGATGGCCCGGCGTTGGTACTAACAGTGCTTACATAGTACGAAACGGAGGCGGATCGTGAATTGAGCAAAAGATTGGCAGCACGCGTATATTATTGGGTGAAATGTCAGCTTCGTCCGCGAGTCTCTGCACGTCGAGCACACTGACGAGCGCCGTTGTACCCAAACGCCGAAGGAACGGAAAGCGACGTCAATGAGAAGGAGCACGCATGGCGAACCGGTTTGTTCGACCGATGTGGGCCGCCTAAACCTGTATATGTTCTTGCTGGCGGTGCCCTGCCTTTCGTCTGAGGGACTGTTGCAAACATCGCGAGCAAAGTCACCGCAGAGATCGAAAACAGGCCGGCTGGACTGATCCAGCTCTTCATGTTGAGCCGGCTACATACACAGGTCATGGGTATCCCAACAAGCTGGTCACAGACGCACGCGTTCTTGTCGTTGACGCTGACGTGAGCCCTGTGCTGATGGCCCGGCGTTCTGTCAGTCAGGATTGGGTTTGTCTGGCCAGCGATTGGCCTGCTGAAACGTCATATAGCTCGAAAGGAAAAGAAGCTGACCACAATGTTCGCTTTTGACTGTTGCGGCTCCTTTGGCGGGTAGCCCACGATTGTACCATACGGCAGGAAGCCTTTCTTTGCGCTGTGTCGAAGCGAAAGAGGTGGCAAGTATCTCAGAGCTTATGACAAAAGGATGAGTATGCCGCAGACTCGAATTCGTCTGCGGACGATTGCAAATAGGCATCATGCTTTGCAGACGGAAGCAATTGAGTTCTGCACTGAATGAGACGATCCTTCACTCGCCGCCGTACAGATAGAGCTGCAAGCTGACTAACAGATAGAAACCCCTTGCAGCATTCTCGTTGACGGGGATCCTGGACATCTATGTATGCTCTGGTGGATCACAAACGGAGCAGCGACATCGCCAAAGATGGGGTCAAGCGGGTCGCGTGAAGGGACGAAGCCAGTCTGACGCGTACACAACAAAGCGGCCTCATCGGCTCGATGTGACGTCGAACGGCGGTGCCCTTGATGAAATGTCTACCGTTGCGCTTTCATAGTGACCATTGCGCTCAACAGCGAAATGGGTGAATCCGAGTCTCATGCCATGTTCAGTTAACCGTGCAAAGGGTTGCGCATCTTCAGTAGCAGGAGATTGCGTGCAGTCCGCATCGAAGATCAGCCTGAGTGTATGTCGAATCGGTACACCATCCCGATCTGATGGCCCGCCGACCCTTTGCACCGAGAGGCCTGATGGGAATTGGATGTGACTGAACGGCCAAGCTGATACGCTGATGGAGAGTTACAGCAGCAGGACGAGCATCGTTGTGATTTATCTGCGCCCCTCGACGGTAGCGCAGGAGAAGGGGGACCTGCAAAGCGACAACAATCGCGCGAACGCGTAAACTGCCGTCGTGGTGGCCGGACTGTTGCAGTCAAGCGACTTGGCATGTCGCTGTACGCAGGCATAGCGCTTGGCGACAGCGCCGAGCCCACGGAGCCGATCCTGATCGCTGAAAAGACTGCGCCTGAGCAATCACCGCCCGAGCCTGCAGCAGCAGTCGACGCAGCGAAGGAGGTGAAGGCACCAGAGACGAAGAAGCCGAGTCAGTGTCAGTCGCTCACCCGGCATGGTTCAGTCTCATGAGGGCGTACAGATTGGTCGGCATCTCTCTCTTTTGCACCCGTCAAGCGCAAGCCAGCAGCACAGCCAAAGAAGCCATCGACGGCCTTGTCCAGCGCTTTCTTGCTGTCTTCGAGCAACGATGACCTGAACGAGTCTCAAGCAAAGAAGATCAAGCTTGCGCCTGCATCCTCGGGAAGGGCACCGCTCACACCGGCTGATTCGATCCTCCCAGCAGTCAATCGGCCGAGCTCGTCGACCCATGCAAAGGAAACAGCTGCACCTGCACAACCCGTGACAGACAGAGCAGCGCCGTCAAGGACGGCTTCAGCAGGACCATCGACAAGCAGAACGCCTCGTGTGATACCCAAGCCACCGCCTCTCACGCTGCCAGAGTCCACGAAAGAGCAGGAAGACATCAACGGCTTCCGCTCCTCCGAGGCAGGCAAACGTCTTGAAGCCCAACGAAACAAGAAGGCAAGCCAAAGACTCACATCACCCATTCATGCCTGACTTGATTCTAGAACAAGAAACGCGGCAAGCTAGCGAAGGAACTCGCACCGCTGGACTATGGCGCGGATTATGATCCCGCAAGGCCAAACGACTACGTAATGCTCGCACTTTGCATTCGCGCGACAAGCTTGTTGACATGCTCGTCTTCCTTCTGCCTTGCGCGTCTCGTCGCAATCACAGAATGACTGGCTCAAACATGTCGCTCAACTCAAGGAGGAAAAAATACAAGCTGCGCTCGACCGCCTCAACGAGAAAAAGAGTGCACAGTACGACAATTCGTCCTACAGCGAGGACGAATCGGATGATGACGCTCGCTCAAATTCTGCACCAAAGCCAAAAGGTCAGCACGCTCACTGGCGCTGCATGTCCACATCTGACACTTGCAAAAAGGCATGCTATTCGCTCCGCCAGCCGCTTATGATGACGATCGAGCGCCCTCTCCCGCGCGAGAAGTGCAACCGCTCGCCAACACCGCAGAAGAGGCTTACGCTCGTCGTGCAGCCATGTCGCGGCAGATGCAAGATCCCTTGCCATCTGCAATCACTCCCATTGCTCAGACTGCCGACGAAGCTTATGCAAGACGTGCGGCCATGTCTCGACCTGCTCCCGAACCATCCGCCTTTGTCGCACCTCCAGAGCCGATCTTCACTCGGCCTACGCCTGCTCAGTCGGGCGACGAGGCGTATGCTCGCCGTGCGGCCATGTCTGCCCAGCCAACGCCTTCTTTCGTCGCTGCTGCTGCGCCTGCCGAGCCCGCGCCTGTAGCAACACCTGACGACGCAAGCCCAGAAGCATCTCAGGCCAAGATGATCGCGGAGGCACAAGCCAAAGCGCGCGCTATTGCCGAACGCTTCAGCAAGCTCAAAAAGCCATCACCCGAAGCAAGCACGGCGACCGCACAGTCGGTCCAGCAACTTTGCTTCGAGAAGCGTGAGAGCTCAGTGATCGTACTGCAGGGAACCGCGTGATGTTGCTGCGAGTCTCATGTCCAAATGGGGCTGGCGGGAAGGCCAAGGCTTGGGTGTCGATAACGCTGGCATGCTCAAGCCTTTACAAGCTGTGTCCCATCACGAGGAGCCATCGGGCAATGCCAAAAATCGCAAAGGGAAGCCAACAGAAGCGACTGAACAGCCTCAGCATCAGAACAGCATGGCAGGCAAAGGTAGAGGCACGATCGTGTCTGATCATCTGTCGCAGCAGAAGCGCGAAGAGCGGGAGAAGTTTGGCGAGCCAACGCCCGTCGTGCTATTGACCAACCTGGTCGGCCGGGACGATGTGGATGATGACCTCACGGGCGAGATAGGTCGGTCTCACGCCAATTCGAGACTACTGGCGCTGATGAGCACGAAATTCAGCGGAAGAAGCACGCAAAGGTGGTATCGTCGAGCGATGCCTAGTACACCTGATGCCTCAGCTCACCGCACAGCCTCTACCCGACGAGGATCAAGTGAGAGTGTTTGTGCTCTTCTCGGGTCTCGTAGGAGCCTTCAACGCAGTAAGAAGCTTCGACGGACGCTTCTTCGGGGGCAGAACAGTCAAAGCGCGGTTCTACAACCAAGCTGCATTCCAAGCTGGCGTTTTCGATCTGTAGCCAGTCCCATGCACTCTACTTGACAAGCGCGCGGATCTTTGCCACTTGCTCGTGCACTGCCCGCTTGCTCGTTCCGCCCGGAACATCCCTTCGCTCCACGCTCGTTTCGAAACTGAAGACTTCTTTGACATCCTCGCTGAATTTGGGCGACAGAGTCTGGAGCTGTTCGAGCGTGAGCTTGCTGAGAGACGTCTTGCCCTCTTCTGCCAGTCTGACTGCCGAGCCGGAGATATGATGAGTCTCTCTGAACGGTGTCTGCCTTGCCGGTCTGAGCATCGTGGCATGACAGACCATGTGAGACGCTTACACCCTTGCGAACGAGATACTCGGCAAGATCTGTTGCGAGCAAGTCGTCTGTCAATGCCGCACGCATCTTCTCGGGATGGATCTATTTGTCACATTCTCAGCTTTCTGCTGGCCTCTTCTACGACGGCTTACTGTCAAAGTGGCAATGACGCCTTGGAAGATGAGCAAGCAGCGATGGATCGTTTCTGCCGCATCGAACAGCGGCTCCTTGTCTTCTTGCAGATCCTTGTTGTACGTCGATGGAATGCCCTTTAGCGTCATGAGAAATCCCGCCATCTGTCCGAATGTCCTGCCCGATTTGCCTCGCAGAAGTTCAAGACTGTCTGGGTTCTTCTTCTGCGGCATGATGGAGCTACCGGTCGAGTAGGCATCGGACAAGCTGACGAAACCGAATTCTGCGCTAGAGTAGATGATGAGATCCTCCGCGAAGCGCGAGATGTGTACCATGGCGAGAGTGGTGGTGAAGAGGAATTCGGCAATGAAGTCGCGGTCGGAAACGCCTTGCATGGAGTTGAGCGAGAGACTCTGGAAGCCGAGCTGCTCTGCGATCTGTTCCCGTGGAATTGCGAACGGGTTGCCTGCCATTGCGCCCGAGCCGAGGGGCATGACGGATAATCTTGGCAGAGAGGAATCGAGTCGCGAGAGATCAGAGACCAAGTTGGCAGTATGGGAGAGCAAGAAATGGGACCACCGGATAGGCTGAGCTCTCTGTCGTGCGAGCATCTCGGTCAGTCATGGGGCACTCGGGGAGATTATGCCCAGCTTGCCTGGAGATGGGTATATCCAGGCAAGATATGATCAATCTCTTTCTCGGCGCGGTTGACGAGCACGTCGATGAGATCTCTGAGCGCCTGACGGATCTTTGCACTCTCGTCAATCAGCCACAAGCGCATATCCGTCGCCACCTGATCATTGCGAGAACGACCCGTATGGAGCTTTCCTGTCGAGGCCAGTGTCAGCTCTACCACGAGAGCGCGTCAAAGGTTGGCGCTCGCCTGCAACGGGTCCGATGAGCTCATTGAGCCGGCGTTCGTTTGCCGTGTGAATATCCTCGTCTGTTGCTTCGATCTTGAATGTGCCCGACGTCCATTCTTGCAAGACTTTGCCAAGACCATCATGGATGCTCTGCACTCAAAGGTGTGGTCAGCTTGCGTGGGCGGCAATGGGCATACAGCCGACCTTGCACTCCTCTTCGGTGAGGATGCCCGCTTTGACGAGCCCAGCAGAGTAGGCAATGGAGCCTCTGATGTCGGCGTCGTACATGCGTTGATCATAGCTCAGAGATTGGTTGAACTCGTGCATGCTATGTCTACATGTCAGCACACACGGGCAAGCCAGTGGATGTGCGCGTGCTCACAGAGGATCTGTTGCGCCGGTGAAGCGGCCGCCCCATAGCTTGGCCATCCTTGAGGAGCCCGCCGTTGTTCTTTGGGAAAAATGGATAAAGTCAAAGTCAAAAGTAAAGTCGCGCTCGAAGCTTATCAGACTTGCCTATCAGTGACTTGACTTGACTTGACCCTGCGATAGCGAGCACGGCTTCTTCACATACGCACAGAGCACACGCACAGAGATGGGCGGAATCAGGACAGCTCAGATCCCGGCACCCCCGACGCTCGACGTCAAAGCACTCCCAGAATTCGGAGCCCAGGTCTATGGCTATGACCCTACAGCGCCTTTTGACCCTGCGGCATTTGCAGAGTCCGTTCCCCTCTCTCTCTATTGTCGAGACTCATGGGCGAGCACAGACTCGAGGAACTGCTCTACAAACACAGTCTGCTCGTCATTCGCGGTGTAGACTTGACGCCCAAACAGCAGTACAAACTGACCAAGGCATTCGATGCTACTGCCGAGGGCTCATACGGCCACGGCAACAACAAGACGGGATCAGAGAAGAAATCCGTTCTGCATCCCGATCTCAAAACGGTCCCCTCTCAGCCTCAAGTGCAGCTGATTGGTAATGGCGTCCCCACTGATCCTCGCATCACCCAAGGCCTCGACAAGCCACAGCTTCGCCATCCTCACCACAAGACGTTCCACAAAGAAGTCGTCTCGCCCGAGGAAGAAGCCCAAGGGATCACTCGGTTCTATCGGTGGTCCGTCACCCCGCCATAGTCCTGTACCGCGCCCAACTGAAATGAGATGGACAGGCACATAGACGCTGCTCTCTACGACCTCCTCCCACCCAAGGTCACGACACTCTACGCACTCAGCGTTCCTGCCGGTGAGGAGCAGACCTGCCGATACGATGACGGAACGGGCGATGAGCTCAAAGTTCCCCTGGGCACCACTGCATTCGTCTCCGGCACAAAGATGTTCGACATCCTCCCACCCGATCTCAAATCGCTCGCCGTACGTGCCAAAGTACGCTATGCACCTCATCCCTATGTCTGGATGGCGCCCGCAAAGAGCAATTCCACCGGTCTCGGGATCGTCTCTGACGGCAAGGAGCTATCCAAAGATGACTTGCCCGCATGGGAGTCGAGCAAGATCAAAGAGTTTCCCATGGTCAGTCGTACCCCTCAATCCACAAAATGGTCATTGACACGCTATGGTTTCAGACTTGGAAGAATCCAAAGACGGGCAAGCTGCACTACCAAGTCCACCCGAGCGGTGCAGAAGCCATCGTTCGTCCCGCGCCTCCACACTGTCCCCCGAGCTGATGTGACAGTCAGATCGTTGCACCTCTGCCCGCCGGTGTTGACCCATCAGGGCAGATCCTGCCCGAAGGCGGTATCATCAGCGATCTCAAAGAGACACGCGAACTGCTGTTCAAGATGCAACGACCGGGCATCGCCCCCGAGCTCGTCTACCCGCACGATTGGAAGAAAGACGACCTCTGCATCTTCCACAACCGTGGTGTCCTCCACTCTGTCGTCGGCGCTTTCGAACCGGATCAAGTTCGTGCTTTCTGGCAGTGCAACTTGGCTTCTGGCGAAGAACCGCTGCCGCCCACTGCAGACGACGTCAAAACCTACTCTTCATTCGCCTAAACTCGTCACGAAACTTGTTCTTCTAGATCATCTCTCTCACTGGTGCTGCCTTTGGATGCTTGTCGGACAATGCATGGCTTACATGACACTTTTTCTGGACCTACAACACTGCTGCTGGGATGTCACAACATGTTGACATGCGTTCTATTGGCGCAGATCTATCGTCTGACTGTGCGATGGCCTACAAGGGGCGAATCTAAGGCATTCGGCACTGGTGAGCGCAATACTGTGGCTCTTCGATGAAGGCACAAATTTTGAGATGCTGATCTGCTATCCTTTGGGGTAACGGCCATTGCATGTGAGCGAACGTCCAGCCCCAATTCGTCAGCTTGATGATCTTGTGTCGACTGATGTCCGCCGACTGGATGAGTTCGATCAAGTCTTCGAGACTCCAGAGCTGTCGGATGTTGATCTCCAATACATCGCTGAGCTCAGCGATCGTGTCCAAGTCGCCTTCCTTTGCGAGATGGTGGGCAGCATGAATGACATAGTTCGGCTCGAGCAAGTCGATCCTGTTTTCACGCTGTAGATAGTCGAGTCTGAAGACAGACCAGATAGGTCGAGTGAACGTCTGCCCAGCTTGATGCAAGACAGCATGCGACGGAGGCAAGAAAGCTCTACCCGTCGCTGCCGCAACGGCCATCAGAATCGTCGCTGCCGCGTTGAGTTGTCTGTAATCGCCGGCGATCACATCGGCCGTGATCATGAGCGGCGGACGCGAATAGTAGCCATCGAGGTTCTGGAGGTAGCCATAGTGCGCAGCGATGTATTGCTTCAGAAAAGCGTTGTCGCAGCAAGTCATGTGAAGCGCAACTGCGTGCTGATCAGACACTGTCTGCCACTGGTCATCGAATTCGGAGTGATAGACTGCAACCCTCGCATCAGCCAGCATTCTGCGCGGTCTTCGAAGAAACTAACCTCTGAAATATTCTGGGTTCATCACGTGCACCTTGATACCCGTCGGACTGACAAAGTCGTGGAGATTTCGCCAGCCGCCGGCCTCCAAGCGTATTTCTTCGGTGGCAAGAATCTCGTTGGTATTGACTTGATCTCGAGAGACTTTCTCGTGATTCATGTACATGAGTCGCTCGTACAGCTTGATCACCGCTTCTGTAGGGCGAGAATAGGACCAGCCAGTGTTGATTTTGTCTCCGACCATCTCTTCCTGATATTGCACGTCTGACGAGTCGAGCGGAGCCATCCGGTACAGAGGTTCGCCTCTGAAGAAGACATCGGAATCCACGAAGAATACGCTGCGGCCAGATTGCAGAATGTCGTGCAAGCCGGCGACTTTGGGCCAGGTTGCACGCATCCATTCGCGCGATCGGGTCGCCTCATATCCTCCATAACAGTACCATCCTTGCTGTCTGCACGTACGTAGGCAGCCCTCGTCAACGCACAGTACGACCAGATGACGCTCGACGAGGACGTTGGGCGCAGTGGATGCTGACAGGCTAATTGCATCCGTCGCACTGTCTGCTGTAGTCGCTGTTCTCGGCGGCGTGCTCGGTGGATCCTGCATCCTTTCCCTTGCCTCCGTAGCAGCCTTGACGTTCTGGAGCTGCACAAAACGTTGCAGATGACGCGTTGCAGTCCTTGAGAATTGGTCATCGGCGAGCGTGATCCAGAGATGTTGCGTGCTCTTTGGGAAGTGATAATCCAAGTACTCGATGAAGGTTGTCTCATTGTAAGCAACCTTTTGCACCTTGAGGTCTTTGTCGTGCACAGAAGCAACGAGCTCTTGATCATACAGCGCCATCGCAGCGTCGTCCTGCTGGCTAGGTGTCCAATTGCCAGCGTTGTATCGCGAGATCTCTGACTCTACCGCATTGGAGACCGAGCAGAATTCAGAGAAGATTGACTTCCATGGCGGTGGAGAGTCGAGGGTAGGAGGCAATCTGGCCGTTCTAGCAATGCCTTGATACGGGTCGCAAAGGAGGAAAGCCAGCCAGATCGAGCTGAAAAGCACAATGAAGCCCAGGGTCGTTACGTCCAGGTTAGCCAGTCCTTGAGCACGTGTGTCTTCGTCTGTACTCGAGCCCGAAGCTTGACTGAGTCTATCTTCATCGACACCCGCCTTCTCGTTCTCGCCATCGTCAAGCTTTGTATGGTTACTCTGCCTCGGCCGCAGGGACGGCCTGACGGGCGGATCTAGATTGACCGAGATCATTGGCGGGCGCTCGTGCGGCGTCTCCGGTGGCGAGACTGGCCATGTATGCGCCAATGCCTGGCGAAGCGAGCCATGCTCAAAAGCCGACGCAAGGAGTAGACCGATAATGCCGAGGACTTCCGGTAGACCCATGCTCGGCGAGACTGGTGCGAGTGCCTTGTAGGCCAGAACCAGGGCTACTCCCGAGACGGTGAGGCTGACACGAAGGGATTCGAAACGTCGCTTTGTCCATTCTTGCCAGCTCGACAGTGATCCCAGCCGAAGACAGAATGGCTCCCAGAAGCTGTCAAGGTTGTGCAGTTGACAGACGATAATGTAGGCAAGGACGACATGCCATTTTGTGGCAGGGCTTGCATACGCTTTTTCAGCGCTAGGATCGACAGATGCTGCGAATTTGCAGCACATGGCTATGGCGAACGAGATTGCTGCCGAAGCCGCATGCGGATTGAGGATGGCTTCCTTTAGCCTGCCTCGAGGGCTGAGATCAATTGACGGTGGTGTGGAGAAGGGATGCTCGGGTAGCTGACTGCTTGTATGGAGTGACAAGCCGCCAACTCTGACAACGATGGCCCAGAGTAAGCTTGTCGTAGCCTGCTCTGTCCCGAAGCCGGCAAGGAAGCCAAGGGAGAGCATGTAAAGTACCGAGTGTCCAACTGCCTGTCGTCTCGTAGGGCTCGAGAGCGGCGCATCGAGCAAGTTTGGTAGCATGATGGCAAGCAAGGGAGCAATCCATGCCTGCAGTCTGCGTGAGCCATGACCATGCGCAAGGAGTAGACAGACTCACGTCGGTAGTACCGATTGCGAGCAAGGACAGCCCGCGGGTGAGCAGCGCGCCATCACGCGCCAATGTGCCCATAATCTCGAGTGCTGGCCTCGAGCAGAAGGAAGCCAGCGCTTTGCGGACAGGAGGAGGGAGGGCTCGCATGCAGCTGAGCCAGAGACTGCGCAGCGGTCTTAGGGGTATCTGACAAGGCGCGCTGCGTTTGGTGGCTTGACTTGATGATGACTGAGCATGGCGGGTATGTGATGGCAAGAGCGTTTCGCTGATCCTAGGTGAGCTCTCTTGCCATGGCGAGTGCGGTCTTGAGGGTGAAGCAGTCTGCAGGCCCGGGGTGCTCCCTTGCGTACTTCGCGAGCTTAAGAGGGGCACTGCTGTCACTGAGCTCGCCGTTGGCCTGATAAGAGCGAGTAAAGTGACGATGGACCATCTGACGAGGTATTGAAGCGCGATAAGCAATGTCAGGGTTGCCCACGCCTTGCTTGTCGGCAATGAAGAGTTGAGCGACGCAGCGTAGCGCCATTGCGACTCGACCGGCACATTGATGTTGGCTCTCTTGATGAGACCTTTTGCGAGAGTGGCCTGTTCTGCCCGCTTCACGTAGCCTGGCAGGTTTGAGGACATTGGCCGCAACAGGCTTGCGAGTCCTCGGCTTGGTGCATTGTCCAATCCGCCACTGTGCGCGAGAGCAGCCACTCTGGACGGTATGAGAGCAGTCTTGTTGGCAACTGCTGACGGATCTATAGGTATTTTGAGTATCTCGAGGAGCAAGTAGGTCTCTAATAGCCTCAGCAAAGGCCCGACCGCTGTGCCTAACATTGCGTCTTGACAGTCGTGAACTTGGCGACAGAGCTGCTTATGCGTTTCTAGCGTACATGATCTATGCGCTGCTCAATCCAGACTCGCCCGTGTTCGCCCTTGTTGCCCTTGCTGACCTAGCCGCAGCAATCTCTCAGCTGCGACACTGCCAAAGGCGCGTTGTCAAGTGTTTGCTGTCGCCGCGAGACGCTGGATGCTCCGACAAGTCAGACCTCGCGCCTACAGGGTCCGTGCGTTGGAGAATAGCTGCGTCGTGCTACGCCTGCAGGCCGAGCATGCCGGATTTTCCGTCGAACAATACGGCCAATGCCAAGCTCACGGGTCGTGTGCCACTTCTGCTGCGTGCGATCGCGTTTTGCCACGTGAGCCGTCTGATCGCTGCGTGCACCCTCCGTTTCGAGACTTTGCCCATCTTGCCATCGCTTGCTACTTCACTTCCAGTCTTGGCTCGGATCCGCCCGATATCTGCCTTGCATTGATATATACATACCTACGCTGACTGTCTCTCCGCTTTGGGATTTGATCCGCCATGAGAGCGACTACAAGACTTGAAGCAGCACCATCCAGTAGATCAGCAAGGTGCGCACGGCAAGACGAAGTCGGCATTCGTGGATCTTCATACATCAGAGTCAGGTCTCGTATGCCAACCACTTATCCCGGGCGTGACACCGCGCGGGCACCCGCTCGGCTGTAGCACTATTGACTTCGTTGCTGAAGCACCAAGATGCATCATCCCAGATGCAACTCCGAAGACAATGATCGCAGAAGCTCACCTGCCGTGTTGCCTGCGCTGCTCGAAAAACGCTGCACTTGCTCCTAAGAAGTTGCAAGAGGATTGTTAACAACATATATGCAGCGTCGTCACATCGATCAGTGCATTGAAACCATCAGACCGAGCGTGTGCACTTTTCACAAGCACAGCTATTGGCCGCAGCCAAGTTGACACCGATATCACCCAAGCAGGGCGATGAGAACCTGTCATAGTGTGCGTGAGTGGCGCTCATCTAGTCACAGCAAGAAGCGCACATTCTGCCGTCATATGCGCGTAGTGCCGTGCGCGTGATGAGCAAGAGCCAGAGTAAGGTCTCACAGCCTGTAAAGACAGTCCCGAGTATCTTGAGTGCGTCAGACTGGAGCTCGACTCCGAGCGTCGTCGTTGCCACCGTGAAAACGCCCTGTCAGGTCAAGCAGCGTCAGCGCGGTTACGTCGAGCGAAGGTTTCAGACTGACAAGAGGGAACGTAAAGCCCCACCAGCCCATGTTGAAGATAAGACCATCAGTACTTGCCATTTTAATGATCGACAGAACCGCAATAGATAGCCAAAAGAGCCCGAGACCCCAGATGACAAGTGCGACTGCGATGGTACAGATGTAGAGCGCATTCGCCATCTGGACCTGTTCTGCCGGATTGAAGGTACTGCCAGCGCCCAGACCGACCCCCGTTTCCATCGCAAGCTTCCTGATGACCTTTGAAAATTGTAGGATCGCGAATGCACCCTGTCCGCACGGACCCAATGGTAGGAAAACAGAGACAATGGCAGCAGCCGGGGGAAGGTGGTGTACTGCCAGACGATGGAAGTAGACCGCCATGATCAATAGCGAGACCGGGAAGGCGGAACCCCAGAGAATGTATGAAATTGTGAGGGTCAACCGAGCGTGGCTTGCGGGCAGATAGTCGGCCACGATACCGCCAGTGGCAGCTGCGACGATGGGCGACACGCTGGGCAAGAGCCAAGTGCCGTTGAGGACCTCGAGTGACTGATTGTGGTAATTGAACATGGCAAAAGGGACTCCGATCCCTACAAGGAGCGAGATGATCGCGTTGATCCACCAGAGAGCCCAGGCGAGGATGACAAAGTGCTGACCAAACGCGGGTATACAAACAAATGCGATCATGTTGACAATGGTCGAAAATCCCACTGAAGACGGGCATGTAAGCATCATCATGGAGCGCAGAGTACGGTGATACGTACTCGAGAAGGTGCCCAGAAAGAAGGCTTGGGTGGAGTGAGTGACCATGAGAGCAAAGATGCGAGGATAGAGCGAGTACCGTAATATCGACATGGAGAGAAACGTCAAGAACAAGATGAGATTGAAGACAAAGATGACGACGGAGATGATGCCCAGACCCGGAAACTGATACGGCAGGTTGTGGAGCAGGATAGAGGTTATGCCCGTGCCCATGTTGATGCTGAACCAGCTGGGGGTGAACAACATTGCACGTACGCCGATCCTGACGTGGAGACAACATCAGTTGCTGGGACTGCGAGTGGCGCATGGCTAGAGAACTGACGCTCCGCATCTCGGATGTAGCTTGAAAGGGTTTCGGTCCTTGAGACCTCCCTGCAAGCGTGCCTCGTCGCGTTGATCGAGCTCATCAGGTTGATCACCGCCTGCCGCGGTGACATTGCTGTCGGTTTGCAGCGGGTCTGCCATTCAGGCTGGATCTCTCAAGCACCTGAGGAAGGCGGCAGTAGGCTGAGAGTGTCTGGGGAAGTTCGCCATGCGCTAGTCCAGTCGTCGGCTCGAGAGGTGGGCGGCAATTCAGAATGATTCCGAGAGTGTCGCGATTCTGTGCATTCTCAGGAGCGCAGAGCGAGCGCGACATGGCCACAGAAGCTACACGACCAAGTCTCATTGAGCACATCAGATAGATCTAGGCAGAGCCCCGAAGTTCGAATGATGTTTTTGTTCTAGTCGGATCAGATGAGGTGGGGTCGAAGGATCAGGCGAGCCAGCTGGGATCACTCTTCCTCAGCTTGCTCGACCGACTCATCGGCATCCTCATCCTCTTCGTCATCCTCGTTGGTCGATTCTTCCGTCACGACGGGCGCATCATCTTCATCGTCCTCCTCCTGCGGTCGCGCGTCAGTTGTGCTCAATGTGTACAGCGCTTTCGACTGACACCGTCCTCGCCTGGTTGCTCTTTTGCGAGCTTAGCATAGTCAAGACGAGCACCACCTTCATACGACCATCATCAGCTCTGTACGAACGAGCTGTAGACGGAGCAGAGGCGTATGATCGAAAGAAAGAGTCCAGGATGAGGAAGCGCGTCTGCCGAGGTAATAGACGCGTCATGCTCGCTCCAAGGGTGTAGGATGTGCTGTAGAGGCTAGTGAGCCTACTCACGAGTACGACGAGAGCCAGAATCGATGATATTGCTAGGATCGATGTCCTTCATCTCGTCTGTCCCGCAACGTGTCAGCCCCTTGCTGACCCATCTCCTATCGCGAGACTCGCCTTGAGAGATCTCGAGCTCGTCTTGATCCTCGACTGGCCTACAGAACACACACAGCGGTCAGCATCGTGCTGAAGACTCATAAAAGAGCTGCGTCGAGCCAGAGAAAGAGCAAGGCGTCTCTGCGCGATGCTAGGCGGGCATAGCGCGACGGAGGCCTTAGCAAGCGTCACTGACTGTGTATCTGCGCTTGTGCTGGCCATTGCGACTCTCTACTGTCTTCAGATCGTGAGCTAGCGAGGCTGTCCTGACGCGCTTGCCTGCTCTCTCGCGAAACGAATTTCTCACGCGATCAGGGTACAACGTGTATGTGGACAGAAGCTTCAGGCATGTCCAGTCGATGACCATGCTCGTTCAGATCATGCATACTCGTAGTCTCTTGGTCTCACCCCGCACTCGTCGTCGCTCGGACCCTCTGTCTCTTCAGAGCCAGAGCCATCAGATCAGTGCCAGTACGCCTTTCTGAGATATACGATGGCTCGGTCTTGGTAGCCTATGAACCCGATGACAGTACATCTGCGGCGCACGTCCTTGCCATTACGAATGTAGATCATTTTGCAGCGTCCCCGTATCGCGACAAAGGCAACAGGCGAACTACTTGATAATGTAGACATATCCTGAGTCAGCCTCGCCGATATGCGTGACATTCCTGTCATAAACTAGTATGCTGTATGCAGCGCTAGGCATCGTGATGCTGTTACTGTGATGTGTAGGCTCCGAGACAGTCGGTCGCCCGAGGCCAAGAGAATGTCGGCAGGCAGACTGCAAGCTGCCAGACGCGATGGAATGCATCGCTTGCTCGGCTGCGCTGCTCGAATGGTGTCCAAGTATGCCAGTACACCGGACGGACGATACTTTGTAGACCACACGGGTCGACTGTGGCGCTGCACGAATCCTTCTCTCGACGAGACAGAGCGACAGAGATGGGTCAAGAAACTCATGGACGCCCGCCGAGAAGTGCGTACGACCAAGGGCACGTCGGGAGAGAGGAGCACTCGTGCAAAAGTGCAAGAAGCCAAAGAGGCTCTGGGAGAACGAGGGGCGGTCTGGTGGAGGCAAGAGAGTGAAGATGATAGAGATTGGAATCGGTTCATGGTCAAGAACACGCCTTATGCTGCCTGGCATACGGGTCTGACAAACGACGAGTCTGGCAGCACGCCAAGCAGTAGCAAAAGTAGATCGGAGCAGACAGAGCGAGGCAAACGCGATCGACCCCATGAAGGCCCCCAGGATGACGACGATGAGGATGTCGAGGACGGCCATGAGCAGCCGAGACGATCCGCTCGCTTGTCCAAGCAGCAGTCATGATCACATGCATCACACCAAGCGTCATCTGAGCCCGATCAGTCCTGTTGTCGTACCAGAACTGTCCGTGCATTGTCATTGAGATGATAGCAATCTGGCATCGCGTAGACGGGCGCGCGTTTGGCACTGAGTTTGGTAGCCTGTCGGCCTTGTGAGTCGGGGCAGTGGTCCACTAGCCGAGCGCTGTAGCCCTCTGGCGTGAGGACAGACGGGTGGGGAGGTGCGAGGAAGCAGAAAGCCAGGCTAGCAACGGCTCATCGACGGATGAGACACAAGAGTGCCGGCTGAAGCAGGGGCTACCTCATCAACCTTGACAGCTGCAAACTTCAACACAGTCCGGCCTGTCTCGACCTGCCAGCTTGGGTCTCTTCTGACGAGGTGAGCCCAGCCGCGCTCAGCTCCCCCTCGGGTTGATTGTGTCATCTGCACAGCTCGACGGCAGCATACACGAGTGAATGGCGAGCGTGCCGTGAGCTCATCGTGAGCAGCTAGCTTGTGCGACGGTCGGGTGATCCAAAGAGAAACTAAGAGATGGATCGTTCACCGCCTGAAGCAGCTCTGCTTTCGAACAGGACGGTCAGTAACAGCTCAAAACGTCGTCCGGTGCCGTCGTACATCGAGCAAGACAGTCGGCCGCTGTCTCGCTCACCCGTCGGATGGCACAGTCCCTCTCACACGGTCGCCTGGGACGAGATGCATGGCTCTACAGACGACCAGAGCCAGCAGCAAGGGCGTCACGCGTCAGGATCATCGCGACAAGCTACTCCCCAAGCCAATGATCGCTCCCACGAGAATGAGCCACCTTTGCTCGACTTTGATGATCCCCTCACGAGCGACAAACTCATCCTCCAGCATCCGCGCACAGCAGACACAACATCGCTATCGCAACGCAGGAGTATATCGACGGCAAGTATAGACGCGGCCTCAAAGCGGCCTCTGCCCAACGTGCCATCACCTACCCCTTCGCGTCTGTCGATCGCGCCCATAGACACAACCTCTCTCAGCAATGCCAAGCGATACGTCTCTGCTCCTTCTTCTGCCTCTGCAAGGCGTCCGATCCAATCTCAGCCAGACGCGACTTACAAAGGCCTCGGCCTAGGTCTGCCGCCCATTTCTGCCCAAGCAAACCATGACGACGCACCTCGAACTGCTCCCTTGATCACTACAGGCGTCAGACTGGGCGTATCTCATTCGATGGCATCTGGACTCGCCCAATTCGCCCATGCGCCCCTTTCGCCTGAGCAAACCAATACCGAGTTGCCCAGTCCGCCTCTGGATGCGCAACAAGAGCAAGACAGACGACAAGATCTCATCGGATTGGGTGATCTGGCCACGCCCAGATGGACTTCTCAGATCTACGAAAGGAGATGGGCAGACCGACCTGTCTCTACCCAGAGCAGAGAGGGCTCGCCCGTCTCTCGCCCTCAAACGCGCTCTCTGTATCAAGCAGTGAGTCTGTCGCGATTATGACAAGCTTGTTCGTATTGACGTTCGAACACAGGATGGAGCGCTAGCCTCTGCTCGTTATCCACTCTCGCCTCAAGTCCCATCGAAAACGGCTAGCGCAAGCTCGACGCCGCCGCTGCCTCAACCAAAGTCGGACTCCTCGGCAACATCCCGACGACCTTCCTCTGCCTCAATGGGCAAGGAGCGTCGATCTCAGCCAGATGAGACAAAGGCCAAGAAGCGAGCTTCCCTCACATCGCCAGCGGCACTTTCGCAGACTGTCATGCGGGCCTCGCGCAGATCGCACGAACAGAGCCTACATGTGAACCAGCAAGCTACGAGTGCAGAGGAGATTGTCGATGCCGATCGTGATATGGCAGACGCGCTCAGAAAGCTAGACGGTCTCTCTGCTCCTCACTCCGCCACTAGACGATCCAAAGAGGATGCCAGAAGAAAATCTGCCACGCCCTCTCTACCCGTGCCCGTTGCGAATATGCGAAGGCATAGCGAGGCATACCATCTTCCGAGCTCGTCGACTGCAGCACAACAGCCCGGTATCAAGAGGACCTCATCGAGTTCACGTGCAACACGAGATCAACCTGCTGCGACTTTGCCTCTACCTCCGACTCCCAACGGTGGCTGGCCTTCGTCAGGCGAATCGAACCAATCCGTCCTACTGACCGAGTCAAACTCGTCCTCGTCTTCACCTCGTACAATGGGCGGAACGTCCTCACTCTTGCTAAGGAGCAACAGCGGAACGGGAAGCAGCTTGGCAGGCAAACGCGTCTCGCGTTATCGAACGCAATCTGCTTCCTCCTCTGCTACTACCGCCCCCGCTGCTTCTCCTCAATATCCTAGCCAAGCACTGCATAAGCACGAGGACGATAGTCGAGACACAAGTCTTGTCTTGGATGATGATGGCTCGACATTGGCTGCTCAGGATGGTTCTGCACTCATCCCACCCGTGCCGCCTCTGCCTCAACACTGGGAGAAGGAGCGAGAGACGGCCGCCCATCGCTTGTCGATGGCTACAGGCGATCATGCTCGCTCAAGCGCGCTCATCAATGACCAAGCAAGAGCAAGCATGGCTGGTTCGCCCAAGGATACATCCTCAAGGCGGACGCCAACCAAGAAATGGAGCCTCACCTCTGCTCTCTTCACTTCGCTCACCTCTTCCGGTGGCTCATCCGCCGGTTCGAACAACAGCAAGTCGCCCTCTCTTTCGCGCTCGACGACCTCAACAACGGTCAACGAGCCCAGCTTTGATCCTGCTACGCTCACGCTCGGCAAGAGTACTGCGAGCAAGCACAAGAGCCTGCCTGCTGCGAATATCCTCAAGCCAAGACGCGATCGACATGCATCTGTCAGAGACGTATATAGCTTTGAGCCTTCCGGCGTATCCGGCACCAGTCAGTATATGACCAGCTCGGTCAGCCAAGGCACAGGTCTCGCTCGTCTGGCAGCTCTGTCCAACGATCAGCAGCAGGACGAATCGCCTCCCTTGCCGCAGGCTCTCACAGATCCCTTTGACCCCGCAACGCCAACACCACCAGTGCCGCCAACGGAAGAAGCCGAACGCTCGGGCAGAAAATCAATACTTGATTTCTTATCGCGTCGGCGCAAGTCTGTCTCCTACCCTGCCGGCTCTATGCAGGCCAGAGCAGAGCCCATGCCTGCGCCGCCAGCCCACCTGGCTGCCTCGATAGGCTCGGGATCGAATGTGACGCCCACTGCAGCGGTCTCGAGCCCCCCAATTGCCACGAGCTCGGTCATGGGCAAAGTCTCCGAGCGATCTCGTCGGCTCAGTGTTGCAACCACGCAGCTACTTCGCAAGCGAGCAAAGGTGAGTTCATGCTTGTGCAGTGAGATAAAGCTCACCAACTTTGTCCTACAGACGGTTAGCCAGCCTAGCGCGCCTCTTGCGGAAGCAGCCAGTCCTATGGCAGCTGTGCCTGTACCGTCTCTACCCGTGCCTGAATTCTCATCACTGCAGCAAGATACCCTTCGAGCCACCTCGCATGTCTCTGTCCAATCACAAGAGCCGCGTCAATCCGGCTCGACCAGCCTATCACCCTCGCAAGACGTCGACGCACTGGACGCGAATGCGATAGACGATGCACAGCGAGCATCTGCCTATCTGGCAGCCACGCCCGTCGTCGTCACCTCATCTACCACCACAAGGATACCCCGCGCTATTGCTCGTACTGGCTCATTGACACGCCGGACAAGCCAGATCGCGCCCGCCACCGCAGTGCAAGGTCAAGGAAATGCACAGAATGGCATGCCGTCATCACACAATGCTTTGCCGGATCTACCAACCGATTCGAACGAGGTACGCAGCACGATGCCTGCGCCTAAGCCACCAGCGCCAGTATCACGATCTTCGCTGTATCTGCCAACGCTATCTAGCAGACAAAAGATGGTTGGTCAGCCTGCACAGGTCATCTCGGGCCCATCAGTCAAACGCTCGAGCGTCACTTTGCCGGCTGCAGGTTCCACGGAGAAGAAAGTCGGACGATCCATGAGTCAAAAACTCAACGTGACCTCTCGATTCAGGACATCTGTCAACCTGTCTAGTGCTGGGTCATCTCGGCCTTCATCAGTAGCCTCATCGCTTGCAGGCAGCTCTCGTGGACCAACGCCTCAGAGTACATCATCTCTCGAAGAACGCGATCGCTTGGCTGATCAAGAAATGGCCGAGTTCGTTGAGCGTCAGATCCACAAGCGCGCGCAAGCAGGTGCAAGTCGCGCCGAGCTTCGCCAACTGTGTGAGTTCCCAGGCTTGGCCGAAAGCCTGCCCGCTCGTCAACCCGGCGATGCATTACTCGAATGGTATTCTCAGCTCACGCCCTATGAGCACGATGAAGTTCTCGAGTACGATGAAGTCTACTTTGGCGGTCTCAAGGCCGACAAGATCGCAGCTGTCAGGACTCACACGACGCAGAATTATGGCTTTGACGATGAGCGCGGCGACTACATTGTCAAGTCGCACGATCACGTTTGCTTTCGGTATGAGATTGTGGGCACGCTCGGCAAAGGCTCGTTCGGACAAGTTCTACAGTGTCGTGATCACAAGACAGGTCAGACAGTCGCTCTCAAAATCATCCGCAACAAGAAACGGTTCCATCATCAAGCGCTGGTCGAGATCAAAGTCCTCGAGAACTTGCGTAAATGGGATCCCGATGACGAATGCTATGTCCTCAAAATGACACAGCACTTCGAGTTCCGCGGCCATCTCTGCATCGTCAACGAATTGCTCGGTATGAATCTGTACGAGCTCATCAAGGCCAACTCGTTCGTCGGCTTCTCGACCAATCTCATCCGACGCTTTGCGACTCAAATTCTCGAAGCGCTCGTGCTTCTGCGTCATCATCGCGTCGTGCATTGCGATCTCAAGCCGGAGAATATATTGCTCAGGCATCCCACGAAGAGTGGCGTCAAGGTCATCGATTTTGGCAGCTCTTGCTTCGAGAATGAAAAAAGTGAGCTTGTCATGATGCCAATCATACATAGGCTAATCCAGCGCGCAGTCTATACCTATATCCAGAGCAGGTTCTACCGCTCCCCAGAGGTCATCCTCGGCATGGACTATCATATGGCTATCGATATGTTCTCGCTCGGCGCGATCTGTGCAGAACTCTATACTGGCTACCCCATCTTCCCCGGAGAGAACGAGCAAGAGCAGCTGGCATGCATCATGGAGATCATGGGCTTGCCTGAGCGACATATCATCGATCGGGCTTCTCGTCGCAAGCTTTTTTTTGGTACGCCTCCACAACGCAGACAATTCTCTTGCTGACATCTCGGTCAGACTCTACTGGCGCACCTCGCATTGTGGCCAATTCGAAGGGACGCAAACGACGGCCAGGCACCAAAAATCTAGCGCAAGTCCTCAATTGCGACGACGAGCTCTTTGTCGACTTTATCGCACGGTGTCTTGCTTGGGATCCCGATCGACGGATCCAGCCAGCACGTGCTCTGCGACACCCTTTCATTCGACCGGATGTCGTCGTCCCATTGCCAACAGTCCCCATTGCGTCTACTCGACTGCCACGCATGTCAGTACCGAGAGATCAACTGGCGCGCCTGCCTACAGCGCCTGCTGCGCCCGTTATGGCCAGCTCTGCAACGACGGGCCAGCTGCCTAGCCTTACTGCGGGCACGAACGGTAATTCGAGCGAGATGAAGGGTCGACTGCGAGCCATGTCGACTGCCGCGACTGCCTCTCGCTTGCCACGATGGACTGCCAACATAGCACCTCGACCGCAACAACAGCAACAGCAAATCTCGCAGCATCTTTCCTGAGGTTCCGTACGCCTTCGTACATCGCAGATTCATGCAAAATGTATCGGTGTACATGTCAAGCATAGAATGCAATGTCTCGCGTGTTCATCATCCTCTACGATTTTGCCTTGAGGAAGGCTTTGAAGTCGACAGGTCCGCCCTTGCTCTCTGCTTCTTTGTAGTGGGGGTTGGCGTGCATGCTTTTGTAGAATGCCTCGATAGACGGATAACTCGGCAACAAACCCATCGACTCTACAGTCTCGTAGATCGTGCTCATCTGAATATCGGCCGCCGTCAAACCCGGTTTGACAAGTCCTTTACCGTCATGACGCGCTAGTTGTGCCTCAATATGCGAAAGCGCCGTCTTTATTCTGGGGTCCATGATCTGCTTGCGTACTTCTGAACTTGCCACTCTGCCGAGCATCATATTGAGTATAAACGTCGACATGACGCTGCCTTCGGCGCAGTGCATCCAGTAGATGTAGTCTGCATACTCCTTCGAAGCAGGATCAACTCGAAGGGGCGAATCTTGACCAAAGCGAGCGAGAATGTATTCGATGCATGCGCCCGATTCGGCAATGGTCGCGCCGTCAACGGTGATGACGGGCGCTTTGCCCATGGGATGGACAGCTTTGAGATCGTCTTGTGCGAGCAGATCATTGCCTCGCTTGTGCTGGACAATGTCGTAAGGGATGCCGAGCTCTTCGAGTAGCCAGAGCACCCGGGTTGAGCGTGACTGTACTCAGCATCAGGCTTGTATGACTAAAGAGCGTGAGGACTGACGTTGTTGAGATGATGCACTGTGACCTTGCTCATTTTGCCCGGTAATGTGCGTGGGCGAGGTCGAGGCAGAACCGGTTATCACGTAATTGCGATGACGCGCTGTCGATCGCGGGGAAATATAAAAAGGTTTATTGCACGACTCACTTCTCGACTCGTTTCTGACGATACAGTCACTTCATACTCCTGCAAGGATCCGACGATGGAGCCTTGAGACTAGCTTTACACGAGCAGTCGATGATGGGAGTCACTCTGTCGAGCGGTGACGCAACAAACGAGAGAATATTGCCAATGATTGAAAGGAACTGCTGAAGCAGCTGACGGGTATCATCATGAGGCGTATTAACTCGTAGACAGGAGAAGCTGGCTCGACAAGAAGACGACAGCTGCGTTCGATTCCGTTCACAAAAGCCGATGTGCACAGACCCAGACGGTAGCCTGGCTGACTATCGAATGATGGGGACCCATCTGTGTAAAGGTGATGAAGCGAACTTGTGCTGCCGATGATGCTTGACATGCTCTACTGCATACGGGCTTGTCATGTCGGAGGCGCATTTGATCGATAAGGATGAGAATGCGGTCGGCAAGAAGAACGACAAGTCACGCTCGAATCTTGCAACCCCGATAGGAGCCCAGAAGGCAGGACTTGCAGACTGCCAGGGATGGTTGCTTCTATGCTGTGCGGATGCAGCGACCGAATGTTCGCCAAAGACGGTTGATCTGCTGTGACGCCTCGAAAGCTCATGCACTTCATTTGGAGGCCCATCTGCTCGTCGGACGAGATCGTGATCCTCGACATCGACGCTGCCGGACGAAGACGACTACTCAAGATTAGCTTCGATGCAGAGAAGAGAAGCGGGCCAGATAGAAATCCGACATCGCACTTCGCTAGCTTGTGCAAAGCTTTGTTTGTCGCCTTGCATGTACTTACAATCGCTCCAACTATTCCGCTTGACATGAGCACTCCCGCATACTCTCTCTTGCTCTCTGCATCGCGATCGGTTTTTCGAGAAACGCAGCAAATGACCTGTCCTGGCATAGCAACCAGAGATCCTGCCCGAGCCACGCGGAGTCTCTCCTGAGAGAACCTGCTGCCACTCACAGGAGCCTCCATGCGTCTCGCGCTCATAGTTTTGGCAGCAGCGGGCCTTGCTCAAGCAGTTTACAGAAGCAGATGCGTCAAATACGCTTTCTGTCAAGTGGTCTGCAACAGCCCTCCCCGATCGGAATTCACTTATCACGTAGAAGCTAGCTCTGTCCCGAGTTTGGCACTCGTCAAGTTCTACAAGATCGACCTGCGCGACGGTGGCAGACGGCTGAGATGCTCGGTTGTACGTACACTCAGCGGAAGCTCGGGGCGTGACCAGATCAATTTGACGCAGAGGACTGATTTTGCCATTGAGACGCAAGTCTGTACGACCGAAGAAGATCCGAGAGACCGTACAGGCAACACATTCTCTGTAGAACATGATGATATCATGCCGCTCGATGTGCTCGACTCGCCTTTCATGGGTCTGTCGCAAGGTCTCAATGCCTGCCAGCACTGACAATCAGGCAGCAACCTTTGAGGCATGCTGCAAGGTGACCCGACAGACTGCTCATAGCCTTTACCTCAAAGCTATGACCATCGCCGATCAGTGGCGATTCATAGCTCGCTCATCCCGTGTGCGAGTCACATGCCAGGCACCTCCGGGGGATGGCCCAGTCCAATCGATCTGTCGCAGCTCCTTCCCCGAGAAATGTACGCTTGGCCACTCGGAATCCAAACGATGACGACTTATTCTTCTGATCAAGTCGAAGCACCTTGCATGGTGCTGACAGGGACGTGCAAAATGGCATATACCTCAACATCTGCAGGCTTTTGCAAAGACACAACAAGCGCGGTCAGCCTGACCGATGCCATGTCAAGTCTGTCTTGAGCAGATCCATGGAATGCATGCGCTCTGCCGCTAGCTTGTTCGACGGACGAGGATCTGCTGACCGTAAATGCTCCATTGGTGATCTCTTCTCACAGCATTCGCTACACCTCGCAATCGCTACAAAACGCACACCAGTAAGGCGCATGACGATCGGCGTTCTCCTCGGAATATGCGGCAGTCCCTATTGCCATCTCTTCCAAATAAACAGCAACGATCGATTCGTACTCGGCATCATTCCATCCCGCGCCGCATTGTAGCGATATTGGCAGTCGCAACCCTCGCAGCAAGGCCCCCCTCCTCTTCGCTCAACGCAGCCTCATCTATTCGTTGCATAGGCGACCGCACACAGCGACCAAATATGGCCCCCATGTGCAGATCTTCTCCTACTCTCCTACAACCTACTCCTTGACAAATAAGAAGCATCTCGCCGCTTCTCTGTACTCGTCATCTACGATGCTTCTCGTGCCTGTCATTCTCGCAGCAGCGCGACTCACGCAAGCCATATTCAGATCTAAATGCGTCAAATATACAGACTGTCGCTTGAGCTGCTTTAGCCCACCTGGGTCCGAGTTCACCTACCATGTCGAAGCCAGCTCGCTCCCGAGTTTAGCTCTCATCAGATTCATCAAGAAGCAAAATGAGGACGGCCGCACACGAATGTACTGCTCCATCGTACGCCAGGGCCGGATCCAGCCAGTATCCTGATGCCATCGATTCGCGCAGAGACCCGAGATAGGCTTCAAGGAGCAGGAATGCAAGGTTGAAGTAGATCCAGCCGATCAAAGTGGCGGATCTTACATTGTCAGCCATTTCGATGAGATACCAATCGATGTAATCGACTCGCAGTACACGGGTCTGTTGCTACCCTTGTGATTTAGCCCCTTGCTAATGAGGTTGCAGCGACCTTCGAATCCTGCTGCAAGGTGCTTCGCAGAACCACACACCAGCTGGATGCGTACAATGAGCAAATGGACAATCAGTGGCGGCTTAGACTCGAAGCGCCGATTGCACAAGTCGTCTGCGACGTGCCCAAAGGTGCAGGCGCAGTCCAATCTATCTGTCGCAGCTCCTTTCCCACACGAAGTATGCCAATCATACTATCATGGCGCTCTTATTTCTCATTCTGTTGACAGTCGCCGCACCATGCAGGATCCATTATGGGACCTGCAAAGTGGACTATGCCTTGACTTTTGGAGCTTTCTGCAAGGAACGGAACGATTCGATCGAACCCGGAAGTCACCCCGGCAGCTTTCAGTCGTCAGCCTAATGCATTTCATTCGACCGTCGCATGCAAGTCTCTCTACGCCACGCGCTGCCCCAATCTTACACATTCTTGAACGAGCAGCCCGCTTAGTGAGAGTCCGTAGGGCTTCGTCGACAGCTCCTCAAACAAAGACAGACGCATTGCATGCGCCGTCCGCTTCACGTCTGCTGAAGGGTCAGAGCAGCGAGGGTCGATCGCCATCGGCTCGACAGCAGGTCATCTCTGTCCTACCCTCATCGCAATCGCGTGATCGCGGCCTCACCTATTTGTTGTGTGGACGACCGCACATAGCGACCGAATATGGCCCCCGCGCCTGTTTTTCCATATCGCAAACCCCTTCTGCGAATGAGAAGCAGTCGACCACTTCTTCGTCCTTTTCGATGCTTCTCGCATTCGTCCTTGTCGCAGCAGCGCGACTCACGCAAGCCATATTCAGATCCAAATGCGTCAAGTATACAGACTGTCGCTTGAACTGTTACAGCCCACCGGGATCCGAATTCACGTATCATGTCGAAGCAAGCTCGCCTGCGAATCTCGCTTTCATCAAATTCTACGATAAAGATTATCCAGATGGCCGTACAAACCTGTTCTGCTCTGTCGCACGCCCTCCCAAGCTCACCGGACTGCTTTGACTGACATTGTTGCGCAGAAAACCGAGTTGGGCTTCAAAGAGCAGACGTGCGCAGTCGTACCGAACGCAGCTGACCAGACCGGCCGAACGTTCACACTAGATCATACCGAAGAGATTCCGCTGGACGTGATTGATTCGCAGTACACGGGTCAGTCTCCAGTCCACGCATCCTGCTTGTATTGACGCCGCCATAGCAACATTCGAGGCCTGCTGCAACGTATTCATAAAAACGACGCATAGAGTGGAGCCACTGGCCCGGCTTAAGATCGAGCAGTGGACTCTTCTCACCCATGCGCCAACAGCGGAAGTCATCTGCGACATGCCCAAAGGCGCCGGCGCGGTTCAGTCTATCTGTCGCAGCTCCTTTCCCACACGACGTATGTCCGTCGAGTCCAATCTACCTGCACTGACTGAGCTTTTCCTGGCTTGACAGTCTCAGCGCCATGCTTGGTCGAATACAATACTTGTCGGGTAGATTACGCATACGTTCACGACGGCTTTTGCCGCGAGAGGAACGATCCCCATGGCCCGCAATGATCCGCTCGTATCAGAGTCTCAATCCAACGGGGTTCAGTCGTCAGCTTATGCATGCCAAATTTGCGGTACTCCAGTCTTGCCATGTTCATCCGCGCGTTCGTATGTACCACTCTGCTTGCATACCAGACATCAACAGACGTGCGCCACGAGCACGCCCAGCGAGGTTTCGCAGCAACGCGTCGCCATGTCATCCGGTCCTTCTCCTGCTCGACTCTCACATGTTGCTCTCTGCTCCCTGCCCGAACGTTGTCTACCTGCAATGCGACCGACCTTACTCATCCTCACGATAGCTTGCTACGTACAAGCTCAGACAAGAGTCAAATGCGTTGGCTATTCCGACTGCGAAGTGGTCTGCTACAGTCCGCCGGGGGCAGAGTTTGATTACGCGGTGCGAGCTACGATGCCGGCAACCTTGGTAGGCATTCGATTCTACAATCTGGTCGAGAGCGACGGCTATAGAGAGCTCAGGTGTGCGGCCGTACGTTCTTCTCCGCATTCATTGTAGAGGCTACTAACGGCCACTTTACGCAGAAATCAGCTCCTGGCTTCGAAGAACAGTTCTGTATGACCGCAGATAGTATGACGCAGCCGGGCGAAATCTTTATCGTTGAGCATGGTGGCGAGCTCCGAGTCGAGGATCTCATAACGCCCTATAAGGGTTGGCGGAATATCTTCTCGACAGTAACAGCACTGATGTCGAGGCAGCAACATTCGAAGCGTGCTGCAGGATCATTCGGCGTACTGCACATAGACTCGACGTGAAGGCAAGACGAGGGCCTGATCAGTGGCATATCATCCCGCATGATCCAACAGTTCTGGTCGTTTGCGATCGCCCGGACGGCGCTGGCTCGACTTCATCAATCTGCCGCAGCTCGTTCCCACAACCATGTGCTTTTGCACTGTCAATCTCCAAAGTGCAAACGTCTGATCCAGATATCCGCTCGCAGTAGAAGCAGCTTGCGAAATTCTCTCGGCTTCGTGTCAGGTACGATACGCGATCGTCGCAGGCAGCTTTTGTAAATGGCCAGACGATATGATGGAACGACCGACGAGCTCATCGTACAGCCTGTGAGCCATCGATGCATCGCTGACATGATACTTCGCATGTCGTCATTGCGACGCGCCACTCCTGTCTTATGGCGCTCCTATCACCTCATGGCCTCACGCGATCTGTCGCTCAGCCAACACCTCCCCAAGATGCGTCTTGCCTCGCTCTTCCTCGCAGTCGCCGGCCTCGTCCGAGCTCAGATCAGATATAAATGTGTCGGGTACTCTGATTGCTACGTAGGGTGCTTCAGCCCACCAGGAGCACCTCTACCCTACGCTGTGCAAGCTGAGCAAGTCGCGACGTTGGTGAAACTCAGCTTCTACAATAAGTATCTGCCTCAGGGAAGGAAGCTCAGCTGCTCTGTCGTGCGCAGGTCACAATCTTGCCTTTGGCCAGCGACTGATCGTATGGGCAGACACCGAGCGAAGGATTCCCAGGGGAAAACTGCGTGGCCGAAGAAAGTGCTGCAGAACCGTCGGGAAACATCTTTTTGGTCGAGCACAGCGGCCCGCTCAACTTGACCCCAGCGTCTTTCTCACCAGACATAAGTAAGTTGCATTCAGCATCAGATGTTCACGGCTGCCGCTCATGCCTTGCTTGACCTAGTGGCGTTCACGACGTGCTGCAAGGTCGTGCGTAGGACATCGCATCGGCTAGATGTCCATCCGCCCACCAGCGTCAAGCCATGGTCATTCGTTGAACGTGAGCCCTTGGTACGGGTCGTCTGTCAAGCGCCCACCGGTCCCGGCGAGGTCTCATCGATCTGTCACAGATACTTCCCTCGTCCATGTAAGCTCGTGCTTCAAGCTTGATATTCTATGGCTCAGTCACAACCTATTACCTGCAGTCCAGGCATCTTGCATGATCGCGCCAAATGGGTGCCAAAAGATGTATGCTGCTGTCCGCGATGGCTTTTGCGGTTGGCCGAAGAGTCAAGCAGAATCGACAGCTCCGCTATCGGCAAATGGCTGATCAATGTAATGCATCTTCGCCTCCCGCTTTGGGGAGATGTCTGGAACAGACTCTGAACGTCGTGCCAGCGCCTCTCGGCATCGACCACAGGCCATCGGCGAGCAGAGCTGACACATCTGACTCGTCTCCAGAGGTTTTTGAGGCCTCTGCTGATCTCTCAACTGTTTCAACAGCTTCCAAACATGCGATGTTGGTCGTCGATCGTGACTCGTCAAGGATGCCAATGGCTTTTGCTCCTCGCTTCTGCTGCGTGTACTTCATACGCTTGGCCCGATCTGCCAGACACTCGTAGCCGCTGCCTTGCATTCGAGGATTGTGTCGTCACTTGTGTCTCGCAGGATGGCGCCATCCAGGCAAGCATACCCATGACAGCCGGTACATTGGCTGGGCTGATACAGGGAGAAAAGACAGTCTGTCGGAGGAGCACAGCGAGAGACGTTCTTGCTTCGATATCGAGCGTCGGCGGCTTGGAAGAAGTTTGGCTGCGTGCGTCTTGCCGCTAGCTTGCTACGAGCACGCTGAGCCTCAGAGTGCAGTACAAGCAGGATCCGATCGTGCTCTCGCCGGCACTCGAATGTAATATCGATAGCGAGCCATCGAGTCCAGCAGAGCAAAGATTTCGATTGAAGGGCGAGTGGTCGATGGCGTTTAGAGATCAGGGACCCTTTGCGCGCACGTACGCCCGTCTGCTGCCAAGCTCGAGCTCACGCGAGCCAAAACAGCCACTCTGGAGGCTTGCTGTATTGTCGAGCGACACTTCACAATCGATCTGAATGCGTTGAGCGGAGAGTGGTCGACCGTCGGCCAACGTATCCAGATGCGCTGTCCTCGGCCTGGACTAGTCGAGCACTTCGACACATGCTTGCGGACGTATGGAAGCAGCTCATGTCAGTTGGAGGCTTCAAGTCGGCCTTGAGCTGATGCGCCGACAGTCTTGCATACTTGCGAGATCTTTGAGGACACCTGCATGTTCTATCTCTTTCCGGTCAGCTACGGCAAATGCTCAAGACCCGGTGATGGAGATGAGTTCGAGATTAAGGAATGACAAGACAAGCGTGGTCGCAGCTGAAGAATTGCATCGATTCATCAAAACGCCCCGTCGCCGTGAGTGGCAACCTCCTCCCTATGCTGACGCCCTCGTGTCAAGCATCTCCTGAGCTCTTCCCTGGTTGCCAAATCTCTCACGCGATCCGAATCACTCGGTCGGTCGACCCTTGCTCCATTCGCATCCACTGCCACCAGACAGACATGCTCATAATTGTCCTGATCTTGTCCCTCTTTTGGGCCCGCTCGGTCGTTTCTGGACCCCAAATACCCAAGACTCGGTCGACATGTCTCGCCTTCCAGAGCTGTATCGTTTGGTGCGCAACGCGAGACAAGAGCCTCCAGGTGATTGCAGCTCGCAAAGCACCTTGATCTATCGTGCTCAAGTGATTGCGGTCAGTTTTTTGCTAGCGCCGGTAGCGAGATCTTCCAGGTTCGATACGCTCCGGCAAACACGCCCATATCTCTCTTCTCTTGCGTACGCGATCTGCGAACAAGACGAAGCTTGCGGTTGAATCGATGCTTGAGCAGATGAAAGCCGACAAGAGTCTGGCCAATCCACCACTGAAATGCTACGTCAACCGAGACAGTGGCGATCCGAACAACTACAAGTACGTCATGCGAGGTGATTGGACGATACCTGGAGAAGACATTGGAAGGTTCTCAGGTAGGCCGATCGGACGATATTGCGTATCGACATCTGATGGAACGTCCTTGTAGAGATCGTCGAAGCTTGTTGCACTGTCGAGAGAAAGTTCGAGGTCGACTTGGACGTCATCACCGGCCAGTGGGACTTCAGAGAAGACGAGATTCACATCCACTGTCCAAAAGTGGCAGAGGGCATGCCTTATGCCGCTCCAGAATGTCGGGAGGTTTTCGAGAAGGATCGTCGGTCACATTGCCCATCATACAATGACTTGTCATTTGACCAGGTGGACAGATTATATCAGCTGCGAGATTCTGGCAGACAGCTGCAACAAAGTCTTCGCGCGCGCGAATAGCAATGGTTGCGACTGGTCCCGCGTCGTCTGGTGAGGCACTGCACAAAGCCGAGACTCTGCGCTGCCTCGGCCGATGCATGTGCTCTCGTTCGCATGCAATGATTACGACGATATTCGTCCAGTGACTCTATCGTCTGGCGTGGCGAGAGCTTGCGCGTAACAGCCAAAACGAAACCGTGTCCTTCCGAGCAAGAATGCCTGACATGAGCTCACGAGGGGCACACGGCATCGCTCGCCGATGGGTCTCCTAGCGATTGCTGACCTCGCCATACGCATTTACCGCAGCTGAGAACGGACGCTTTGACGACACCGCATCGATCGAGTAGCTCACACTTGCTCGTGTCTGCACCTTGCATGAGCATCGCCACTGCGCCCATAGATCGACATACGCTGGCCGGGGAAGATACTCCTGCAAAAGGCATAATGTTCGGGAACGAAATAGTCTCCCGAGCATTCGAATTGTGCTGTCACCGGGGGGTCTAGTTCTTCATGGTCGCCTGTCATGCAGATCAATTCTGCGCTTTCATAGTAAAGCTGATTCCCTGACCTGTGATCCAGTCCACCTTGTAGCGACGTAGCATGTTCACTTTGCAACACTTTTTGATGATATCTGACGCGACAGCGTCAGACCAGGTATGCAGAAGTCAACGAATCAGCTCACCTTGCTGACCGCCCACGCTGTTCGTGATGGGTAAGTCTCGCAGAGTCCATAGCCAACTCACAACATGATCCGGCGAGAAGAAGTCTGTCACAGCGTGGCAAGTGACTTGGGGTTCGGTCTTCGGAGTGCCCTGCAGCATGGACACGCAGAAAATTGCGGAGAAAACAGGGGCAAAAGCGCGCCAGGTCAGTGCGCGAGCCAAATCGAAACAGGGTAGGTCGTACACAGTAGGCCTCTTTGCTGTTAATGTGCGGGCCAAGTGAGAAGTAGGTGAGCGATGGGCCAAAGCCCGCAGAGACCTCAATGGCGTTCCCGCGCAAATCTGTCTTGCATTCCACTTTGCAAGGCAAGTGGCCGAGGCAGAGGCTGAATTGCTTCGCAGGGTAGCGGCAAGCTATTGATGCAAAGAGGAATGTGAAAAAGCAGAGGAGAGTGGCCGCCTTCATGTGTGCAGGGGTGGCCAGGGCCAGGTGATGAGTGAAGTGGAAGTTGTCTCCACATCACCCCCCTCTCAGCCGAGGCGACACCCCCACATTGCATTTTTGCTTGCGGCAAAAATCAAAGCCAACGCTGCTCTCGAAGTGTAGCGACCATCATGGTGTCTGCGAATCCAGTGGCAGCTGCGACTGGCCCGCCCCAAGAAGACTCGGCGACTAGCAAAGCCAATGCCGTCGCGCAAGAGGGTCAAGACAGTGGCATGAGCCCAAGTGACTCTCATGCTCAGAACAACGGTACTGCACCTCATCGAGGCAGAGGAAGAGGCCGAGGAGCGCGGACTGCAAGGGGAGGAGCGAGAGGCGCAGGTTCGAACAGGCGTCAAGGTGGTCCCAATCCGACTGAAGACGGATCAGCCCCTCAGGATCCCACGAGCAATGAAGCTAGCGAGAGTCCTGCGCCTGCTGCTGCTGCTGCTCCTACTTCTGGTCATCGCAGACGGCAGTCTACTAGAGCTGGACCTGGGAACACACAAGCACAACCGACAGACAGAGATGACAGAGAGGTAGAGACGGCAGAATCGCTCGAGCTCAGAAAACGCTTTCCACCAGAGAAGTTGGCGACGCTCAAGTCTATCTTCTCAGACTGGAAGGATCAAGATCTGCTCTTCACGCTCGGCGAGGCCAATGGTGATCTCGAGCTGGCGATCGGGCGAATCTCAGGCGGTACGCGCCTTGCTCTCAGTACTTCCAAAAGTCCCCGTAGCTGAGACGTGAAGCATTTTGACAGGTCAAGCCACGCAATGGTCATCTACATCTGCAAAGAAGATCAAGAAGCCCGTCAAGCCAAGCGGAGCGGCGGGAGACGCGTCCGTGGCCGACGGCAGCGCATTGCCATCAAGAGGTCGAGGAGGTCTTAGAGGTGCTCGAGGAGGCCTTGCTGGAGGTATGCCGCCTCAGAGCCAAAGGTCGACACAAAATGATTGTCTATTGCACAGGTCTACGAGGCACAGCAAGAGGAGCAAGAGGCGCAGCGAGAGGAGTACCACGCAATCCATCGAGACTCGCAAACGGCCATGCACAACCAGCCCAGACCAGCACTGCAGGCCTGGAAGAGGCGCCCGTTGAAGATTGGTCCAACGAACCTACTGCATCATCTTCAGTAGCAGAATGGTCCACGCCTACGACCTCTACACCCGCCCAGACGCCTGCTGCCGCCACGCTTGGACCATGGGCAGGATGGGGCAAGAAACGCGAAGTCGTCCAGCCACCGCCTGCACAGCCAGAAATCCAGGTGCCAGCAGAGCAACCGACAGAGCTGACACAAGAAGCCCTCGCAAGCAAGGACGCTGTCGAATCCTGGTCGACTCCCGCCGGAGGTGCTACGCTGCTCTCGCGCTTGATGGGTTCCGCTGCTGCTCCGACAGGAGCCGACGCAATGTTGCACAAAGACGCGCCGAAAGCGCCTGATAGCAATGTTGCTGTGCTCGACGGAGAAGCAGGCCGGGACGCGGGCATCACGCCTTTGCCTTCACCGCCGAAACCGAGCCGCGTCATTCAACCTGGCACGACAGTTTCTTGGGCGCAGATCGCAAAGTGAGCATCTCTGCTGGCTGAATTGTGTGCTGGACGCTGACACTTGCCGACAGAGCGCAAGAGATCAAGAAGGCAGCACAAGCTGCTGCTGCACCGTCTTCGGCCTCCCGTCAAGCGCCAGTCGAGCCGCAAGTCGAGCAAGTCAACATGCATCCTCAGCCTAGTCAACCAGTCTCGCATGACCCATGGGGCAATACGCCAGCGGCAGCCGCAGCCGCGACAGCGCACGATCCCCAATCGCTCGGCATTGGCGAGGCGTGGGCAGATTCTGTGCTTGCAAGCCAGCCTGAGCCTGAGCACGCTGCGCCTGCATCACTTCCTCCACCAGGAATCAATACGGCTGGCAAGCTAGCAGTCGACACGCCAGCAGCAGAAGCGGGCGCGCCGCTGCATAAGGACGTCGGAGTTTCTGCTTCGCTCGGCCCCGATCCCAGTGATCTCATGGGTCCTCCCGGTCTGGCCGCTCGCCGTACTCAAAACCAGAGATTGAAGCAAGATGCACCGGTGGTCATGCCCATCGAGCGAGCAGTCGAGAGCGTCGGCGTGCAATTTGGCAGCTTGGGCGTGCACGAGTCTGAACAACAGCAGCCTGCTCAGCCTGCACATGTGCAGCCAAGGTAGGCCTGATGATCATGTGATTCGAATCTACTGACATTGAGATGACCAGCTATACCGCAGCAGACCCTCAGCTGTCTGCTCAACAAGCGCAGCAAGCTTACTACGAGCAACAGTATCGCCAACAGCAGCTGCAGCAAGCACAGCAGCAACAGCCACAGCAGCAGCACTATCAGCAATCGCAGCCAGGATACACCGACAAGAACGTGTCTCAATCTGGCCCTGGCTACCAGTATGGCCACCCCAGTGGCTTCAGCTCGGGTCTGCACAACTCTGGCTACGGTGCTGCTAGTCTGACAGCGCCTTCTCAAGCTTCGCCAAGTGTCAACTCACCTTATGCATCGCTCGTGGGTGACACATACCAGCAAAGTTCACAGCCAACGCAAGGCACAACGCCTTCACCGCATGTACCAGCTCAGCAGACAGGCTATGGTTCTTACGGTCAGCAGGCTCAGCAGACGCATGGCTACGGCAATCATCAAGCAGACTATTCTCATCTGTACAGCGGACAAGATCGCCAACAACAGCATGGATTCAGCGGCTATGACGCCTACGGACAGCCCGCTTACAACCGTGCTCACAATGAGGATCAGAGCAAGCTTGGTGCGCCTCAAAATGGCTACCAAGCGCCCGGAACACCGTCTGCACCCCAGCAGCACAACGGGCATGCTTCGAATGATGCTCGTCAAGCACCTCAAAGCCAACAACAACCGCCTCAAACTCAGCAGCAGCAACAGCAGCAACAACAGTATCAGCAATCGATGATGGGCTACTATCCATACTATCCTTACGGACAACCCGCATACAGCCCTGCGGCTTATCAAGGCAACCCTCAAGCGCCGAATTATCCTCAGCACTATGGCATGCAAGCACCTGCGCCTTACTACCAGATGAGCGGTCGACCTGGTCAGAATTACGGTCAACATGGTCAGCACGGCCAGCAAAATGCTAGCTACGGCCAGCAAAACTCTGGCTATGGCCAACGTCAGACGAATCAAGGCGGCAACTACGGCTCGGCGCCGGCACAGACCGGCTACGGTGCCAGCCCTGCTGCCCCCTCGGGTCCTTACGCATCCTACAGCACAGGAGGATATGACAATAGCGGACGAGCGAGCGCTGGCCAGCCTCAGCAAGTCGCGACAGGTCTCGCGGGTCAAGACCGTTCGCAAGACTACACGCAGGCTTTCAAGGACTTCTTCTGAGCTTGCTGTGAGCATCTGTTCAGAGGGAATGGAGCTACACCTCTCGAGAATGTCATGCGATGCAATTTTCAGTGTTTACGTCAGTGTGACATGACTCAGTGTGATTGATCTAGCTAGCATCGCTCGAGTACGATTGCGATGCCCTGTCCGCCGCCGATGCAGGCTGCGCCGACAGCATATCGCTTGTCGAGTCTGATGAGGTTGTGGACGAGGTTGGCAGTGATGCGAGCGCCAGATGCTCCGAGTGGGTGTCCCAGCGCTGTACCAACTGTCAGTGAACTCCTGAACAGAAGAAGAAGAGCGACATACCAATCGCACCGCCAAAGATGTTGGACTTCTCATTAGGCAGCTTGAGCTCACGCTGCACAGAGAGCCATTGCGCTGCAAAGGCCTCGTTGATATCGAACAGATCGATGTCGTCAATGTTGAGCGATGCACGCTCTAGGGCGCCCTGAATTGCTCGAACGGGTCCGATGCCCATGATAGATGGCTCAACAGCGACGACGTGATAGCTCAAGATTCGTGCGAGAGGTTTGAGACCGTATCGCTTGACACCTTCTTCGCTCGCAACAACGTTGGCAGCTGCACCGTCGCAGATACCGCTCGCATTGCCCGCACTGACCACGCCGCCCTTCTTGAATACGGCGGGCAATTTAGTCATTGCGGCCAAGTCGACCTTGGGTCTCGGATGTTCGTCGATTTCGAACGACTCAACAGCGCCCTTGCGTCCCGGTACACTGACGGGTGCGATCTCGTCTTTGAATGCGCCCGCTTCTTGTGCTGCTGCCCATCGATGCTGAGACTGAACGGCATAGTTGTCGCATTCTTCTCGCGTGATACCGAACTTGTCAGCGAGATTCTCTGCTGTTATACCCATTGGCGTGACGGTAGGGAAGCGATCTGTCAATGCTGCTGCGAGAGAGTCTTCCAGCTTGAGATCGACGCCATACTTTGATCCAAATCGCGCCGCGCCAGCCAGCGTGTCTACCCTGACATGTCAACCGTCTGAGCATTGCGCAGTGGTCTGAGCCTACATGGTGCCATGGACATATTCTCTGTGCCGCCAGTGAGAACGACGTTGCTCTCGCCGAGCTTGATCTCTTGCACGGCATTGACGATCGTTTGGAATCCAGAGCCACACAGCCTGCCAGACGCGCGAGCACACACACGCTCAGTCACATCAACATGGGCGCGCAATGCCATTGTACCTGTTGATAGTGAGAGCTGGCACTTCTACAGGCAGCTTGGCGTGGTGTCCGACGTGCCGCGCTAGGTAAGCGCCCGAATTGTCGCTCTGGAGCACACTGCCAAAGATGACTTGGTCAAACTTGACACCTTCTGGCAGCTCGGCAATAGCCGCTCTGGAGGCTAAGCCACCGAGTGCAGCCGCATTGAACGACTTGAGTTTGCCGCCGAACGCTCCGAACCTGCACAGAGCAATGTCAATTGGTAGGACCACGAGATCTTGCTGTTCGAGCTCACGGCGTCCGTTTTGCTGCTACAATGAATGCTTGGGTCGTCATGGTGGCTTATGCGAGCTGCCGGATGCTCGCAGAAGTCGCGAAGGAGGTCGGTCAATCGCTGACTGTCAGGTCGTCGCTTTCAGGCAATTCGATTCATTTCTATTCCTCGCGCCGATCTCGTCCGAAGAAGGACCGTCGACTGTCTTCGCCGCAAACGCAGACTTCGGGCTGCAAAGCACAACTTCCAGCTTGGACTTCTGATTCCGCGAACACTGTGTCATTTTGACAATCAAGACCGTAACATGATAGCGAATTGCGGCCATGAGGACGGCTTGTCTGGCCCCTCCGATGAGGATGTTCTTGTAAGCTCAGTCGACGAGTCAGCACCCATACGCGATCCTCAACAAGCACACTTGAAGCGCGCATACCTCATGACCAAGGTGTACTGTGCTGTCTGCCTCAATGTCTGGGACGGCTCGTCTCCTCGTTGCGTCGGGCCCTGCCGCGAAAGGGCTTTATGACGGCTGTCTTGGTTTCATTTGGGCATGCACTGACTCGGTTGACCATGCTTAGCGCCAGTATGGCTACACACAAGTACAGTGACGCTGCTTTCTCACGGCAGGCCGAGTCTCACCTGATCTTTCAGACATTGCATCGCGGCTGGAAGCAATTCGAGAGCTTCAGTGCAGCCTTTGGCTCACTCTATTTTGTCGGCGGTACGTACCAATCTGCGTCATGGGTACCAGAATGTCACGCCATCACATCGATTCAGGTATCCGCATCCTCTTTTCGATCGGCATAAAGTCTGGCGGTCCGGTTGCGCTCTGGTATGCTCGACTCGCTTTCTCTTTAGACATCTTGAGGATGAGAGCAGGTCTGGCTTCCTGCTGACTATACCTTTGATGTGCATCATCGCAGCCGTCTTGGCCGAAGTGTGTTCAGCCGTACCGCTCTCGGGGTCCATCTACATCTGGGCAGCCGATGCTGGGGGTCCCAAGTACGGGCGTCTCTTCGGCTTTGTCACGTACGCTTTTTCCTCCTTCGGCGAGATCAGGACCTGTTCTCAATGTGGGCCAGTGCTTTCTGGTCCACTACTGCATGGACATCATTTGTGGCATGTAATACTCAAGCTACGACCAATTTCCTCATATCTGAGCTTAATGCTTTCCATGCGACGTTTGATGGCCCGCTCGACTACAGCAACTTCGAATACCGCCTCGTCGCATGGCTCTGCGCTCAGGTCTTCCTTGCACTTGCCATTCTTACCAATCTCATGCCGCCTCGCGTGTTTACCTGGATCTTCAGAGGCAGCTTTGCCATCATCATGATCGATTTCGTTATGACCATGACCTGGCTCCCCATCGGCGTTGCCCGCACGTATGGCTTTCAGCCGGCTAGTTTCCTGCTCACCTACTACAATGGCACCGGCGCTCCAGATATATGGAATATCATGCTAGTCTTTCTGTCGACTTCGGGTGTCATGACAGGATTTGACGCTGCTGGACATATCGCTGAAGAAACGCAAGGAGCAAGTCTCAGGACAGCACGAGGACTCTTCTGGGGATGCGCAGCAACAGGCATTCTTGCCTTTCCCGTGCTCATGCTCTTTCTGCTCTGTTCTCCCTCGCTTGACGTTCTCTTTGCGTTGGATGCGCCACAGCCCTTTGTCAACCTGTATGCTCTCGCGCTCGGAAACGCGGGTCAGATTGTGATGACTGCAGTTGCAATCTTTGGGCTCTTCATGGTCGGCCACTCTGAGCTTGATTGCGGCGTTCGCTGATCGGTATCGAGCGATGACAGAATACCAGTCTGGCCATCGTAGCAGCTTCTCGACTGATCTATGCGATCGCTCGCGACGGCGTCCTGCCCGGCTCGATATGGATCAGTCGAATTAGCGAGCATGGCCAGCCGCGCAACGCTGTTCTCTTCATCTGGATCGTCTCCGCGGCTCTCATTTGTACCATCCTGCCATCACAAGTCGCCTTCACCTCGCTCGTATCTGCCGCCGGACTGCCTCTCATCACTTCATACGCTCTCGTCGCAGGCGCACGCGTCTTCTGCACGCCGCACAAGTACAGAGAAGCAAAGTGGAACAACGGCCCCTTCTCCTTGCCCTTTTGCTGGATCGCGTTGATCTGGTCGCTCTTTCTCACGGCCGTATTGCTCTCGCCGTACCAATTCCCGGTCACAGCTCAGACGTTCAACTTCGGACCACCCATTTGGGCTGCAGTGACCATGATGGGCATCGTCTCGTACTTTTACGTGCCCGAGAGCGTTTGGCTCAGCAAGCGTCACTTTGCGGTAGAGCACAGCTCGACTGGCGCCGCGGAAGCACAAGCTCGGAAGAAGATCAGAGCTTGAGCTGCGGACATCATCGGACTCGCCTCCGCACTAGGACAATATACTTACCGTGGGCCTGAACGCGATCAGGACGATTAGTGTCGCTACGCCTTCCAAAGGGATACCGTCACCCCGAACAATGCATGACCTCGCGTCCGGTGTATCGTACTGGCTAGCCACTCTTGGCCCCTTTATCGTTGCTTTGTAAGGAAAATCGCGGCAGTACACGATTTTCGCATCGCCCCAATTCAATCTGCTTCTAGCTATTCCCGCAATACCAGCACATCCTCGAGCCTGGGGGTCATGCGGCACCTTGCACTTCTCTTGTGTCTTTCGACAGTCTGCGCCTTCCCCGGACTCCCTATCCTGCCGCGCGACCGTGGTGACCAGTCACAGGAGTACAGCATGAATATGTCGTACACGGCCAGATGCAGCCGGGACACAGTCTTTGATCCGGCGACAGATGCTTGGTGTTCGTTGTTGCTCTTCTTGCAATCTGTACCAAACATTGACAGGGCCGGTAGCGAGCATCACTATGTTCCTCACGCGGGTCGGAGAGAGGAGGGGCAACCGAGACATTGTCAGAACATGGGTCAGCAATACGGTTCCATGAGCGCATCAGCCTCTCACAGCGCATGCCAGATGAACCCCATTCGAATCGGCTCTTTCGAATTCGAGCCGCAGGAATATCTCGGCCAACCTGACGCGGCAAGATTCAGCTTCACTCTCATCAGGGAATTGACTGGTGCAGAAACGCCCGGGATCACTAGATGCTGTCGTGTCAGTTTCAAGTAAGCAGCTGGTCGTGCGCTCGTTCAATCGCGCCGAGACTGAAAAAGCGACAGCTTTGTGATTCTCATGAGCGTGGATAGACATCAATGGGAATGGGAGGCACCGCAAGTCAACCTCGTTTGCTCCAAAGACTACGAAGGATGTCAGCCCATGGTATTGAGGAGCTACGGTCTCAGAGGCGTGCAACCTTGTCACTCCACACAACTCGATGTCAAGGAGATGAACGCCCCATGCTCGTGGTGCTGGCCATGGAGCTAAGGGTAAGATGCATAAAGGTCAAGCCGCAGTTGCAAGCCAGTCACCAGCTTCAATACGACCAGGTTGATCTGATACAATGCGCGCTCTTGTGCTCTCAAGAGTCGTGATGGATGAAGACGGTCTGTGGTGCATGTACTGCAAGGAATGCGGCGCACTGCACCCTGAAGACCCGCTGAGATGATGTCTGCTAGGACTCGCGCGGGCAGCGTTGCAGCTTCTCAAGCTGGCGTGAGATACCGGTTCAGATTGACCGAGTGACACAGTCAACGCTGACACGTGGCCATTATCTACAGCCCCACCACGTCGGCGCCGGCAATTGACGCTAGCGGCGACACAAAAAGTAGCCTCGATCACCTCGACAGAAGCACACGACTCGACCTTTATCGGGCAGACGGACAGGCGGCCCTCACTCGCTCGACATCTGCCGTCGTCATATCCAAAGTCTGCCCGATAGACGCCCAGCATGCGCCTACTGCTGAGCTCGGCCGCACTGACGGCACTGCTGCATGTCGCTACTGCCCTCGTCGCATCAGACAACACCTATAAGCGAGGGCAGATCCCTGTCGTTGAAGGCGTCATTGGCGGCGTGCCATCGTCTAATGAAGCGGCTACACAAGACCGCTATCTATCCTATGCGTCCACTGCTGCCACACCCAACTACACCGTCTTTAGTAACTATACTGGTGCTTACCAAGGCCTGAAGATTCGCTATATCGTCAACTCTGGGCAGTGTGAGCGCACGCCAGGCGTCAAGGCTGTGTCTGGCTACTTGGACATTGCAACAAACCAGTCCTTGTTCTTTTGGTATTTCGCTAGCCGTCAAGCGCCTGCGTCAGCGCCCACCGTCGCATGGTTCAATGGCAAGTAATCTTACGCAATTTCAGTCCGAATGCTGATGGTCTTCAAGTACAGGCGGACCCGGTTCATCGTCCATGATAGGTCTGTTCCAAGAGAATGGTCCATGTCGCATCACGAACGACTCAAAGAGTCTTGTCAACAACACGCAATCCTGGACCAACGTCGCCAACATGGTCTTCATCGATCAACCCGTCGGTGCGGGCTACAGCTACGGCCAAAATGTCGTCGGCACATCCGCCCAAGCTGCTGCTGCAGTCTACATCGGCCTGCAGCTCCTCTTCCAATCAAATCTTGGCATTCCCCTCAACAGCTTCGGGATTGCAACCGAAAGCTACGGAGGACACTACGGTCCCGTCTTCTCAGCTTTGATCTTGTCCAATAATCAGAAACTGCCTACCGGTGCAGTCAACATTCCCTTGAAATACTTGCTCGTAGGCGACGGCTTGACGAACGGGCTTGTCCAATACCCTGCCTATCCCACGTTTGCAAAGACGAACCCCACGGGACAGCACGTATCAGATGCCACCATCACAAAGGCTAATACGACACTGTACAAGAGTGGCGGCTGCCTCAGTCAGATCGCATCATGTCAATCGAAGCCGAGCAATTCTGTTTGCTCTGCGGCACAGTCCTACTGCAACAACTACGTGCTGAGCCCTCTTGCCGGCAACCAGGACGTCTACTTCTACGCGCTTCCGAGCACGGACCCTTACCCCGCTGATCTGACGCCTTTGCTGACCAACTCGACTTTCATGGCAAGCATTGGCGCTACATCTACTTGGCAGCAAAGCTCGAGTCCAGTCTATTCCAATTTTGCCAGGACGGGCGACTGGATGTACAACAGTTCTCCACAGTTGCAGACCGTCATCAACGCTGGCGTTCGCGTTCACGTTTTCTCGGGCGATAGAGACTATATCCTCAATAGCGTTGGCGTGGAAGCACTCGTCTCAAGTCTATCAACCCAGAGCAGTTCGCTGTACAAATCTGAGAATTTCTCGGCTTGGACGGTCGCAGGACAATCTGCTGGACTGTATAAGAACGCTTTCAGCGGATCTGCAAAGTTTTCGTATCTCCGCCTCTATGGTGCAGGACACGAGGTACCGGCGTACACCTATGGTAAGCTGGCATATGGCCAGGCAGCGCTCAGCATGTTCACACAAGTCATCAAAGGCACTCCAATCACGTCTACGTAACGTCGTCAAGACGATCACGTCACTTCGATATTTCTTCATTGGGACACCAGGAAAAAGCGCTGAAGTCACACAAGCGCATTGTTGCATTATAGAGACACGACTTGATCACCATTGCATCCGAGCTTGGTGGAAATGATAGCTCTTGATGCTGTAGGACGCGTCGCCAACCATCCTAATCCGTGAAAAATCGCTCGTAGCTCCCCTGATCTTGTTCATACCTATCGTCATCTTCCTGTGGTAGTGCCCAACGGTGTACAGATGCGCTGGCTCTATCGATTTGCGAGCCTCCCTCTCCTCTTGTCCTGCTTGCATGGCTGCAAGGCAACCATGAGACCAAGCGACAAATCAGCCAAGCTAGCTGATCCCATCGATATCGACAACAACCCCGCAACCTCTCTGCTGACGAGCAGAGCGCGAAAGGGCACCTTTCAATGTGTCAGGTTGACGGACTGCGATGTCTTGTGCTCCGGCATAGTAGACAATAAGCCATTTGCGGCGCAAGCTAGGAGTCTCAGAGTGACTACTCAGGTCGTGCTCGAAGATGGCGAACTCCACTGCGAAGTGAGTCTGCATATCCATCTCAAGGGAAGTATGGCTTCATCCTCTGATGAGCCCGGTAGAAAGGAGTCGTGGACGCAGCAGAGGCGATCCAATGCGACTTTGACCCGTCCTTATCGGGGCCTGTGATTCCGGATGTCGAAATGCGCGGCACACACCGTATCTGGCATGGTCCTAACGGCCTCAAGCCGTTCGACGTCATCGGCGAGGGCGCAGAGATCATCTCATCGTGCTGTGTACCTACTTGGAGATTTAGAGCTATGGTCAATCCGCCTCGTGAGCGCTGTCCCTGCTCAGCAACCTGATGAACTCACGAATGAACACAGCGCAATACTTTCATTTGCTCGAGACTGACATTTCTATGATCTGCACGCCCTATCAGGGCTTCCATCTATCAGACGGACGAACTTGCGCCCAGATTTTCCCTTCTGGCGCAGTCAGTGTGACAAAATGCTGGCAGCAGATTGGATCCAATTGTGAGGTGAGACCGCGAGCGCGCCTGCCCACCTCGTGCCCAGTCTAGTCGACGCGGGACATCACATCGGTGCAGCCAAGGATGCCAAGTTGCGCAACGCAGACGTACAGTAGATGCAATGCAGTCTTCAGACAGCTCTCATAATAAAGCCAGACCGTGAGCAAGATCGAGCGTGATTTACGCCTTCTTTGCCTTGGCGGCCATCGTGTTCAAGGCTGAGCCGTTCTTGAACCACTCTATCTGACCAGCATTGAATGAGTGAACGAGCGGGACTGCAAAGGGCGAATCAGCAACGTGCCACGAGAGCAGGAACCCAAGGCTCACCCTCTTCGTTCGAGCCCTCCTTGTGCTTAAGTCGCAAGGTAAGCTCAGAGCCTTCAGCGAAGGAGTCGAGGCCTAGGATGTCGACCTTGTCATCATGCTTGACCCTGTATGTCCTCGTCAGCGCTGCAAAGTAGAAAGGGATGGTTCAACGTACTTGTCGTAGTCTGCTGGGTCTTTGAAAGTCAATGCGAGCATGCCTTGCTTCTTCAAGCTGTTGCGAACGTCAGGCGAGCGACAAGGAATACAGAGTGAGCTCACTTGGTCTCGTGAATACGTGCGAAAGATCGGGTGATGACGGCAGCGCCACCAAGGAAGCGAGGCTCAAGAGCGGCATGCTCTCTGCTACTGCCTTCGCCCAAATTCCAATCACCGACGACGACCCACGGAATACCCTTATCTCTATACGAAGCTGCGACTTGGGGGACACCGTCCCACTCGCCCGTGAGCTGGTTGAGGACAGAGTTGGCCTTGTCGTTCGCTTCGTTGATGGCGCCGATGTAGCAGTTTTGGGAGATATTCTCGAGATGGCCTCTGAACTTGAGCCAGGGACCGCCGGCAGAGATGTGATCGGTCGTGCACTTGCCCTTTGCCTTGATCAGCACAGGCGCATCGGTGACATCCTTGCCATTCCACTTGCTAAACGGCTTCAGGAGCTGTAGACGATCCGACTTGGGGTCAACAGCGACCTGGACGCTCTCGCGATCCGCAGGTGGCTCCTGGAAGGTGTTCTCGCCTGGGTCATAGCCGCGAGGGGGGAGCTCCTTGCCGGACGGGTCTGAGAACTTGAACATCTTGCCATCCTTGCCCTTGAGCGAGTCTGTCATCGGGTTGAACGTGAGATCGCCAGCGAAAGCCATCGCGGTCACAATGTCAGGCGAGGCGACGAATGCGCGCGTGGCAGGGTTGGCGTCATTTCTGCCAGTGAAATTACGGTTGTATGATGTGATGATCGAGTTAGCCTCGCCCTTCTGAACATCCTGACGATCCCATTGACCGATGCAAGGACCGCAAGCGTTGGCCAGTACCATGCCGCCAACTCCCTCAAGAACACCCATCTGACCATCTCGCTCGATTGTCGCTCGGATCTGCTCTGATCCGGGTGTGACGGTGAAAGCAGACTTGACAGACAGACCGTGATCAGCTGCCTCTTGGGCAATGGACGCAGAGCGGGACATGTCTTCGTAGGACGAGTTGGTGCAAGAGCCAATGAGGGCAACACGCAGATCTGCGGGCCAGTCGTTCTCCTTGACCGCCGCAGCGAATTTGCTCAATGGCGTGGCAAGATCGGGCGTGTAAGGACCGTTGATGTGAGGCTCAAGCTCGCTGAGGTTGACCTCGATAAGCTCATCATATTGCGCGTTCTCGTCTGGCTTCAGGTTGTGTGCGAAGGAGTTGGCGTACTGAGCGATCGGTGCGCGCTTGGTCGCATTCAGGTAGGCTTCCATTCGCTTGTTGTAGGGGAACATGGAGGTCGTGGCGCCAATCTCTGCGCCCATGTTGCAGATTGTGCCCATGCCCGTTGCAGAGAGTGATTCGACGCCCGGTCCGTGATATTCTACGATGGCACCCGTGCCGCCCTTGACGGTAAGAATGCCAGCGACCTTGAGGATGACGTCTGTCAGATCTGTCAGCTTCGGCATAAGCATAACAGGAAGATGGCTCACCCTTGGGCGTAGTCCAGCCTGAGATGGCGCCTGTAAGCTTGACGCCGATGACCTTGGGGCACTTGAGCTCCCAAGGAATGTCTGACATGACATCGACTGCGTCTGCACCTCCGACACCGACAGCGATCATGCCGAGACCGCCAGCATTGGGAGTGTGAGAATCAGTGCCGATCATCAGACCACCTGGGAATGCGTAATTCTCTGCAAAGGAGATCAGTCTTCTACCCAAACGAACAGACAATGCATTCACGCACCGAGGATGATCTGGTGGATGATGCCCGAGCCTGGCTTCCAGAATCCGATGCCATACTTGGCCGTGGCAGTAGCCAGGAAATCGTAGACTTCCTTATTGATGTCGTTGGCGCGCTTGAGATCGGCTACGCCACCCGTCTGAGCCTCGATGAGATGATCACAGTGGACCGTCGTAGGGACTGCGGCAGTAGGCAGACCGGCAGACATGAATTGCAGTAGAGCCATCTGGGCTGTCGCATCCTGGCAGGCTACTCTGTCGGGGCGCAGTTTGAGGTAAGACGCGCCTCGACGAATGTCGGCATCATGAGGATTGTCCAAATGACCGTAGAGGACCTTTTCGGACAGCGTCAGAGGGCGGTTGAGCCTGGCAGAACCTAGCTTGAGCGGGCACACGAGCACGATATGAGTGGCAAACTTACCGCTGACGAATGACTGCGAGATTGTCCTCGATTCGCTGATAGTTGATGTAGGAGTCCTTCTCAAAGTTGCTCATCGACACCTTTGTGTCACCGATCCTCGAGGCTGCAGTGGCCAGCGTTCGTGCCTGGCTTCCGCATGCCGGCAATGAGCGCTGAACGCGAGCCAGCCTTTGGCTGGTCTTGCTGAGCGAGAGCACCATGTCGCTTGTGCGTAGATTATATGTGGCTCTGCACTGCGCTTGTCAGTACGCTGCATATGCCACTCGCAGTAGGTGAAGTCAGGCACGGAGCGAATGAGCGCTAGCCACCTCGATGTGTGACTCGACTCCTTCTCGTCCGCGGACGAAGTCAGGCAGTAGATGCAGACTTGCACCGAGTGCTATCAAGCTGTCATAAATCTGCTATGTTCACCGAGAATGGACGCCGAGCACGATGAGGTAGACGATAAGTTGATTCGTTGCCTCTCTGGCCTCGGAGCGCATCCGTCGTAGCAAAAGCCACAGACCACCAAGAGGCGAGCAAGCAGTAGAGGAAACTCACATGCGCAGGGATCAAGCCCAGTTCTCTGCGTGAGCCCAAGGCTTTGTCGTCTGCCTCTCTGCTCGACTTTCGGCCGCGAGCGGGTAATTTCGCTCGACCAATCAAATTCGCCAATTTACTACGGAGAAGTCAAATCAGGCCAGGCTCCAGCGCATTCTCGCCCTTGTCGACATGCGCTTCCTCAGCAGCATCCTCCTCGTGTCGTTTGTCCGTTCAGTCACTTGTCCTCCCAGCCAGCAACAGCTGTACTGCCTTGCCTTGCGCACATGCACAGCCATACTGGCCATCGAAGAGCCTACCGGCGAGCGATTTGGCGCGACACTCATCAATGATCATGATGCACTCTTTTCGGTCAACATGGAAGAAGAGATCACCTGCGTACGACGTGTGGACTTTGAACAAGCGGACGCTGAGCACGCGGAGCAGACACAGATTCAAGGGGAACCCATCGCCAACTTCAGATGCATCGTCCTCGCCGAAACAGCAACGCCGACAGGTTCTCCGCTTTGATGACCGTTGGCCGATAAGTGTTCACATGATCGGCACACAGGCCAAAGCTATCGACTTGCTTCCGGACGGGAAATGTCGATTGTCTCGGCAGATGGCCCTATCGTGGAAGGCGTCACGCCAACAAAGTCACAAATGATCCAGCAGTGCTGCTCAGGCCATCAATTCGCTAGATTCGCCGTCGATCGTCCAGATAGTACGTATCACATTCTTGAGCAGCCGTAGCCGCGTTAGACGATGCTTATAAGACCGCGTTCAGCCATGTTCAAGAGGCTTCGGCCTGATTTTGCTGTCGTGTGCGACCCAGCTTCGCCGCAGTTCTACCTGCGAGCTGACTGTCAACATTACTTCCCTCAGAGCGGCAGTAAGCCTTTCGCATGTTGCACGTACGGGAACTCACACGGCGCTGCAGTCATTTACAACGCGATAGCAGGTTTGTTCGACTCTTGCAAAATCACTACGGAACGAAGATACGGCTCGCGCTGCTACTGGCATGACCGCCTCGGTGCGAACTCGTCGCTTCCTCTCCGAAGTACCAATGCATAGCTGCTACAGTACCTGGGGAGGATTCGGCACCGGCCATTCGCATCTTTCGTGCCTCGTCCCGAACAAAGATGGACAGGGCATCCGGGTGACTGGTTGCTAGCGCTTCAGCTCGCATCGTTGGTTACAGGGTCGCATCGGCTGGTCGCCACACGAGTCTGTTACATCGTCGATCGAGGGTATCGTAGAGGACGAGGATCAAGCGCACACACTGTCGCTGATGACTTTGCGGAATAATGATGCTTTGACGTTTGCGCGCGTGCGCGCCAGTCGCGCATCGCCCTTCATCGGTTCATCACACAGCAATGTAGCTCGGCTGCGGCAGGCCGACACTCCCCGTTCTGGTTCGCCGTTTAATACATGTGCAGCGACTCCATCGATGCGATAAATTGCTTTGCTTTTCGCACTTCATGACACGGATGTGTTGTTTAAAGAGAAATCTACCGGCAACCGAGTAAGATCTTCGGTCTGGCAAATCTCAGAGTGGTGTTGCTGCAGTCGCTTATAGTGCGGGAGGACTGTTCGATCCTTGCAGAATGAATGTGCTCCCGCTGCTGCAGGCACGGCGTGATCTCCTTGTCGCAAGCTGATCAGCTTCTCTCGGTCGGAAAAACAATTGCATAGCCCTTATTGTACTTGCGGAGGGTTTCTTACCGGCCAGTGACATCTCTTGCGCTGCGTGCCTAGCAAAGGTGCGCAATTTCCCTCTACTGCTTCGCAGACAGGATCTGGGTCCGAGACAGGGAACAACTCCGAGCACTTCCACAGAGACACTTTTGCGGATGTGGCTCTGCAGATCAAGCGGAATACGGGCGGCGTGTGACCGAAAGTGCCTGCGAGCACAGTTCAGATGCAACGTTCTCGACCTTTCGTCGACTTACGAGCATTGAAGTAGAACTCTGTCTGTACCGACCAAGCGAGCGTGCAGCAGTTGCGAAGCATCTCCTCGACGATCCCGTTGTCGCTCTCTGCCGTCATGACCTTGCCAAAATCTTCCTGCATCCTCACTTTCCAGAGGTCACTGCCCTCCCAGGCTGGTCCGCCCAGGCAAGCGGGAGTCCATGGCTGATTCGGTTCATACTGTCTATATCGTGAGCTTGTGCGTCTTTGATGTGGAGAGGAAGGTCTCACTGTACAGGATGGGTACGGATTGCCATGAGCGTCCTCCATATTGAGACGGACTCTGAACAACGAATTGTCAATAATGCTGGTCGTCTCGAAAGGGCTTGGGTACGGCACTCCAATTCGGTCGTAAGACCCCTTGCAAACGACACGACAAGTAGGCACAGCCACACAGAAGGTGGACGTTTCTTTGCAGAATACTTCAGCCGTGAAAGCGACCAAGAGGCTTCCGAGCGCCGTGAGAATGTGGATCATGATCATGCCAAATTTTCACGAATCGGCGCAAGGAGGATCGAGAGGAGGAATGGCGATGCCCGAGACTGTTCTGCATCGCGGCAACAGCACCTCTCCGCGTGACTGGTTGCTAGCGCTTCAGCTCGCATCGTTGGCAACGACTCACGTCATGTCAGTCGATCTCGAATAGTCCCACATCGTTCAGATTGAGCTGATATGGACGAAGAGGATAGATGCACGCAGATTGCCGATGCTGACTTCGCGGGATATTGCATGCTTTCGTCGCGCTCACTGCCGGCATTTATTGCTGACACGTGTCAACTGCCATATGGACTGACACATGATCAAGCGCGCCTCTTTAAACAACAATAAATCCTCATCTGCTCCGGCCAAAACTTGGTCACACCACCTTTCATCATCGCTGCCTTATCCATACGCATCAGATGCACTATCTCGCTCTTTGCACATGCATGTCCATACCGGCCATTGTGCATCCTATCAATGAGCGATTTGGCACCACACTTATCAATGGTCAAGATGCACGCGTGCATTTGCCATGAACGAACAAATCACTTCTGTACGAGCTTGCGAGCTCATTAGAGGGCTGCTGCGGACGTGAGACACACGCAAGTGGAAGGAGCCCCATCGGCATATTTCAACTGCATCTTCCGAAACAGCGAGAACAACAGGCCCTCGCATGCTGCACGCTGCTTCATGCATTCCGCTAACGTTGAGGGTCAGGTAAAAGCTCTCACCTTGCTGCCGGGCGCGGGGACGAAGCATTCCGGCAGAGGGTTCTTTATTGGAAGGCGTCGATTCGACAAATCACAATGAATCGATCGATCAACGCTACTCTGGCCATCATTCTGCCAGGTTCCTGGTGATACATCCGGATGATCTTCTGTCGGCGTTACATACGAGCTCAGAATGGCATTCACAGCCATACCCCTGAAGTTTCGGCCTGAGTTCGCAGTCGTATGCGACCCGAATCGTCGCAGTTCTACCCGCGAGCTGATTGTCTTAAAAAGCTGCTTCCCTGCAGACGGCGATATGCCTTTCGAGCCTTGTCGGCTCAGATGATGCTGCAGTCGCTTATCTCATCGCGCAGTATCACTAATCGAGTTTGGCATGAACACTGCAATTAGATATGCCTCCAGCTGTTACTCTCGTAGCCGCCTTGGTGCGAGCTCGTCATCTTGTTTGCTCTCGAAAGAATGCATGCTTGGCTGCTACTGTATCTGAGGAGACACAGACACCGGCCATTTGCATTGCTTTTTCCTCGTGCCAAGCATGGGAGCACAGGTGCCCTCAACCGCTCTGCAGATGGGGTCTGGGTCCGAGACAGGAAACATGTCCGAGCACTTCCAGAGGGATATCTTTTCAGATGAACCCCTGCAGATCAAGCTGAACAAGGGCGGCGTGTGACCGAAAGTGCCTGCGAACACATTTGAGATGCGACGTGCTCGAACTTCCATCAACTTACGAGCATTGAAGTAGAACTCTGTCTTTACCGACCAAACGAGCGTGCAGCAGTTGCGAAGCATCTCTTCGACGATCCCGTTATCGCTCTCCGCCTTCATCACCTGACCAAAGTCTTCCTGAAGTCTCACTTTCCAAAGGTCACTTCCATCCGGTTCTGGCTCGCCGAGGCAAGCGGGTGTCCACGGCTGATCCGGTTCTTTCTGCATGTGTCATGAGCGCGTGCACGTTCGTATCGAAGGGAACGTCCTGACTGTACAGGATGCGTACGGAACGCCGCGAGCGGTCACCCTGTTCAGACGGATCCTGAACATCGAATTGTCGATGACGCTGGTCGTCTTGTAAGGGCTCGCGTAGGGCACGCCGATACGATCGAAAGACCCCGTGCAGGTGACAGAACAAGCTGGCACTGCCAGACAAAAGCCGGACGACTTGTTGTCAAGAACTTGGGCCGTAACACCGACCGACAGTGCTATGAGTGTCGCGAGCATACGAAGCATGTTGACGCCAAGGTCTGACCAATTGGCGCAAACAGAATCGAGAGGAGGGTTGACGATGTCCGAGACCGTCTCCTATCGCGACAACAGCACCTCTCCGGGTGACTGGTCGCTAGCACGCTAGCGCTTCAGCTCGCATTCTTGGCTACGAGCGACGTATCAGCAGATTACATGGAGCCGGTCCTGATGCATTGTCGAATAAAGCTGTCGCGGAGGAGAGGATCATGCTCGCAGGCGTATGATAAATCTGCGGGGTAATGTCGTCGCAGGCTGAAGCACTATTCACGCATCGCGCTCAGTAAACGACGTCCCGAATTTCATCGGCTACAGCCGACAATCGCTGTCCCAACTCCCCATGCATCGTTCGCCTCGTTGATATGCAGCATCTTCATTGAAGCGAACGCAAGCGCCCATACTTGAACCTCCGGGGAAAGGGAGCCTTGTCGCTCCTCGGCCTAGCTGTCGAACAGCAGGCGCCAGTAGGCGCGACCAAACCTGATCTGGGACTCATTTCTGTTGCGAGAGGCATGGAAACCCAGTGGGAACCAAGGACTGCATCAATAGCCTCTCAGCAACTGGGGCCAATGGCGCAAAACAGCGACAGTCTCATTCTCGAGGTTTCATGAGCTCTGCAGCACTTCACGAGCTCGTAGCGCCGTGTTCGCACCCTTTGTGACATGAAGCGTCGTTGTCCTGGCCAGATCGATGCATGACTACTCTTGCGGACTGGGTCCCTCCGGGGACTGCGGCCAAACGCAGCCGCCTGCGGCTCTGGATGACCTGGTCATCATGGGCGCACATGTGTTCTCGGATGGGCTGCATTCGGCCGAGTCAATCATCGTAGGAAACATCTCAGCGCAAGTCCACAGAAAGACCTTCTTCTGAGATCCCTCACATCGCAATTTGAGCACAGGAGACTTGATCTCATGATCGCCTACAATCAGCGCGATCGCAGATCAGCCAACCGTCGACAATGAAGCAAGTGAGGTCGCACGTGAGTTGAATGCGAATGCGAAAGCGGTGGACCAGACGAGGTGACAACATTGGCGAGCCATCTCCTCGGCGATCCCGTTCTTGCTCTCTACTTCCACCTGGGCGTCCATAGGAGCGTAGTGAGCCGTGACGTCCCATATATCGAGGTACATTCTTGGCCGGCCCATACACTCAGGAGTCCAAGGCTGCCCAGACTCTGACTATCCGTCATCTTTAGCGCAAGTCATCGAGCCTGCTGCTTGAGGAAACTCACGAGGCACGACACTGCGGGCAACCCTCTTCTGTTCGCTTGTGTCAGACGAATGCGGAACATGGTCTTGTCGATGACGCTGGTAGAAGTATAGCTGCTTGGCCAGGGAAGACCAGCCTCAAATTCGCCCTCGCACTTGATGGCACATGAAGCGACCGCAATGCAAAACTCTGCCAGGTTCTTGCTGGCAACACAGGCGACCAGCGCAAGCCAGAGGATGCGATTCATCTTCTCTCGCGAGACCACATGAAGAGCTTCTGCGGCGTATCGGACACGAGAGGAGCTAAAGACTATCTCAGCGTGGCAACCTGACGCGTGCAACGTCAGTACCACCAAACGCTCATCTCTCTGCATTGAGGCGTCATAGTCAACTAGAGATCGCCCGTCCTCGCCATTGACACTGTTCTTTCGAGTAAAACTCCTTCGTGTAAACGCAGTCGTGTGACGGCACACAAGGAGTCGCCGAAAAGCTGGCGAAGTAGTCTCGGCAGTGCTTGTCCGTGCCTGCGACTGGACGATCGTTTCCGGAACAGACGACTTGGGTTCGCGGTCGTCCGAACGGGATCTCACCTGGATTACGCATGAGCAATTCGATGGGAACAGAGCTCTGAGTAATACCCACTTGTCGTCCAGATGTATTTGAACTGATAGTCACGTACGACAGCACAGCAAGCATTCATCGCCAGTCGTATATCATCCGGCGCATCGAACTGAGTATACGCTCCTTTGACGATCATGACCTCCCATTGAATTGTACTTGGCAACCGGAGGGTGACTATGCCAGTACAGCTAGGCGCCGGTAGCTGTTGATTGGGTGGATTGAGCTTGCAATCGACGATAGGTGCACTTTGTCGATCCGCCATGCGCACTTTGATCAACGTGTTCCGATGCGGCGCTCGAGCGGTAAAAGGTATCGTCGTGATCCCGGCGTCATAGTCTCCTGCGCATTCTGCTGGGCAGCCGGACATGCCAATGCAGACATAGCGAGTTGGATGTCGATTGGGAGCTTCGATCAAGGTAGGCGCAATGACAAAGAGCCAGAGCACGACAAACAGAGACATTGCTTGGCGCGAGAAAGCGATGGAAAGCGAGAAACCCGATTTGGCTATCGTGCGAAACAAGGAGCCGGGCGTAAGCTGACTAGAGAGTCAAGGTTGGAAGCCTAGAGAGAAGCTTTGATGGTGCAACAGTGGCGTTTGGACACTGGCTGCAGCGACAGCTCAAATTTATCTCAGGAGAGGCGCGACGTTTTGCAGCGTTGCCTCGTACTGACTTGAAGATAGGTGCTCGTTTGAGGGGGAAAGGTCTCTATTAGCTGCGCAAACACAACACCTGCGCGCGCAGAGCGACTGCCCAGCAGTAGACTTGCGACTGATATGGCATAGCTGCGCTGCGAACCCGATTACTCCTGAGGAATCCAGAAGACGGTATCGACGCGATAGCCATCGATTCTCAGCATGGGCGAATTCATCTGTGATCTCGACGGTCAACAACGGCAATATAAGCAAGTGGTGGGTGCACTTACACTGATCGGCGAGCCGTTGTACATCGGGGATTTCAATGCATAACGCTCATCCGAATAACTGCCGGGGCCAATGAGCAGACCGAGTCGGAAGCTGAACATTCTGCCATACACCCTGCCGTAAACTGCAGGACAGGAAATGGTCGGACAATCAGTCCGAGTGTCTATCACGAGAGGGACAGGACTTGCGCGTAAAGGCATTCCACTCGCCAAACAGAGTCGGCTCGGTGTAGTCAAGCGAGGCGTGCCAGGTAGATGCACTGCTTGTGCCCGAGAACTGATCGAGAAATGCATGCTGCGGTATGTCAGTCGGGTTTAAGGGCGCGTCCGCATTGCCATCAGCGTACGTTATTAGGATCAACCGTAATGGTGAAGCCCAGCGTGCCAAATATGATCGGAACGTCGTATGGGAGCGTGAATTCGAGCGTGGCCGTATGCTCCCCGGTGACGAGGCGTTTCTCATACTTGACGGGCGAGCACGCTACCGCGAGAGCACCAAGCGCGAACAGGAGCTTTCCGAGCATGTTGTTGCGCGTAGAAAAGTGAGCGCCGCCAAGACGACGGATGCGCAAGAATAGTATGTGTCATGATGCATCACAGAGTGACGCATTGCGTCTGATCGTCGTACGGGAGTCAATGCCATGAGAACTGCGAACAGGAACGCCCAGAACATGCGCTGGTCTGTGAGCGTAGTCGCTGGCTTCCTTGCAGTGGTTGCGGTGGCACTGCCCGATGGATTCAAACATACGTGCATCAAGATGTCCGATTGCTGGCTCCGCTGCTCTGGCCAAGTGGGACTGCTTGCCTACAACCTTCAGTTGATGCATCAGCGCACCATGGTCAAGGTGCTCGTCAAGCCGAACTTGCAAAGCGCAGAGTGTCTAGTGCGTTTGCGCAGACCGAACGGAGATGTGCTGATCTAATTTGCCATGTAGCCAGGAACCAAGACATCCGACCAGATCGCTTGCACGTTCCACCTCCTTTCATTCGATCCGGCGAAATTGGAAATAGGAATCACCGGCGTACGAGATATGATAGGCGGACATGACGCGCAGGAGCCAACCATCATCAGCGGCTTGGGTATACTCTCCACAGGCATGTTCGACGGAGCTGATTACATGTCATGTAGCCGCACCTATCGTCAGCACTTGCTGCAAGGCACAGCTTGCCTTCACAGGAGTCGTATTGCCACTTTCGGGTCCGTGTGATCAGAGCGGGCGAAGATAGGCTGACGCATAGATAAGGCATCTTCCAGCGTGAAGCGACAGCAGTCGGTGTCGCTTGTGGCTCCAAAGCAGACGAAGTCGTGCCGTATTTCGATGGAAAGACTTGCAAGGACTTTTTCGACGAGCCGCAGTACGTAGGTACTTGCGAAATACAGCTCGTGCCGGGTCGAATGGGCAGCTGCAACGTGTTGAACGCGAGCAAACGGGAGAACGAAAGATGTCGATACGATTAGTCTGTGCCTATGTACCGCGCTGTTTTGATCGTAATTCCATCTTCCGGCGCATCAAACTCTGGATGGACTCTTTTGGCGATCGTGACCTCCCATTCGATTATGCTCTGCAATCGAGGGACCACTAGGCCAGTGCGGATGGGCCCCGGTTTCCATTCGACGCCGGACACGACAAATAGAGACACAGCCTAGCGCAAGAAACCGATCAAAAGCGAGCCGCAGGTCTGGCGCTTGTGCGAGACCAAGCAGCTTGGCGCAACTCGACCAGCATGTCAGGAGCCTGGAGCTTGAAGAAAAGCTTTGACAGCAGATTGTTGCGGGTAGAAAAGTGAGCGCCGCCAAGACGACAGATGCGCGAGACCAACATGTCTCATGAAGCATCACAGAGCGACGAGTTGCATTCTGTCCCTAGGTTGGACTGTTCTGTCCCTAGGTTGGACTGTTATGGTAGCCTTGGAACGTGGACGATCAAGGCATGCGCTGGCCCTTCGTACTGATCACGAGCGTCTTGTCATCTGTGGCTGCATTGCCCGATGGCTTTCGGTACACGTGCATCAAGATGTCAGATTGCTGGCTCCGATGCTCTGGCAGAGTGGGCGTGCTGAGCTACGACCTCCAATTGCTGCACAAACGCACTCTGGTCAAAGTAGTCGTCGGAAGGGATCTACTGGGCGCAGAGTGTACAGTAAATGTTTTCGCCAAGCTTGGTGTGATTTAGCTCATCTCGTGTGTACAACAGCCTGGAACGAGGGATTCTGAACCGATCGGTTGCACGTTCCATCTGCTTTCGCTCGATCCGACCAAACTTGAGATAGGTATCACTGGCGTCCGAAAGCTGACTGGCGGAAGTTATGAAGAGCACCCGACCATCATGAGCGGCTACGGTATATCCACGAGAGACAGATTCGACGGAGCTGATCTCTTCTTGCATAGCCGCACCCATTGTGAGCGCTTGTTGCACGGCACAACTTGCATTCACAGGAATCGTACTGCCACTTTCAGGTTCGCAAAGCCTGTGAAAGCGATGCAATCCTGACGATGCACGAATAGGCAAATTCGAGCGCGAAAGTCTGGCGGTCGGCGTCGCTTGTGGCTCTGAACCGGACAAAATCGTGCCTCGCTTTGACGGCAAGACTTGCAAAGACTTTTTCGACGAGCCGCAATACACGGGAACGTGTGAGGTACTGCCTTTGCAGGGTCGCATGGCAAGCTGCAACGTTTCAAACGCTAGCAGACGGGAGAATGAGAAATGCCGGTATGATTAGCCTGTACCTATGTACCGCGTCATTGTCGTGATACGGTGTCTCTAAAGTCAGCATTCTGCTGTCGCGCTGCTCTGTGGTGTGGAGAACCGTCAAATGGGCGTTTAGCCACATCGAGTGAATGTGTCGCACGATCTGTTCGCTTGCAGAATGTAGAAGACGCGAGCGTCAGGCGGCAGTATATGTTGATAACGACTGACACAAAAGACATTGTGCATAGTGCATGTGAGAATACTTGCTGAAGGTTGTGCCCTCTTTAGGATGAGGCTAAGCCAGAATGGACAAAGGCCCGATGTAGAACGATTGGCAGGACCAATCTGCTGACACTGAACCGCGAATTTGTAGTTCCGGTACGGCTTGAGTCATTTGCATTGTACATGTTTTGATCCCTGTTGCACAACTCAGGACGCGACTTGCTGGCGGTGCCGAGCCACAGCGAGTGTCGTCAACGACGCAGGAGCCGCCCGCCGGAGAGCCCACATCTGATGTAGAACTTTACGAGCAGCGCTCCTGCCAGCTACTATGTCGGAAGGGACCAAGCAAGCGCAACGCCTGACATATACTTCTGACACATATGCCGATGGAGACGATGCGGCTGACGCGACGGTATCAAAGCAGTAGAACAGACCGGGCTAGCTTGTCGTTCGAGGAAGAGGCAGTGTATGCACGATCTCCGCCCCGTCTCCGGAATGCCCAAAAATAGTCGAAAAGTCGCGCGCGTGCAAATCGCGAGGAGTACCGCCCAGCAGAATCTTGTCGACTGCGCATCGTCCGACCATCAACAGACTGGAGTTAGTGTGCAGGAGAGTGTAGACAGCATCAGCTACACCACAAGGTACATCGATCCAAGCGCGACGCTAGCCTCGTGCTGCCAAGCTGATTCGATTGACGTGCCTCGACAGGCAAGTGGATCGCTCGCTCAACTGGCTTTTCAACCCGTCTGATCTGCGACTGGTCGACCTGCAGTCACATCTGACTGTCATCCTACTTCGTGTGAGTTCTCTCGGCATTTTGCAGAGACTGCCAGGCTTAGTCGATCTTGGCGTTGGGCAGATTTCATTGTCAGTCAACACTGCTCGCCGGTCGACAAAGGAGCTCATCCTAGTCTGATCAGGGCCACGCATCTCCTATAGAGCACCCACAATCACTATGACCGGTCAACGTTCCATCATGGCCAGCGCCACCACAGCCTTGCTCGTACTCGCCACATCGCATCACGCTCACGCTCAATCTAGCTCACTCAATTCAGCTCAACTCTCTTCATCCGCTTCCGCAGAAGCTGCCTCTGGTACCATCCTCACCGATAGTACGTCTCCTTCGGGCGTGTCTATATTATATCATTGAGACTTGTCGCAGAGCGTTTCACCTATCCCGGAGGTGTGCCCTACATGGTCGACGTCTCCGACGGTCCCAGAGGCATCCAAACCGGCTACAATCTCTGCAATTCGACGACAGAAGGCCCCAGCTCGATGTGCCAAACTGCTTTCATGACTTCCGTCGATGATTTCTGTCTGGTCAGTCCTGTCGCCTTTACCAGATCCCGTGCTGATACGTGTGTGGCAGTGGGGACCGCCAACGCCTAATTCGCTGGTCGCAGACGACGAGGGCGAGATGGTCGCATGGTGCACCAAACCTGGCCGCGGCACGCGCATCATTCCAGATGGTGCCATCAAAGGCATCCAGTTCCTCACGGCACCAGACTACATTCAGATCACTGGCACGTTCGATCAGACACTCATCGATATGGCAGCGAACGACACCGGTGGCGAGCTCGACCCACATGGGGCCGACCAACGTGGCAATCCCCTTGGTGGCCTCGTCTTTTCACAAGCTTTTAGCAACACCAGCAACAACAATGCCTTCATACAGGTCATCGAGTACCACAATTTCGTGGGGTCAAATAGGCTCGTTCACTCCCTTGCATCTGTATTGCGCTAACGCGCGTTCGTTTGGGCAGCTTCTGTTTCAAAGGCGTGTCAAATCGAATCTGTTGGGTATCCGGGCTAACTTGAAAAACTCGACAGCATGCAACCCGGCCTCAAGCAACGACGCCTCGCTCTGCAATCACATCTACGACCGCATCGGCGCAGCGTATAACTGCATCGCACAGTATCCTCAGAATGAGTTCCTATGTTCTCTCTATCCTTCTCTCCATTGGCGACATTAGCTGACGCGGACGCGCAGCCTGCGAGTCCGACAACCAACTTCCACCGGGCGTCTACGTATCTGACGGACAAACGATGACTTACACTCAGCCAGCCGAATCGCTCGGAGCTATCAGCACGATCCCGTTCACGCCCGTCCTGCCGTCGTCGTCGAATTGTCAGACGCTCACGAGCTCACTCATCTTCACGGCTGCCGCGTCGGCCGCAGCATCCTCCAGCAGCGCCAGTGCTGCGTCTGCCTCGTCCGCCAGCGCTGCAAGCGCCGCTAGCGCCTCATCCGTCGCGGCCACGCGATCCTCTGCTAGCTCTGCTCAGGCCACCGCCACGGCAACGATGGGCACGTCGAGCTCATCGAGCTCAAACACCGGCAGCAGCGGTACCGGATCGACATCGACCACTGGCGCGGCCGCTAAAGCCGGCGTCTCGCCTCTCCTGATCACTGCCACTGTAGCGACAGGCCTGATCGGCATCATGGCACTCTTGTGCTAATAACGCTTCACGCACACTTTTATGGACTTTTCGCTCTGTAGCTCGCAATGCAGACATTCATTACGGTACATCCGGCTGACTGCTCATTCCTGATCAGTCTGTCCTGCCTCTTCTGCCTCTGCTTGACCATTGGACTTGTGCTTGCGCTTACACGAGCCCTTCTTGCCTTCGCGCCAACGCTTGTCATCACTTTTGCGAGCCTCATCGTCCGCATCAGCAATCTATAGCGAGACACTGCAACCTTGCTTCAACAGCAGTCGTAAGCAAAACTCCGAGCTATACTACTCCTTCGCATCCTTCTTCGCGGCCTTGTTGGTCCATTTCATGTTGTAAGAGCCGGACGCCTGCGGAGGCTGAAGAGGCGTATAAGACATACTCCTCGCTCGCCCGTTGATCGGTGCCGAATTGGCATATTGTGAAGGATCGTAGTACGGACTTGTAGACGAGATCGATTGAGCCAGACCGGAGTAGGGCAAACTGCCGTAAGGAACAGCGTACGGTGGCGGGACATAAGGTGAGTAAGGTGCAACGGGCGATACCATTGCAGCTGGAGACGGACTGACTGGCGCGTAGCTTGTCTGAGCCATCGGTTGTGTGAACATGGGACGAACAGGTCCACTGCTCATACTATGCATTTCCGTCTGCATCACGGGAGAGGGCCAAGTAGGCGTTGACTGCGCTGGAGGGCGTTCGTATGAGGGTGGACGACCGCCTCTAGACTGCCTTGCACCTCTTTCACGGCCGCGAGTATTTCCTCGACCTCTTACCAGGCTCGAGGTCGCCTGGCCTAGCTGGACGCGATCGGCAGACATGGGCGCACTGAGCTCAGCATCAGACAGAGCAGCGGGTATAGAAACGGGCGGGCGCATCGGTAGACCGGCAGCAGATGGCGCAGGCACAATAGGTTGCACGGCGCCATTGCGCTGATATTGACGTGACGTGGGACTTTCGCGCATCGGATCAGAATGATGCGAAGATGGATTCGCTTGTAAAGGCCGGGACAGCATGGTGTAGCCTTCGTCAAACTCTGCTGAGCGCTCGCCCGGATCTGGCAAGACGCTTCTCCGGGATCCGTACGACGTCGCAGAGGACTGTGAAGCCGCTCTTGAGTTCTGTCGACCGTTTGGGCCCTGTTTCCTCCTCTTGATTGCCGCTTTATACTGAGCCTCGGCCTCGTCATCACTGAACTCGACTTCACCATCGCCAGCTTCTTCATCCCAGATATTGCTCGCATCTGACCCTTTCGGCAATGACTGTAGATCGCGCGTAAAGACCATGCTGGCATAATCTCGTTCGGGCGAGTAGCTGACGTTCGTTCCAACGGCGAGCAAAGCGATATTGGGATGAGATGCGCTCGGCAATCGTATGGCGTAATAAGGCGACACGACCGATCCAAAAGTCTCAAAGATACTGCCAGCGACGCGATAGCCAGGTTCGGTCTGTTGATCTTTGGGCGCGACGAGTACAAGGGTGCCGGAATCAGGTACCTGAGGTACACTGTCCCGTAGGCTCGCAACTCCGGTCACTGGCTTCTGTTGAGCAGCGCCTCGCACGACGACAACGCTACCGATGACGCTCTCGACGATCCCCAGTGGTTGGGTATGCACATGACTCGGTAGGTATTCGATCGAGGGCATCTGGACGAGCGGCGCAATATCTTCGTTCTGCGTCTTCAGCACTCCGCCTGACATCTCTTCCTCGTCATCGTCGTCAACCAAAGCGGATGCAGAGGTCCTGGCGCGTTTTGCCTGCCTTGGCGCAAATTCGTCGTCCGACGAAGAGGCGGACGAAGAAGAAGAGGACGCTTCGGATGAAGATGACCTGCTCCAAGAACGACCTGACGATGATCTGCTATCCGCGTGTCAGCAGTCACCATTGAATCATGAAACAGAAAGGCTGACGCGGAGGAATTCCGGCTTCTGCTGGATTTCCCTTTGCGCGCCACAACTGTAGGTAGCGTGACTGATTCGATACGTGCACCAAGCTCGGCCTCGGTCCCTCTGAGTAGATGCTCCAGATGCGCAAGTTCGGTCTCGAGACGAGCAGTAGCAGCCGTGCTTGGCTCTGCGCCAGGTTCCTCAGCTGGTACCTCATCTGTGTCTGGCTCTGCATTGATCTTGTATGTCGACCGAATCACTTGGAGGGTCTCTTGTACACTAGGCAATCGTTCGGTCGTTCCTGAACCCAAGGGCAAATCGCCATACTTGTCGGGCTCGTCGAAACGCTCAGAGATGATGTGGGCAAGATCAGCTGGCAGATCATCCTCTTTGGGTTTTGCCGAGTCAGTCGAGATGGCAACCGAGACCGGAGCTGCTGATGAATGACTTGTAGATGCTACCGGCTGGTCTGCTGGTGCATTTAGAGACGCAGCAGGCTCTGGGCTTGCTGCAGGATCATCAATTGCATCATTCGTTGGCATGCTTTCGTCGTCTTCGACAACTCCCTTTTGCGTCGCTGAAAGAGCATGAGCAGGCTCTTCGATCAGTTGCGATGTCGTTTCAGTGACCAAGCCATCAGCTTGGCTCACTGCTGAGCCGTTCTGGCCCATCTCAATGGTGTTTCTATACTTCGTCGAAGGTTCGTATGACGCGCAAAAATACGCAACGACAGTGCCCCGCCGCTCGGCTTTGCAGTCGCGAGAGCTGGCTGGCCTCTCACGATCCCATGGTGTGATGTAGCGATGATGCAATACAATAAAGATACAACAACAAAGCACAGAGCAGGCAGAGCTAGTGAGCTATCTTGGGCGGTCTGAGAGTGATCGAGACGACCATTCCGCGTGAATCGACATAGTCAAAGATGGCTCTACCGGTATCTGGATCGGATTCGACAGCAGCAAGGTAATACGTCTTCTTGCCCTGCTTCGTCGTGTCTGACTTTTCAGGTATGGGATCTCGTTCGTCGAAGCGAGAAGGTTCGTTGTAAGTGCGTTCCATATAAGCCATATCCTCTACCGTCAGTGGGGTATCGTAAATCGTGAGCGAATGACCGAGTACGAGTAGCTGTCGTCCTGCATCGAACAGCTCGCGGTAGAAAAGCATATCTCCTCCCACTAATCTTGCAGCTTCCAAGGTGACTCGCATGGACTGCATGGGGTCCCAATCGTCTAGGAAAGGTCGACAGTAAGGAGCGCTGGCAAAGTGATGAAGAGTGAGAAATTGTAGACCGGCTTGGTAGAAGCCAGCACAATTGACAGTGAGATCGGCCTGACGTAGTCCGTCTTCAAACGTGATTGCTTCTCTTGGGATGCCGTGGATGCCCGCTTTGGCTTCTAGACCCATTGCACGAGCTGCACAGATGGTGAGCTGAGAATCGCCACCTGCAGGCTCGATGCCTTCTATCGAAGCGTAACAGGCGTCCCACATTGGTTCCAGCAGGTCGACCAACGCTCGCGTGGAGACGATGCCGCCGCCCCTGCACGGAGCCCGTCAGCAGAGCGCTCTTGCGATGTAGATAACGACGCACCCGTATGCAAAGGCACCCCAGGCTTCCGAACGCCATTGTGCTTCCGTGATCGAGGCGAGAAGGGCAGGGTGGTCGGGATCGTGTGAAGCGAGCATCCGTCTGAGCGCGCGCCAATCGACCCACATTGTATCACTACCCATCATCCTATCAGCTCAAATTGCTCTCCCACCGGTACGCAAAGAGGCTCACTCGTCACCGATCACGACGTATTTCGGCGTTCCTCGATCGGGATACGTATCTCGATAGGCTCTCGCAGCATGAAGCGTGAGAAAGGCGAATCGTTTGCGCGTACCTGCACGGCCGCTCATCCAATTGATCTGACACTCTATCGCTGCTGTCTGGAGCGCTTCTGCAAGTTCTGGCTCTCGTTTGCGTTCGTCGGGCGTGTCCTGTAGAGTGATCATACAGAGCGGTGGCCGTTCGCCTGTGTTGTAGGGCGTGTTGGACGAGAGCCAGTAAGACCAGAGTGGTACAAATGTCAGTGCTCGAGCGATGTTGGTCGTGATACCGAGGACCATGTCTTCGTTGCTTGGCGCATCGTGCGGCAGAGCTACCCTCTTGGGTCGCATTCTCAGATCGTAGACTTCTGTCGTTTTCTCATAAGGCCCAGAAGCGATGTGTTCGCTCAGGGAAACAGCTGCCGGTCCGGTGGCTATCCTGTTGAGATGGAGATCGGGCGGTAGAGACTCTCGCATGGGCTGGGGCACGATCTGTAGTCGGTGTATCCGTATGGGTACAGGTGTAGACTGATCTGTCGGTTCGAGTACGCTCTTGGCATTGGAGATCAGTGGCTGGAGTACTACTCCTCTCTCACGCAGGTCTCCAGGATACGTTGGACTGCTCGCGCCTTGACTGGTCGGGAGCCACTGTTGCAACCGGGGCGGCATATTGCTCAGATCTCTGAATGCTTGTGGCCAGGCCCACGGACTGTCACCGCTCGTGTCCGCATCCGAGAGCACGCGAGGTGGTCCGAAGAAGACATATTCGATCCAGATGAACGCCAGTATGATGCCGAGTGTGATTGCGCCTCGCTTGGTGGTGAAGCGCCGGCCTGGCAGATGAAAGAGGACAGAAGAGAATCTCTTGCGGTAGGGCGAAGGCGAGTAAGGTCGTCCGTCCAGTGCTGACACATCGAACGAGAGCGTACGGTGCGAGCTACTGGGTGAGCTGCGCGAGCTGCGACTGGGACTCGTCGACCCCTGCGAGACGATTGAGCTCACTGACGGGATGCCAATCTAGTCAATGTGACGTACTCGTCCTGTCAGTGGTACGGCGAGCGAGGGCCGCTTGAGCTCGATGGACGAGGGGCGATGCGATATCGACATGTCGCATCCGTCGCCTCGCTCGAGCTCGTCAGGTAGAGCCCTAGGCCGAGGCTGACGACCGACGGGGGATCCGCTCTGGTTTTGGCCGTCTGACGCGACAAGTCAAAGTGGAAGCGGCGAGTTGACGAGGCTGGGTGGAGTGGCCGGCCCAAGGTAGGTCGATTGGCAGCGGTCGAACATGTCCATCACGCTACTCCCCACAAAGGAAGCCTACGACAATCTCGTGCGGAGCAAGAGCGATTCGGTCATCATCATCGATTTCCATGCTACATGGTGTGGACCGTGCAAGATGATCGCACCCGCCTACCAGCAACTCGCCCATCAGTACCCTCTGGCCATCTTCACAAAATGCGACGTCGATGCCAACCGGACGCTTGCACAAGCCTTCAGAGTGAGCGCAATGCCGACCTTTGTGATCACGCGTCATGGCGCGACGCTGTCGACGGTCAGAGGAGCAGACAGGGCCGGTCTGGAGAGCGCTATCAAGGCTGCTCTCGCTACTGCTGCTGCTGGACCTTCTGCTTCCGGATCGGGCAGTGCGGATTCTCTGATGAGTAACATCGATGCGGGTCAAGCGAGCTGTCTCAATATCGACACAAAGTGCTCGCTACGATCGTTCGTTGCGAGAGAAAAGGATAGATACATCGAATCGGATGCAGACGAACAGCTTCTCCTCCACCTTCCAGTCAGTCTTTTCTCGCTCAACCCCTGTAGGAATCGTCGTATCTGATCAGGGCGAGCAGATGACACGTACGACAAAGATCAGAGCGATCAAGCTGACGACTGCAAGTGAGCATGCGAGCAAAGCGCCAAAGGAGATCAAACTCTTTGTCAATCGACCCGAGCTCGGTTTCGATGATGCCGAAGTACGGCAATGCTACCTCATCAGCTGTGAGATATGCTGATGGGTCGAATCTGTGTCAGAACGAAGAGGGAGCACAATCGATCGAGTTGACAGAAGCGCAAGCCTCGGGCAAGGAAGAGATCGAACTCCGCTTTGTCAGATTCGCCAATGTCACCCATCTCTCGGTGTGTTCCCTTTGCTCTGATAGGGACAGTACGCTTAGTCAGCGTCAGATCTTCGTGTCCAGCAATCAGGGCAATGAGGATACGACGTTGATCTCTTCGCTCGATATCCTCGGTACACCCGAGGGCTCAACAGCTATGGACGTCGCATCTCTTCGCAAGCAGCAGCAAGAGTGATCACGGTAGCTGTAGAAGACATTGCAACAGTACAACCCCAGAGTTCATCATGGTTTCCTGTCATTCCAGACTTTGAGCAACGGTCAAGCCAAGCAGAACGACAGAATCACTCACGGGACATGAAGCGATTTGGAGACCATGAGTGTCCCCCAGAGAATGAAGATGAGAGACGCCCAGTGAACTTCCAGACCGGCTTCTTGTAACGGTCTGATCAGACCGCCCGGTAGACCTGAGCCGAGCTTGAGAGGTCCTTCGATCTTGTTGTGCTTGACGAGATATCCCATTCCCGCGACGAGCATCAGCGTACTCGGTATCGGCAGACCTAGCAGACCGTTCAGTTCACACCTGGCCTTTTGACGTGAAAAGTTGGGTCATGCTCACCTTCAAAGTAGCGAGATTTGCCTTTCTTGTCTTTGGGTATGAGCGCAACGGTGGCATTGAACCTCGCCAGTCTTGCGATGCCCGAACAGATGAAACCGCAGAGGATGAAGATATCACCGGGCGTTCGTAGACCGATTGAGAATGCGCAGAAAGCGGGAGCGACGCCAAACGAGATGGAGTCTGCCAGACTGTCCAGTTCCTGACCGAGCATGGAGGCTTCGTTACGCCATCTTGCTACTTTGCCATCGAACAGATCGAACACCATTCCGGCGGCAGGTAGAGTCAAGGCAGCCCTGACCAACCCCTCCGGGTCAGGTACAAGACGCGCGTGAATGAGGAGGCAGAACGAACCAGAGATGGTTGTAGTCGCCCGTGAGGAGCCAATTGGCAGACTCGAACAAGCTGAGCGATCCACAGACGCCATTCATGAGCGTCACACAATCTGCCAGTCGGAAGTTCCTACGCTCGACGTGGCCTGATCAGCCTTGCCTTGTCGTTTCGAGAGGGGAGGGAGGCGTGACTTGCCTGACGAGTGAGAAATGACGATCATCGTCGACGAAGGCCTTGAGATTGTGTGCCTTGCTGGATTTAGAAGGACTGCTGGGTTCAGAAGAAGGCGGGGCCATGCTGGCAGGCGAGGAAGCGTTGGCGGTCGAGACACTCAGTCGGCGAACGGCTTGGGCTGTCGTCGCTCCTGCTCCCGATAGCTTGGGTTCGGGTGGGTGGCTCGATGTGAGCGGTGCTTTGGGTAAGATGTCTAGCTCTTGTGCAGTGCCTGGCATGCCCCCTCTGATCCACCCACTGACCGCCAAGCGTCCGACAAGTTGGCGCAAGGCAGCGTGGCAAATTGTCGAGTCGACTCATCACCCTCATCATCATCATCATTGAGCCGGCTTCAGACTCGCCTCGATGGGACTGATACCTTCACCAGCAGCCCAAGCAGCTGCCAGAGCCAACGGCCCATCACTCGCTCTCCCGAGCAGACCCAGCAATGGCAATTCCAACGGCAAACAGCCCGTTGATGTACAGAGCCTGCTTCAACGACAAGCAGCGGCCAGAGCAGCAGAGGAGCAACCCAAGTTCATGTCCAAGAGACAGCGAGAAGAGCTAGCGGCACGAGAGGCAGCAGCTGCTGCTGCTCTTGCAAGCCAGAAGGAGCGTGAAGCCCAAGTCAAGCATGAGCAACGCTTGGCCGCCGCTCTGGCTGCCAGTCAAGAGACCTCACGACAAGCTGCTCAAGAGAGGCAGCAGGACAGCAGACGGGGAAAGGCCGGGTACAGGGGGAGAGGTCGGGGAGCCTTTGCTGCTCAATCATCTCGTGAAACGCCCAATCTGCCCTATGATGGTCCTCCGGCTACAGACGGTTCTACCACAAAGGGCGATGACAGCCTGCCTGTAGTCGACAAGTCGCTCCTAGCGACACGCTATCTGGGTGCCAACGTCGCCTCTGCACGCTCGGGCTCGAACGGCTCAGGCGCGCAACAACGCAAGAGGCTCAAAGGCGGACAGGACAAGAAATTCTTGTTCGACTGGAATGGCGATGATGATACGGGCGCGAACGAGTACGATCCCCTGTACAAGCAACGTATAGAGGGTGCCATAGCCGCCGCTGCGGCTGCTGCTACCGTCACCAGACATGGAACAAGAGCCATCGATCAGGACGATCAACCTCTTGCTGGGCCAAGCATCAAGAAGATCACAGAGGGCAAGGGCATCATGGACGAACGACACTGGTCACAGAAATCCTTGAAGGAGATGAGGGAGCGAGACTGGAGAATCTTCAGGGAAGACTTCTCCATTGCTTCCAGGGGTGGCCATATCCCTCTCCCTATACGTTCTTGGCGAGAGTCTGCCATACCGGAGGACATACTCGCCATCGTTGACGATATGGGCTACAAAGATCCTTCTGCTATCCAACGTCAAGCCATACCGATCGGATTGCAAAACAGAGATCTCATTGGGATAGCAGAGACAGGCTCCGGCAAGACGGCTGCATTCGTCATTCCCGCCTTGGCCTACATCGGTCGCTTACCTCCCATAACCGAACAGACTGCCCACCTCGGTCCCTATGCACTCATCCTTGCTCCCACTCGCGAGCTGGCGCAGCAGATCGAATCGGAAGCACGACGGTTCACCTCAAAATTGGGCTACAAAGTCGTCAGCATTGTCGGAGGTCGAGCGGTAGAAGAGCAAGCGTTCAATATGAAGGACGGCTGCGAGATCGTCATCGCCACGCCTGGCAGATTGAAAGACTGTATCGAGAGGCACATACTCGTCCTGTCCCAGTGCACCTACGTCGTCATGGACGAAGCGGATAGGATGATCTCGCTCGGCTTCGAAGACGTCCTCAACTTTATACTCGACTCGCTGCCCGTTTCGAACATCAAACCCGATACAGAGGAAGCAGAGGAAGCAGATGCTATGCTCAAAAGGCTCAACGATACTGGCTCGGGCATGCCCCAACAACTCTATCGTCAGACAGTACGTTCCCTGTTCGATGTGACGGCTGCTCTGCTGACGTGTTCCGAACAGGTCATGTTCTCTGCGACGATGCCTCCGGCGTGCGAACGTCTAGCGAGAGCCTATCTGCGTCGTCCTGCCATTGTCACCATCGGTGTAGCCGGTCAAGCTGTCGATACCGTCGAGCAACGCGTCGAATTCATTCACGGCGAAGAGAAGAAGAAGTGCGTCTTTGCCTTTCAGTCATCTCATGCGCTCACGAGCTGTACAGACATCGGTTGCTCGAGTTGCTCAACAGTGGCGAGTTCCAACCGCCCGTCATCGTCTTTGTCAACCAGAAGAAATCGGCCGACGGTCTCGCAAAGGATATCAACCGGGGTGGATGGCGAGCGACTACGTTACATTCCGGCAAGAATCAGATCCAGCGAGAAGAAGCGCTCGCTTCTCTACGTTCTGGCGAGATGTCTGTGCTCGTGGCAACTGATCTGGCAGGAAGAGGTATCGATGTACCCGATGTCTCACTCGTCATCAATTTCCAAATGGCCAACAATATCGAATCCTACGTTCACAGAATCGGAAGAACCGGTCGTGCTGGACGGACTGGCGTCGCTGTTACCTTCTTGACAAATGACGATGACGAAGTGATGTACGATCTCAAGCAGGAGATCTCGAAATCACCCATCAGTAAAGTTCCGCCCGAGCTCGCTCGTCACGAAGCCGCTCAGACCAAAGTGAGCTACTTTTTGCTTGTCGCGGGGAGCCAGCTGACGGTGCTGCAGTTTTCGGCGGCGATGAAGAGGCGCGCGCAAGACATGGAAGCAGAGCAATGAGATGCGAGACTAGGGCTTGAATGCATTGGACAGATCTGTCGAACAGACTGGTGAAATACGAAGGAGGACAAACGTCTGATCTAATCGCGATTATCGACACGAGCCTATCGAAACCCATCCGTCAGCACGATACTTTGAGAGGAGAGACAGAAGACGGACTCCTTTGAGATCTTCTTCGACCATCTCCTTGACGAGATCTTCAAAGTCGACCTTCCTCTTCCATCCGAGCTCTTTCTCTGCCTTTGTCGGCATACCCCATAGCAGTTCTACCTCTGCAGGTCGGAAGTAGATCGGGTCAACTCTCACAATCACCTTGCCCGTCTTTTTGTCCTTGCCCACTTCCTCGACGCCCTTGCCTTCCCAAGTGATATCGATCCCGCCATGCTTGAAGGCCTTCTCGACGAACTCTCTGACGGGATGGGTCTCGCCCGTTGCAAGAACAAAGTCATCAGGCTGGTCTTGTTGGAGCATTCGCCACATTCCTTCGACGTAATCCTTTGCATGACCCCAATCACGTTTGGCATCGAGGTTGCCGAGGTAGAGGCAATCCTGCGTGCCGATGACGATCTCTGCTACTGCTCGCGAGATCTTCCGCGTCACGAAGGTACGACCACGACGTGGCGATTCGTGGTTGAAGAGAATACCGTTCGATGCGTGCATGCCATAGGATTCGCGGTAGTTCTTGACGATCCTGTGAACGATCGCAGCAAGCATCAGCTCAGGCGAGTTGACTGCAGCAAAAGACCAACCAGAAGGCATAGAGCTTAGCCACGCCATACGGTGATCGAGGATAGAAGGGCGTCTTCTCGGTCTGGGGTGTCTCCACTACCTTGCCGTAAAGCTCAGAAGTAGAGGCCTATCCGCACGGAATCAGCGACGCTTTTGTGAGAGAAGTGAAGCGGCCGACCTGGTAGAAGCGGATGTGGTTCGTCAATCCACAAGTGCGGATGGCGTCGAGCAGTCGCAATGTGCCGAGACCATCGACATCACCCTGTAAAGCACATGAGCTGCGCAATGGACCCGAGGACGCAGAGGTACGGTATATTCAGCCATGTCGAATGAGACCTTGACGTGAGATTGAGCAGCGAGGTTGTAAATCTCTGTCGGCTTGACGGTGGAGACGATGTAGACCAAATTGGTCGTATCAGCCAGATCACCGTAGTGCAGGACCATGTTGGGTCCTGTAGCACCGTGAGCACGGTCAAGCAGAATTCGCAAGGTTGTGACGTACTCTCGTGAGGATCTTTGTAGATGTGTTCAATACGGCCGGTGTTGAAGCTCGAAGATCGACGGATGATGCCGTGTACTTCGTAGCCCTTCTCGAGCAGCAGCTCGGTCAGGTATGAACCATCTTGACCAGTGATACCTGTCGCACGCCCTCGATCAGCCAAGTCTATAGCTCAACAAAGGGACGCGACTGACCCGTCAAGAGGGCAACCTTGCGGCTCCTGTACTCTTTGACGTCCATCTTCGAACCGACATCAAACGGCGAAGCAGCAGAATGGTGCATGTGCAGCGAAAGAGAAGACTTGTGACCTGCTCAGCTGGCCAGTGTAAGCCTCGACGCGTACCATGGGAAAGGAGGAGGACTTGCCTGTCTGTGCCTTGCGAATATCGGAGGGCATCGAGGAAGGCTGATCCATGGCTTCATCAGTTGTCTCTATCGTGTTGGTGATGGGCTGAGATGCGTCGGCGGTCTTGCCGCCCGCGAATCCCGCTAGATCGGCAGACATGACGAGATCGGCTTGACGGTCAAAAGAGCGGCTCGGAAGGCTTGTTTGTCGTTTTGAAGAGCTGTGCCATGTCAGACACCAAGTCAGCACAGGTCCTTGCCCGTCAGGCTCGTGGTCTGGTGAGAAGGAGTGGGCGTCCGGTCGAGGGGCCTGATCGAGGTACGCGCTGGTCTATCGCAGCTGTCGCCGGTGGCCGCACGATAGGCTCGGACAGACGGAAGGTAGTGGACTTACGAGGATGACGGTCTAGCTGCCAGCAGTCAGACTTGCAGTCTACAGTACGCTTCACAAGGTGTGGCTCGACAGCGGCGCCTCACGCGACGCGCTGACCTTGTCGCGTTTCTTTCGACGCCACTCGGCTGCCACCCTATTGGCCTCGGTCTGGCGGTAAACGTTCTGTGCTCGGCTCGTGTGCGTTCCCACGACAGCATGCATGAATCACAACAACATACTTCACAATGACAGACCGAATGTCCAGTAATGTTAGGTATCGGGTGTGGGACTGCGGGAGATGTAGCGATCTTCGTCGTCATCGTCTGGGGTGGGCGTCCGCGAGACGTAGCGCGGCCTGACTTCGTCCTCCTCCGGCGTGGGACTGCGAGATATGTATCTATCGCTCTCGTCAGACTGGCTCCTCCGCGGCGCCTCGTCATCCGATAGATCATCGAGAGCCATAGCCTTGCCGAGTTGGGACTTGCGCGACGGCAAGGATTCTGTCTCTTCCAATACTCGCCGTAGAGTCAATCGGGGTAGCTGGATCTCGCACACTCGCTCTTCTGTGAGCAACGAGTCGACAAACGCATCGATGGTCATGATGGAATAGCTCCCGTCTGCGCGTGCTCTTGCGGTCAGCAAGAACTTATAGGCACAGGAGAGGGGAAGCAACGGACCTAGTTGGCGATAGCGTAGCTTTCTGTAGTCTTCGAGCAATGGCTCCAGGATCTCGTAGACCTCCATGGCGTCGAAAGTGAGCCGAATGTAGAAAATAGCCAGCGCCCGTAGGTATCTGTGGTCGAACTGATGAGTGCTGCACATGCTTGCGCTGCATAGATTGTCGCCGACGACGACTCACTTGAATTCTTCTGCCCGTAAGTACTCGAGCACAATCTCCTTGGACGGCTGAATCTGAAGCATTTTGAGGGTGAGGCTCAAGAAATCGGTCGGTTTGGAAGCGCCATATGTGCCGCCGATGTAGTTCAGTGCGACTGCTCGGTCGATGATCGACTCTGCAGTGAGTGCAAAGCAGTGCTCCTTCCAAAAGTTGCTGTCCCATATCCTGTATCGGATCGTCGTCTCGATCAAGAACTGCGTCGACCATGTCAGCACTCGCATCAGGCTGAGACTGATGATGTACCTGTGGGTTGGTGCCGTGGATAGAGACTGCATTCCTGGCGGTGGTGTTCGACATGGCGTGCCAGGCGGGCGAATCAATTGAAAATGATGGAATGATCTGATTGACATCAAAGTGCCACAGATGACGGCCCTGGCGCTAATTTGACGCAAGTCATCAGGTGCGGATGGGCACTGAAGTGACGCCAGAAGAGCTACTAGAAGTACGTCTGCCCTATCATCCATTGGCGCATGCTCAGATTCAGGCGACCTAGCTCATCCGACGACTCTATGCGCCAACCTCGTCAGCAGAGGAACAGCGCCAGGTTCAGCATGTCCTCTTCGAAGCACAGCGATCAACAGGAGCATGGCAGTGGTCCTCCTGGCTTCTCACCTCTCCCCATGACGCCCAGTCACGCTTTTTTGGCGCCCTCACGCTGTCAATCAAGATTTCTCGTGACTTGTTCGCTAATCCCCTTTTACTCTCCGTTCGCTCGCTAAGGTCGCCAGCAGCATCTCCCTGCCCGAAGGACACCAGGAACAGCTCAAACAATCTCTCATGGAGATATTGTACCACTCTGCCCCACTCGCTTACCCAGCAAATCACGACGCGACCGCGAACAGTCTGAACGCCGCAAGCTCAGAGAGGATCGTGCTGCGTAAGCTGGCAGTCGCGGCGACAGCGCTGGCCATCAAGATAGCGCCCAGGGATTGGTCAGAATGGCTTCTCTCGCTCATGACGCTCTTGTCGAGCGCACCTTGCTCTCGTCAAGCCGTCTTTGAGGTCTTGGCTGTCATCACCGAGGAGAGCGAGCGCGCAGATCTCATCGGCAAACGAAGGTCCGCATCCTCGTCATCCTACCGACTCACGTCTGACCAGCAATGTCAACAGGGTACAGTTTGAACATACTCTGACAGAAGCTGGATCTCTCGTCGCGCGCACCATCATCGATACCCTCACGACTTTTCCCTCGTCGCACAATGACGCAGATCTCATCGCTGCCTTACGATGTCTGCAAAGCTGGCTCACCAGTAAGAACATACGCTACGAGTACGCTCGACCGAATTCGATCTTGCAGCGCGGCTGACCCGCACTGCAGAGACCTAGACCGAATATACCCACTGACGCTGCCGCTCTTACTACACCCTCCCACAGCGGAGCAAGCGTCAGATTGCATAGAAGATTTCTTGGCCGACCTCGACTTTCTCACGCCGACGCGCGCTGAGCCATTGTTAGACTACCTCTCAAGCCAATACACCTCTCAAGCTATTGCGGAGGCTATAGAAAGCTAGTCTCTCCGGCTGCAGGCGCAGTCTGTGCTGACATCTGAAGCCTGGCCAGACGAGAGCGATACAGACATTCTGCCCACGCTCAAGCTACTGGTGGCCACGTTCGAGCACTCTGCAACGACCATCGTACGAAGCATGGCTTCGCAGCGTTCCGTCACACTCTTGCGCCATCTCCTGCTTCTCAGTACCTTCCCCGGTACTTTTGCAGTGGATGAAGAGGTCAGCATCATCGGCCTGCCCACTTGGGTTTACCTTCAAGAGGAGATGGCCGATGAGGGTCTGCACGGTACATCAACGGGCGATGACCAAGGAAGCGAAACGGTGCAGCGCTGGAAACTGGGTCAAGAGATCTTTGCTGAGCTTTCGACAAGATTGCTCGTCAAACTGCAATGGCCTCCGGAAAGCGAGACACAAGGCTGGACTAAAGGTCAGCGCGTTCTACTTCCCGTCGCTATCATCTGAGACGGCACTCGCAGACACATTCAGTAGATATAGCAACTATAGAAGCGACGTTGGCGACACGCTCATACATGCGTAGGTCGAAATCACGACCATTGGCGATTTTTCTCAACGACAGATGCAGGTATTATGTGATACGAGTCCGGTTGCTCGAGTTCCTTGTCAGCACGGCAATCGAACGATCAGCCCAAGCAAGTAGATCAGGTGGTCCATGGGAGGCAAGGCGAACATCCAGCGAGCTCATCAACACGCGCTCATATGCAAAGATTGTTTGCAGCCATTAGAAGCGTGCCTTTACGCTTTGCAAGCCATACAAGAAGCAATACCGGAAGAGACAGACGCTCACCTTCCAGACGTGTTTGCTCGGGTACTGACAGCCCTGCCTGTCGATGCGCCAACGAGATTGACCGAAACCACATTACTCCTGATAGGTAACTATACTGCATGGCTGAACGAGCATCCTGCCTACATCCTCCAGGCTCTCACCTTTGTCGCTGCAGCTCTTTCTCGCGAGAGCGTCTGGCGAAGCGCAGCGATGGCGATCAGACGGCTATGCTCTACTTGTCGTGTGCATCTGATCGGCCATGTCGGATCGTTCGTTGCACTCGTCGCCAATCTAGAAGGCAGGTTGCCCAGCAGTGACTTTGCAAAGGTCGTCGAGTCCGTCGCTGCTGTCGTCCAGGCAATGCCGATGCAAGATGCAGTACCGCATATATGCTTGCTGGTTCAAGGAACGCTCCATCGGGTTGCACAAGCCCACGCGAGCTTGTCATCGCCATCAGACTCTACTGCTGCTCGAGATACTGTTCTGCAATCGCTCGCTGTGCTGTCAGCATGCATTCGAGGGCTAGCAGAGCCAGAGGCGGACCTGCTTCTGCTCGACGGAGATGCCGAAGGCTCAAACGAAGCCATGCGAGCTCAGTACTTCCAGACCGACGCTCGCCTGATCGAATTACGTGGACAGATGCTAGCATGCATCTGCACCATCCTACCAGCAGCCCAAAACGATGTCGAGCTGGCCATCGCCGTCGGTGAGCTCGTCAGACAGAGCACGACGACTCCCGTCGTCACTCCGCTCTCCCTCGATCCTGCCGACCTGCTGTCGCCTCTATCGAGCGCTGTCGCCACCAGTCTTGACCCCTCTCTCCTCGGTACGCTCACCGCAGTCATTGCGGCTGCTGCTCGGGACTCGCCAGGGGATAAAGCGCTGTCGAGCAGCACGACTGCTTTTACCGCGGTCTTTCGAACTGCAGGCTCCCATCTCGCCTCTCGATCTCTACTTGAGAGCCATCCCGATGTCGTACACGCTCTTTACGACTTTGCTGCTGGGGTACGCGGGTGTCTTGTGTCGTCATCGCTTCGCACTGATCGGGCAAGTCAGGTGCTCCGGCATTTTCCCCAGGCTATCGCAGGCTCGCCCGCTCTCGACCAAGCATGCCAGCACTGCATCCTCGCTATGCAACTCTCCGAGCGAGTGGCTCTGACGGCCGTTCTACGCTTTGTCGTACGTGCATCTGCGCTCACGGAACAAAGCTAACGCGTGTAAAATAAGAGCATGCTCGTGCACGAGACCTGGCATCAATACTCTCACGCTGCTTTGCTGAAGCCCACAGTCGAAAGACATGGTCAAGAGATCGTCATAGTTGCTCTCAAGGGCATCAGTGGCGAAGCACCGAGGAGTGTGTTGGACCCCTTCGGCGAGCTGTTCCAAGCGCTCTCAAAAGCTTATTCTGCAGAGTTCCCTGCTTGGCTGCACACAGGCTTGTCTTCTGTCGATCCTGTCCGCATTGATGAAGCTTATCGGATGCGCTTCATCAAACAAATCAATGCAAGCAGGTCTTTGAAGCAAACTCGAAAAATCATCACCGAATTTGCTCTCAGCGCCCGCGGATTGACAGGCAGTGTCTACGGGGTGTCTTCGACATGATCGGGAAGCGGCGGCCGCATAACTGGCTTTGGCTGCGCCCCTGGCAATATGACCACTAGCGCGCTTTTCTTCAATTTCGACCCCCGACGGGAAGGTCACTGCCGCGACTGGCATTTTTCTCGTCTCTCAATTGTCGATGATCTCATACGCCGACCCCAAATTCGATTCCATGCCGTCCTCGCACACAATTCTGCCGTCTTTACGGTGGGACGATCCGTGCAAACATAGCTTGGCACGCCATAGAAGAGCCCAGGCGCACATGACATTCCGTCACTGACATGAGCACGGGGGCAGCTCCTAGCGGGGGAGATCGTCTGCCCCAAGGCAGTCAGCGACTGGAGAGACGACGGCCTGCACTCATACCGCAATCCAATCAAACAGAAGCGGCTGTGGATGCTCTGGCGAGTCAAGAGATGGCGCGACCAGCTTCCAGCTCGAGCACATCGCAAGTCAGTCGGCCGAATACCGGCGGCAGCACTCGACCAGACTCTGCTATCTCGGCCTCTAGTACGGCTACTTCGTTAGCCGCTGCAATCAGCGCAGGCTCTGCCATAGTCGATTGGCAACGTTCGCATGCACTGGTTGAGGCAATGTGGACAATGCTGGCGAGTCAACGCGAGCTCGCTGCTCGTCTACTCGGCACAAGCCCAGGGGTTCAAGATCAGCTTGAAGCTTGCCTCACCTTTGCAGCGCTGCTGAGAGATGAGGGCATCAGCTGCGTCACCTATGACGGCGTAAGACTCCTCGGCGAGGGACCCCAGCAAGTCTCACTGAGCGACTTCGCAAAAGACCTGCGAGCACGCCTCTACATGTGAGTCGATATGCGCTTCCTGTACTCGTGCTCACATTTGGCGTGAAGATCTGTGCCTGCTGCCAGAGAGCTTGTCGACAGCCATGGATCGGCAGCGTTGAAGGACGACAAACTAGAATCGAGCGAGGACCCGCTGTTGGGTGTGGTAGTGCGGCTATTAGTCAATGCTGCAGGACATCTTGCGACTGATACGTCGGGCACGGAGGAATCTGGTCGACAATCCGCGGAGCCGTCGGGCCTTGTGACTGGTCTGACGAGCCCAGCTCTGCCTACTTCGCCGCCTCTGCCAGTTTCTGAGGCGATGAGTCAGTCCTCTTCAACGAGCACTATCGAGACGAGTGCGCCGACGGCAGCATACGATTATCGCGGCGTTTCTCTTGACTGTCCTTTCGACAACTTGAAGGTACGCCTCGTCTCGACGCTGATTTGCGCCTTGCTAAAGTGAGCCTGCAGTATCATGTACCGAGCGCATTGCGATCTTGCCCTGTGCAAGGATGCAAATTTGCATTCCCGCACCGCTTCGTGCAAAGCTCGGACGTCCGCAGACACATGGAAAGTCAGGCGCATGGCCTGCCGGTTCACCGACCAGGCCACGATCAGCGAAGTACGTCTCGTCTCGATGCGAGCGTCTCCGCATCGACAAAAGCTCGTGATCCGGCCTCACCCTCAATAGAGCGTATATCTCGGAGCAGCAGCGTCGTGCGTAGCGAAGCTGCATTGCTGCTGAGCGCTCCTGCGCTGCCGCATCCCGCGGCTGTCAGTCGCAAAGGCAAGCGGCGCGCAGCTGAAGATTTGCCGGTCGAGTCAGAACGTTTATCTGCATCGGGTACGCATACGAAAAAGGCCGTCGGTCGAGGAAGCTATCCAGCAGAACAAGATCGCCCTGTCAGCAGGGGCTCAAGCATAGCATCGCCTTCATCCACTTATGTGCCGCAACTTTACAAGAACATACCTACCTCAAGCATACTGGCGCCTTCGCCCTCGATGATGCCACCGACCGGCCGGTCCGAGCAGGTTCCTGCATCTCTGTCGGCGCGCTCACCTCCCAGCAGGCTCAAGACGCCGACGGCCGGATTTCGTCTGCCGCCCATGGCGACTGGGCAAGGTGGCGCAGCTTCGCTACTATACGATCAAGGTCCGTCGAACACAGCTGGTCGGGCTCTGTACGGTCAACCGTACACGTATGATTCAAGTCGACCTGGTACAAGCGAAGGCCTTTCTGCCCCTTATGCCACACGGGTCACAACACGACCCCTGGACTTTGGGGCACCGCCGATGCTACCAGCCAGTACTCCGATGGTAGCTAGAACATCGCCCGACGACGAGCTATCGAGCATCTTCGGACCGTCCGTCATATCACCTGCCATGGCAATTGTCACGGAGAACGAAGCAGCGCGGCAGAGAGCCATGACCGATTTCGCGCTCAGACGGGAGCAGATCCGACAAGATGCGCTCGCTCTCATCGAACAGAGGCGATTGGAGATGCAAGTTCAGGGGAACGAGCACGCCTGGCGATTCCGTCAGCTTGAATGGGAAATCGAGCAAGGTCGACAGAGGCACGAGGAGGCAATAACGCAGATGCGACTCGAGCACAGGCAGATTGATCTCGAGATCATCAGGCTTTCTGCACAGACTCCTCCGCCATCGCGCCCTGCCTCTGATTAGGGCCTCTTCCCCCCGAAACAGCAAATTGATACCCTTTTTGCAGATCAGTACCGCACCCAGTGCTTCAGTTCAGTACTCGGTACTTGAAAACCTTCAATGGGCTTTGAGGGCCCCAGACAACCGCAGTCGCAAACACCATTCATCAATCTGTTGCAGCATCATTTGAGTGACTTGTACAACCGTTAATGCAGTCACGTCGCAGTGTTCTACTGTTGATCAGCGGGTTCTGCTGCTTGATGAACATGAAACTTCTGAGCAATACGGTGCAGATGGCCTTTGAGCTCGTGGCATAGCTGCGAGGGGGTGTCTGTGCTGAGTGAAGCCGCACTAGCGGCGATGACTTTGGCCGCGTCTTCGAGCATTGGCTGATGTTCGATGGCTCGTCAGCGGACTCGGAGCATGTGTGAGATACCCACAACTAGGGCACCGGCGTCTACGAGCTCACGCTCGATTCGATGGAGCTGCAGGGCAAGTCTTCTGTCTTCACGCTGATAGTCTGCCTTGACCTTTGCACTGTCTTAGTATGTGAGTGTGCAGCTCAGGCACCGATTGGCTGCGTACACCACGTCACCGTGGGCAGCTTGAAGCTCTGCGAGGCGGCTTTGACTCTGTCTAACAAGCGCAGTTGCGTCTGCTCCGATTTGATCAAGACGTTTCTGAGCCTGTCCGAGCGTGTCATCGTAATAATGTGCGAACGTCGGGGCTGGCTTTCCTTCTTGTACTTGGCCGATTCGAGCGCAGTGAGCATCTTGATCATATCTGACGACGAGCTACAGGCGGGCATGAGGAAAAGTTAATGAGTCGACCTGAGAAGGTGCGAAGACGAACGGGTCTACAGAGTCAATGAGATTGCTCGTGTTGGGCAGATGCTGCGTGTTCTTTCGAGGACGGGTAGCATTGGCAGGCATGACGAGACAGGCGAAGATGCGGGCGAGAGGATGCAGAGACTTCGCTGACGATTGCGATGAGATGACGCGACCAAGCGCGAGTCAGATGGGCAAAGGCGACAACACGTGCAAGTACAGCACAACACGTTTCCACACAGGCTCAGCTTTCGTCCAACCGACGCTGCCTGAAGCGAGATACTCGAGCGGGTTTGCTATTCGTCACTTCTGTTGGGCGTATATCATGGGTTGTTGCTTCGAGGACGACATCTTTTGTTGCCAGGGGCGCGGGCTGAGCGGGTATGATTTGAGCCAGTGGCTGCACGGGCGACGCTGGTGAAGGAAGATCGAACTCCTGATTGCGACAGATGGCTTCCAGTCTCTGCCGAATCTCTTCTCTCTCTTGTGAAGTGTATCCATCATCATCTACCGCATCTGCATCTCTCTCGTTGGTCGGCAAAGTGCCTTTTCCACCCGGTGCGAGCGAGGGAATGATCATCCTGACTAGGTTGTGTCTGTTCTGCCTGAACCGTGATCGTCGGGGTTGATCGTCGGACTCTTCCTCATCGAATGAGGAAACAGGTAGGATAGAATCCTGCTTGGTACGCAGGTAGTGGTACCGGAAGGCTTGCTCCCTTGCAGCAACCTGTGCTCCCAATTCGGAATCAAACTCGGCGAAATCAGCCTCGTCCTCGTCTTCTTCTTCGTCCGAATCGAACAGATTGTCCTCTTCATCCGTCGAGGTGTCTTCCTGTGACGTGTCATCGTGGGAAGGAGCAATGTGTGAGAGCGGCAGCGGTGAGTGATGAGTGCGTGCAGGCTCCAGAGCGAGCCTCGGGTCGTCCGGTGACGATCGAGGCTCAAGAGGCTGCGCCGGTAGTGCTCGTTCTTCTTGGATTGGCGAAACACGATGAGGTCGATCAGCATTTGCCAGTCTGCGTCGCTTTTCTTTCTGTATCGCATATTCTTCACGTATCCTTTCTTCGGCTGTCTTGAACTTGTGAGTCGTCATATTTCCGACGGGCTTAGGCGTAGCGACAGCACGTCGCTTTGCTGCCTGAGCGGCATATTCCGCTCTCGCTCTCCTTTCGGCCGCGAGCGCAATCGAACTTCGTAGCTTTTCTGGCTCATCGTACTGCTCAACGAGCTGCATCTTCATCGGCCGTTCGACTACTTCTCCCAATCTGTACCCTCCTTTTGGGCCATTCGCGGGTAGACTGCCATGCTGTGGCTGTGGGGGCGTTGCAGGCAAGGGCGGCAGATCAAAGGAAACGCATTTGCGACGCGTGCTGCCCGACCCCGAGGAGGAGAGGGAAGCCGATCGACCGGATTTACCCCTTGCTTCGTCTGATGAGGAGCAGCCATCCCGTGAGAAGGAGGATGTCTTCTTGAGGACCGAGCAAGGCATGACAGCCTTTTGTTTGCCTTTGCCGGGATGTGATGATCGGGTCGGTGTCACGTGCGATCTGGCGGACATCCGCTTGCCGAATGTATGTTCCGACTGATGGCGCCTCACCTGCCCATACAGAGCACAGATCTCGGGTGTCGGCCAAGCAGACTCGACGAGGTGACAAAGCGGCAATCTCTGTCGTGTGACGCCGTTCTCCGCTTTGCTCCCACTCTGAACTGGCTGTGCATCCACCTCGTCGTGTAGCTTCTCGTGAATGTCAAAGACTGGTAATCCCTCCTCGTTGAGAAGCTGGAGGGGAGCCAGCGAAAGTGTCAATCGCACAGCACGGCAAGAGCGGCAAAAGAGCTCCGCTTACCTCGTCGCGCTCGTTGACAGACCATCCTTCCTGCAAGCCATACGTGTTTCTGAGAAGCTCCTCCGCAGATGTGATCTGCTTCCGTAGCGATGCTCTTTCGCCGGGAGTGAGCTCAGTGTTGCCGTGCAGGATCGACTTGAGCGTCGCTACTTGGCTTGTGGTCGATCTTCCTGCAGCCGGACTGGCCATATCGAAGCCAGATAGGATGTCGCCCATCAGCCGTGCGGGCCGGAGCGCAGAGGAGCCCATTCTGAGGCCGCCCTGCACGATTTGACAAGTGCCTGCAGGCGGCGAGTGAGGACGTGGCTTGCGATGAGCGTGAGAAACAGGGACGCGCGCCTTTGCCAACACTGCAAAACCAAAGCCGGCGGCAAATCGTTGGACGGGCTCGTCGCAGGCCGATGGGCGCGACAGCTGTATAGCAACCCCTCTTCAGAGATGGCGGCCTCGCGCGCTTTCCACAGGCCGACGAGCTCGCAACAAGAATCGCTTCCGGCTTCGATCTCGTACGCTCAACCGCCTTCAGTCCCTAATGGGTCGAATCAGGCCACGCCCAAGGGCAAGCTCGGTCAGGCTTCGACGCAGTATGCTCTCACAGAATCTGCACGGTGGAACCCGAGCGCTTCTTCCGCCTTGGCCAACGATTTCGAAGGGACGTACCTGTACGATGACCATGAAACCGGTCTGCCTGCAGGCGCATCCCATCACGGTCCCGCAAGAGTGGACGACGAGGAAGATGACTTTTATGGGGCAGACAGGACGAACTCCAGCTCTTCCTCCAGTCTCGGTCAGCCTGTCCTGCCACCGCCTGAAGCTGCCCGATTCGGCTCGACGGGCTTAGACAGGCGGTTCGATCATCTCGCGCTCGGCGTACCTGACCTACCGCCTTCCTCGTCTGCCTCTTCTGCGTCTACTTCCTCGCTCAGGGTCGACACGGATCCCAACACGCTCAGGCCTGATGGGACGCGAGCTCCTACAGCTGCAAGAGACTGGTTTGCCGGTCACTCAGGTCCCATACTGGGCGGATTCCAAGGCAATGGCGAGCTTTCCTCGAGCTTGTTCAATTCACCTGTTCTGGCATCCGGGCCCACCCTCGGCGGTACTCCACCTCCTGCGTCGCTAGCGGGAGGAGATTCATCATCCGCTTCGACGACCAGCTTACCTCGATCGACGGACAGCGCGCCCGTTCAGGAGAGCATGTCTGCTGCCAATGCTGCCGCAATGAGACAGTCCCATACCAGACTGTCTTCTTACGGCACTTATGGCGATCTCAATCCGCCAGAAGTCGATCCTTCGCGAAATAGCCTAGGCGCGTCAAGAGGTGGCTACCCGATTCAAGATTTGGACGACGAGGATGATTTCTATGGCCTTCCTCCTGCACAGCCAATCCAACAAGCTCCACCAGCGCTGCCGAAATCAGCAAGACAGAATGTCGCAAAGAAAGGCAAAGCTCCAGAGGTTGAGCCCATCGTGACGAATGGCAAAGCTGCACAGCCCAATCAACTCAAGAAGACGCCGGGCATGCAGAACGTTGCGGATCGCAACAGTTCGTCTACTGTTGGAAGCCAGAAGGAGGCATCGAGGAGGGGAGATTCGCCCGTCTCTTCCTCTTCTGCCAATTCAACTCGTCAGTCTATGCAACCCCATCGCAAACCAATGTCGACAGGCAGCAGAGCTCCTTCGATCTACGACAGTCAACCTCACTCCACCGGGCCTTTGCTCGATCACTCACATCTCAGACCGGGAGCAAAAGTCTCCTTGCTCACTCATACGAAAACGCTGGAACTCTACCGCGCCAATGCACAAAAGACAAACGATCCAGAACTCACATTCGAGCTTGCTGTCTTCATGCTGGACGTAGCGAGAGAAGCCAACGGGACAGATCCTACCTCTCCAGCCGGTCCACCTTCGAAGAAGCTTACAGAAGAGAAAGCAAAGAGAGAAGCACTACTCACAGAAGCACTGACGCTCCTGAAGAAAGTCGCAGATCGAGGTCATGTGCCCGCTCAGGCTTTCTTGGCCGATTGCTACACCCAGGGAATTGGCACAAAGGGAAAACAAGATTACGACAAGGCTTTCCCACTGTTTATACTGGCAGGCAAACACGGTAATGCCGAGGCGTGCTTTCGTACGGCTCAGCTGTGCGAAAACGGATGGGGATGCCGCAAGGAGCAGAGCAAAGCTGTATCGTGGTATAGGTGCGACGTGCGGTCTTTTTTTAACAGTCATTTGCTGAGATGGAGTGCACGTTCGCGTAGGAAAGCAGCGGCACTTTCCCATCCTGCAGCGATGTATCGTCTTGCACTGGCAGAGCTCAATGGCGAGCTCGGTCTCAACAGGAGGGCGAAAGAAGGCGTCAAATGGCTCAAGCGATGTGTCGAACTCGCAGAAGCCGAACCCGATCTGCCTACCATTCAGGCCATGCACGATCTTGCGCTCTTGCACGAAAGAGGAATCGAAAACGTCGTCTTTATCGATCACGAATACGCCGCCGAGCTGTTAGCAAAGGCTTCAGAGTTGGGCTGGCAGCCTTCTGCTTACAAGCTCGGCGAATGCTACGAATATGGACGGATGTCATGCCCCAAAGACCCAGCGCTATCTATACACTACTACAGTAAGCCTCTAGCTCTTTCTATTGTTGCAGTCTGACGACGGCCGAACAGACATTGCTGCTCAAAAGGGTCATCGAGAGGCTTGCTTCGCTCTGACGGCGTGGTATCTCGTCGGATCGCCAGGAGTCTTACCTCAGTCGGATACAGAAGCGTTCCTGTGGGCAAAGCGTGCTGCCGATCAAGGCCTTTCAAAGGCCATGTACGCTCTTGGCTACTTCTGGGAGGTCAGCATTTCATTGTGCTACAAGATCGATCGGCGTTGATGATCGGAACAGGTTGGAATCGGTACACCTCACTCGCTGAGAGAAGCAGTAGCCTGGTATCGGCGGGCAGCAGATGCGGGCGATCGACGAGCGACCACTCGACTTCGCTCGCTTGGCTCAGAACGCACAGGTCTGGCAACTGCAGCAGCTCTCGGACCCGGACCGCCTTCTGCCGCAGCACGACGAGGTCAAGCGATCGCGGTCGACAATCACTACTCACGCGGAACGCTCAACGAAGCACCCTCGACGATTTCAGATATGCGTCAGGGGAGCGCATCAAACGGTCCTCCCCGACCTATCGGCGGGAATGGGACGAGTTACGCCAAGCGAGGTGCGCCGAGCGATGGACCCAGCAGGAGAGAGAAGACGGTAGAACGCGAGCTCGCTCAAAGACGAGGCAAGAACGGACCTGACGAGAACTGTATCATCTCTTAGCATACCCTGACCTAGCATAACCTGTACGCATATTGGACCTCATCGAGTCTGTCTGTCTGCCTGCCTGCCTGCCTGCCTGCTCATCCTGTACAAGTCTTGAGCTTGAAGCGTGCAGGGGCCTATCCGCTATCTGGCTCGAGCTTGGGACGCGACTGGCACACGAGCGAGCAATCCCCGGATAGGAGATGAGCACGAGCCATAAGCGCCTGTCGAGTATCACCAAGCATCTCAAGGTTGAGCCGGACACGACCAGCATGGCCCATCATGGTGCGCCAGACTGATCACGTCGATGGCAGCATGAGCTCGATCTGACTCGGCTATCGATGCTTCACAGATATGGACGTCTTCAAGGAGGTCTCACAAGCTCCGCCAGACAGGTTTGTCCTCGCTCATGAGTTGCTATCGATCGTCTGCTCATGCTCAGCTTGACAGCATCTTCCAGCTGACGGCAGCGTACAAGGCCGACAAGCACGACAAGAAGATCAACTTGGGCGTGGGAGCTTACCGCGACGAGAACGGCAAGCCATGGGTCCTTCCCGTCGTCTTGAAGGTATGTAGCTCACTGGTCAGCTTGATCCTCAAGTCTGCTGACGAGTGCGCCATGTCAGGCAAAGCGAGTCATTGCGTCCGACGAATCGCTCGATCACGAGTATCTGCCCATCACCGGCTTGCCCGCATTCACATCCGCTTCGGCTAAGCTCATCTTTGGCAAAGACAGCCCTGCACTCGCGCAGAACAGGTGTGCTGCCTCCATCGCAAACGCGTCACGTGAGTCTGAGCTGGCGGTAATGCTACAGGGTGGCAGCTGTGCAGACGATATCCGGCACAGGCGCGAACCATCTCGCCGCGCTCTTTCTCGCCAATTTCTTCGGTCCATGGAAGGGTAAATCCGAAAAGGTCATCTATATCTCAAATCCGACCTGGGGTGGGGCATAGCCGTTCAGCTTGGCTTCGTTGGCTGATGTGGCTCGTTGCCCACAGCCAACCACAAAGCGATCATGACCAACGTCGGCCTGAAGCCCGTCGACTACAAGTACTATGATCCCAAGACAATCGGCCTCGACTTTTCCGGCTTCCTCGCAGATCTCACAAGCGCGCCCGAGGCTTCTGTCTTCCTTCTTCATGCATGCGCCCATAACCCAACAGGTGTCGATCCAACCAGAGATCAGTGGAGACAGATAGCAGAGACCTTCAAACAGAAGAAACACTATGCTTTCTTCGACTGCGCTTACCAGGGATTCGCATCGGGCGATCTCGACAACGATGCCTGGGCAGTTCGGCATTTTGTCGAGCAAAAGGTCCCGCTGCTCGTCTGCCAATCTTATGCCAAGAATGCAGGGTGCGTACAGTCCGATAGCGGCTTGCTACCTCTGACTCAATGCTGGTTCTAGACTGTACGGCGAACGAATTGGGTGTCTGTGCTTCGTTGGCGAGACAGAAGACGAAACTAAGCGCATTTCGAGTCAACTCAGCGTCCTGCAGCGGTCAGAGATCTCCAACCCGCCGACCTTCGGCGCTCGCGTAGTCTCGCTCATTCTGAACGATGCCAAGCTGTTCGAGGAATGGAAGCAGGATATCAGTACGATGGCGAGCCGGATCATCGAAACAAGGAGCAAGCTCGTCGATCTACTGGAGAACAAGTACAAGACGCCGGGATCTTGGAAGCATGTCACTACTCAGATCGGCATGTTTTCTTTTACTGGCCTCAAACGTAAGATCCACCTGGATCCGCTTGCCCGATGCTGACAAAACTGGAGCCTTGCAGCGGAGCAATGCAAAGCGCTCGTGGAAAACGGACACATCTACCTGACAGGCAATGGCAGGATCAGGTAAGCTGCTCTCCATCTCGCCCCTTTGACGCTCATGTAGGGCTGGCAGTCTTGCGGGACTGAACCCGAGCAACATCGAGTATTTCGCCGAGTCACTAGACAAAGCGGTCCGCGGTCAGCTCTAGTCTTGTACCCCATCACTTCATGGCCATCTGTCTTGCGTCTGCTTGCTGCAATTACATACAAAGTCTACCTGGCGAACCTCACTTGAATTGAGCCATCTCGTCTATTGCCTTCCGAAGCAAGTTCATCTCGGACTGCATGTCTTGCTTCTTCGCAGCATTGCGCTCCCTCACTTGTTCTGGCGTCTTCGTATCATAGCCTGGCGCTTGCATGACCTTGTCGAGTGTACCCGAGCTGATCTTGAGCAAATCGATCTTCTTCGTCAGTTTCACAATCTCCGCGTCAACATCAACGAAACCCTGCAACGGATGTAAGAGCAGCTTATACGACATTCAGTGGCATCAGACTTGCCTTGACGAGGACATGAGCGGAAACAGTGTCCGTGACAGCGCCCGAATTGCATCCCTCGGGCAGCTCAGCAGCCGATGCGAGAACTTTGAGCGAAGTACAGCCCTTGATGAGCGAGGTCATGATGTTCGCCTGGCCGCTGATCTCGTCGTGTAGCCGACCAGCGGGTATCACAACGAAAGCTGTGCATCGCAGGCAAACAGTCAGTCGGGATCGATTGATGAGACGCAACGACGCACCATTGATATTAGTGGCGATACCTGCACTGCCCGCCAAGGAGCGTACGTTGTCGATGCACGACTTGACCGTCTCAAAGTCTGCCACCGCACTGGGTGCAGACATGGTCGCGATCGTGTCCTATAGCATCTCGCACATCTCAGTCAATATCAAGCAGATTATGACCAAGATACGCACAGCAGTTGGGAAAGCGGCGATGCAGATCGAAGGTGTAGCATCATTAGGACGTCGTGGAAGTCGCTGCCAGAGCTCTTCGGTGACGTATGGCATGAAAGGATGTAGCAATCTGAAGCCAAGATCGAGGCAAGTGTAAAGCGTATTCTGAGCTGATAGCCGCTGTTCAGCGGTTGCGCTGTCGTCCATCATTGGCTTCATCGCCTCCTGTCCTCATGCTCGCGTCAGCTACTTCCCCGGCGTATGGCACCAATGCGCTGACAATGTAGACTGCGCAGAGCTCGTCCCACCAGAAGTGATAGATCGCACGCGTGGCAGACATGAAGTCGCGATCTGTCAGCTCGCGATTGACTTCGGTCGCAGCATGTAGCAGTCTGTCAAGGATGTAACGTTCTGCTAGACTCTCTTTGCCAGTCGGATTGGGCGTAGCAGCAGGCGCGAAGTCACCATCGAGCTTGAGCATAGCAAATCGAGTGGCGTTCCATAGCTTGTTGGCAAAGAATCTGAATCCTTCTACTTTGCTTATCTCCAAATTGATATCTCGTCCAGAGCCGGTGTAGTTGCACAAAGCGAATCGCAGAGCGTCCGTGCCGCACTGGGGAATACCTTTGGGGAAGTCCTTCTTCTGTCCATCCTTTGCCATGGCGAGCTCTTTCGGATCCGCAATATTGCCCTCGAGTAACCGCTGATGAAGTCCTTCCAGCGTAATGGACTCGATGACGTCCACCGGATCGATGACGTTGCCTTTGGATTTCGACATCTTGCGGCCATGAGCATCTCTGATCATGGCATGACAGAACACTTCGCGGAAAGGCATCTGGCCTGTCAGCTTGAGACCGAGCAAGACCATCCTTGCTACCCAGAAGAAGAGGATGTCCCATCCAGTCTCGAGTACCGTCGAAGGATAGAAGCGTTCCATATCAGCAGTCTGTCACCTCCAGTCAAACCACAGACAGAGAAACGGACAAGCGCCAACTTGCCTTGTCCGGCCATCCCATGATGGCAAATGGCCAAAGACCAGACGAGAACCAAGTATCGAGTACGTCTTCGTCTTGTCTGAGCGTGTACCTCTGACCGTTGAACTTCTCAGCTGCTCGCTCTTGTGCCTCTTCTAAATTCCTGCCCGCAACCCAATGCGACCCATCTGCCGAATCTTGATCCTTGCCTTCAATATCGACAAAGTAGGCAGGAGCGCGGTGGCCCCACCAAAGCTGTCTGGAAATGCACCAATCGTCCAGCTTTTCAAGCCAAGTGTACCATTCGCCTTCGGACGTCTTGGGCGTAATCTTCAATTCGCCTGCACGCGTTCTCTACTCGAGTGAACACTGAAATCAGCCTAGGCCAATTTCAGACGTTGCAAACCCGACCTTGATGGCTTCTTGAGCCATAGCTTTGCAGGACACCCACCACTGTGGCTTGAGGAGGGGTTCGATGATATCGCCCGATTTGCTACAGATGGGTACGACCATAGGGTTATCTTTCATGCCAACGTAGAGTCCCTTCTCTTTCAACGCATCGATGACTTTACGTCGTGCTGTGAAGCGGGGTATGCCGGCCCAGTCAGGTCCGCAAGAAGCGTTGAGCTTGCCATCCTCCGTGAAGATATTGATCATCTCTAGCTTGTTCCGTTCAGCCGTTCTGAAATCGTTCTCGTCGTGCGCCGGAGTGATCTTGACCGCTCCCGTGCCAAATGACATGTCCGCAGATTCGGCATCGCATACGATGGGTAGTTGGCGATCGAGGAAAGGATGTTGTAGAAATTTGCCATGGAGATGAGTATAGCGTTTGTCGTCTGGATGGATGGCTACCGCAGTATCTCCAAACAATGTTTCCGGACGAGTTGTAGCGACGATGATGCGTTGAGTGGAATCTCCCACGAGTGGGTAGGCAAATTCGGTGAGGACGCCGAACTCGATACGCTCTTCTTTGGGATAGCCGACGATGTTGAGCAATGTACGACCTTTGATCTCTTTCTTGTCTACTTCTTCATTGGAAAGCGTAGTATTGAGGTAGGTGCACCAGTTGACAAGTCTGTTCGCGCGGTAGATGATGCCTTGATCGTAAAGCTGCACCCAGGCTTCTGCTACTGCTTTCGATCGCTGGGGATCCATGGTGAAAGCAGTGCGATCCCAGTCGTACGAAGCGCCAAGTCTGTCCAACTGCGATGTGATCCTGGCTTGGTAGTCTTCTTTCCATGCCCAGACTTTCTCGATGAAGGCATCTCGACCGAGATCATGACGAGATTGGGGCGGATCGAGTCGTCTCAGTCGAGATTCGACGACAGATTGGGTAGAGATGCCTGCATGATCGAAGCCCGGATTGAACAGAACTGTCTTACCCAGCATTCTGTTCCTGCACGATGGGGGCGATCAGTCGCTGAAAACAGCTGGGGTAAGCAGACTGACCATCTTATGAGCGCGTCTTGGATGGCGATAGTGAGTGCGTGGCCGATATGGAGACTGCCGGTCACGTTGGGCGGTGGAGCAGGAATGATGAAGACACCTTCCGGCTTGATCTCCCCTTGGGCAGTGAGGGCGGGTTTGAAGAATCCCGAAGCCTGCCACCAATCGTTCCAGGCAGCTTCAACGGCCGGTGGATTGTATCCGCTCGCCATCTCCCCACTCAAATCCTTCTTCTCCCCCTTCTTGGTCTTGTTCACAAACTTTTGCTCTTCTACCGCTGCCGCTTTCTCTTTCTTGGGTTTGCTAGCAGAAGAAGTAGGTGCAGCTGCTTTCGCTTTCGCTTTCGCTTCCTTTGCAGCCTGGCCTGCCATTCGTTTCTGTTCCTTCTTGATCTGCTGCTTGCTCAAGGGTTGACCGTCTGGTCCGAGCATAGCAGGCTCTGCGGGGCTTGAAGGAGCAGCATGGTTGCCATTGAGTGCCAATCCGGCAGTCTGACTGGCATTAGCCATGGTCGCTCGATGAAGATCCGCTCGAAAGAGTGTATGAGGCAAAGATGAAGAGAGAGAGCAGCTGATCCGTCGTGTGCCAGCTCTGAGCATGCACTGTCGTCCGCTGAGAGTCGTCGACAAGCACACCTTTGACTCGACCGAGCTGTTCAACTTTTTCTCTCGCGACGAGACGATCTCAAAGCCTAGCGGGTCACCAAGAATGCCAGCTCTGACGCTCACCGGGCTGGTCACAAAAGCCAAGCTCATGCGGCAGACCTGCACCGTCACCGTCACTACACTCGGCAGACATACGCTCGTCAGAAAGGTCGCTTCCTAGGAGAGCTAGCACGAACAAAGCTGACTCTCGGAGACTGCAATAGCCTCTCAACAGGACGAAGAACTATCTTGTGCACGATGAAAGGGAGATAGCAAAAGTAGGCGATCGGGTGAACATCCTGCACTCGAGCAGGAAGCTATCTGCACGAAAGAGGTTCATCTTGCAAGACATATTATCCGACTCGGCGCCTGCAGCAGGGCCAAAGACGACGTTGCTCGAGCCTTCCGCGCCTTCGGCTTCGCGTCAGACCAAACTGATTCATTCGGCTTCGAAGGAAGCCCAAGTACAAGCTCAATCGACGACGACAAGGTGACAGAGAGAGACCTGGATGTTGTAACGTGATGTATTCGTGCGATGTAGTGTACAAAGGATCACCTCTCGGGCGGTCTGTCTAGTGAGCTGCGCCAATCTCGAGCTTTGCCGTCTTCTTCACATGCGAGTCGTCGAGTGTCTGGATGGGCCGGTACAGCGGATCCCACTGCCACTTTCTCACCTGTGCATCGACTTTGTCAGCAAGATCGCAGAGCTTCACCGGACCAGTCACTGACTTCTTCCTCTGTCCAATCACGATCATCGTCTTTGACCGAGTCCTGTACGACGCCTTCCTTCCTCGCTTGAGCAGCGACAGCCTGTGCGACTTTCACACTACACCCACTCGCGTCAGCTATGCAAAAGAACATCGTAGAAGGTAAAACTCGCCTGATATGTCTGACGAATCCTATATCTGGCAGCAGAGCCGCGTCGGGATCGTGCAGAGCAGGCGAGAGCTTCGCGATGGCATCAATGGCAGCAACGAGCATGCCAGGGGTGACCTTTGTCGCCTTGCTGATCACGACGCCCAGACCGAGACCGGGGAAGATTTCGGCATTGTTGCATTGCGATACTTCGTACAGTCGACCGTTTGGCATCTTGGCAGGCTCGAAGGGCGATCCGGTAGCGATGAGCGATAGACCGTCTGTCCAATCTGTGATATCTTGAGGTGTGGCTTCGACGAGTGTGGTGGGATTGGACAGAGGGAAGATGATGGGTCGTTCGACATGCTTGTGCATTTCCCTGATGACTTCTTCTGTAAAGGCTCCTTTGTGGGTCGAGCATCCGATCAGAACGGTCGGTTTGACTTGCTGGACTACTTCGAGCAGTCCGGGACCAGATTGCTCATCGCCCTTTGCACCGGATCGCGAAGGCCAAGCAGCGACATCGGCTACTTTGCGTGCGTAGCGCTTTTGACCAGATCGAAGGGAGTCAAAGTTCTCGAGGAGGAGGCCTTGGCGATCTAGACACCAGAACTTCGAGGTCGCCTCTTCCTCTGTCAGTCCTTCTTTCTCCACGAGCGACGACAGGATCCCTTCGGCGATACCGATGCCCGCGCCTGCTTGCCTGTCAGCCTATGGCTTGTGTAGAGAGCACGAGACGCACTGCCCGAGCCATAGATGACGAAGCGCTGATCGGATAGCTTTGTCTTTGTGACAAAGATAGCAGCCGTCAAAGCTGCAGAAGCAATGCACGATGTCCCTTGAAAGTCATCATTACTATCAAGCCATGTCAGCTCGATCGCCATGGCAGATATGTCAGCACTCACAAAACAGATTGTTTGGGTTGATACTTCTCGAGTAACCTGAGCGCGTTGGAAACGCCGAAATCTTCGAAATGGAGGAGAGCGTTGGGGTACATCTTGGCTATCGAGCCGCAGAACTTGTCCACAAAGCGATCGTACTCTTCTCCAGTCAGTCGCTTATTCTTCCAGCCGAGGTAGAGTGGATCGTCTAAAAGATCTTGTCGATTCGTCCCGACATCGAGCATGACAGGTAGAATCCGAGCAGGGTTAAGACCTCCTGCTAGTGAGTACAACTGGGCTTTGGCAATCGAGATGGCAATACCGCCTGCGCCTTGATCTCCGATGCCCAAGATAGCCTCACCATCGGTGACAACGACGATATCGATATCGTCTGCATCGCCAAACTGTGCGAGAATGCCTTCCATGTCGTCCATATCAGGATAAGCGAGGAAGCAGCCAACAGGCCGTCTAAAGAGATGCGAGTACCGCTGAATGGCTTCGCCTGCGGTGGGAGTATAGATGATGGGCATGAGTTTCTTCAGGTGACGTAGTACAAAGTTGTAGAAGAGCGTCTGATTTTGGTCTTTGAGCGAGGCCAGGAAAGCATACTGGTCCACTGGGTTCTTGTTGCCTTCGAGCTGAGCTTGTACGCGAGCACATTGCTGATCTAGCGTGTGCACCTCGTACGGCAGTAAACCCTCAAGCTGGAGCGCTTTACGTTCTTCTCTTGGGAAGGCAGCTCCCTTGTTCCTGCTCGACGGCCATCAGGGAGCGACTATCGCGCAATACTCAAAGACGGACAAGATAGATGAATTGAGCACGGCCAGACCGCGTAGATGCGTTTTGAGCGGTTCCTCATTCTTCACGTGCTCGATGTGCTACGCAAGCCAAGCATCAGCGCCTGTTGTCAAAGGGACATAGCGGATGACGAACTCGCACGTTGTCGCGGCTTGCGCGAGAGCTGATAGAGAAAGATCTCGACATGGCCGGTACTCGCGCGCTACGATACCCTGCCACAGCCCGCGGACGGCAAGATCGCATTGCCAGCGCAGCAGCTGACGCTACCTTGAGATGTATGTGAGCGCTGATGACGGAGATTGCGGCAAGCTAATGAGGTGCGGAGTAAGGGAGACCGTCAAAAGTAGTTCCAACGAGGCGAGGCGTCGACGGCCGAGAGTCTCTTGTCAGCGGAGTGACACAGCAGCCAATCCGGTTTCGAGTGACGACGTGACACTCGTCAGACCGTACAGAGGATCGCATTGGTCCAGCTGCACTTGTTGGGCGCGTCGACAGGTCAGCACAAAGGCGAGCTGCAGTCGCCCAACGTTGGCCAGTCAACAAGCCTTTGCCGAGGACTTGGACGCCCGTCGCCAAAGCAGCACACTCCTTCATCGGCTCACCGTCCGACAACACCTGCTACCCCTCTTGCTGAGTCCGGCGTGTCGACTTTGCTATTGCGTAGAAGCGAGGACAGCGCACGGGCATTAGATCTCAGAGAACATCAGCTGCTTGTGTCTCGGCTGGACACCTCAGGGCGACCCTCCTGAGTGACATTCGACAGGATGGCACGAGACAGATTACAGGCTATGCGCGTACGTTCCGACCGCTTCATGTTTGCAGCGAGTATGAGGATGATCCGGATGATACAGCAAGGTCAAGGCGGAGGATATGGCCAGCCTGCTGCTCCTCCTTCTCAGGCGACCTACAACGCCCCGCAGCAGTCATACCCCTCTCAGCAACCATACTATCAGCAGCAGCAACAACAGCCACAACAGCCTCAGTCAGTCCTTTGCACCTCATCCATTTGAAATTGGCTGAGGCCGTTGCGTGAACGAACAGACAAGCCTATGGAGGTGCAGCTGGAGGCTATGACCGACGTCAACAGGATCAGTACGATCAGCCGCCGCCTGTACAACCAACAGGGCGACAGAACGGTGCCTCGCACGAAGCCTACGAGATGGGTCACGTCAATGGCTCTCAACCAACCATGCGTACGTCATTCTTTTTCAGCCTTTCCTGTGCAATGCTGAAGCGCTGCTGTCACAGAGGGATTCTTTGATGAGGTTTTCACACTGAGAGAAGCGCTAGAGAAGCAACTATCAGCCAATATCAGCGAGATCGATACGCTGCACTCACGTATACTCAACGCGACAGATGATAATGCTTCGGCACAAGCTCACGCTCAGCTGCAAGACGTCTCTCGTCAGACCACTTCCCTCACTAATAACATCAAAGTTCGCATTCAGCGCCTGAATGACGAGACAAATAGGATGCCGCCAGGCGGGGATCAGAATACTCGTCGTACCCAGATCGGTGCTCTCAAGAAAAAGTGCAATCTCTCGACAACTCTGCATTTCATGACGCTGATGCGAGTCTAGGTTCACGGACGCGATCGTGCGATATCAGCAGGTCGAAAAGACTGCGAGGGATAAGAACAGGCAAAAAGCAGAACGCCAATTCAGAATCGGCAAGTCGCTCTGAGCGCATCAGTCTCGAGGCTAATGCGCCTGCCGCGTGAATTGCAGTAAAGCCAGATGCGACCCAGGAGGAAGTCAATGCTGCTCTCTCGGACCCTTCCGCCCAATCGCAAATCTTCTCGCAAGCCGTGCGTCTTCCGGCCCTAGAATCCTCTGTCAGGCTCAAAACTTGCTAATGCGTAGTTGGTCAATTCGAATCGATATGGTGACGCCCGAGCAGCCTACAAAGAGACGCAAACGCGCAATGAAGATATCAAGCAGATTGAGCGGACAATCGGCGAACTCGCTCAGCTCTTCAACGAGGTGCGCCAGCCTAGCTTGCGGTGACATTCGGATCTGACTGTGATTTGACACCCGCAGATGGCGATGATGATTGAGCAACAGGACGAGCAAGTCAAGGCTGTCGAAGTTCAGGCTGCAGGCGTCGAGACGGACATGCAAAATGCGTTCGTCCTTGACCTTCGAGCTGCGTTGCGCAAAGCTGATCAGAGACATCGCCAACAGAGGTCAGCAAATCCACAAAGGCAAGCTATCTGCCATAGCGGCGCGGAAGAAGCGATGGATCTGCTTCATCATCCTCCTCATCATCTTGTCAGTCTTGCTTGGTCTTAGCTCACACGAACTGACATTCGCAACGAACCGACAGGATCATCGTGGCTATTGTTCTGGCGGTACATTTCACCCGTTAGCGACCTTCTCACTTGACTCCACTGTCCATTCTCACATGTTCCGCATCTTGTCCGCACACAGGCAACAATGGCAACAGCAGTAACAACAACAACACTACTCCGGCCTAGGCTCCGAAAGGATCTCCGCAGCTCGTCGCTGGGATCGTGCCTGGGCGATCTATTTTGCCATGCTGCTGATCACGGAGCAAGAATAGCCATTGTAGCTCTCAGCCACCTTTTGTTGAATAGACCTATTCATTTCCTTTTCTCGATCGCCTCTCGGGAGAGTCTTCCTTCTCTTTTGTCTCTCGTAAAACGAACGCCTTTTTCACATCGAGTCGGCGTTGATCTTCTTCTCGCCCATGTGTTCGCTTGGCAGATAGGTCGAGATCTCATGCTTTCTCGACGATCCACTCCCCGGAAGCCCGAGACAAGCGAGCGCCTGCGCATGATACAAAAATAAGAAGGCCCCCTCGCTAGTCGTCTTCTTCCTCCAACTTGAGCGCAAGATGAGGACGGCCATCGCTGCGGCACTGATCGTCGCTTCCTCAATTGCTCATGCAGCACCACAAGGCATCGCAAAGCGGCAGGCCGCCACGACGACATCGCTCACGACAGCGTATGCGCCTGGCGTAGGCAAGTCTCACCGTGCCCGCCGTCAAAAGGCACTAACGGGATCCGTGCGCATGCAGGCACTGTCACGATTGCGGCTGCACCGACTGGATCTGACCTCACTGCTTCTGCGACAACGACGACCAGTGCTGCTGCTTCTGCTTCATCTGCATCCTTCTCTAGCGCAGCAAGTAGCGCCGCTTCCGTCGCTTCGTTGACTACATCGACCCTCACCACAATAACGAGCACGCTTGCGCCTGGATCATCTGTGACTGCGCAGCCGACGAGTGCTGAACCTACGAAAGCCAGCGCGGCGGCTGTGACCGTCGCCGCATGTGCGCCGAAGTATACCGGCAATTCGATAACGATCACAGGCACTGGCACGTTGCCTAAGCCGACTGCTTTCGTGACCCGTTCAGGCCAGACACTGCAACTGTCCGGCAAGACCTACCGCATGGCGGGACCCAATATCTACTGGCTAGGGCTGGACGAGAACGTGCAACCCAATCCGTCATACCCATCGACTGCTCGAGTCCGCGAAGCAATGGCAATCGCAGTCGCTATGGGAGCAAACACAATCCGAGCACTGTCTCTCGGTATCTCTTTCGGCAACTCGCTATCCGTCGAGCCTACCTATGGCACTATCAATGCCAATGCATTCAAAGCCATCGATTACGCCATCTATGCTGCTGGACAGTATGGCCTCCGTGTTATCTTGACACTCAATGACGACTATGACTATTACACGGGAGGAAAGTACACATTCTTGCGCTGGCTCGGTTTGTCGACGGGAAACTACGGCAATGCCTTCTTTACCAGCTCAGCGGCTATCACTGCTTATCGAGCTTATATCAAAGCCTTCATCACCCACAAGAACCAATACAACGGATTGACGTACGCTCAAGATCCTACCATCATCGCCTGGGAGACCGGCAACGAGTGGGGCGCGTACATCGGAAGAGAAGGTTATCCGCCGCTCGCATGGACAAACAACATTGCGAGCTATATCAAAAGCCTCGCGCCAAAGCAGCTCGTCATCGATGGCACAGATGGCATCTGGAACTGTCAGTCTATCCTCTGTCGTTCGTACTGAGCTAATGCGTTGCGATCAGACACGACCAAGGTCTCCGCGCCAGGTCTGAAATCGTCATACATCGACATTGCCTCTGATCACTTGTATCCGCTCAACACCGGTCTCTTCAACCAAGATCTCACGCTCGTAAAGAGCAATAACAAGAATCTGCTCATCGGAGAATTCGATTGGACCGGTCAAAACGGCGGAGCTACGCTCTCAAGCTATATTTCAGGCGTCGAAGCGACTTCTTATGTCGGCTCCATGGCTTGGTCTGTCTTTGGACATGACGACAACTGCTGTCAATTCGTAAGCCATTCTGACGGCTACAGCATCTATTACCCCAATGGCAATACTGCCGCTCTAGAAGGCAACGTATTAGCTCTTTCTCAGCACTGGCATCGCCTAACGGGTCAAACTCCGCCGAAGACGCTCAAAGCTGTCGCCTGCCCTCAAAAAGTCTTTTGATCAGCATTCGTACAGGTTGAAGGATCAGTTCTTGCATGGACATTGCTTTCTACGAGGGTTGTACGGTATGCATATGCATGGGTGCAAGTGATGCAATCATTGCGTTGAACACAAGACATCTGGGTCTACCCAGATCGTTTGCCGCTCATCTGCGCAAGCTAGCCTAAGGCTAGCTCGCCGGCAATCGTCGACATTGGAGGCCCAGGCAGAGGCCCACTTTGGTATCAACGGTTGCAGTCTTGCAGTCATGTCTCACGAGCCGAAGGCCACAGCTGTTCTCCACGAGGCGACATGCAACGAAGTGGTAAGATAGCGTCCGGCGTTGGTTGGTATCAGTGCGCCGCTGAGGAGGTCACAGATGGAGCATTACTGCTCGTCCAAGATACCGTGATCTTGTGTCTGTTGAGCCCGCTTCGGGATCTGCATGGTCTGCTGCCTGCTTCGGGGCTGTTGATGGCATGGCCGGCGTAGGTGGACAAGCCTCTGTGGCGCACCAGCTCGCGAGCCTGCCCGGTGTAGGCTTTGGCGAGGCTGCGCGTGATAATGAAAGGTGCGGAAGGGTCCGCAAGAGGATGAGTCTGCGAGCACTGCTGCCATCTCTTGAGCCACGCGCACTTGATGAGCGAGACATCGAGATGCCATGACGAGACGTCACGACGACGGCTCAGGAGGTTTGAACAAATCTGAACGACCAGAAGCTTTCGAAGACGTTGGACTGCCCTGAGACGGCTTCGAGGTGGCTCATAGCTTATCAGTGCGCTGACGCTACACTGCGTGGCACTGTGGAGACTGGGGCGCTGCGTGGGATGTGGCGATTTGGCCGTTCTGCTATCATCGCGTCCACTTTGAGAGTTTATCGATATCGCACTATCAGTCTGGCAATACACAGAGCTGCCTCGGCCAGACCCACGCACAAGGACGATCAACTCGCTGAGATGCAATTCAAGAAGCCGTCCGGGGGCTCGAGCCTGCTGGACAAGGCTAGCAATCTGTCTCTTGGCGACGGTACCCCAACAGAGCAAGATAACGGAGCCAGAGGCCGCACGACCCAGAAGCATCTCTCTGATATTGTCTCTGGGCACTTTGCGGGCACGCCAGACCCTATCGACAACTCTGAGCCTGCTGTAGAGGCACCGGCGACGTCGTCCTTTAGCAGTCTCGATAAGCTCCTTAAGAACAACAAGGCCTGGGCAGAGGCAAAGACGAAGGAGAACCCCGACTTCTTCGCCGAACTCTCCCGTCAGCAGAAGCCAAAGCTGCTCTGGATCGGATGCTCAGACTCGAGGTCCGGTGAAAGGCTCAGATACGCGGCATACCGAGCTGAGCGAGGAGCGCAGAGTGCCCGCCAACCAAATCGTAGCTCTTGATCCCGGCGAGGTCTTTGTTCACCGCAACATCGCCAACGTCGTCTGCCACACGGATCCAAACTGTCTATCTGTCCGTCGGGGCTCCACTCACCAGGCAGATCAATCTCACAGATGGGAGAACAGGTGTTGCAATATGCCGTTGACGTGCTCAAGGTAGAGCATGTCATCGTCACAGGTCACTACGGCTGCGGAGGAGTAGCAGCAGCAATGGGCAATGCCATCTTCAACGGCGTCGTCGACGGCTGGCTGCGCAATATCAAGGATGTCTACGAGGAGAACGCTGACCGGATTGAAGTACGCCGTGCCGAGTCTGGCTGGGCCGGCGCTGACATGATGCGCAGGCACTGGCGAACGAGAAAGACAGAGGCGATTTGCTGGTCGAGCTAAGTCAGTGGCAGCCACGGTTTCATGCGTGCACAGCCTGATCGAGGCCGCACAGATGTGGTGCAAAGTGTGATGAACCTGTGCAAGACGACCATCGTTCAGGGAGCGTGGGCGAGATCGCAGCCGCTCGAAATCCACGGTTGGTGCTACAGGCTCTCAGATGGTCGCATTAGAGATCTCGGCGTCAAGGTCGACTCGCCCAAGGCCATCGACAAGGGTAAGATTGGCTGAAACCTACCTTTGAGCTATACTGATGCCGTTTGCAGTCTATCACGTCGCTACAAAGACCGAACCGGAGCATTAGAAGCCAACGATGGAGCATGACGACTGTAAGACTGATCTAGAGCATACCAATGCAAGAGGAAGATTTTGTTTTTGACTTCGCGTCTCGCGCGTGCATGGTTTGACGTCGATCGAAAAAAATGGCTGGCGCTACGTCATCGCGACCGTTCTGGGCCAAGGTCGAGCCAAGATTGGACTGCAGCCGCAAAGTGATTGGCTGCTCACATTCGTCACACCCACAAAGCACAGTCTACTCACTCACTTGCCGACTCTTCCTGCTACGCCGACGAGGGACGAGAAGGAGAGACGCTCAATAACGCTCTTTCGACCTTGCACAGCTCTATAGGTACCTTTGCCTGACCTCTGCATCCGCTACTCGCTACTGACAGTACAAGATCAAAACAGACTAAAGGAAGAGCTTGCCAATCATGGCCGGAGGATTCTTTTTCATCGGGCCCTTCTTGCTCTTCGTACGCTTTCTCTCCGTCTCGTCAGGAGAAAGGCTGATGGAGGATCTACATCGGTCCAGGCGGCAATGGTACTCTTTGTCTTTATCAGCGTCTCAGTGCCGATATGGTACAAAGTGCGCTTCCTCAGTGCTGCCGTCAACGCCAACGGTACTCCATCTCAATTCTACCTCGGACTATGGTCACTCTCTCTCTCTCCCGTCCTCCTGATCAAGATGCTCATCGGACTGTTTGTGTAGGGGCGCTTGTGTAGACATCACTGGAGGAGCGAGACAATGCTCGTCAAAGTCGTTCGGCTACAACATCAACTCTTACCTAACCCAATTCGGCGTCAATGGCTCGCTACGAAACATCTACAGCCACGGACTGACCTATGGCTTCCTGCTCAATCGTGCGCATGCTCTCGATCACTCGTGCACACAAGAGCTGACGTTGTTTCACAGCCATTGCGGGCTTGATAGCGCTCATTGCGTTATTGTTCTCCATTCCCGCAGGAACATGCGCAGAACTCATGGCTAGTCCGTCGCATCTTTACTCTGACGTGATACACAGCGCTGACACGACAAAAACCAGTCTTGTTGACCATCTTTGCCTTCCTAGTGGCAGCAGCAGCCCTCGTCATCGATCTCCTCGTCTTCATCAAGACGCGCAACCTCATCAACCGTTCCGCACCGGGCACAGCCTCGCTCGGCAATGCCATCTGGCTCACTGTCGCAGCCACAGGCGCACTCTTCCTGGCCATCTTCTTCGTTTGCCTCGGATGCTTCAGAGGACGCAGCTCTCGCAAGTATGCCTACGACGAGAAGGACTACGCTGCCAACTACGAGCCATCGAGCCATATGCATGACGATCAATACGAGGACACCGGCAATCACGTCGGAGCGTACGAGAGCCAGCCTGCTACATCCGAATACGGAGGCGATCGCTCTGTTGTGGGAACGTCGGGCAGCCAATACGGAGGTGACGACCGTCTCTCGACCGGAGCGCACCATCATCACGGCAATGGCTCCCTCGCTGCGCCATTGCACAACCAGAATGCGCTCTAATGCTGACTCGCTCGATACCACCGACTCACTGTCTACTGTTGCCGTTCGCATCTTCGCAAAATCCTTGGACAAGACGACAGCAGTCGGTTAATTTATTTCCGCTCTCTTTTTTTTGCTGTCTACCGGAATTGTACTTCATATACATCAACAACACTCGATACACGTACGGCACAATGCATGCTTGTCCACTCCCACCCCTTGCGCTTGCTAATCGAGATCGAAAGGTGGTCGCCATGCAACTTCGGACCAATGTCCGAAGTCGTAATGAGCCACCCTCTTTGGCGGAAAGTTCTTCCAATCAAAGTCCTCGCGTGCAGAGACGATATGTCGTCCAGAGAGCTGCCAAGCTGTTGTGTTGAGATCTTGCCTGACTTCGTCGTATTCTCGGAGTGTGTAGGCGACTCTGGCCTTGGGTATGATAGCTATTCTCCCCAGTCCTGTTTTCCACAGATCGACATTGAAGAGGTAACATTCTGATGAAGCATCGGTGTGGTTTATGGCTCTGAATCGGAGCGAGTGGGGTGGATAGAAGGCTTTTGCTTGGATGACGGTGATGCCGTTCCAACAGGAGAAGACCTGGAAGGGCAGATTGGAATCGTATCTTGCGTGATCGTGTCTGTTCTGCTTCAGTGGTGGCGATGGCAGTACCCACGTCCCGTCCTTCTCAATCGCATAGAAGGGTCTGCTCTGCCATCAGCGCTGTGCCTAGCGAGAGGAGGAACGAGACAAGCTGACAGTCCTAGTATGTCTCTTGCGACCCAGACGTCGTAGAAGAGCATAGGATAGCCCTGCGACCTGAACTCTGGAACTTCCAGACGCTGATAGTCCATGGCGCAGGTCATGGAGGCATCGAGGAACATCCTCGAGTGAAGGAGTTCGATCACATCGGCAGCGCAGAAGAAGACGTCGTTGAGGAAGACGACCTGATCGAAGCCGCCATTCTGTCCGGCTACGAAGATGTCCGTCAGAGGGAGCAGGGCCGCATTGCGGATCTTTGCCAACGAATCGATGCGACGATTGGGCAGATCCATTGCGGGTACGAATTTGCCATCGCAACGAATGGTATAGCTCACGTCGATCTTGTCGAACAGCTTTGACAAGACGTAGAGCTGGGCGACTGTGGCATCATGGGATCCGTTTTCGTAGATGGAGATGTGGATCCTCTTTGAACCGAGATGGTCCAAGATGACGAGCAGTTCTTGTACGATCGAGGGCAGAACAGCTTCCACATTGCGCGCATTGAACGCAATGAGGATGGACTCTCGTGATCCTGCTACTTTGAGGTAGCGTTGGACGTGAAGTGGTGTCAGCGTGCAGATAGCTAGCTCGCTCTTATTGGTGGACAGGCCATGGAGGATATCGAAGAGCGCGCCGGCAGACGTGTCTCTGGACTCGACAGCGCTCGGCAGCTTGGACTTGTCCAGCAGAGCGTCAAAAGTCGATCTCGCTTTCCCTTTGAGGGGTCGTGTGCGCCATTGGGGTTCATTGGGCTTCTTGCCAATCACAGGTTTCGAGCCATAAGACTGACTGGCGATATTCAAAGGATCCCTCTTGCCGGACCTACCCCTCAAGATGGAAGTTCCTCGGGCGAGTGCAAGGATGAGCCCGATGAAGACGGTCGAACAGATGGCGAGGGTGATGAAGAGCTGTTTGCGCTTGTTCAGTCGAAAAGAGATGAAGTCGCCGGCGTGTCGTGCAGAGGCGTGTCTGTTCGTGAGACTCAGCTTGATCTGGCTCCGTGTAGGCCTCGCCAGCGGTGGCATGTTCGACGGCATCTCTGCATGTGTCACAGGCGGCAGAGACGCAACGTGGAGAGCTGAGAGGCCAGGCCTGACAGGAGCAGCGCGCGTTCATCTGACTGAATCAGGCGACGGCCTGCACTCGGACAGCCTTTGTCAGCGAGTTTGGGCAGCTCACACACACACACGCCTCCCCTCGGCGTGACAGTGCACCGGGAGCGATCATCGAGGCAGTGAAAGGTCACCACACGGCGCCTGGCTGGCCGTTCATGGCAGCACCGACCGCGCCCGACCAACCCACTCGTGGTCGAGCGCTCTCTTCAGCTTCGACAGCCACGACCTTTCTCTCCGCGACATCTCGCTCACGTCGTAGGGACGGTACACTAGCGCGTGGTTGGGCGCCCAGACCCTCATTGCCCACCTTGCCAAGCTCACAAGACGTCCTCGTGCCTGCCGAAGCCGCACCTGCATCTACACTCTCTTTGCGGCCCTTGCAATCCACACTGGAACGACATATAGGACCTGTCCTCCTGCCTCCGTCTGCTGAACGGAGCAGACGAGAGTCAAGCGCCTCGAAGAGAAGTGGCGATATTGATAGGCTGGGCGAGTCCATCGTGCAAGACATCTCTGCCCCCGAGCCCAGTGAACCTCTCAACATGGCTCCCACTCGACCATCAGACGACGCTATTGCAAGTTCGCCCGCAAAGCGACATAAGACTTTGGATATACCCGCTCTAGATGAGCAGCCAATCGCGAGTCCGAGCCAGACGGCTGGCTGGCTCTCGGGCTGGTACGGCAGCCAGGCACCTCAGACCATCGCAACACAACCTACTGCATCTACATCATCTCGGGACATACCGCCTAGTCTCGCGGCCGTCTTTGAGCCTCCCGCGGAGCCGCTGTCCTCGTCCGTGTCCGAACCTGCACCTGTGCCACCGGAAGTAGACACAAAGGGCAAAGGCAAGCAGAAAGAACAGCCTGCTCCTCTTTCGACGAGACCACCTGCATCAACTGGCTGGCTAGCATACCTGGGCTATTCGCCATTGCCCGAGCAACCTCCGTCAGAAGAAGTCAAAGAGCAGGTGCCTGTCGTCAAACGCAAAGCGTCTCGTGTCGTTATGCCCATCACTGGCTCGCCCAATAAGGCCAGCAACTCACTGCGAGGCCGTTCCAGGGAGCGAGAGACTCTCGGAAGTTCGTCATCGGGCGGTAAAAGGCTTGAAGTACTTCGGCAGACCTCGCCTTCTGGCTCGACAAGGTCGATGCCTGCTCTTTCTTCCTCTGTCATCGTGGGCGATCCGGTGCCGCCAGCTGCTCTCGTCGGCCCTTCGTCGGCTTCTCTGCGTTCAGTAGAAGTTCTTTCTGACCCTCGTAAGTCTGTATACAGTCGAGCTGTAGCGGCACTGACAAGGGCAATACAGCTACCGCGCCGATACAGGCCGTGACGCACCCGACAAAAGAGGCACAGCTCGTGTTGGAGAGCACGAGTATGCCTCGTTCTACCTCGTGGTTCTCCTGGTCTTCGCCTGCTCTGCCGCCTGCGCAATCAGCACTTCCACTTCCACCTCAGTCAGAGATCTTAGAAGAGGCGGCAGTAGTAGCAGATCCCACCGACTTGCCTTTACAAGTGAAGACGCCGAAGCCTGCACCGGGCTGGCTCGCAAGCTGGTACGGCACAGAAGCTTCTCCACCTGCGCCAGCGGATGCCATGCCACCAATGAAGCCGACGCAGGTAGCAGCCCATGTCGTTCCCGAACCGGCTCAACAAACCCAAGGTCTGGGTATCTCAACGAGCAGTGATGCTCCACCTGTGACCTCCTCAGCGGCGCATTCACGCCAAGCAACAGCGACAGATCGGCTGGCAACTCTGCCAGCGAGTCGTTCGGCATGGTCGCTCTTCTTTGCTGCAAAGGCGGTAGAGGAGCAACGTAGAATCACGACGGACGAGATGGAAGTCATGGAAGTGCCCGACCTAGACGATCGAGGCCAACCGATACGACCTTTGCAAGACGTGAAGAGCTCAAAGCCGGCGCAAGATCTGAAGAGCTCGAAACCTGCACCTGATGCCGAACCACCGAAGAAACATCCGGATGCGCCGCTGACATCGTCGATTCGGGTGCAGAAGAAGGCAGAGATCAAGCCAGACTCGCCCAAGCTCACTTCGCCTCCCCCGCCTAACTTGGTCCTGCCTTCGTTCAGCGATACATTCGGCCGAGCGCCTCGCTCATTCCCGATCAAACAATCGAAGCTAGACAAAGCACTCGGGCTGGTCAATTCCTATTTCTTTTCGTCGCCTGCTTCGCCTGCCCTGGCAGCAGATGCTGCGAGTCACGCAGCCCGGCAGAAGCTCAAGGTCAAACACCGCGACCTCATCCATACCTCAGAAAAGTATCCGAAGCTATACGAAGTCACGGGCGCGCAAGCTCGTCATGGTGCGAAGCATGTCAAGAAGGTCGTCGTCATTGGTATACATGGCTGGTTCCCGAGCCCGTGGCTCAACTCAGTCATCGGCAAACCGACGGGCACGAGCGAAAAGTTTGCGACGATGATGAAACAAAGCATCGAAGCTTACTTTGAGGAGCACGAGCCGACCGTGCCAGAGATCAATGTCATTGCGCTATCGAAAGAAGGCAAAGTCTCGGATCGTGTCGATCGGCACTATGAAGACTTGCTCAGCAATCAGCGCTACGTCGACCAGCTCCACAATGCCGACGCTATCTTTATCGCTTCTCACTCACAGGGCACCATTGTAGCAACGCAGCTGCTCGCAAGATTGATAGAGCAGAAACGTATTAAAGCGGATCGAGTTACTCTGCTCTGCATGTGCTCAATTGCACTAGGTCCATGTACGTCGAGCTCATGATCAGTCAGCTCTGGCACGCTACTGAGCTTCCGGACAGTCGTATCGCTCAACACGAGCTACATAGCGCCGTATCTTCAATATTTCGAATCAGCTGCAGCGACGGAGCTCTTCGACTATCAAGATCCTGAAAGTCCACCCTCAAGGCGGTATCACGCCGCGATCACAATCATCCTCGAGATGGGGGTCAAGGTCGTTTTTATTGCAAGTTTAAACGATCAGGTCGTTCCGCTCTACTCTGGCACGTTCGCATCGCTCGTCCATCCAGCGATATTGCGAGCCATGTACATTGATGGCCAGGCTTTTCAGTCAAGCGATTTCATGACGAATCTGACCGTCTTTCTGCTGCGATTGCGCAACGCCGGTTTACCCGACCACGGTCTCTCGCAGCATCTCAGCGAAGCCTTAGCTGGCAGCTTGACGGGTGTCGGTCACAGCTCCATCTATGAAGAGCGCGATGTCTACAGGTAATCGCTGTCTGCTCTGCCTCTATAGTAGCTGATAGCGAGGGAGCAGTTTGGCCACACGTTATCATTTTGAAACAACACCAGTACTCGTGCAAGGTCGAGCGGGCGGCCATGTGCCGGATCAACCTATCATCGAGCCATTCCACCCACGCAACTCTGCATCACTCCGGAACCCTTACTTTCTTCCGTTCGCACTGCGCGGCATCCTCGACGACGAACGAGTACAAACACTCTTTGGCGCAGAACTACACAGTCTTCGGCAAGGCTATGAGGACTGGCGACCGGTCTCGAAACCATTGAGAGCAGTCAGGCAACAACTGGAGCCCTTGCGGCTCATGCCCAAGATCGGCGGCAATGCCAATGTGGCCCCTAAGGACGGTCAGCGCCCATCGCAGACTATCAGCAAGACTGCCAAACTCTAGTGTTCAGATAAATTGGTACGATCAATCGCTGACACAAGACTAGATATGGCTTGGACGCAGCCTCCGCCTTGGGTTGGCGCCTTACTCGTTCGCACCTTGACGAGCTCCTACAGACTCTATGTCTGGACAGCCGAGGCATGCTATGCGCCGTATGTAAAATGTCCATAAGCATACAATTCGCGATCTCAGCCTGGAGCTATGTCAGCCTCTGCCGGCTTGTCACTCTTGTGCACGCTGCTTTCCCGCCAATGTCTTGGTCAGGCAGCATGCCAGACTGCTTTCTCCTCGTCAACGTACAGGAGCCTGTTCGCATTGTCAGTCGAAGACCCGTCAGCGCTCAAAAAGTCAACGTACACATTGACAAAGGAAGCAACGATCGCATCGCCGTCCACGGTGAACGTAGGAACGTTGTAGGCGACCTTGTCGGCATCGATAAAGAAGTCGATCGTCATGACAAAGTGGGCATAACGTATGCCTCGAATGACGCTCGAGATGGCCGGATTGGTCGAGACTGGCGTACGCGTTAGCTTTTGCCTCTGTCCCCGACGATCACTACTCACTCGAGATGGAAGAGAACGTTTGGGCGCCAATACCAGCGGCGGTGCTACTGTCAAGGGCTGTGAGGAAGAGTTAACGCTTAGGAGGAACGAGACCTCACGCCGACGCCAAAACATGTCCGGCATGATCAACGTGAACGATTTGCGTGACAGCCTGCTGCCCGCCTCAGTTACGATGACGCGCAGTTTGCTTACGAACATCTCCTGCAGTGACGGCAGTGAAGCGGAAAGGATACATTGCTGCTGGCGGTGCCAAACCGATTGGGAAAGTTACATTGAAGAGATGCGATCCGTCAGCGAGTGCGTTCACGCTTGCAATCCATGCTACCAACGACAGCGCCGGAAGCGTGGGCTTCATCTTGTTTGTGCTGGTCTGTGAAGGAGATGACCGAGAGTTACGCAAGACCAAATAAGGCGCGATGTGGCAATGCATTATTATCTCGCGACAGCACGGGAGCCATCTAAGGAGCGACTGGGTCAGTCCAAGTCATCGGGAATCCATCCACGGCCATGCTGTAGCCAATGTGTTCGGTCTGCGCGCTTGTCAGCTACTGAGCAGACTCCATATCATTCAAAAGCTTACCGTCGTCATTGGCTTGCCGTCAAGTGTGTACGAAGCAATGTTGTAACGGATGCCAGCAGTACCGATGTAGATTGAGATGGTCAGATCGATGACGGGATACGTTGTACCAGGTTGAGCGGCGGTATGGACTAAGGTGAGCGCATCAGACCAGAGCCAAAGCTTGCTCATACGAGGATACGTACTGTGGACGCTCGAGTATTCGTCCTTGCCACCGCCCACGACATTACCCCCAAGAGCTTCCGCATTGCAGTGACCGAGATTGCCTACGTGGATGACTTTGGTGACGGCCTGTTGTGCCATGAGCGCCAACGATGTCAATAGGTACCTCAACATACATCCTTTGCCACTGTCGCAGCAAAGGAGAGGCTGTAGACGCCCGTGGCAAGCGGAATGGTCATCGAGAAAGCGTGCTGACCATCGAGCATTCGTTTGGATAGCGTGTGGGCGTCGTCCAAACGGGCAGGTCCATCGGCAGATGCGCTTGAGACGACGGCGAGAGCAGCAACGGCAAAGGCGAGTGACTTGAACATCTTGACCCTGCTCTGCCCTTTTTGTTGGTAGCGTGTAGAACGATGAGAGGGACTGTTACGGATGAAGGAGGAAGGGATGGCTGCCCGGCGACGCAAGTGCGCGAAACGGTGCAACGAGACATGGGCGGTGAAGATGCATTACAGTAAGATGGCGCATGCTTCAGCTCAAGGGGAGATAGGGGCAGTCCACTGCACGGGGAAGCCGTCGAGCTGCATTGTGTAGCCTTGGGGTGGGGTCTGCTAGTGTGTGAGCTAGGTATACAAGAATACAGCCGAATGGCTCACCGTCGGCATAGGCTTGCCATCGAGCGAATACGAAGCAATGTTGAACAGAGCAGCCGTATCGTTCATGTAGATGGAGACCGTCAAATCAATTACGGGATACGTCGTGCCAGGCTGAGCAGCAGTATCGACTGCGAGACTCTGAGTCACGCCATGATGCAAAGAAGAGATGAGACGAACTGTGAACGCTCGAATAGGTGTGATCGACCACTTGAGCTCCATCGAGGAGGTTGGCACCGCAATGGCCAAGGTTGGTCACATGCAAGATGCTCGTCACGGCCTGATCTATCTTCAGCGCGGCCGAAGAGAGAGTGACGCGCCGACTGACATTATGCTCGATCGTCGTGGCAAAAGTGAAAGGATGCGAGCCCGTTGCAGTGGGCACAGTCATCGAGAAGATGTGATTACCGGCAGCGACACGCTTCTTGTGATCGTGAGCATTGCTCATGCGAGCAGGACCATGTGCGCTAGCAAGAGCGGCGAGGGCAGCGATAGTGATTACAAGGCTCTTGAACATTGTTGGTTGGGCTTCAATCGTCGGCGAGCGGTTTGGTAATAGTCCAAAGCAAGAAATTCGCAGGAACGCAAGAGGCCTGATACGTGACATGAGAATTGGGGGAGAGGAGGCAGTAAAGGCTTTGGCATGAAACGCCGTGACGCGTCTCGTCTGGCGGCTCACAATTGCAAATTCAGACTGAGCGAAGCTTCGTGCAGTCTCTGTGCCACGTCAGCAATTACGCGTCATCTCGTTGACTTGCCATTCGCCGCCCAATCAGCCAGACCGAATTAGTCGCATCTAAGACCAGCGAGGGCACAAGCAGGCTCGGAGTCAGCGCGCAGACTAGCACTGCATCAGGCCAAGCATCTCCGCACAGGACGCTCGTGGAATCCCGCTCGAGCCCAAAGCGTTGCTTATCAGGGTCACACGACGGCGAACTCCCAAAACACACCACATCGATAAGCCTACACTCGCTAGTCGGCTCGTGCCATCATCCTAGCTACTCAGTTCGATCAACCCAGCGACTGAGGACAAGATGGGAGTCAAGCGTTGCCCTCACATGTTGACCAATGCCACCGGTGCACCCACAACGGATCGTTGCTCCGATCGTATCATGGTAGCAGGTCAGTTGCGCTTGCCTTCATGAGCGTCTAGCATGCTCATCGCTGTTGTCTTGACAGGCGTCGGGGATTGTGGCGGCTGCAAGAAAGCGTTTTGTGCTCGCCACCGGTTGCCGGAGGATCAGTAAGCCATCACCTGGCTTGCCTTGACTATACAGAGCTCACCCACTCTCGTCAGCCAATGTCCAAACTTGGCCACGCTGCGGTCCGGACTCAAAGACCGCAATACGGCCCAGCTCATCCAGCAATCGACGCCAGAAGTCAAGATGGTCTCTTGATGTCGTCGGACAATCTCACACCATACCCATGTCGCCGCAAGGTCAGACGCAACCCCATTAATCCCGCAAAGACCCGCCCAGCTACACGCTGTCGAAGCCATTTCCAGAGGCAGAGATAGATCTAGATGCTCCCTGTGTCCATGTACATCCGCGTGTTCATTGTACGATCAGATCAGACGACTGCCATGCAATGTGCCCTCTGCTGTATGCAACATCTCTGTGTAGTCTAGTAGCCGAGTGCGCGTTCAATTTCGAGATTGATAAAGGCCTTGTGTTCTTCCAGATCAGCTTCGTATCTGGCTTCCAGCTCCTTCCTTATACCGCGTTTGGTAATGGTCTGGAGATCAGCAGTAGCGAGCACTGCAGCAGAAGTCAGACTGAGAAAAGGCTGAGTAGAAAGGAGAGACTCGCATTCACGAATGTCGTCTGCCATTTGGTACTGGCTTGGAACGCCGCCGGAGAAGGACATGGCGCCTAGAGCGCTCGCAACCGAGCCTGACATCACGCCAGGACGTCGGACTTGGCTATTGAGACTGACTTGATCAAACGAAATTTGGCGGATGTGTTCGTTGTGCAGTGAAGGTGCGCCATAGAACGATTGGTGATCGAAGCCAGTGAGATTGCTCGTCGAGCGCGGGATACCGTACTGACTCGCGCCGCCATAGAGCGATGCTTCGCGTGAAGTGTAGCCATCGCCTTTGTACATGTCACGAGACTCTGCCGAGCCCTGCATGATCCGTCAGCGAGCCTTCCCAATCAGAGCGGGATAGACTCACTCTGTCCCAAAGCTCGTGCTCGTACTCCTCCCACCGTTTGAGAGGAATAGAGGCAGCGTCGAAGACACCTTCGTCGTGCACGACCAGCCGTTTGCCCTTTTCGCCCATGACGATACGGGTGTTGCCCCACGAAAAATCGTCCATCGACCAGAACGACATGATGGGCAGGATGAACGAGAAGACGGGAATAGCGATGATGTAAACGATCATCATGCCGACCATCTCGAAGGCGCGCTTTGAGATAAGAAGAACGGCTTGAAGACCGTAGATGGCAGCAAGCATGATAAGAGCCGTTGTAGGCACTGTGTTGCCTTTGGACGCGACGAGATAGATCAGCTGTGCACGCATGTCAGCTCAAGCATCTTTCAGACCAAAGAGCGACTGACGTAGACGATGTAAGCGACGGAGACCGGCTGAATCAGCGTCGAGATGAGATCGATGAAGACAACGAATCGCATCGAGAAGCAACAAAAGCCGCAAAGGCCGCCTTGGACGGCCGTCAGTTCGGCAAGATTGTGAATAGTCGAATTGATCCAGCGACGGCGCTGCGAGAGAAAGACAGGCCAATCTTCAGGCGCGAGTGTCTTTGCAAAAGCGTCCTTGCAGAACGTTGTCTGCAACCATGTCAGCTGGACGACTGCCCGTTCAGGCGCAACAAACCTTCATGCTGGGAAAGCTCGTAAGTATGATCGTAGTCAAGTAGCGATCTTCGCCAAGGTGAAGAAGGTTCTTGGTGTGCAGAGTATCAACGCGATTGACACCAAACGCGCTCACGAGCTCGTTGCTGACGAACAAGGGCTTGTGCTCAAATGTTCGCAGGCGATACATCGAGAAGCAGCCGGGAAGACATGTGACCGAACCAAAGAGACTCTCGAATGCCTTTGCCATGTGATGCGAGATGAAGTATTCGTAGACTTGCATGGTCGTGACGAACGACTTTTTCGCATTCGCCAACGATGTCTCGCCGCACATGGCGATAACCTTCTTGTCGTGCAACATCGCCGAGACAAAGCGATTGACGCAGAGCTTATCGACAGTCGTGTCAGCGTCGATAGCCAGCAAGAACTCGTAGAAGCCAGGGTTGACTCCGATCACATTCTTGATCTGATGGAAGATCTCTAGCTCGCAAGGCGACATAGGCGCTTCGAAGTGGACGCGGTTTAGAAAGCGCATAAGTATCATCTGAGAATCACGCTTGCCACGGTTTCCGGGACGGGATCGTTCATTGGGTTTGCCGACCTTGACGAGAACAATATATGGCACGACGTGGCCAGCATGCTCGTACAGACCCGAGTAGACCTTTCCCATGTTATGCTGCTTGTTGCCTTCGCCGAGCGACTGGAAGCTGAGCGCTTCAGTGTCGACCTTACACGAGTTCCCAAGGATATCGAGCACGATGCGCGGAGTAGGTCGATCGTTACCACTGCCGACAATCATGCCATCACAGATGACGAATATGAGCTTCCGCTTGTCATCATATCGTGTGGCAGCGAGCGATTCGAAGCAAGCTCGCAAAGAGTCCTCGCCTTCTGTGTAGCAAGGTACTTGCATGATAACGAACTTGTCGTGATCTTCTGGAGCGCGAGAGCGACCGAATTGGAGAGCAGCCAAAAACTTGAAACCAATGATTGCCACCATGATGACCGAGAAGACAAGAAGGATATAGCGCGAGAATTGGCACTGCGGCGAGCTGCGATGGTCGACTTTGCCAATAAAGAAGAGATTGCGCATGCAGACCTTTTGCGCGTCCATTACGTCACTATCGACATTGATGGCATCCAGCGCGTTTGTGATATCCTGTCCTGAGTTGGTCTGGAACAGGCTCACGATGTCGGGCAGCATGAAGAGGCGATCAGTGTCAGACGGAGCCACAGTACCATTTGGGGTCTTGAGACCTCCGCCGCCATTGAGCACATAGTTCGTGAAGTCATAGACGTAGTCACGATAGATCGCGACGTTTGCCGTTGAAGCGGTAGAAGCCATTTTTGCGACCGATCCCGGCGTGAAGCCCATGAAGCCCCGTCTGTAATTACTGCGCAGGTAGATCATCTGCTCATAGTACCAGTCAGGTTGATAAAGATCTGTGCCTGCTCTGAAGTCATGGTAATGTGAATTGACGTCAGATACGTTGGTCGTGTCGAGTGTGACGAATGGACTGATGGGCCCGTTGTAGCCTGTACAGAGCGCGTTGACCTGAACTGGGAAAATGTTCGATGCGTCCAGGCCTCCGTACTTTTGCACGGACAAGAGAGGTACGATGCTCGGGTAGTGACGAGGCGCAAAGCTGCTCAGATCGAAGACTTCGCCTCTTATCGCTACCAGCATGTTGTTGACCGCGGAAATGAACGAGTGAGAATTGAGCTCGGATCCAGAGTAGACATGTTCAGTGGGGCAAATGATATTGCCCATGATTGCGACGACAAAGACGACAATGCCCATGAGAAGCCAGATGAGCATGTTGATGGCAATCTTCTCTCGAAAGGCTGTGCGGACATCGCGACGGCGAAGACGCTTGGAGAAGAGCTTGATAAGAGGACTCGGCAACCACCATGTAAGCGTCCAGACGATCATCATCCATCTTCTACGGGAAGACGTGTCGCGAAGCTCTTCGGCAGCCAAATCGGCCTCTGCCGAATCGAGCAGCGCCTTTTCGTCAGACTTATCTGGTCCATTGGCAAGCTGAGACAGGCTATATGTACTCCCTGGTGCTGATCCGAGACCGGCCTCTTCGTCTCGCACGCCGAATGCAAATTTGTAGCCATCGTCGAGCCCATCGTAACTTGATGCGTTCTTGCCACCTTTTTCATGTGTAATGCGACGAGGCAACAAAGGGAGCGCCATGGACGAGCTCAGATCGTACTGCTCGAGCTTCGATGTTGACAGACTGAGACTCGCCATGCTTGCACTTGGACCATAAGGATCATTCGACAGAATCGGCATGGCATCAGATGAGCCAAGTGCGTTCCATGCTGCATACTTGTCCTTGTAAAATCTGTGTTCTTCTTCGTCCTGACTGCGAAGCATGTCTTCAAATTGGCGAAATGTATCGAAGTCCAGGAAAACCTTTGTGCGACCGACTTTCATCTGCTGATCATTCCAGTCGTGGCGAGTAGCCACAGCTCTGAGCTTGTCCGCCCAGACGAGATTCGCCGTTTCGTCAGCGAGCGGTACAATCAGATCTGTCGCAGCGTATCTTTCCCAGCATTCTCTGAGTTCGATGCTGACCGACCAGTCATATTCGAGTCGTTTGATGATCTCGACAACTCCCATATTTCTAATTTGACTACGAATGAGCTTGGCGTCGGCCGAGTCGCTCTGCTGACTCTCATTGGGCCTCAAGCATTGTATGAACCATACTTGCGTGTCTTGGAGTGTTTCGAGGAGGAGATTCAGAGAGGCATTGAATTCGCCGAGCATGCAGCGTCCCGCCAGGTCAGCAGATGGCTTGAAGACGTCCTTTTCAGCGAGACTTTCGCGCTGACCAGGTCGATCACTAGTGGTCGTCCCCGCGAGTTGTGGCAGCGAGCGTCGAACAGAAGGTTTGCGCAGCGGCTTGACTGGCTGCTGTGGGACGATAGCATCGATCGTTTTCGATTCAGTTGCTGCAACAGCGGTCGCGAACAGATGTCGAATGAGCGAATTCGTCGAGCCTCCCGATTTACTATCTTGCGATGTGCCAGCGAACAGCAGTACAAAGTCGATGGGCAACTCGGCAGAATTAGCATCTAGAAAGCCTTCGATGTTGTACGTTACCTATCCGTTTCATCAGCAAGCTCACTGAAGGGCGATGGATGGACTCACTTGGCCGTGCCAATGTGTGCACATGAAGCTTCCTCCCGACTGAGTCGTGTTGTAGCCAAAATTGGCGTGCTGACCCCAACGCTTACCGAGTGCTTCGAGGAGGGTCTTGTCCGTCTTGGCTTTGTGACGACGCTGCGTCTGATCATCAATGATGTGTACCAGACCGCCGGGATGATACGTGAGAACTCTGATAGACTCGTCATTTGGCTGAGCGACAGGTGTATGCAGGCTTGGAAGGCCATCGATGCCTTCGGTGGAGAACATGTCTTTCTGTTTGTCGAAAATATTAGCCTGCGAGAACTGGTGGATGCGCTCGTTGGCGAGGTTGAAAGCCAGCGTGTCCAGTCCGTTGCCTTCGCGATGATGGACAGCGTTCTGCGGACCAGGAAAGTCGAGAACGGCCAGGAAAGTGTCGAATTCTTCGGTTGCGAGCTTCTGGTTGATGAGCTCGTTGATCTGGCTGAAGAGCAAGCCATGTAGACTCGAAGCAAGCTGATCGGTATGATGACGAGCGGCTTCGGGATCGAGAAAAAACGTACATCTTTCCTTTCCGATCATCACCGTCTTGGCCGTCAGAGCGGCTTCAAGTGAGTCTGCCTTGACACCCAGCAGTTGTGCGGCCGCTTCGAGACAAGCCATATTCGTGATGACAGCCGAATCCGCCTGACGTGCCTTGTCTGTGCCGAATTCGAGATTGCCAAGGTGGAGAATGCCCGAAAGGACGGCCAGAGTGGTCAGGAGCACCTTATTGGATAGCCCAACTATCTTGAAGGCCTCTTTGAGCTGAGCAAAGCGATGACTGTCCATCTGCTCTTGTTGCGCCAGGCTAATGTTGGACGATATCGTGATGGCTGATCCAAGGTATCTGAAGCTCGACTTGCCGCCATTCGCAGCGAGGTCCAGCTGCAGCGAAACACGTTCAGCAGGCGATGCACCGGCCAAGAGATAATGAAAAATGTGGAAATTGCGTTCGCCTTGAGTCGGCGAGCTGACACGCGCTTTCTCGAGATAGTACTCCAGACCCTTGAAGCCGACTAAGCGTCCTTTTTGATTGAATTGGCATTCGACATAGCGACCGAAACGCGATGCATTGGGTGAGTTGAGCATGGCAGCGTGTCCCAGCGACTCCATGATGAATTCTGCTGCCGGGATCTGCGAGGATAGGCGCGAGCCTTTCTTCCCCGGCAGAGCTGAAGACATTTCAAGGAGCATGCGCAGGACCAAACGACGATTCTCGGTCTTGCCCGAGCCGACGATGCCACTGCGACATGCTCTTCAGATACTGGTCAGTATTGGCAAGCTTGGGATCGACTCACCTGATGACGATGGACTGATCCATTTGAGTGCGGCGCATGTGATAGTATGCCTTTGAAGCAATTTGCCAAGCATGTGGCGACAGGCTGAGCGAGCGAGACATGACGGGCGATGTCGGCGAGGCCTGCATGGGATCATCTCGTGCAAGAGCAAAGTAGTCTTGCACATAATCATGCAATTCATCCGAGTTTGATGAAATCTTGAAGGGATTGAGCGAGAGCAAGACGCGATCATGGACAGCGAGATAGGTCTGATCGTTCAGGAAGCGCTCTTTGAGACTGGCCACAACCTTGTCGACTGTGATGCCCTCTTCCTTGTTGCTCGACAACGTGGACGAGGAAGTCGATGCAGGTAGCAGTAGCTCGCACGCGTCTTTGAGCCTGAGCGAATCCGCCATGTTGCTCCTCCGCTGCTTCCACGAGCAGGGACTGCGCACTTTTGCAAGATGATTGGACTGAGACACTGGCCGAGGACGCTTCGTCCGCGTCTTGCCGTCGGACCTGTACAGACGGATGAAATGAGTCAAGAGGTGAGGATCTGTGCATTAGCGTGGCGTGAGGTCCGTGCACGAGTCCGGAGACCATAGCGAGCGGTGGCCAAAGATGCATTGCGTCTGTTCGACCCTCTGAAGATGTTGATGCATATCAGCGCTTAGGTACACGTTGCATCGTCCCCGGGCCCGAGGCGCCTCGTCGTCGCGAACCGATCGTATCGACGAGCGCGACTACCGCTTTCAGCCAGGCTAGTCTTTGCAAGCAAGCCCGCAGATTAGATAAACGGTGCGAATGCGTCTAATCAGACACGCTCGCTCGACGCTCATACGGCGGGACAGGACCTCACCGAGCTCGCTCCAACCAAATATCGACGTCAATTCGTACGGCTCGTAGCTGCATAGATCCTCAGCAACAGCAAGATGGCAAAGAGCAGCAAGCAGATGGTCCTGGGTGCGCTGGCTTCCCCATACAGGCTAAAGGCCGCGCTGACGAGAGTATGCTCGCCTCCTTCGACTCTGCGCCTTGACAACGCTACGCGCCTCTTTGGCTGAACTACACCTCTTGTCTGTCACCGTCCGCATGCTACAGTGGTGAGTATTGCAAGCTCTCATGCCGCCTGCACAGTGGCGCTGGCGCCCTAACAGAGCTGACGCGCTTTTGCTTCACAGACCGGTGGTGCTGGTGCGCAAGGACAAACACTGACTACTGCATAGCTGACCGAGAGCTCATTGCACTCACGCAGGCTATATAGGTGAGTCTGGCGCATTGGTACCCAAGCTCATGCTCAAAGATGCTCAGGATCACACATCGTCCTGTCATGCCTGCTAACGGGCAAGTATCGCGTCTGCACGATCGACAACTTCCACAACTCCTACCCGGAAGCGATGAAGCGAGTCACACAGATCGCCCAGGACGCCTTACCCTCGGGCGCCAGCGCACAAGACAAGTCAGAGTGCGAGATCAAGGTCTTCAAGGGCGATATTACCAACAAGTCAGATATCGAGAAGATCTTCAAAGAATACAAGGACGCCCAAGATCCGATTTGGGGCGTCATCCACGTCGCCGCTCACAAGGCAGTGGGAGAGTCGGGCGAGAAGCCCATTCAATACTACGAAAACAATATCACCGCGACGATCAATTTGCTTGATGTGGGCGAGCTGGCTTAAGCTTCACTGCTCAGAGCTCAGCTGTGCGAGGCCGGCAGGTCATGTCGCGTTACGAGGCCTATCATCTCGTCTACTCGTCGTCAGCAACAGTCTATGGTGCACCAACGACGATTCCCATCCCCGAATCGACGCCTTTGGCCCCAGAGTCTTGCTACGGTCGCACAAAGATGATGTCAGAGCTCATTATCAAGGATCTTTGCGACTCGCAGCCCGACAAATGGCGTGCGATCGGTTTGCGCTACTTCAACCCGGCTGGCTGTCACCCTTCCGGTCTGATTGGAGAAGATCCGGTCGGCAAGCCAGGCAATCTCTTGCCTCTTCTTGCGGCCATTGCAGTCGGTCGATTCCCCAACGACCTCAAGGTATTCGGTCAGGATTACCCAACGCGTACGTGTTCACCTCTGTCTTGCCGGCCGTCAGCCAGGGAGCTGAACTCTCGTTGCGCGTAGCCGATGGTACTTGCGTCCGTGATTATCTATCTGTGACCACGCTAGGCGATGGACACGTGCTTGCATTGGCAGCATTGGACAAGGAGGAAACGTTTGCGAAGAAAGCAGGCGCATCCGGCTTTGGCGGCTCAGGAGGAAAGTACAAAGCCTACAACCTCGGCGGCGGCAAAGGCTCAAGGTGCGCTCAAAGTTTCCGATGCTCCACATCGAGCTGAAGTGATGTACGATTGACATAGCGTTCTTGAGATCGTCGAAGCGATGCGAAAGGCTTCGGGCTTCGATTTCAAGACGACTGTTGAGGGTCGCCGGTGCGTTCTGTCACATGCTTGACCCAGACTAGACTGACATCGAGAGCCAGTCTCGGAGATGTACCTGATCTCACAGCTGACCCTACCCTGGCTGAAAAGGAACTTGGCTTCAAGGCCAACATCCCACTTGACGAATGCTGCAGAAACCTCTGGAATTGGAGCTCAAAGAACCCCAATGGCTACCGTGCCGCAGCTTGATCATATCATCACTCAATGTGACAGAAATACATAGACACACTTTTTCGGGGGAAATCTCCGTACAGCCTCGTGCAGAATTAATCGTTACAACGCCTTACATCCTTCTAATGACCGTTCGTCTCTTCTGCGCTCGACTTGTCGGTGCTTGTCGTGAGTAGCCCGATTGCTGGGCGTACTTGGCTTGCTTTGCCGCCTCACGAGCGAGCGCATGCTTTTCACAGAACGGCAGACCGTCCAGCGTATAGTGCCATTCTGTGAGCTGGACGCGGCAACTCGGCTGACTGCAGCAAAAGTGATCCGGATGATATCGTCCGCCTCTGCTGTTTTCGCCTTCACCGAGACTGACGCATGCACCCTCGATTCCTTCGCCGCATGTCACGCAAAGCGAATCTGAAAGACTGTGATAGTGAAGCTTGCAGACTGGCTTCTCATCGTACACATCTACACAGCTCATTAGCACATGTTAGCGTAGATCCACGCAAGACGCACAAAAGTCGCGGTCTGGGAATGGCTCATTGCAGACCGAGCAGCCGAAGCAATGCTTGTGATATTTGCCCTTGATCTTTCCATCGACACTGCCGACCGCTTGCCCGTTGATCGGCAGATCACAGTGTCGGCAACGAGGCAAGTACCGGTCCGCATAGCAGTCGCTGCAGAATGACGCGCCAGATCTGTGTATCGCGACATTGCGGCCCGAGGGATTCGCTCGCGACGGCTCGACGAGATCGCAGTCGCAAGCTGCGCAGAAAAGAGGGAGTGATGACTTGACGGGCGATAACCTCGTGAATTCGACTGGTGAAGGAGCAAGTGAGGTATTGCTTCGTGGAATGCTCAGCGGCGGCAAGGGCGAGACGGACCGAGCCATGGTCGGCATAGGCGATCTCGAGCGTGAAGAAGACTTGATCGACATCTCTCTGGTCGGCACGGCCTCCATGCGTTCGCGCTGTCTGTTCTCAGTGGCACGCGAGCCAGTGAAAACATCGAACTCCTCTTCGTCAGGCGAGTTGGCATTGAATTGCTCGAGAAGGTCATCGAGACCTTTTGAGGTAGCCGGCGAGCGTCTCATCCTACCGTCGCGAGAAATGGCGCTGTACGGCTCAGAACCGTATGCCGACTCTGTAGGACTGTAGACAGGTTGCCTTTGCTGTCGCGCAGGCTGACGCGTCTCCTGCTGGCGCGACTCTGCTGGGCGATTTGGCTGTAATCTCGCTGCAGTTCCGGCAGCGCGATCTAGACCGGTCGGCGCTGATCGCCAGCTCGGCAATGGCGGTAGCTTCTGACTAAGCGCTGCGGACGAAGTATTGACGACCATGTTCATGCGATCGAAGGCCTTGTTCAGGCCGCTCCAATCGCCACGAGCAGAAGGGTTGCGAGAGTCCTCTTCCACCACAGGCGACATGGGTGCATCATTGCGCTTCGCATATCCATCATAGATTGACGACTGGCTTGGACTGTCCTGCAAAGCCGTCGGCGACAAGTAGTTGAGGATGGCCGAATCGGTCGAGTCTTTTCGAGCGCGCTGCTGAGGTTTAGGCAGCGAAGGCTGGAAGCGCTTTTGCCCTTCGTAGTCCTGCGGACTGGTCTCAACACTTGTAGGGGCTGTAGATCGACTGGACTGCGAATATGAGCGCGACAGGTTCGAGTCGATTGACCCATTTGAGGGCAAGGAAGGGAAAGCACGCTCGTTGTGGCGAGATCTGGCTGGCCTATCGGCTAGCTGACGCTGATTGCTATCGGTCCGCGCACGGTAGACTGGCTCGTCGGGTTGTCTGTAAATCGGACGTGCCGGCGATAACGATCCGCCTGAAACGGGCGTTCTTGCCGAAGGACTGATCATCGAGCCTGTCACCGCGTCAGCAATGTGCGCGGGCCCAAGGTATGACATGCCCACCGTTGCGAGGACGCGAGTGGGTATCTATAGTGAGCTGTGTGGGCGGAGCTCGGAGGCCTCGCAAGCTCATCTGCTTCTCGAGCCCATTGACCCGTTCGACCGCATCGGAAGGCATAGGCGGCGCCCTGTCGCGCATGTTGCGCCCAAAATTGAATGCAGCCACTGACTCTCGTACTCCTCTGCCCCTTGCGCCTGAAGAGCAGAAATGGTCCACCATCTCTGAGAGCGGTACAGATCGCGAGCAATCCGAGCATTTGATTGTGGGCTCCTCATCATCTTGCGGCCGGCTCGACGTGCGAGACAACGTTGGACTGATGGGCGATCTCTCGCCGGTGAAAGTCTGGGGCATGTAAGAGCCGAGGAATGCCATGGCTCTGCTCATCTTTGTCAGCTACCGTCCTGACGCGTTCTGGGACCAGATCAAAGACAGAGATGGAGATGCGTGATGGCGACTCGGTGGGAAAGCACGGTCGTCTTATCGACGCGCGAGCAGACTAAACTGGTGATAGTGCGCTCACGGTCGCCTGACGACTCGTTGCGAGGTCTGAGCGTAGCGTGCAAGCGACGTGTAGGCAATGTCGATCGTGATGGTTGCGACGGCGGACGGGGTTTATCCTGGTCGAGCAAGCATTACTCACATATATTAACGAGTGTTTGAGTATGCAGGCAAGTAGATGGAGCTCGCGTGAGGCCGAGCGAGAAGCGCTGAAGCCGCTGACGTGTGGATAAGCGCCCGGGAAGTCCTCGAATGAATGTGGCGAAGAATATGCCTGGCCGAACGCGGCTGCTGGGCTATGCGTGGATGTTGGCTTCGAGCGAGCTGCGGATATGACCACAAGAAACGTCCAGAACAAGGCTGGCGTAGGCTGATGACCGGAGACTGGCCGTGCAGCGCTGATCAGGAGCCACTGCGTCGTCTGCGATCGGATACAGACTTGCCAAAGCAAACCTCTGCTGGTGATGAACGCGACACGCGCGCGTGCCGTGTCCCGTAGCTGATCGCGGAGACACGGCGGGGCCCATCAATTTGTCATAGCCGTGACACGGTCGGCACAAATAGCGAGATCGTATTATGACGACGCTGTCTTACGCCCGCAAACATCGAAGCCTGTAAGTTGCGAAGGATCACTTTTCGCGCCTAGCCTCTACCTCGTACAGCATGCCAGGCGAGCCGATCTCAGTCTATGTGCGAGATACGTTCTTTGGCTTGACTGTGCGCTTGCTGTCAAAGCAACGTTTCTTCAAGTACGACGAGGAAGAGCCAGGCTACCAACTGCCGGAATGTTATGCACAACATTGCCAAGGATCGGATCCATCTAGACAAAATCAGAGAAGCGAGAGCGAACTTACACGGTCCTCGACGCAGACTGCCGTCGGCGATACGCCACAGCGGTCACAGACTGGGGACAAGATCGACGACAAGTCTGGAGACAATGAGAAGCAAGCAAGTGAGCAGAAGCCAGCGAAAAAGGCAGGCGATATCATCAAGGATGAGAACGGCGAACATATCCTCGTCGATTGGCACGACGACGATCCGCATAACCCGATGAATTGGCCTACGTCGCGCAAAGTCTTTGTTACTGCGCTCATCTGCTTCCTCACCTTTGGCATCTATGTTGGCGCCTCGATCTATACGCCAGGGATACAGTCCTTCATCATGTACTTCAATTGCTCAAAGATCGATGGCTCGCTCGGCCTCACCGTGCGTCCCATTCGGACATGTCGATCATTGTTTGGCTAACATTGACCTACAGATGTTCGTGCTAGGATATGGCGTCGGACCTCTCTTCTTGTCTGCGCCATCGGAGATTCCTCAGATCGGCCGAACGATCCCTTACATCATCTCGATGGCCATTTTTGTCATCTTGCAGATACCTACCGCACTCGCGCCCAACGTGCGCAGCTTTCTCGTCCTTCGCTTTCTCGCTGGATTCGTGGGCTCACCGCCTCTCGCAACGGGCGGCGCAACTATGCAAGATCTCTATTCGCCGAAATATGTCGCGTTTGCGATTGCGACTTGGGGTAAGTTGCTTTATCTCTACTTCATTGCGCGACTGATGCGATATTTTGCTAGGTATATCCGCTGTCTGCGGTCCAACATTAGGTCCAGTGATGTCCGCTTTCGTCATCTCTGCAGACGAGCCCGCGCCTCATGCATGGCAATGGGCATTCTGGCTTCTCCTCGCCATCTCAGGCGCTGTGTGGCTCTTGCTCTTTTTCACTTTGCCAGAGACGAGCGGAAACAACATCCTCACCAGACGAGCACAACGCCTGCGCCAGCTTACCGGAAACCCCAACTTCAAATCTCAGGGCGAGATCGATGGCGCGTTCATGACCGGCGGCGAGATTGCGAAGATGACGCTCGTGCGACCCATTCTCATGATGTTCACTGAGCCCATCGTGTTCTTCCTCAATCTCTAGTGCGTTTCATGATTTCTGCATGTCACAAGCTTGACCCAAAGCTGACTCTTCTTCTTCGTCTGTCTTTAGCATTGCGTTCCTCTACGCCATATTATACCTATTCTTTGAGTTGTTCGACATCGTCTTCGAAATGACTTACGGCTTTACACTTGGCGAATTCGGCCTCAGCTTCTTAGGCACTTTCGTCGGCAGCGTAGTCGTCCTGGCGTGTTTCTACCTCTACTTGGCGTATATCTTCATCCCAATGTACGATCGAAACGATGGCAACCTTGCACCAGAGAGTCGCTTGGTCATCGCCATGGTTGGCGCACCGTAAGTCACTCGACACCTTACTCCTCGGTGGTATTCCGAGCTTACGGTCTTCTGATACAGTTTCATCCCAATTTCTCTGTTCTGGTTTGGATGGACAGCCGGTATCACACATTGGATGTCACCGATAGTGGCGTCCAGCTTCTTCAGCATCGGCACTTTCCTGATGTTCCAAGCCGCTCTCACTTATCTCGGCGACAGCTACAAAACGTACGCCGCCTCGGTCTACGCTGGTAACGATTTCTTCCGCAGTATGATGGGCGGCGTGTTTCCTGTAAGCAAATCTGCTGCCTTGGATATCTCAATATGCTGATGCCTGCACGATAGATCTTCGGCCGACAATTCTACAATAATCTCGGAGGACCGTCGCCAAAATTGCCTGTCGCTTGGGGGTCCACATTACTGTCAGTCATCTTGTCATTGATCTCATGCTATGCTGACATACTTACAGCGGATGTATCGGCGTTCTGCTTATACCGATCCCGTTTGTCCTGCACGCATACGGAGCGAGAATTCGAAAATGGTCAAAGATGGCCGACTAGAGCATGCTTATTTACGCAAACCCGCACTTGTAACTCTACTATCAAGACATTCGCAATGCATCACGATACTGTAGAAGAGGATGCGACCTGCCCCTGCAATGACAGTCCTCGCTTTCGTTGTGGACCGACTGCTTAGCGTGATGGGATCGATCGCATTCGCACCTTTCTCTGACGTGCTGCTTTATCGTGATGAATGTGGTTCCAAGGCAAGCTTGTCATTGTCTCTGGCGCGGAGTCGCGAGCAGTCACGTATCGTCATGTCAGGAAAGGATGAGGGTGGAAGCGAGCGTGAAGTCACATGCGTGGAAAAGACCGCTGCTGGCATGATGCGGAGCTACAAGCCGAAGAAGGACGAAGCTTGCTTGTAGGGAGGCCGTCCGGCAGACAATGCGGACGTCGCCAAACTGTCGCGTACAAAATTTTGTCGAAGTGCTACTGAAGCGCTGAGATCTGACATCAACGCCCAGCATGGTCAAGCGCAAAGTAGACGGCCTCGATGGCAGCACGCTACCACCTGCGAGGCTTATGGCAGCTAACGGTCCGCACAAGGCTTTCACTGCGGCTCGAGCTAACGGTCGGCATGAGCACAGAGAAAAGCGTTAGATCAAAAGCGCTCGAAGCCATGGCCATCTATCTCGCGAATGGAGCTCAGGACGAGCGGGAGGATCTGTCATCATCCGAGGGATCTGAATGGGAGCAGCCGTACAAGCCAGACTCGCGCTTGAAGGACGCGGCATTGACAACACTCTGGAAAGGAGTCTTTTACAGTCCGTCGTCGAGGCTTCAGCTCAGCATTCATGGCATGCTAACGGATCGAGAATGGATCAGGCTTCTGGATGTCCGACAAGCCAATTGCTCAGCAGGCAGATGCAGCAGCTATTGCGAATCTCGTGCTGGCAATACGTCCCAAAAGAGTCACGGGCAGGGCTGCACGGACGAGGTGTGCCCTGAGGTTACTGCAAGGCTTCTGGACGACTGTTCGCGAAGAGTGGCGTGGTATTGATAGACTGAGGTCAATCTGCCCCAGAGCCTTCCGTTAACGAGAGGCTGACGGCAGACGCGCGCAGAACGGACAAGTACTACATGCTGATACGAAATGTCCTGCGCGCTTCCTTCCTTCTGCTTGCAAGGGAGCAGTGGGACCTTCACGCCATTCGAGAGCACAACGAGCTCCTTCGATCAGAGTCATGTGGGCCGCTGAGGTATGCCACCTGCCTGCCTTCTACAATGCCCTATGACGCTGATGCACCAAACTGTACAGAGTGGACAGCAACAAGACACCATTGGGAGTCAGCTATCACGTAGCAAGCATCTATTTGGAAGAGCTGGACACCGCCTTGCGCTTGTCTTCCTCTGAAGAAGACGAGACAAAGCCAGCGCTTGACCTTCTGGAGCTCCTCGAGCCATTACTACAAGCAATGGACGAAGCGCCTACAAAGGCTGTCTTTGTCAAATTGCGAGAATTCGTCGTTGACCCTCTGATCCACGTTCGATCTGTCGACAAAGTCGACGAAGTGCCATCGTCAAACCGAGCTCGGACATCTGAAGACGCCGATCCGCAGTCTCTGTCTGCATATCCAATACTTTTCGCCGCGCTGCAGCATACGCCATCTGTCCAGGAAGTCCGTCTGACGATCTTGAGAGCCCTGTTCGCTCGAGGAGCAAGGGACAGTACTTCTGCAGTTGCCCGACATCGGTACTATGCAATCTGTGCAGAGTCCGAAGTTGCAGAAGATGAGCTTGCGATCGCCTAGATAATGCATCTGACAATCTGATAGAGAGATCTGCAGACTTCAGCCGCGTCCGGGGAAAATTGAAGGGGCGATCATGAAATCCTAAAAGCTTCGATTTGCAATATGAAATCGTTCGTCGACGACCGGCTCACGAGGACTTAATTCTACTGCGCTACACGGTGCAACGGGAACTTTTCAGATACGCAGCAGGCTGCATCGATGATGTCAACATGTGAAGCTACAGATCACAATTTAATCCGTCGTCTCTCCTCTCGAACACCATCGAGCAATGTCGATCGCGTCTTTGCGTGAGAATGGCCAAGGCGCCGGTCAGGATGCAACATACGGTCGTCTTGTTCTCGTTCACGCTATCTTCGCCGTGATCGCGTACGTCTTCTTGATTCCTGCCGGCGTCGCGGTCAGCCGATTTGGTCGACGAACGCTTGGCACGTCTTGGATCAAGGTGCGTCCGATCGTGCACGCGCACACGATCACAGGAGCTCACGCAGACGTTATAGGGTCATGTAGCATTTAATGGTACAGCTGCACTTGTCTTTGCTGTCATCAGCTTCGCGCTCGGCGTCAAGGCAGTAGGAAAGATCGGCGAGGTCAAGGATGTGCATCACAAGATAGGTGTAACGATCTTTGTGTAAGCACACTCGTGTCATCTAGTCGCCCGCCGCTTACGAGTCAACAGATGGCTATGGGTCCAAGTCATCCTGGGTATCGTCTTTGCAGTCATGCATCGAACTGGCCAGCGACCATCGACGCGACCGTGGTACGACTACATCCACATGGTCTCTGGCTACCTTCTCATTGGCCTCGCATGGGCTCAGCTCTGGCAAGCACTGACATATTATGGTAGGCTTGCTGCTACTCGTCTTCGAGTGAGCTCATGCAAAGGTCTGCAGGGTCGCCCGTGGTTGACTACGTGTTGCTCGCGATTGCGCAAGGCCTGATCGTGATTGCTTGGATCGCGGCAGAGATCAGCGTGAAGGGCAAATCAGAGTTCATCTCGCTTGCTGGCGATAACGGCATCGATTCCAAAATGGAGAAGAACAACAACATGGAGCAAGTCGCGCCCTCTACGGGGAATTACTCCACCATCTCGAGCGATACACCGCCCAAGAACCATCTGACGAGTCAGTAGTGGCATAACTATAATTGTACGGCGCAGTCAGCCATTGTTTCTTCTCGTTCAATCGCTCAGCTCGCCCATCATACGAGTTGTTGCGCCCATTCTAGAGGTTTCTCACATCAGTCAGGCTTTGTAACACATCACTGCTGTCTATGCACACTTGTACAAAATCATGAACCAGTTGAGAGGAAGATGCAATGGCGTGTACTAGGCTCTTTCTGCGAAGCCGATCTGGTGATGCTCTTCGTCAAAGATCACAGAGAACTTTTCGATGAGATGCAAGCCTAGTACCGAAACCGTACTCCCTTTGGTGATCCACGAATAGTGCTTGGTCGTGTCGAGACCGAGCAGTCCATACATCTCTGACCCGACGAGTCTGTCTCATTCGTAAGCGGGCGCGCAACCGTACCCTAGATCTGGAAAACGGACTGCTGTTGGCCTGTCAAGACAAAAGTGCGACCAGAGAGAACGAAGGGCAGCGTATCTGGTACGACACCCTTTGGCATTTGGACGACACCCAGTGTGTCATCGTATGTTGCGCCTGCTCCTGTCAGGAAGATGAGTGCAAGCAGTCGCGTAGCCTTACCACGAGGTTTCAACGCGGCAAAGTATCTGTCGAAAGCTGCCTCTTCTAGGGCTACCATCGTTGTGCCCGAGTCGCTGCGATACCGCTGAGACAGGCATATGACCGCATATCATTGACCAGACGTACATAAGTGAAACCGCGTTTCTCACGCCGAGCGTAGGAAAGCCAACTTTGATGGCCCAGAAGGCTTGGCCGTCAACATTCTGTCGATTTGACCAAGTGATAGCTCCTTTGATTTTGCTGGTATCGATTGCCCCAATGGTGACCGAACCGGCAAGAGCGTCGACTGATTTGATCGAAGGCGGCGAAGCGAAATTAAGAGATACGATAGCATGCTGGATGACGCCGGCGTCTCGCATACTCTGCAAAAAGGTAGGAACATAATGGGTCGGTGCTTGAAGGGTCTGATTCTGCATCAGCTGAACGCCAAGCGCGGTGATGCCTGCCATTTGAATTCGAGCTTTTTGTCCGTCATTTAGCACAAGGGTGACTCACCATAGACATCTCGATCTCTGCCCGACGATCAGCTTTGCTAATCCGCTTTGGAAACGAGAGCTTACAGCTCGACAAATTTTGGTTCCAGTTCACTGATGCCAAAGCAGCCTTTGAAAGTCTTGCCAGCGAGTGTGACCTGGTCATACACCATTGTGCCGTGCACGTCACCATCCTGATTGATGTCAGCACGATCCAGCATGATCGGTGATATCGCACGCTTGCAAAGGTCTCTGAAGCCAGTGATTAAGCCACAATCTTGAGGAACATGCTCGAAGCTCACCGCTAAACAGCACTGGCGTGGGTTGAGTAGTACGAGTACGGATGAAGGGTTGCTTAGTGTTTGGACCGAAGAAAGTCAAGGATGAGCCTGACGACGCATGTCAGCAGGCGGTCGAATCGACATCAATGGCACAAGCCTGTGTCGAGGACAGTATGGTATATCTTTGCAGGAGAGCCAACAGCAAAAGAAAGACCGTAACTGATGTAATTGTGCGAGTACACAGGCTGTTGAAGGCCGAGAGCTGAAGCGAGGCGCAGATAAGGGCGAGGTCTTGCGTGAACGTTGCGCTGAACCTCGAACGTCAAGCCTGCGGGAGATGGCTTCGCGATAGTAAGGGCAATGAGAGCAAAGCTACTGAGAAGACACAGCATATTGGTGAGTGAGGAAAGGATGAGATGAGGAGGGCAGCACATGCTGATGTGCGCCGCCACACAGTTTGGGGAGTGGCACAAGCGGTGATGTCGCAGCCGATGTGACGTCAACGTTTCGACGCGTCAGTTGCTTTGCGCCTTGTTGCCGTGCTACGCGTAGCAAGCCTGTCGTATCACCTATGTCTTCGTCTCGACGACTTCACAGCGTTGCCCGTTCACCTTTCTCAGTGACCGCTCCGCCAACTCATCAGCTTTCTCATCAAGCAAGATGGCTTTTTTTGCGCTGTTCGCAAGCATCGGTATGGCTCAGGCAGCCACGATCTACCTCGCTGGCGATTCCCTCATGGCATACAATCCACACAACCTCCCCATCGTTGGCTGGGGTCACCCTCTGGAGAACATGGTCAACTATAAGATCGTGAACTATGCTATCGGCGGTGCAAGCGCACGATCATTCACCGAAAACGGTTACTTTACCCAAATCGCGAACCACATACAAGAAGGGTATGCTTGCCAACGGATCCGTAGCTGTACTGATGATGCTCACTGGCAGCGACATCATGATCGCTGCGTTCGGGATCAACGACGAGTACGTCACCGACCCGCAAAAGGGCGGCTCATGTCCTCCCGAGCTTGTTGGCAAGTCGGCCTGTGTCGATAGCCAAGGAAACAAGATCAAGACGTACCAAGAATACATGGGTATGTCTGTATCACCAATGACATGCTGTGAAAGATGATCATTGACAATGAACGCTCAGCTGATGCAACGCGCACAATGATTGGCAAAAAGGCGCTTGTCATTCTGAGCTCCGCCGACCCTCACAATGACATTTTCAAGACGCCCGACACGTTTCATTTTGTGCCTTCGCCATTCGATGTACAAGGCAAAGCCGCAGCAGAAGAAACAGGCGCCTACTGGGTCGATCACGGTCTTGCATTTGCCGCCTATTTCAAGAGCATTGGGCCCGAGGCGACGTCTGATCTTTTCACGCCACCCAAGATCAACCTCACGTAGGTCGTGGATTGCTCCTATGACAGCGCTGACATAAGGAAGGTAGACATACGAATGCACAGGGCGCATACCAGGCCGCTCTTGCCTTCCTTCGCGCGATGGTCTGTGCAAAGAACCCGCTTGCTTCTGCCATGATCAAGATCTCGGAGGAGGAAATGACAAAGTACTGCACGCCAGATGATGTCAAGGAGATTGGTCAAGACTGCCCGGCCGGTCCAACGACAGCTCAATCCAAGCCCCGAGCTCGCCAGATCAGATAATGCCACATGTAATGGACGCCCGCACAGAGTACATGCAGGCACGTAGTGTTGCTCTCCCGCGCGCAGAGTGACCCTTCGTACGCGTCAGCTGTCAGCGCTTTTCTGACTCCCGCGACGGTTGCGGTCGTCAGAGAAACAGCCCTTCTACCCTCTCGGCAACTTCGTCGCCTTCACTCACTCCCTTCCAGAAGTTATTGGCTGCTGCTCGAACATGAAGATACTCTTTACGCTGCTTGCGTGCACTTTCGTAATCTGCAATGTGGTTCAGGCAACCACTATCTTTCTCGCTGGCGATTCCCTCATGGCTTTCAACAGAACAGATATCTCCAATGCCATCATCGGCTGGGGACATCCTTTCGCAGAGCTCGTCAACTACAAAGTCGAGAATTGGGCTATCCATGGTGCAAGCGTACGATCATTCACCGGAGCCGGCTTCTTCGAGCAGATCGCGGATCGTATCACAGAAGGGTATGTCAAGGGCTTGCTCCGAAAAAAGCTGACCATCATCCCAAGCGTAGAGATATTATGATCGCTGCATTCGGTATCAATGACGAGCACGCTACGGATCCTCAAAAGGGCGCATCCTGTCCTCCCGAACTTGTTGGCAAGCCCGCCTGCATTGACGCTCGCGGCAATGCCATCAAGTCATATCAAGGCTACATGGGTATGTCGAAGTGCTGCAGTAAGCTGTCCTATGCTCACTTGGCACGTCCGAGCAACAGCCGATGCGGCCAACATGATGATAGGAAAAGGCGCCCATGTCATTTTGAGCTCTGCCGATCCACGGAACGATGTCTTCCCAACGCCCACATCGTTCAATTTTGTTCCTTCACCTTACGACGCCCAAGGTAAAGCGGCAGCAGAACAGACGGGAGCATACTGGGTCGAGCACGGCCTCGCAACTGCGGCTTACTACAAGAGCATTGGCCCGGTCGCCACGACTGCCTTCTTCCCGGCGTACGATCACAACATCACGTATGTCTTTTTTTGTCCCTGGACGAAGTTACTGATACGCAGAAGCAAGTCACACGAATGCCAAGGGTGCGCTCGAAGCTGCTCTTGCATTTCTGCGCGCTATGATCTGTGCAAACAATCCACTTATCGCGGCAATGATGTCAGTGAAAGTGGACGCTTTGCCAAAATATTGCACTCCAGACGATGTCAAAGAGATCGGTCAAGACTCTCCTGCTGTCTTTCCACCTCAAAACGAGATAAAGTCCAAAGCCGGAATGACCAACGATCGCGACCGTATGTAGTGCTTGTATGCATTACGAGCGAGTACATTGCATGTACTTCTAGCAAAGAGGCGCAACCGGTGCGCAGTTTGGCGGCATAATGTGTGACAAGCCGGCTTTGAGCACCGTTTTGAGGGTGCTGTCGCTGCATGTGATTGCTTTTGCCACAGCAAAGGCGATACGCGCAGAACCCGTCGAGGTGGTGTGCCTGTCGAGCCAAGATCAGTATCACTTGAAAGCTGAGGACGAGTGAATGACTGGCGTATGGTCAGGCTTGAAGTTCCTGATCGTGCCAGAGTATTCTGCAAGGCGCCAATCGATGTTCAGCGCGATCAGTGGGTTAGTGAAAGTATCTTACCGGCATGCTGCCACATTGCAGCGCTGGCAGCTTCAATGTCAATGAATTGTGCACTGTCAGGGATGTTCGAAGCCTGAGCACAGGTCGCTCAGAGGCCTTACACAACTGACCCAGTAGCAGCAGCAACAGCTTGAGCCTGTTTCGAGAAGCGAGACTGAACGTAGCAGAAGCCGTCATCGCCGTAAGGCATATCGACAGTAGGGCTTGCGAGGACAACGGTGAGACCGGCTTGCTGCAGCAGGGTCACAGCATCGGTGAGGTACTCTGCAAAAGTCTTGACACCAGCAGCATCACATGCCGCCTGAGTCTGCTTGTCCGCATCATCCGGGCAAGGTTCACGACCATCATTGAGGTTCCCTGCTCGATCCATTAGCTTGTGGGCGGGTTTGGCAGGGAAACGACGGCTGACCTGAGTTTCCTTCGTTGTGGCCCATCTCGATGATGGCATATTTGGTGTCGAGCGTCGATTTGGCAGCGGCAGTGGTGATGTTGGTGAACATGCCCTCGGCGAACGCCATTCTCATCGATCGACCAGCGCGAGCAAAGGAGAGGTAAGGCTCTGCAAAGATGAGGTCTGCGCTTTGTGTCCACCCATTGCTTGGCGTGGCGACCGTGCTGTCGCCTGCGATGAAAATGCCGGCTGATGGCGGCAAGCTTTGAGCACGAGCGACGGCAGAGAACGCGAGCAAGGTAGCAATGGTCAACATTGTATACTTGGGCAAGCTTGATGTTCACGAGCAGGGCGTAGACTTGACAGCTGTTGCTGTGCTTTTGATGGCTTGCGCGCTAGTCAACTCTAGTCCGACAGAAGAGCGGAAGACGAGGCGATGACAGGGCGATGGTCGTCATGTGCGACAAGAATGATCGATGTCGTGTCACAGCATGCCATCGCGATGGTTTAGTCAGTGTCAATTTGTACAGTCTGAAGCGATAGATCAAAGTATCTGTTCGGATGATCGACAATGGCTTCAGGTCCAGTCCATGACGAATTATGTTTTGCCTCGAAGGCGCGCGTGCAAGCAGCTTGATACTGTCTCGCCTCCTTGAGTCGCAGAATCTCAATAACTGATTCGCCCTTGACATCCATCTCTTTGCTGAGAAATCTTGACAGATCGTCCGACGAGAATGTAGCGAAGGGACACCCGTGATGCTCGTGCTGCGATGGCGAGTCGTCAATGCAGCTCTTGCAGCTCTTTGCTTCGAAACCATGTCCTGCGCCTTCCAAGCCCCAGATGTAGCGAAATTCGTACTTGTATCGCTTCTGTTCCCATTCGATCGCGCTGGTCTTTGAGAATGCCTTGCGGAAGAATGTCGTTGCTTCGTCTGCATCAAGGGTGGCACGTCGCAAGAACGTGCCGTACTGATGCCTGCCATAGTAGCGCAGAAGCTTGTTCCTTCTCATTGCGGTGTGCAAGTTGAGCATGCAGGGTGGGAAGTGCTTGGGAGCGACATCATCGATCGTCTTGGCAGTCAAAGTGACCGCTGTAGGCAGTCGAGAGATTTTGCTCATCTCTTGCGCCATGAGTCGCTGTATGACTCTGAACATATCAGTCAGTTCTGGTTTGTCCGCGAACGAGGAAATCTGTCGAGCCGTCGTATCGAGAGCTCGTTCCATTCTGCGCCGGAAAGCCAGCGCGACGAAATCTGGGATGTGTTTCGCTTCAACAAATGTGGTGCCTCGTGTGATCACAGCACGACGCTGCCCGACGAGCTGAGGCACATCCGTCCAATGCAGCTTGAGCAAGTCGAGCTTTCTTGCACCTTTGATCAGACGCGCATATTGTGTTTGTTCGAGCACTGCGACTTCTGCCTCTGTCCATCTCGTACTGAACGTACGCGTGATTGCGCTCGCATGCTCTCGCTTATCATCATCGGTTGCCGATGGCCAGCTGAGCTTGTACCGCGCGTGGAAGCGAGCCTGTTCCTCTGGATTGAGTGACGCGTAGCGTGTACGAAAGTAGGCTGTCTCTAGCCCAATGTATCGGTCTCTGAGTGGATCTCTGCACACTCTCGCTGATCGTGAGCTCCTTGTGCTCGAAGTCATCGGCAACGTACGAGCGACACAGCGCCAGACGGAGCACGAAATGACTGATCTCGTCCGATAAGTTCGCGATCCTGCTGTCATGCGAACCGAGATGGTCAGATTGGGCAAGCTTGTGTTGTACCCGTTGAGATGTTGCAAGCTCGTCCAGCCTGATAGCCTGACAACGCTCGAGCTCCCTGAGGACTACAATCGCCAGATGAGCCAGCTCTCGAACGCCTGTGAGCGTGCTTACGCACTATCCACACGCTCCTTGGCCCAAGTGAGCAGCTCCTCGACGTCGACGTCGCAGTCTGGCCAGTTCTCATACATCGACAGCTGAGCTAGCACTGGTTCGTCGAGTTGCATGGGCTCGTCATGTTCGATTTCGAGTGGATAGCGCAGAGGCGACAAGGAAGCAGGGCGCTTCATCATACGATGCCAGGACATGGACTGGCGTCTCTACATCTCTTCCAGTCTTGTTCTGTGACAGCCGAGAGCCGCAAAGCCGAAAGATCTCATGGGGCAACGCGCAACGACGCGATATCAAAGACGGCATGTGCACGGCCAACCGACAAGCCAAAAGATCGTGCAAAATGCACTCATACAACACTGGGAGACGTCCGAGTGCCGTCAAGGGGCACCTGCGGGAAACAGGACCCCATGTTAGCGATGCCGCACAAGCAAGACGACAAGCGGGCAAAGACTGACGAGATTCGCACTCATGGGGTCGAGCGCTCGCTATGCCCCCGCTAGCCACGGAGAGCGTTCATCGCAAAGATCGCTCTTCCCAGTTGTCGGTCTTGATCCTTGACAGGTCTGTCTGCTTCTGTGAGCCAGGCATGCCTTTTCCTTTTCTCTTCTACCCGTCTCCCTCTCTATGCAAGGTGCTAGGCCTACATTGGCAGCCGTCTTCGCGAGCCGAGCGCTATCGCCACAAACAGCCTGCAAGAGCAAGTAGCTTTTGGACTGGGTGCGGATTCCTGAGCGTGATGCTCGCGCACATTTGCAGGCGGGGTTTTATACTGTCAGAAATCACGTTTGTGCGGGAAAGCCAACCGGATTTCAAGTCACCGCGTCGCGCTATCGCGCGATATCAACGCCAGCTAAATTCGAGCGATATGTCTTCGCCCATCTTGTCAAAGCGAGCAGCACAGCGTCGCACGAATGCTTCTCCGCTCATGCAGATGCTCTGCAAGATCTTTGCCTGCCAGTACTCGCCCGAATGCCCTGAAAATGCAAGTCGCCTTGACGACGTCTGCTCGAGCATGCTGACCTTGTTCGACTCAGCCCGTCTCCCTCGGCGTTGCAGAGAACGTCAGTGCAGCTTCGGCAATGAGGTTTGTCATGTGACGAGCTAATGTTCTTCTGCTGGACAGTCACTCATGCACGAAGATCTGCTCGCTTGGTCGAGGAAGCGCTTCGAGCTCACCGCCAGCGTGCGCCGCCTCGATCCCATCGCACGCAAAGCTAATGCGATTACCTCATCACAGGATCTGACGTATGGCACAGCACTGAAGGGCTCCGCTCGCTTATTCTCCGCACTGATCCCTTTCTTCGAGCAACGCTTCAAGAACGTCAAGCCCATCTTGCCTCAACATATCGTCACAGGCGCAGGCGTATCTGCCGTGATTGATCAGCTCATGATCTTGCTCTGTGATCCTAGTGATGGCTGTTTGATCGCTGCGCCATTTTACGCCGGCTTCGATAGAGATCTACGTGTACGCAACGATGTCATCCCTATCGGTGTGCAGATACCCGGTCACATCGATCCTGCTTCACCGGACTCGCTTAATTATCTTCAAGCAAGATACGACGAGTCAAAGACCGGCAAAGGACCCAAGATCAAAGCGGTCATCCTTTGCAATCCTCATAACCCTCTCGGCTTCTGTTATCCTCGAGAGACAATCGTAGAATACGCTCGTTTTGCTGAGCGCAACAATCTGCATCTGTGAGCTGGCTGCATTAAATCCGCGCCTCAGGGCACATCTGAAGTTAACAACATCACAGTATCGTGGACGAGATCTATGCACTTTCGACGTTCAAGACGACAAACGCTACAGCGACGCCCTTTTGTTCAATCCTGTCCATCGATGTCGAGCACGAAGCAGGCTGTGATCCTTCTCGCGTGCATATGTATGCCCTGTTTGTTGTCTGTCATACAGAGCTGATCAAGTCGATCAGGCTGTACGGCTCGAGCAAAGACTTCTGCAGCAACGGTCTACGCATCGGCGTCATGATCTCCCAATCTAACCCAGCGCTCTGCGAAGCCTTTACATCCTCAGCCATGTTCATGAAGATCAGTTCGCCTGCCGATGCGCTCTTCTCCAAGCTCATCTCCACTCCTGCCGATCTCGATTGGTTCATCTCTACCAATCAGCTCCGACTAGCCCAAGCATACGAATTCTCTACCAAATGGCTCAAGAAACACGGCGTACCGTACAGACAGGCCAATGCGGGACACTTTCTGTGGATCGACTTGCGCAAGTTCATGCCCACGTGCGATAATGAAGGCAAAGACCTTTCGTGCGAAGCAGATAGAGAATCGCAGCTCTTCATCAATCTGCTCGAGCACGGAGTCTATATCGCTCCCGGAAGCTTCTACCATGCTTCTCAGCCTGGTTTCTTCCGAATCACATTCTCAGTCGTGCAGGAAGTGATGCAAGTCGGTCTCGATCGTCTTGCTGCGGTTATCGAGCCGGATATGACTTCGTCTGTCGATACCATCGCTTCGGCCAAGGGCAACAAACGACTGAGTGCTCTCGAGTTGACGCGAGTGGACATGGAAGCACTCGCTCTCGAGTGCGGAGGCATGTGCTAGAATGTCACAGTACAATCAGTAGACAGGCTGTGGATTTTTTGCGATGTTGTTGCGAGCATATTGCAGTAGAACTACACAACATCAAGAATCTGCAGGAGCGAGTGTACAAATCAAGGCCAAACGATCAAGCCAGACGATCTTCCACCTCTTGCACCTCCGTCTAATTTGTAAGAGTATCCTTCCTTCTTGAGCAGCTTCGAAATAGAAGGCAAGAGCACAGCATGTTGACCAGTCGAGTGCAGACCGGCACCGGTGATGATATGCATCGGCTGAGATCTCGTCACCGAAGCTTGCCAAGTATTGAGACTCTCCATGACGAGTACGTTCGCTTGAGCAACAGTCAGATGATGCAGGTCGATCGTGTTCTCCTTGCTGTACTTTCTCGTACGAGTATCCACAAGCGCACGAGCAGCTCTCAGGTCCCATTCTTTCGCCATTGCTTCAAACTCTCGTCCTCTCTCGCTGTACGTTCCTGCTGCAGTTCGCTCTTTGCCGCCCGACTGCCATAATCTAGTCGCAGAACGATAAGCGTCGTTTCGCTTGTCTCTGTATCTATCTGCCATAGCAGTACACTGGGCTGCATCCGGCTCTCTCGACACGGCCGGTCTGACTCGTTGAGGCAAGCTGGCCAGTGTGGGCACAGGTGTAGGTGTGGGTTCTTTGGGTATAGACGCCGAATTGCTATGCACAATCGAAGCTCTGTAATTCGTTGGCGTATGAGCAGAAGAGCTGACAAGTGCACTGAAGAGAGGCGTTCCATCTCTCCGAGTGATCTCGTCTAATTGCCACATGAGGTCGATAGCATCGCTTGCCACTCCGTCCGTTGCGCTCAAGAGACGTTGTAGCGCACCGAAGGATCGATCCGGGAACATAATCTTCAGATGAGCAAGCGTTTCGACAGAATCGGGCAAGTCGGCACAAGGTCTTTTCGCTTCCAACTCGTCCATGATCTTGTCGAGTGCAAGCGGCAGGGACGAGTCTGCTTTGTGGTAAGCAGAAGTGATCTGCTGTGGCTCGATATGAAGCAACATAGCCAGAGATTTCGCTTGCGATTCTAGCAGTATCCACCTGCTCACGCCTCCTACGCCGTTCTTCCGCGTACTACGCGGATGAGTGGAAGAGTCGTCATCCGATAGATCTGAGCCTGCTCCGCGTCGCGCTTGCGTCTTTCTCACATCTGTCAATGAGATAGTCTGAGTCTGCGCTGGTTTGTGTTTCTTCTTCCTGCCGTTTGACCTGTGTGATAGACCAGTAGCAAGCGCCTCGTCGGCGGAGGTAGATGCCGAAGCGGCATCGTCCTGTAGGCCAGTCTCTATCAACTGTTCACTCAAGAGTATCTCTACTGCTCTCTGCTCTCTCGCTACATGAGCAGTCCCCATCTCAGCAAAGTCTGACGAACATCTGCATCGTTCTGCGCCGATTCGAGAGCGACTGATAGCTGGGAAAGCGGTATATCGGGGAAACAAGTCTCCAAAAAGGCAAAAGCTTCATCGTTGGATGAGAGCGACAAGGGCTCTGAAGCGTTGGATGCCGAGTCGTCTGTAGACAGAGGGGGAGATGGAGATGGAGCAGGCTCTACGCTCGTGTTGAGCTGCGCGTGATGGAGGAGCATGTTGAGTTGGTCTCGAGCAACGGTCTCATCTTGAGGTTCTAGCTCGTTCAGGATGGCTAGAACGATGACGGGACTGAGATCGGGACAGTAGTCCTGCTGGAGCTTGTCAAACAGCGTGCTCATCTCACCCGTCACTATGGCTCTAGCTCGAGCACCTCAGGACCCTGCCTGGCCATCGATAGAGCCAGTCGCGATCACAGAAAATCCAATCGCGTCTGGCGAACGATGACGCACTGACGAGATCGTTCAGATGACAACAGTCTGGCTCGTCGTCTGCTGCGCGGGAGCACTGTTTGTAGGTGCGGTACGTACTTCGTAGCCATACGCTCGATCCTGCGCAGACTCTATGTCAGCTCGAAGCAGAACAAACGAGAACGGGTCTCTCACGTAGTGAAGCTTGTTGAAGTCGACGTTGGGGAACCTGAGCCAGCCGTCCTCCTTGACGTGATACATATTGAGTGAGTTGCCCGAAAAGGCATCACGGTGCATGGCAGCATAGATCGATCTCGCGCCCAGGTCGTATGCCTCTTCATCTGTCAGATCCCACTTGTATCCCTGATCGAGCACACCGTACGCAAAGGTGGAGCCCGAACCGACAGAGAACACATCGCCCTTCATCCTTGATCCGTCCGAATCGACGTAGAAGAGTGCAGGGCCGGTCTTATCCCATCCGCAGATCATTGTGCCCATCGAGAGTCCTTGACCTTTGTAGCCATACACGAGATTACTGAGGTACTTTGAAGCCGCTGCCACGGAGATCCTCTGCTTGTTGGCTAGTTCGTACAGTCGACATTGGATACCGAGGTAGGTTTCCCAGTATTGGCAATCTGCTGCACCTCCTGCCATCGTACCGAGCAAGAACGGATTGATCTCGATGACTTTGCGCACCGTACCAGAGGCAATGTAGCTTCCTGCTGTTGCTCTCGAGTCGACTGCAACGAGCACACCGCCCTTGTAGCGGAAAGCGAGCGTCGTCGTGCCGTGAGCGAGCTTGATCTGAGCTTGTGGATTGTCCACCGTGTTGTTCGACGTCACACTCGCCAAGAAGGCAGCAGGCTATCGCGCTTGCATCAGCCTAGGACGGAGCAAGACGAAGCAATGGACGTACGTGGTCAACTTGAGGCATGTCAAAGTGAGGTAATTGTACAGTGCCTTTGCCTTTCCAGAGCGACGCTACTTCCCGTTCCAGCTCGTCGTCTTGCGCGAATTGGGATGCCGAAGCCCTCGCATACCGCTGCACATACTTGTCCATTCTCAGCTCGTGACTGACAGCTGAAGATCGACCGCTTCAGCTCAAAGGTGACGCGTAATTTTGTCGCTATCGTGGCACGTCTGCCATGGAGCTTCCACGTCATCGGTCAGCACCTCCCTGATCTCTCGACAACGCTGCCCCCTCACAGAGTCCATCTGTCGCACACTGTCCTTCGATTCGATCAGCACGTGTATCACGTTGCCATGCAACACGAATCCTCTTCTTCATTCTCCTCGCTTCACGCCGGGCGCCAAAGCCAACGTCATTCATGCGGTCTGCTTCACTCGCCACGGCAAGTTGCACGCTGTGCAAGGCCCGCAACATCATCTGACACGATCACAGCTCGCCTTTGGCGTGCTTGCCAATTTCGCTGCAGCAGATGATCTCTGCGACAGTACGTGGTCATTGACCCTATCCGGCCACGTTCATTGCCTCGGCGGCTCGCTCGCTTACACCCTCGTACCGGGAAACAAGCTCTCGTTCACTCTTCCAACAACTTATGACGCCAATTTGCCCATTCCTCATCCAACAATGGTCAGCCCTCGCACCACCAGCGTTATCTTTCGAGCAAGCCTTAGCGGATCTTAGGTCGTCTCCGGCAAGAAAGATCTGCTCATCGTAGGCGAATGGTCACCTCTCGATCTTACTACAGCATGCGGTACCGGTCGCCGTGCTGGCTACAGAATGACCTTCTTCATTACTCTGCCTGAAGACTACGGTGGCGAGGGATTGTTCCCCGGTTCACACTTTGGCTGCTGTCTCGCCATTGCCTCCGGCGTACTCGAGATTTGTCAGTCTCCTCACGCGTATAGCCGGCGTAGCTCATCCATTTCGTTGCCCCAGACGACTCGGGAGGCAGATCTGACATGCGCCTCGTCGGACCTGTGTCAGTCTATCAGAGTATGTGTCGCAATCTGCTCAACAGCATATCTGACACTCGCTACATAGACTGTAACCTTGGCTTCAAAGGCTGCACCGATTACCCTGAAAGAAACGCCAAGTGTTCTAGCGGTCTTACAGCTACTACAAATCTCATCGAGGGAGGTACTTAGGACGGTTTCTTAGGACTGAGGACGTTGGATTGCATACGCGATTTCCGTCAGTCTACAGCCACTGTCAACATTGACGCGTGCAAAGTTCGACTTACGCTGCGCGCGATCCATCTCTCTGATCTTCTGGTGCACCTCTTGCTGTCCAAAAACATCATGCAGAGCCTGTGCGTGATGGCAGAGGATCATGAGCTTCAACCGCGGCGACTGCAGACAGATTCACAAGACAGCGCGCGTCCAGTCACTCGCGCATACGCGATTATGACAGCCACATCCTGAGCTTTTGCCTGTTTCTTTCGTCTGCACCCTGCCTCTCGGAAAGGCGCTTGTTGGCTTCCCTCACCCTAGCTGTAGCTAATACTCTAGGAGCGTCATTCCGCACAAGTGTCGCATCGCCATGACGAGAGAGTGTTTTTATCTAAATCCTTTTGCATTTCGCAGCAACGCAGACCCGGCAAGCAGCCTCGATCGTTGACCATGCGTTTCTCCACATCATTTGCGGCAAGTCGCTGCACGCTTTCACTTGAGAGTATAGCTGACATGGAATCAGCTCGCTTTCGGCATGCTTGCAAAGCACGCCGCAAGCCTCGACCATTGCGACAACGCATGGCTGTTGAACGTGTCCGGTGATGTCCGCTGTCCTGGCGGCCGCATGGCATCTACTTTTCCTCTGGGCAACACGATCTCGTTTGTTCTTCCTACGACGTTCGAAGACAAACAGCCGGTTCCTCGAGCCTACATGGTACGCAGCACTTCCCCGCAAGCTGGACCGTACAGTGACAGCATGACCAGAGAACCGAAGCTGAACAAGACCTGCTTGTCGTCAACGAATGGTTTCCGATCGATCTCGGTACAGCATGTGGCTCCGGTCGCCGCGCGGGCTATAAGATGGTCTTCTTCATTACCCTACCGGACGACGTCGGAGGCTCTTCTCCTGGATCTTATATAGGCTGTTGCGCTGCCATCGCATCCGGCATTCTCGAGATCTGTGAGGCTTCTCGAGACAGGTAGATACATTCTCATGACAATCCGCGCAGACAATGGAGGTGGCCGGCCTACCATGCGTGTCGTGGGCCCCATCACCGTTGATCAGAGTACGCATCACGTTCACTTGCTAACGTGCCTGACAATTAGATAAGCAGATTGCGATCTTGGTAAGAAGGGCTGCACAGATTATCCGGAGAACAATGGCAAGTGCACAGGCAAGCTCTACAGTACGACCACGCTCGTCAACGATGGTCCCAAGAATGGATCAAACAAATGACCAGATGCAGACAGTATTGTATGCAATGTGCGCTGCTTAATCTACTTCGCGCGGATCAGGCAGAGGAATTTGATCGGGCGAGCAGTATGGCGGCAGACGATCATGCGGGATCTTGATGCGCAATGCTAGCGGGTTGTGGGCGCAGATCAAAGCTCTTACGAATGTACCGGCGAGGTACGGCGCACCTTTGGCGTTGGTGTGCACGCGATCGTGATAGCAAGAATCGACAAAGTGACGTCCGGCATCTTTTTGCCATGCCGCCGTTGTGGCTTCGTGATTGATGAACATGACGCTGCATACGATGTCAGCTTCTCTGAACCTGTATAGCGTGATACTAACCCTTCGTGCAGAGCAACGTTCTGGGCAAAAGTCGTAAAGCGCGAGGGTGTCCATTCGAATATGGGCGTAAAGGCGTACATGTCATCCGGCACAGGTCCGCTGATGATCACTCTGGCTTCGACGGACTTGAAAAGCTGTACAGCCTTGCCTGTAGACTTTATCAGCAAAAATAACGCTGTTTTTGGTTCGGCCTACGAGCGTATTGGGTGTAAGTGAGGATATCACCGCATTTTCCCTCGGTATTGCAGTCACCCGATTGCTTTGCACTTTGAGGATCGTTCTTGCCGAATTCAAGAAGCTGCGACCAGATCAGTCACAGACAGCTTCGGCTTTGGAATCGAGACCGACAACGTAGTCACCGGGCTGAATGTCTTTGGCTACTTTCGCAAAGCCGCCACTCGCTGTCCAAGTGCGATAGGAAGTTCCGGGTACGGCGCGATTGATGATGGGAATGTCGAGCAGCATGACGAGATGGTTGCCAAAGCCAAAGACATGATGGTTCGACATTGTCGAATCGCCAAGGAGCCATAGCTTCTGGCCGAATGCGAGACAAACGGCTGAGAGCAGGGCAAAGATAACCAACATCGCTCGTTTGGCTCGAGGTCAGTGGGCAGGGAGGAGTTCATGGGTCACGAGGGCAGAAACTAAATTCGAGCAGGAGCTTCGAGGCAACGCGATGGATCGATTCTCTCCGTTGATGACCAGGATCGTATCGTGGTTAGGGTGCAATAGTGAACAAATGTGTGCCTGGATCTACTGCCTATTCTTGAGCCATTTGACGCAACTCGGCACGTCCTCCACAATCTTGCTCGGTAAGACTTTCTCGCTGATCCACGAAGGGATCAGCCCTGCAGGATCGCTCATCGTCGCCATCGTCCAAACGACTTGCTTCTTCGGTTCGTCGCCCGAAGTGGGAACAAGTTCGCGAACATCTTCGACGGAGGCATATCGTGCTCTGACGTAGCCTTGTGCGGGTGCGCCCTTGGGGTGCGTGACGGGGATAGAGATGACTTGAAAACGGCGTGCTACTGTAGTTGTATCTGTGCTGTACAGGCCGCTGTTGGCCTCTGCCACGAGACATCAATGACAACAATCGGGGTTCAGCGTGCGTCAGGCTAACCTTGTCCTGTGATCTCACGGCGAACGGGTAGTATGCAAAAGTCGCGATTCGTCGTCGGCGGTGGGATCTCGTACTGCACGAGCCAAGCCTCTACGACGTCGTCCTGTTGATGTGGATTTGCATGAGTTGACGTACTGAGATCAAGGATATGTCAAGCCTACCTGCCAGACTTGTAGCCGCTCAATGTTGTGCAGTCCCTCTATATATTCCTTCTCATTGGGCGTGTGCTGGACGAACAAGCCAGATCGAAGGTCATCGTACGACTGTTTCGGCCCGGTGTGACACGACGAGCGCAAGTGCCAATTCAGCGGCTGACCGGGTCGTTTGGCCGTACGAGTCGGATTCTCATCGTTGGCATAGTACAGCTTGCCAATCTTCCAGCCAGCTTTGCACTTGAGCGAAGTATCGCTCGGCTCTGCACTTGCAAAGGCGGGGGAGGTATCGATGAGGCTATCTGCGTCGGCGTACAACTTGGACAGGAAAGCTTGAAGCTCGCCATCTCCGGTGGGTATACTGCTGCATGCTTGCGGTGAATCAATGCCGAGTACTTCAAGCTTGTTAGCTACCATGTTGCGATGCTGAGGCGCTGCCGACAACGGTGGACGAGAGAATGACGCGATGACGGGCAGATTGCTCGATTGACGCTCCAAGGCCAATCAGTCGTCGGGCCATGCTCATACTTCTCATCGGACCACCCTGCGCAGGCAAGCAGACCGTACAGGACTATCTCGTCCAGCGACACCAATTTGCGCCCGTGAGACTCGCAAAAGCATCGCCCGGCAGCGTGTCAGGAGCTAGCACGAGCAAGACGCTCCACTTTGACGATCCTCTCGCTTTTCTCGACTATGCCACGCGCAGATGGCAGCAACACTTTGTCTGCACAGACTTGCCCCTGAGTACGGTGCACTACACACGCCAAAACCCGCATTGAAATCCCTTGCAGACAGAGAGACGGTAGATGCCTTTCTCAAACGGCCTTGGGTGCTCCTCATCGCCCTCGAGGCACCGCTCATGACACGTTGGCATCGTCAGCAAGCCAGGTATGCTCCACCGAAGCATCGACCAATCATGGCTGAATGCGTCGACGCGCAGACAAGACGGCAATGCAACCTTGGAAGAGTTCATCCAGCTCAATGACGCGCTCCTCTACGCGACATTGTCGTCGCCTGTGAATTCTACAGAGCCGCAAGATGCTACTGCAACCTCAGGCCGCATGGAAGAGAAGCGGCGTGAGCGACACAGACAGGCCTCTGCCTCGTCCGTGTCAGGCGCGTCAACAATTCATCTGCCTTACTCTCACGCCAATCTCGTCCTGCCGCCCCCTGTATTGCAAAGTGCACGATCAGAGGGCATGCTCGCTCCGCCAAAAGATGCGCTCGCGAAAAGTGCACTCGCTCCTCTGCTGCGAATAGCGCACCTCACACTGCAAACGCATTGGCCCACACTCGACGAGCTATATCGCTACCTCGACTCGATGGATCTCCTCGACGGCGAAAGGCTGCGGCCAGGCTGGGACACGTATTTCATGACTCTGGCAGGTCTGGCCTCGCTCAGGTACGAGATCGCACAGAGTGCCGATCTGGCGGCTGATCAAGAGGTCCCACTGCAGGTCAAATTGCATGAAGCGACGCGTAGGATGTGTTCTCGTTTCTTCGTTTCGCGTCGTTTCGACGGGCTACAACGGCACGCCAAGAGGAATGCGAAATTGCAACGAAGGTGGCTGCGCGCGTTGCAACGGCCTGCTGCAGACGTCTGCTCGTGGGCAACCGAACGGACGTGACACACACATAGACGACACGGACATGAGCTATCAGTCTATTGCCTGCGGCATGGCACTGGACGAATGCCTATGTCTGCACGCCGAGGAGAACGCGCTTCTCGAAGCCGGACGCGACAGAGCAGGTGCAGGAACGGGCGGCGTCCTCTACTGCAATACGTACGTACAGGTTCATCAGCACGTGCACGTCCTGATTGATTTGGATGCCAGGTGCCCGTGCTTGAGGTGCTCTGTCAAGATCGTGCAGTGTGGCATCAGAGAAGTGGTCTATTCGCTCAGCTACTCCGTCGACGGCAAGTCTGCTGCTATCTTCAGGGAGGCCGGCGTGTCGTTGCGGCAAATAGCGATGCCTTGAATGCATGAACAGCGCCGCACGGGACCGAGATGTCTTCGAACGCGTCGACCAATTTGACATGAATTTGACATTCGCTCACGCACGGACAGCGGTCGTGTGTTCTTGCAGGCGCGCCGTGCATCATGCGAGCCTGAGCCCGAGCCTGAGCCTGAGCCTGGTCAGATCTGCGCGTCACAGATTGAGCCCTATTGACGTATCAATCAGCATCCGTACAATTCGATCGAACATGATGCCAACAACTCGCATTGCGCTATGCGCGTCTTTGACGGCAACGCTCGTATACGCCCAAGCTGCGCCTGCGACGGCAGTCGCAGTCACATCGCTTCTCGGTACATCCACAGGCATCCAGGGCCAAATCAAGAACGTCGGGCCGTTCACTCTATCTGTTCTGACAAACCTGACGCATGGCCTCTTTACAATGAACGCATCGCAACCGCTTGGCAAAGTGGGCTGGATGGGCATTGGCTTTGGCACGACGATGAGCAACAGCGACATGATCATCGTCTGGCCGAATGAAGACGACACGTGGACACTATCCCATCGGACAGCAGATGGCCACAACACGCCGACCGCGAGCAGTAGTGCTGATGCCCAGCCAGCTCAGCTTGTCCCAGTCTCGTCACTTATCACGAATTCATCCTCTGGCAGCTTCGCAAGCTATACCTTCATCCGCGCTCTCGACTTGACCGCGACCAGCTACAGCACCACACGCACACAGCATAATACGCTAGCAAGAGCGACAGGACAAGATTTGATCTATGCCTATAGCTCTAGCAATCCAGGAACGAGCGACACGCTCACGCCAGATCTTCAGCAGCACGACCACGGCGCGTACGGATCAACTCAAATCGATCTGAGTCGAGCAGTCGTCTTTGCAGCAGATGGCACAACCACTGCAACAGACACGAGCGGTAGCGAAGGCGATTCGGCACCCTACACGCGATACGACTACCTGATCATCATCCATGCGCTTTGTGGAGGTCTAGCCTGGCTCATCATCTCGCCAACTGCCGTCTTGGTGGCACGCACACTGAGACATCTTCAAGGATTGTGGTTCAAGCTTCACATGCTCTTCCAAGTCATCTTGACCCTCCTTTTGACCATTGTCGCCATCGCGCTCGGTGCTGCCGCCATCTCATCAGAAGGCTCTGATCATTTCGACAGCTTTCACACGGTATGCTGCTATTGTTTCCGGGCTCGCTGACAGCGCTCACGAAATCTGCAGAGGCTCGGCTTGATCATCGGCGTATTGCTACTCCTCCAGCTTGCTCTGGGTTGGTACACGCATGCCAACTTTGATCCCTTGCGCACGCACCGACCCGCGCAGAATATCGTGAGCGATCTTATGGCGCTTGTATGAAGTCAAGTTGACCCCGGACAAGACGCACATCTTTCTAGGCATCATTCTGACCATAGCAGGCTTTGTCCAGATCAAGACTGGCTTCGAGATCTACGACAGATCAACGCCGGGCTATATCTACGCGATCTACTATCTCGTCGTTGCCGGATTTGCAGCAGTCTATCTGATCTCCGCTGGAAGATTGGTACAGCAAAGGCGCGATAGCGGATACCGATTCAGCAGGGCAGCATTCGGACTTGGCAGGCCATCGCGCGTCGGCGGCCTGTCCGACGACTACGACACGAAGCTCGTCAGTATTGGCAAGCCACGCTTGGATCCCTACGGCCACCTGAATGGGTCAAGCCAATGGGGATCAACGGACACGATCACGCACGACTCGTTCAGCCATCTCGGACAGTACACAGGCAGTACACGCAGGACATTTCAATGAGCACGCATGCAGACATCCACACGAGGACTGTAGACTTGTAAGATCTCGTTACACAACGACCCTTATTTGGGCCGAGATGCACAGCATTGAGAGGCTATCGGGATCGCTTGAGTATCATTTATACGGCCCGCGGAACTTATCGAGACCGTATTTGTTGCAAAACATACCACTGTGCGGTCTCGTCAGTCAAGTCAGAGATGTGAGCTTGCGGCGCACTAATCCGTCATCTGCAATCAACATCAGCATGATCCGGCGTGGTGCGGTTGGAAACAAACCGGGGGCACGGCGACTTGTTCGCCGTTGATCCAGAGCTCATGGATCACAAATGTCTGGCCTTTGGGCGTGAGACCTGGCAGAAGCCAGAAATTGACGGCGAAAGTCAAGTCTGGACGCGTGCCCTCCACTGTGCGGCGATGATGAGGCAGCATCGGCTAGAGCAGGACAACGACTTACAGACAAATTGTTGGTATTGACGACCTGTAGAACATACTGTGAAGAACGTGTTAGTATAAGTCAGCCAGTTTGAAGGTCTCAATCAATACCTTGCAGAGGATCCGACGGTGAAGCCTTGCTATCGAGCGAGTCTATATCCCACCACTGGTCATTCCAATTACCCTTGAAGCCTCCTGTGATGTGCTTGTCGCCAGATTGGATTTGGTAACCGCAAGAAAACACGCTTGGCTGGGCGGGGACTGCGACGGTTGCATGGCATAGGTCAATGTATGGGACAAAATCTGCGCTAGCTAGGCTCGCAAGCAGGACAAAGGCCAAGTACTTCATCAATTCGGCGTTGCTGAGAGGACACGGGCTTTGACGGTCAGTCGGTTGCTAAGAGGGTTGCAACTTCGCTCTGACATTGTCGCGTGATTGCCTCGTGTCCGTGCATTCTGTAGACTGACGCCCACGTCGACAGACGGGTCCGCTTACGACGAAGTTGAAGAAAGTCCAAACAATTGCCGATAGGTGCGCTGCGCTGCAGTGAGCGTCTCGCCCGTGCGAACGGCCGCGCAGGATGAAGTCTAAGTTCTTTGGTATCATGTTTGGTCTGGCACACGCAATGCTCATTAGCGGGTGAGCTCATCGTATCGTATTCGTTTTGGTGCAGACCTGCTGATGCACTCGCGGTCATAGAGCTTCGGCCGCCAATGGCAAAGCGCTTGGGTAAACATGTCACGTTTTTGGCGCGGTATGATCTGACAGCGCTTTGACCAGAGACAGCAAGCGAGTCATCCAGCATCCCGGCTGCCCGCCCGATTATTGCCCGCTCAGCTGCTCGGGCGAGTTGTGCCATTGCGTCCCTTGTGGCGACAGTAAATAGAGTTTATGCAGGCGTCGTTGATTCGCAGAAAGCACTGCCTGTTGTACATACGCTCCGCTTTGGTTTCGAAAGCTTGTCAATGGACACTACTGGAGGAACGGTCGAGATTGACGCTGAGGTTGCGACGAATGCTTGAAAGTCCTTTTACAGGATGCGAGACTCCAGAGACAGAGGCGAGACAGATTGTGACAGCCGGCCAAATATTCTGCGATAGTCTGCGTCAGCGTTGCAGGAAGTCGCCGGACAGCATAAAAGCTGTGCTCAACGATCAAGCGACGTTCGCTGAAAATCAGACAAGCCATCGATAAAGGGAACATCACGTAAGCGATCTTGTGCCTGTCCATCTTGAGTTGGTTGAAGTGTACGAGCAGAATGAAGTCAACACTTTTCGCAATCATGTTTGGTCTGGCAGCCGCTATCCTCGTTAGCGGGTAACATTTCGCTTTGCTCGATCCCGTACCGCAGCTGAGGCCTTCCACAGAGCTTCGGTTGCTAATGATCAGGCAACCAAGTGAGTCTGTATGCACATGCAATCAGACCTTCGCTGACAGGCACATAGGCACGACAAACGAGCCCTTGTTTCCTGCCCGCCAGGCTACTGTCCGATCGACTGCGAGAAAGTCTATTGCGAATGTGCACCTTGCTGAATATCTCTGTAGCCCTTTCCAATGCAGCGCAGCTGTGCGCGATGAAGCATGACCTTGACGAATGAGATGATGCCTTCCGTCGTGTTGAACATGGCATGATGGCAATCCCTCGCTTCGCACTTGCGCCACGTAGCAAGGAGCAATTGCCTGAAGCTCTGACATGGAAATTGCTATGCAGCGAGATCGAGTAGATGACATGCCAATGATACTGACTCAATCTTTTCAATCTGAGAAATGTCGTTTGGTGCGTTGCTGAGATGGGCTGTCTCGACAGCGTCGCAGAATGTTGCCGAGACATATGATAGGTTTTCTGTGCATGTTTACTCTCATAGCGGATTCGCTTTGGTAGACCTCTCTAGAGAAGCTCTTGGTTTTGCAGATAGGTGAGATTCTGCCGCACTGTCGGCCTAAAGCAGCTGAAATCAAGCACAGGATGAGATCTACAATCTTTGCTGCCATGTTTGGTTTGGCCACCGCAATGCTCATCAACGGGTGCGCCGATCGATCTTGCCGCTTCGTTGTTGATGGCTGACACGCACGTAGAGCCTCGGTGGCAAACGAGAAAACATTCCAGTAGGATTGGCACGCTTTCGGCTTCATGTTTGCTGACATGCTTTGGCAGCGGCGACGATCCAGGCTTCAACCATGCTGGCTGCCCGCCTGGTTCCTGTCCGATCAGCTGCGATCGCGGACTTTGCCATTGCTTGCCTTGTGGCGATATCGACTAGCCTGATAGCGAGTCGTTCTGCATCCTTACTCAAGGCTCACATAGGCTCGCGGACCTGATGTTGCGGATCCCTTTCGAGCGTCCTCATCATAGATACAAGGAAGTCGACGAAGTGGACGGGGACGTAACGTAGCGTATCGATCGATGCCGCTTGCGACAGTATGATCTCACGACGCAGGCAAGTTCTCAGTAAATTTGGTGCTCCGAGCTTGAAAGCTTGAGAGAAAGCTGTGATAGCGTTGCGGAGTGCGGAAAGGTTATAATGATGATGATCAGGGCGCTGGCCGATCGCATATTGAATATATCAGAAGAGTGCAGAATGAGCGATGAGCAAGTTGTCGAATTTGGCAATAGCTCGATAGGAGGAAGCGGCTTGCATACATGTCCAAGCTCATATAGCTGGCAGAAGAGCGCTCTGATTAGTAAGCCTGAACATTGTCACTCAGCTGCCTGTTTGCTGTTTCGCGAGATCGCTCACAGGAATGATGTTCTTGTACTCGTGAGCGGGGTCGTCACTGCATTGCAAGCCAAAGGGAGGCTGTTTCTTCGGGATCGCGCCACCGTGTGTGACCAGAACGAGCGCAACGCCCTCTATATCGCCGTCGGAAGCGACTCTGAGTTGGAGATTGACTCTGAAATGCGACCCTACGAGGACCATATTGGCATTGACGAGCGTGTTACCGACCATATAAGGAGGATCGTAGCTGGCCGAGGTGATGTTGCCGACAGTGTCGATCTTGTAGGTGCCTGACTTCCATTCCATTGGCCATTCGAGGCTGAGTGGTTCCTTGTTGTGATGGTACCAAACCTATTTCTTTCCGTCAGCTTACGAACCTTGACGAAGCAAGCTGCATACCTTGACATTGCACCATGTGTAGCTACCCGAGTGACGACGCTGCAGTTTGTTGGTCGTCCCGGCTTGCATCGTGCCAACATCTGCACTTGCGCCCGGCGCGAGCATGAAGATCCACAATGCAAGAGCTGCCGGAAGTATCGTCTTGATCAGGTTGCTGAACATAGTGTATGTTGTCTTATTTGTATTGATGGCAGGATGGACAAAAGCAAGCGCAGGAGAATGGGCTTGCGTTTGGAGCTAAAACAGTACAGACAGACCAAGCTGCTGCAAGAGTCTGAGACAAGGCAACAGCCTGCGAAGGCATGTGTCGTCGTGGATAAGGATGCTCGGACAGGGTTAGGCAGGATATGCTGGTCATGGATTGATGCACTGACGTGCAAGCGGGCGTGCTCACGTACAACCACATAGCGAAAGAAGAGGGGGGAAGATGCGGAGAACATCCTATTTTGTACCTTACAGTATGGCTCATAGCATGCATGACACGCATACAAAGCGTACATGTACTTCCTTTCGCATTCCGCGCCGCACTCGGCAAAGGATCTGGCAATCTTGTGAAGCCAGTCGGCTTTGCGTCACTTCGTTGCACTGGTGCAGATGACCGCTAAAAACTATAAAAAACTACATTTCAAGTGCGACAATGCTGTCCTGGTGACAGATTTGGCGTGCTATCAGCGTACTCGTGTGCTCGCACGAGCGTTCAGCGCTGGTCGCAGTCTGTTCCGGGGGTCTGCAGGTATCCCACATGGCTCATAGCATCGGGATGCGCTTCTTTTAGATAGTGCATATGCGTGCACGCCTCCTTTGGGCTTGCGGAGCACATTTCTAGGAGGCGCGCTTTGCCTGGCCCTATTTGAGCTGAACAATATTGACAGCGTGTTTGAAGCATTCCTGCACTCGTCGCGTCTGGTGACATTATAAAAGCCAGGCGCCGCGCTCAATCCTCACTCCTCGCAGGACTTGGCAACAAACCTGGCAAACCTCTCAGCACCAGCATAGGCGCGGCCCAGCCCTGTGTGCTGGGGATCCACCCGTATACGGGCTTCCATCTTTCGTATGCTATGGTGCGTACGACTTCGACCTCGAGCTTGGCGACTACTCTCAGCACCAGCATGGCTGCGCTCCTGCCCTATGCGCTGGGGACCCGTACTACGGGCATCCATCTCTCCTGCATTGTGGTGCGTATGTGACAGTCGAACTCGGGCGACCAGCGCGATACCTGCACGTGCTTTCGACTGCTCGCCGTCCTCTTGTCCAGCTCGTCTTCCTCACTTTGGTCCTGCTGCTCACATGCACTTCACAGTCTCTGATCGATCTGCTTGCCGGCCTAGCGGGCGATGACCTCGTAGCCAAGAAGAGCTGGCGGGCTAGCCTTGCAAATATGCATACTTATGTTCTTTAATTTTTGCCTTTGCTGAAGCTCTATGCGATCATGTTGCAATGAGAGATGAGGACAGCGATCGTGCATTAACTGTCGCCTCTGCCTGTCACTAAGTCCGTCAAAGCTTTTGGGAGAACTTCGACTTACCAGATGCAACGGACTTCAAGACTGTCCATCACTGAGAGACCTCTCTTCGCAAGCTTAGCGTCCGGATCTACCTCAGGCGCACAAAAAGGATCCGAGAGTCAAAAGCCCTGCTTCGGCAGCTTTCGGACAAAGATGCTCGTGGGCGGACTGGAAACCGCCGGATAACAATTAAGCCATACGCTGATTACGGCGCTGGGGATGCCGATTCCGACCATGCGGATGAAACTTGATCACTTGTCTAGTCCATTGTGCTGCTACAGGGTCTGCTGTCCGCGCATCAATGCGATCAATCCAGATTCGCCCTGCAGGTGTCACCAAGCATGCGATGAACTATTGGCAAGCTTGCAAAGTGCTCAGGCGGTCAGATGCAGTCCTCATCAAGATCAACGTAGCGAAGAGCATGCAAGGAGCGATTAGGTGTCTGTGCAATCAGCGGACGAGACAAGGCACTGTAGCACATCAGTTATGGTAAAAGGCCTGCATAGTCAGCAGTCAGCCGCATGCCTAGCGTACGAGCAATGTCACCTACAGGGATGGTGACCAAGTTGGCTTGGTCGGGATCATCGCTGCACTGCATACCAAACGTCGGGTTAACGTAGCGAGCGCTATCGACTTCGGCGTCGTCCAGTGCAACGCCAATGATGTTGCCATCGGGCTGAACTTTGACTTGAAGGACCATCTTGAAGTCATTGCCTATGAGCGTCATGCTGGGATTGGCCGCAGCTCCAGTGGGAAGTTGATATGTCGCCGTATTGACGGGACCGTCAGCATAGAGATAATAGCCTGCTTGCGGTCCCTGCCACTTGATGAACCAATCAACGGCAAACTGTGGCTTGATTTTGTCATATTGTACCTGCAAATGGGAGGTTCAGTCTGTCATCTGACCAAAATTGATAGCCTGCTCACTTGAAGACCGCAGTGGGTGTAGGCACCAGTGTGGCGGCGCTCAAGCGTGTTGGCGTCACGGGCTTTGATCGGGTGGACGTTGAGATCCGCGCCCGAAGCCACTGTGGCGAGGCAGAGAGCAATGGTGGCGGGAACGATGGTCTTGCTGAACATTGTTGTGTGAATTGGTAAGATGATTGGTATAGCCCTCGGTGGTCAGAGGAGAGAGGTGCGGCGCTCGAAGTCATGCGAAGTCGAAACACCTGAGCGCAGGATGCTATGTAGATGCAGGCTGTGTTGCGCACAGCATACATAGCTCATTCGCTTTGTGTCCGTCGAGACTTGCACAGCCGCTCTGTGTCTGTCGAGACTGTGTCTCGCGCTGCAAAACAGGTTGAGGAATGAAAACAGGTTGAGGAACATCTTGTTATCGGAGAAAGCTACAGCAGGACTGACGCGGGTTATACAGCGGAAGCAACCGCCAAGTCATTGCCATGGACAAAGTTCAAGGCAACATCGATGGATTGTAAGGCAGTCCGCGACCGTTTGTTCTTCGAGAAGACGCGTCTTATGAAAGTACAGCAAGCGTACAAGTCAAGAGCGGCGATATCCCAGCGAGAGCTTGTGAGTGCTCAAGCCGCCTATGAGTCTGTCCATCAGTATCTCGTCGTGTGCGAGGTCAAGCAGCTGACCGGGATAGTAATCTTGTTCTGCTGAGTAGGATCGCTACTGCACTGGAAGCCAAAGCCCGGCGATTTCGGAGAGGGCGCTCCCTTGATGTCCAACGATGAGATGCCGACTCCCAGGATGTTGCCATCACTGGCGACTTGGAGCTCGAGAGTGAGGTTGAAATTGGTACCGTTCATATGAAGGATTCCACCTCGAAGTGCAAAGCCAGTCATGGCAGGGGGATCATAGCTTGCCGCGACCAGTCCTGCACCAGGCAGGACGGAGTAGTCATGCGGCTGCCAAAAGAGGTTGACGCCGGCAGCGATGTGGGGCGTGCAGCTGATCTGTTGTTTCCATTTGGCGTCATCATCAAAGCTATACTACTTTTTAGTTGCTTGCCTGGATACCACACCAGGAGTAGCTCCCTTCGTGACGACGCTCAAGCTGATGGATCTCTCGAGCCTCGATGGTGTTGGCATCAATGCTAACGCCCGAGCCAAATGTGGCAAGGGCGAGCATGAGAGCAGCAGGGAGCATCGATCTGAGAGACTTGCTGATCATTTTGCTACGATGTGGTTTACTCGGCTTTCGCGATATCTGCCGTTGCTGTCCAAAGTATGCTAGAGTCAAGAGAAGTCGTAGAAACTCTATACGCTGTGCAGACTGTCTGAGACCACGAGCTGAGGCTCTCCGATCGTGTCAGGCTTGATCGGCTGTCGAGCTTGCTGCGATGCACTTCGAAAAGGAGTCAAAGGCGGTCGGCTGGGATACCAAGAGGGTCAGAAAGATGATGGCAACGACTGATAGGATTCTGAACGATTGGTCGCGGGAGCCTGGCAGGTTGAAATGCCAGTAGCAGTCTCAGCTTCCTACTTCATCGAGCTTGCATCATATCGCTGGGGACTTTCTGCGTGTTAAGCGTCAGATAGTTACCGAAGACAGTCTCGACAGCGTGAGATGAGCAAGTTAATGCCAAAGTGCGCTCAAGGCTGAAGCTTGACATCGTCGAGGTGCATCTCGCATACAAGATGACCATGCGAACAATCCTTGACCCCAATCGGATCGCTCAGTAGCCCTGTGCATATGCTGATCAGCTATGTCTGCCGTATGACAAGTTGATTCGCTGGTATAGCGATCCTGCTCTGCTGTTTGGAATCATTGCTGCACTGGAAACCGTAGGAGATCGGATTGGCGATGACGCTTCCGTCGACTCTCAGGGTGGCGATCACAGCTCCTTGAATGTCGCCATCGTTGCCGACCTTGACTTGGAGATCGAGGAAGTAGTGGGGACCACCTTGCAAAACGAAGTTTGCGTCATTCAGGACACCGTCATCCACGTAGGCAGATTCGAAGTTTGCGAAAGTCATGCCTTCTCCAGCTGCAGCGATCTATTTAATTCCAGCCATACAATCTCAGAGCCAACGCCGGAGGCTTTACCCAGCAGGTACTCCGTTTGTCAGCAACTGCGTTGATGTCCGATCTGATTCGGTGAAAGGGAGCTCGCCTGAAGGCCACACTACGTGTAAGGGCCAGTATGACGACGTTTAAGCGTACTGGCGTCGCGAGCCTCCATCGAGTTGAGATCAATGCTTGCACCCCTGATAAAAGCAGCGAGGCAGAGAGCAAGTGCGGCAGGCATTGTGGTCTTGAGAGAATGGCTGAACATAGCTGTTTTGTCTGATGAAGCTGGCAAACTCTATTGATGACAGGTGAGGGGACAAAGCGCGCGAGATCATTCGAAGCCGAAACAGATCGCCCAGCAGGGTTGTGCAGTTGAAATACTCTGGCGCATGACACGACTCCTCATAACCGGGCGTTTGTATCCGTCCAGACATTGCATCTGAGACGATGCTTCTTGCACCCTCGCACAACCGAGCAAGATTGTATCCAAGCCGAGAGGATATGAGGTGCTCATTTGCGCTGGTCGCACTCTTCTTCGCTGGACTGGGTCCGGCGGCTGCCAAGCCAGAGAGACTCTCGATGACGAACGGTCCAAGTATCACCCGTAGGCATGTTGGCAGCTACAGCTGGTGTGGCATGCAGATCCAGTACGATAAAGCCAAACCGATTGTATCGCTCGGCTTCACGTTGTCGTGGAACCCGTCGACCAAGACTTATGACCTTTCGCCGACTGGCGAATTGATTGGGGCCAGAAGCGTGCCGCCTTTGACGGCACACAACTTCAGCCCGGTCTACCATCAGTTCACGAGTTCAGTTCTCTTGCGTAGGTGAACGATTGACTGAATCCGAGCGCATGTGCAGTGTCTGCGATCGATTATAATCTTCAGTTGAATGTGCAGCTCGATGGAAGCGGCAACATCGCAGCCTTCAAGCTGCTCGACTTCTGGCACAAGTATACAAAGCTCAACGTGCCCGCATCGCAGTACGGTCTGGCTTGCTCGAGCACACCTGGCCAAAATATTGGCATCTCGGTGCGTGATATCAGGTTGACATTGATGTGGGCTAAACTAAGCAGAAAATTGCTTGATGCGACTGGGGTGCCATACTGTCTTGAATGTATGCTAGGCAGTCATGCAGATGAGACATGGTCTGTATTGTAAGAATATCAGAGTGGGGGATGGGCCGGGTCACATGCGACATGTCACATTCGACTTTGCGCGCTTCCAATGATATTTGCGTGTGTAATCAGTGTGCCTGAGAGATCGTACCTCGATCTACTTCAACAGACTCGAGCTCATGCTGCGAGTGCGGCTACGGACGCCATGTCTAGCTCTTCAGACCCACCGCGTCACCCAACGCAGGCTTGCTAGAGCAGCATCCACAGCAGCCCAGCCAAACCGCTCTACAGAGCATAAAGATGTCGTCATCATTGGCGGGGGAGCAGTCGGTCTTGCGCTCGCTGCATCTCTTTGTGAGCACCCTCAAGTGCTTCAGTATTGTGCTCAAGCTGGATATCAGCTACTTCGCTGGCATGTCAGGGATGTCAAGGTCTGCTCGTCGAAGCAGGCGATCTCTCAAGATCAGCCAATTGGCAAGCTCCGACGGGCAGCTACAGCAATCGAGTCTCCTCACTCACCAACGAGTCACTCGCGTTTCTGCAAAGTAAGACTGCTCCTCTCCGTTGCGGCAAATGTGCTGACAGCCAGCAGGGACGGGCATATGGGGACACGTCGATCAAACGAGGATAAGAAACGTTTATGATATGCAGATCACAGACGGCATTACCGCTGCCCATCTAGCATTCGATTCGACGGATCTCTCTACATCAGAGACCCCAAGACCTATGGCAAGGATGGTCGAGAACGTCAACATGCAGCGCGCCATGTTGCGTGTTCTTGCTGCTCCTGCAGGAGGCGCGTCTATTGCGACTATGGATCAGACAAAAGTCATTAGCATTGATCGCAACGAAGAGACCGGCTGGCCTTCGGTGACGTTGTCAGACGGTCGTGCAATCACAGCCAGACTGCTCGTGCGTCCATGACAATCATGTCCGGGATTTGCAGCTCATGTGATCCGTAGATCGGCGCAGATGGCTTCAACTCGCCCGTGCGCTCTTATGCAGGCATAGAGTCTTTTGGCTGGTCGTACAACCGTAATGGTGTCGTAGGCACGCTGCAGCTAGCAGAGACAGGTGGCAATTCTGCCTTTCAACGCTTCTTGCCAACCGGACCCATTGCCTGGTTGCCCATGTCAGACTCGTCTGCGAGCCTCGTCTGGTCGACCATGCCAGATATAGCTCAAGCCCTCAAGTTGCTTGATGGACCCACGCTCGGCAAATTAGTCAATGCTGCCTTCCGGCTGCCTTGGCTGTCTGTCGATTACTTGCACAAGACTTTACGCGGTCTCGTGCCCGAACTGCAATCTACAGACGATGCCGCGCGTCTTAGAGCCAATGCAACTCTTTGCGAAGAGATCGAATGGCGCTCTTCGCCCGATGTGCTCGGGCCAGAGCTTGCATTCAATATGAACACTTCTGGACCTTACGATCTCGCTCAATCGATCTACCCACCCAAAGTCAGCTCGCTTGAGCTTGGCTCAGTCGCCAGTTTTCCCTTGCGCATGTCTCACGCCAAGTTCTACCTAGGCGAACCAAATCTTGGGATGCCCAGTCGCACAGTACTGATAGGCGACGCAGCTCACACAGTCCACCCCCTTGCCGGTCAAGGACTCAATCTCGGTCTGGCAGATGCTCAGAGCCTTCTCGGTGTTGTTGAGAACAATCTCGACAATGGTGCCGATATAGGCTCGTTCACTGCTTTGCAAGCTTATCCACGAGAGCGTTATCTCGCCAATCATACTATGCTTTCCGCGATTGACAAGCTACACAAGCTCTACGCAATAGAATCTGGACCGCTCGTATGGGCACGTTCAACGGGCATCGAAGTGCTCAACGAGCTGCCGATGGTCAAAGCTGCGCTCATGGGTCAAGCCGGCGCGAGCAAATCAGGTAGCTTCAAGCCGGCCGACATAGCTGCGCGTGCCATAGAGGCAGGCACAGGAGGACTTGGCATCCTTCGTTCGTTCATCCAAGGCCGTCTGGTCAGACCTTGAGAGCGACAACGAGCAACAGGTCTTGCATTGCAAACTGCGATGCCTACCGACCTTCGAACAGGTCACCTGCCAGGCTCGCCTCGACCGCATCCCAATCGATCTCGCCGCCGGCATACACTGTCTCGTAGCTAGCAAGGCTGACGCGCGAGAAGAAGCGCAGCTCAAGTTTGGCAAGCAAATTAGCAGCAGCTGTTGATCGCTCGGTATTGGCATGCTCTTCGGGTCGCTTTAGACGGAGCTTGGCGAGCAGCGGTCGCTTCAACCTTGTGCGCGCGGCGTCTGTCAGTTCTGCAGGCACTGACACATCGATAGAATGACCATTGGGCAGTCCGGACGGTATGCTATCATTGCGATCGAATTCGGGGCGTTTGCTTAAAGCAGGCGATTCTGCGCCGACTTTGCCATCGTTCTGCTACCTTTTCAGCTCAGTGTCATTCCTCACGAGCTCGACATACCTTGCGATGTCGATCTCTGACAATGTCTGCCAGCCTATCCATGATCGAGCGAGGCTGCCACCCATCTGGGGGATAGATTGCATCCACTGTGTCTGTGACAAACATCCATTGATGTCTGAACGAGGAAGTCAGCACGGCATAGAGACGAAGCACAAGACGTACATCTGGAAATCTTCTGTCTGCAGGAGCAAGAGTTGATCAAGCAACTTGCACGCTGAAGCGATCAAGAGCACGAAGTCTGTAGAATCTGCGTGCCGGTTGTGCAGAAGACTTTCGAACAGCCTGAGCAGCTCGGCAAGTACGACCGGCCAGAAGCTGGTGAGATGTTGACTGCCAACGCGACAAAGCAGAACACGCAAGCAGGTGAATACTTCAGCATGTACGATCTCGCCTGTGCCAGGCCTAAGCATGTCGACCAGCTTCTCTTGCAGCAATGGCAGTTGTGCCAAGAACTGATCTGGCTGACCAGCATAGAAGAGATACGACAATCGTCTTAGGCTGATTGCACGCGCATATGACTCTTGCTCGCGGTTAGCAAATATATTGGCAGACTGAGCAGCGGTGACTTTGACGAGCAGATCGACAAACTTCTCCTTGTCGGCAGCGAGCAGAGCTGCCATGCTTGGTCGCCATGCGTCCGCAGCTCGAGCGCGTTGTGTAAAGAATCGAATATCGCCGTAAATATCGCTTAGCTGCGCTCGCCATGCTTTAGCCGCCGCCGGTAGGCGTGTCAGTTCGGTGAAGAGTGCAATGGTGGTTTCTTCAACTTCGAGCGTTCTCCCTTTCAGCCGAAGATCTGGAGCGACACTGTAATGCACTATTGTCGCAGCTAGACTCGAGCACCGATCGCTGTCCATCTGGATCGTTTTGAGGCATGGTAAGACACGCTCTGTCAGATATACTTGGAGCTGATAAGGCGATACACCAGTCGTGGTCCAAGATACACTGGCCGATCTCCCGTTCTCGAGGTCCTCCACAGATGCTGATATATGTTCGTCGCCTTGCTTTCGTGCCGCTGAGCCAACTTTGCCGGTCAGCTGTGTGACCACCTCGATGCACTTTGCAAGCAGGTCCTGTACATCTTTCCTGGCCTTGCGATCTTCGAGACTTGCAGTGCCTGACAGCTTGTCGCATAGCGCGACGAAGCACCGCAAGCTAGGATAGAGCTGAAGTTTGTACGTCGCTACATTGTTGGAGAAATCGCGTGTGAATGTGATGAGCTGCTGGAGTACCGAAGTGGCAGCAGTACTGCTCATATATTTGATGCACTCCTCTAGAAATGCAAAGAGATCCGCTTCAGTGCTGTATTCATGTGCATCAGCAGGAGTGAAGCTGCAAGCAGATCTAGACTCACAGCTTCGAGAAAGCCTGCAGAGACCGGCTTTTGTCGGATGGCAGTGGACTTGTGCGAGCGGTAACACGCTCACACACCGCACTGATGAGCATCGTGGGCGAAGTGATGAGCGAGTTGAGCAAATCTAGTAGCCAGCTGCCAGGCTCTTGCCGATCAATCGCTTCATGCCATGTCGAGATATGCATCTCCAGCACTTGGCCCTGATAGCCTCTGGCGATCCGCTCCAGGGCTTTCTTTGTGCGTGCTTTGATACGCGTGCCAATCCATGCTTGACCACGTAGACTGTCGCCTGCAACCTTGGCTTCCAGCTCGCTCGTGACCTTCCACGTAAGCAGCATAACACCAATGGCGTTGTCTAGCCGATCCATCGCGTGCTTCTTCGCTTGATGAGGCATTTCGGTCGGCACAGCGTGCTCTGTGCTTGACAGAACATTGGTGACATAGCTGAAGATACTGCTAGCGGGTTGATCGGAGATGACATGCTTGTCATCGATCTCGACGTCAACGGGCGATGTTGCGGCAACTTTGGACGCCTCTTCAGAAGCAACCAAAAGGAGTCGTTCGAGAGCGTTCATCAGGACTGTGAAGTCGCCATCTGTCGCTTCGAATGCAATCGACGTACCAGCAGTATCTGGATCCCAAGCGACAGCCAAGTCTTTGACGATCTGTCCCAATCGACGAGTGATGCAGTCGCAAAGCGGCAAGATCATCTCGTCGAGCGAGTATCGCAGCTGTGAGACCGTCATGAGCAAGAAGTCGATCCAGTGATGTAAGACGGCACTGCTGCGCTGCATATTGATGCCGTCGCAGATCAATCTGATCAGCAAGGGATCGTGCTCGGCGGGATCTGCTCGATCAAGCTGAGGACTGGCGAGCGTTGTCTTGAGTGCTTCGGTCGACGCAGCGGCAGGGCTTAGATCGTTTGCAGTAACCCCGTGGGGCTTGCCTCCAGGTGTGAGCGCCTGTATGGTCGAATGCAAGACGTGCAGTAGGCGATTCTGTATGTCGAGCTCCGATCGGTGAACGCAGATCATCAGGCGAGCAACCAACACCGTCTCTATCGCTTGCAACAACCGCACTGAAAGATCACCACGCGAGATGAGTAGCTGGAGTATGTCGGCGCATAAGCCATGCGTGCGCAAATTAGTTTCGACAAGTGACGGTGTGGCGTAGGCGCCGTGATCAGATGCAAGCGTGCGGATGACGCTGATCGTAATGCCATCGAGGTAGGTGTTGTCTTGAATGCCTGCAGCGAAGAGACGCTCTCGCATCTCGACTGAAGCGCCTGGCTTTAGATGGGTCGATTTGGCAATGCGTGAGAAACCTTGTCCGCCAAATCGCATGAGCCCAAGCAAATTCTCGAGCAAGTGGCACAAATTGGCATGATCGAAAGGCTCTGAATACTTTTGTAGGGAAAGCACGGTCTGATTACCGAGTGTGACATCTGCCTTAACTCGCTTGATACTCGGATCGTGTAAACGAAGCAGCAACGGATCCAACACTCTGCAAAGCGAAGGGTGAGTTGCGACCATAAGAATGTTCATTCACTGACCTGATGTATGATTTGAGGCTGCAGCGCATCCAAGCCTCTGCTGCTCGACGGATGCTGAGATCCTCGTCGCGCAAAGAATCTAGCACGACGAGCAACGGAGTGAAGAGATTGTCGCCAGGCTGTAGGCTTTCATCCGTATGTCGCCATAAATTTCCAAAAGACTCGTATGCTCGTAAACGATCTGCCTTTTCCCCCTTTGTAAGCAGCTGAGCAAGCACGGATTCGACGTGCTTGCAGCCCGCAGCCTCGTCGACGGCCCAAATCAGCTTGCTGGCTTGCGCAAAGAGTGGGACGCAGTCTGGCTGCAGCCAATCAAGGAGCCTCACTATGAATGCCTGTGCACTTGATCGAGTCGAGATGACGAGCTGAGGCTGACTTCGCAGTCGACATAATGTGACTGTCGTGCTTACGAGCGCATTAAGGGCAGTGAAGCCTTCGAGTGTTGCTGGGTATGCATCGAGTTGTGCGACGGCTTGCGAAAGCCACTGCTCAGGTTGCCAATCAATGTTGATACTCGCGGCGTTCTGCACATCGTCAGATTCGGCCAACAGCGCAATGCCGTGAGCAGCATCGACCACGACCGAGCCAGATGGCGTGGTCTGCCAGTTCGATTGAATGACGGCCAGTAGTATAGACAGACCGCGATCGCGTAGACGAGCCGGGAAGTCAGAAGGCGGCATAGCGATTTGTCTGACGTCAGAAGCAGCATAGAATGAGAGAGCAAGCTGATGTGCTGTTGTAAACCCTAGTGCTGCATTGGCTTCGATTGAAACGCCGGCGTACCACGATAGCGGCATCTCTTCGATCAAGCGCGAAGCTGTACGCAAGGCCTGACACGCTCGAGGAAGAGGTAAGGAGCCCGATCGCAGGCCGTCGTGAACTCGGTCGATGAGGCTGAATGCTAATATCGGCAGATGCAAGCGTAGCATCTCATCGTCGTGCAATCGGAAGTTGTCGACAATGTAGACAATGAGATCAAACGCACTGGTAGACTGATCCTCCGGCAAGGCCATTTCGCGCTCGGTCGCTCGGAACAAAGCTTGCCACAAGAGGTACGGATCAAGTGCCTCGAACAGCGTGTTGGCTGTCATGAGCAGCTCATCATGGACATCGTCCGGCCTGAGCGTGTTCTGAAGCGCAGTGAAAGCGTCAAGGACGAGATTCTCGGTCAATAGACTGCCGATTTCCCATTTGTCAAGCAGAGATGTGAAGATCTTGAATGGCCTCTGGCGATCTAAGCGATGCGTGGGCGACTTTGGCGAAAGCGGTCTATAGAGATCTGATCTGAGCGCATGCATGACGATCGACAAGCCATTCTGCCTTAGGTATGTAATTTGCTCTTGCTCAACTTCTGAAGGACCGAGAAGCCAGATGAACAGGCGACGATTGAGGGAAAGATCCCGGCGGAGCACGACGGCTAATGCGGATCGCATGATGAGCACTCTGTCATCTGCACGTGTATCGTTTACGAATGCCTTGCCGTCTAATCTGAGGGTCTGTACGAGCAAATCTAAGGCGCTGCGTTGAACGAGTACTTGGGTATCTTCAAGCGATGCAGCGATGGCGCGAATCATGAGTCCGACGTCTGATCCGACGATTCCCACTATACTGTCATCTCTTCCCACGCTTGGCATCCTGCGCAAGAGATAGTTGAGGGCAGGTATGCGCGAAAAGGGTGAGGTGATGAGGATGAGCCACAGGTTTTGCAGGAACAACGTTGGCGTGACTGCGCCAGATAATTGATCGAGTAGCGATGCGACCTGCGATACGTCAGGACCATGTCCTTTAAAAGAGCTGCTCAGACACGCACCTTGTCGAAGAACTCGCCGCCCTCCTCTTCGACACCTGGCAGCAGCGCGAGTATGAACGCTTTTGTGCATGGCCTCAGCTGATCTTGCAAAGGAAGGTAGAATTTCTCATAGATGCCCAGTATGATCGGTCGCACGGATGTGGCCGCATACTGGAAGAAAGGAAACAGGCCAGATGACCATGCAGGCAAGTCGCGTCTAAGGTGATCTGATCCAATCGTTGTCAAGATGTAGACGTACACGTCGAGTGCGCGCTGATGGACTCCTGTGGGCAGAGCAGGGTTGAGACATTGCGATAGTCTCTTGGCCATGGTGAGCTTGTGCGGGATGACTTGATAGTGCGGAAATGTCTGTAAGGTCTGCCAAGCTCAACCAACGCGTCAGATGAGGAAGCTGCACATCAGCGGTCTAGCCATGCCTTGAGCAGCCGAGCAAGGAATGTGATGAAGTCGGCCCATTCTTGTATTGACTCGAAGGATGTGAGCACTCGTTCGACAGCAGCAGCATACTTGCGCCATCGAGGATCGTCATTCAATTTAGCTTCCTTCTCGTCCATCTTTGAACCTGTGGCCAAGCTAGACAAGCTCGAAGCCGAAGACGAGCGTGGTATAGAGGATGAGACGGCTCGGCGACCGAGGGAAGCAGAGGCAGACATGCTCGAGCTGTTCGTTTGAGCTGCACTTTGAGGACTGCTCAGCAAGCTCGACGCCGAATGACTGGGCGATAGCGCGACAGAGCTGCTTGCTCGCCCAGGCAAGAGCTCTGTAGGCCGGAGCCCATGCTCGTGCGCTTCGCTGCTCATACAGTGGCCGTGCGCACCAAAACTCGACGAGTGTTCGTCGACAGCGCTGAAGCTGACACGTGTCGGCAGCGCGACGGCAGCGCGCGTGCAGCGATGATGCACGTCCACGTCAGACCTCGGCAAGCAGTGAGTGTACGGCAAAGTCAGCACAAGCTATTCGCCTCAAGCGCACTCGGCCATCAGACCATGATGGTCCTACAACGTCCAGTCATGCAGGCTGCTCGATCAGCTCGAGCGCTTCCCAGCACTAGCTTGCTCGCAAGCGGGGTAGTCTGTCCCCTCTCGACTTCTCTAGCACCTCCATCACGCTCCTTCTCGAGCTCCTCGCACCATCAGATTGAGCGGAGTAGGCTAGTCCAGCAAGCCGAAGAACCAAAGAAGAAAGGCATCCTCGGTGCACGTCTGGAATCACGTCGCCCGCGCGCATTGCTGACCTCTACAGGCGATAGTCTCTACTGCATGGATCTGCAAAGGCACAGAAAGAGGGCGTCATCGAGCAGCAATCCCATTCGACGAGTGCAAGTAGTTTGCGCCATCCGGCCATTACGGACAGCTGACCGCCCGCTTCGTGCAGGTCGCGAGAGGCAAATACGTTCACGAAATTCAGAGTGCGCCAGCCTGCTTGGCTCAGAGATGCACAAGCTCACGAGCTACGCAGAGCACAAGGTTTATCCGGGCAAAGTCGACGAATACAAGGAGCTCATGTGCGTGTCTCTGTGTCAAGCAAGCATACTACTCAGCTTACTCGTCGAATGATGGCACAGCGGCAATTTCTACACCCATATTGCAAACTCGCCAGCGTATGCAGTCAAGCTGACGGGATCATGGGAGACCATCGTCGGCGAGCTCGATACCTTCTGTTCGTCTTCCCTTCCGGTCTGCTGGGGACAAGTAGCTCATCAGACCACGCGCAGATCACATTTTCGAATTCGAAGGATACGCGGGCTACGACAGCGCACAGCCCAAAATCGCACAATCAAAGGCGGGTCCACGCTGAGACATACGCAACGTATGCTTTGCTTATCGTGGTATCATGTTCCGCAGGAGTATGCCGAGTTTAGGCAAAAGGTGATGCCGTTGATCGAAGCGCGCACATCTCAAATCTGCCAAGAATTCGCTTTCTGGGCTTCCGCGCCTCCCAATCAGTATGGCGGTATCTACGAACTCAGATCGTACACTCTGGTGTGTCTCATCCATAACTTTCTCGTCCTGCGCTCATGTGCATCGCCCGGGCATAGAAACCCGGCAGTCTGCTAGAATGGGAAACAGAATGGCAAGCTGCATCTAGCACCAAAGGGTCCAAAAGCTGATTGCCGACGAACAGGCGCCGAGGACTTGAAGCGAGACGCAAGTTTGTCGAGCCCATCGGGGCATGGTTCGCCCAGATCGGCTCGCTACACAATGTCGTGCACATGTGGCAGTACGACAGCCTCGAGTCTCGCGCTGCTACCCGCGCAAAGGCATGGGAAGTCGAAACATGGTCGCAAACGGTGTCCAAAGTACGTGCTATCCGCCCCTCCAGCTTGCAGCTCGATAGATTGATCGATCGTGCAGACGGTCAAGCTATGCTATCGCATGCAAGCCGACATTCTCAAACCGCTACCCTTCTCGCCATTGCGATGATCAAATTCGCTACAATGCAGGAGATGACAGCGAGGAGCATGAGTCTAGCAGGCATGCTGGCTGCAATTGTACAACGTCGATTTGTACGTCTGCAACATGAATTCGGGAACACTGGCCGCTCTCGGAACGAACGTTCCCTCTCGTGCGCACTGAGAAATGCAAATTGTGGCCTCAGGCCGTTGCCTTTGCCTTTTTGTCAGCGCGCTCGACGATGGGAGGAGCAGTAGGCTCGTCATTCGTCTTTGAAGAAGAAGAAGCATCATTGTTGGACCTCTTCCCTAGGGTCGTATCGGTCTCTGCCGCTCTCTTCCTATCGTCACGTCTGTTCCCACGATCGTTCTTTCCACCGCGGCTGCCACCTCGACCTCCTCCGCGCGACTTGCCGCCTCTGCCACGATCAGAAGAGCGTCCGTCTCGGTATTCTCGAGGAGCATCTGCACGCTTTGAGGGATCATGGAGCGCTTCGAGTGCACGATCCGTAGCACGATTGATATGATGCGTCCGCTCTGCTTCTGCCGTCATTTGCTCAAACACAATCTTGTTCTCATTGACTTCGATGCCGTCTGTCACGAGCGATCTGATTTCGTCTTCCGTCAGACTACGAGTAAAGTTGATCGTGCCCGCCTCCTCGCTATCCTGCGGTAGCTCGACGAAGCCGATCGGCCCACGTCTCTCCGAAGACTCCTTGTCGGCTAACTTTGCGGCGACTGCTTCCTACAAGCACATGAAAGGATGAGCACACGCGGGTGCTCCAGAGCTTCGGCGCTTGCCTTGAAGCGGCTGAGCATTCGGTTTTCGCGAGGATCGGAAAGACCGGTAAAGCGAAGGACGGCATGCTTTCGAAAAGTAAGCTCGTCAGCTTCGACGAGCTTTCCTTGCTCGTCGAATGCGATACGCTGGCCATCCAGAAAAATCGCTCGTTCGGGAAGAGCTTCAGCTTTGTTGCCTTTAGCTGGGCTAGCCTTCCTGGCCTTTGCAGCCGCGCGGAGTTCTACAAAGGCGTTGAAGCCTTTGCCAGAGAATGTGCCCGGGGCAGGACGAGTTCGATCGACGGTGGGATCGATGTTCTTTTCGGCGTTCTTCATGTCCATGTAAGCCTGTTTGAACATGCTGACGACCGGCTCCGATTGTTCCGGGAAAGTAGGCTGTGGGTCGAGTGCAAGGAAAGCCTTGGCAGTGTCAACGGTTGCGCATTCAGCAAAGACAGAGCCCTGGAAAAGCTACTCAGCAGAGCACAAGAGTAGAGGTTCAGGCGTACTTTGAAAACGTCGCCGGACCCTGCTTCCTTCTTTCTGCGCATTCGTACAGCCAACACTTTGCCCTTGCCATCGAGTTGGGCCTGGACCCATTTCTCAAGCTGGATCTGAAGTGCTTCCAAGTCGGCCTTGCTCTGTTTGTCCGTCGGGAAGCCCTTGATGTAGATCGATCTTTCGACAGGTTTGGTCGGATTACCCTCTAGGATCGACTTGCGACGTCTGATGTTGACATTGTCCTCTGAAACCTCGAGTGCCTCGGCAGAATAGGTACGGAACGATTGGGCAACGCATGCAGCGCGGTCCTCCCGATCGGCGAAGAGAGTCTTGTAGGCTCGCATTCGGCTGAAGGAGAAGAAGTGAGCGATGGAGACCCAGCCCGTGCCTGGTCGAGCGTGCTGCTCGTCCTCGCTGAGCGTCTTTTGGGTCTCGATGAACATGTGTCTGTCATACGGTAGATTCGAGTCGGACAAGTAGAACTCGACTGCACGCCGGATCCAGATGGTCAGCAACAAGAGGCTGACCCTTCGAACGGACTGACTTTGCTCGACCATCTTGACTTCTTGTGACTCGGGGTCTCTCTCAGGTGCCGAGCTCGTGCTAGCCTCTGCGCTCGTGCTAGCATGCCCATTGATCTCAGTCGTACGATCGTCTGCCGTGCCCTCTGCAGCCTTGACGGTCTTCTCGTCGATCACATCCGAGTTCTCTGCTCCAGTCGATTTTGTATTCGTCTCCTTGCCCTGCACTGCGCTCGCAGACACCTCTCCTTCCCTCAGATCCTCCGTTTTTGATGCCGTCGCAGGATCGATGGGTGCACCTGCAGCAACGCCCACTGTAGCAGGCATAGCGGTCGACATGTTCCTGTTCGACAGCTGCTCACAGCGAGAGGAAAAAGTTTGGGGCACGCAAGCGCACTGCCGTTGCCACGGTCACTCGACTCGACTGCCACGCGGCGGCACGCTCGACCTTGCAAGGCCCTCAATGGACGCTCCCCCACCTCCGCCTCGAGCTCGCAAAGCACCGCCGCCGCCAGCTCCCGAGCCAGCGACAGATGGCGCATCCCCAGGTCCGCCCATCAATGCTTCACAAGCGCACAGGGTACTCATGGGTTCAAGCAGAGCAACGACTGTGGCATGCAGCCAAATCAGACTCTGAAGACATGGCGCTCGAGTGCCTCAAGCTAGCAGAGAACGGTCACTGCGATGTCAACGCATTCGATGGTGTTGGACAGACAGGTATGCCTTCATACGCTCCAGCAGATTCCCTTTGCTGAGCAGGCTGTCGTCCATACAGCCTTGCACTATGCGTACGCATCGACATCAATCGTACATTGTGCGCTAAACCGGAGTATACAGTGCGAGTACACCAAGCCCGACAGTCCTCGACTTGTTGCTCGAATATGAAGGTACGCCGACGCGACTCCTCTTCGTTGACATGCTCAACTTTTCTCTGCAGCCACCGACGTGGATCTGCGCGCTACGAGGACAGGCGATACGCCGCTCCATCTCGCAGTGAGACATACTCGACCTGACGTCAGACGCGGCGTCGCGGAGACTCTTCTAGACGCAGGCGCCGACCCACGGTAAGCCTCTCGTCTTGAGGCAAGGCAAGCTCATATACTCAATCAAATCTAGTGTGCGCAACCATGATCATCTGCTAGCGATAGACTTGCTGCCCGCTCGAGGGACAAGATCGCAACCAGAAGAGGCAGAGAACGAAGGACTGAGGGCGAGCTTCAACCAGGCAGAGCAAGAGATGGCAATGGACAATAGCATGATCGTCACCAACGATGACATGATTGTACCCGGTGATGACGACGAGGGATCAGATTAGACGACTAGAGAATTGCAATACCCTGTTGAGCGTACTACAATTCATCAGGGTTGCCGCCCACCAATTTGACGATGAGTCGCTCGATCTGCATGCGTCCCTTTGCCAATTCGATAGGCTCATTCAAAGACGTCGACGCCATCTCGCCATAGATGCCTTTACGGAAGCCTTGGTCCAGGAACGGCATGAGAAGACGGGAGAAAGTGGCAAGAGCGAGTAGGCAGATTCGCTGATCTTCTTCCGCCTCTCGTCTTCTCAGCGTTTCCTCGCTCGTATCATCTTCTTCCGCTATCGATGGCGATCCGGGAGGATTGACGGGCAGATGGGCCAGTACAGATAACGTCTGTCGCCCGATTTGGCTCATCACCGTCACTGCCCGCAAAAGCTGCTCCTGGAGCTCGTTCGCCAGGCTATCGCGCAATGCGGCCACGGGTAGCAATCTGAGCTCATTGAAGCCCGTCAAGAAGCCATTGAGTAATCTGGCAAGCGGCGGAAACAGCGTCAGTTCGACCGAAGGCTGATGCGACGCTGCAGTAATTTGCCCATTCGTTGCGTGCTTGCCCAGGGCAGCAGGCGGTATCGCAATCGCATCAAGTCCGACGGGCCAATCTGGCAAGGCAGGCAACTGCGTTGAAGCGAGCCGATTGCGAGACTCGGGCGCCAAGAGCCATTTCGCAAGTCTGCGTTCTGCCGCTCGCCTACTCTGACTGCTTCTCGAAGATTGTAAGAGACCAGCGCTGTTCGGCGCAGGAGCGGTGCACTCCTGCGCAAAGTCATCCACTGCCCTTTGCCACCGCTCGACGACGACGAGCTTGACTCGCTCTTGTACGAGCGTACCGATTCGCCAGACGAAATCCAGACCGAAGCGTGCAAAGGCTGCAGAGCAGTACGAGAGCTGAGTGAGTAGCGAGCTGAGTGCAGATACCGAGTGAATGTGCTGTAGATCCGACTCGAGCATCTCGAACAATATTGAAGCGGATTTGAGCAAGAAAGCAGCCAACGGCTCCGTCGAAACATCACCATCCGGTTCGTTCGAGCGTGTAGATGAGATGAGAAACACGTCTGTGTACATACCGACAGTCTCTCCTACGCCTTCTCGCCATATCTCAATCCATTTCTTGATATATCGCAACCGATCCTCTGTCATCTCTGGACGATGTGAATGCCCGTTGACCATGCCCACTTGTGATGCAGGCAGCTGAGCCCGTGAGAGTGTTTTCAGCTGGACTGTCAGGCATGTCCATCGCGAGCTGACAAGTGCCAATCTGAGCTCGGCTTCGTCTAGACTGACAGTGTCTGCCTCGCTGAGCGCCGTGCGCATTCGCCGCAAGAGGTTGACATTCCTCAGTGCGCCCGGCAACTTGAGGTCTTTGTCGGACAAGCCTCGCAATAGCGTCAAGCGTAGTATGAGGATCTCGTCGGCCACGCGAGCTCTTATTTGCTGCAGGACAGATAGCGCACCTTTGCCAGTATTGGCATCTATTTGCGGTCCGCTGAGCGAAGCGCGCCGCCCGCGCAGGGAAGCTAGAGTCAGCTGCATCTGCTCTTGGAGTGACTCGCATCGCTCGGCAAGCTCCATGGCTTCTGACCACCACCCGCCGCGGACGCATGTTCTGACCATGCTCGGTATCTCGACCAATTCCTGACATTGAGTTACATTGTCGAGTACGAGCGCGTATCGGTCCCTTTCGATTATGATCGGTCTAGAAAACTGCTCGAATTGCTGCGATGAGTCTGACAGAGCGCTGATCGAGCTCAGCAGACCAGTAAGTGAGCTGCCCAGCATATTGAATGAAGTCGATATGCCCTTTTGCGCTTCGTGTATCGCGATAAAGTTGGCATAGGAGCGATACGCGAGACTGGCAAGATCTGTCTCCAGACTCGCTGAGCGCTGCCTGAGCTTGTCGGGTTCACCGAGTAGTTGGGGTAGCGGTAGCTCGAGCAAATGTGTCAGGTATTGTGTCGCTGTTGGCGCACGAAGCGCATGTACAGTCGCAGCGACTTCTGTAGGTCGCAAGATCGCCTTCCTCGCTGTCACTGGCGACAGTGATGTGGGGTCGCGAGCATCTGCCGTTGGCTCTCGTCGGAGCTGCTGAGCGACAGAAGTCGATAGCAGCTCGACAAGTGACGGCAGCCAGCTCTCGCCACCACTGGAACTCGGCATTGGAGATTCCGATACGTCCAGGACTGGTGTGATTGATGTCGGCTGTCCATTGCCCAGAGCTGGCTGAGCTACCGCTGCAGACGACATGACTTGCGCTAAGCTTCTTGCTCGCTAAGGAGGCTCAGACTGCTGCAAGATAGCGTCAATCGAAGCCTGATCACATCTAAAGCGAATGCGCACCTCTGATGAGCTATTGCTGAGCTTGTCTAGTCATCAATGCGTTCGGGACTGGCGGTGTGTGTGACGGTAGCTTGACGCGACTTTATCTTAGATCGCGACAATGTCAAAGGCCGTCCGGTGCGAAAGATCCGCGAGCTTCAATCTTCGGGTCATATGCAATAGTCTCACAATCAACAGTCTGCCACATGCTAATGAGCGCGCCATCGAGTACTCTTGGTCGTCTTGAGAGAGATGGTTTTCGATTTGTGCCACGAGTTTGGGGAAGCAGGCCAGAGCTGACTGACCCAATACTTCTGACCGACCTGGAAATCAACACCCAGCTCTTTGATATCCCATACCGTCAGCAAAGCTTCGTGAGAGCGAGGCCGAGTGACGACAGAGTCTTGCACGCGTAGAACACGGAAGCTGCGAACTTGTTTTTCTGGGTAGAGTGCCATGATATCTGAAGGGACGCTCGAGAGAGAGAACCGCGTTGACTCTATGCGCTGAAGCGCAACAGTACTGATCTCGTGAAGCAGTGCTGCGGGAGTGTCTCGCAGTGCGAGTTGCTTGTCTTTCGCTTCGAGGAGCTCATCGAGTAATTCGCTCGGATCGAGGAAGCCGTTGTAGGCAGAAGGTCGAACGGTGCGTCGATGGATAGCATCCTGGATACGCTGATGTAGCGCGCTGATCTCCTCTAGCTCTCTTTCGAGTTTCGCTGTCAGCCCTTCTTGCGCAGCTTCGCGATCGGCCTGCACGAACCACTATCAACGGGTGGTCATGGGGATCAGAAAGAGGGACAAACCCGCAAGCGATCTTGACGTGCCATCTCTTCACCTTCATGCCAGGGCTGTACAGCCGCCTCGCCCTCGTTCTGTCGTCCAGCGTAGTTGAAGCCGATGGGTAGCACGCTCAGAATCTCTAGATCCATCAGACCGACCGCTCCTCCGTCGCTGTTGAGACTGCGCAAAGTCGACACAAACTTGCCAGGGTGCAGACCTAGTCGAGCGTCCCATCGAGCGAGTTTCATAGCGTTAGCGCTGATGGCCAGCGTCGAGCATTCGAGTGCGCGCAAGGCATCGACGCCGTCACGAATGGATGCCTTCAGTCTCGCTTCGCTAATCGCAATCTTGCTGCCGGTCTTCAATTTGCCTTTCGCAATCGCTCGTAAGAGTGCAGCATCTATAGTGGCTCTGATGCGATACCATCCATCTGACAGTTCTAGGCCAATAGGACGACATTCGTTGTCCGGATCGTCTTCCGAATCGCTTAGCAATATGTCAGAGATGAGCAAGATCATGGACGAGGCAGGCGATGCATCTGCTTCGTGTATCCTCTTCAGAATCGAGCGTTTGGCCTGATTGATCTCGATATCGTAGCGTATGCCGAGTTGATGCATCACGTGCTCATATGACCATCGTGACAGCATGACAGACGGCGCAGCTGTGTGGTGACATTGTGACGAGAGCTTCCATAAGATCTGAGACCAGTGATTGGTGACCCAAGGTTGATCTAGCATCGTCATCCCGCGTGTCAGTAAGTCTTGCAAAGCTTGAGCAGCAGTTTGGTGCGGAGCAAATGCATATCGTGCTGCGCTTTTCAAAGTGAGCAAGGGCACCGATCTGTCTACATCGTCAGCGCTGTTAAGACAAGAATTGGGTGGCGTACTCTGTGCAGCACGAGACGTTACACGGATGTATTTGCGCTTGCTGCCATGTCAGTCGCAATGCAGCATCGATAGAGATGTCCAGCTCGCGCTTTTGCTCCGAAGGCAGAGGCCGTAGCTTGCTGAGCACTGGTCCTCTCGTAGGTGTACTGACATTAGACACTGTCCTTGCCAGATCTAGATGAGCCGGTCTCTGGCCGTTCTTGAAAGGCGTTTTGAACTTCTTATGCGAACCAGCATGAGCAGATCGAGGCGTCATGCCCAGGTGAATCTTCCTGCCAGAAGGTCCCGGCGTAGCGTTTTGCAGAGTTGTCCTTCTGGTCGGCGTAGCCGTCTTTTGGAGCTTAGGCGTTGTCCTGCTCGTTACTGCAGGAGAAGCTAGGTGATTAGTAGCCGAGCGAAGAGGGCGTAGCGGCGTCTCAGCAGCTGTATCGGTTCGGAACGATGCCATACTGGCAGTTTCTACTAGATTGTTGGATGGAGCAACAGGATCTAACCTCGTCTCGACGGCGATCGTCACGAACTTGTCTGCCTGAGGATGCTCTAAGCGCAGGGCTCTGGCAGGGAGGGGCGACCTTTGAACGGTATTGGGACTACATGCACCCAAAGGTGCACGCTTCTCCGTCAGATTGACCTTGAAGCCCTTGGCTGGCGTCTTGAACTCGTCTGTGAGCCCTTCTCTCGCGGGAGGGGGAGCAGCATTGGCATCAGGCGGGGTCAGGTCTGCTTCTAGCTTTGCACGCGCTTGTCTGAGCGCTTGCGATGAAGGTGCAGCCCATGTCTTGCCGAAACCAGAGATGAAGCCTGCGCTCGCAGTCGCGGTCTGGAAGGACTGTGCTTTCTGCCCAAACCGCTCTTCTTCCAAAGCGATGAGACGATCTGTGTCTGACGCCGCAGAGGACGAAGGCGCCGGATCAGGCACTTGTGAAGCACGTACAGCTGACTCGATGCGATCTGCCTCTATCGAGGCTAGTGCGCCCGAAGACAGCGTAGGCCGACGCGACCTTCGTGGCCGGTCAGGCAGATGAGGTGCGTTTGTGTTCTGCTGAGGCGACGAGGGCAGATCAAGCAGAGCTTGAGCTTTGCTGCGCGCTTGAGCCGAGGGTCTGGCCACTTGATTTCCTTTGGCGGTCTTGAATGCCACTGAACCGTCTGTGGGTGCTGCTTGCTTGCTCAATCGTGTATCGGTCCTTACGAGAGCGTCAAGGTCTGCTTCTTCCCAGCAAATCTCCTGTCCGTAATCATCCTCCTGCACGTCGGACTTGACTGATGTTTGACTGCTCATTGTCCTTGCAGATGTCCTTCTGCGCTTGCGGGGTGAAGGCGTGGCCTGGACAGCACGGCTCTTGCTGGGCGAGCGAGACGAGCGCCGCAACCGACTTGCGTACGACGAGGGAGGCAGAGTATCATCGGCCAAGCCTGCGAACATCCACTCGTCGCCATCGGAATGCAGCTCCATCTCTTGCTCGGCCTTGAGCTCCTCAGAATGCCTCGAGACGTCGCGAAGGGCCCGCCACGTCGGAGGCATTGCCGGCTTGCTTGCCTGTTGACTTTCGACGCCGATCGCGTTCTGCTGACTTTGGGTTTTCGCGACACGAGCATCAGCACGAGGCGGTACACATCCTCAGAGCCAGACTCGACAGCGTCACAGTAGCGCGCATCAGGCCGTGCAGAGCTGTGTGCGCCAGGCAGACAGAGCTCTTACGCTCCAACCTCAAACGCGCTTAGGGTCACGCTCGGGCGCAATTCGAGCACAGGCCGACCAAAGCTCTTTACCAAACTTGACTCGGCTGTCTGTCTACTCCAGCGATACTGTCTAGCACGCAGACGAGACTCTTTGTCGCGTCTTTAGCTACGAGTAGAGTCCAGATAGGGCCTTGGACAGTCGACCATCTGACGCCGTGTCCCTGACGCTGTTGATATATTCGCAATCTTGACACTGCTGTCCGTGGCCGGTACGAGCTCATCACATAGCGTAAGTCCACAAGGCCTCCATCTGTTCATCTCTCCGGCTCGAACGGCGGTCTGTGCGCAATCCGCCGAAACGCTTCACCTTTGCGCGCCGTCTCATCCTGACGAGGATTGTGATGCTGACACTCTGCTACTTGTCTTTGCCAGTGACGACCGTCGACCGACAAGTACATCGCTCTCCCCAGATTCTCTTCCGCCCTCTTGTAGCTCGCTTTGACACTGTTCGAGCTAGTATGGCCACTCAGTCCGTCTTGTGCGTTTCAGCTCTCCTGCGACATCACAACCTGACCTGTCTACTTCCGTAGGCTAAGAAATAAGCCGCTACTGGCCACCATCGCTGTTGGAGGCGCAGGCTGGCTGACTGCATTCTTGGGACGTACGTCTGCTCGCGAGCTATCAGCCGGCATAAGCTCAAGCGACCCGTCTGCAGAATGCGTCGCGGAAGCAGATTATCGCCATCATGGCGGCACCCACTCTGTGATTGGCATAGCCTGGCTGGGTAAGTCAACAGTCTCAGAGATAGTTCGAAGCTGAACACGATATGACAGGCATCTTCTTGCAAGTCGGCTTGATCTATTCAGTTCTCTATTCTTTCCTGCTCGAACGGAGGGACGAAGTCAGGCATCAGGTGCGGGTTTTCCTCAATGTGCTGCCTGTCCGGTGTGGCTCATCCGGCAAGTATCGTATAGATCAGCGCATTCCTTGCCATTACGATCGTCATTGCAGCTAGCGGCATCAACACGGGCATCTATGGCCCTACAAGCGCACTCGAAGCAGTCGGAGTAGGCTGGCTTCTCATTATCATCGTCGACGTGAGTACGTGTCAGAGAGTTGACTGGCCAGCTGACAAGTGCTGCAGATCCTGTGGTTGCTCTACTTCACCTCTTCTGAAGACGGTCAATTCTTCAGGCTCTTTGGCGATCCGAACACGCTCCAGCATCGCCGCAGTGTTTCTCGCTTGTCGAAATCACGCGACATGCATCGCTCGCCTGTACCCACGCCTGCAACAACATCGGGCTCATTCGTTTCTTCGGCTTCCAATGGCCAAGCGCTAGGCACGTCCAGTCAAAATATGATCAGTGTGAACAGCAATCAGACGGGCGCGAATGGTTCGACGCACTATCTTGCCAATCCTCCCGTCCGAACAGGTGGTGATGATCGTCCGCCGACACAGCAGACCCATCGCTCGACGGGCTCAATGTCAATCGCCGAACCCGTTGGCCAAGCAAAAGCACTCTACGCTTACAGCGCCAATCCAGAAGATCCCAACGAGATCTCATTCACAAAGGGAGAGATACTGGATGTGCTGGACAAATCTGGCAAGTGGTGGCGATGCCGACGACAAGCCTCGAGCGAGGTCGGTATAGCGCCGAGTAACTACCTCTCGCTCGTCGAATCTTAGAAGCTCTATATAGTATGCTATGGGCTGTTGTCATTGTAGTCTGGTCAACAACAGTGCCACGGCGTCTTAGCACGGGTTCGATCTACGCAGGTGGCCAAGGCCAATCTTTCTGCCGTTGCAGTTCATGCTGAGGCCCTCGAGCTGCCGGCATCCGCATGAGCTCATCACCGGCTGTTCAAGCGTTCGGCTTACCTGATTGACGTAGAGTGTTTCGCCATCGACTCAAAAAAAAAAAGAACATCACGGAAGGAGACGCCTTGGAGACTGCCATCGTTTGGATAGAACAAGGAAATCGGACCTTGTTGCCATTCGGCTCCACTGCAAAGGTCATTCGTATCTCATCCAGTGCCAACCGCCGGCAAGCATAGCCTACATAGAAATCCGGCATAAAGCTGATCTTTGCTCGAGAGCTTGCCAAGCGTGGCATCACTACTAGCACCTCGTGAGACAAAGGTCGCCTAAATAGCTTGCGTGGTCATCTCAGAGAAGCAGCATGCAGTCGGATGTGGGGCAGACTGAGATGGTGTCACTCGGGCGATAAGCGATCATGGCAACGAAGCCGCTGTTGAGCGATCTGAAGCTCCTGAGAGGTACCGAGTAAGAGCAGATCAAGCCATCGAGGCGTGAGATAGGACTAGCGGCAGGTGCAGCCACATCGCTTGCGAGAAAACCCACGAAAGCAGCGAAAACCAAACGCATCGTTTTCAAGCGAGGAGTGAGGACTGCTCAACGGGAGAGCTAGTCCCGTCGTATTATCTGCAAGGTGCATGACATAGTGCGTGCTTCACACGGACGGGTTGGTCAGTTCATGGTTTATATACTGGAAGGATGATCCCTCGCTCGCGTCTTCTTATTTAGAAATTGTTTGCCGGTCCCCATTCGCTCCTAAACGCTGAAACCTCTCTCCATGCTCTTGCAATGTGCGCCTGATGCTACCGGACGATTCTACGCCCCTCTTCGTCTCACTCTGCTTTAGCGCTTCCTTCTTTACCACTCGACGCGACTTTGGTCACGATGTTTGCCAGCATCGTATTTTGCTTGCTCGTGCTGCTCCTTGAGCGGACGGTCAGCGCTGTCAGCTTGGCCTACACGGCAGATCTCGCCAAACGCACCTTCGGTCGAGTGCATTTTGGTGAGGTGTCGATGTACGGCAACGGTGGTCTGGTGTATCACTCGACTTTCCGCATACGATTCTCGAAAGATGCCAATGTCAGCTCAATACCGCTCCAAATCCATAGACTGTAGCTCAAAGAACATTCGCAGAACGTGCAGATCTCTCCTGATCCTCAATCTCTGATCGTTGACACCGGCACGATCACCGCACTCAGCAACGAGTGGGATAACATTCACAAGGAGCTCACTTCAGGATTCAAATGTTTGCCTTCAGTCGCTATCATGATCTGGCGCTGAGCTCGCTGTAGTTGTCGATGGCAAAAGACAGTTTGAGCTCTGGATCCATCATCCGATAGACTCAATTTGGCCCACGCGATACCATCTCCGCGATATCGAGATGCCTGATACGCAGTTGGTACGCTCATCGTCATATCATCTGCTCCGACGCTGATCCATTCCCGGAATAGAGCTTCGGGATCGTGTACGTCGCTTGCGTTCTGCCCGATCGCCCACTTCATGGACACACAGGGTCTTCACAATCGACAAGCACCAGATACCATTCTATAGCGGCTCTTGAACGGCTGCAGACCAGACTTGGACAACGAGCGCTGCATGTTTGTCGTGAAAAGTTGCCATATGTAGTGAGGTCTGCATCAGACATCGCATTTGCTGGCCTTGGGAAACCACACATGCCGCGCAGTCGAAATTGTCTTTGACGCGCGTGGTCACTAGACCATCAAGCTCCCAGTTCTGAATTTCCTCGGATTTACAATCTACTTCGGCATGCAGTCACGCTTGGCACGTGTGCATCGATCCCCCGCTAGTCACCCCATGTCACCCGTGCATCAGCTGTCCGTCTGCACTGTGTCGTGTTGCGCCCGTAATTGCTCTGCCTAGTCGCGCCCATGCGCATGTAGTACTTTGACTTTGTCTGCGGTCAAGGCCGCTCCCCAAAAGAACTACCCATACACATCGACGATCACATACAGCTCATCGTACCGCACATATCACAAGTTCTGGCAGAACGCCCCTCAACGACAAGCTATCCGCGGGCAGATGTGCAAACTAGATGATTGCTATCGCAAAAGCCTGGCCGAGTGATGCCTTGCTTCGGACTCACTTCAACCTGTCGCTGCTTTTACGATGAACTTGGCTAAGACGCACGGGCACAAACATGTCTTTACACCGTTTGGACATGAAAGCCGTCACTTTGTTTGCAAGTTTCACACCACAAGCTAGGAGTATGATTCTGGGCGGCGAAGTCTCAGTTATACGACGGGGCTGTGCAAAGTGTTTCGGGATTGAATGACTTCGCGCGCTCTGGCTTCTCCCAACCCACCATCAGACTTTACCATCTTCGACTCATCAGTCCAACCATGTTCAGCAAATCTCTCAAGACTATGATACCTGCCGCGCTCGCTCTCTGTCTTGCTACGCTCAGTTTGGGTGCAAGCATTGACGCCCGCGATGCCAACACGCTCGAACGTCGTCATACTGGTCCTTACACGTGGTGTGGCCTTCAGGCGAGCTGCCCTGCCCTGCATATGATGGGAAATTAACGCAATTGCCGACAGACGGAGTACTTGCCGGGCAAAGTTCTCGGTCTTTACTTCTACCTCAATTGGTATACGAATAAGTATGTCGTCTCGCCTGGCGAAGGCATGACATTTGCAAACTTCGAGCCCGCTTACATGGACCATGGCTCTCTCAACGACGCAAATTTTGTGTTGAAGAGCGCAAACAACTACGACGTCGATCTTCAAGCCAAAGTCGGCAGTGATGGCGACATCCAAGGAATCGCTCTCGCTAATTTGAAAATTGGCGATACAACGTTCTCAAATGTGGTTTCCCTTGGCTTCCAGTGCAGTAGCGATCCTCAGCAGCAGAACAAGGTCACCATTCCGGTAAGAGGATCGTTCTATTGATGGCAGCTCAGCTGACGAACATATGCGCAGCGCTACTAGGGAGTGACACCATCAGACTCGGCTGATAAGACCATATAGTCTTGTGTAACAGCCGAAGTGTTTGCATAGTAATCTCAACGTCGACTGCGCGGCTGCAATTGCCGCCCTCGACTATCTGAGAGCTCGATCTTGTGCTCGCTACTAGGCACCATGCGCAGAGGTTGCGGCCCTCTGCCTGGACACTTGTATGCTAGTTGCCATGCAACCTCTGTCCCTCTTTACTGCCAACTGGCTAGATCCGAATGTGGCGCCAAGCAGTCACACGCAGCGCCACTGGCCTATCGCGCTTCCGAGTGAGTCTCAGGCCTTCTCAAAGCACACTTCCTGGATGCTCAGCATCATGGCAATCCTTGCTCGCGACCACTTATGCACACCTGCACTGAACATTGCTGCGACTGATATGTAACAAACATGCAAGTGTTGCGTTGCATCGATCGACACATACTTGACAACAAAACGCGAAATGATGTTCCAGCGATGCAGCCTACACAACGGATCGCTATGCAAGCTCCGGCTTGAAACAAGTTTCGGTTTGAGACAAGTTCCGGCTTTTCCCGTACAATATGCGCCTGACCGTCAGGCTTTGCTATTCAAAGCCGAGCATTTGGTCATGTTCAGCCGGTCTCTCCAGCCAATGATTGCTGCCGTCATCGCTCTCTGCTTTGCTACGCTCACCTTGGGCGCGAGCAACCCCGTCGGCACGATTCATGCTCGCGATGCCAACACGCTCGAACGTCGCCACACTGGTCCTTACACGTGGTGTGGCTTCCAGGCGAGTACTCCTACAGTGGCGTGATCTTTGTGCTGAAGCAGAGGTCACGCAGAGCGAGTATGAGCCAGGCAAGGTCGTCGCTGCTGGCATTGATCTTGTTTGGCAGTCGGGCAAGTACCTTGTGATTCCGGGCCAAGGCCTGAAATCTGCAATCTATGAGCCGCCCGCTATGGTCGGCACTACGCTCGAGAACGCTAACTTCTACCTGGATGCCGGCACTTGGGACGTCGAACTCCAGCTTCGCGTTGCCAACAATGGCGACATTCAGGGCGTGGCGATCGCATACATGACTGTCAACAAGGTCTTTCCAGCAAAAACGCCTCCATTTGGTTTCCAATGCAGTAGCGACTCGGGTCAGCAAAACAAAGTCACCATACCGGTGAGACAGGATTTTCTGCCCCTGATGATGCCTGATCTGAGCAATAAAATCAGGTCTACTAAACAGACGGAGCAAGTACTGGCAGTCTGAGATCATAAACCTGTATCTTGGCTTCTAATGCTACTCATGCATCTGCCGGAATTTCCCGCTCCGGCTATACTCCGCGCGCGCGCGCGCGCGTTCCCTGCAGCTGCACTCTTCGCTCGCTCGCTGATCAAGAAAACTCGCCAAAGGTCGCGCTTCCTCTCGATCTCAAAGGGATCATCTGCGAGGCTTCGCATGCAAAGTATGCCCTGAGCCGTTTGTCCTGAGAGTCTCGCCTTTCCATCGTCTGCAGGGATTGATTGGATGTCGGTTTCAGCTATCCGGCACTGTGATGAGCGACATTCGGCACAGCTCGCAGGACATACGCTCACATCTGCTCTTCGCACCGTGTGCATTTCGAGCTTTCTCGGCACCGAATCCAACGAGACCGCGGACATGCGCGGATCCAAATCTTTTGTGACGCCGTTTGGTCTGCAAAACGCTCACTCAAGTCCGAGTGCTCTACGGAAGCAAACAGAGCTGCGACATGCGCGGCGAAGTCTCAATTACACGACAGAGCTGTGCAAAGTGTTTCGGGATGGAATGACTCCGCGCGCTCTGGCTTCTCCCAACTCACCATCAGACTTTACCATCTTCGACTAATCAGTGCAACCATGTTCAGCAAATCTCTCAAGACCATGATACCTGCCGCTCTCGCTCTCTGTCTTGCTACGCTCAGCTTGGGTGCAAGCATTGAAGCCCGCGATGCCAACACGCTCGAACGCCGCCACACTGGTCCTTACACGTGGTGTGGCTTCCAGGCAAGTACACTCATAGTACCGCAGCTTCCACGCTGACGCATTCGGACTCGCGTAGAGTGAATACGAAGCTGGCAAAGTCGTCGGTGGTGGCTTCGATCTTGTTTGGAAGTCGCACAAGTACAGCGTCAAGCCTAATGGTGGCTTGAAGTCTGTGACTTACGAACCCCCTGTCGTTATCGGCAATTCGCTTAAGAATGGCAATTTCTACCTCGACGGGGGCAATTGGCAGGTCGCGCTTGCACTCCACGTGGCCGATGATGGCGATATCGAAGGAGTGGCAATCGCTGCGATGACTGTCGACAATATCTCTCCACCTAATGCGCCCTCGTTCGGATTTCAGTGCAGTAGCGACACTGATCAGAAGAACAAGGTCACCATTCCTGTAAGCACATTCATACCATACTTTCTGCATGGCTGATGATCGTCTTTGAAGGCCATGTGAGCAGGTCGTCGTGACACTCTGTTGCTCAGATGTGAAGACTTGCATGCAAATTTGCCTTCGCAACTTCAGTTCTTGTCTGCATGATGCTAGTATGCAGCGTAGAAGCCTTCTATCTGAGACTTAAGCCAGTTCAGATCTTCGATCTTCTTTAGATGTCACCATGAGGCGCGACATGCGAGTGCGCGATTGCGCCCAACATTCGCTTCACCGGTGTAAAACAAATACCGGCAAGCATTGGACATAATGCGTTCTTCGTTCCAGTTCCATACAATTCTGTCTCATGTACTCCTCCAATTGTTTCTGCACAGCGCAGCACAATTGTCCGCCTTTGTCTGTCTTTGTCTCGCCAACAACACACCAGGATGAGACTCGCTCGTTCCGGTCGTCTGTTGATGGCTTGTATTGCTCAGGCTATCGCTGCAACACGCGGCGCGCAAGTCGGCGGCATAGCAAGATTGACAAAACGCACGGATTGGTTGACCAATCGCCACTGTACCCTCGCCGCTGCTCTCAGCAACACACCCGTTGTTGCTCACCTGGATTTCGAACTCAACTGGGACCCTCAGCAGCGCAAATTTTTCCAGATCTGGGGTGAGAGCGACCACACAATCCTGCTGGCGTTCTGAGCAAGATTGTAGTCTATACCGACAATCTCGGTACAGTCACGCCATTTCTGGACACGGGCAAGCAGGTCAGTAATGCTCGTACGACTAACTTCAGAGGTAAGTAGGATCGCTTTGTCAACAGTCATAGGCTCATGCGGTTACACGTAGCAAAACGCAAAGGCCATTGGCTCTGGGATTTCTCGGTTTGTCAAGCGCACATGTAATCCGTCGCTTACCTGCCAGCAGATCATATACTATGCCGAAGAGGGAGCGGACGATACCAGCCTTTATTTCAGCATGGCGGAGACGACGACGAGCATCTATGGCGGCACGTACGTTGCATAGTTTACTCTCGGCCCCTTTGACTAACAAACATGTCCCTCACAGCGTGACCACTAGCCCTGCGGCAGGCTACAACTTTGGTGGTACATGCAAAGACGATGTGTAATTTGTACGCTCGCGTAAGCTACTCAATCTAACGGGACACGCAGGGGTAACGACATTCCAATTGGCCTACCAGCCCAAAAACTTGACGCTGGTTACCTTGCGATGTATACAGGCAATCAAATGCACCTGCGCTACAACAAACAGCTCACTTGTCACAACTGATTGCGAGCTCGCAACTCATGTTGCCACCCTCACTGTCTGCCATGAGAGTAGGGTTGCTGAAGTTTGTAAGGTCATCGAAGTGGTAAACCGCGCCGACTTTCTCGCCTCTGCCAGCAATCGTTAGTCTCATTCGCCACAGGCGCGTGAGATCTTACTCGGGAAGGAGACATGCCATGCCTGCTGTGGCAGTACAAGGCTGGAACTTGGTGATATCGAGCAGTGCGCCTGCACTCGATCTCAGCTGTGTGGCCTAAGAAGGCGTAGGGCACATACCGGGAGTCGATGCCTTGATATACACACTGTTACCCTTGTAAAGCTTGTTGTCAAATTGAAGCACGTCCATCTTGACTTTGCATTCGCGCAAGCAACCGATGTCGTATGCCTGACTGATGCCAGCGAGAGCGAGCAGCGTTGCGAGCACTGAAACCTGAGCGAACATCTTTGCTTGACTGTGTCTACTTTCGATAGACTTAACGATTCGAGCGAAGAATTGAAGAGAATGAGGGCAACAGACTCGGAAGGGATGACCTTGGAAGAGATGGCAACACATTGCGCGTCGATGATTCAACGTTCGACGTCTGATCCGTGCAACACTTGAATGCAACCAATTACCATGACTGCACGCCTTTTCAAACCTTTCGGTACTGGCTACCTTGCGATGTATACAGGCAGGTCCATGCACTTGCGCTACAACAGACAGCTCACTTGTCGCAACTGATTGCGAGCTCGCAACTCATGTTGCCACCCTCACTGTCTTTCATGATAGTAGGGTTGCCGAAGTAATTAAAGTCATCGAAGTGGTATACCGTGCCAACTGTTTCGCCTCTGCCAGCCGTCATTAGTCCTGCCCGCCGCAGACTTTGAGATCTTACTCGGGAGCAAGACAAGCCATGCCTTGTGTGGCGGTACACGGTTGAAATTTGGTGATATCGAGCAGTGCGCCTATGTGCACTTTAGGTGTGCTACTGATCAAGGACGCGCATGGGACACACCGGGAGTGGATGGCTTGATATACACACTGGTACCCGGGTAGAGCTCGTTGTTCGCTCCAATCACATCCATCTTGACTTTGCACTCGCGCAAGCAACCGATGTCGTATGCCTGACTGATGCCAGCGAGAGCGAGCAGGGTTGCGAGCACTGAAAATTGGGCGAACATCTTTACTTGACTGTGTATACTTTCGATCAATTCGACGGTTCGAGCGAAGTGAAAAAGAGTGAGGGCAACAGACTCGCAAGGGATGACTTTGGTAGAGATGGCAAAACGCGTTGCGCGTTGATTAGCCAGATTAGGGCCCGTACGATTTCGAATGTAAATTTGAAAGTAAATGTAAATGTAAATGTTGCGACACGAAAATTTACTACTGCGTACGATTTGCGCATGGGTAATAGTATAGTAAAGTAAATTCTTTGTGGGGAAATCGCGGCTCGCTGCCGAGCAGGCGGATGTGGTGCAAATTTGCTAGTCGAAATTTCGAAGAGTAAAATTTACTATCTGATCCCTTTGTCGTCTCTTCTTGGGTTGCAGACTGTCAATGGCGGAGCCAAGCACTGCGCGCTNCGCCAATGATAATAGTAAGCACAGCAGCTGCCCTTAGCAGCTTCGGNCCCCGATGCGACAGCATGTNGATACTGCTNCGTGGAGGAGGCGACTGGTGTGCGGTGCGTCTCCGCGCCATCTCCGCCCCAATTTACTATACTTCTGCTTTTTACTTTGCTCGTGCGTACGATTTCAAAAAATAGTATAGTAAAGTAAATTCTCGAGGCAAATTTGCTCTCAGGTAGCCTGTGAGCAAGAATTTACTTTACTATACCACAAAAATTTACCATTCGAAATCGTACGGGCCCTTAGTCAACGTTCCACGTCTACAACCTCACTGAGTGTCATGACACTCTATAGTCCACTTCAATCAGTTTCCATGACTGAACGCTTTACCAAGACTTCTCCGCTCCTCTTGACTACTGCAATCAAAGGAGGTGCTTGCAAAAACACCAAAGGCAACGTGCATACTGCGAAGCGCACGATCAGGAATTTCCTGTGCACATACTTCCCCTTGATGCTCAGTGGACAAATTCGAAATTGGTGCTGTTGCTCTATACAAGGTATCGTTCTTTGGGCACAGTCCATCGAGGCTCTCAAAGCGCAGCAACAGCATATTGAGACGAATCAGAACCCATATCAGATGGCCTCGCAACACCTATAGCGGTATGCGGTGAGACAGTAGCAAACGCTTGGTCTCGCGCGCACAGGCCGGTGTATGTACTCGGTCTACAACGAACGGGCGACTAGGGGCAACCGATTGCAAGCTCACAAAGCATATCACCTCCCTGACTGTCCGTCATGAGCGTAGGGTTGGTAAGCTCGTGGACATTATCAAAGTGATAAACTACGCCAGCTTTGAAGCCTCTGCCATCAATGGTCAGCTTCTGGGCAGCAAGACTTCCCACGACGCACTGGGAGTCAGCAGTGACGCAGACCATGCCTGCTGTAGCCGTGCAAGGCTTAAACTTGGTGATGTCGAGCATCGCGCCTGCGCACGAATGAGATGTGGCACATCGATACGCGAAAGCGACATACCGGGATTCGATGGCTTGATGTACACACTGGTGTTGGTGAAAAGCTCGTCATGCTGCCCAAACACGTCCATCTTGACCCGGCATTCGCGCAAACAACCAATATCGTATGCTTGGCTGACAAGGACGGATGCGAGCAGCAAGGCAAGCATCGAAATTTGAGTGATCATGTCTGCTGGAACCTTATTGGTGGCGATTTTCAGTGGAAGATGCGGATGGAAGGCAAAAGGTAATATGACTGCATTTCATCGCCGACCTGTCGAGGTGGCAACCAGCGTGTACGCGCGCAAACGCGTCGCACTCCACACCGCCAACAACCTCGTTACGAGTGGCATGACACCCCGCAGTCTGAAACATCTCAGTGTTTGTGGCTGCATGCGTCGATACATACCGCCTGTCTACCCGACCTACGTACTTTGCAAGCTACGCGCCTCGCCATCAAGATGAAGTTTACCGCCGCTCTTTCAGCACTCGCCGTGGCTTGCACGGTCGGAACGACGTTCGCTGCACCTGCCGTCTCCGGCGTCGCTCCAACCCTTGGTAACGAGCTTGCCGAGCGTACAGACTATAGCACCATCAAGTGGCTTCAGTCGTGGGAAGTCTGGATCCAGGCTGGTCTGGTCGATACGGAAGCAACGGTTTACCTCAACTTTCGCATCAACTATGATCCCGATTCGCAGAACTTCGATTACATTGATGGTGCGTGACGGCCGATGCTATTCGATCGCTTTCGGCTGAGTGGATCTATCAACGATAGTCCATACTGGCAACTACGGCAGAGTTGAGCCGCACTTGATCGACGCCCGACCCGGCCATACCAAGACGACGGAATACCTCGGTGAGTTTGTCTGCTGTCGCTATGATACGAACTCATGCTTTCTCGCAGTCAATCTCGATAAGCACACCCAATGGAACTTCCAGATCTTCTTTGATCCTTCGCCAGATGCTCAGGACAAGAACATCTACTTCTCCATGACGCCCGGCGGTACTGTCATCAATGGCAAGACGTGGGTCGACTCCTGCTCACGCCAAAGTGATTGCTGAAAGGGGTTGCTATGGCAGAGTCAAATACAGAGCTGGCAGCACGATCATGGACTTTGGCGCCGTGGTCCTGCTCGAGTAAGCTTGCGAGCCTCCGATGGTTTCTGTTCTGATGCATCGAGACGACAGTGGCGAGCCAATCCCTATTCAGCATTTCCCTACTTACCCGCCTTCTTGAGCGCTGCTCGTATGACCAATTGCATGTTTGTTCTGACGTCAAACCTATCAAGGCAGCCATGATGGTCTGTTGGTACGTCTGAAATTGCTCAGGTAAGTCACCGCAGCAAGCCTCGCTCGCGATCGTCGTATGGTGATCATCTTGGCAGAAGCTATCAAGACCGACGACGCCCTGCTGACATCGTCGCTGCGCGTGCGTGCGTACCACACTCCATCGGTTGATTGCTAGAAAGCCGCCTTTATCGCTTCGAGCCATGGCATGGAGGCCCTTGAGCATCTTTGAGCATTCAGCGATGAGAAGAGCAAGGCGGAGGACAGCCAGATGTGTGAATGTACAGAAGGATGGCGAGCCTGCGCGAGTCAGAAGGGTAGATACGTACACGCCAACATGCATGCACAAGTCTCTTCCTGAAAGCGCGCGTACCTGCTCAAGGAAGACTCGCCAGCTTGACGACTCGCAAGATGGGCGCTTCGGGCTCAAAGGCAGAGGTTGTCGAAGAAGGCAAGGAGAAGCAGTTCTACTCCAACGCAGATACGCCCATCAGGGTCACTCCACTCACTCCTCACCTTGCCCGCTGAAGCTGAAAAAGAGCAAAAACGCAGTTCTCACCGGGTCTGATCAACCACTTGCAGGACTCTGCCTCGCCCAGCTCAGAACGCCAACAGACGCTCGACTCTCACATCCAGGAGCGCATCAAATCTGAGCTCACGCGGCTACAGAGCGAGGAGAGTGAGATCAGGGCTCAGATTGCTCAGGCGTTGGAGAAGGAGAATCTGGACAAGAGCAGGGGGTCGGCGGAGAAGGGAGAGGGGAAGAGCTCACTGTTGCTCGAGAGGGATCTGGAAGTACTGCGAGCAAAGGTAGAGAGACGGAGACAGAGGACGGATGAGCTTGCTGGTCCTGACAGTTTGGTCGGCAAGACTCGTACTGCTCTCGTTCAATGCTACAGGTGAGACTCCTATCGCTGAGTCGCCTTGCAGTCGCTCAGACAGACTGCAAATGACACAGGAATAATCCCAAGACGACGCTAGACTGCGACAGGGAAACCGACGCGTTCAAAGCTGCCGTCAAGCAACTCGAACAGGTATGCCTTGTTACCTTTGTTCAGTCTTGCCCAGGCTAACTCTCGATCACAGCAATTCGTGGCTTCAGTTCATTAGCTGATGACTAGACGAGCATGGAAATTGATGACATGCAATGAGCTTTGCTGATGCTAAGCAAGCTATCGCTTTCATTTGCTGAACAATCTAGACCTCGTGATACACTGCTCAGCTGCGAGACGTCGTCATGAGAATAGCTAGTAGCCGCTATAGCCCTGATTCATTTTGCTATCACACCCGTGATCAGCCAGAAAAAGACATTGGGGACTCGCACAGAAGACTGACTTTGCCTTTTCCTGCTCGAGACGTTGGTAGAGCATTTGTACGGCCATCTGGATGTTAGCAGGCTGACCGGACACATTCACAAGACGCTCTCCGTTGGGATTGAGACCACCTTCAGAGGGCTCCATGATCTTGATGTGCGCGCCCGAGTTGTTGCGGAGCTCGTTGATCTTCAAGCCACCTTTGCCGATGATAGGTCCGACGAGCTCGTTGGGGATATAGACTTGCTGGGTCTGGTTGGGACCGACGGGTCCAGTAGCAACGGGAGGCGGTCCAAAGGGCATTGCGGAAGTCGTCGCTTGGGCTTGTGCGGGAGGCATACCCTGAACAGGCGGGGCGGCGAAGTGCTGCTGAGGAGCTTGGCCGTGTTGGGGAGGCGCCATAGCGGCAGGAGGTCCACCCATGCCACGGTAGGGATCGTGATAACCTGTCGGATTGACCATGGGAGCTGCAACACGGTAGGGATCGTGATGGGGTGGCGCGGGAGGATAGTAGCCACCTGCACTCGGGCCAGAGCCAGGACGGGGCGGCGGAGGACCATAGGATGTGGGAGGAAGACCGGGACGGTAAGGCGTGTTGTTGACGGCACGATCGCTATGCTCGGCAAGGATGGCTCCGGTATAGTAGACCGCGATGTGGATGGCATCTGCTACGCCTGAGATGGATAGAATGCGCTGCAGAAGCTTGCACATTGAGCAAAGCTTCATCGTGCGGAGTTTCAGGTCTTACCTCTGTGGAGCCGGGAAGCATTGATTCGGTAGCCTGCAGGCGAGCGCCGCTAGCGTCTTGGATCTCCTTGATCTTTGCGCCTTGCTTGCCGATGATGGATCCCATGCGATGATTCGGCACAATGAATCTGCGGGCAAAGTCAGAAGATTGTCAGCTCGTGTGCATGAATCATCGCCATAGACGCTCACCTGATTGTGACTGCACGTGAACCAGGCACAGAAGGCACGTCGAAGGGCTCGTCATTGATGCGACGAACAATCAGACCAAAGGCCTTGACGCAGCATCATGATCAGCTCGTGCCGCTGCGTCATGATACCAGCGCACCTTTGAGACGCCATCGAGTAGACCGGAAACATTCAAGATACGCTCTGGATTATTCGGGATCGATTCGGACACGAGGACTTTGACGCCAGCCTTTTCGCGAATTTCCTTGATCGACTGACCGCCCTTGCCAATGATGATGCTGGCGTCTTGCGTGACAATCAGAGCACGCAGAGTGACATGAGGATTGGCAGCCGTCGCGATCGCAGCGCCCGAGCCAGTCGCAGAGGGCGGAGGTGGGGGTGAGAGCGCGCCCGAATCTGTGCCATTGCGAATGCCTGCAGGATCTGACGTGCCTAGTTCACCTGGACTGCTTGCCGCGACAGGTGCAGGAGGAGCGTCTATCGCAACAGACGCGGTGGTAGCGGGCGGAGCAGTAGCTGTACTCGCTACCGCTGTTGCCCCGGTAAGTTCGTCATTGGACAGGTTGGGCCGTTTCGCTTCTGTCTCGGTATTGGCAGCAGCGAGCGAGTTGGATCTCTGTCTCTTGACTGCCGGCGCTGAGATCTCTCCCTCGGCGGCAGAAGTAGAGGCAACCGGAGCGCTTTCCTCTGTCATCGTGTCAGTCCCTGGCCTTGTCAGACGCGAGGGTAACAGCTGTTGGGCTTCGAGGCAGAGACACAAGAACGAGTGAGGATCTAGAAGGAAAGCAACAAGAAGGATGAGAGCATGATCAGAACCTAGAAGGAAGGGAGATGACCTCGAGTGGTGCGCTGTTTGACCTGTTCCTGATCGTGAAGGAGAGATGCTCGGCTTTTGGTGAGAACAGAGACGGCGGCAAGGACGTATGTATCGACGGTAGAGCTTGCGAGGGGCACCGCAGATGTCTGTCCTAGAACGTACAGGGCCAAAGGAAAGGCAATAGTCTGAAAGAAAGCAAGCGCAAAAGAGCGAGCATAAGACAGTGTACTCGGGCAAGGAGGGACCGACAGAGGCCTCGCCAGCCCTCGCTCGATACGTGAAGCCGGTAGCGCTCGTGATACTCACCAAGGGGCTGCAGATGGAGCTATCTGCGCTGGAGGAGATCTGTCGGTTTGCCGGTCGACAGCCTCGAGCCGTCAGGGCGAATTGATTACATGATATTTCTTCTGCGCGTTCTCAATAGTCTTGACGCGGCGTGGGCGTCCCCAGCGATGGACGATGCTTCTCCGCCGATTGCAAGACTGAAGCACAGCATTACAGTCGACAGATCGCTGCTCAAAGATGTCGCATCCGTCTTGCTCCATTCGATACTGTTCCTACGCTGCTTTGGCAATACGCATCCCCGGACGATTGACCTGCTCGGCCTGAGCTTTGTGCGCTCTCTACTCCCTCTCATCCTCGTCAAACTCATACAAGAGGGGTGCACAGTCGGCCATACAGGATGCAGAACTAGAAGCTGTTGTGCAGGCCAAAGCACAGAGTATCTCCCGCGCCGCGGAGCAGCATCATCTCGGTCCCTCATTGGGTCGACAGGCCTCTCACCCGGCCTTGCAGACATTGCGAGTCAACTTGGCCTTCAATGAGCGGACGACTATCAAAGTATGGTACGGCAGCAAGGAGGCGGATGTGCCGTTCGAACGCTGGTCGATAGAGCTCAGCATCGAAACGGGACTCACCGAAAGAGAGCGCAACAAGATCGAAGCAAAGACTCGCAGGGATCTTCGTCAGTTCATCTTCAAATCAGTGACATTCGCGCAGACGGGTAGAGAACGCTTGCCGGCCATTAAATCGTCAGATCTGGTGTGCTACCCGTGGTCGATGTCCCTTGCGAGCGCAGAGGGTCCGCTGGACGATACGCCATCCGATAAGACTGCTGCTATTGACGAAGGACCGGGTAGAAGGGCAGGCATGTTATCAGGTGCTATGTGGTAGTGAATGTGTTGTGACAAGTGTTAATGTGTACAACAGTGTTCATCTACCAAAGCCAGCTGGGTCTTCTCAGTCCGAGCAGCGAGAAGATCGAATAGGCGACGCCGATTGACGTCCTGCTTGCGTGAACAGCTTTTCCTTGCACTTGTAGCTTCCAAGCCTCCTTGCCGTCTACAAAGAGCTTCATGTTGACGATAGGCAGATTTGCCGTCCGAGTGTCAACTTCCATCGTGACGAACTTGTGGTTTCCATTCGGTATGTCTGTATTCCCGGTCAGGCCATAGTCTCGGCGGTGAGAGAGAGACGTACATTTGAGCAAAAAGTCTTCACCCGTTGCTCCGAGGCCATGCTTGGGGCTTAGCGTTCTGATAGGCAGATAGAACTGATTAAGCGGCGAAACACTGAATAGAAAGTCAGCAAGGCACAGCCAGCGCAGCCGATGTTGCACGTACGAGAATTCGACAACCTTGTTGCGAATTGTGGCGGCAGCAAATTCGTGTCGATCGCCGGACAAGATAATTACACTGTCCAAGCGAGTCAGTACGCATCGTCTGTAATTCACATGGCAGCGTACTTTGGCACAAACTCGAGCAAATCCATCAGCTCCGTACGCTCGGTCTGGAATCCTCGCCAAGTATCGTCGGCGCTATCAGGAGCGATACGAGGCAATCTGATCAGCTCTGGCACTTTAGCATGACTCGATCGTCCTCGAACTCTCACGTACCCATTGATGCCGCCCCACAAGGTCATGAAAGGCGTGCTCGTCACGACAAATTTGAATGTGACGGTCGAGTTGACTGCAGTAAGCCATTCTTTGAAAACGCGCTTCTGCTTCTCGCCTAGCATCGTCTTTTGCTCGTCGTCTTCTGCCTCGTTGGCAGATCTATACCTACGCGCGTCAAGGACGAAGAATGCAGCATCGCCGTGTCTGAACCAGTAGTAGTTGGATTTCTCAGCATCGCTGTTTAGCAGACTGGATGCATCAGAAACGGTATCGTAGTTCGGCTCGCCGTTGTAGGCAACATAAGCGTGATTGGCATCCTGGAAGTGCGGCGTGTCCTTTGATTCGCCGGCGTAGTCATTAGCAATCTCGTGATCATCGTAGACATTGATGATGGGCACGCGCTCGTACACTTTGCGCATGTCCTCAGAGGCGTACGTTTGACGATACTTGCGCATGAAATAATCGCGTTTCGTGCCCTTCGATCGACCTCGGTACGCTGCGGAATAGGTCAGCACGACTAGCTACTGCCTAGCTGAAACGTACGCGTGTCAGCATAGATAAAGTCGCCCATAAGCAGAGCAAAGTCGACATTCTCGCTCTCGATTGCAGAGCTGAGATAACGTGCGCCTTTGACGGATAGATGATCGCCAAAGGGTACATATGGCCATCCCGGTATGATGCAAGAGCTGGCTGCAAAGGTGAAGTGGGATGCGCCCGCTGCTAGTCTCGGCGAAGGGAAAGTCTTGAACATTTGAACTTTTTCACCGAAGGAGGGCAAGATATCGCCATCGACTGCAGATACGAGCTTGTACTCGTATTCAGTGGCGGGCGATAGGTTCGAGAGCCTGACGGTGCTCATGTAGTCTGCGTCTGCAGTGCTCTGCACTACAGGCCCTTCTTGCCATCGTCCAGAGGGTCGCGTGGGCCTGTACAGTATCCTTGCAATGCCGTGTTTGCCGTCTTCTGCTAGCTCGGCGAGCCTGTCGAGACTCGGTAGGCTCTTGGCTCTGGGCAGGATGGGTACAGCTGCAAAAGGCTCAGAGATGGTCGCATTGAGCTTGTGCAAGAAGCTATGATCGAGCAGATGATCTGCAAGAGGCTCCAAGCCGGAGTCACCCGACATGCTTAGCTTTGATGCGTATTTCTTCGCCGTGCTGCTCAAGCCAGACGCAAAATGTGCAGCGCTCGCCGTGATAGGCGCATGGGCGGCGAGGGGCGGTACTCGTGTGGAAAGCTTGACCCAAGTATCGCCCACTGCGCCTGCTCGAGCAAATGCAAGATCGTTGTGGTCTATGAAGAAGACGGGCGTGTAGACGAAATCGATGACCATGAGTAGGATGGCGGTATTTATGGCCAGCGAGAACCGATTGAACACGCGAGATCGTGTACATCTTCCGAGTATGAAGCTGATCGGACCCGGTGTAGCAAGCGTACTAGCCTGCTTTTGCATTCTGAGCAATGAAGCAGCCGAGGGTCTGCTGCTCGTCAGTGGATTCTCTGGCTTTGGATCAAGCTTTGAGCTGCCGTTCTTCGCTTTACCAGGCTTTCCCTTTGCTGTCTTTCCATTCGCAGCGACGGAGCTATATGAAGGTGCGCCAGGCTTGTCACTGGCAGGTGCGGGCGCATTGGCAGCAATGTCCTCAGATTTGACGACGGCCTCTTTGCCTTGCAATAATCTATCTGCAGCGCGCTCTGCGTGATCTTCCATGAAGATCTGACTGTCTTGCTCGACTGCGACGATGAGCGTGTTGAGATCGAGATAGGTGAGGAGATAAGCGACGTAGAGCGTCGGCAAGGCAGTCGCAAAGATGTGACCGGGGAACTGCCGATAGGATGTCATTCCAGTTTCGCTGAGGGCCATTTGCAAGCTTACCCATCGGAGGAAGAAGAAGCCGCCGAGTCTGAGGAGCGTCGAGGCTATCGTCGAGCCTATGACGGCAAAAGTGAACGCCATGCTGTCCTCTTCGACTTGGGCCGACGGCCATCGAGGAAAGAGCGACAGTAACCGCCACAATGTCGCGTTCTATCAAGCGCAGATTTCTTGTGGCTCTTCATCAAAAAGCAAGAGATCAATTGTCACGCCGTGGTCCTATCGACAGTGGGAATGACGGTGCCAATGCTGGTTCACTCTGTGGATCTCTTTGTCGGTCTCGAGAGGAAAGCAGATGCTAATTAGGAACCAACGAAGACGCACCAGATGGTTCGCTTGGGCTGACAAGAAGCACACAAACTATCTCCATCCCAGCGAGGCTGCTCAGCATGGCGGCACGAGACATCACAGTGTAGATGGCTCTGTCGGATATGCTGGGCAGTCTGCTTTCACTCGTGTTGCCTCATGACGAACGAAAATAAGAAAAAAAAACTGATTTAATGAGACTGATGCTGCTCGAAAGAGCATCTGCTGATGTCACAATTCGTTGCTGAAAACCTGAAGGCACACTCTCTCATACATACATGCATACTCTTGCACAACACACAGTCACACAGACATACCGTGCTCGCCTTGAGGAGAAAGCTTGCGCGCGTCAGGGGGTTTCTTCCTCAAAGACGACCAGTGGCTTCTCTGCTCCCACGACATCGCCAGCTTGGCAGTGCACACTCGCAATCTTACCAGAGCGAGGCGCGCGTAGCGTCATCTCCGTCTGTGAGAGGCTTAGCTCGTATTGTCAGATGATCGGGAGTGGCTTACCTTCATGGCCTCAACGACAACCAGTGTAGCGCCTTCTCCGACTTGCTGACCTTGTGCAGCAGAGACAGAAACAACGCGGCAAGGCATAGGCGCCTTGATTGCACTTCCTACCATGCCAAGTGGCTGAGCAGACTCGAGCTTCTCGCGCCAGGCTGGGATCGGCTCATCGAGTGCAAAGGATGTGCCGTCATTGTTGAACAGATGGTATCGTTCTAGCTTATCGCTCGAAGCAGGCGTCTCGACCACGACGTTTGTCACATGGGTCTGATCATTCAAACGAGTCGACAATGTATTGCTAGCAGAGACTTCGGTTTGGATGCGCTCGTAGGCCGTAGATTCGTTTTGTGTTGGCTTGACGAGCACATCGAAGCCATTCGAGCCTACTGAGACAGATACAGAGGATACAGCTTCATTTTGACTAACAAAGTCGGAGCGATAAGCATACGTATCGCCATAGAAGCGTGTTCCAGCAAGTGTGGACCAGGGCGAATCGACGTCATTCATACTGAGCCAAGACAACGCCTCGATCGACTTGAACAAGCCAGCTTGAGCTAGATCGGCTGCTGTAGGCAGAGAGGGCGGAGCGAATAGATCGTGCGCATATTGCGGGATGAAGCCCGTCTGGACTTGCTCTGCGATGAACTCGGGATGAGCAGCCAAAGAACGCAGGAATTCGATATTGGTAGACGGTCCGATGACATGAAACTCTGCAAGACCCTGTCGAAGAGTCCGTAGAGCAGCCTGACGATCCGGGCCATGGCAAATGAGTTTGGCAATCATGGGGTCGTAGAAGAGTCCGATATCATCGCCCGCTCTCACGCCAATCTCGATTCTGACGTTGTGACTCGAGACAGGTGGCGAGAGATGAATGAGACGTCCTGCGTCGGGCAAAAAATTGTTACGAGGCTTTTCGGCGTAGATGCGAGCTTCGAAAGCATGACCGTTCTTTTGAATTTGCTCTTGTTTGAGGGGTAGAGGATTGCCCGCTGCTACGTCGAGCTGCCACTCGACCAGGTCGATACCGGTGATGGCTTCGCTGACGCAGTGTTCGACTTGCAAACGTGTGTTGACCTCCATAAAGAAGAACTCGTGCGTTTTCGAATCGAGCAGAAATTCGACTGTGCCTGCACCTTTGTATCCCACAGCTTCCACAGCCGCAATCGCTTTATCTGCCAATTCTTGCTGTAATGACTCTGACAAGCCGGGCGCAGGCGCTTCTTCGATGATCTTCTGATGCCGTCTCTGGACTGAGCAATCGCGCGTATAGAGATGAACTGTTCCACCTGGTTTGCCCGTCGAGTCTGAGCAAACTTGCACTTCCACATGACGGGGATCGATGACATATCGTTCGAGTAGGACTGTATCGTCATCGAACGATTTGAGTGCTTCACGTTTTGCCGACTCGAGCTGGGCGTTGAATTCCAAGGCAGACATGGCGATCTTCATGCCTTTGCCCCCTCCACCTTTAGTCGCTTTGATCAACACAGGATATCCCATCTCTTGCGCCTGATCTTGTAAGAAGGCGCTATCCTGATTTTCGCCGTGGTAGCCAGGCACGCAAGGCACGCCCGCGGCGAGCATGATTTTCTTTGATTCCGACTTGCTACCCATTGCCCGAATGGCACTGGCAGGAGGGCCTATAAAGACGATCCCCGCTGCTGCCAACGCTTCGGCAAAGCCAGCATTCTCTGAAAGCAGACCGTAGCCAGGGTGGACAGCCTGAGCACCTGAACGTCGACATACTTCAATGATCTTGTCGATACGCAAGTAGCTCTCGAGCGGAGGAGAAGCTCCGATATGATAGGCTTCGTCTGCTTCTTGTACGTGCAGCGCATTGCTGTCCGCGTCCGAGTAGACCGCAACGGTGCGCACGCCGAGTCTCTTGCAGGTACGTATGACGCGACAGGCAATCTCGCCTCTGTTGGCGATGAGGATCTTATCAAACAGTGGCTTGCGCTTGTACGGTGCTGCTGTTCTGACGGTCGCATAGCTTCGAGGATGCGTACTGAGTCCAGCCAGGCAACGCGGGGTCTGCGCGACAGAGCATGACCTTGGCGATGATGGTGTAGACGCCGCGATAGTCAGCCTCGCCGCTCTTGCACGTACAGCACGATGGCGAAGGGCTGCCGTGCTGAGCTTGCGGAGCATCGTGCCGGTCTTGTCGAGGCGACCGACGACAAGCCGGCCACACCCACCTTGCCAACAAGCCGGGGCACGCGCCGAGTTAACGTTGCGCTTATCAGCTGCACTCCGCCATCCACAGTCGACGCCCACACGCCTGAATTTTAGCATCATGATCGCGCGCATAAGTCTTGTTTGCTTCATCTGCGCCGTACTCTGCGTCAGTGCTAGCCCCCGCTTCGTCGCTGCGACCTCCGACCCTCCTTCGACGCCCGTGTCCGGCAAGCATGGAGCCATTGCGACTGAGGTCGCTGCATGCTCCCAGATAGGCTTACAGGCCCTCAAAGATGGCGGTACTGCAGCAGACGCCATCATCGCCAGTTCACTCTGCGTGGGCGTCATCAACTCGTTCCACAGCGGTATCGGCGGGGGTGGATTCGGTATCGTCAGATACCCCACAGCGAGCGGCCATGCCTACGAGATGATCGACTTTAGGGAGGCAGCACCCGCAGGTGCCAACCAGACTTTGTATACAGAGTCATCGGACAAGACTGCTTCGACTGTTGGTGGGTTGGCCAACGGCATACCAGGCGAGATAAGAGGCTGGCAAAGCCTACATCATCGTCATGGCAAGCTAGCCTGGGCGCGCCTCTTCGCCCCCGCTGTCGATCTCGCTCGCAATGGATTCCCTGTCAGCGTCGATCTGGCCAATGCATTCAAAGGCTACCCATTCTTGTTATCAGATCCTCTCTTTGCAGAGTCATTCGCGCCCAACGGCACACTTCTCACACTTGGTCAGACATGCTATCGTAAGAGATATGCAGATGTACTCGAAGCGATAGGCTATCATGGCGCAGACTGGTACTACGAAGGCGAGAATGCGCAGTCTATCGCCAATGCCTCGCAATCTCGTGGCGGCATCCTCACCGTGCAAGACCTCAAGAACTACACCGCCATCTTGCGCAAACCTGCTTCGATCAAGTATCGCAATCACCGCATCTTTTCCACCATTGCGCCCTCGTCGGGCTCGGTTGTCTTGTCTGCACTCAAGATTTTCTCAGGTTTCAATGGATCAGCCTCGGATACGGATCCTGCAATCAACGAGACCACACACTATCTCATTGAAGCTACACGCTTGGCCTATGCGCAAAGGACAAATTTTGGCGACCCCGCCTTTACAGCAAACGTATCAGCGCTCGAAAAATCGTTCTTGACGGACAAGGTCGCAAGTGAGGCAAGAGCCAAGATCAGCCCGAACAGAACATACCCAGATGCCTACTATGACATTGGGAAGTACGCCATACTGAACGATAGCGGTACATCACATCTCGCGGCAGCCGACAGCAATGGCTATGTTGTCTCACTTACGACCACCATCAACCTCTACTGGGGCTCGCAGGTACTTCGACAGCGTCCTCTGAGATTATGTGGCTCATGCGTACATAGGTCATGACCGACAAGGGCATCATCTTGAACGATGAGATGGACGACTTTAGTTCACCCGGTCAAACGAATTCTTTCGGCTTTGCCGCTGCCCCGGCCAACTTCATACAACCTGGCAAACGTCCCCAATCCTCCATTGCATCTAGCATCGTCGAAGACCTCGATGGCAATTTTGTTGAGGCAACGGGTAGTGCGGGCGGCTCGCGTATCATCACCGCCACTTTGCAAAATATCTATCACTACCTTGACCAAGCCTTATCGGCCAACGCTACAGTACATCATTCGCGATGGCATGATCAACTTACAAACGTTACTTATTTCGAGTACGCGAGCCCTCAAGTGGGCATACCAGGCTACTCGAACTCGACCGTCGCTTTCTTGACCAATCAAGGCTACAATGTCACGTATGAAGACACAACAGGCAGCACGGGTCATGTTGTTGCACTGAAAGATGGCATCTTTACTGCGGCATCCGATCCACGCAAAGCAGCAGGCCGAGGTTCAGCTTACTGAGCCGTCATGTTTGCAGTGCGCTGGCAAGCGAAACTCGTTCAAGCATGCGTCCAGCTCAGTAGCTAAAAAGCGCTCACTTCTGTGTTGCCAATGCCGGCGGTGCTGGACATCGGACTATCTTGGCGACTCCGACAAAGGCTGTCACATATTTTGTCAAAGTCATTGTGAATCGCTTTGGGCAATTCGCTTGCGTGACCAACAGCTGATGCAGCCCCTGCCAGTCACGCCCCGACCGAGGGCTATCTCACGTTGCAACGCTAAGTCAAGGCAATGGCAGCAGGCCAGCGAAGGCTTATCACGATGGCGCAAGGCAGGGGAATCTGTTGTAGCAGATTCACAAGCTCGATCAATTCCAAGCAAAGCGCGCGCAATGAGGAGGAAACGACTGCAAGCTCGATCGAGCGAGTCAAGTTTCATGAAATAACAATGCGGTGCGTTAATGCAACAACCCTGAAACGTGAAGCTGGCGTGATAGAGGACGACAGGGCCCGCTTAGGCCTTGTGGGACTTCTTGCAGGGCTTCTTCTTGTGGCTCTTGGCAGGCTTGCCCCATGGCTTGGAGGACACATCGGGGTCGCTGAGCTGAACGATGGCAGGTCCGGCAATCGTGTGAGCATCAGTGACAGCGTCGGCAGAGTCAGTGATGATGATGTAGACTGGGCCAAGTGCGCCCTTGGGGAAAGTGACGGTGTCCTTGGAGTTGAGAGGCAGACCGATATCCATCGCGCCGCCAGCGTTGGCAAAGATGAAGTGAGCGTACTTCTGAGCTGAGGACTTGGACGCAAACTTGAAAGAGATTGGCTTGCCAGCTGCGGGCGAGGCCGTCTCTACAGTGAGTGCGGGGAAATCCTGGACTGGCAATGCGCCGACAGCAGCAGGACACGAGCCAGGCACGATGAATTGCGCAGCGAGCGTGTATGCTTGCGAGGGATCAATGCCGATATCGAAGGGGCTCGGGAAGCCGGACTGCTTCTGAGTTTCTGCCACGTAGCCTTGATGACGCGCTTCGACCGAAAGGATAGAACCGGCAACCTCGAGATAGGCAGGCGAGCTGATGGCAGGGGCTGCTCCTAGATAAGCCGACACGCCAACCGATTCGAGCACTCTGGCCAAGCCCAATGCGCCGGTCACACTGTTATAAGGGAACGAGTACTTGCTCGTCGTATCAGCACATGAACACCTAAAGTCTAGGTCAGACATGCACACCTTGCATGGGCCAACCGCATCCTGCTTGAGCGCAGCGGTGAGATAATTGACGTGGGTCTGTTCGTCGCTGCCGAGCTCGACGATGCGCTGTCTGACTGAAGGTCCGTAGCCAGCTTTGGCAAAGTCATGGGCATCAAAGCGAGCAAGGACGCCCTTGTAGAAGGTAGATTCCAGATGTTCGAGTGTGAGAGCGAATTGCAGAATCTGAGTGTCTGTAATGGCTGCGACGGTCGAAGCGGCAGCAAGTGCCGAGATAACTGCGACTGCCTTCATAATGATTTGGCGGGGTAGTAGTGGCTTTGGTAGGTCTGAATGAGTGTGGTGAGTGCCGTAGAGGCTGACTAAAGGTCAAATGCTGCTTGGTAGCGAAAGGCGAACTGTGAAAGTGCTGATGAGGAAAGCAAGGAACCGTAGACTTTATAGTGTGCCCGCCTGAGCGCAAACAACACTGGCGCGTGGAGTGGAAATAGGTCATTCTCCTTGCTCAACCCTCGGCTCGAGCCCTTACGGCATACGACGAGCGCTCGGTCCCAGATCGACAAACTAAGCCATCATTCTCGACGCGACTGACTGGGGGAGGATCGAATCTTGCGCGCAAAGCCCATGTCGATCCGATCGTTTGTTGACGACGTTCGCCTGATGAATCTAGCCACTTTGATCGACGGTCACGAGCTCGGGTCAAGGCAGGAGGTATTTGCGTCGCTTCTGGCGGGAGACGCGCTTGAAATCGCGACGCGTCTGACTTTTCTCTCACGCTCTTCACAGGCCAACGACTGTCAGATCAAGCTTGACGCCTGGCGGGGCAGCTGCTGTTCGGCGAGATGGCCAGCTCCGATGGCAAGAATGTGCCCCTCTTCTACGCGCGAGAGGGGCCACGTATGCTCTCGGACAATGAGATCTCTCAGCTGTCCGCGGCAGAATGTAACATGGCGTGCGATCAGATTGACCAGAACATCCTCGGTCTGCTGCAGAACATAGACGAGAACATCGTCAGAAGCTACGCCACCATCACAGAAGCCATCCTGCCAAGCGTAGAGCGGTACGGTCTCGCTAGCAAGGCAATATGGGACTCGACCAAGGTAAGGGCTCTTCAGGCGCAGGAGAGACGGTCTGAAGTGACGCTTGCGCAGTTCTGGAAAGCTTTCTTCGAAGCATCTGCAGGTATCAGGCTCACAGATCCGCTCGAGGTGGCTCTCGGCGCACTGCAGAGCGACGACGAGACAGAGACAAGCACAAATGCCAATCTCACGCTCGACAGCCAAGACGACGAGACCGTCACAGTCGAAAGGACGACACCCATTGGAGACGAGAGCGAAGCATCGAGCGCAACGCCAGCCAGACCTAGCTGGGCAGAGGATCAATCTCCCTTTGACCGCTTACAGCGAGATCTGGCGACAGAGCCACGACCCGTCACGGCACCACGCGACGTACGAGGCTACAAGGATACGCTTTCTCGCCTGGCTGAGCTTGGCGTTGACTCACCCGATCCCGTGCCGCCCATGCTTGAGACAATGCAGTTTGACGATAGCACAACGCGCGATTCTGCTTCAAAGGCTGCACCGAGCCCTAAAAAGCGGACAATCAACCCGATACTGTACCAGACCATTCTCAATTCTGCCCGCAAGCAACAGGCCGCACATAGAGATCAATCTTCGTCGCCAGACAGTCCGGCAGCAGACCCTGTCAAACCGGCTAGCCGGCGTGCATCTTTGGCTCGCAAGAAAGTCGTGTTCCCTGCAGATCTACCAGCGGACAAAGACGGCAGATGGAACGGCATCGCTGATCTGTCAGCTGTATCTCTGACAAGTCTCGATAGTCCTGTGAGAGTCCAGCAGAAATCAGCGAGCGCACCGACGCCGACATCGCCTCGGTACGCTCAAGACACTTTCGCATCTGCCACTCGAGCGACGTCATACACACCCGGACGTCGGAAAGCTCAAGACCGAGTCGGACTGTCGCCAACGCCAGATGCGACCCGGACGAGTCAGACGCCGGCAAAGGAAGGAGCATCACGATTGGCCAGAGACGTACTTGCAAGCGCCGCCCAGCGGCATGCGAGTCCGTTCAAACCTATGCACGATGCTGGCCTTGGCCACCTCGAAGATCAAGACGACTTTCGTAATCCTACTCGATTGGCAGACGAGAGTTGGACTTCGGAAGACGAGGGCAATCAGAGCGCGCTGCCGATCTTCGATCTACAAGAAGCAGATAATTCAGTGTCCTTTGGCGGCCAGGATGGTGTTCAGCTGCCTGAGGATACCCTGTTTGGACGCAAAGGACGTTCGCTTGGGTTCGGAGCGCAAGGGCTTCGTGCGCCGGATACAGTGGAAAGGAGAGGATTTCAGTTACACGGGCCAAACGGAGCGGACGAGATGCACACGCTCTACGGGGGGAAGCTGCTCGACAGTCAGCCGGCTATCGCGAGTCCACTGGCGGGCAAGAAGACGCAATCGGAGTACTGATGTGCATGATGTTGTACAACAGACATGCTAATGGCTCGCGTACTTGCTTCTATGCTTGCATCTTGACAGAATCCTGCAGGTCTTCTAGAGTCACATCTATGCCTTGCGCCTGGGCTGATTTTGCTGCTCTCTCCAGCAAGAAGGTATGGCAAAAGAGTGTGGCAGCTTGTGCGATCTCGAGCTGACCTTTGCGATACTCCATGACCATGGCGAGCACTTCTGGTCTGATCGGAGCTGCTGCGGTCTGATCGCGTGCTGCCGGCTCATCTGTCCGAGCACGCTTGACGAGGTCTTCCTGACTATCCTCAACGATCATCGCAGAGACGTCCTGCGAGAGCGCATTGATGCGGAGGTAGAGCAAGGTCATGATTTGCTCAATCATATTGAGCTCGTTATCTAGGCTGATATACTCGCCAGCACTAGCGCTCTGTGTCTGCAGTCTGCCCTCTAGCGTCCTGCCGTCTTCGGCATCGTGTAGACTGATCATCAACCTGACTTGAGCCAACAGCGCATCGGGAATGACGCCGTCTCTTCGTACGAGGTGCCTCAATTCGGTCAGCTGACATGCTTGCAGCACGCTCTCCAGGGATCGTTTGGGCTCTGCGTGACCTGGCGCGAGTCGTGGTGGAGCAAGCTTGAGCACCATGTGATCATCTGGGTTATTCGGTATGATGAAGCCATAGCCTAGCAGAAACTCCTCGTTCGATTTTGGCCCGTAATTATTGAAGACTTGCTGTCCAGCAGCAGTTGGTTCATCTTGCACGAGATTGAACCGGCCAGAGGCGGAAGATGTTTGCCAAGTGACCTTGCGCGCTTGCTGATGGTTGAAAGCGTCGACACCTGGAAATAGCACGGGCGTCGAGGCTTGCTCATTGCCGTCAATCAGATGGGATGGGAATGCGCGAGAGGAGAGAATGGTAGCAGCCCAGAGCGCAGAAGGCCAGGTTTCCTCAAAACTCGCTTTGAAGAGTCCAGATTGGCCGGCCCTTCTGAGCACGGTCATCCATTCGAGCTGCCAATCGCGTTGCCTATCCGTGACCGCGCCTGCTAGATTGGTGCCTTGCAAGAGCTGCACTTCTGCCGGGTTGAACCACAGAGGCGTACGCATGGCTGATCGCGGAGGGAGAGTGTCCACATAGGCCTGATGTAGGCAGCAGACAGCAGGCGAGGGATGCTTGTGCAAGACCAAGTAGAGCACCATTGCTTGATGATCAGACAGCTCAGTCGCATGGTGTCCGAGTGCTGCTCTCGCCGAGGTGGGCGTTATGGCAAGTGTGTGAGGACAGGAGGCTATGCATGTTCCAGCAGGCAAGTCAGTCGTTGCTATGATGCTCTTGTCGCCCAGCTCGTCTGTAGTCCCGCTTCAGCCATTGCAGGGCTACTGAGCGTAAGCAGAACCTTGTACGACGATGAGATGCTCATGGATGAAGCCGTCGTGATGTCGCAGCCATGAGCCAAGTGCAGTGTCGGCGCAGCGCTGGCTCATTGGCTGGACACACAGATTTGAGTTTTCGAGGAAAAGTGGTTTGACAAGTCGACAAACAGACGTTGACATCATCGATCATCGCGACGGGCACGCAGGGCAGGCATGCTTGCTCGTGCTTGCTTGGGCTCACGAACGCTGACACGGCGATCCTTGCTCTCTGCATCATGTCCTAGGCTGGCACGAGCAGCGCACAAGCCGAGCCTGCCACAGCTCGATGAGGACGACTTGGAAGAGACTTGGGTGAGAGGCAGTGGACCGGGTGGTCAATCGATCAACAAGACCAACATATCCTGCTCGCTCATTCACCGTCCGACTGGTATCCGCGTCCAATGTCACGAGACCCGCTCGCGAGAGTGGAACAGATCGCTCGCTCGCAAGATCATGAGAGAGAAACTCGATCTTCATCTCAATCCCGGCAAGAGCTCAGTCGAGGCCAAATGGGACAAGCTCGGCGCCAAAAAAGCTGCCGCTGCTCGCAAACGACGGCGTAAAGCGGATGCAAAGATCAACGCGAAGACAGATGCAGAGGCCGCCTCGACTTCTATGTGAACATACTTGCTAGCTTTTGCTTGGCTGCTTGCTGGACCGCCATGCGCTTGGCGTTGGCCAGCATGCTCGATGCTCCTGCCGACATATCGTTCAGACCGTTCTGAAGATTCTCGAGCTTCATGCCGCGCTCGGAGAGACCTTGCTGCAGTTCCGCCAGATAATCTCGCGTTTGAGCGGTCTCTTCTGTTGCGCGCTGGCGATTGATCTTGCTATAGTCTGTGCCCGTACTCGACGAAGGAGTCGCAACAGGTCCACGTCGGGGAGCGGCACTGTCTGGCGTAGCTGTAGGCGCAGTCTTTGGCGGGGGCCGATTCGGTCCTGCAAGCAAGCTGTCGATTTCCGCTCCCGTCGCCGGACCTGCCACGCCGCCAAACCAGGACATGACGGTCGAGCCCATCGTAGCTATGGCTTGTGTGCGCACATTGTTGCGTGGGTTGTGCAGAGTGAGTGCAGGTGGATAGGCTGGTCGCAAAACGTCGCACAGTGTGATGAGATGAATGCCGTCGTGATCGGTGCGTAAGCAATCACCGCTTGGCGTCACTTCTACCGGTGGAACCGCTTTGAAACTGCTCATGCATCAGTCATGATCAGTGTATACACGATGGAGCGCTCACTCGTCTATCGTGTTGACAAGCTGGATTTCTTCGAGATGGCCGGGCACTCGATACGCGCGGACTGATCCATCTCGAAAGTAAACCGCCAGGAGCAGACGGCCCTGCAAATGCAGCATCGCTGCGCCCACAGCTTCGACCTCGAAATCGATTTTGGTCAGTCGAGTGCCGGTCGTGTTGACGAAGGACGCCATCGACCGAGTAGCAATGACAAAGCTGAGCGAATGCAAATTCGGTCCTTTCTCGCGTTCTCTGCGCATCATGGGATCACGCTGGGCGAGCATAGCCATTTCGAGCAGCTGCGGACTGGCAGCGAGATTCTTGCCTCTGATATCGCAAACCATGGCGTTGAGCGGCTTTGAGAGGCTGTTGTGGTCGAATACGCGTCGTTCGCTCGAGATGATCCAAGTATCTGCTGCTTGGTGAAAATCGAGCACCGTACATTGCCCACTGGTCCTTACTTCTAACAATCTGACTGCACTCTCCGCATCTGTACATTGATGCAATGTTCAGCTCTTGCTAGCGAGCGATGGCAATGCACGCACCTTCTTCCGTTGGTCCAACGATGAATTTGAGGACGGATATGACCTCCCGCACATTACTCGCCTGTGGTCTCGGGATCGCTTCGCCCGTTCTCAGATCGAATACGGCCAGATTGGGTCCATATGCAAGAGCGACAAAGCCAATCTTGAAATCGAGCGCAGTGAGGATATCGCTAGAGCACTGAACGCGGTACATCGGTTTGAATTTGCCCGGGACGGACAGGCGTGAGATGTTGGTCGAATCCACTTGCCAGTTTTGTCCTTCGAGCGGTCTTCTGCGAGCAGGACGAGGCGGCGGAACTTCGCCCGACTGTGTACGTAGCAACGATCGGGCAGGACGGACGGGCGGTGGGGGACTGGTGGATTCTGTCCAGGCAGGGGCATCGTGCGCAGGCAGTGGAATCTCTGACTTGCGAGAAGATGCAGGAGGGCCTTCGTACTCCGCTTCGCCAGCTGAACCCAAGCGAAAGATGAGCGATTGTCCGTCATTGAAAACGACGAGTAGCTCGAGGCTATCTTCGCAAAGCTCAATGTGCGTGACGCTCAGATCGGGTCGCAAGTCCAGACGACGATGATGATTCTCACGCAGAGCCGCGAGAACGGTCTGGCCGGGTAGGCTATATAGCAGAGAAGGGAAATCGCGCCGCAATCTGGAGTCTTGTGTCATATCTTGGGCATAAGACGGAGCGAGCAGCGAGGACGACAGATCTGAGATGCACACAGACAGATCTCGGTGGCCTGTAAGCAAGATGCGATGCTCTTCCAACTGAACAGCAGAGACCATCGCCTCCAATTTCTCGTGCCCTCTTGCTCTGGGCTGAGCAGTCCCGCCTGCGAGGGGTAAAGCCGGCAGCCGGGTCTCTCGCCTTCTCTGAAGCTGTTTATGTGCCTCGCTCGAAACCGATCTGATACTACTTGTGCTGATACATCGCTTGCCAGACCAAGCGAGTAAGGTAGGCAGTGCGAGTTCTTCCTGTAGCTCGGCGTGACGAGGCGGAAACGACCATGCTGTCATGTCCTTAGGCTGCTCTTGAGCTGATGAGGTAATGACCAGGCCAAATGGATCATTGGCCAAACCCGCTTGAGCCGTCCGAGGTAGGACGAGGTAATCCTGCGCTGCATCGAGAGTAGGGTATACTGATCGCTTTGTCGGATTGAGTGAATCGCGCAGTCGACCGAATGCTTGCTTGATCGGACTCGTTGCTGCTTGTCCGGTACTAGCCAGAGCAGCAACGAGGGGGAAATGCATGACGTAGACGCCTGCTCTGTCGGAAGGAGTGAGACCGCCGAGCACGATGAGCTGAGTCTCTAGTGAAGCTGGTGCAGCAGTCGTCATGCGTTCGACGAAGCCTTGCTCGGGCGGAGAAGCCCAAGAGAGCTTGAAGATGGGCTCACGAGGTTGTTCGTCTTGTTGAGTCTCGTCGGTATTGAAGAGGTCGGCTGCATTGGCAATGTTGACGTCCGTCCTGTCTAGCGTTCTGACTAAGAGGGGATGATCGGCATCGTTGAGATCCCAAAAAGAGATACTGCCGTCAATGTGACCGACTGCTAGGACGAGACCATCATGTCTGAAGGCTATACATGTGACTGCAGGGCGTCGCTCGGTAAACAAGCGTTCTCCCGAGTCGCCACCGCCGCCCAGAGCGCCCGGGGGTATGATCAGATCGAAAGTAGATCTGACCTCCCTCGCTCGTATGTCATACAGAGCCACACCACCCTCGTAGGCCACTGCGAGGATATTGAGATCGGTCGGGTGGATGTGAATGTCGACGAGGACGGGGATATGACGACGCGAGGGCGCGTCGGGCACACCGGACCGCCTGAGGACTTCTTCTTGCTCTAGCCAGAGATTCGAGATCCTATGGCCGGATATGCGAGCACAGGCGAGATCGTAGCAATCTATCGATCCATCTCTGAAACCGATAAACAGATGCGAATGGACGTGAGTTGACTCGATGGCCGTCACATCACTCCGTAGACTCGTGACGGCGTAGCGTGTAGGTTGACTGCGATGCTCGAGCGTGGCAAGGTCAAAGATGGAGAGCGTGTTGCTCTCATCGATGATGATGAGCAGCGGTGTGCCCGTCCAGAACTGCAACAGCTTGATCCGTTGATCCTGCCTACTCTTTATTTTCCACGAGGTCCGCACTGCTTGAGCTCCAAAGACGTGTACCGTGCCGGAATGTGTACCGACGGCCAGTAGACCCTGTAGTGGATCGTAGGCCATAGCAGTGACGTCCGAGGGAAGTGTCAAGTCGGCCAGCCTGCCGAGCTTGAGAGGATTGGCATGCTCGAGCTCCTGAGTCCAGTCCAGACTCTGAGCGGCTTCGGCTACCTTGCCGGAGCTCCCGAGACCTCCCAAGCGATGTCTGAAGCCGTGTGCCATGCTAGCCGGAGCTTGTTCGTGAGAGATAGCCGGGCTCAGTCAGTCGGATCCTTGCTTGTTCCTCTCCTCGACGACGCGTTGTCTGCCAGCTTTGACAAGCCGGATTGCTCGGCCGAATGGACATCAGAGTCGCCTTTGGGTCCGCACTCTCGTCATGTAGATCGTCACCGAGCTCAGGGCATGTCGAGGCAGGGGTGGCATGGAGCTGCTCTTCGGCAGCCAACGAAGCCGTACCGTCAGATTGCCAACCCATTACGATGCAGCAAGCCTAGCTCAAGGAGACCTAGGAGCGGCGCTTTCTTCCTCAACAGCATCGCGAGCGACAGACATCCGATTGCTCATTGCATATCTGCTCGAGCGCGAGCTACAAGACAAGCAGAGACCCGATCTATTCGTTCAAGGTCAGACTGTGTAAGCTCCCACTTTCCCAGCTTGCATGACGAGGGTCGGGCTGATGTGAGCCGCACAGTCGACCGGGTATTCTGGTGCTCGTGAACGATTGCGATTGGGAACTCGAAGGCGAGCTGGACTACAACATCAAGCCGAACGACGAGATCGTCTTCATCTCGACTTTACACGGCGGCTGAACGTCACTGTGGCGTCGCATCGACCACTCTGGTCTTTGACCATTGCTCCGGCGTCAGCGATTTCTGCCGGTCCATCAGCCTCTTGCTGCTCGGTAGACCCGTCGCCCAAGCGAGCTCCTCACCTGCGTAAACGCGTGCAATTGCGCAATCTCGTCCGCCAGTAGCTCATTGACTGCGCAACGTCCTGCGTGATCAGCTCTGGTCGAGGACGGAGAGCCTCTTGACACACCTTTGCGATGCCGCTTGAGCGTCGACATGCCCTCAAAGTCAGGTGACACGATGATTACCTCATAGGACTGTTTCGCATGGTGTGAGTGAGCATGTGCATGCTGCTCTGCAGTTCACATGCCTGTCCGCAACCACCTGCAGACCCGAGGTACCTGAGCTTGGGAGCAAGCTCAGAAGCTACAGGACTTGCCTGAGATATCAAAGACTTGCTGAATCATCATCTTGAGTGTTAGCCAAGGCAACCAGCGTGCACAGGCAAGCGTACGACATGAGTTGCACTTGGCAGCACTGCTCGTATCCGTGCTTCCAGTGACGCTTCGTCGATCCCGCCCATCCTGCTCCGCCGGCGCCCAACGCTCACACTCTGCCTGCGTTCGCTCGCGATAAAATAACTTTAGCGCTTCAGAGGCCAAGAAATCCCAGCAACTCGTCCGAGAGATGCATCTCATGTACTCGCTCGACGAGGCAGGCAACAGGAGGTACACGCTCAAGGTAGGCAGATGTCTCACTGCTCGTCCCACAGCAAGTTTACACCGGTGGCTGCAGAAACGGACAGACGCCGGAAAGCTCACACGATCTGCTCATCCTGCTCGATTCTCGCCAGATGACAAGTGCGTACTCCTCTCCATCGAGCTAGCCACAGGCTCAACGGGTATCGGAACCCGCAGGTTCTCTCGACACCGAGTGACGATCAAGAAGAGGCACAACGTCTTGCTCACCCAATTGCCTGCAAAACCTCTCTAGTCAAGCCCGGCAAGAACAAGCAGCGCAAAGAGGAGGTAGGCAAAGTGCATGCAGATGCATTGTAGTTCGACATGTGATTCTGCTTGTAATATTACACGCTGTGATCCTGGAGAGCAAAAGACGCAATCAGTCAACCTGATCGATGGACTGCTTCAATTTTGCGAGCCTCGCCTCAAGCGCAGCGATAGCTTGGGTGATCTCGTTGATCTCTGTCGCTCCGGACAGAGTAGCAGGCAAGTTTGTCGTGCTTGCTGAAGGAATCGCTTCGGGGTGCTGTTTCGTAAAGGCAAAATACTCGTGCAACACGTCTTTGACCGCATCTGCCACTTGATGAGCATGATCATCCGCCGAGCCGGTCCGGAGCGAACGAGGTCGTTCGGGGTGCCGACTCGTCATGAGCGACTTGATATTCGATACCAGCAGCACGAAGATGACGAGAGAGAGTATGATGGCAGTAGGCGATGCTTGTCCCGTCAGATCTGCAATCGACTCGCTCGCCGAGCTGAGGAAATCGGACACGGGGGAGACGTATTGACTCAGAGGACCAAGATCGAAGCCGAACAGAGTAGTCTGGGGCTGCTCGTCAGGCGTTTCGCTTGCTTTGGTCTCCGTGATCGGAGCAGGCATCGCAGGCTCCTCATCCTCCTCGCCTGGATCAGCGGTGACCGATCCGAATTCTGTGCGATGCTGTTGGATGTACGTCCGCATCTCTTTGTCCATCTCCTTGTAGAGCGTCTTCTGCCCTTCCAATGCGGACGAAGTGATCACGCCTGTTTCATCGAGTCTTTGGTCAGTCGAGGCAGTGGCCTGGCAGATGGAGACGCACTCTTCAAGAAGCTACTCTTGAACCATTCGACTTCTGTCGTGACAACCATACGAGCGCTGTCGTTCTTTGCCCACATGATACACGTCTTGGTCTTGACGGCGAACGATCCTCCACTCGGGACATCGGGCGTCTTCGTGGTCGTCAATGTGGTCAGATAGGCATCGTAGTCGATATGGATATTCGCGTCTGTCAGGTGACATTTCGTCGACTTGGGTCCTACAGGTCCGCTGAGCGGCTTGATGTAAGTCATCGAGCGCTCAAGCAAGCCAGTGCCTTCAGTGCTGGGCTTCCAGTCTGACATTTGTATATCCGTTAGCTTCTGATTGTTCGTCGCAAAATCCTTGAAGAAGGCGCTCGTATAGACAAGATTGTGGAGCTTTTCTGGTGAGGTGGGATAGACTTGATCGAGGACGACATTGGCGAAATGTTCCTTCTTCGTCAGACAGTCGCACTCTGTAACAGGATGGGTCTCCTTCTTTCCTTTGACCGGTCTGGCCGTCTCTGCTGTACCATTCGATTGGGCAGCGACTTCAATGCCATCTTTCGGCTTAGTTGGCGAGTCTTGGTCTTTTGCGCCTCTGCTGCGACCGCGAAGTCGGCGTGCAATTCGCTTGCGTGCGCCTTCTGTGCTACTTCGCTCGAGACCTTCACCCTCTTCCGGACCCTCGTCCGAGCTATCGTGATCATTCTCATGCGCTCCGTTACCGCGCAGAGCGACTTGAGGTACGTCAGGGTGAGATATTCGCCAGATGTTCGTCACGAGATCATACGTCGTATCGCGAGACAGGAACGAAGCGAAAATGTGCTGCGGGGATTGTTAGCAAGGGGATGATCACAGTGAGAGGAAAAGGCGACCTTTGCGTGAAGTGTCGCTACTTGAACTGCATTAGGAATGACGAACGCAGTCATTCTCTTTTCGATCGTTACTACCTCCGTAAAAGGCACGACGAGCTGCGTATAAGCAACATCAGCAGCGTCTTGATTTTGCTAGCATGATGCTCACCGTAGTGACCCAGCCAAAGATATTAGCATTGAAGCAGAGGTGATGCTCAGAGATGTACAGCCGGCCTTGTATGAGGATGTCTCTCTGGAGGGCACAACCATAATCTGTTGCCAAGCTCAGTACACCGTGTCAGCGCGCTGGTGAGGAACACACCTTCGATGAGATAATCATCTTCTGGTATAGTCTTGAAAAGAACATGAAAGTCAGCGTTGCGTTTGCTCGAGGCAACTGCATAGCCTGCGCCATAATGACTAGACGAATCATCTCCGTCTGCGTCGCCGTAGTAAGAAGCACGATCTGAATTGGCATAGTCGTCACCGCTCATTCTGCCCACTCGTATTGGCTGCGTGAGTGCAGGAGCCGGGCTAGCAAGCGTTGCACCGGACATAGCCAGAGCGCTGCCTATTCCGCCGATCTGTTTGTTCCCCTTTTTGCCGCTCAACATAGGCGATTTGGGCGCAGAGATTGAGCCCCGCCGGGAGGGAGAGTCTGAAGCGATACCCAGTCTGCTACTTGAGCTCACAGCGAGCTGGTTCGTGCCGCCGACTGTGTTGACGGCAGCGAGAGCTCCGAGACCGTTTGGCGGATGCGCATCATTGGGTGGTGAGCCACCTCTAGAGTTGAGTGCAGAATCTGACTGAGACTGTGCAAGAGAGACGGCGTCTTTGCCGCTCGCGTTCAGATCAAGTTCCGAGAATGCGCTCGCTCTTCGCGACATGGATTGAGTCAGGGGTGAGCCAGACAGGCCAGTCTGGCCCGATGCTCGCCTCTGCTGAGCTTGTATGATCATCTCGGGTTGTGAACCGAGAGGACCTGTGGCATTGGTCGGTTGGACATCGAGCAGATGATCTAGTGTGAGTGAGCCTTGTTCGGACGGTCCTTCTGCTCCCGGTGAGAGAATGGCCGTCAGAGCGGGGTGCTTTTCGTTGTGTGAGATATCTGCTGGAGTCACCCGGCTGGAGATGGACTGCCGTCTCGTCGCGTCGTTATGAGAAGCAGACAAAGTGCTGTTGATCGATGGTTTCCGTCCGATCTGCTCGGATGGCATCGTGTTTGAGCGGTCTCGGCTGAGACTGGAGAACTGTGGCGCCATCTCGCTCTGTGGGCTTGCAATATCTATGGTCGGTATCTGATGGCCAGCCGTAGCAATAGTTGGCATGGTCATTGATTTGCGCGGTGCAGCATAGTCCACGCTGTTCTCAGGCTCTAAGTGCGCATGGTCACCGTGCACGGGCTCGTTCCTGATCGCTTTGTCGGGCGTGCGCATTTTGGCAGGAGAAGTATTTGCGCTGCTGCTTGGCGTCTCTGACGAAGAACGACCCGGGTTGGCATCGCCCGCGTTGTCTGCCAAGCCCTTGATCCTAGACAGGAGGCCGACCATACTCGTTGACGTGTCGTATTGGCTTTCTTGTTTGCCGGGAGGATGGCTACTGTTGCACTCTGCCCATGTCGCAGCTGTGCACACGACTGATCATGAGGCCCAAAAATGCTCCTCCCGTCATATTCCGCGATCTCCTGTTGCGCATGACGCGCTTTTCGGTTTTTGGCCGGGGCGCTTTCGGCCGGTCGGTCATATCGATCGAGCAGCTACCAAGAAGCTCAAAAAGTCGCGCGACTGGTTCGGTCCGACGCTGCCACGCAAATCCTATCCAATCTGGATCAGCACAGAACGCTCCTCTCCTCCACGGCTTATATCTCCAGGCACTCTCTGCCCTCTTTCAACGGCAACAGGATGCCGCGAAAGACAAGCAAAGGCATGCCAGATGAGCACGAATTTGCAGACCAATTGCAGGAGTACACAAGCAGTCTGCACCACACCAAGCAGAACCGCACGCTTGTTGATAGAGCAACGTACCATGACCTTATTGACTATCTCTCTGGAGACGATGACAACATGCGAGAGCCTCGATTCAGACAATGGGCGGATAAATTCTTCTCACTTCGAAACGCCCCTCGTCAAGCAAATGTGATCGAGCTCGTTGCAGGTCCGCAAGACTTGCCTGTGGCACGCACAGAAGATCTCTACGAGATACTAGTCAGAGGACACTCTTCTCACGGCGGAAGAGACAAGACGAGCGCAGCCGTGAGATCCAAATGGTCTTACATCCCTAAAGACGTTGTCGGTAGATTTGTGAAGATCTGTCCCACTTGTCAGTCTCGTCGAGCCGTCGTCAAAGCACCTCGCCTACCTGTCAGAACATCGACGACACCCGAACCTCCCGCTCGGACAGCGTCAGCTACGACGCCACCCATGCTCCTGCTTGGCTTACATCACACCACGCCCTTGATCACCCAACCTCTGGCAAACACGATATTGGCACCTGTACAGTCGTCAACCTCGCCTGCAAGCTCCTTGGAGCGATTGTCAGATGCAGTCTTTGACCGCAGAGAGTCTGTCTACTCTTACACTTCTTCAGAGGGCGACCACAGCTCTGTCGACACGTCACCACCCACGCCATTCAAGCCCACGGCCCGAGACAATTTTCTATACTACTCACCAATGTAATCGCATGCATATCAGAGCGTCAGCGCCCATCGCTCTGAAGCAGTCGGAGCAGCGCATAGATTACACTGCTCTCGCTCGCATGTGACTCCGGTGATTCTATCATTGCGTCCAGCTCTGCGTCTAGTAGCCTCTTGAGCTGAGTAGCGAGTATGCCAATCCGACCCCATGCTCGCATCCTCACCCATGCGTCGGACTTGCCTTGCGTAATGATCTTCAATCCTCCTCTGGCGAAATCCACCTCTATCTCTCCACCGAAGAGCAGGACAGCATACAGCGGTATCTGCTCAATGATCAGCAGATGTGTCATTCAACTCTTGGCAGGCTAACCTCTGTGACATCTCTGATGAAAGGCTTGGTCGTCAGCGCTTTTGAGAAGTATGTGACAAAGTGATGCAGCTTCGGATCGCCAAAGAGCGTACTACCGGGATGGATGAACACTCGGCCGGTCTCGTCAAAGAATTTGACTTCTCTTGCCTCGTGGTCTGCTCTGACATTGCCTGACGAGGCGGCAATATACTTGGCATCCGGCAGTTGCACACGAGCAAGATTGCCAGTACCTGCGAAAAGGATAGCTTTGACGAGATTCAGAGACTCTGCATTAGCATTGAGATCGTTGCGGCCTGAAATGATGCCCGATTGCTCGAGACTGGTCATGAATTCTCGCTGAAGCATCTCGATATCCATCACTGCAGAAGCAGAGATGAAGGTCTCGGAGCAATACCTTTGCAGCGCAGATCGACCTTTGAGTTGCTTGCAGGCGTTGAATGCGGCAATGCTCGTTAGTACATCTGATCTCTCCTTGGCAAATCGTTGTCTGGCTTGCTGTGCCTCATCACGTGTTTCCGGATTGTTCAAGAAGAGCGGCTTCGAAGCAAGGCAGGCCACGCCGGTGACGACAGGCTCGATACATCGGAAGATTGAACCGAGGACGAGCATCTTCCCAAGCTTTAGGTCGACCGGAATGAGCGAGAGATGTCGTCCCAGCGGCGTGATGCGAGCATCTTTTCCCTTGCCAGTAATCGCACCGAGTGAGAGCAAAGTGTTCCAAGCTTGATCGATCGCTGCCGTACTGGGAGGCGAAATGGCTTGCGAGAGGTATTTGCGAGGGTCGACATGTTCGCGCACGGCCATCACGCCCAGCACGATGCTGTCCAAAGGTGTGCGTAGCATCTCCGGTAACGCATGATCAGCCATTTCTTGTTCAGTGTAACGCGAGAAGAGCTTGTAGCATTGGCCGGCCTGTACACGACCAGCACGACCACGTCTCTGTTTGGACGATGCTTTCGATGTCATTTGTTCGACGAGGCGAGTCAGGCCAGATTGCGGATCGAATGCGTTCTCCTTGACTCGTCCGCTGTCGATGACATAGACGACATCAGGAATTGTAATTGAGGTCTCGGCAATATTGGTCGCAACGACGATCTTGCGTGTGCCCTTTGGCGGCACGACAAATACGCGACCTTGATCTGAATTTGACAGATTCGAATGTAATGGCAAGATCAGTGTCGAAGTTGTCTGGGTGGAACGTAGGAGCTCGCACAGTCTGGCAATCTCTGCTACACCCGTCATGAAGATCAAGATCGCCCCATCATCTGTATCGATGAGCAATCTCGAGANTAAAGCTTCGATGAGACCATAGTCAATCTTGCCAGATCGCGTGAGCATAGCGAGTGTGCTGATGTGTGCAGGTTCAGTAACGCCATGCTCCTTGAAGCTACCCTCGATACGCGCGATCTCTTCAGCCGAGTACTTGCGTGAAGGCTTCGTGCTAGGCGCAACATAGCCCAGAGTCGGCAGATAGTCTTCAAGGTAGAAGTCTTGAACAGGATACGCCAGACCTTGCAATGAGATGCAGGGCGCACCGTTGAAGTAGCCAGCAAAAAGTGCCTGATCGACGGTGGCAGACATGAGGACGATTTTGATGTGCTTATTCGATGCAAGCAGGTGCTTCAGCTCGAGTAGGAGCAAGTCCGAATCGAGCGATCTTTCGTGCACCTGTGCTTGCGTCAGCTTTGCTTCTCAGCAACACCGTGATCGCTGACTTCATCTACAACGACATGAGAGACGCCGGCCAATTGGGGATCGTTTGCAAGTCTGCGCAGGAGCACGCCTGTCGTGACAAACATCAATCGACAGTTCGGCGAGGCTTTGCGCTCGCCTCGGATGGTATAGCCGACAAGATGGGGCGAGTTGATCGTCTCGGCTCGCTCCTGAGCAACTCGAGTAGCAACAGAGATTGCACTGACTCGACGAGGCTGAGTAACAATGATCGAGCAAGTGCCGCCTTTGCCAGTGCTCAGAGCTTTGTCGAGTATGAACGTAGGGACCTGAGTCGTCTTGCCTGAGCCGGTTTCGCCCATGACGATCGAAACACGGTGAGAAGTGACGAGATCGATGATGTCTTGTTGCATCGACCAAGCTGGCAATTTCTTGCGCGATTCGAGCATCTTCTTGTACGCTGCACCCGCAATGCAGCTTTCGTATTCGCGTTGAAGCGCTGCACTATCGCCAGCTTGGACAGGTCTATATTGCCTCGTGCGCTTAGTTGGCTTTCCGTTCGGTTGAGGCTGAGGTGTGCTAGCTCGAGTGATGTTGGCACTTTCAGCAACGAGAGGCCGTAAGACGGCCCTGAAATCTGGAGGATGTGACGAGACACGTTCCCAGATCGTCGATAGAAGCTCGACGAGTTCGCTGATGAGGCCTCCTTGACCGGCCTGAACAATGCCGGCCAGATCTTCTCGTTCTTTACATGCTCTCAGCAGCGTCGCAGTAAGATGTAGAACGATATAAGGCGGTGCATCGTCTGATGTAACGATCATGGTAGGAAGAGCAACACACTCTTCGCACATGCTCGGGTATCGTGATCTGTCGTGTAGATCGATGCGGAGAGCAGGCGCTCGATCAGTTTCGCTATCCATTGCGATTGCGAAGGAGTCATCGTCGAGCCAGCGAAAGCGAGAGCCATATATCGCTTCCAGTGCGAGCACTTCCTCCTCTCTTCGTTCCTTCATCTCGCCCAAATCGCCGTGATGTGTATCGAGCAACGAGTGCTGACCCCAAGCCGGATCAGTCTCATCAAAGGCCAACCGGCGCAAGAGCAGATCAATTGCCAGCCCAGAATGCTGCTCGGCGCTTCGGTATGCTTCCTCAGCAGCAGGTCGGGGAAAGCCAAGGGCGACAATACGGTCGATCGCCCAGGACTCCTTGAGAGCGTCACTGTCGCTGGCAGAGCTGATGACTCTCGCATTGGCATCTGCTGGTTTTCTATGCCTGAGATGCGCAGGCAGATCGTCTTCGCTGATGTGGATCTGCAAATATTGCTCGACTGCCTGCTGCAATGGCAGAGCTAGGAGCGAGCGAACGATGGGGTCCTGAGCGGTCGAGTGGTCTGCCGACTGACGCAAGAAGACCAGAGCTTTCTCTGAATGCCCTTGACGAAACCCCTGGGCTGTACATCTTGCCAGGACGTGTTGCTCCTCTGAGGTCAAGGCGACAGAGCTCGTGTCGTCCTCGTTGGATGGCAGGGCGGCTTCGGGGTACACGGGCAAGAGGTCTCTTATTGTGGTCTCTACAAGCTCTCGAAGGTCGCTCGACATGCGTACTTCGGGTGCCTCTTGCCATCCTTTGCTCAAGGCAACAGGCTTGGCTATCTCGCGAGAGGGTGTGCTTTGACCAGAGGAAGCAGGCTCTTCTATGCGCGGCGCGGGGGCATTCGATGCAGCCTGGAAAGGGTCTTCTGCCCATAGCCATGCTTTGTTCTTCGGGCTCGCCTTTTTCTCGGCTTCCAATTTACGCCAATAGTCTCGACAAGTCGGAGGCATTTGCAGTTCCAGCCTGAGCGAGTTGCTGAACCTGTACAAGGCATACACAGAACCGAGTTGTCTCGCTTCAGCCGCAGAGCCGCAGTCTGGCAGACGTATCTCGCTCTCTATCGAGCTGGGAGGTTTGAGAATGACTTCGTCCATCGCACCCGATTTGAGATTTCTACGCTTGAGGACGCATTTGCAAGTCCATCTGTCCTTCCCAAGTCGTTGCGCTTCGACTTCCGCAGACCAGCCGAGCTTGTTGCAACGTTCTCTGAGCAGATTGAGGGGCAGCTTGCCCGTATGACCGGGAAAGACCTGCTTGGATGTGTCGATTGCTGGTGCAGGCTTTTGCGAATTGCCGGAGGAGACAATGTGTGCACGGGCTTTGCGTCCTTGGGGTCCATGTGTGGCCAAGGCAGACTTGTCTGCTGCAGTGGGCGTGGCAGCATCTTTGCTCTTGCCCATGCACTGTGCCGACGTTGGATCGTCGTCACTCGTCGAGTCGATCGCGACTTTCGTGATTTCGAGGCAGCCGAGTGCGTGACAGGGAGCAGATCTAGCGCTGAGTCAGTGAGAGTTATGCATGCTTAGTGGAGCCATCACGCTACGTCTGCTCGCAACTGCTTCTCACAAAGTACCCCGAGCAGTCAGACCTACGCCAACAGTTCGTCGTCGTCACTCGCAAAGAGCTATGGCAAGCATGGCAACGCCAGGAGCACATCCTGTCTCTTCCTCCCAGACGCCTACCCACTCTTCGCCCAATGCAAGCAATCAGGCGCCCTCTGTGCTCTCGCAGGGTGCAGATCCCAATGCAAAGATCAAGGAGGCCAAGGCAAAGATGCCAAATGCATCCAAAAAGGAGAAATCGGTCGAAGCCATCACTGCCAGCATGGGCCGGCTCGAGGTGAGTCAATCCGTCATGAGAGCTCTTAAGAGCTCATAGGCTGCCTTGGGAATCGCAGATGGATCCACCAGCCGAGTATCTGGCACGCCGTCTGGCGCTATTCGAGCAACTCAAAGCCGAGCAAGACGCAGAGCTCAAGAGTGCGTCCTCTGCCTTTGTCCCGAGTCATGGGGCTCAAACAAGCATGCAGACAAAGCAAAGGAGGTCATAGAGATCACCTTGCCGTCCGGTGATGTGAAGAAAGGAACCTCTTACGAAACGAGTCCAATGTCGATCGCGCTCGACATTTCAAAGGGTTTGGCAGAAAAGACCGTCATCGCCAAGGCTCGTCCATCTGTGCTCAGCAATTGGCTTCGCTGAAGTCATCCGGGCAAGCAGGTCGATGGGGACTTGTGGGATCTCGAACGACCCTTGGAAAAGTCTTGCAAGCTCGAACTTCTCGACTTTGAATCCAAAGAAGGTCCGTCTTACTCGATAGAACCCGAGTGTTGGACTCATGTCGGAATGCGGACAGGCAAAAACGTGTTCTGGCATTCTTCAGCGCACATCCTCGGAGAGGCAGCCGAACGACATTATGGCTGTCATCTCTGCATCGGTCCACCTACAGATGAAGGCTTCTTCTACGAAATGGCATTGCCAGACGGCCGGCAGGTTGCTCTCTCGGTCAGTCTGTAGCGGATGCTGACCGTGATGAATGTGCTGCAGGACAGTAGCAACGTCGGATCTTGCGCCCCTAGAAACGCTCGCCAAGAAGGTCGTCTCCGAAAAGCAGCCTTTTGAACGATTGACGGTCTCGAAGGAAAATCTGCTCAAGATGTTCGAGGTCAGGCGGCTTCAATGTTGAGCAGCGAAAGCTGATGCTGTTGGCAGTATAACCGATTCAAGACCCATATCATCAACGACAAGATTCCAGATGGCACTTCGACAACAGTCTACCGATGTGGACCCATGATCGATCTCTGTCGGGGTCCACATGTACCTCATACAGGCAAGGTCAAATCAATGGCCCTTCTCAAAGTGAGTCCCCTCGAATTCCATCGGCTGTAGTATGCTAAAGTCAGCTAGAACTCTGCATCTTACTTCTTGGGCAAGCAAGAGAACGAGCAACTGCAACGAATCTACGGTATCTCCTTCCCAGACGCGAAACAGATGAAAGAATACAAAATCTTCTTGGAAGAAGCTGCCAAACGCGATCACCGTCGAATAGGCACAGATCAAGAACTCTTCTTTTTCCACAACATGAGCCCCGGCAGCTGTTTCTGGTTACCGCACGGCACTCGCATCTACAACACTCTCGTCGACTTTATCAAGTCTGAGTATAGGAAACGAGGCTACAGCGAAGTCATCTCGCCCAACATGTTCTCGAACGAGCTCTGGAAAACATCAGGCCACTGGCAGAATTACAAAGACGATATGTTTACTCGTGAGCGAGGTCCTTCAGGCTGCGTCAATAGCCTGATTGCTATCGTTTGCAGTCAATGTGGAGAAGCAGGAGTGGGCATTGAAGCCGATGAACTGTCCAGGCCACTGCCTCATCTTTGGATCACGAGAACGATCTTACAAAGAGCTCCCTATCAGAATGGCAGACTTTGGCGTTCTGCACCGTAACGAAGCAAGCGGTGCCTTATCGGGTCTCACTCGCGTCAGACGATTCCAACAAGACGATGCACATCATTTCTGTACGACCGAGCAGATCGAAGATGAAGTCGCGGCCATCTTCGATTTCGTCAAACATGTCTACGGTCTCTTCGGCTTCACGTTCCACATGGAACTATCGACGATGCCCGATAATCATCTGGGTGATGTTGCCACTTGGCAAAAGGCAGAAGGCATGCTCAGCGCTGCTCTGAACAAGTTTGCTCCCGGCCAATGGGAAGAAAACCCAGGCGATGGAGCTTTCTACGGACCAAAGATCGATATCACCCTGAGCGATGCACTCAAACGACGACATCAATGCTCGACCATTCAGCTCGATTTCCAATTGCCGTCTCAGTTTAAGCTGGCTTTCCATAATGGCAAGACTCCCAACACGACCGAGAAAGTAGCCGAGGGAGCATTACCTGCAGACCGAGAGAGACCCGTCATGATCCATCGCGCCATCATGGGCAGTGTCGAGCGTTTCGTTGCCATTCTTACAGAGCATTTTGCTGGCAGATGGTACACTCAGCGCTAGACAATGAGGAACTGTGCTGATACATGCTCGCAGGCCTTTCTGGCTCTCACCGCGACAGATCCTCGTCATTCCCGTTGCTGCTCCACACAAAGCTTATGCTACCGAAGTGGCAAAGATGCTATGGGATGCAGGCCTCTATGCAGATGCAGACATGACCGATGCTACCCTTCCAAAGAAGATCCGCAATGGCGAGACGAGTCACTACAACTTCTTGCTAGGCGAGTCCTTCAATCTAAGCGGTGTTGCTTGTACTCATCTAATTGATTTAACAGTCGTGGGCAGTGATGAGATGGATGGACGATCGGTCAATATCCGTAATCGTGATGACATTGGTGCAAAGGGCCGCACAGAGACTTTGCCGCTCGAAGACGCAGTTTCTCGGTTTGTTGCGCTCAAGACAGAACGTAGACTCGAGAACAGGATCTAGCATTGCATCCTCTGCTGCTAGTACGGTGAGGACGAGAATATCTCGTTGCAACGGAACTCTTGCTGCTGCGTATGAAGAGAAAGTCCCAAGACTATGCTGAGATTGAGATTGCACGGCATTGAGCGCAATCAGATACAGAAGAAGGGAGCTCGAGTGTGGCCATCGCGTCTCACATCAGTTGCTGCGTCACAGGGTGGCAATTGTCGCGCTTCACATCATGTCGGCTCACACCCAGCCGCTACTATTTTCTTTGTAAAGGCGTTTCGAGATCTCGCTTGCAATTGCAATAGAGCCACACTACACGTTCGAAAGCTTATCGTACTTGCAAGTCCGCCCGCCCACCTCTATTTTGCCATACTTGATCTCACAGTTGCCCGGTAGCCACTGGCAGGTGATAGGCCCTGCTGGGGCTTATCATCTGAGTAATTTACCATATCGACAACTGCTCACAGGACTTTGCCTCTCTGAAGGTATCTTCGCAGATTTCCAAAGAAGGATACAAGGCTTTCGAGCCGGACGCATCGCACTTCATAGTGAATTCTCGGCGAACCAGCGTCATCGGATCCACTGCAGCTCTATTTTGTTATGGATCGTACGCAAGCTAGATCATGTTCCAACCTCGAATGAGCGCTGTCTCGAAGACGAGTCTGACTTCTAGCCAGCAGCAATGATATGCCGCTGCCTTGTCAGGTACCGAGCCAAAGGCTTCCTCAATCGTATGCTGTTGGGTGAGGGAAATATTCCAGGTACTCCGATCAGTAGACTGCTGAACCGGTCTCACTGAGACCTGGAAGGGTCCCGTCTGCGATCGACTTAGCAGCAACGAACAGGAAGAAAAAGATCGATTGAGCTGACGTATTCGACGAGTGTCGATTTCTGAGGCGGCAGCAGGACGATCCAGCCTTGCCAAGTAGGAATTGTGGTCCACAACTTGAATTCCCAGGGTTGTGCCGGCCCGATGGCTGTACTTGTGCAGAGCATCTGACATGCAGACATGGTTGGACAAAAATACCGCGATTTGACCGGGACCCATGCTGACGCATACGCTCCAAGAAGAACCAACAGGCTGAGATTATTGAGGAGGAGCATATTGATTGGGGATGAACGTCAAGGGACCGCAAACCGCAAGGTGGCGCGAAGTACGCGTGAAGCGCTTTCAAGCAGACGACGGGATTTATACGAAACGTTGCCCATGAAATTCCCCGACTCAGTTTTCTTCGACGTGCCCGTCCGCATAACCAGTGATTACATTCCCTAGTGTCATCACTCTTTCTCCAGCACGAGGCTTCGCCATCAAATCTGCTGCGTCGAAAACACACTTCGGTCTAGGGCATGCTGCGCGAGATCATGATCTCTACGCAGACGCATCCGAGAGCGCTTCTTCCTTGCAACAGCATCGAGGATATCTGACCTTGCAAACTTGCTGACCCTTCGGTCGCATTATGACATGTTTCCCTCCGCCACATGACTCTGCCCGACTGTGACGCTTTGCAGAAGCTCTCGAGCTGCACACGCTGCCGCCAACAAAGTTACCTCTGCCGCAGACAGTGGACAAAATGCTTTTGATACCGTCTATCGCAAGTCAATACGATATTATACAGCCATCGCGTTAGCTGATTCAGCGCTCGCACCGCGCAGACCACTCAGGTCAGGAATGATCAAACACTTCGTGCTCACCGCAATCTTGGTCGCTACTACTATCATGATCACTCAGAGAATCACACAAGCTACCCAAGTTCTGGCGATACGTCGCTGATGCTCGCGCGGTCGCACTGGTTGTCGGCCTTGCGGCAATGACCCTGAATGCTTCTGCGGTCCCGACCAATGCTTCCGCATGCCAGCCGCAGCATAAGGTTCTAAACCAGTATCAAGCGCAGTAGCTCACATGCATGCAACGCCCCCATGTCAAGAGCTTCTTTACGATGCATACGAACCTGCACGCTGCATAAAGCGTTTGGCAAGGACACTTTTGCACTCATACCTACATGAGCCAGCCCAGCCGTATAATCTTTCTGCTCTAGCCATTGTGCTTGTACGCGAAACAATGCCACGGTACTATCGATCGAGGCTGTGCAGCTTATCGACCTAGCAACCCTTCTGGTCACAAACGTCCCAAACAGTTTCAACAGCATCCCCAAATTTTGAGCATAGCGAGCAAACATGCAACTCTCTCAAACAGTTGTACTCATCGCTTGTGTGTTCGCATTCATGGCGATCAAGACGTCCGCCGCGCCCGCAGAGTGAGTGCATTCGGCAGTTTTTCCGCTCGGCTGATGATCAGATAGCTGTTGGATCTGCGACGCATCAGGCGATCTGTGTTGCACCGGCGATCTATGTTCTCTCGAATGCTCACCCAAATGAGCCTGCTACAGAGCCTTAGCAGTTCAATGCAGCCCCATCTACCTGTCTTAGCTCAAAATGACTAGCCTAGCTTGCCCTGAATGCCCGAGCATACAATAACACTCCTTTGTTGACATATCTGCAATTGAGCATGCGATCTGATAGCAGAAATGCTACATCGGCTGTGGGCGATCGAACTGACAGACTCTGCCCGGAAGCACTGTGCCCCAGGCTATGCCGCAAGTGCCAACGGTCATTGAGCATTTGAGCGGCCCTGTATGTTGTCATCAAAGTGATGAGCTTGCAACTTGCAACAGACGTACAGATTGTTCTGCGGTCCCCTGGAAAGGCTCCGGAGCACATTGCGGGCAAAGGCGTCTTAGCGTTCATGCCAAATTTGTCGCATCGTAAGTCGTAGTACCGATCGTAAATCGACATAGGAGCACCTGTTGTGGTTCTTCCCGTGAGTTCGATCAGGCAAGATACAGTGGTGTCGAGCTTGCCTCGAACTAGCTGAGTGAAGAAAGTCAGCCTTTCTTGCACAGAGCAGCAGTGGTTCATGATCGCGGCATCTACAACGCCCCCAACCACTCGGTTTGTGTTCTGCTCGCGAAGCGTTTGGATATCCCATGCTTGCATGTCCGGGCTCAAATTTGACGGACGAGCTCGGCATGGTACATTGCCCTGCTCGAGTCAGATGATATATCCATGTGGCTATCTGCAAGCGCATACGCAATCGACAGCATGATCCTTCTTTTCAGGATCGAGCCTGATCTTCTCTTTCTGTTCGGCTGTTTTCGTGAACACTTTGAACTCGTAAGGGATACCGTCGCCTTTTGTCAATGTACATTCGAGTTCGCAAGGCTGCAGGATCATGCAAAATGTTCGCGCTTTTGTGATGGGGTCGGCATGTGCGATGGTAAGAAGAGCCAAGAGACAGAGCGAGACGAGCATGCCGAGCTTTGTGGGAGACGTTGTTGGGGAGCCGAAGGGACAACCAATATTCGATCGTCTGCGCGAATTTACGCGTTCCAAACTTCGCGCGACGGTCGACAAGCCCAAGGGTGGGCAGGCTCCTCAAGAGGACCATGGCGATTCAGGATCTAGTACCAGACAGTATACCTGGCCAGCAAGTGACAGATCCAGCAGCGCTACATGGTCTGCGACAGTACATCGCCAACTTGTGTCAGGTTCAGCATACAAGGCAGGCTCAGAAAGGCTCTTAGCAAGACTCGCTTGCTGAAACATTGTGGTCTGAAGATTCCCAGGCAGTCAGCCTGTCAGCTTCACACAAGACTCACTCGACTTGCTCGAGCAACGGGAGTACGTCTTGTTCGTTCGGTGAAGACGTCTGCAGCTAAAGACGCCGACAGCTTTTGGGTCTGCGAGAAATCCAATGGCGTACGAGTCATGGTGCTCATTATGAGCAATCCCGAAACGAGTCAGGAGATCTACCTCGTAGGTCAAGCTAGCGATCAGTCAGACTCGGCTCAGCGGAGTGCCACCCCTGCAGATTGACCGTAACGACAAGTATTACATGAACACCGAGGTTTATTTCCCCAGGCACGACAGCTTTGAGAATCTGCAAACGGACACGCTACTCGATGCCGAGCTCGTGATCGATGTAGATCCCGAATCTGGCCAGGTGAGTCCCTCTCATTAGGACGTGATAAGGATTGACAAAGAGGCGACAGCATGTGCTGCGGCTGCTGCTGTTCGATTGTCTCGTCGTCAATGGCGAAAACATCATGCACAAACCTCTCCTATCGCGCTACGGTGTGAGCAAGCGTCTCTTCGACCGTGATATGCCTGACATCGTCCTGCAGCGCTTACGAGAATTCGTGGTCGCGCCCCATCTGCACTTTCACAAAGTCAGCGGACCTCAGATGCTAGCGCGACAGCCGTTCGAGTGAGCTGTGCCAGATCGGCCACTCACCGTGCTTATCCTTGGTGTAGGATCAAGTTGAAGCCGCAAGAACTAGCTTATGGCATCGAAGCCGTCTTCAAGAATCATCTACCCAAGCTGCAACACGGCAACGACGGGCTCATTTTCACTTGTGCAGAATCTGCATATACTCCAGGCACAGATCCATACATGTCAGTCTGTCTCTGATCTTGCGCACTTGTGCTCAATTCGAAGGCTGCTACAGACTAAAGTGGAAGCCACCAGAAGAGAACTCGATCGACTTTAAGCTTCAGCTCCGCTTTCCTGCCAAGTTAGATTCGCCTGATCACGCAGACTATACGCAGAAGCCAATCTTTGCACTGTATGAGTCTGGAGGCTACGAAGGCGATCGGTTTTTTGACATACTCGCCGTTTCGGACGAGGAATGGTCAAGGTCAGTCGCAGCGCGCTCACTCAGTGCGCGACTGAGTGTCGAAATCGGCTGGCAGGATGAAATCAACAGGAGAGCAGTACGATGGAAGAGTGGTCGAGTGTGTCTGGAATAGCGCCGAACAGAACTGGAAGATACTCCGATTCAGGGATGACAAGCGTCAAGGCAATTTCAAGGATATCGTGCAAAAGATCATCCAGAGCATTCAAGACGGCGTCGAAGCGCCTGCGGTGGGTTCGATCGCTGATAATCAGGCAAGTCGCGCTGAACCTTGGGCGATTGGATCGACAGCTCATCGAACGCGCATATGCGATTCGAAAGGCGTTCAAAGCGAGAGCGCAAGAACGTGCAAGTGGTGCTCGACCGCTGCAGGTCATTCCTCCTGCTCCCCAACCTATTCACGTCGCTGCGGAAGATGCCGCAGTACCCTACTTGCCTCTTCCGAGCATGAGTCCTTTCGTCACGAGGCCGACAGCACTCAGGCTCAATGTAGAGTAACAGTCACGTTTGCATACGGTTTTGTTGTTGTCGCTACATTGTCACTGCTTCTATGCACTATTCGGGTCCGCCCTCCTCCGGCCCACCTTGCATCTGTGGTCCGCCACCATTGCGTTCTGAATTGGGTCGTTTCGCACTGAGTATTGCGTCTACTCGAAGCAGCAAACACGCAGCCTGTCCGTGACGGCTGTTCGTAAGCGATCTGTGTGCTTTACCGAGCTGGTACGCACCTCTATGGCTGTCTTGAGTGTTTGTACTTTGACTGCTGCGCTCTCGTAGAGACCGTATGCTTTCATTTCTTCCACCTTACCCGTCTCTCCGTTGACACCGTAGGAGTGCTCGCCCGAAGCATGCTTAGCCTATCGACGCTGTACCGATCAGCGAACTATCCGCTGGCACTCAGGAAGCGCTTACCCTGAGAGCGGTGAGAGTACGAATGGTGTTACCGCCAGCATTTTGTACGAGCGTTCGTGGGATCACCTCGAGCGCTTCTGCTACGCCACGGAAAGGCCATGCTTCCACACCTTCGATCGTCTTTGCCACTTTGGCCAGGCCGACAGAGATGGCCATCTCTGTCGCGCCACCTCCTGGAGCAAGTCGGGGATCGAAGACGACGTTACGTGCGACTGCCATTGCATCTGCAAGGTTGCGATCGATCTCTTTGATGATATCCTTCGAAGGACCTCGGAGGAGGATAGTGCAAGCTTTGGGCGATTTGCACTTTGTCAAGAAAGTGAAGTAATCGTCGCCCAGCTTTTCGATATTGAAGAGACCGCATTCTGCTCCGACATCTGAAGGACGAAGATCTTCTATCCTGTTGACGATCGTTGCACCGACTGCTCTTGCTATCCTGTTGTTGTCTGATTTGCGCAGGCGTCGGATGGCGGTGATGTTGGCTTTGAGGAGGTAATGTTGAGCAAGATCGGATACGCCCTTTTCGGTGAAGACGAGATCGGGTTTGAGTGAGATGAGTTTATCGCACATCTGCTTGATCTGTTCTTCCTCAATCTCCAAGACTCTGTTCCAGTCTGTCTCCTTGGTGATCTCGATAGCCGTTTGGGATTCGCCCTTCTTGTACTCGAGGGGACAGTCGAGTAGGATGATGCGAGGGTTTTCGATCCTTCTCCTCATCTTGGGGTGAGTGACATCTTTGTTGACCATGATACCGTCCAATACGGTGGAGTCTTCTATTGCACCGCCTTGGACCATCTCCACACGAGCGTATCGCTTCACATCTACTTCTTTCTGGCCATTCTCGTCTTTTGTGACGATACGGATTGCGCGCAGAGCGAGCGAGCACATGAGATCCGACCAGCGAGAGACAAACTTTGTCCCGATGGAGGTCTTGATCAGTGCGAGCATGGCGTCTTCGTTGGTGACGTCGATGGGCTGACAGATTGAGTCGAGTATCGCCAGAGACTCGGTCAGAGCGCGTTTGAATGCCGAGATGATGACGACAGGGTGGATATTCCTCTCCAATTGCGGCAGAGTCTGTGCCATGATCTCACCGGCTGCATGCATCGTCAGCACCGGCCATACGAGGGCAGCATGAGGAACATGCCTAGTATTATGACAGAGGTCGTGCCATCACCACATTCTTCATCCTGCGTTCTCGCCAACTCGATCATACTCTTTGCAGCAGGATGAGTGACCTCGATCTCCCTGAGGATGACATTGCCGTCGTTGGTGAGCGTGATACCGCCCATGGGGTCGAGGATCATCTTGAGCATCGCGCGCGGACCGAGACAGGTACGGATGACATCTGCCACCGTCTTGCTTGCTACGACGTTGCTGATCGCCGTCTTGCGTGCATTCTGTCGTTCGGGTGCCGTGTTGACGACAAAGGCGGGCATCGACATCTTGCCTGGCCGACTCGAGACTCTCCCTGTCTGGCTGTTCGCGCACAAAGTTGTGTGTGCCTTGGTGAGCAAAAAGTGAGCGAGCGCGTCAATTCTATCGAACGGACAAGCAGAGCTGCGACAGGATCGATCAGCAAGCGATGCGGCGAAGTCTGGCGAAGCGATGCGAGCTCACATCGAGCAGGACGGTCTCGACTCGGACACGGCTCCTGATAAGGCAGGCTTCAAGCTCTTCAGACGGACCAGACGTCGATCAATCCAAGCCACGACCCAGGAGCAATAATTCCTCTCGTCCTGCTCAATTTGATGCTGCACTTGTCCACCAAGCTCTCGGATCCGTCCCTCGACCTAGCCCATCGGACAGACCAGCGACCGCGCCTGCGAGGAGAGCAGAGATCGACACGTCCGGTCCCAAGCCCGTTTTTCGATCTGCTGCCTATATTGCCGCAACTCAGCAAAGAGCACAACGTATGGGGTCTGTTCTATCATCCTATATGCAGGCCTGATCGACACGTATCACGCACAGGCATGAGCAGAGACGAGGCGAGCACGAGCGAGAGACCGAGTAGATTTGGACGGGCAGAGACATACAGGCGACCGAGCGACCCATCGAGAAACGAATACCCGCCTCCTCGCCCGAGTTCGCCTTCCTACAACGCTTATCCTCGTTCTGCACCACCGGAGAGCAGGCAGATTGGGCGAGACCCGAGAGCTGCTTTTGGCGATCAGAGAGGCGGTACACGTGGCCGGGGTGCGCGAGGGCGAGGAAGAGGCAGGGGCGATGCTCCGAGCGGTAGGGTACAGAGAGTGCGCAGACCGGTGGATGTCTCGCCGCCCTTGGGACCTCCGCCCGAGTACGCCATCGAGCCAAAGACGATCTATAGCGAAGAAAGTCTGAGGTCGCTCGTTGGAGAGTTACGCTCTGCTCGATTGGGCCCGCCGCAACGTGCTACGACAGCTCTGCCGGCACTACAGAATGCAACTGCTGTTGCTGTGAAGAACACAGAGAAGAAAGAGGTGGCAGTAGCCAGAGCGTTCCCCCAAGTGTACGATACTGCCATCATCTCACTCGTGCAGAACCCTAGCATCGACAGACCCAAAGCGCAAGAGATACTCGGTCACATTGACAAGGCACTGGAGCCTGCCAGACCGCACCCTCAGTCTCAATGAAACTGTTGTACGACAAAGTCCTGCGAATTCGTTCGTCTCGATCGATCACGCTCGACCAAGACGCGTCGATTGAAGTCGCGTCTCGCTAATTTTGCCAGCCGTCCATGAAAATGAATCAGTGGCACTGCCACCAGTACGCTCAGGCCCGGATGATGGCCGTATAGACACACCGAAGGAGGTCCCAGGCAGAAGTAGGTCGCGTTTCGACAGCATGATCAAAGCAGAAGCGAGCTTCGCCGGCCGACACAGTCGAGTAGGATCGCGCACTCATGTCAGGATAGGCAGCCTGTCTACCCGACACGCAAAGTCTGCAAGCACGAGTACGGTGAGGAGCACGAAAGGCTACACTCGCCTAGATCGGACAAGTCTCGATGAGAGCTTCTCGGACGAGGAGAAGGGAAATCCCAACGGAACGGCTGTCTCGCCCGCTTCTGAGTTCTCGGGCTTGCCTTTGCCTGCAGGCAAGTCGAGGCACAGCTGGATACCCAACTTCAGACGAACGGAGAATGATCTCAACAGTCGAATAGAGAAAGACGAGCCACCCGCGCGCGGCAAAGCAAGGCGACGATGTGGTCTGTCAGTGATCTTGACGCTCACCATCATTGCCATCTCGCTGGGCACGGCAGTCGTGTGGACAATCAGCCAGACTTTCGAGTCCGATGATGCTACGTCGTTGACCGGAACGCTATCTGAGCTATGGTCCAACCTCGTACATCCCAATGCTGCCCAAAACACTTCAGGTGAGCTCGGTCACAGTCTGCATTGCTTGCAGTCGCCGATATTGCTCGCAGTCTTGCCCTTGACGGGTCTGAGCTCCAGCACTGGCACTTCGAGCGAGATGGTGCCGGCTATTGTCACCACATCGACAGCAGCCTCGCAACCCACGCGTGTCTTGCAGGAAAACAAGGTCGTCTTGCTTACGCCGGGCAGCACACCGAATACAGCCCTTGCCGCGGTACAGACAGATGTGAAATCATCCGTAGCATCAACCGCTGCAGCGCAGTATCTAGACACGCGTCCTGTCATTCGCAAAGCGCCCGTCTCGGCCTTCGCGCTTGAGCTAGCAAAGAAGCAGCACCGGCAGATCGACGTACACGATGTCAAGTACATGACGTACCTACCGCATTCGGGCTTTCACAATCAGCGTATCGAGTTACAAAACGCGCTCTTGCTCGCGCACATGCTCAATCGTACCCTCCTTCTGCCGCCATTACGTCTGGGTTTCGCACTCGGGTGGCAGACGAAGGAGCTCCTTTACGAGAGCACGGTATTGACGGACAAGAACACGCTGCGAAAGAAATGCGAGAAGTTTGTGACTGAGCTAGAATGGCGCAAGGATCATCCGGAAGCAAAGACGTATACCCCTCTAGAGACAGCGCCGGAACTGGTCAGCTCGAACAAAGGCAGCGAGATCAGGCCAATGAGTAAAGGCCAGATGTCGGCTTGCAAGGAGTATATCAGCTACACGCAGGTCGAATGGGATTTCATTGCCGACGTCAGAGCACGAGTCGAGTCTCAACTGCCACTCGTAGACCGATGGAACTCTTCCAATGCTTGGTACACGACATCGATTGCTAAAGGTGGTCTTGGCTTAAAGCCATCTGAGGTCGAATACTTTACAGACGAAGCTCGATATGATCTCTATTTTGTGGGCGACACTCATTCTCCGCCTCGCAATACCGACAAAGATTGGAAAAGGCGGTTCGATATCGAGCAGCTCATGAGTCCACCTTACATTGAGAAGCGTCTCTTCGATTTTGGATCGATGTATGGATCTGCGCGCGTCACGCCTACTGAGCCGAGAGACATCGATTTCGCTCGTCAAGTGGGCAAGTCACTCGTGTTCCGGATACCCCTCTTGGAACCCATCGCTGCTCAGATCAGCTCGATGATGGGTGGCATGAGCAACTACATCGGTCTGCACCTGCGTATTGGCGATGGCGTATTCTTCCGTCATTCGGATCAATTCATGCGGGAAGTCTTCTTCGCTTTATGCGAGTCTACACTCGGTCTGTCGAAGGAGACGACAGAAAAGCTCTATACGCAAGGCAAAGTCAAAGTAGACATGCTCAGCAATGCTCATGAGAAGCGTTCGCACGAAGCTAGCTACGACCTAACAGAAGGCTTGACTCCTGATGATCTCCTGCCTAACGAGCCGAGCTCCCCCAATCGACGTAGGCTGCTCAAAAGAGCTCGACCTTCGCCCAAACGATTGTCATCTGCTCTGACTTGTCGAGGCGAGCTACACAAGGACCCAGAACTGTTGCCGCTCAATACGCCGGTCTACATCGCGACAGACTCGCATCATCCCTCGAGCGACGCCGTTCTCGCGCCCTTCTTCCATGCGCTACCTTGTGCTTTCGTTCTTGGCGATTTCCAAGGCTCAGAATACAATTCGGCGCCCCTTGCAGCATTCGCATCTTTGCAGAACGTACGCAACAAGCTAGACGGCGTCAAGATGGCGCCGTTCTTATACCCCTTTCTGGAAGCCATGATTGTCGCCCGAGGCTACACAGTCGTCGGCACGCCAGGCTCGACGTTCAGCGGCTTCAGCTCGGGCGTCCTGCATCGCACTTACAAGCACGAAGCAAAGCAGACGAAATCGCACCTGCAATCGCGCTCGCACTAGACATACGCTTGTATATGTTGTCTCACTCAACAATGGAACTTGTCCTGCATAGCCCCAAGGCACCGACGCACTTCTTTGACCTATCAGGCCCTCGGCGCGTCCTCAGCCTGTCATCTACTCGACCTTGTTCCTTCGTACTATCCTTTCGCAGTGACACGAATGAACAGCAGTGACGGTCACCGATCGCCGCTTGATCCACGTAGCTTGCGTTCATCGAGTCCTGCCTGCGATGGCCCACGCTCGCGACGACCTGGTTATGTCACGCAAGCTTCTTCATCACCTATCGGTGGGACATTCGATCGTCATGCTCAAGTGCCACCTCGCACCATCAAGCAGGATGAACAAGATATCAAAGCCAGAATGGCACGCATGCGGATGCTTCCCGCCGGTGGAACGCGCGCAAGTCCAATAGATGAGAGGCAGACGGGTCCCAAACGACGTATGACCAAGCATGCTGCAGCTCTTGCCTCCTCGTCACCTTCGCCAATGCCTGGCAGTCTACGAGGATCGACAGGCTCGCCGACGTCGCGTCAGAGCAAGTACCTTTATCAACGCAAAGCTAGCACGAGGTCTATGCTTGAACTCAGTCAACATTTCCAGACGCAGAGCAGTGCCCACAGGTCCAGAAGCTCGTCTCCAGTACCGCCTTTTCAACTCATCCCGCCAAAGCGACGAGACTCAGCTCTAGTGCGATCAAAGTCGATGGTATCCCTCGGCTCACGAGCTCAGTCGAAAGCCACGTCGCCGACGTTACCGGTCGCGCCGGTACCACCCAGCACTTTTCATCGCCGTCTGACTCGCACGCAAGAGCCTAATGGCTCCAATTCTCGCAAGCCGAAGGTGCGCCGGTAGACCCTCCGCGCCGTCAGCGCTGACCAGCCCCACTCACAGAAAGTATGGTCCTCATTCAGATCTATCAAGGCACTCTGGCGACAGACCGTCCACGTGGGCGCAGGATCGTCGCCTGATGCTACTTCAACCTATCAGCCTCGCTCGACACGCCGCTCACAACACCAGCCGACTTTGTCTAGCAATCCGCTTCGTGACAATGGTAGCCGGCCGCCGCCTCGACCTCCTAGAGGGAGCTCTTCTCTCTTTGACAATCCAAGACCACCCGCAGTCACCTCTTCGCCCTCTCAAACCCACGGGGCTATACGTCCCGCTAGATCGTCGTCGTTTGCGGCGCTTGACCGACTTGCTCCGCCAACTAAATCGCCAGATTGTACTACGGATGCGGTCTCAAAGCGTAGATCTATGTTCAGACGCACACAATCATTCACAAACATCGCCCAGCGTTTCAAGCATCCATCACGAAGGCAAGACGGTGCGCATATCGCTCAAGAGCGCTCTCGTCCGCTAGAACCGATCCCAGCAACGCCATCGAGCTCCGGCAGCATCGAGGATCAGCTCGACGGCTCTCCAGGCATGTCTGCATCTGATCGACTGATTGCTAGCGATTTGGTCAGACTGCCCTCTTTGAAGATTATCTCAGCTTCGCCTAGCAACTCATCAACACTCATATCTCCACGCTCGTTCCGTCGCGCAATGCGAAGCTCGTATCACGAGCCAAGCCTGCGAACCTCTAGGAGCGATAGTCAGCTCTATACCGGACAAGAAGGTATCCCTGCCTTTCGCGGATCGGCCGCGGTCAGCGAGCTCGACGGTAGCCCAGATTCAGACTTCCTCGATCAGGTCTACGATATCTACTCGGGCGAGTCTGCCGAGGAAGAGGTATCGAAGTTATCCGATGCTTCAGTAGACGTGTCGATGGGTACCGCTGGCACATGTGTGAGTCAGCACGCAGTCATAGCCAAAACGGTACCGGTCACTGCATCTGGCGCCTTTGCGCGCGCACGTCTTCGTCTTTCACGATCATATGGCAATCTCAAGGGGCTCAAGGATACACGAGATTCAATCGCAATGCGAAGGAATCTGCCGCGAACGATACAGAGCCCATCGCGCATTTCGAATGCGGTCGACTCCCAGGCACCTTATGCACACTCTAGAATATTGGATGGTGCGTCATCGATGACCTGCGCTCTGCAAGCTGATGAGAGGAACAGACATGATTGGCGCTTACGGTGGCAAACGTTCTCAAGAGAGCGAAGCACTATCGGACAATGCGATGGAAGAAGTTCTGCTAGGTTGCACGTATCCACCTGTCATCGAAGCCGTCGCTCTCACGCCGAAATCCGCACGCACGAGATCACACAGTGCCGTAGAAGATGCCGAAGTCGCGTCACATTCTGGCAAACGTGCAAAACGTCATGGCACGCTTCTGATGCCCGTTGTGCCGCTACCATAAACGCAGCACATGCAGATCAGCCTGAGTTCAGCCGTCACGGCTGTTGCGCTTGAGCAAGAAGGCCTTTACGGGATCGGCGGACATGACACTTTCCCACTTGCATGAGCAGCGGTCGAAGCCGGGCCTGCTCGGGTGCATATGTGGACGATTGCGCGCGCGACATTGTCTGTGCGAACAGCATGCATATTCAGATAGGAAAGTATGGCTAGACCTGCTTGACGGCGATGCCCGCGCACTCTAGCTTGCTGCGATGCAAGGCGTCAACGGCTACTATGATCCAGCAAAAGGACTGACATGTCCGCAGTCACTGGACGATAGCCGGTCTTGGCCCCGATGAGGCTGAATGAGTGTAGCACTCCAGTCGGTGAGTGGTTGACCTGTATGTTGAAGGTGTTGCCATTAAAATTGTTATCTGCGCATCAACATGAATCTGATCTTTGCGTGCCTTGAGGCGTACGCACAATTCATCAGACTGAAGTGGTCGGCTCTTGATGTATCGCCGAAGCCGTAGCCCGAAGAGGTAACGGTCACATGCGGCTGAGGGCTAGATCCCCTGACAAAGAAGCTGTGGAAAGTTTCACTTCAAGACAAGCATAACCAATGACGAATAGACCGCTGACTCTACGTCATATGCCATCGAGAAGATATACATAGCGGGAATATTGCCAGCTCTGCCGGTCAATGTGCAGTCGGTTGTAAAGGCGCGTTTGGTCAGGGACGAAGGCGCGGCGTCGACTGGCGAGGCGGTGCCGGTCAGGGCTAAAGCAAGCATGCTGACTATGAGAAATAGCACGTTCAACATCATGCTCGCCGGATCGTCTCTAGAGAAGCAAAAATTCGCAGCAGAGCGAACCAGCTATCGTCGTGACGGTAACAAGCCAAGAAGTCGCCGATGGTCGTGCAGGCGCCCGTCGTGAGCCGGCTCGATGCTACACGTCGTAAGGACCACCATTTCTGAGAGCGGCGAGATGTTGCAAAAATCCGTTCAGCAGACAGCAGAAGTGGAGATGCCACCAAATGCGCCCGCTGATGTGGCGAAAATGGGGATGATCCCAGTGGCGGATGGCACGTAGCTTTTCAGCGTTGTCAAGTCATGCAGTCCACCAGGATCCACGTTTGAGATGTATTGAGTTGCAGCCAAAGTCTTTGTAGATCAATTGCACTGAAGGAAGTCTGTCACCAACGGGTCGGCACGCGATGTGACCGGGCTTGCAGCCGGAGAGGGCGACTTGATAGCACAGAGGTTGTGCGGTAGCCAGCATGTGGTATGGCAAAGCGCTAGAGGCTGTATAGAGGGGATATTGCGGTCTGAAGACACCAAACAAGGCAGGCGCAACTTGCGCAAAGTGCAAAACGCGCGAAAGCTTTGATCGACAGATCCAAAGGCGCGTTCGAAATCCAGTCACTCGTCGCTGCCATGCATGTCATGCTGCTCAGCCTCTTCGCCCTCTTGCTCTCACTTTCCCAAATAATTTGCTCAAACATCATACAAGTACCGCATCCGTCGAAAACGAGAGCCTTCTGCCTGCAATTCACCGCATGCGAGGCCCGTTGCGAAAGCAAGACACCCAAAGGCCCCTTCGCGTTCACGGCGCGAGTGACGGCGCCCGAATGGCGTGGATATGCCAATCTCCAGCCGGAAAAGTGCACAAGGACTCACATGAGCTGTGTGAGTCTCGGATCACCGCATAGCAGCAAAGCTCAGGTTCCGATCTAGTCCGATGGCGTGCATTGCGAGGCTTCACTGGACAAGGCGGACCCTAACGATCAGCGTGGGCTCCTCTGCTTGGTGTGATTTCAGCCGCTAAGACCGCGACAGTGTGGATCATGAAGATGGTGCTACGCCACACCACCCAATGGCTTGTGGCTCCTGATCCGCGCGTTGAGGAGTTGATGAAGAAATGCTGCGACATACGCTATCTACGCACCTTCGACGCTCGCCTCATCGCTCGTGGGCTTCACAGACGTCGCTTCTCGTCGTGCCTCTTGACCTGAGCGCGCAGGTGACCCTCTCACCTTTTCGGGAGAGACCATCTCGGCATTCTGCGATTGGAAGGAACACTTGGACCATGCAGCATACTGCCGCGAGCATTTCCACAGCTTCGTCATGTGTACACTTACAAGAGCAGCGTACCCATGCATCTCTGACGGCGTCCGCAGGGCCACTCGAGTGCGAAGTAGAAGTCGACACCTGTCGGGTCATACAGGGCCGTTTGGAATCCAACAAAAAGTGTCAGTGGCGCGACAAGGCAGAGGAAATGTTCCTAGAGCACCCGGACGACTGCTCTGAAGGCTGGGATTCGGACTCAGATACATTGTGACAGCAGACTTCGACCGCATTTCTAGATGCGTAGCTTGACCTGGCCGCAAATGGTGTAGGCAGACATGCAGGACATGTCGACTTCAGCATTGTTCAGGCATTATCGCAACCAGTATGCCTATAGTCTGATCTAGGATTGCATTTGCCGACCTAGCAGGTCGCAAGATTGTCGGGCGTGCATCCGACGTAATCTTTCGGCTGCCACACGGGTACCTCTGGTCGGCCAGGCGTGCCGCAAACCAGACCAAACGAAACTGGATATTGCGGGTTTGAGTACGTAGACAGGCACAAAGGGGTCTTTGCTTGCCTTTGGGCATGAGCCAGAGATGTCGGAAGTCTTGGTAGACAAACTGGCCGAGGACGGCGAGTTTGAAGTAGGTGAAAGCGGGATCGCTATAGAGATCCACGTCAAAGACAAAGCGATGTGACAGTACATCGCCATCGACTAATTTCAGTCAGTACTCGGCCGTATGCGAGCATGCAAACATACAATGGAGACTCGTCTTTGTCCACTTTGCATTCTTGAACTGCGCCGGGTTGGGGTCATTCTTTGATGTCACGACGAGTGGACTGTCGATCGTGTTGACGACGCCAATCTGTAGGGCTCAGATAAGGTCAGTCGACGGAGCAGGCTGTGGTGACATACACGACCGCCGCCGTCAGTGAAAGAGAACCCGGTGGCAAAAGTTCCGAGGCTGGTAGCGAACAGCATGGTGCATTGGCCCGTAGCAACAGATCGCTCTGTGAGTTCACTTTGAACGGCGGCAGGATGAGCGAAGAGGCTCGTCGAGCAGAGGACGAGGCAAACGATGATGCTCTTGTAGTTGAACATCGTCGAAGTCGACTACGGATGTTCCTGACGAGTCACTGGGAAGGACAAATCGTGCTGGAGGAGGAGGGAGACAAAGTGTTTTCCTGATGAGATGTCGCATAGATGTCCGCGCTGTGAGGTAGTCAAGCGGAATGTTGGGCGCCGCAAGACCGATCGAGTCCTTGCAGCGCGACGCGAAAGATAGCAAAGTGTCGCATCTGTGTCGACTCGATCCGCCTCGGCGCACCGTCATACGCTCCCTCGCAAGATGGACACTGGCAAGATCAACGTCGAGAATGTGCTTCTGCTAGAGCAGCCTTTCCTCAAGGTGTGTCTCACTCGCTCACGAGCTGTGTGGTGCAATTGACATTGCAGAACAGATCCCATTCGAGCAGATGCGCAAGACGAGCAAGGCCAATCAGCGGGCCATCGACAGAGAGCTCAGCAACATGTCCGACATCATAGCTAAGCGGATGTCTTCCGATACGCCGACAGACCAGCAAGAAGCGCTAAAGACTGTCGAAAGCATGCTGACCAAGATGCTCGCACTCAAACGCAAGGTACGCCTTCGGTCTGGGCATGAGCATACGATCTGACATGTTCTCATCAGGTTGACGACTCCACAAAGACTTACAAGACCGCACAGCATGCCATGCGCGAACGGATCGCTCATCTTGACCAGCTCTACCAGATCGCGTCCGGTTCGTCGCCTGATAGCGAAGCGGCTTATGCGGACTGGCGCGCGATCCGCCTCGCTCGGCAGCTCACCGAATACTTTCATAGACAGTCGTACGAGATCACAGCGAGCATGTACGCAGAAGAAGAATCGATCGAGCCACTTGTCGATGCAGCACTGTACGATGAGATGAGGAGGATAGATGCCGCACTGGCCGAGCGCAAGGTCACCGAAGCACTGTCATGGTGCAAAGAGAATGCTACCGGTCTCAAGCGCATCAAGGTGGGTCACCTGCTGCGAAAGTAGACACGACTGACGTTGCGCGCAGAGCTCGCTCGAGTTCGAGCTACGACTGCAAGAGTTTGTCGAGCTCTGTCGGCTACGACAGCTCGGCCAGGCGATTCAGTATGCCCGCAAGCAGCTTGCGCCATGGCAAGGCACCTACCCGGATGAGATCAAACAAGCCATGGCACTGCTTGCCTTTGCGCCAGATACCAAATGTTTGCCGTACAAGGCAGGTCATCATCATTTGCAGGCGTACTGGCTTACAGACAGCCGAATTCGCAGGACCTGTACGATCTAGCGTGGTGGACTAGGATACAAGCATCTTTCAGGCTTGCTATCTATACGCTCTACGGTCTTCCACCAATGCCTACGCTCTTCCTCCCGCTGCATGCAGGCATGGCAGCTCTCAAAACGCCTGCGTGCACACACAGCGCTACCGAGTTGCGTAACATCAACTGTCCACTGTGCGATGACGAAGCACTTGGTGGTCTGGCTAAAGCGGGCAAAGTGCCCTTTAGTCATCATGTCAATTCGACAATCGTCTGCTTCATCTCTGGCAAAGTCATGCAAGATGACAATGTGCCGCTGTGCATGCCCAACGGAATGATCTACTCCAGCGAGGTGCGTCACTGTAAGAAGAGGACAGCGCAATCTTTGGCTGACGTCTGTGTAGGCGATGCATCGCATGGCTGCCGAGTCGGGTGGCACGGTTCGCTGCCCTCGTACAGGCAAGGAGTATGCGCTTCACGAGCTGAAGAAGGTCTACATTTCATGATCGCTCTCGAATCACGACACATGTTGTTGCACACAGTATGCATTGCAGGTAGCAAAAGAATCAGACATGGTCATATCACGAGGGAGCATCGAGTCACTCTGGCTTGCGCCCGGAAGCTGATCGTTTTTGGAACGATCAGCCTCGACTTTGAGCGATCTGCTCCCTTTTGCGGGACCGTGTGTCATCCTATGTGAGCGCTCTAGGAGAGAAGGAGTCCGCTGATCAAGAGTAGTCCGAATTGAGTTATGCGCACGCTCTGGAAGAGCATGTGTGGGTAGCACACCGCGGATTGCACTCAAGCCGCTTCGCTGTCCCGATGGATGGGACGACATCGCAATCGTGAAACAAGCAAAGGGCAGTCCCTATGCACCATTGCCAATCTGATCAGACTTCTTATCTCCCTCGTCTTCCTTTTGAGAAGCGTCTTTGGGAAAGTAAAGAAGCAAAGACCAGAGGTATTTCTGGTAGCGCACGCGTATCGAGATGACCGATCGGCTCGTCTCGAGCTCTTGTCACTGCCGTCTGCCGTCCACGAACCCTTGCGGGCGCTTCTGACTCGACAGGACGTAGCCAATGAAGGGCACGAGGCACCGACATTGAGGGACAGTTTACTCGGACCTTAGCCCCTTTGCGAGAGGTAGAGACAAGGGGCAAAGTCTCTTGTGTGTAGCAAAGTACCGCGGTCTTTGATCAGCGGACTCTTCAGAGGTTATAAGGACGAACGAGATTGAGTCATTTTTCACAGGCGGAGGCTGGTACGCCACGTGGCAGCATCTTGGTGTGAGAGAAAAGCGTCAAGAGTGCCGTCTCGCAGGGCTGGGAGCGCATTCGTGTCGGCTCATCCAAGCGGTCAGGCACTCGACCGACAGACAGCTAGCTCCCTCACTCGCGCTCTTGATCCGCGGACCACTCTGCAGTCAAACGACACAAGGCGAACGCGTCTACGCCGCCCTGAGCCTATCGTACGCCGGAGTCGCAACTGGGCTGGTTCATAGCTCCAGTAGCCTCAGATCGGTCTGCCGGTCCATTTTGCTCGTGTCAAATCGGTCCGTACATCGATTGAAGGCTAGCTCACACCTGGCGGCAGAAGTGCGGTGACGATCTGAGCTTCACACAGCTCGAGTGACGCCGTCTTGTCTCCTTTGCTCGCCACTCGTTCAGCTTGCTCTGTCTATATCTTGTCTGGTCTCAATCCGCTCGTACTGACATCTGTCGACCTGGTGATACGTCAAGAACGGCTAATCGAGCTGCTCGGCTCATTAGTGTCCACTTGGCAGCTCCTCCTGCGACGATCAGCTCTTATTGGCACTGCCAACGATCCACTGCCCGCATCGGACTCAAACACGCAGAAACCCGCTGTGGAGCTCAGACGAGCTCTCTCTGACGTTCAGACATCAGCACGATACCGATCTGATTAGCATCACCGGCGGTCTCGCGACAACGACGTCATGTCGTCCGTGACGCGACGGAATCATACTCAGCCAACTGGCCTACCCACACCTCCGCACTATACCACCGTCAGGCAGGACAGCGGACGAGAAGTCATCGTCATCGAAGATACGCCGCCAATCGAGACACGGAGTGCGAAACGAGCTCGTCATTCTGGCTCATCCGCTTCTGGCGCTTCCAATCTTGCGACCCGCGCAGCCTACACGTACAGAGACCCGCCGTTTCGCACTAGCTCAAGTGCAACCAACGGCAGAAATGGTGCACGGACAGAGCAACAGGCCCAAGCGCCGCCTTTGACCAACGGCTATGCCGCAAAGTATCAGGCCGCTCAGCTACCTGCACAAGTCCAACAGCTCGCTCATGCGGGACCCTCGAACGGCATGGGTGTACCTGCTGCTCCTGCCGCCAAGCCGGCAGCTGTCGCTTCGCGGAAGAGGAAAGTTGCGCAAGAGACACCCGCGAGCTCTTACGCTTCGCGCGTACCACCGCCACCGATAGCGAGCAGCTCAGCGCTACCCTGTGACGACAAGGAAGGCCATTTTATCGTCAGACCTGGCGAATTTCTCGATAGGGGGAGATGTCGGTCACACTGCGTTTGAAAGCGTGCGAAACTGATTACGCTCATGCTTACAGACAGAATCATCAGATTGCTAGGTCAAGGTACATTCGGCAAGGTTGTCGAGGCCTTCTATTTCAAGGAGCAGCGCACTGTAGCCGTAAAGATCATTCGCGCGATCCAGAAGTATAGGCAAGTCGAGCCGGCGCAATTAGGATGAATTCTGACTGCGCTCTCGAGCTGTAGAGATGCCAGCAAAGTCGAGATCAAAGTCCTCAATCTGTTGCGGGAACGAGATCCGAAAAACTCGAAGTACGTTCACCCTACGCGCGATCACGCTCAGCTGACTTGGACGCTAGCAAATGTATTCACATGCTCGACTGCTTCGACGATCGAGGGCACATCTGCATTTCTTCTGAGCTGCTGTCTGTCAGCGTTTTCGACTTCCTCAAAGACAACAGCTATGCGCCATTTCCCGATAGCCAGATACAAGACTTTGCACGACAGCTACTCAGCAGTGTAGCTTGTGCGTCCGGCGCTTCTTCATCGCGCAAAGCTGATACAGCTACAGTCGTACATGATTGCCGACTGATCCATACAGATCTCAAGCCAGAAAACATTCTACTTGTCGACAACGATGCCAGAGACGTACCGCTCAAGCGTGGCTCCTCGAAGACTAAGAAAGTACTGCGGTCATCAGAGATAAGGCTTATCGATTTCGGAAGCGCGACTTTTCAAGACGAATACCATGCGAGCGTCGTTTCGACCCGGCACTATCGCGCGCCGGAGATCATACTAGGCAAGCCTGGCTCTCTTGCTGCCAGCACATGCTGTGCTAATGCTGCATGCAATGTGCAGGTCTTGGCTGGTCGTACCCTTGCGACGTCTGGTCAGTCGGCTGCATACTCGTCGAGTTCTATACCGGCGAAGCATTGTTCCAGACGCACGAGAACCTCGAGCACCTTGCAATGATGGAAGTCGTGTTTGGCCGGATGCCTGCTCACTTGCAAAGAGCAGCACAGTCAGTGCTCTTCGTATCGCTCTCATACGACGAGCTGATCATGCACGTATAGACGAGCGAGGCCGGAATGGTTCCGGCCAGACAAGAAGCTTGACTTTCCTCAGTCAAGCACATCCAAGCAAAGTCGGAAATTTGTAAAGGCGATGAAGCCCTTGAGAGTGAGTCGGACATCAATCAGCATCTGGGACTTATGCTAACAGTGTCGGATCTGCAGGAGATCGTGCAGCCGACCTCGATCGTGAACCACCGGTTCCTCGACTTGCTTGAGAAGCTGCTCACCTGGGACCCGAAAGAACGGCTCACCATCAGAGAGGCTTTGACGCATCCTTACTTTGCGCTCAAGATAGACGACGAGGGCTCGGCAGTAGCTCAGCCAGCACCGTAGTGATGACCACTTTTCATCGGAGTTCCAGAGTAATGAAGGGCTGCGGTTTCACTGTAGATCCGATGCACTTTCGCAAAGAGCAGCATTCTATGCAACATGGCTTGTCTATTTGTATTACAAGCGTGTTCGTCTAGTCTGGCAGTTCGCGCTCGACGAGTCTTGACCAAGTCGAGTCCTTCCACTCTGTAGATTTGACAATCGCAAACACCTCGTCTTCCTCTAGTCCGTATGCCTCGTAGACATCTTGCGGCGTGATCTGGCTCTCGGGTACGCCCTTTGTGCGCGAGGCTATCGCTCTACCACCAGCATCGGTACCTGCAAAGATTCGTTCGAGGGCATCACTCTCGGGATCGAACAGTCTGGGTTCCATGGCTTGTAGCAGGGCTAGCGCGAATCGAAAGAGGAAGGAATCGCCTTCGAGCACAAAGACGTCGAAAATGCGCGTGCAAAAGTCCAAGGGCAAGAAGGGCGTATAGAGCGTCGTCAGCCAGGGTCCGAGATAATAATTCGGTCTGACATCGTGTGCGACAAAGTTGCGATAGACTTTGGGCATCGTGTCGGCCAGCAGCGTACCGAATATGCGATAGTATGCCTCTATCTGTGTGCCAGTCTGGTGCTCAAAATCGGAAGAGCTCGAGCAGAGCTTGACTTACCTCGTCTGATACACCTGCATAGAAAGACTTGAGGCAGCTCTTGTTGACAAGATTGACAAGAGCGACAAAAGCTTCGGGCGGTGGCATGGAGATGAGCAGCATGGCAGCTGGAAAGCATATCCCGGGCGCATAAGACGGTCGATCGCGCCAGAAGACGCTATGAGCGAGCAAGAGATTCCTGAGATCGGACCACATGGGGCCGTTCTCTTTGTCGAACAGCTTTATGTTGGGCATCGTCCGTGAAATGTCATGGTCGATCATGATGAGGATCTCTTCTGGGTATGTTGAAGATGTGAGTAGTCGACTGACTAGCTGATGTGCCTTTGCATACGATCCTGCGGTCCTCAGTCAGCAGATGTGCGACAAAAGATGAGAGGCAGAGACCTTTGCTGATGGCGAGACCATTACCGATACAGAGACTCCATAGATTGGCACGATACCGTACGGGCATGGTGCCACTCCACCAGACATCTCTGAGCTTCGCGCTCGATCCCACCGCATGCCAATTGGGCAATATCTCCTTTTCCCAAGTAGAGAAAGCCTCGGCCGCTGCTCGATCTCTCGCCTGCTTCCTTATTGCTGCAGCTGCACGTTTCTTCTTCTCTGTCTCCTTTGCTGCTATACGCATGTGATCCAGTTGTTGCAAATGCTTCTGTTCTTCCAGCTTGCTCTTGGGAGGCAGATGATGTGGTCGAGTGGAAGAGACGACCTGCTGGAGTACAGTCGCCTTCGTCGCCGGCTTGGTGGATTTTGTCTTCTTGAACGTGTCGGTGAACGCCTGCGAAGTCTGCACAGAAGCTCTTTCTTGCTTTGGCGAGCGCTGCAGGCTTGGCGATCGAGTATGCCGGGGTCGAGTGGGACTTCCGTCGATCTTGATGGGCAGGATGCCGTTGCCGGACATACGTTTCTTGTGCGTCGCTTTAGGGGAAACATTTGGCTCTTCGGCTTTATGTTCGATGGCTGCTTTGTCCTGCACTGTCTTTTCAGACACGTATCGGCCGTTGGTGCCTGCAGCGCTGAGCTGGAAAGCTTTCTGTGTATCTGGTGATAGCCTCACAGAAGTGAATGCGCCGTCCAGTGGTGCACTGCGCTCGTGTGTAGGCGAGTCGGTCGTCGTTGGTTGCGAGACAGACGCGTAGGCATTGTACCCCTCATCTTCTGCAAAGACATAAGGCGTCTCTGCGTGCGAGAAGGAAGACGACGGGGACGAAGAAGGCTGTCGTGTGCTTTGGGCGGACTGCCACGTCTGATCATGCATGCCCAATCTGCCCAGTGCTCCTGCAGAACCGGGCCTATCGCTCAATGCACTGTCGTGTCTTTGCCGTATTGCTAGGCCAGGTCGGGAGGGCGTCCCTCCGTTTGCGAGCGAGCTTCTTGAGCTACTGCGGCGTGATCTGTTTGGTGTGTGTGGCTCGCTCGAGGATGAGATGAGACTGGGCCGTCGCTGTCTTGTCTCAACATAGCCATTGGCCGTCGGACTGGCAAGCTGCGGCGACCCATTGGATCGGTGAGACGTTGCTAGTCGTAGCGCTTGGGCAGATACAGCCAAGTCCTCATCATAGTCAGTCGAGGGTAGCGGTCGAGTAGCAAGTGACAGCTCCTCTGGCGTGCGAGTATCATCATCGTCCTCATCAGCATCAGACTGCCGCCTGGACAGCGCCGGTGAGCTCAGCACACTCGTCGGAGGCGTCCTGAAGTCGTCACTCTCGTCCATCGCTTGCCTACCTCCCTCGCCCGCTCGCCCTTTGGATCATTCTCGGTTCGACCGATAAAGACGACGAGACCAAAACAGGTTGCAAGTCGAGTCGAGCTGACTTGCAGCTGATCACCCAGACCCCCTTCAGACCATGGCAGGCGCAAAGAATCCCATGGAGGCCAAGCGAAAGCAAGACAAGAAGAAGCAACTCGCCAAGAACAAAGCAGCCAGGACTGAATCGAAGCAGAACAAGCTCCTCAAGGCAGATCACCGTACCATTGACGCCGAGATCAGGACTCTCTCTGCTACGAGTCAGCTCCTCAATCACATCACTGCACGAGAGATTCTCATGGGACAGCAGGCAGTCTCTCTGCGGAGGACACAGAGCGATTGGCCAGTCTCAAGAAAGAGTCAGAGAGGATCCACAAAGCCAAAGAAGCTTATCTCGAGCAACACCCCGAAGCAAGGTCGAAGCTCTTTCCGGCTGCTTCTACCTCCGCACCTCGTCCTGGACCTTCCCTACCCGTTATAGACACGAAAGATCTCTATGACTCGACAGGCAAGCTCAAGGATCCCACACGAAGCGCGTATTATGATCCTGTCTTCAACCCCTTTGGCGCTCCGCCGCCTGGCATGCAATACAAAGAGCGAGGTACTTCTTCTGCGTCTGGCGAAGAGACGATCTGAGAGTGAGATGACGCAGAGGATGCGCCGCCGTTACCCCAGATTGACGCGTCCAGCGAGGATGGATCCGACGAGTCGCAGCAAGATGAGCAGAGCGAAGCAGATTCGGATGACGAGATACCCCTTCCATCAGGTCCTCCCCCGCTTCCACAAGGTCATCTAGCTGCTCGTGCACCTTTATAACCGGCTGAGACTCGTTGCCCGCCTTCAGGAGTACCCGATCAGCCTGTTGAGTCAGAATCAAGCGATGAGGAGTTTGAGATACCTATGCCAGCCGGACCGCCTCCACCCAAACGTGAGCTTTGCCCGACCTCTCCCGATGCTACAAGCTGACCCGCACGACAGACATCGTCCAGCGGCCGATTCAGACGACGGCACCTCCTCGCCCAACATTTGTCCCGCCAAGACCGCTTGCACCTCTACCTGCCAAACCCACACTAGCAGCAAAGGCAGCTCAAGATCCCACTCGTGCGCCTATCACCCAAGAAGAGATCAAGAGAGCAGCTGCATCTGCTACAATATCCGCTGCGCCGCAAATTCGCGATCTTAAAAAGGAAGCCACCTCATTTGTGCCGTCGGCTCTCCAGCGCAAGCGCAAAGCCGACGAGTGACGAATGCATCTTCCCTCCATCAGATCTCGCCGAAATGCTCGGGCGCCGCGTTGGAGCATTGGGTCTGTTCTGGCGCGGGCTGACCGCTGATCGAGCCATCTGACCAGATGCACCTCCGATTGTTATTGAGCCTGCCAAAGTCGCCTTGACAAGCGTTCACTTCGACATTGCAATCTGTCAGACCCCCTGTACACGTTGTCAGGACCAATATTGCCTGCTCCCAAGCAACCTACACCAGGTCCGCCCAGAGAAGACTAGATCGCAATGTGGCGCCGCACCCCGAGAGCCAGGATCGCAGAAGACTAACACCTCCCAAAACAGCTGGTCAGCTGGGGCGCCTGCGGCACAATGGCTGATCAGTCTTCTCTGGCCACTGCGATGGTGACTTTGACTCAGCCGACTTGCCTCTGTAGAGTACGGTTTCGAAGGTACGGCGCATGATGATTTTGCAGCACTCCTCTATCGCCTTTGCTCCCAACATATCGCCCGACAGGAACTTCCCAGCCTGTAGGGTCACAGGAGTCAACTCATCCTGGAATCAAGGGAAACAGCATGCGTGCCTCGAGCTTCATCTCTGCTTCTATCAGCCAGGTGACTTTGCTCGGATCCATCTCGGACGGTTTTGCGCGGCAGACGAGACCTGTCGAACAACTGGCATTGCTGATCAACACCGCAGTGCGATTGCGGCAATTCGAGGTCACCTCATGCAGTTGGGCATCGTGTCCTGCTTATTCGAGAAAAGGTCCATGTGTCCCCGAAACTTCGGCCCGGACAGTTCAAGCTTGAGATTGAAAGGATGACCGAGCTCCCTGACGCTTGAGCACGTCATTTGGCAAGACGTCGTTTCGAGGCAGAAGGATCGCGAAGCGACTGGTCCGCCTGGCCATGCCGTTGTCGAGTGCGGAAGAGATATGAACAGGCCAAGAAGAAGCCACAGCATCATTCATGCAAATTTGAACGCTGCAAGGCGGCGTCATGGAGACGAGGGGACCCGACGTGTCAAAGAGATCTTCCCCACAGCGACACGCACTCCATTTAAGCTTAATCAGAGCTATCACTGGCCCATACGGTGGAAGACATCGTCCGGCGGTCGCTGCAGACAGCAGCATCACTAGGCCAAATACTCGTCTCGCCACGGTCAGTTGCGCCTTTACCCGGCAGCGTCATATTAGCAGCGAAAGCAGTCGAGCGCTCAATCCCGTACTCATCACCCAAGCAGAGATGGGCAAGCAGCTACATTTGCTGCAATATCCGCTGCTGCGCAATTCGCGAACTGAACAAGGCAGCCACCTCATCTGTGGGGTTGGCTCTCCGGCGACATTGTAGAGCCGACGAGTTACGAATGCATCTGGGCTCCATCAGATCTCGCCAAAATGCTCGGGCGCCGCGTTGGAGCATTGAGTCTCTTCTGGCGCGGGCCGAACGCCAGTCGAGCCATCTGACCAGTTACACTTCCGATTGTCGCCGAGTCTGCCGAACTCGCCTTCACAAGCATTCGTTTCTACTCTGCAATCTGCCAGACCCCCTGTAGACGCTGTCCAGGTCCTACGTCGCATCCTCAAAAAGTGACGCACAAGAAGTTCGCTCTGAAAAAATGAGCTCGCAGTGCGGTGTTGCACCCCGGACTGTAGGATCGCAAAAGATCAATATTTGCCAGAAAAGCTGGTTTGCCGGGGCGCCTGCGATGCAAAGGTGGATCAGTCATATCATCGTACGGCGACATCGCGTCCGGACGAGCCGCCTTGCCTTTGTAGAGTACCGTTTCGAAGGTACGGCGCATGATGACATTGCAGCACTGCTCCACCGCTTTGGCCGCCAACAAGTCGCCGGAGAGGAAGCGTCCGACCTAGACAGGCTGGATGAGCTTAGCAGCTTTCTGGTGGCAAGGGGCACAGCATGCGTGCCTCAAGCTTCATATCCGCTTCCATTAGCCAAGTGAGTTTGCTCGGATCCAGCTCGGACGGTCGTCCGTGGCAGAAGAGCCCTGTCGAACAACTGACATTACCAGTTAACACCGAAGTGACCAAGCAACCTTTGATGTCACCTCATGCAATTAGGCATCGTGTCCTGCTTATCCGAGTAGAGCTGCATGTGTCCCCGAAACTTCGGCCCGGACAATTCAACCTCGAGATTGAAGGGATGACCAAGCTCCCTGACGCTTGAGCACGTCATCCGGCAAGGCGTCGTTTCGAAGCAAAAGAATCTCGAAGCGACTGGATGGCCTGGATATGCCGTTGTCGAATGTAAAAGAGATATGGACAGGCCGAAGAGAAGCCACAGCATCATTCGTGCAAATTTGAATGCTGCGAGGCGGTGTCAGGGAGACGAGAACATCTGACGTGTCAGGTAGATCTTTCCCGAATGCGCGCGTCGTCAAGCATCACTTCAGTCGGCGTCAGCTGGTGTTCAGGAGCAATTCTAGCATGCATGAGTGGACTCAGCACAACGCTACTGCGGCGCGTCATCGCAAACGTCAGGTACCGGTGCGGGACGACGGTCAACAGTGCCATCGGACCACCTGCACTTTTTGCCTCGCGTGAGGGCGCCAAACTCGATTTGACATGAGCTGTCTATGGTTTCGCAATCCCTGAGAGACCCTGCAAGTGACAGGTGACATCAGCGTAGTTTTGCAAGATGAGATAGGCGTACAAGTGGTTCGCTCCGAGAATAGTAGCCCGCAGTGGGCTGACAGCGCATTTCGAGGATCGCAGATCATCAGGAATGTTTCCGACCTTAGTCTCGCAGACTCAGCTGCAGGTTCATCAATCTCGGGACCGGCGAATGAGCGGCTGACATGGCCGACCTTTGATCAGCCGGACTTCGAACTGACGGCGCATGACGACACGACAGCAGTCTTCCATGAGCCTCTTGGCGAGCAAGTCACCGGACGGCATCTCTGTCACCTATCAGCTAACATCAGGATGTGCACAAGGATGAAAAAAGGTTCATGAACAGCAAGCCTGATGTCTGCCTGCATCATCCAACTGACCCCGCTCGGGTCCATCGCAAGAGGCCATGCTCGGCATTTGAGAGGCGTTGTACAACTTCAGGCGTCCTTCAGGTTTTGCGTCACGTCAAAGGCCCAAGAATGCAGACCTAATGCAGCCTGGATTGTTTTTGGGTCGATTCGTAATCAGACTGAGATAGCCCCTGTAACGTTCCAGACCAAGCTCCAGGGTGAGAGTAAAGGGATGCTCGTAGATGCTCTTTCTCGCGCAGGTCAGACGACAAGCTTTGGCTTCGTAGCAGAACAGCCTGCTTGCGACGGCGGGTTGTGGCCCCGCCCATGCTGGTGTAGAGAGCAAAGCGAAGAAGTATGGCAAGAGCCACGTGTTCATTGCTGTTCGATGGCTTTCTGAGAACACGAATGGGCAGTAGATCTGGCAGCGAGGCGAACCCGAGCTCCGGCTATTTCCTGGAATTGAATATTGCGATATTGCAAACGCGTCAACTTTTGCCATGTTTCATCCATGATCTGTCATGCCAACGCGCTCGCGCCTCCATGCGCGAAGGACCTTCTACACGAGCATCGGTTCTCGCAGCTTAGACAATGCATCCAGGCATTGCATACATGCATACGCCAGGCCCGGTAGAGCCGTATTTGTGTGACTCTCCTAAGTATCTAACCCCTAGATTACCGAAGGCTATTTGCCACGTATGCGCCCCAAATTGACAAGCTATCGTGCGAATGACTGTCTGAATCATCGAGTGAGACATCTGGCTACTGCGGGGCGTCCGGGCAGGCAGGGTAGGCATCTGGCACTGCTGATGGCCGACTAATAGTGCCGTCGGACCATTTGCACATTCGTCCGTGTGTAAGGCTGGCAAAGTCAGCTTGGCATGAGGTATCGATGGATTCGCAATCGCGCAAATCCCCTGCACATGGCATGTAACTTTAACAAAGTCATAAAAGGTAAGCATTGGACAGTCATACAAGTGGTTCGCTGTGAGAAGAGTAGTCCGCAGTGTCCTGACATCGCATTGCGAGGATCACAGATCATAGTGACCGTTTCAGAGACGAGCCTTGCAGGTGCAGCTACTCCACTATAAGTCTCTTGACATTCGCAACCTGATCGTATGTTAATACGCACCTTTGCGCAGCTGGACCTCGAAACGACGGCGTAAAACCACATGACAGCAGTCTTGCATAAGTCTCGCAGCGAGAGGATCGCCAGAAGGAATTCCTGTGACCTATGAAGCGCGAATGTCATTCGCGCACAAGATGTGCAGAGACTAGCGTACAGCGAGCCTGACGTCTGCTTCCATGACCCAATTGACCCTGCTAGGATCCATCTCTTGTGGACGAGCGCGACATCTGAGGGGAGGAGTGCAACTACTGGGTACTGTTAGACTTGCCATGCCCAGCCTAGCATACTGACCACATGCAGCTCGGGACATCTTCGGGCCTGTTTGAGATCAAGGTGAGGTAGCCTTCGTACGCCGATGTACCAAGCTCTAGGTCCAGAGTGAACGGATGATCATAGAGCTTTTTGCTGGCGCAGGTCAGACGACAAACTTCGGTTTCGAGGCAAAATAACCTCGTAGCGACGGCGGGATGTGGCCCTGCCACGATTGGGCGAGTCTGGCAAACAAGAAGACAGACCAAGAGCCATATCAACATTGCTATGAGAGAAGGTATGCTGCAGAGAAGAGCGACAAAGCCGGATGAATGGTAGCCACGATGAAATTTATTCATCGTAACCTTCGCGCGTCGGAAATTATCGTACGTTTTAGATGTCAGACTTTGTCAAGGAGCAATCTTCCATTTCAGCCACACATCTGCTGTTCCCTGACCATCAAGCTAGATTGGCGCATGTGCACATGCGTCAGGCTCGGGTCTGGGTCGAACACTGGTCGATCCATCTGGCCACCTGCATTGTCTGTTCTTGAGCGTGGTGCCGAACTCTACCTGGCAGGTGTCGGTTTCGTATTCACATGCCGTCATATCCCCTGCACTTGGTCAAGAAGATCGTCTGTGAACAGGATTGGACGTGCTCACAGGCTGTGCGCTCCGAGAAGAGCAAGCCACAGTGCCTAGACCCCGCGAGGATGGGGTCGCAGACCATTGTCACGTATTGCTGAGACATTACGGCGGGCGTGTCTGTCAGCTAATCAGTGCGTGTCTGACCGTCATGTTGCTGTGAACCGACCCTTAAACCGCTGAATGTCAAAATGGCGGCGAAGGAAAATTCGGCAGCAATCGTCTATGAGTCTCTGGGCGAGAAGATCACCGGATAAAATCTTTCGGACCTGCCATGTTACAGCTGTTGTCAGCCATACATTGGCCATAGTGCAGTCTCCGCACAGTGAGCCTTCGGTCTGCTTCCAGGAGCCAATCGATCCTGCTAGGATCCAGAGGTTGCGGATAAGCTCGGCATTTCAGGGGCGGCGTGCAGCTTAGTCCGAGTGTTAGATCGAGAAAGCTTGTCTTGTGGGCGATGCGTACATCGCGCAATTCTGCACTCTGCTTCTTGGAGACGTGATGAGATCCATGTGACCTCTATAATGTGGAGCTTCGAGTTCCAATTCGATATTGAAGGGATGGCCTTGTTCCCGCTTGCTGGCACAAGTCATGCGGCAGTATGTTTGCTGCAGGCAGAATAGCCGCGAGGATGTGACGGTATCCAGCCAGGCTGCTGCTGCTGACAGTGGAGACGCCAGCAAACAAACGACCAGCCATAGCATGTTCGCAGTGAGGGGGTAAAGAGGCGTTGCACAGCAGCAGCAGCAGGCCGACAGGAGTTCATCTGAGGTTGAGCGATGACGGCATTTGCAATGTGAATTACATGCGCCCTCCGCTCTTCAGCGGGAGAGGTTAGGGATACTTATCGGTCGGATGAAGGTTAATAGTCGGCATCATCACTCCGGACGGCTGCGAATCCGATCATGTCATCTTGTCGTCGAGTTCAGCACGGGGTGCAGATGTCGAGACTGCACTCACGCGTGTAGTCGAGATAGATACACAATCGTCTGAGAAGCGCATTGCCATATATTGCGACTCGTAAGGGTGACCTGTTGTTTTAACATCAGTCCGCCGAATCGACTTCGTCATGGCTTCACTTGCTTCCTGAAGAACGTGCAACGCTGACCGGCTGTGGGCGTACGAGGGCAGGGTATGAGTATGTCTTCGAGTCTCAGTTCGAAAGTATGCATCCCAATGTCGAAGCGTATATTGCGACCAAACGGAACGCCCTGAGGAAACACGAGAAGCGATGCTGCGCTGTCGTACACCGAGCCCGGATGTAGTCGAGTAAGGAGTTGAATCGAACTGCTCGGTAAGTAGACGAGGTATGCGCCAGTATCGATAAGCCCGGGAGAAAATACTTCCAGCTCTGGCCAGATCAGTCTTGCTGCCCGCATGCCTTCTCCTGCTGTATCATCGCGACGTAGCCAGGTGACAGTACCTAGTGCATAGCGATAATTGGGAGCACCAAAGCTCAAGAGTTTGCCGAGGACTATTGTAGCCACAGCCAGACTGATTCGGCCTTCAGCTTGTGCGCCAAGCACGAAAGGCTGCAAACCAGCGGGCGCGATTTGTGATTGGCCTTCGAGAAGCTCTTGCATGGCCTGGCCGGTTCTCAAGCCTAATATACCCGAAGCGCCGCCGAGCCTGCTTTCGTTAGATGGCGAATGTAGCACGAATGGTACCCGCCTCACACGCTACTCCAGGACTGCGATGGTTCATCTATTGCAACGAGAAAGGTATTGAACGGTCGGGTCGGCGGAGGCCATTGCCGCTTATCTGATCTTGAACAATCCATCCGTGTATAGGCTGGGTTGAGGCGTATCTGACGGTATAAGGTATAGTCGTATTGATCGTCGAGCTTGACTTGACAAAACAGGCTGAGGGCAAAATACCCGCTACGATGAAAGCACTGCCGACATCGATGGCCATCGTATATGCAGTCTTGCCTATCGTCATTGGAACGGTGAAGAGCATTTGCTCGCCAAGACGTTGCGCGCTAAATTTCCGGCTCGGTCAGCAGGGCAGTGTCATGGGCTCGTATGGCTCACGACATGCGCCATTCGAGATCATTTGCATGACTTTGTGACAGTATGCTGTAAATGATGCATAGCAGCGCAAACCACATCGTGTCGAGTTGGCCCCAAATGCAGAGTTAAAGAATGAGCCTGAGATGTGAGGAGTCGCAGGACACAATTGCTCGAAGAGTCCGACAGGGGCGCATTATGGATGTTACACATCGGGGACAATCTTGGAAAGGCCGCTCGGAAAAGAATGACCGAAGAAGCGACTTTCTCAAATCGCGCCGATCTTATGACCTCATTGCCCTTATAATGTCCTTGCCTGTCACACTGCGCAAACCTGTCTGGCCTTCTCCTTTCCACGTCTTCGCTCCCTTGACTCCGATCTCTTCGTCATTCTGCCCTCCTTCGCCGCTGCGTCGTTGCCATGGCATCTCATTGCCACGTTGCGACCAGCAACTCTGATAGATTTGCTCTCGTCCCTACTGAAGTTTGTCGAAACCATGAAATACACACTAGCGATCGTTGGTGCACTTTTCTCACTTGTGTCAGCTCTGCCAGCAGAGACGACGACAGCTTTGAGCGAGCGTGCGCCCGATATCGCCCAGCAAGCCGGTCCTCAAAAGTGGGGCGATGCAGTAGGCAACACACACTGCTATTTGCGTGCCGATCTCGATAAAACAAGTCAGCCTGCTCTGTTTGACTTCACTGCCGATTGGAGTCATAATCGCCAGACCTACAACTATATAAACAGTATGCCGTACCGTAAGGGATGAGCAAAACTGATCGGAGCACCTGCAGTCTATACAGACTCCTGGGGTCAGTTTCCGGCGGTCAAGCTGCTCACAGGACCGGATCGCAACTTTGCCAAATTCGACGGTATGCAAGCCACCTACGAGACTTCAACAAACTGACCCCTCACGTAGTGTCCCACTCGAACAAGTATGGCACATGGCGCTGGGTCATCGCTGCCATCTATCATACAGACAAGAATCAGCTCACGTTCGACGTCGATCTCGTGAATACGGAGATTTACGGCTCGCAGTAAGCACTTCTCTTTTGTTTCAGGCCGGGCTGAGCACAGTCCGGCTAGCCTCAAGGCGTGCTGCTCGTTCGGAGTCACTTGCGCGGATGAGAACGGCGTTCAGCAGGATGTGGCCAAGGACTGCGCTTGCTTGAAACAAGATTGATGCGACCGAATGCATATCTCGCTCTGGTCACCTGCCTACGTCTTGCTGATCCCGCCGCGATCTGTATGGTCCTCGTCGTGCCGCAGCACGCTCGGAACCAGACTCCAAGGACGACAAACTTTGTTCGACGTGCTCGCCCGCGGCCTGCTGCAGTACACGAGCTTCGGCAACGGTGACTGCAACCTCGTCGTCCTTGTCCCCCACGCCGCCACGTCGTCACCATGGCATCTTGTTGCCATATTGCGGCCTGACTTTCGGCTTTGCCTCTCTTCCAGCCAACGAATGAAGGTCACAGCAGCTGTGGTCGGTCTGCTCTGCACACTTGTGTCAGCTTTGCCGGCAGAGACGACGAAGACTCTGAGCGAGCGTGCACCCGATATCACTGAGCGAGACGGCTCGCAGAGATGGGGCGGCACAGTAGGCAACACACACTGCTATTTGCTTGCCGATCTCAACAACACAAGTCAGCCTGCTCTGTATGATTTCACTCTTGACTGGAGCTATAGTCGCCAGACCTACGCCGACATAAACAGTAGGCCGTAATCATCAAAGGGGACAAGTTTCAACATAGTTGTCGCAGTCTATACAGACTCTTGGGGCCAGTTCCCTGCAGTGGAATTGCTCTCAGCAATTGACCGCACTTTTTCCAAATTCGACGGTACGCGAGAAGCTCAAGTGATTGATGACATTGACTTTGCATGCCAGTGTCGCATTCGAACGAGTATGGCACATGGCGATGGGTCATCGCTGTCATCTGCTACTTCGAAGACGGCCGTCTCAGATTCGATGTCGACTTCAAAGAGACGGAGATTTACGGCTCGCGGTAAGCACTTGCTTCTCCTTTAGGCTATGCTGAGCACGCCCGCACTAGTCTCAAGAAGTGCTGCTCATTCGGAGTTACTTGTGCGGATGCAAATGGCATCCAGCAGGATATAGGCAAGGAATGTGCCTGCTTGAAATAAGCACAATGCGCCCGATTGCAAGCATTGCTCCTGAGACCTTCCTGCACTCATGCTCTGAGACTACGACGATTCGCGGCTCGAGCCCGATCTCGAGCGCTGACCGCCAATCAGAGCGCATCATCGCGACTATGTGCGTACGGTTCGCAATGCCGCACCGCTTGATGTTGAGATGCATGCAATCTGTAAATGCGACAAAGCCGCTATGTGCGAAAGCTGAGTTCTGCTCAGCCCATGCAGCTTTTCCTCGCTCGCGGAGTGCTGCAGCGTTTGGCGATGACTGTTAACCCCGTCGTGCTTGTCTCCCCGAACACTCCGTGGTCGCCAGGGCATCTGGTCGCTATGTCGCAGCAAGCCGACTCGGATGCGTTTCTCTTGCACATCCGCTGCAATCTGCCAAAACCATGAAGATCACCTCAGCTGTAGTCGCTTTGCTCTTCACGCTAGTGTCAGCGTTGCCAGCAGAGTCGGCGACGGCTCTGAGCGAACGCGCACCCGATGTCGCTAAAGCAGTCGGTCCGCCACAATGGGGTAACAAAGTTGGCAACACGCGCTGTTACCTGCGTGCCGATCTCGACAAGACGAGTCAGCCTGCCCTATTCGATTTTGCTATCGACTGGAACTATGACCGCCAATTCTACGAAGATATCTTCAGTCAGCTTTTGCCCTATGGAAACCTTTCCCCGTATCTGACGGCTCTCGCAGTCTACACAGATTCGTGGGGTCAATTCCCGGCAGTCAAAGAGCTCATTACTGGTCCTCGTCACTTTGCCAAATTCGATGGTATGCAAGTGCGCTGCTACAGAGTTGACAGCATTGACGATTTGGTAGTGTCGCATTCGAACAAGTATGGCACATGGCGCTGGGTTATTGCTGCCATCTACTATACAGACCACGGTCAGCTAACGTTCGACGTCGACTTCGAGAAGACGGAGGTCTACGGCTCGCAGTAAGTGCGCTTGCTGTCATCCTCGGCCGCGCTGAGAGAGCCGCGGCCAGTTTGAAGGCTTGCTGCTCGTTCGGAGTCACCTGTGCGGATGCGGATGGTATCCAGCAGGATATTGGCAAGGAATGTGCCTGCCTGAAATGATTTTTGACACGCCGAGATGCATACTTCGCGTTTGCTGCCCATCCGCGCCTCTATTGTAAGACTACTCGCTGATTGATCATCGTCTGCGACCCTTTCCTCGAGTGTGAATGCAGCGGGTTCGGGCGGTAGTTTGATTACATGTGGAGCAGATTGGCAACAAAGCTGTCGTGCCGAGAGCCTCACAGGTAGGCGCGAGAGCTGCTGAGAGCATCCGTCTGCTTTCCTGCTGACAGGCACAGCGTGTGAAGATCCTTCGGTGAGACGATGTCTGACGGATGAGCCGGCCGGAGCGAGATCGTTGGCCAACTTGTACAGGCTATCGAAAATAGTAGCCACTGATGGTGTCGCTCGAGGTAATGTTGAGATATCTGCTGCTCCTTGTTTGCGCGGGGTGTGCTGATTGATGAAGGGAGCTCTGTTGCGGTACATCTTAGCGTGTGCCATAGACAGCTAGCGGTCTGGAGGCCAAGATGAATGAGCCGCTTGTAGGGCCGCTTGCTTGGCTTGCTTGCATCGACGCGCCGACTTCACGTGCCTTCGTGCCTGGCTGCACCCAGCCTCAATGGCTCTGCGAATGCCCGGCTCACAAGCCGAACGGGATGCCGATCCTTCCATCAAGACGAGCTCGGCGTCGTCGGATCAGCAGCCACGCCGAAGAGAGCAAGATGGCATCGACACCGGCGTGCTCAGACAGCTCGCCAGAGCGGAGCTCACTCAGATCCTCGACAGCGTGTGCTCCCTATCCCTTTGCACCTACGACAGAAGCTCATTGCAAGCTCCAGATCATTGGTGCAAAGACACTGGTGCTTGATCCGTCGCTGGCCGGCCCGCTTGGCTTGGTCGTCGACGTTTCCTCTCTGAAAGCAAGCCTGCTCGATTTCAGCAATGGCGAGACTGACTCCCGAGCAGGAGCACGGCGTGGACAAGCTCTTCTGGCTCGAGGCGGGCGCGCTAAGCCAAGCCCAGAAGAATATCGTCTACCTTTGCCGTCCACAACGCAAGTGGACGGAGATCATCGCAGGTACATCTCGCCATCTCATCTATCCCCATCCGTTCGGATCCAATTAGCCCCTCCTCGCCTGCCGTGCGCAATACTTTGCTTGGAGCGTGGTCAGTAAAGATCCGTAGATCGAGCAGGCTCCTCGCAAACTGTTCAGCGTGATGCTACTCGTGCAACTCGACGCGCTTGCATACACGACGAGCCCCAACATGCAGCCTTTCTGGTGCATCTGCTGACACGTATGAATCAGATCAGATCAAAGCAGGCGCCTCGGACACCAGTCTGTCGGCCTCACAGCGCCACACTTACACTGTCCTCTTCACGCCCCGGATAACGCAGACCTGCGTTGCACAGCTCCAGCAATTCGGCGTATACGGCAATCTGACCGTTCGCGCTTTCCCGCTCGGCCTCGTTCCTCTCGAACATGATTTGCTCAGTCTCGAAGTGTCGGGCGCAGCAGGCTACAAGAACATCTTTCTCGTGTGTTCCCTGGGGCTCTGCGTCAATGTATGCTCAATGGCCGTTCAGGAACAAGATCGCACTGCAGTGTTTGACCTTGCCAACGCGATGATGACGCTGCAGCAAGCCTTCGGATTTGCGCCCCGGATCGTCGGCATCGGCGAAGCTTCACGTGTAGGCAGGACCGCGTGTCTGACCGTCTGCATGCTCACAGCTCATGCAGAAATTGGCGGATCTGCTGTTCAGACTTCGAAATGAGATGCCGGTTGAGTCTGGCTCGATACACGCTGGAGCGCTCGATTCGTTTGTCCTGATAGATCGTCAGGTCGACATGGTCACGCCGCTGTGCACGCAGCTCACGTACGAAGGCCTAGTGGACGAGTGTATTGGTGTTCGCTACGGTCCGCCCCTGTCTTTTCCGGCTAAATGTAGGATCTGAGTGGGCAAGCAGGTCATGTCGAGGTGTCTGCAAATCTGGACAATAACGACGCAGCCGCAGCACAGGGGATCGGCGCATCGACATCTGCTGCTGCGACACTTCCGTCTGTTAACAAGAAGCGCAAGTATGCGCTCAGCAACGCAGATGGTCTGTTCTCTGACCTACGAGATCGCAATTTCGCTGTCGTCGGCGGTATCCTCAATAGAGTCGCAAAACGTATCAATACAGACTACGAAGGACGCCATCAGGCAAAAACGGTGACTCAGATACGAGACTTTGTCGGCAAGCTTAGCTCGCTTCAAGCCGAGCATCAATCCTTGCGTCTCCGTCCGTCCCTCTGTCGGGCGTCAGCTCTGGGCTGGGCTGATATTGCAGGCAGATACGCATCTGACTGAGCAGATCATGTCGACCACAATGAGCGACGATTTCAGTGTCGCTCTAGAGATCCAACAAAGTGCGAGCTAAGTGACGTAACACAAGCCGCTAGCTAACAAGATAGCAGATATCCTCGCCGGTCTTGAGCTGGGCCAGCAAGAGCAAGCAATCCGAAAGATGATCGATCAAGGCCACGGCTTCATGTCAGTCATCCGGCTACTCTGCATCTATTCGCAAGTCAACGGTGGTATCAAGGCAAAAGCCCTCGAGGGCTTCAAGCGGTCGATCTTGCAAGCATATGGATTCGAGTTTTTGCCCTTCCTGATCAATCTCGAGCGTCTCGGCCTACTCGTCCGCACTATACCCACACGATCCCCTTTTCAGCAAGCAAGGAAGCCGCTCAGGCTGATCGTCGATGATGTCGACGAAGCCGAGCCAAACGATCCAGCGTATGCCTATAGTGGCTATGCGCCTCTGAGCGTAAGACTTATACAGTCTGCAATCGGAGGACGAGGTGCCACGATACAAGGCTGGAAAGGGCTCGAAGATCTCACAAAGGTTTTGCCCGGTCCCCCTTTCGAAGCTGTCAATCAGGCAGAAGAGCAAGCGAGACTTAGAAGTGAGTCGCTTTCCGGATCAGACGCTCGAGCTAATGCATGATTGCGGCAGCACCCGCTCTCGCGAAAAAGACGCCGATGACTGCAATCTGCTTTGTCGGCGGTTGCACTTTTGCGGAGGTGTCTGCTATCCGCTTCCTAGCCGCTGCAAACCCTCGACGCAAGCTGATCATCATCACCACTGGCATCGTCACTGGCTCAAGCTTGATGAATGCTCTGGGTCCTCAGCTACGCAAGCGAACGTGACGTTGTGGCCTCTCCGATTGTCCGACATGCCCTAGCTACCGATCTGCCATTGGTGTCTGGGGCGGTACTGCACGCATACACCCACATATGCGCTGTCAATGACGCCGTATGCAAGCGCTGCTTCTTACTGAACGGGGACGCAACTTCGCCTATCGGCTGCACAGACCGCTGCCTTCGGCTCGAGCCGCAACAGGCTGCACCAAGCAAACTCAGGCAGCTGAACTGTCTACAGCTTGACAGCGGAGTCGGAAACGACGGACTGCACACGCCCACCCGCTGTACGAATGTGAAGGCACGATACCCACTTTGTCTTCAGGGACAGTAGAATGGTGCAAGTCGACGGCTCAGCTCAGGCATACACGCTACAATAAAAGATCGTATAGGGGTTTGACGGCAGGTTATGCTGCGAATATGGCGAATACGACGAAGTAAGGTGCAGGCAACACCATGCTGACATTTCACCGATATTTGTATCAATTTTGCTGCGGTAACCTCATAGCGTTGTACGCGCATTCTATGCTGGCTTGCAGCGCAAAGCATGTGCTTCATTCAGGATGCCGTCCAGGCCGCGTACATCGCAATGAAATATCTGTATGACTTGACATACGCGAGCCCTGCTACGCGCGCTAAGCGATCATAGCTGATCGTGCGCTGGTGAATTCTGGTCGCACAAGGCAAAACCCAATTTACGCGTCTTTCTACCCACAATCCGGCGTTGTAACTTTGCGCCTACCAAAACTGAAGGTACATAAGCCCGCCTGTTTGTCTGCTTCCTCCCAAGAATGTACATCGCGAGAAGCCGACGTCGAATTCGTGGTGCAGATGAGAACAGAGGCGGCTGCAAGTCATCATTTATCGTGTTGGGGCGATACAAGGCAGGAAGGCGGTCATGCCTGGACGGGGCTGCATCTGGTGCATGTCTTGACAGGTTGGCTTGGGGGAACTGGCCGAAGGCTGTATGGCACAGGTGGCGTGAATACTGGTCCATGTCGGGCGCTCGCACGGGCAGACCATTGATTGGGCGGCCGATCATTGACGGGGCTGGGTCTACAATCGTGGACTCGCGCAGTCTGGTGGGACAAGCAAGATTTGGTATGCTCGGAATGGGGTCACGCTATGCGATTGGCGGGCAACATCTGCGTCAGTCAGGCAAGTCTTGGAACGTCGAGCCAGGCTGTCGGGGGATGAGCTGGGTTCATCACCGGCCCAACTTGGCAGCGTGCCGGCCTTGTCGGGCTTCACCGGGAGGCGGGGGAAGCAATCGTGATGGGACGGTCGGCTCGGACGAAGTTGCACGCCAAGACAGGCTTAGGAGAGGAGGAGTCTCTGGGCGAGGTATCAGGCAGGCAGCGAGCCACTCATCCTCCTCGCAGATTTCGAAGCGAGTCTCAGTACAGTCAGCTCGAGCTGAATATATGCTGGCAGGGCACTCTCTGACTTGCTTGCCAGTCTTGTACTCATACACTATAGATTTACAGGCTGCTATCTTGCGCGTTGGCTTGAAGTGATCTTTCTGCTGAAACGCTATGAGCATAGCGCTATTCCTATCTCGTCCTACGCCAGCGAATATGAAGGCTTCTGCAGTCAACATCGCTCGGATCGCGACGACGGTCTACCGCGCTCGATACAGCTTCATAGCAATGCAACGCCTAGGCGACTCATGCGCTATCGGTTCCCTGGCAACGGGCGCTTGCATGACCATATTCAAGTGTATGGGCTCGGCGTCGAGACACCACCTCGCACGTTTTGCTACGAATCCTCGCTGCTGATCGGACTTGCTCGAACGCAGTAGGAGACGACACAGCGACAATGAACTTCAATTTGATTTCTCACCTTGTCGGCCTGCTCGCTTTGACGGCGTTCAGTATCGCCTCGCCCCTCAACATGAATTCGCTTGCTAAACGCAATTACCACATCTACACATGCACCCTGACGGCGCATGCGGGTCCGGTCAGCGCCCGGTTTGACTTTGGCATGGTCATCAACGATGGGTGGGGCATGATTTCACGGCGCGAGAAGCTCAGCTCATCTCCCGCCGCGACAGCTACCTGGCCCTACCGACGTGTAGAGAGGCTGGAGCGTACATCGGCTCGTCAGACATGGGCATTATACCTCAGACTTGGTACCAGCTCGACTGTATGGTCCGCTATCATCGTCTCAGGCCTTTTGCTGAACAGCTTTACGGACAGACAATAATCACTATGGCAATACCTTCAGTCTAAGGCTCAATCTGGATAAAAAGTTTCTTGCGCTGGATACGTACGCATTTGCAGGTCCTTCGGCAGATCATCACGGATCGGCGGACGTGTATGTTCACTTCGTATAGGGGGCCGAAGACTGTCTGACGCGACGCAGCCGACTTGTCTGTAATGATCAAGTTATCAAGCGGGTCGAGAATCCTCATCCTACGCAGCGCTAGTGTGGCTTGGCAGCGCTTTCGCCAGATGCATATATACCTTGTTGCTGACAGAGAAGCGCTGCAACGTCAGCTCTGTCACTATTTGCTACGGTTGCAGAGCCTGTGGCGACATCGTGCATCATGTTGACGTTGATTCGAGTCCATCGACCTCGAAAGTAGCGTGCTGTCACAGACAGAAATGCGTTCAGCGGCAGCTCCTGCTGAAGTCTACACGATCCTCGTACCCGTCTTGCTCACACTGACCGGCCACCAGCCAATGACTCCTTGAGCTGTGCCAGCATGGAGTCCCTGGCAACAGCAGCGACGACCGGCAGCCAAGCAACGGCGGGGACTTGCATAAGTCTCAGCCTCTCGACCCACATTTGCTCCTCATCTCGTTGCTCCGTTGCTACCGCTCGAGTCCTTTGATCCAGCGTTAGTCAGAAGACAGTCCATCGAAGACAGACGCAAGCCACAGCGACGATGAATTTCAGCATGCTTTCCGCCATCGTAGGCATGCTTGCTTTGGCCTCGATGACCTTTGCCGCGCCCGTCGACGCTGCGGCCGCTCCGACCTCTCTGGCCAAGCGCGCAACCTACATCTACAAATGCATGTTGACTGCCGACTCTGGCCCCATAGTTGCCGCCTTCGTTTTCACCATGGTCTTCGACAATGGGTGATGCAGCAAACGTTTGCTCCACACGTCCAGGCTGAGAGGTACAATTCACAGCACTTTGGTCTCGACCTCGACGCCAGAGGCAGGAGCTTACATTGGCGAATCGGACAATGGTACTCAGCCCGAAACTTGGTACCAAGTCGCGTGTAGGCTGCTTCGATGCCAACCCAAGACGGCTACTGACCCCGACAATCGGCAGATGACAATCACCATGGCAATACGTTCAGCCTCAGGATGAATTTGAACACAATGGGCGCGTTGGACTCGTTCGGCTTTGCAGGAGCCTCCACGGGTCACACGGGCACCGCAGCAGATGTGTATGTCGAATCTTTCCACCCTGCGGCTCCACGCTCACACTCTGGCAGCCATTTTGTGTGCAATGGTCAGACGATCAGGCAGACTTGAGCTACTTAGCATTTAGTCTGAGCAAGTGCGGCGGGGCTGTACTCTGGACGATTGCAAATAGCCTTAGTAGCTACTCGACAGACGCGGCGCCGCGAAACCGATCTTGTCATCTGTCTGCCCCATGAGCCCGCCATAGATTTGCGCGATGGTGCACTTGCTGGTATAGTCAAAGAAGACGACGAATTTGCGCAATAGCGAGCTGCCAAAGATGACATGTGTCCAACGCGTTCTGGCTCGAATGAATTCCACAGACAGCTTGCATGGAACGAGGTCTGTCACCTTCGAAAGATCGAGCATGTCTCGCCGATATATGATGGAGATTCGCAAGGCGTGATCTGGTCTTCCGCTGACAGCTCATACACGTGCATACCGATATAGATGCTGAGCGGCTTAGGCTTTGTGCCCCGTGGAAAGATGATGGCTCTCCCCGTCGGACTATCAATGACTCCAGGATTTCGAGAGATGTACAGGTCGATGGCAGGATCGGGAAGAAAGGTAAAGTAAGCGCCAGTATCGACGAGACCGGGTAGATCCATATCGAGCTCTGGCAAGAGCAATTGCGCTCGCCATGAGCCTGGATCGTCAGCGTTGTGACTGGGCTGCCACGTTGGGAAGCTTTGCGCGAGACGATATGCCGGAGGTCCGATGATGAATTGACCGCTTTCAAGCGCGATAGTTGCAAAGGCAGCAGTGACACTACCTTGATCGAGTGCGTCGCCGGCAAGACATACTACATCAGCTGGCGCTTGCTCGCTATGCTCCTGTATCCATGCGCGCACCGCTGGTGTGTTCTCCAAGCCCAGCACGCCAGTGGCAGGCAGAAGTCTGACGATATATGAGGGCGAGCATTTTGGAGAAGGAAAGCGACGGACAAGTCAAAATAGGATTGCGGCGCATCAATTGCCACTATGTAGGATTTGAAAGGCTTCTTGATGCCGGCACCGTGTATGCGATCTTTGACCAACCAGCCTTTGACTCGGGGTCCAATTGCATATTGAATGTACACTGCGGTCGAGCTGTTGCGCGTTGTTGGCGATCTGATGTATGGGAAGGCTTTGACCAGGCCGACGACGGCGAAGGAGGAGCCGGTGTCGATGAGCAAGTCATAGGTACTCGAGCCTATCATCAAGGGAGCCGTGTAGCGTCCCTTTCGGCCATTGTGGTCCGCGTGGTAGCTGTGGCGCCATCAGATAGAATCCAATATTGCAAGTGATATGAGGGCGCACGTCATCGACAGCTCCAAGCATAAGACCACACACACATGATACACGATACAAGCCGAGGCCAGAAGCTTGTATCGAGAGCGCATCGAGGCTTCAATGCGGAATGAAAGCTTGACTTCCATGTGAGAGGAGCAGCGTCCCTAAGCGACGAGCAGGAGTGCAGAGCGCAGATCTCGGTGCTTCGGCGACGTCGGAAGCAGAGAAAGGATCAGGGAAGGTCTCAGCAGTCGGGTCCAAGACCGCTGAGCGCGGCTACAAGTGCCGCTAGCATTTGCCAAATTACGCGCGACGCTCTCTGCCCACTTGGCGCCGCCGCCCGTTGCCTCGATTCGACATGAGTCTACTGCGACAGAGCCGACTACAGCATACGCTTCTGCCTCGCTGCATATGCCAAGCTCAGGTACGGACAGCGATCAGCTCGGCCAAGCGACAGACGATCCCAGTCGTGCTCACGATTGACGTACCTCTGCTAGGCAAGAGAGGTATGGGCGCGGGGACAGTCAGCTCATCCCTATATGCTGATCGCGCTTGGCACTGATTCAGGTCAACTTGTGGATGTAGCGCCCGGCCGAATGCGCAACCTGTTTTATCCTCGTGGGCAAGCACTTTATGCTGGCAGCAAGAGAGCTGCTCTACTGCAGCAACAAGCCGAAGCAACGCCCGCCCCGCTTGTCGACGCTATCCTCGATGACTTCCCTGCCACCTCGGCGGAACAAGTCATAGCGTCTGGCTCGAGCGAGAAGAAAATGCCTACGGATGCTCAATTGGCTCCTCGCATCGAAGAGGCGCTCTTGCGCAAGATGAGCAAGATCACAGAGCCTTTGGTGTTCAAGCGCAATCTGATCGATACCGCTGCCTTTGGCACGGAAGCGGGCAAGACGACGGATATACCCTCTGTGCCGATGCACGGCTCTGTGACCTTAGCAGACGTGCTCGAGATGCTCGAGACTGCTCACAATGTCGAACTGCGTAATATACCGAGCGTATCGCTCAGTTTTGCAGCCTCGGTCGGCCTTGAAAACGACCGGCTCAAGCAAACAGGCTCCTACAAAGGTGCGAGCTCTCCTCGCTGTCATCTTGGCGTGGCTGACGGCGTCTGCAGCTATCGTTGACCTGAGAACGCTCGGTCAAGAGTATTCGCTAGACATCTACGTCGTTCCAACGTAGCAGCAACGCAACTCTATGCAAGCCATGTGTACTTGTACATGCGAGTTTTGTGCATAGCAGTACAGTGTGAAGTCTACAATGCTTTTCTCGTCTTCATCTCATCCGTCAAACACTTGAAGATCACCCTCTTCTTCGCCTTGTACAGCCGTGACGTCTTCGATGGGCGCTCGGTTGGTATCGATAGGTCGTAAGACTGGCAAAGGGCTCAATCGTCTCTGCCGTCTACGTTGCATGCGATGTTCCGTAATCTCTAGCGCGGCTCGTTGTGGTTCTCTCGACTGCGTCACGACTGTCATCCCAATATCTGGCTCGCTACGCAGGGGCACCAGACCGAGCAACGGGCTGCGAACAGGCAGAGGTGTACCGCCCAATGTCGCCGCACGTCTCAAGGGCGGTGCGCGTACTGACGTAGGTGTGCTAGCGCGTGACGCTCCTCCTTCGTTCTGATTGAGTAGCGTGACGGGTGAACTGGGTGGGCTGCTCGACACGCCGCCCGCATCTGACCAAATGATACCGGTCGCACTTTCGAGCATACCAGGGGATGATCTGCGCGGTCCCCTTCGCTGTCTCGGCAGTTCGAGAAACGGCATGACGGTAGGAGACACAGGCGAAAGCGACGCTGAAGAGCGCGCGTAAGGTCTGGACTGCGCGTCAAGGGTCGCGTCAGATCAAAATGCGTGTAGGTCTTCAACAAGCCTACACCTGTCGATGTGCCGACATCTATGCGGAAGTCTGGGCTCTCTCGAGCATGTATTACGCTCAAGGTGGGCGAGAAGTCCGCGTTCGAGGGCGGTGTCGCGCGAGAGGGCAGGATGCTCGTTCTGGCTCGCATCATCGTTGGCGCTCTCACAGCAGCTTGGGCTATCTCTGCTCTAGCCCGACCAGGCGTAGTATCCTCTTGCGCACTCTCTGAAGCGCGTGTCAGAGCAGGATGTGGCCAGCCGGCACGATTGAGGATCATATAAGTGATATCGTCCAACGGTTCGCGTCCTCGTCGTATTGTCGTCGGACTGAAGAGCGACTTGGACCTGCCTAAGCCCGGTCGACGTGAGAAGCCATCATCGCCAGGCGGGCGACGTTCCATTGATGTCTGTGAGCCCTGACGAGCGTCCCCCTTTTGACGAGGAACCGGTTTACGTCGCGTGTCAACTCCACGCGAATCTACAGCCGACGTGTTGACTTTGCACGGGCGACGTACGAGGATGAATGCAGCTGATCAGACAGCCGCTCACAAAGGCTGACGATGCCATCACCGCATGCATCGAGCCAGACGATGCACTTGCAGTCTCCAGCCTACTCCAGCAAGCTGCACAATCGTCTCAGAAACCACTCTCTCCTCTGGCAAGTCTCGAAGTGAGAGCAGTACCGGGCTGTGGTTCTGGACTCTTTGCGACCGTTGCGTATGCTCCCGGAGATGTTCTGCTTCGCGAATGGCCACTCATCATCGCGCCTGATTCATTGAGTACCGTCGAGCCTTTCCTGCGCAAAGCCTATGACGCCCTGTCGGTCAGAGCCCGCTTGCTCGTCATGTCTGCCAGTCGATCCCGTACAGGCAAAGATGGACTGGTACAACGCTTCGAGGATAATGCATTCTCGTTGCAAAGCCTACAGTCTGAGCGGCTCACGAAACCTTATGCTGCATTCTATCCTCGTGCAGCTCGACTCAATCACTCTTGCAAGCCTTGCGCTGCGTTCTGCATCTCATCAAGTACGCTCGAGATATCGATTCGAGCCATCAAGTCGATACAAACTGGCGAAGAAGTCACGATCAGCTATCTGAGCCACGAGAAGCTCTTGCAACCTCGCTTCGAACGACGCGAAGCTATACGCGCTCATAGACGCTTCGAATGCATTTGCGAGCTTTGTCAATCTGCCGACGCAGCAAGTGATGCCAGACTAGCTCAGGTCGCTCGGAGCCTGGAGACGATCGCTGATTGGCATACCGAAGAACTGCCACCGCTCGATGTGATCAGGCTCATCGGTCGTGTGATGGATCTGCTCAGAACTGAAGCTCAGGCATATGGCGTTCCGTCGCTTTGCATTGACGCAATGGATGCAGCTGCAACTGTGGGTGACGTTGCGCTCACGAAGGCTTGGGGCAGCCGAGCCATGGCGAGCTGGTCGATCTGGGAAGGCGTCGACTCTCCTGCCTGTCAAGCGACGCAGGCGATCCTTCAAGATCCAGCATCGCATGAGCTGTGGAATACATACGAGACAGTGCTGTAATTGTATGCAATCTATGTCAACGTTATGCGCAGATTGAGATTGAACGGCAGCCGAGCATCTGTCACTGATATATCTGCGTCGTGTAGATTGAGCTCGGCCAACGTCTTCTCCAGATTTGGCCGTGTTACTCTCTCTAATTGCGGCGGCGCTTGGAGGTAGAGGCTTTTTGAGCCCAGTGACAGGGAAGGGTTCTTCATTTGACTGGTAGCATGACAAATCTCATCAGCATGCGCCTGAGGAGAAGCACACTCGCCCACAAATTTTCGCTTGTCTTGAGATATTCGATGAGTCTCTCGAGCGTCCATGCACCGCTCAAGCTGACTTCTTGCGTCTCATCGCCACACACCGGGCAATGCGCTTTCTTTTCCAAGCTGAACGTATATGTATACACCGAATCATTGCCGGCATACATCCTGCCTCTCCCTGAATCAGCTCGAGCAATGACAGGATATCGCGAGACCGACATGTAATTGTCCAGGTAGGATGCTGAGCTTGTAGCGATCTTGAAGGCCTCATTACAGCAAGAAGCTGCGAATCATCTCGCTAGATCAGCTGACGTAGAGCTGATGTGAGAGCGCACTCGCCGGCAATGATGGCATTGGTCGAAGCAATAGCGGGTATGATGTTCTTGACGACGCCTTGGGTCAAGCTCCAAGTAACGCCCTCGATGTTGAAGTGGGCAGCTCGAGCAGATGCCTGATCGTATAGCCACTGGATATGATCGGGGTCGTCATTGTCGAGCTTCTTGTCTGAACGAGCGCCCTTGGTGAGTCCTCGATCGGAATGACTAGGAGCAATATGTACCTTTGAAGACTTTTGGCCATTCGAGTACACTGGCCCATTCTATGCAGTGCTCCGGTAGGCGGGGCGTCTGAGCGATGGTACAGATGGGAAAGGTCGTGGCGGGCGTAATGAGATCGAGAGAACATTCGTAGCAGGACGTGAAGCCGGGTAGAATGACACGAGATTGCCCTTTGAAACCTGCTCGCGCGTTCAGAACTCAAAACAGCTGTCCGGCAAGCTGCCGACGAACCCTCTGTGCCGCCGTCGATCATCGGCTTGAGCGTTTCCGGGTTCTCCGGATCGACCATCTGAACGAGGGTGGCATTCATCCAGCGACGCGCTTCGACCGAGTCGAGACCGCAAATGACGATGTTGAACTGGTTGTAGTATTCTTCGTCCTTGTCTTGGATCTTGCCAAAATATCTGCAGATCTATAAGCTTGGCTTGCCTGCCCGTTATGGGATGAACGCACGGTGTCACCCGGACGCCGGGCACGCGACACATGATGAACTCGGCCGCGACGAGCGCCTTGGGGCGTCCGACATCTTTTGACCTATCAGGACATCCACTGCGTCAGCGCAGGAAAGTGCTCATGCACGGTAGATCAGACCTGAAGAGGAACTGTCGGTTGAGATTGCTAACGTCGATAGTGTCCATATCGATCACATGGATGTCCGAGAAGCCGAGCAGAGCCAAGTTGGCAAGGATCTCGCATCCCAGTCCGCCGGCCCCAATGACGAGGATCTTGCAGCTCGTGCGTAAGAAATCTTTGACCTGCACCGTGACCAGTAAGCTCGCGCGAGCTCCCAATCACGAGCATAGGACCGACTGTCTGACCAGGCGTAAAGCTGTCCTCTGCTGCAAAGGGAGAGTTGCGCTCTAGAATGAGATCGACATGCCGCGTCTTGCTGCTGCTTGCGATGTTGCTGCCGTTGAAGGTAGCATGGGAGGGTATGAGCGGTGAGCTGTCTGGCGACTCCATGCTTGCGCTCGCGCTTGTCTGCGCTGGCCTTCTCTAGCTGAAGGTCAGCCAAGCCGAGTCGGGCGGCCTGCCACCAGTGCTCAGGCTGTTCACAGATGGAGTACAAGCGCCCGAATTAGGCTAATTGAGAGCTTGCAGATTCGATTCAATGAATCAGTTAATCGCGCCGCACACTGATAAGTCGACAACGTATGCATTCAGCCCAATGGGCGCATCTCAATGAGCTGTATTGCCCGGCTAACTAGAGATGCCAGATCAGTGACGCTGCGGTACAGGCATTCCGTTGATGGAGAGGATCCTGGTTGTCCATCGGCTGAGCGAATGCTTCCCAAGTCAATGCAAGCACTCACGGTTGAGTCAGAGCTCCTCCGGCAATGTCGCCAGAGAGGGGAGAGAATGAGCCAATCTTGTTATCGGCTGCTGTGTCCACACGGGTAGACCAATTTACATCAATTGCAGAATTGGACCCTATCGTCTGCTTCAGCATCTGATGGAACCTACAGAGCCAGAGGGCTTACAGTCGATATGAATACCGTCATACACACGCGGCAACGTGACAGAAGCAAAGGGTATGATCCTTAAGACCGAACAGGTGCGCTGCGAGTGGATGCGTAAGTTGACTTGAGTCAGACGTGTGTGACGCACCCATCCTCGAAAGTGAGCGCGAAAGGGGTCTTGAGGCCAGCCCCGCTACTGCTGACACCCGTAAAACGGCATTGCTCGAACACAGAATAAGTCTTATAATTCAATCGTCTTCTCGATTGGGCTAGCCGTGACCAGCGTGATGAGGGCGAGACAGACAATTGCGATCAAGTTCAGCATTTCTCAAGTTGGTGTCACTTGCTGAAGAAGGCGGGAGACATCACCATCCTAGTTTCGCCCGGGCGCACGACAGAACGCGGCCACATCATGTCTGACACTGTTGTGCCGTCAAGCGACAGCATCGCGACAGTCCTCACAACGGCAGGGACGGAACGTGAGCGAGCCGGCCGTCATCTGTCGATAGACTCCGCCTTACATTGAGAGCACGGCATGAGCTATGCGATAAATATAACGATGGCGTGGTGCTACGTAGATGCAGGATGTGCGAGGGCATCAACAGTTTTCTGCGGGGTAATCCTGAAGTCTGGAAGGCTGTGACCATCAGCGGGCAACTGTTTGCCGTAGATCTGCTTGTCGTCTTCATCGTTTAGAGACAGGAGAATGGGGATCCTCGAGGGGATGCTGGCATGTCGAGCGCTGATGCCAAGCAGGTAAGGAAAGCCAGGACAGTCGCGACGTGTAGCGAGTTTGGAGTAGCTTGAGCTTGGCCACGACAGGCAGACGCCGAGCCATGCTGCTGCTGCTGCTCACCAGTCTGCTCAAAGTGCAAACCTGAACGTCGCTCGTCAGGCCAGACGATCTATCGAGAATGAGCTCTCGGTACGGCGGCGCAGCTGGTCCTGCTGCAGGCTATCACTCGCCCGTCCAAGGACCGCTGCCCATTCCCAGCAGCTCGCCAGCTCTGGGCAGACAGTCCTACACACCCGGAGCACCATCACGCTACGAACCCTCTCCCCGCGCTGCGGGAGGACGAGCATACACGCCAAGCAGCGCACTCAGCCCGCCAACACAGCAATGGAGTCCAAAGCTACCTCAACCGCCCGTCGTCGCTCCACAGACGGCCGGACTCGTCAAGGGTGTGCTCCAACCACAGAGTACGATACAGATTGGAAAGCATGCTGTGACTGTGGAGAGGAAGATTGGCGAGGGTGGATTCGCGTTTGTCTATCTCGTTCGATCGGCCCAGCCAATCTACTACCCTTCTTCGGCTGCTGCCTTCTCTTCGACGAGCTCGACCGCACCCTCACCACAAGGTGCACACGAAGGGCATACTTGGCATGTCCTCAAGCGCGTTGCCGTGCCTGACCGCGAGATGCTAGCCGAAGTACAACATGAAGTCGATGTGATGGTTTGTCGAGCCGCTTAGCAGCATGACTTCTGCTGATGCTTCGAGATCAGAGAAAATTGCGAGGCCATCGGCATATTGTCAATTTCATCGAGTCTAGCAGCGCGCCTCTGCCAGGTCCAACGGGCACAAAGTCGAATGGATCTGCCTACGAAGTCTACATCCTTATGGAGTATTGTGCAGGTTCGCGAAATTGGCTTCAGACAGTTCCGAGTCTGACCATGTTCGCGATGAGCAGGTGGAGGTATTATTGACATGATGAACACCCGCCTCCAAAACCGATTGACCGAGGGCGAGATCCTCAAGATGTTCAGTGATACTGTTGAAGCAAGCTCCCATGGCCTGCAATATTCTGCGTTGCTCATTATTCTACGCTTGCCCTGCAGGGAGTAGCACACATGCATTATCAGGATCCGCCGATGATTCACCGCGATCTCAAAGTCGAGAACATCTTGCTGCATTCGCCCAACCTCTACAAGATTTGCGATTTCGGTTCCACTACAGTAGCGCTACCTAAGCCTCCTCAGACGTGCGCACTCCAATCTCCTGACACAACCGCCTTGCTCACATCAGTGTAGAATGGCGGAAATCCAGGCGATGGAGGCAGAGCTCAACAAGAGTACGACCATGCAATATCGTGCCCCAGAGATGTGTGATGTCTGGTCTCGCAAAGGTATCACGACCAAAGCAGGCGAGCTTCACATCTCTCAGCTGCAAGTCGGCATGCTCAGAGCGCGACCGCTTGGCAGATATATGGGCGCTGGGCGTCTTGCTCTATAAGCTCTGCTATTATACCACACCTTTCGAAGAACAAGGCATGCTCAGCATCATCAACGTGCAGTATAAGATACCGCCCTTTCCCGCGTACTCCAAGAACATCAAGAACCTGATTTGCAAGTGCTCAGCCCCTATGGCAGATCCTGACTGATCTTCCATGGCAGCAATGATGCTACAGGAAAATCAGCACGCGCGTCCGAATATATACCAGATTCACGAGCGCGTATGTGCGCTCCGAGGGACTCCGATCAAGATACCCAATGTCAGTCACGCGGTCCTTTGCTTTCCTCATTTCCCTGACGCTCGGCACATGTTCAGATTTACGCTTCGACGCCATCTCCTAGCTTACAGCCGCCGAATGGCCATTCTTCGAATAGCTCACCCAGTCAGCCAGGTTCAGCATTCGATAGCATCATCTCGCCCGTCGATCGGCACGCTACGCCCGTTGCTCCTCTGGCAGACAACATCATGCCGGGAAGACGCGGTAGACCGAACAGACTACCCGCAGCAACGCTATCCACCCCGCCATCGCAGTCTGCCTCTCTGCGCTCGTCGCCTTTGCCTTCTGTCCGTCCGGTGCATGCTCCGTCGGCCCCTGCAGAAGTAGCCAACGCTCTGGAGCAACATGCTCTGGGAAGAGCTAGCACTGGCTTTGATGACAACTTCGGCGCATCCGCACGCACAGATTTTACATCTGCACCTCCGAGCAAGCCAGCGCAACCGCCTCGCCTCCAGAAAATGACGCCCCGGTTCATCGACAGATCGGCGCAAACCTCGCCACAATTACCAGATGCGCCACGGTTCAATGCCGTCATCCGCGCACCGACTCTCTCTGACCAGCAGGCGGCGAGCACATCGACAGCGCGTCCCGTCACGCCCGAGTTGCCACCCCGGCCGCAGTCGACGCAAGCCGTACAGAAGCAGAGCGAGCCTGTAGATGTGCCACTGCGGCCTACGGTATCAGATTCGCCGAAAGCAGAGATGTCTTTGCTTGATGACCCCAACGAAGACCTCCTGCTACCTGTCGGTCGATCGATCGAGCGACCCCGGCATAGCACCCCTACAGTGTCTGCTTCTGCTCCATCTGCTTTACCGCAGAGTCTACCGACTCGGCGGGCCAGTCCTGCGAGCTTAGACTCGAGCGATGACGATGCAGAGCCGCCAGAGTCACTGGAGCGTATGCACCCGCCCCAAGCAGATTCGGTAGCTAAGCGACTTGCCCCGCCCAGTCGGCGGGACACGATCAGTACCACTTCAGACGACAGCACGGGCAACTTCGACATCGGGCCCGCTCTGGCCTCTATACAGAAGTTTGCTCCCAAAGGCAATGACAACCCACAAGCGCCCGAAGAAGTAACCAGACGAGCGGGACCGCCCATCCAAGCGCCCAAGCCGCGTGTTGCGATTGGCAGTCTAGTCTCACGGTACGAGACCCTATCTGCTGGCAACCCGAATCCGAACGCGAAAGCAAGCAAACCAGCACCGGCGCCCAAGCCGCCAACGCTGCGATCGCAGACCAGTGCAATAGATGACGGCGAGGAAGTCAGCTTCTCTCAGCGTTTCCCTGCTCTCGATGCAAAGCCAGAGCAAGCTGCGCGGCCACCGCCATTCAAGCCAAAACCGCCGAGCATGTCTCTACCGGTGACGATGCACAGAGACCTGCCAAGTGCGCCTCCCAGCGCATCGCGACGGAGTCCTCCTAAGGCAGACGAGGAAACGAGCTTCGAAGGTGTGGCCAAACTCAAAGAGAGATGGGATGCGCAAGGCTCAGGCTCGCGCACAAATGCCCGACACTCGATGCAAGCACCTCGACGGCAATCGTGGCGTAATGTATAATCCTGCAAAGCAACTTGTTGTACTGAATTGCTGCACACTGTCTAGACGCCTTTCTGAGATTATGCATTGTGAGGCTTGCGGACGACGAAAAAGGCTGCATGATAGGTCCATGTTATCATGCCTTGTGGATCGCGCTGATACTCGCTATCGACGTGCCGCGGAGGCTCCACAATCTCGAAGCCGATTGCTTCGATGAGACGTATGAGCTCATCCAAGCTCAGCTCCAAGCGTGCTTTTGAGGGCCAAAGTATCGGCCCAAAGTTGACGAGTAAACCACCTGGCCTGAGAAGCTGGTAGCATTGTGTGATGTACTCGATTATGTCAATCGCCGTATCGATGAAATACAGCGTCACGATGGCATTGTACGATTCGCTCACGGTCGATGGGAAGAGCGCTGAAGACAGAAACGATCCTTCGAGGAGCCTAAAGTTATTGCGCGGGTGCGGAACAAGATCAGGAAAGCGCGTAGATCGAAATAAGCTCTCTGTTGAGCGCTGATGCGACCACCTGTCTTTTGTCAGCAAGCTTACGACGCGGCGTGGCTTTGCGTACCAGTGAGAGCCAAAATGGAACTCGTGCTGATCGATCTGGTCTACAGCAGGGGAGAGAAGCCAGCGCAAAGGCAAGGTCATGTAGAATGACATTTCGCATGCCGTGACATCATAGCCTGTCGGTCATTGAGCTCGTTTTGCTTAGAACATGGCAAATGGCCCAAACCTTTGCAAGCAAGCTCGTAGGCGAGTCGACCGAGACCGCAGCCAGGTACGCAAATGCGCGCATCTGGCTCGAGCTCACCAAGCGCTGCGAAGATGGGATCAAAGCAGATCTTACGCTGCTCATCCCCTTCGCTTGACCAGTCTTTGAGGACATGCTTCAGAGCATCGCGAGCCCAGTGCAAGCTTGCATCTGCTTTTGGCGCGACTTGGCTCAGGCCGAGTGCAGAGACATTGTCGACGCCGAAATCATAGAGTGCACACTTTGTGATGCCGTCCGCAATCTTGCTGTCTTGCTCTACGATGTCTCTGTAGCGGTCCAGCTTGAGTTGGTAGCCCATGGCACGCTCTGCGAGATTTCGCTTTGCTTGTCCAAGCCGGTTGTAGCTCCTCTGCTTGAGCTGTACATCGCGCAAGGACAGTGTCTGGAAGTGAGCAAACGAGTCTAGGGCCCTGTTGAATGCTGTACTGTCGTTGTGTCGCCAATGCCAGAGGGGTGACAGGCCGAGCAGATCGATGACGCTATCGACGATGTATTCCATCGACCGCTTGAAAGCTCGGGCAGTCGGTCTGGCAAAGTAAGCTGTCACACATCCTGCCAACAAAGTCGCTGCTACGATGGTGGCTACACTCATACGCCTTGCCAGGGCGTGGCGACATCTACCGTGTATCGCGTATCGTCGCGTACGCAACCGTAAGGCGATCGGCTATCCCAGTCTCAATGACGTCAAGGCATCTCGACTCACTCCTGCCTGCCCCAATCCTCTTCCTTACATAAACGGGAATTGTACAAACGATATTGTCCGTAAGACCTTTCTTGCCTTTCAATCGGTCGTATGCCTCCTGCTGCAAGACTGCCAGATCTGATCGCCGGACACGACAGTATGGACCAAATTGATGCCTATTCTCACCGAGTCTGTAAGAGCATCTTCTGGCACACTTGCATCCAGTGGTGGCCTTTCATCGAAGGAGCTGCGACGACCGTTGTCCGATACTCCTGTTTAGCCTCGTCTTGACAGCGTGCCTGTGTCAAATTGCAAGCCACTGATGCTCCGCATACTAGCAATCACATGGCTCGCCTTCATCTCGTGCTGCAGATGCTCGCCAGTTCGCACCAAAACATTTTGTCCCGAGTTTACCGCTTGCGGGCTGATGTGCCATGTCGCTTCGCTGCAGCCCGGAGCCAATCCAGGCTACTGGATCACCACCAATACCTCGACGCAACAAGGCCGAATGGTACTTGCTCCGTGGGACGCAACGTCTAAAGCTTATATGAAGAATGTGTGTCTCGCCTCACGCTATGCGAATGCCTATCGAGCCACAAACAGGGACCGGGAGTGGATGCAGGTGCTTGGCCCGGCCCGATGATTACGCCCGAAATCCAGCAATGGACGATCGAAGTGCGAATGACGCAATCAGCTATAAGCTTAGTGGGAGACTGGATCCAGCAAGCCGAGTTCGAATCGTGCTGCGTGATTGAAAACGTCACAAGATATCAGACGAACCTCTGGAGGCGTGAGATCGAGCTCAATTAGCCAAAAGCCCTACTCATCAGCAGCTTTCTCAAAGCAAGCAACACCCGATTTATGGACACGTATTACGCTCTACGTTGCGGTCCGAATGTGCGTACGGCCCGAAAGCCGAATCCGGCGTTCTGTGCCAACCATCATACCCAAGACTCGTGGCGTGAGACCATTCGCTCGGAAGAGATGCTGCTCTGAAGCCACCAACACAGGCAAGGTTACGTGTCAGAGAATCAGTGGATCGTGCCTACCACGCTTAGGCATTCTCGACCGATCTCAAGGTGGCAAGTGAGTGCTAGCTTTGGCCTATCGATGGTGGGGCTTTGATAGCTTGCCACAGATGCGCATGGCCCAATCCGCCGCCGGTGTCAGCTCAGTAGATGTCCAGCTGTGCAAGGCTGTAACGGTGCGCACAAGGGGCGACGACAGCGACCCCTCGACGATCGCCACGGCAATCTGATGGATACGCCCATTGCACTTCATGTCGATGTGTATAGTCCACTTGCTATGGGCGGCGCAGTTTCTTGTCGCGAGCGCTATGTCAGCACCGCCGAAGCCGGACATAGAGACGACCAGCCGACTCTTCTGTCCGCGTTTCCTTCCTTGCTCACTTCGTTGCAAGATACCTTCCCTCGAAAACCCCGGCACGATTGCTTTCGAAGTACAGACTCACCTCGGTGTCTTCGATACGAACATACGACTCCAACCTGGCTATTTCGCGAACATGCGATGCGTACATAGAACCATCAAGGCGTCGAAGCAAGGGCTGACGTTTGGCGCAGCCTCTCAAGATTGAATGCGAAGCGACTTCTTCACCTGGCGTGCTCCCGGGATTCCCCGAATGGACCATGAACGTCGGTTTCAAGCAGCCTTACGATAAAATGTCCTTCATTGGCCCGTTTGCCTGGGCTGCAGCGATGAATCACTGCTGCAGCATACGACAGATCATTCCCCTCGTCACAACGATGAAATACAGTGCATCGGATGCATTGACAACAAAGCTGCCGCTCATGACATCATCACAGGAGCATCCGTCGAAGCAAATGCCGCCCGCAGATACTATCTGCAATGTGATCCCAGTGGTAAGCGCCCAGGTGACAAGGACCTTGTCCTGACAGTCATCACAGGCTATACTGCAGAGGAAAGGCGACCTGAATTCTGCAAGAATAGCTTTCCGCAGCACACACTTAGTTCGTTGCCATTTTGAATTCTTTCTGACCAAGACAACTCATCGTGGCACAGGACCAATTTCGTGCGAAGTACTCATGGGGAGTTGTGGGCTCGCATGGGGAAGTGCGCCGACCGGTCAGGCTTGTCAGTGGCCACCCTTCGGAGCAGCCACCTCATGAAACGACACAAGATTGCACTCGGTTCGTACGACACATGACATCTGGCTGGCTGCTCGGCGCGAGTACCTCGAGGGGATGTTCAAATGTGCTCATTGGCGACGCTTCAGCACGACTACGCGGGAGCCCTGAATACGAGACTGAAGTGCCAGACAATGAGCGGATGGGGTTCACCACGCGTATGCAGTGCCGATAAAGTCCGTGGAGAATAGCTGCAGGCTTCTGCTTGTGCTGCCACAACGCTTGCAACTCTCACTGTATACGTCCACCGCCACCTGCGCTCGCTCAGCACAAATGTGCACGGACAAGAGCGACGTGGCTGAAAAACCTCCTCGACGGTCGTCACGACAAGCGCGACAACCTCGACCAATTGCGGCCCTTCTCAATGTTTGCCGTCCATCTGCTCTGCACCGCCGGCTTTCTTGCTGCGAGCGTGAGATCAGCGTTTCTGGGGCTGGGAATAGAAACGAGCAGTCGCCTCTTTTGTCCCCGGTTTCTTCCGTGCTCGCTTGCCTGCAAGATACCGTCGTTGGACGATTCTGCTAAAATTGCTTTCGAAGTACGAACTCAGCTGGATGTTTTTGATACCAAGATTCGGCTCGAACCTGGTCATTTTGCAAATATGCAATGCGTGCGTAGGGTTTTCTAAGAAGCCAAGTCTGCACTGACTGGCGGCTTTAGCCTCACAAGGTGGACTGTGTAGCCACTTCTGGCCCTGGCGCTGTGCCGGAGTACGACCAATGGACGATGCACGTGAGCTTCAAGCAGCCTCATGATCGACTGTCCTTTGTCGGCCCGTTTGCCTGGGCGGCTGCAATGAACCACTGCTGCAGTATACGACAAACCTATCCTCTCGTAACGACGATGAAATACAGTCCGTCACTCGAATAGATTCCTCAGAGCTGCAGCCAAAGTCATATCTGTAGGAGCTGGCGTATACGTATCGGACAATCGAATATTCCAGCTGCAATGCGATCCCAGTGGTAAGCGCCCAAGGTGATGCGAAACATGTCCTCACAGCCATCACAGGCTATACAGCAGAGGAAAGGCGACCGGAATTTTGCAAGAATAGCTTTCCAAAGCACAGTCTGAGCTCGTTGCCCTCCAGCGCACCCAAGGAAGACGGCTGAACGTGATGCAGGGCGCATCAATTGCGAAATTCTCGCAGGGACTTGTGGTGTTGAATGGGGAAGTGCTGGGGAGTCTGGTAACGCATGCCACTGGCCGGCCTATACAGCACCAACTTCATAGATTGGCCCGATATTGCAGTCGTTTGCTACATGATCATGGGTTTGTCTGATGGAAGCGGATCCATAGGCCACTTGCAGATGTGTGTATTGACAACGCTCCCCCAAGAGTACTCGCAAAAGCCTACTGCAACGCGACACGCTGCACGCACTGCGGGCTCGTGAGCATTCTTGACCAGCCACTGGCCGCTTTCTCACGGTATGTAGGGCTCAATGCGTCGAACTTTGGCGCGCAGAAGCGCCAGTGATCTACCCAGTACTTCTTATCGCAGACGATGGCGTACGCCGTCTCGATGTGGTCGATCTCGGCGCCTGTAGTGATGCTAAGCTATGCGTTCTAAGCGGTGGCGAGACTGACGCATGATGAGGGAGGTACGAAACATGTTCCTCTGCACTACTCTGCAGCATTCCTTAATGACCGCAGCCAATGCAAAGTGACCTTGAGTCGATCGGATGGGCTGCTCCAATAAGCCCACTAGGATCCAAGTGAATTGTGACGGAGAGATGAGATCCGGATACGCGAAGCAGCTTAGCGGCGAGACCTGGTTGGCTGTAAGAGGCTCGCAGGTCTTAGCAGGCATGACGACGTGCACAGTACATTCGAGATCCGAGCTCGGGTTTGAGATCGAAGTGACTTCTGTAATCATCGGCAACGGTTTCGAGCTGGACGGTGTAGGGATGGGAATCTGTCGGAAGTACATCGCACACCAATCGACACTCATGGAGTCGCAAGCAAAAGAAACGGGTCGATGTAGGAGCCAGGCTGAGTCGCGCAAGGGCGCATAAGCTCACGAAGATCCCGCACGAACGCATCGTGCTTGAAAGCGATGAGGCGTCAGACGAGCGCCGAATCGGAGGATTTATTTGTTGTGACGCGTCACGTTTACGGCTCATATCATGACACCGGGCTGTTCGATCGCTTGAGGATGTGAGTCCTGCCAAAAGCATTCGTCGCCGTATCTTCGACCGAATGCCCACCCGTATGTGTTGACCGCGATCTGGCAGGTCAAGGGCACTGCTCGCCCGTCAGGCAGGCGACGAGTACATGACGAGACTTTACAACGAGTCGTGACGATGACAGGAAGATACTTTTGGCAAAATGATCTATATTGTTTCCAGTCGACGGAATCACAGAGGACTTCGTATGTCGTCCCCTCATGAAGAACGTCTCCTCCTGCACTATTGTCTATGAAGTAGTCGGACTTTTCTCTCAGATTTCCTCTGAATGTATGACAGCTGCATCATGAATGTGTTGGCCTGAATAAAGTTGCAGCATGTCTTGCCTATGGTGACATCCACTGAATGGCCCGTATACGATTGAACAGTCTGGTTGTTGCCGACAAAGACTCTCCAATCAGATTCGGTCGGCGACATACTCATCGGCTTCACAAAACATATGAGCGGCGGATCCTGCCTGATTGCAGTCAATACATCGTCCGCATGGATCGAGTATCAGTGTGACGAACGCAGCTTGTGCGGGCAAGCTTCCAGGGCTCCAGATCGACCTGATCTCTGAATTGTTTGATTTCGCTCCGGATCTGAAGAACCAAGGCTTGTTTTCGGATGACCTACCGCTGCATTGATAATGCAAGCTTGAAGATGTAAGCACAGCGTGCGGCTAGCCGTGACTGGCCTTGGTGCAGCAATCCGGTCGACGATCCCAAGCCAGACAACCGAGACAAGTGAAAGCACGTGGAGTAGCATATAGGCTCGCGAAACACTGATGAGAGGTTGCCGTCAGTCAAGAATCGATGGACATTGAGGCTGCGCCAACAGCGACAAAGCGCAGGGCAACGCCCCGACCAAATTGACGCCACCTCGTCGATCTCGTTGCCACATGCGCAAACGCAACGCTCGCAAACCCGTCGAACCGAAGCTCTCCACTGTTCTGGCGTCGATACTGCTGTCAGCAAAGGGTTTCACTCGGTGCTTCAGGGTATCAGGTCTTGCGAGTGGCAGGGGAGGACTGCAGGCGAGCAGGTCGCGTCCCATTCGACTTGCAGCTATGACTGCATCGAGCATCCTACCGCCTCCTGGTCCAGTCACGCCTCTGCGGAGGTCATCTGGGCGAGCAGGCAGAGCCGAAGTATCATATGCCGAGCTGAGCGAGTATGATGCTGCGAGCATGAGCGCTAAAGCCGCGCCTGTCACGCCAGCCCAACCCGCGATGGACGAATCGATGGTGACGCCTTACTCGCAAGAAACCTCGCGAGTCTATGTCGATGATACGCCTGCTTCCACGATGGCTTCTTCGCCTTCCAGCAGCCGAGGCGCTTCTCCCATGACGCCCGTCAAAGAAGAAGAGCTCAATATCCAAGTCGACATTCAGCTCGATGAGAGCGCGGTCGCACCTGCGCCGAAGAAAGCGCGTAAGCCGCGGGCAAAGAAAGTCAAAGCAGAGGCTGTCGAAGCTGCACCTGGCGAGGAGATGGCTGCAGCGGCGGATGACCCACTCAAGAAGCCGACTCGCAAGCGCAAAGCGAAAGATGTCAAGCCTGTCATTGATGGCGCGGCATCTGACGACTCTGCACTCACGCCTCTGTCCGGCGAAGACGAAAAGCCAAAGAAGACAAAGAAGGCGCGCAAGCCGAGAGCGCCGAAGCCTGAGCCAGTATATGACATACCTGACCTGCTGCCCGAGCAAAAGAAGACGACGACTTTCAAGGGCAGGTTAGGCTACGCATGTTTGTGTACTGTCATGCGCAACAAGAAGCCCGATCCAGTGTTTTGTGCTCGTACTTGCCGGTAAGTTGTCATGTGCGAGCTGTGAACAGTGCGCTAATGCGCCCGACAGGATTGACACGATCAAGAAAGAAGGAATGGACTACCTCAAGGAGATTGGCAGACAGAACATGCGCGATCTCGCCGAGCTTATAGAATGGAACGAGCAGCATCATATTCGCTTCCTCAGACTGTCGTCAGAGATGTTTCCGTTTGCATCTCATCAAGAGTACGGCTTCACGCTCGAGTTTGCAGACGAAGAGCTCAAAGCTGCCGGCGCGCTGGCCAACAAGTACGGTCATCGCTTGACAACTCATCCTGGGCAATTCACTCAGCTCGGATCGCCAAGGCCTAACGTTGTGGAGAACGCTGTACGCGATCTGACGTATCATTGCGAAATGTTGGACCGTATGGGCATGGGCAAAGATTCCGTCATGATCATCCACGGTGGCGGGGTCTACGGCGACAAGGAAGCTGCTCTAGCTCGATTCCGGGTCAACTATCGCGAGAAGCTATCGCAAAACATCAGAGATCGTCTCGTGCTAGAGAATGACGAGATTTGCTACAATTGCGATGACTTGCTGCCAATGTGCGAAGAGCTCGGCATCCCACTCGTACTCGACTATCACCACGATTGGATCTACCCGTCTTCACAGCCCGTCTCTGAGCTCATCCCACGCATCCAGAAGCTATGGGATGCGAAAGGCATCAAGCCCAAGCAGCATCTTTCTGAGCCGCGACCGGGCGCAGTGAGCATCATGGAGCGGCGCGCGCATGCCGATCGATGTCAGACTCTGCCGGCCGATTTGCCAGACGATATGGACCTCATGATCGAAGCGAAGGACAAAGAGCAAGCCGTATTCCATCTGTTCCGCGTCTACGATCTTGCTCCCACAATCTACAAGTCACTGCGGCCTCCTGCCGAAGTCGAGACACTCCGTACAAACGGTCGAAAGTCACATTCACCGAAAAAGAAGGCTAAGGTCGAAGCAGAAGAAGGCTTGGAAGATCCAGAAGCTGCGCTCGATGGTGATTCGGCAGCCGTCGACGGTGTTGCTCCTTTGCCCGAGCCTGCCGCTCTGGAAGGAGCCGAAGAGACTGCAAAGCCAAAACGGAAGCGCGCTTCGAAAGGCAAGGGCAAAGCCAAAGCTGACGAGGTACCGCCTGCCGAAGCGAAGCCTGCTGAAGCAGAGCTGGTCGAAGAGCAGACCGAGCTGCAGCCTGAGGAGGCGAAACCCAAAAGGAAGCGCGCGCCACGCAAGAAAGCACACAAGAAGACTGCAGCGGCCGAAGAGCCGCTAGCTGCGCTCGAGCAAGCGAGTGTTGCTCCTGCCGCGATACCGGCAGATACAGAGATGCAGCCAGCATCGCTTGCAGCATAAGCTTATTACACTACTGTACATTGATGCACAACAACATGCTGCCTTTGCAATCAGGTCCCTGCACTCCTAGCCAACGAAGCGAAAAGCATCGCTGACGATCCAATACCGTGGCGGGGGCTTGTTCGTCCGCGTGGTCTCTAGTACTAGTCCCAAATTGAGACCCTGTTGCAGCGCGAGCGCCTCTTCTTGTGCTGTAAGCGGCACGAGCATGAAAGTCGCGCTGAACACGCGTGGTAGTAGCTCGGACTCGTTCTCCCTCGCTTTGAACTCAGCTACGGTGGGCTCTGAGCGGTCGTCGACGATCATGGGCGCCTTGAGCGTGTCTGACGAATGAGAGCAGATGCCGGAGACGCAGACGAGTACGCTACAAGGCTGGCCTGGCAGAGCTGAGCCTGTTGCATGACAATGAGTATCCGGTGACTGAGTGGAGCGCAGAGCTGACCGAGGACTGGCTGGCTGTCGAAGCTCTGAACCTGTACCACCACTGCAGCACTCAGATCAATGAGCTTGGCCTGCCTTGGTCGTCGTACCTTGTGCCAACTCCATGGCATGCTCGATAGCAGGGCGGCAGCGCCTTGGCGTCCCAAGATGGGATTGCCGTTCCAGCTTATCCTCGCAGAGTCTTTGTAGAGCGCAGAGATGACATCTGGCCGCCGAGGATGCTCATCGACGAGAGTGTAGTATTGCTGCACAAAAGTCTTGCCTATCGCCGCTGCTTGCAGTCTGCTCGCTTGCATGAGATTAGCCGCTCTTACTGACGGGTCAAGCTTACATCTGCTGCTCTTGATCTGACATTGTCAATGTCAAAGACTGTCGCGCTCTGGCCAGCAAATCGCAGATTGGCCGAAATGTGCAGGTCTCCGTGCCCCCTCTACCCCGGCCTTGGCTTGGTCTTCTCACGACATGCACCCAAAATGATTTTGCCGTCTTGCTTGCGCTACGAGACTGTGTTGAGACAACTCCTGTCAGACGAGGGGCATGAACGACGAACTCCTTTGCAACGCTCCTCAAACTCGGTTGCCTTGCATCCTCTCATCCGATCCTTGGTTTTCGGCTACACAGGCTCGAATCAGGTCAAGCGATACATCGATTCGAGATGTTTGTCCAGACCATCATCGCGCTGTCAGCTGCACTCGGTTCAATGGCCATCCCCGCCGCTGCGCCTGGAAGTGTCCAAGCAGTCGAGCGAGGTTTGGCGAGTTCCCCTCTCAACACGACGCTCTCCAGTCGCCAATCACCACCAGAATGGGTTCATTACAAGATCAGCAGTACGTATACCTTCACACTGCCGAGAGTATCGGGATGACAAGTGTTGACAGTGTGGGGAATGGCGACTTGCCACGCCACGTTCAGCAGCGGCCCGGTCGTCAACAGCGCTCTCAACGATGGCACAGTCGTTCACGTATGTCCAACGACACTCTCGTGGTATCTTTCTGACCACGCCGGTGCGCAGGTCAAGATCGATGCTTCGGGTGCCAATCCCATGACATGGGTCTGTTGTCAAGACAGCCCCGGTCCAGTACAGACTGAGGACTCATGCCGCAGGACGCCATGAACCCCATGAATTCGATCACCGGCGGCAATTACGATGCTCTGCAGGGTACCGTTCCGTGCGGTCTGGTGGTGGCCAGAAACTGAGCCGGGATCTTGCCACAGACCAATATTGCTTTGACTTGCACTCGTCCGCTCCTCTGTTCCCATGTGAGCCTCTCTTGCGCGCCAGTGGGTTCAAAGCGGCGCTGATAGACTTTGCAGACGACCACTGCTACTGCGGTGCAATGCAGGCAAGCCACAATACTTCACTGATCTTGTGCAATGCTCAACTCTGTTCGGCAGACTTGCACTTTCTGCATCGGTCTGTCCGGTGGTATCAGCAACAACGGTAACTGCCAGTTCTACTCTGTCAGTCCTTGCTGTCTATGTGATCCGACTTGATCTGACGTCATGATCTTGACAGGCCTGCGGTGGCTCGGACTGCGAGGGCCCTTCGCCCCCCATTGTGGAGACCATGTGAGCGATCTTGCTCAAATATCCTTGCCACTCGCATACTGATGACACGCAGGCAATGCACGCCCGTCAACACATGGGCCGTCTCTGCCATCGACGATGGCACTTTCAACAGCTAGATGCCGTCTATGCAAACTTCAAGTCGTGCGATGAGGCTCGCTATCGTATTCTCAGAGACAATGCAATCCCTGGTGACCGCTACTGTACTTGAGCCAGATTAGATTGAATGACTTTGGCAGACTGCGCGCTCCACGTCAGCGAGAGCCGTATGACTTTATGGATGCGACTGACTTCGACAAACTCTTCCAGCTTTTTCTCGAGGGCTTCGAGTTTCGCTCGCTTCTCATCATTGCTCTTTGTCAGTGTGACCTTTTGAGACAGCAGTGTCTTCTTCTCGCGCTCAAGTCTGTGCTCGCGTCAGCCTCGACGCTGGCTCGGCCCTCAATCACATACCTTTGTCGTTCGGAAAGCTCAAAGTGGAGTCGAGCAAGCATGAGCTCGTGGGGATCGTCGGGAATCGGCTTCGTCTCGTCAGTATCCATGCTTTCTGCCTTTGGCGCGCCTGACAGTCGCGCAAAGTCATCAACCGTGTGCAACTCTAGCCGATCGAATTGCGAGCTGCTCCTCTTCATCAGTGCGGGATCATCAGTAGACTGGTCGGAGCTGACTCGTAGTCCTTGCAAGAGCGTATCTCTCGCTCGAGAAACTCTTTCTCGTATTTGAGGTTTTGCAACCCCATGAAAGCTTCATCGACGAGCGATCGAGCTTCTGCCGAGCGTGCTTTGCACTCTTGCACATTCTCAGACGCCGCACGGTTGACAGACTTGAGCGTTGCAAAGTGGGGCAAGGCTCTCTTGAGCGTTGACTCTTGCTCGCTTGCGGGAGCTGCTGAGCGTGCTTGGCTGTGCAATGCGTCTGCTATGGCCTGAAGCGCTTGCACTGTGTACTCTAGCGTCTCTTGATAGCTCAGAGCTGCGTCGGCTGCCATCTTGACGAACTCAAAGTGAACGACGCCTGTCAGCGCTGTCAGCAGAATTGCAGGAGAGCGCGACGACCAGCAGACGATTACCCCGTAGCAACTCCTTGCGCGCCTTCCTTTCACCTGCTCTGCGTGATTCTCGTCAGCCATGCTCGCTCTCCTCGGCTTCTTTGCCCTCGTCCGGTCAGCTCTCTCAGATCGTGCGCCAATCCCGGTCGAAAGCCGATCTTTGTGCGTTCATATTCACGAGTGTCGACTGCGATGCAGCAGCGTACCCTCGACAGACTTTCAATGGATTTTCACCGTTGAGACGCTCACGCCAAAGTATCAGGACCGCATCGACCTCGTGCCGGATAAGCCTGTCATCCATGCAACCTGCGTACGCGTGTTCTCGATCTGGGCCGGCTTCCGCTGTCTGACCGTCGTAGGATAGGGCGATCCACTCCAGTGCTGGGCGTACCCTTTTGGACCTCCCGAAGAGCGCTATTGGATGCTCCATGTTGACAATAAGCAGCTCATCGACAAGCGAGCTGGTCATTTTGTAGATCTCTCCATCTTCGAAGCCTGTTGCGAGATCATACAAGCCGTTCAGATCAGGGCGCAGATGTTCTGGGGTGCGGTCTCTGGATCTGAAGCTCTGCCTGACCTCAATTTATATGGCAGCCTGGCCGTTCATTCACCTCGGCGCAGAGTACGAGATGACCTGCAACCCGGCAAAGTGGGGCGTCAATGCCGCGTTCTGCTCCCAACGGCTGCCTGATCAGTACATAACTACAAGCAAGTACTCTCGAGTATCATATGGTCTCGCTTTTGACAGCGTCAATAGTCGATCACGAATGCGAGATACTCGAGGGTTGCACGCTAAGCTTCGGGCGCACTCGCGGTCGAAGCTACTGCAACTGGGATGCACCTCCTATAGAGCCTGACGACGATCGAGACTTCCACGGCCACATGTAGCTATATTAATGCAGCTCTAATTCGATGCACCTGTTTGCAACTCTGATTTGTTGCACCCTTCAATAGTATTTATCTCTGCAGTACACAGGCACACTCGATTGTCTTTAAGCCGCGGCCGCTCACTACCCTCAAGTCGGGCTGGGCCGCGAGTTTGTATGCACACCAAAGTGCGATCTTTTCTGTTGCATACGGTACTGCATGTCTTTGTAGCATTGTCGATTAGCGCAACATTTCCTGGCTTCACTCTTGGCATTTGACACCTGGCATGGTCTTGCCCCAGACTACTAAACAGCTACCAGCTCGTTGCTGACAAGTGATTTGGCCTGCGATCAATGCCATGAGCTTGCGAAGATCCGATGGAAAGGCTGCTGACGATCATTGATTGCGCTAAATGTCTCTGAGCATAGCTTCGGGTTCGGCACGTCCGCATCTGTTCCGCGCGGATGGCATCTCAGGATGTACTCGTGGCCGGTGACCTCAGCAGGAGCCGCTGTTCGTAATGAGTCCACGATAGGCATGCGAAGCGTGGCGCATACCTCTCATGAGCTTCGATGTCATTTTGTAAACATGTTGCACTTGGCAACAACCTTTGACCATTTCCTGGAGCTGCCAAGGACCCATAACCCTCGTCGTCGTTTGCTTGGGTATGCCGAGTTCCATGATCCACTGGCGCTCTTCTGGCGCAACATTGGGATCAGGATACGCTGAGCAATATACATCTTCGTCCTGCGTGACATAGTGTTAGCTTCAAGTGCAGGAAAGCGTAGCCTTACGCAGTGCATCATATCGATGTGTCTGGTCTCGCTGAGCGTCATCGAGATTTTCGAGGGAATGGCAGAGGTTTCGAGGGTGAAGCTGATCTTGGCTTTTTCCTCGACTGACGGCACTTGGCAGACGAGCTCGCAAGCTGCCAATTGCGGGCAGTACAAGCGCGTCTTGACGGGATCACCAATCACGCTTTGCACTACTGTACATAGGGTGAGCCCGAGGGCGGCAAGGCTTCGCGGTCGCATCTGGTGTCGTATGTGGAGCGGAAGTGCGGAGGGAAGTATTTGCTGGCTATGTGCGAAAAAGGGCAGCGAGTACAAAGCACTGCAAAACTTTGAATAGGGTCGGAGACAAAGTCAAGGCAACGATTGCGACTGAACATCGAGGGGAAAGTCGTCATCAAGCGCATGCCGTCACCGAGGCTCGATGTCAATGTCGCGACGTCGAACCTTTGAGCACAGCGCATCATCAGACGTGCGCCTTGTCTGGCAGCGGTTCGTCAATGGCAGGGCAGCGGGCGCGAGAGCGTTGTGACCATGTGAAGGCATGCATCAATCCCATACACATCCGGTCGCTGCAGTGCTTCGTCCGTGACGCCTGCCGAGCCTGAAGCCGCATGACCCGCCGATATCTGAACATTTGAGCACGACTGGCTCAATGAGCACTTGCTCGCTGTCTGACAAGATCTGCGCTTACTTAGTTCTCTGTCAGGAAAGATTGCACTGCATCTGCCCAAGCTTGCGTCGGATCCAGTGTAAGGATGGCAGACTGCCTGGATCCAGCTGCCTTTGCGAACAAGCTCATCGCCCGCGTAGAGCTGAGTCTCAAACCATTGAACCTCTTCGATGACGCAGCATTCGCTCATGGCAAAGACTGAGATGTCCGTGCCGGAGAGACCATCGAGATGCTGTTTGTACATGGCAAACAGCTCCCATTTCAGCGTAGGATACGGTGGCACGGGCTGAGCATAGCACGACAGTGAACCACCCTGCGACGTCCGACAATCTCAGCAAGCAAGACGAGATGACAGATCCGTTCCTTACGCAGCTCATTCCTTTGAAGGAAGCGGCGCCTGGAACCAGATTGAAGGTGCCACGATGGCCAGGCGTTCTGACGGTGAGCGTAAAATCCAATGCATGCGACTCGGGAGAATCGCAGACAGCGATGCATTCTTGCAATTCGAGGCAGAAATTTCGGGTTGCTACTTGTTTGCGCTGATCAGGATCGTCTGCGAGAGCAACAAGCGCGGTTTGAAGCACGATGAGTAGGATAATAAGTCGAGGCATATCGGTCATTGCCGATGATCACCAGAGAGCTGCAATAAATCTGGGACGCTTGTATCTCAGACGTATCATCCTTCGCGCAACTTCTGTCCTTCACGACCAACAGGGCCAGATGAATGCAAAACTGGTTTGATGATGTCCCGGTCGGTCAGAGAAGTTTGCTTCCCGGCATTGTTGCGAACTATGACACTGTTGCCGGGACTCAGCTGTATAGGCAGTGCCAGAGGCGATGTGTTGGTCTCCGCGAACGCGTAGCTGACTCGGCAATGTCCACTGGCACTTGATTTGTAGGTCATTCCCTAACCGCACCCTTACGAGGGTCTCATTTGCATTGCACTATGCCGCCGCGACAGCAGGTGGAGCAGGCTTCTCGCTGAAGTCGCATACATGGTTCGGCTTTGTAGTACCGCGCCGTTGGCCACAGGTATTCAAGAGTGCTTCACACTTTATGCTCTCTGTGTCGAAGCATCAGCAGTGCATGCCAATGCTTCACTATGCAGACGAACGCATCTTGAACTCGGTGAAATGCTTCCTGCAAAACTCCGGCTGAGGGTCGGGCGCTCCCCAGCCATAGGGCCAACAATGCAGATGATACCTCGTATCGACCAAGACTAGATCAGCAGCTGCTCGAGAATGTGAGTCATTGCTGCTTTGATGCGGACGTGCATCTGACTGACATCTGAAGAGAGATGTCTGGAATTCGAGTGTGCGTGCGAGGGAGCAGCAGTGTTGCATGAGAGCAGTGGTCGCAACGCCACTGGCAGATGCGAAATTCTGCTTGATCCTTGCCGAGATGGTCCACTGCCTTTTGTCTTGGGAGAAGTCAGGCCCGGGCTGGGCCTCACAGTGAATGTCGTCTCCCTGTGTCCCGGCGGGTCAGCACTCGACTGCAGTGCCGGTTGTCTGACGTACACAATTCACGAGATCAGCTCTGAAGTCGGGCTCGAGGTTCATGTACGTCTTGACGTCCGCCTTGGAGGTTCGAAACTGGAAAGCAGGAAGAGGCAAATCACGCTCTACGGTGCACTCGAGCTGGCACGGTAAGAACCACGGACAGAAATAGCGAGTTGCGACGGGGTAGCCCAGGATGGATTCGCTCGCGACTGTGCCAAACAAGCGAAAAAGGATTGGAACAAAAAGCATCGAGTCGGATCGTGGATGGAATTGGGAGCTGCGCCGATCTGGCCCTTGGAATGAATTGCGTTGACTTCTTGAATACGTCTGTCGCGAGCAAGATGCAGAGAGGATGCACAGGGAGTGCACAAGAGCACGTATTGTCGCGTCGCGTCGCAGCTCTTGACCGAGTAGTCGGTGCAGCTGTGTGGCTGGTCGCGAGCAAGTTGGTTCATTGGGTCCACTCGGTCTGCATCACCTTTGCATTTTCTCGTGCAGGTCAGTCGAAAGCACACTCGTGGTTTCGCACTGTCTTGCCGTAGCTCCGGGCACAGGTATTTGCGACAATCTCGCATGTTGCCAAGCCTGTGCTATGCATCAGGCCCGCGTTCGTCCTCACAGTCGATATCATCTCACGCAAGGTAGCCTCTTTGAAAAGCTTGCTGCAGAAGCGCCATTGTGGATCGGGAGCATCGATTCCGACAGGTGTACAGCGTGGATAGCAAGACTCTTTGACGGGGCCCAGTTCGCCCGCCGATCCCATTGTCAGAGTGAGCGAGTGTGATATATAGGTCGCTCTGCTTGCCGGTTCAGGGTTCATGTGTGCTGCTATCTCCCTTTGATACGTCTCCACTTGGAACGCCGGCGAGATCTCATCGCGCGGGATACTGCATTTGGAGGGGGGCCGCGACAGAAGGAACGGGTAGCAACAGGTGTGCTGACGATCGAAGCTGCTAAGCCGAACAAGCAGGAGAGAATGATGGCGAGCATCTGACGGCGTGACGCGACGCGAGCGCGAGTAGATGGGTGCGATGGGTCAATTGCTCCTGTCTGCAATGACGATCTCGCTGCGACTAGACAACGCAACGATCGTGCAACGAGGTCTATGAGCTCGTCCCGACGGGATGTGAAGCTCGACCAGCTCTGGCACTGTGACGAGCCGGGCGGCGGGTCCCTCTACGCCCATACTGCGAAAAGGCTCCTAAGCTGCAATCTGAGGCGCGTCCGTCTTTGCTGCTTGTAACTGCGTCTGTAGCTCGACGAGCTGCCACTTCTGTTAGCCTGTGTCTGCGTCGACGAGACGGGCACTCGCCTGGCTCTTCACCCGTTCGCCTTTCTGTTGTAACTCTTCCAGCTGTTTCTCGACTCTTTTGCTGAGATACGACTCGATCAGCTTCAGTGCATGCAGCTGCAAGGGGACGCTCTCACATCTCGCTAGTGATGAACTCGAGGCGCTTGTCGACATTGGCTTTGGCTTCAGCTTGGTCTTGTCTGATCAAGCCGGGCCCAATGAGTTTGTAGACCGTATTGTTAGGCGTCAGGGCGTCGAATTCCTGTCAGACTCGCGATTTCTACACAGGCCCATCAACCTGTGAAGAGATCGAAGCTGACCTTTTTGACTGCTTGGTTCTCTGAGAGTTGTGCACCGAGCTTTTGTCGAGACAGCACGACGTTTTGCAGCTCTGCCGAGCAATCCGGTGAGCTCAGCCGCAGATCAGAGAAGCTCGAGTGCTGACGATCTTGCACCGTCTGGTACTCTGCGCTGGCTACTTGTAGCTTGCTCTCGAGTGACATCACCGGCTCTCGTCGGCGTCGCTTGTCGGGCGGGCGGACGACGCGATTGGTTTCCCAGCTGGCAGGCACAAAGCAAGCGGCACCGCACCTCACACTCACCCGGCTGTACACGACTGGCACCGAAAGATGGCAGCGTCGGAGCTGTTCCAGAGCTACGAGTCGGACTACACGCAGCTAGCGAGCACGATCAGGCAGAAGCTCGACAAGGATGCCAAGGAACAACGAGGCGGTCCGTCATCTGACTATTGCCTCACCTCCTCAAGTGCTGAACTTGCAGAGTGTGACGGACAGAGCAGCGCAAAGCGACGCTGAGACGGGTAGAGATGGAAGTCGAAGAGGCGGACGAGATTGTCAGTTCGGCTTGGCAGCGATGGCTCACACCGGACTCATCTCGTCATTGGCGCTCGACAGATTGATCAGATGGACATTGAAGCTCGTCAGACGACAGACAAGAACGTCAAACAGCGTCTCCAGGTCAAGCTGCGATCGTACAAGAACGATCTCGAACGCTGGCGCAATGAGGCTGTTCGTGGATTGGCTGCCCATCAAGCACAAGTCTGATGGCATGTGCATGGCCGGACAGAAGAAGCTCGCGAGCACAGCAGATCGAGAGGCTCTGTTAGCCGGCTCATCTCAGCATCGAGCCATCTCTCCCTCAAACGAGTCCGATGCGTCTGATCAGGGGGCATCCCAGGCCGGCCTATCGCAAGCGCAAGCTCAACGTGCCCGACTACTCAACGGCACAGACAAGCTCACCGACGGTCAGAGACGACTGGACGAGTCACATAGGATCGCACTCGAGACTGAATCCCTCGGAACGAACATCCTTGGCAATCTGAGGACTCAGCGCGAGCAGATTGAGAACACGCGAGATACGGTCAGCTCATGGATTCAAGCACGTCATGCCTGCTGATCCTCTGAGCCCATAGCTGTACACCGCTGATAATTCGATCGACAAGGCAAGCAACACGCTAAAGAAGATGGTCCGCACGTACGTTCCTCGCACTGACAGTGCAACATAGGCTCACATGAGATAGCAGGATGTACCAGCAACGTTTTGTCACGATCGCCATCATCATCGTCCTCGTCTTTCTCATCGCAATTGTGCTCTATAGCAAATTCAGCTGAGCTTCTCGCACTTGTACCAACACTTGCGGTTCTGTAATGTCAACATGTACAACGTCGTTCCTATTCTCTAATTTTGCACTACACTGTTGCTGGCTCTGCGCCTGGCTGATCAGTCTCAAGCGGTAGCCCAGTATCCGCAGCAGCCGCCGCCGTAGGCGTGGTTCTGTTCTGCGAAATTTTGCCATGCTGGCTAGCATGACGTTCTTTTGCAAGCTGCTTGTTGAGCCGCTTGCTTTCCCGCTTTTCCTTGTGCTTTGCAGCCTTTTCTGCGTGAGCCTCACAAAGAGCATATGCTTCTTCATCCGATGTAGCGCCTTCTTTGGGCACTCTGGAACAGCAAGCCGCGCAAGTGCCTTTGGAGCATCTTGCAGCGGCCATCGCACGGCAAGAAGGGCCGACACAAGGCTTCGCTTCGGACAGAAGCGTTGTGTGTAGCTTGGTCCGCTTGGCATCTGGCTCGGCAGAGTCTCGGATCGGATCTTGAGCGATCAAGGGGCGCAAGCGGGAGTGGCAGTACCATACTGGCGGTTTCTCTCCTTCTTGCAAAGTGACATAGGGCGCAATGCCTGTCACGCCACGTCGTGCAAAGGTCTGTTCTACTTCGTCGACAAGCTCGAGTAATGCTTTTAGCTTCCCTTGTCGATCTAATGTGGCACGCTTGGTGCCGTCGCCGAGCTCGTTCCTGAGAGGAACGAAGTCATCCTCGTTGAGGAAATGTTGCCACATCCTGAACAGATGAGATTTGACAGCTGATGTGCCGGTCTGTGTCTTGAGATGCATGACAATCGTCAGATACTGTCGAGCCATGTGAAGTACTGAAGCATGCGTCGCTGTTGTATATGCTTGTCGGTCTGTGTCTGTCTCGAGAGCAGCAAGAGGTTGAGAGAGATAGTCCGGCAAGCTCTTCAAGTAAGCATCCGAGCGAGACGAGTTGGGCAAGAACAAGAAGGGGTTGTAGAGATTGCCCTCTGCGCTCATGACGCCTTGCACGCCCGTTTGTGCGATACATCGCGTAACATCGGCAGACGTGAGGATGTTGCCATTTGCAAACACTGGCACCTTGACGGCTCGCTTTACCGCTTCGATCTTTCTCCAATCCGCCAACCCAGTCAGCTGGCCCTTTTGCTCTCGTGTTCTCCCGTGTAGCGTGAGGATCTGTGCACCTGCACGCTCGAGCATTCGAGCATATTCGACTGTGCGTTCTGTCGTATCGAAACATCTGAATTTAGCAGTGACGGGTACGCTGAGCCGCTTGTGCAGAGCAGAGATGAGGGACTCTATCAGTTCTGGTTCTTCCATGAGAAAAGCACCGTAGCGGCCTCGTTTGGCAATGCCCTGAGGACAGCCGAGGTTGAGATCAACAGCATCGACGAGTCCCTTGTCTGCAAGAATGGATGCCGCCTTGAGGAGTACCTCGGGATCGTGTGCACAGAACTGAGCGATGAGCGGTCGATCAATGATGGCTGATCCCTCTTCTCCTTCTGCTATTCCAAAGTACTCTTGTTGGTACTTTGCAGAGTGTTGGCCTGCAAAGAGTCCAGCGTGGAACATCGGCGTGTAGCATAAATCTGCGCCGTGCAGACGTGATATGATCCTCCAGGCCTGCCCGACATGCTCTGCATCAATTACAAAGCGTAGCAGACGCAAAGAAGGGCGGACCAGCTCGCTCTGATCGACCATGGGAGCGACGACATGGCGTGGTTGGCCGATTGACTTGTACAGCTCCCAGCTCTCCAGCTTCTTCGCCCTTGGAACTGAACCCATCGTGGCAAATGAGCGCAAGGCTCCCAGACGCTGCCACTTGCCGAATAAAGCCAGCGCTCGCCGTGGAATCGATGATCCGCTTTCGATCAGCTTCGAGTTTTTTTTTTGGCTCGGCGCGTTCGAAATTTCGAAGCGTGATGTGATTAGCTACACGCCCCTCAGGCCGCATTGATTCTACTCCTCGGCAACGAGCTGCTACACATGTCCGTGTCAGGCAAGATGTTGACAGGCATCGCGACGAACCCCGGCGTATTAGCTGCAGCGTCGAGCTGAGAGAACACCTGAGCACGATGATGTTAGCGATTCTCTGCTCGCTCTGGGCATTTTGCGCAGCTGTGTCCGCCAAGCAAAGCGCATACGTCGTGCTCACCTCTCCATCGTCAGATGCTCCTGCCATCTACACCATCTGGATGAACAGCGGCGAGGATTTGCCCGCCAGCATCGGCACCTTGACGACCGCCTGCAAGTCGATCAATGTCGAATTCAAGTGTTCCACCGATGGCTACAATGGCATGATTGTTGATCTCAAAGGAAACGGTAAGGTGCTTGGTTGGCAATGGTTCTAACGGGTCAATCGACTTTATCCGATTGCAGAGCTTCAGGCACCAAGCGGCTCAGGGCTCGGTTGCTCGCTCGTTCCTTTCCACGCCGCCAAATGCCAGCTCAGTGGCTCGTCCGACGACGCGCAGATGTAAAGAGACGCTTGACGATGCATCCTCTTGTAGTACTTGCGCGACGATAGCCAAACGCCAGATGCAGCATCACGCGATTCGAGACGTGTGAGATCACGACTTCCTTGTATCGTCGGTCTGGTAGCCATCGTCCGAAGGTCCCATTCACATACCTTCGGGCATTCATCAACAATCAATCGGAAGTATAGCGACAATGCTTTTCAGGATGATGTGCACACTTCTCGCCCTTGTCACCTTGACAGCTGCAAAGACACAATCGATCGTGTGGCTCACATCAGCCACGACGCATAAACCTGGCCTCTATCTGGTTTGGCTGTCAGCCGGCCCAAGTGCACTTGGATCAAGCATTGCGGGAATGTCGACCGTATGCAATTCCAGCAACACCAAGTTCACCTGCTCTGGCGATATCAACAATGGTTTGGTCGTGGGTCCCGACGGCCGAGGTGCGCTCCGCTTCGAGCTGCGCGCATCGCTGCTGAACATTGCTGTTCCTTCAGAGATCCAGGCACTTAACGACTCGCTCGTCAATTGTCAGCCCGCAATGCCTGGAAGTTATTGCGGGCCATGAGGGCCGCAATGGCCATGCCACGCGCTTATTGGAAATGCATCGCTCATGGCTGCCATCGCATACAGTTCCAATCTGACGTCTGGCGTGCGCTAATTGAGATCAAGGTGCCATCGCTTTGCTCCTCAATGCACGTTCGCAATCTTGTCATCGAGTGTATATGTCGTCCTCTTCATCTGTCGCTTGACGACGCGCGATCGCAATCCTGTTGTCGTGCCCCTTTCACTGTACAATATCTCCGCGCCTGTCTATGCTACCGAATCCCCAGAACGCGTCAGTCAAGACAACCCTGCCAAGAAGAAAGATGTTGGCCGGGATCGCTGTCGCTATCTTCGCCCTCGCTTGCGTCATCAGAGCCAGCGAGCAGACCTTTATCACTCTGACCTCGTCCGACACAGGCAAGCCAGGATTGTATTCTGTCTACCTCAGTGGCGGATCGGCCGATCTGGGCAAGAGCATCGGTGGCTTGTCCATGGCTTGCGGCTCAACAAACTTACACTATGTCTGTCAAGATGCCGCTGGTGGCGGCAACATCGTTAACGGTGCAGGAGAGGGTAAGGTAGCGCATTTGAGCTTCGCATGATCTGACGGGATGTGGCAGACATTGTCGCTCCTGGCGGCTCATATGTCGCTTGCGTACCCTGGGTGCCTCCCATTTTCTGCTGAGGATAGTAGCTAGGCCGTACTGTATTAAAGCGCGAATGCAATGACATTTGCGACTGTCTGGCTTTTCTTGCGGACAGTGGCAACCAAAGCTCTGCCCTTTAATACATCGCTGGTGCGCGGCAGTCTCTGTGCGTGTTTGACGGAAAGTTTGTGCGATAATCGATGTCGTGACGCAGTGTCGCAGCTGAGCATCGTTCTTTCTTCTGTTAGCCGCCGCTTGCAAGTATACACTTTGATACGAGCCAATCTCGACTGTTTGTGTGTCTATCGAACAGCGTCCACGGTTGATTCGGGATGCTGTGCCTGCCGATCGTCGTGCTATCGGCTCTAGCCAGCCTTGTCGCTGGACGTACCCAAACATTCCTCACCTTGAAGTCCGCACGAACGGGCCACGGCAAAGTGTATTCGATCTACGATGGCGGTAGTCGCGGAGACTTAGGAGCCAGCATTGACGGTCTCTCGATGCAGTGCACCTCTGTCAATCTCAACTTTATCTGCGATGAGAACACGCTCAATGGCATCGTCACAAACGCCAAAGGAGACGGTCAGCAGTTGGGTTTTGACGATTGTACGAAGAAGCTGACAATCAGACGCTAGCTCTGATTGCCCCTAGTGGAGGGCTCATCGTCTGCGTCGACTGGCCTTATCCTACCTTTTGCTAGAAACCAATGCGACGGATGGTGCATTGGCGCCGTCATCGACTCGCATGTCTGAGTGTGTTCTGCGTGGCAGACGGCTGATAGCGTAGTGCCACTAGACCCGGTGTTCCTCGCGCTCGGACGTTGGGGAATACATCAGAATTATTCGCTCTTGTCAGAGAGGCAATAGTCAGCTGCAAATGATTCTGGCGCTTGCGAGAAGCACAGTGGTAGCGAGTGACTGAGAGGTGTTTGGCAAGTCGAGGAAGTCTGACGAGACCACAAGGCGCTGTGGAGTGTGCCACTGCGCCGATGTCGTAATTAAATTCGAATTAATCCAACGGATCTTATCGAGCTTATCACCGCACGGTGCCCGACGCTCTGGCCTTGCTTCAAGCCGTAAGAGCAGTCGACGCTTGTAGCATTGCTCGTCACATGCTACTCATTGGCTTACGACTCTGTTGATAGCGGTTCGATCTCAGCAAACGAGTCGCAATGGCAACTCCCATCGATCGTTCTCGTGCGGCAACACCGTCACTGCCTCATCAGCCAACTCAGCTCGAACTCCTGCGCGAGGCTTCCGTCGGTGTAGCACATCTGCTCAACGATGACATCGAAGCCGCCAAGACCACCTTGGCCGCACAGCCTGAATGCCCATACCATCTCACTGGGCTCGGCATCACCCGCTTCATGGAGGCATCGCTCGGTATGGAGACGCAAGAGCTAGCTGTAGCAATGACGACGCTCTTCAAAGCTGAATCCGTGTCCAAAGCGGCCAAGACGGTCAAGACAGATCAGGTCAGGTGGTGGCATGCGGATGTCGAGCACGACATACTCATTGCGGACGCTGTCATCGGACAAGCCATCATACATATCTTGTCAGGCAGCTACCTAGGTGCGTGTTTCGATCCACTCGAGTCTCATATTGGGTCTGAAGAGCTCGAAACTCGGCCAGACTTTGTCAAGGCAGCGTACAAACTCCAACGGTGTCACTCGCTATTCGAAAAGTCATTCAAGCAGTACGTCCAGGCCGACATGTGACTGCGAGAGATCTGCTCATACAGTACTAGAATCTATCCAGATACTGTGACGGACAAGGACAGTGCAGCAACAATCAACCGCGTGCTCGAAGACAAGTACGCGACCGCCGCAGACGCGCGAGCAAAAGGCGCGCCGACAATGAGCCGGCAGTCATCCAGCTGGAGCCTCTTCAAGCGTTCCGAGTCGGCCGCGTCCACGCCAAATAGCGTCAAAAATGGCAAAGTGCCCGCAAAAGACCTGCAAAAAAGTCTAGCTCAACTCAAGCTAGGCTCGAGTGCGAGCGTCGACAAGATACAAACGCCCACAGCGGGAACGATATGGCAAGATGAGATGGCTTCTCTCGTCATTTCGGGCGCATTGTTCGGACATGGACTGTTTGAGCTCGTCTTTGCACTCCTCCCGCCCAAAGTACGCAAAGTTACCTCGTTCGTGGGCTTTTCGAACGGCAATCGGCGCAAGGCACTTACCTTGCTCGAAGTACCCGCGATACAAGGGAGTGACATTCACGCTTCCTTCGCTTCGCTGGCGCTCCTGACATATCACGGTCTGGTACTCCTCATGTCGGGCTGGCAAGCTCAGGAAGCCGAACTCATCGACCAGTGCTCCACCATCTTATCGCGTGTCGAACAGCGCTTCCCGGAAGGCACTCTGTGGCTGCTCAATCGAGCAAAGATTTTACGGATGAAAGGCCAAGTCGAGGAAGCCATTAAAGTCTTGCAAGACGCTCGTAATTCGTCTTTCAAGCAGGCGGAATCAATTGTCTGGTTCGAGCTATGCTGGTGCTGGCTCAGCATGAATCGATGGGAAGAAGCAGCGCACGCTTTCTCGGAGATGACTCGATTGTCAGCTTGGTCGCACGGCACGTACACGTTTACTCGGCTCGGCTGCTATTTACAGCTAGAGCACACGCCCGAGAACATTGCGAGGGTCAAGAAATGCATCGAGGAAGAACTACCGCAACAGATCGGGAAAAAGAAAATTATGGGCAGCACGGCACCCATCGAGCAATTCATTCTATCTCGACTCGGATTCTGGCAGAGAAAGCTAGATCGGGCGCACGCTCGCGGTCGGAAAGATGTCGAGCTATGGCAGATCATCAAGATCAATCCTGCGCTCGAGATTGCAATCCAGTGGAATGGCATCCCACGAGCGCCGGCAAAGCAGCAACAAGAGACGATAGACAGTCTGCTTGCGCTATCGCCACCGATTGATGCAGATTGGAAGACCGTGCATGCAGATGCTGATCTGGACACTATCGAGGAGCTCGCCATTCGTGCTCTTCTACTCGGGATCTCGTATCGCTCGCTAGGCAAGCTCGAAGAAGGCAGGAAGCATCTCCACGCCGCGAGCCAAGTTGCTGTAGAGTTACCCACATGCTACGCTGCGCCGGCAGCTAAACTCGAGCTCGGCATCTTGCTCTGTGTGGAAGCGGACCGCAATGCAAAGGGCAAGTCGAAAGAAGAGGCGCGACCGATCTACAAAGCAGCTTTCGCAGACGCAAACAGGCTCTTTGAGTCTGCTCTCGCTGCATCTTTTGATATGGATAGTCGGCTCGCAAGCCGCATAACGATGTTACGGGTAGAAATGGACGACAAAAAAGCGCAACTTGCAATATAGATGCTGTACAATATTGACACGAGAGTTTAGGCGCCTATCCCATAGCCTGCCGAGCCATTTTTGCTCAAGTAGACGGACAATTACGTCTATTAATTCGAGTATGCAAGTCCCACGAGATGGTATCGCATGCACAAGACGTAAGCACGCTTTCATCGCAATCAGATCCACTGCACGGTATCGTTTGTACAGCCTCTCAAATCGGAGCCGCTCTGTTCGACGTATCTGCATCGATGCAGATAGCTCGCACTCAGTTGTTCTCGGAGCATGCTAGTCGGAGCATTAGCAGCCTCGGGATACCGCTGTTGGCCTAAAGGCATTATGTATCCGTCAACAATCGCAGCCTTGAATTGCAGATCTCGAGCAGGATTGGCGCTCGCGACTCTTAACATATGCGACCACCTGAGAGCACGTAGATGCGCAGAGAAGCTGGACTGCAATCGTCGAACATTTTGCAGATAAGTACATTCCGATCGACATCGTGCAGCCGGCGCTACTCCGTGGCAACGGACTCTTTGACGATCATCCATTCAAAGTCGCAAAGCGTAAGCGCTGTCGGGGCCTGCTTTAGCTCTTCAGCGCAAATTGAGAGCCACTTACGAGGAGGATGATCAAGGGTGTGCATGTCACATTCCTGATCCATTGACATGTGATCGCCACATTCCAGCTGGAACAGCTCTCCTTGCTTGACAAAGTCATCTAAGAGCGCATATCAGGACGATCTGACAGTGGAGACTGCGAATTGGCGACCTACGCTTGTGTGCATAGAGTGACAGACTGTGAGCTATCATCAGCTCTAAGGCTTGGAGCGGCTCAGAAGGTCGCGCTTACATCACGCGCAAAGTTCCAAGCTGCGGGCGATGTCATTGCTTGTTATGATTGTACATAGTTGGAGCACATACGCAGCAATCGTGATAAGTCTCGATGTAAGGCCGCCTCATGAGCTCGAACTCGATACCGACAGCATCTTCTGTGGGGAAGAAACCGCTCACTGTCTCATTGACGCCTGTTTTGGCGATCTGAGGGACCATGAGGAAGTGCCGAAAGCAGTATGCTGAGCTGATCTTACAATCTCATATCTAGCGTGTCCTATCTCGTCGTTCCATACTTTGACTGTTGCGGTCAGACGTTCATCGTCACCATTGCCAAAGGGAAGCAGATGAGACGGTAGATCACAAACAGCTTCGTAGCTGACTGTACCAGTCACTGATCAGCGGGGAACTCCAGCATCGTCGCATTGGCTGACAATCGAGCTCGTAAGTCTGAGGCTCGTGAAGCGACTCTGCGCTGATGATCGTTGCCGAAAACAAGAGTACTGATGCTGAGAGCACGAACAGGTTCATGATTAGCAGTAAGCCAGCAGGTCGATAAAAATTTGGCGCGTGATCAGGCGTGACGCGAGGTAGGCGACCCGCCGCAGGAGACGGTTACCGTGCATCTCTACAACCCAAACGTCTCTACATCCCCTTGAACTCCTTATAGCTGTCTTGAAAGAGGTACTAACGCATCATCCGTGGCGCCGGCAGCTTGCCATGCCGCGAGCAGAGTAGGCTTTTGCTTTGCTTGTAGCCATTCCAGGCCGACTTCCCCTCGCGATGTCTCGCCCTCGCCGAGATGAGCACCCACGCTGCGCATAGTCTCCACACACGCCAGCGAGCCCTCTCTAGCAGCACTGACGCAGAGCTTAGCATTATGTGTATTTCGCAGGCAAACGATGACTTACTAGAACAGTGGCGTGTGATCTTGTAAATCGCGTATATGTACCGAAGCTCCACTCTTGAGAAGTAATGCAACGTTGCCGGCAAGCCCGCGCAGAGCGGCAATGTGCAGCGGTGTCTGACCCGTTGGCGCAAAGGGCACATTGAGCAATGGTGGCCCAGAAGTGAAGCGTCGCTTGAGCTGTGGTCGGATACCACTCTGTTGCTCACTTGCTTCAATGCGAGCAATGATCGCTTTGAGGCTGCCGTCGTGGAGTGAGGCAGCGCGACAAAGCAAGTAGGGGTATAGAGCGCGCTCGGCTGCGTCGACTTGGCCCGTAGATAAGGATGACGAGATATTGAGCTCTTCGAACTGGGGATCGGGCGCGGCAATTTGCTGGCGAGCAACCCCCAAGACTTGAGCAACGAGTTCGCGCATACGCTCTTGGGGATCTTCGGGAATGGTATGAGATACAGACGCGGGCGGTACGGTGAGCTCGCCCCGAAGAGGGACTTCTACTAGCTTGCGAACTTGCGCAGGGGTCAACTCGGGCTTTGATAGCAGATAGCCGAGCTTGGCAAGGGCGCATTCTGTCGTCATGTCATATCCGCTCGTCACGCCCGCTGCAGCCAGCGCTTGGCCAGACACGTAAACCGGGCTGACCATGCCTCGCGAGCACTGTGTGACATTGACGATGACGACGCCTCGATCTGCTGCTGCGCGGAAGACATCTAGCAGAGCATCTGACTGAGGGGCATTGCCTGCCCCGTAGGTCTCGAGGACGATGCCACGGACAGGCGGTGCGAGAAAGGCTTTGACGATTTGAGGCTTGATGCCTGGGAAGATACGCAGAGTGGCAACGTCCGAGCTGAAGAGTGTATGAGCATTGAACGGTTTCGAGTCTGCTGCAGGCTTGGTGACGAGATCCCAAGCGACATCGAAATTGATGCCCACCTCGGCAAGAGGCGCCAGATTAGGCGAGCTAAAAGCTGCGAAATCAAAGCTACTCGATTTGGTCGTCCGGTTGCCTCGATAGGCGGTATGATCAAAGTAGAGCAAGACCTCTGGGATGTTATAATGGCCACTGAGAAGCAGTGCGCCTAGGAGATTCTCCACGCCGTCGTTTCTGACTTCACTGAGCGGTATCTGGGCACCTGTGACGATGACAGGTTTGCCGAGATGCTCGAGCAAGAAGGACAAGGCGGAGGCGGTGTAAGACATTGTATCAGTGCCGTGGACGACAATGAAGCCATCCCAGGCGGCATAATTGCGCTCAACGTCTTGCGCAATGCGAATCCAATCTGTTCATGTTCTCAGATGGTCCTTCAGTGGGTGCGGGATGCCGACGTACCTGAAGACTCTATTTCTGCAGAGTCGATGAGCTTTTCGTATTCGTATACAGCATAGCGAATGCGTCTGCCGCCTGAGCCGCCGTGATAGGTGGGCGGCATGAGCAGTGTAGGGAGCTCAATCGTTCCGTCAAGGGTATGTACTGCTAGCGGAGCCGTTGTAGGAGGTATAGGCGTAGATGTACCGGAGGTCACAGATGGGCGGCGCTCTTGTGTGCCTTCTTGCGTCTCCTCGAGGCGAGCGGGCAATGACGAGATGGGTGAATCTATCATTTGGGCAGAGGAAACGGGAGATTGGACAGTATGAGCAGCTGTATCTGCCTTCCATTTGATATATTGTCCTGCCGTGCCAGAATGGCCGAGCAAGGAGTCGCCGTAGGGATCTGTACGCTGCCCTTTGTCACCCTGCCTGACGCGCCAGCTGGCTCCACTGACCATGGAAGCGTGACTGCGACTTGAGCGAGTCGAAGAAATATCCAGGTATAGGCGCATAACCTCCCGAGGCATCATCTTTGCACATACCAATCGTCCCGCCCGTATAGAGCAGCAGAACTCTCGACTCTGCGCCGTCTTTGTGAGCTCAAGCTGCCAGGGCCAAGACAGGAACGAGCCTGTGGTTGCAGAAGTGGAGGAGAAAGCATCTGGCGAGCGGAGGCTGCCTTGCTCGTTGGCTTGCTGCTGAGCTACGACAGAGTTGATGCGACGAACATCCCGAGCAACTGATAGCCAAAATTTAGCTCGGACGAGTCCGCTTCAGATTTGGAGAGCGGACCGTCCTTGAGCGAAGGCTTCTTGAGGCCAGCAGTCGGCCGGGCCTCGCGCATAGCGAAGTATGAGCTTGCGCTGGAGCCGGTGACGCCGGTGATGGAGGGTGATCGAGATCAGAACAAGTCGCGTTTCCTCGAGTTTCCTCTGAGCGAGACACCACAGGATGTGGGTCCTAGTGGGCAACTTCGTCAGCAAAGACGAGGGCGAGTCATGTTCAGATGTCTGTGCTATCCTCATCTCATCGTTCCCTGCAGTGACGACCCACTGGCTCCGACCCGGGCGAGAGTATACCGTTGGCCGCCGAAAGACGTCAGGAGAGCAGAGCACCGACTTTGCATTCGGCTCGTATGCCCCGACTCCGTCTCTCATGATGTTCGGGCTCATCACAATCCATGCAGCTCAATTGTATCGCGCAAGCATCTGACCATCAAGGTTTATCCCGTCAGCGACGACATCGTCCGGCCTGCGGGCACAGATTTGACAAGCAAGACCACCTACAGAGTCACAGTGAGAACAGAGAGCAAGTCACTATCGCTTCTACATGCACTGCCTGGCTACACAGGCGACTTACGATCGCGGGAATCGCAAGCCAGGTCGAACGCGGTCGCGCAAGACGAGCTCGACTATATCAGACCAGCTGCAACGCCGTCTGAATGCTTCCTTGGCGAGAGAGCGGGCGAGAGAGAAGCGCACGTCTTAGAAGCACATGGCGATAAAACAAATACAGAGACAGAGGTCTTGCCCGGTGACGAGATCATGGTCACGAAAGATCGCTCGCTTGTGCTCAGGTCAGTGAAGGAGCACGTCAGCCTCTCTTCAGGCTGATCGATGGTGTTCTCAGATTCGAGTGGCGACCTTTGGTCACGTATTGCCAAGGCAAAGTCAGTGCCGAGCTGATACAAAGAGCAAAGACGCTGGGTATGCACTTTGCCGAGCCCAGGAGATCGCAACCTCATGGCAGTCGGGGGCAGGCATGTCTTGCATCACCGGAAGCTTAGCAGAAGCCCAAAATATCTCATACTACCTTGCACGCAAAGCTACCGTCGCCCTGACGCCCAAGCTGTTTCTTGCCCTCGCGCGAGCAATACCACTTGTTACAGACGGCTTCTTCGCTGCTCTTGACCCCTTGACCCAATGTCCGCCTATACCAGATGCGATCGAAGTGGAGCTCCGTGCATCTGGCGTGCCAGATGTCAATGCGGAAGCTCAGATAGAGCGCAAGCGAGAAGCGTGGCAGACCCATTCAGCTGGATCCGACATCAATTTCTGGAAGTCATCTCCCCTCGAGATCAGCTTTGAAGAGCCCAGAGACTATCTCGGCGTGGACTCACCTTGGCCAGATCCCGTCAAATTTGGCATTAAATTGGCCCGAACAGAATGGATGGCCGCCTCGCCAAGGGGCATGTTTGTCCAGCCTGCTCGGCCGAGGCTGTTCAAGCAGATGATCTTTGTCGGTCACGACAATCAGATTCAACGAGCAGCTGTAGGTCTCCGTGCCAGAGCCTGTGAGTAAGGACTGACGCGGGCTGTAAAGACCGAGGAATATCCGGGCGTCATCAGCGCAGCAGGTGGCACTTCTATCGAAGTTTCGGGCGATGGCAGATCGCTCCAAGAGTGTCGAAAAAAGCTCCAGGACTTGGTGAACGAGAACGTCGGCAAGCACGTCATGTTCTTCAAAAGCTTCATAGACCCAGACTCGACTTGGCTCGAAGCAGCTACCGCACATCCCAAAATCTACTTGCTTGAACATATGGACGTGCTCAGTATGATCTTCAAGGCTACAGTAAACCTTGACGACTTCAAAAGGAAGGCGCCGCACAGTCCTGTGGAGTCTATGCAGCAACGGGCACCATCGATCGCGCCCTCTGACATACAATCTTTGGCGAGCGGTCCGATGCCTACAGGTCCCACAGAGTTCCCGCCAACAGTGCCCGGACAGCAGAGCGGAAAGCCCAAACGACCCGTTCGACCTCCGTCGAGCGTCAACGCGCCCAAGTTCGACACCTTTGCAGCTTTCGACGACTCGATGGATCGAGTGCCCGAAGGATCTCTGCCAGAACTGGCACAGGAACAGACAAATGGCACAGTAGCTTCGTCTTCTGCTCTGCCTTCACGTAGAGCGATTGTCAGGAAACGTCTGGCCACGCAGTCGAACAATCCGTCAAGATTACCCGGATTTGATGATTCTGACAGCGACAAAGAACCAGCTGCGGTCAGCGAAGTCCCTATTTTTACCACCGACGAGGGCGACCGTCCCGCAAAGCGCGCTCGCACAGGGACACCTGTAGTTGAGCCTATTGCCGAGAATCCGGCAGCAAGGGGTCGGAAGCGGTCTGCTAAGGAAGATGCCGATGAAGTGATGACCCTCGATGATGAGGCAGGCCGGCCCACGAAGCAGAGCAAGGCGCCCAAAAGGGGCAAGATACTACCGGTGCAAGAAGAGCCTGACACCGACGATGATCGCTATCTACAGATCAAGACCAAAGCGCGCGGCAAGGACAAGGATAACGACGCGCGACTCAATGCAGAGTTCAACGCGCTAAAGCTCGTCAAGCCTATCATGCACAAGCCAATTGTCGACAAAGGCGAACGGCTCAGGTTCGACGGACCTGAAGAGCGCGCGTTTGAGCTATCAAAAGAAGATGCGAATAAACCATCAACTCAGTGCAAGTTCCTCAAGGTCTACTTTGAAGTACAGCCTCGGCCAGCCAAAGTCCAGCCGGTCCTTGGCAGTACCGGCTTGCCCAATTATAAAGGTTTCGTACCAAAGAACCAGTCTATGCCGCAACGTAGACAGCGCCCAGAGGTTGTCTTTCATGTCTCACAGCCAGATGATTTCGGCCTTGGCGAGCAATACCTACAAGGCAGGCCAAAGACACGCAAGAAAAAGGTCATTGTCGGTCAATCGCAATTGCCGGAAGAGTCCGACGTGTCGCTGGAAGATGAAGATGAAGTCCCCAAGCTGTCTATTCGTACCCGTGGTGTTCGCAATGTACCTATCATCGAGAACGTACATACAACGAGCGACGAAGAATTAGAAGACGACGATGCATTTACATTGCAAAGTCAAAAGGGTGCTGCACCTCGTACCTCAGCGGGCCGCCGCGCAGCAAAATCGACTATATCGCCGACTAAGCGCAACGAGATCATCGTAGACAGTTCATCAGATTCAGATGATCTGACGTTCAAGGGTTTGTCTCTGATATATACAGATCAGATGATTCTGCTGATCAGCATCGCTTTGTCAGGCTTCAAGAGTACCTCAGTCTTGTCGAACAAGCCCACGCGGGCACGCCGAAAGTAAGTTTCCGAATCTTGATGCAAGTATGTACAGTGAGAATGCTGTGCGATGTTGTTGGATGCCTATGCAATTGCGCCCGCCTGCGCTATGTCCTGCCGTCGATTCCATCCTGTCTAGAACCAGTGGCTTGCGCCGCCGTGCCAGGCAACCTTTCTCCGGCCAGCAAGCTGCGACATGGTTGAGACAGATGTACCGATGTAGACTGTACCTCTCTGCTCGCAAACGTATCAGCAGCGCTCATAGAAAGGTCTGGGAAAACTCACAGTAAGGATGGCAGCATCGAGCATCGGCGGATACCAAGCACCATACTTTTGTGCAGTCTGTAGCTTTTCGTGATCGACAAAGTGGAAGCCAGGCTGGGAAGCAAGCTCCTCGCGCGTCTTTGGATCACGATCATCGGTCGTGAACACGACCGGAATGGCCTCGACGTCTCGTGTGGTATAGACCGTCGTGCCGGCATCTTTCAGCATTTGTACTCGTATGCCGTTGATTCGGTTGATGACTTTGTCATTATTGACGACGCACTTGTACCACGCTTGCTTGCGTTTGACCAAGCGTCCCTGGACCATGTCTATCGCATCGTCAAAGATGTCGTCTCTAGCTTCGAGTTTGTTTTGTGCGGAGCCTTGATCATCGTCTTGATAGTCAGTTGTCATGTCCGCGTTGTACGGTGTTGCAGTGCGGTACGAGGGCATTTCCACGCCTTCTGGTCGTGGGTCACACTTGTCCGCGACGTCATTCCTCCTGATGTGCGCTGTGATGTAACTGATGCGATTGCGGTGGATGTCATTGGCAGAAACACCGAGAACAGTCGCGATGATAGACTCTGCGAGCGCGGTAAACGGTCGATTAAATCTGCGACGCGAGGGTCAGCTAGATTCGTGCTGCGAGTCATGCTATTACGTAAGGTGCTGGCCAATGTCGTCAAACGCTTGAGCTGAGCCTATTCTGGGCGTCTGCTCGAGCCAGTAGCTCTGTGTCAAACAAGTCAGATCTTTCTGATTGCCATCGATGTGCTCCCTATCATATTTCAGAATCTCTACCGCTTTGTCCATTGACTCGAAGCGACCATGATTGATGCCGGTGTCAGCAGGATGGTAAGTTGCATTGGTCTTGACCAAGTAGCCCCTTCCGAACGAGTCATCCTTGAGCAGTTTGGCCTTGGGCTCAGTCTTTGGCAGACCGACAGCGGCACTGTAGTAGCATTTGAGCTCTTCCGAATCATTGCGCCAGCCGTTGATAAAGTATTCCTTGGTGATAGGGCCAGGTCCGTACCATGCTTCGGCATGATTGCGGTCCGGCTTGTTGAGAATTGGTCCTTGATCCTCTATTGGCTGAGTGGGATCAACCGGATTATCGCCAAACGGAGTGAGATCGCTCTTGAGATCTGCCCATTCGATGACTGAAAGGTTCAAGCGAGATTGCAAATGCTCAAGATCATAGAATGCGCTGTAGGGCGGGCCGCTGAAGGTGTTGAGGTGCAGATTGGGCGCGATGGGCGGGAGGATGACTGTTCTAGCGCTTTTGATGCCCAGGTAAAGCAGATTGAACTTGGTGCCCAGGATCAGCTTTGTGCGAGATCCGGGTAGATATGAGACTCACGATGCCTTTGAGCTGATTGTTCGTCCCACCGAGGGGAATGGCAGTGACGTACCGTTCTAGTCGGGCAGGCTCGAGCGTGTCCCAGTAAGAGCCATGCTCCTCTATTGACTTTGCCAGTCGGGTTTGCACAGGCGATGGGGTGTGAGTCGGTTGCGCAGAGCTCGATGCGCTCGACACGCTAGCGACGGATAGTCGGCTGGATACTGGGCCAGGGAGCGGCGTGCTAGACGTTTGAGCTTCTGATGTGCTCAGTGGAAGGCTGGCTAATTCGTCGAGGGATGCATCGATATCTTCGTGGGATTTCCAGGGTGAGACAAAGGCCTCCCAGGCATCATTCGAAGTCTGCTTCACATTTTGCAGTGTATCTTGCGCAATTGAAGATGCTTTCAACCTGGTTTCTGATGTACTTGTGAAGCCAACGATGATGAGACTGATCGCGCCTAGCAGGACAAGAGGTACCATAATTCTTCGACATGACGAACGCGTCCAGGGCCTCTTTGGGGTATTCGACGTTGGCATGCGTTGCATCTCCTTGTAGTCATCCATGTTGTACTTCTCATCGTCTGGCGTGGCGCGTACTTGGGACGAATGACCATGTCGACAGGGTTGGCCGAGACCGAGTCCCAGACCAAGTCCGTGGCCTATGAGATGCCCACTGCCTCTTCTCACCGCAATAGTGGACTCGAATGTTGGCGTGCTCTTGAGGGAAGGCGATATGTCTACATTTGCCTCTTCGTCCCGATAGCCCATGTTATCCTCGCCTTCGTCGCCGATTGAGAACACGGCGCTTGACCGGGTGGGCGGAGTAGCATTGCATTGTCCGCCGCAGCATCCACAGCAGTGACCGTGGCCATGAGAGGAAGTACTAGAGGTGACCGACATGGCAGGCGAGGCAGGCGCGTGTTGATCAAGCAAAGGCGACGCTGGCAAAGCGGCATACGCATTCTCCGACTTTGGCACGTCCTCGTCAGCTCGCTTACGGCTTCTCGTCGTCTGCGGTGAGGGCGGAAAAAGCATCGCTTTGAAGGCGGGCATCTTTTGCAAACGAGCAGCACCGCCCGCGCGAAGCCTATGTCACAGTCAAAAGGGACACGGCTTGCAAATAGAAATGGAAGCACGACACGTCTGAGAGACGCGTTCATTGCAAATCACTCACGTGACTTGAGATGACGAGCCGCTCGCTGCCCTGACTTCCTGCCTGAAATGCGCTTGGCTCCATCTGCAGATGCTTCTGTCGTCGGAGACAACGACATCATCATCATCCAGTCAAGCAGATGCGCCAAGCTCGTCGCTCGAGCCAGAGGATGAGATCAAGAAGGAGCCCCTCGATGAAGACGAGAGAGCTTTGCTGCGTTCCTTTCGTCACGGCGCTACCCCGCCAGGGCGCACCCGTTCGAAAGTACGCATAGCAAGCGAGACTTCAACCTCATCGAGTGCCGACTCTGCTTCGCCAGGGCCGCCTAGTGTGACTCGGAGGCCTAAAGGGGATTGGCCATACTCGAACTATCAGTGGACGTTGGCCACACTCATCCTCACCTTCAGAGTGGTCGCAATCCGTGTGAACGAAGCGAACCCCGCCAATGTGGATCCCAGAGCGATCGCAAACTCAGTGGACGCGGGCCAACCTGCACAGGTCCGCGATCACACCGTGCCGACGGCAAATGACATTCTTGCAAAGTACAGAGAACTCGAAGTCGCATATCATTTTGTAGAGCACGACATCGCTCAAGCGGCATGGCATTGGGACGACGAGGAGGGTGTTGAGCTCGAGGATGAGAACGATTGGCATGACTTTCTGTCGACCTACCCCGCGCATGTGCGAGTCATCGTCAATCGCTTCTGCGATGGCCTCACGAAAGTTGATCGCTCTATCTGGCCAATCATCAACGACATCTTCGCCACTGGCCCAGCTCGAGCGAAAGTCACCAAGCGGCTGCGCGCGCTTAGTCCTGAAGATGCTGTATTCGAATCTCAGGAGCATTCTCGAGCTTCTCTTTCAGACTCGTCTGGCTCGAATTACGTAGATGGACCTGCCAAGAAACGCGCAAAGACTACGAGAGCCCCCAGGGTCAGCGCGCCAGGTCGGCTTGTCACTGCGCAACCGCCTATCAAGATGCCTGTGACTGAGGTAGCGCCTATACGGTTGGCTTCCGGCGTGTCTGTACTGCCAGCTAGTGTACCCGCGCATGGCCCGACGCCCTCAAGAGCAAAAGGCAGTGCAAAGCGGTCTGCCAAGGTGCCGAGCACCCGAATACTCACTGCAGCCTTACCCGCGATCCCTGCGGCCCCTGCACGAGCTCTACCTGTTTCTACGCATAGGATGCCTGCGATAGTTCAACGACCGCATTACCCTCCACTTGCCGACTGGCCAGTCTCAGCTGAGTGGTCTATTCAGCCTGCCCCATTCGCCCTACAGAATCGTACGCGTAACAAGTGCGCCCCGATCATAAGTGGCTTGTGGAAAGCCCCTGACTGGTCCGGCAGGACACAATGGTCACCACCACCGTTGGTTCATCGCCCTGCAGCTGCCTCTGAGCCATCAATGCAGCAAGCTGGTATTGTGACGAGCTCGCCTTTCGGCATTTCTGCCCTCATTTCACAAAGGCCGCAAATCCTGTCAACAATAGCGCATCCCAGGCGAAGCACTGGCTCAACAGCAGCGCTAGACAGTGCCGTCCGAAGAATTGAATGGGGGTCCGCGCAGGCCCCTTTGACGCCAACACGGGAGGGAGCCACGACGCCGACAGTGCCAGCATCAGCTCCGATCAACGCTCGGGCTCCCATCGAATCTATGGCCCCTTTCGCACAAAACCTGCTGCTGAACCGCGCGTACATGCATTCTTCAGGTTTCGCGACCACTGCACCGACAGTGCCTCGACCCAATCCTCGCTTTCACCCGATGGGTACTTTTGCTGCCTCGGCAGCTGTATCAAAGTGGGCGCCTCTAGATAGGGCGCACTCTGGACAGCTTGTCGAAGGCTTGCATCCCATGTCGACCATTGATCGAAACAAGATTGCTCCGAGGCAGACCTGCACAATGCCTGTGCCTGCGAGACAGCGGCGACTGCTATCGCTGAATTACGCTGCCCATCGAGCAAGACCTGTAGACGCTCGGCGACACCAGTGCCTTGCTGCGTCGGCGACTTCAACGTACATTGACTTGACTGAACAGGAAGTAACCGTAAGTCGCGCATCCTCCCTGGGTCCTGCGCAACCCTGCCCACAGATACATGCTGCGGCTCGAGCAAACGCCCCGCAGCAGCAGCTATTGTTAGGACAACATCGCCGCGAGCATTTGCGCGCAACACCAGCTACTGCTCGACGAAATGTCGCGCCGGCTCAAGCTCAGCAGCAAGCACACTCCCCGCAGGTCAAAGCGGGCGTACCGCTCACTCCAGCCACTACACCAGAGCCTGTGCCGGATCGTGTCACGGTTAATGCTCCAGTTGATACCAATGTGGTCACCGCCACCGTCTCAGTCCCAACAATGGCGAACGAATCGCGCCTCCCGGCGCAGCCTGTCTCGCCGGGACTGACCGCTCCATCACTACTGTCTGCTACACCGCGGCCAAGTGGCCCGTCGGATCATTCTGCCAGGGTGTCGCCGCCTCTACCTAGTTTGGCCCCCGCTGCACATGTGTCGAGAGCACACGCCGTCGTTGCAGACAAGGCAGCTTCACCTGCTGAATCCGCGGTCACTACGCAAGCACCTTCCGACCGGCAACAAGACATCCCAACGAGCTCACTTACGCGACAGTCTGCTGAACCTGCAATACTCAAAGCCCCAGGCATCATCCCAATCGAGCGTCAGCAGCTGGCTTGTCGCAATCTTTGTCTACTGGTTGGACGATCTGATTTGCGCGACTACTTCGACAGCGAGCGCATTGCAGAGTTCTCGAGCAAGGCGTTTGCTTCCCTGCCTCTGGCGATCTTTCTGTCAGACTTCAAGACTGATCTTGATCCAGCTTTGACTGTGATGATGTTGACCGCAGGATTAGCAGCGAGCTAGAGCCTGCCAAAGCATTTTGTACCATTTGTTGTTGCAACCATACGCAAAGGAGCGCGTCGACCGAAATTGCCACAGGATTCTCCTATGAAAGCCCTCAGGGCTCTGTTCGGTGTCTCTGTGCTCCTTCCATCCATCAACGCTGGTCTACACCCTGATCTGGACTTGTATGCGTACGTCATGGGCCGCATCATCGGTCAGTCGAAGCATGCCCACAAGAGATCTTGAGCATCGATTGTACAATGCAGACAGCGGTGTGTCCCGGCAATATCGGTCTCATGAGGACCTAAGTTTTCGGCTTCCATGTCTTTCTGAGCACCAACGCGCAGTCAGACTCATGGCATGTGGTTGTGTGTACTGTCCATGAACAGTTCGACAATGCTTACTGAAGGTAGGCGCCGACTACTCTGCCTCTGGTCGAAGTCGCCCCGTTTGAATATACCGCTGGAGCTCATCACATGGCATACAACTTCATCATCGAGTCAGCATGACATCTACGCTTTCTACCCTACTGATATACATGCGCAGGACTAAGGGCGAGCTGGATAATCCATCTTGGTACAACTGCTGTCCTGAAGGGCCCACGTTGACCTTCAATCTCGAGCTGGCCAAGTCGCCATCGTTTTCAAGATGAGAGGTCCCTTCTTCGCTCGCGGCTTTTTCATGCTGTGCGGTGGATTGGACCTTGTCCAGCTCGGTTGTCCAGCTCAGAAGCGTGAGTTTCGTGCGCGATCTGAGCTCTTCGTACTGACGGTTGAGATCAGAATGGACAGAGTGCTCGTTACGGGAGAAGTCATCAAAAGTGATGAGCTGGCCTGAGCGCTCGCCTGTCTCTTCATTGCCGCTAACGCCACAGCACGGATTTCATTAGCAGCACAAAGGCGCAGCGGAGAGACTTGTCGTACGCGAGAACGAGACTGTTCATGCTCGGTTCGATTGCTTCCTCTGAGGATACTCCAGGAAGAGCTGCCAGGATTGCTCGAGCCCCTCGATAGCAGCGTCGGCATGGAGATCGTGAGCCGATCGAAGCATGAGCAGTGCTTCGTGCAGCTTCTTATCTGATCCCCTTGCAGATGCCCAGTCTGATTCGATGAGCAATCTATCCCTCGCTACTGCAGCGATGGTCTCTTCTGTCTTGTCTGAGCGAGCATTCACCGTACTCGAAAAGCTGAACCAGACATTCTTGTATGCCTTTTGAATCTGCGTGGCCGATTCCTTGCTGCCACCATACGAGTGCAAATCGATGGCGATGTCATCGTGGTGGGTCTTGTGTTTCTTCTTCAGGTCTGCGAGGACGTCTTGTGTTGCCCCTTGTGCTGCTACAGAATGCATGGACACGTTGCGTCGGTAGATGATGGCAATATCCAGCTGGGCAAGCAAGATGGTCTTTTGATGTTCGATGGGCGTACGTAGTTTCGTCAGGCCAGTTGGCCATTCGCGTGTCGGCGGTAACGAGACGGGAGCGATGTGTCCGCCGAAGCAAGGCACGCGAGCAGAACGGTCTAAGCCTACTTCGCCGACCATAGCCGTAGGATATCTGTCCAGATAGCCACGCAGGGATCTGATCCATTCGTCCAGCATGAGCGGTTCGGGCAAGTTCCGCATGAGCTCCTCTGTCAGCTCAGGGTGACGCTCGTCATCTGTGCCAGGCCATAGTCGAGTGTAGTGGTCTAGCTTGTCTGCAAATGGCTCGATGGCGATGGCGTGTGTGAACCAAGGATGGAGGCCAAAAGCAGGTACGATCTTTTCAGGGTGTCGACTCGCAAGTCGGGCCGTGAGCTCTTGGTTGTGCAGATTGCTGGACATGCAGACCATCTTTGCGCAGACGAGCTTGTCCACGCCATCTTGCTCTGCATCGAAATGCTTGGTATCGTGCGGATGTGCGTGACACTGTGCCGCTTCAGCTCGATCAGCCAGACTGGCAACGAGCTCACATCGACTATACGCCCGAGATGCGCCTCTTGCTCAGCTGACAGCTCCTCTTCTGACTCGCTAAGCTCGCCGCACATGACATCACTTCGTGGCGACGCGCAAAGCAGTTTACCTCTCTTTTTGTTATCGCGCTACACGCAAGCATGCCACGGCCTGTCCGCATAGCCATCTGCCAGTTCGCCAGTGAGCCACCCAGACCAGACGACCGACATGCCCAGGAGACGAACGTCCATCGCAATCTTGCCCGGACAGCGTCATTCGTCGCAGATGCTGCCAAGCAGAGAGCAGACGTTATCGTCTTTCCTGGTTCGCTCGTCTGCTGTGTTGGGCTCATAGCGTTGACAGCTGGATCGCAGAGTACTGGTTGACCAACATTATGGCTGACCACCTGCACCTCGCTACCGAAGAAGAGGAATTTGTAGAGGATCTACAGCAGCTCGCTAAGAAGTACGGCGTCGATATCGTGGCAGGCACGATCGTCGAAAAGTCAGCCGGTGACAACGATAAGCTCTTCAACACGTGCGTCGTCTCCACTGAGCGCAGGGGACTCGTTTCACGCCGCATTCGAGCAGTTCGCGGTATGTCAGCAAGACGGGGGAAGTACTGGGCACATATCGCAAGAAGAATCTATGGCATCCGTGCGTCATCGGTCTGTGAAGCTACCACTTGCTTCAAGAAAGACGTATATGCACAGTGAGAAAGATTACCTCACGAGATGCGTACGCGAGCACACGACATTCGACACGCCCAAGTACCGCGCCGGCCTCCTTGCCTGCTGGGACCTCGCCTGGCCAGAAGCGTTTCGACCTGTACGTACTTTGCCTGCATCTATCGACGTCGCTCAGTCATCGAGGGAGCAGTTGCTACTAGACAAAGTTGACGTACGCGCCGCCCGCTCGTCAAGTCCAGTGCTCATTGTGTGATCAGATTGTCTTCATACCCACCTGCTGGGTAGCAGACGACGTAGGACCTATCGGCGAGAAATGGGATCCCAAGTAAGCTCAACCCACCCAAAATGTCCTTGTGCTCATCATGTGGCCAGAGCGGAGGGCGAGCGCGCGTATCTCGACTCACTCGTCATCACAAGGGCTTACGAAACCGAATGCTGCATCGTCTTTGTCAAGTACGCTCGACTTCCTGTCAGCTAATGAGGCCATCTGAAAGCTGCTTATTGCGTACAGCTGCGGCGGGCCTCGCTCACAGGGCTACATGGGTCGAAGCGCAGTGGCAATGCCCTTCTTGGGCTGCGTGGCCAAGCTACCCGAACCCGATGAGCAACTCGTCGTTGTCGAAATCGATCTTGACATCTTGCCGGATGCAGAAGCGACGTACAAGATCAGAGAAGACAAGATGCGGCAATTGCGATGGGCGCAATCGGAGGAGAACGATCACTACCGGGACTAGACACGGCTGTATCAACATGCACTGTATATCACACATCCAGTCTACCATTCTTTGCTGTGTTTCACAGACCGTACGCTGAATACGGAGTTCACGAAGCGCGAAACGTATCATCACCGAGGGAGACAGCCGGCGTCACAGCATAGCAGCGCCCATCGCAGAAGGTCGCCGGTAGCTTGAGAACCAAATACTACGCAATGCGCCAATTCAGTGCCGTCGTGCTTGCTTTGATTGCTCTCACTGCATCTGTACGTTCAGCGTACGAGCGGCAGTCAGGTTAGCTAAAGCTGCGCCAGGCTTCGGCGAATCCGTGCAACGGCCACAGCAAGGGTTACTGTTTGCGAACCAATGGCTGCCACTGGGCTGACGGCTGCTCCGACGGCTCTTCATGTGGCACTTGTGCGTCCCATCGATTGTCGACTGTACGAGGCTGATACGTACCGCAGCTGGATATTGTCTCGATGGCGAACTGTGTACGTCAGAACCTCGGTGACTTTGCCAAGCTGACAGGCTTTTCAGGCGGCTGTGTGACCTGATCAAGTCCGCAAACAAGGTGTCTGTCCAAGAGATGCATTCGTTCACGACGAGCCTTCTCGCTCGTGAGCCGGAGCGTAGTAAATTTGCGTGGCGCTGCGGATGATATCGCACTTCCCTTTGGCTGCGCTAAGACATGAGGCCAATCAGATATCAGCGCAAAAGACGTACGCTTTACTGGCAGCGCGCGGTTGCAAGGTACAGTGTTGATCTCTGTACAATCGATGTCCATAGTGACCTCCTCGGTATGATAACCCTGGGCTGTGTCGGCCCTGAGCCAGAAAGCAGTATCGACATAGGTCGTGCAGCAGTCATGATACTCTTCGTGCATCGTATTTACTTCGGAAGCGACGGCAAACTTGAGCCAAACACCGTCGGATTCGTAGCGGACATCTTTGCCCTTGATGCTCGTCACGTAATCCTTGGCCAGCTGATGGCCGATTCAGTATCAGAACCTGCTCGGATCTTGATCACATACGATGCGAGGGCCTTCGGGTCCCATCAAGATCTGAATGTAAATCACAGGCGTATCGACTTGAACAATATTGCCGCAAGAAGCCATAGCCATGATGAAGATGTCGAAGGTCCATTCGGGCAATGGACGCTCGATGGCACTGCCCGCCACCAATGCGCAAAGCGAAAAGCCATAGAGAAGGTTTGTGAGCATAGCAGATGGAACTGTGTGCATAGGTAGTAGACGACAAATAGTCAGGTCAGACTTCAAGCTTCAGATTTTGGTTTTACGCGCACAACTCCGCAAAACAAAAGTACGTATCTCCACAGCATCACCCGCGTGCCTCTCATTTCATGTCTGCACTATCCGCTCGGCGGGCGCAAGCTTCTGCATTAGTCCATTTACGAGCAGCTACATCTTCTGCTGACAGCAAGCGTCCCTCGTAGGTGCAGGATGAGGGCGGTCAGGCCCGATTGACTGGCCCATCATCTGGCGACTTATTCACGCTGAGCTTGTCCACGACACTCACTAGCGGCCGTCAAGCCCGTCGCTAGACCTTGATGCGCGAACGCTGTGTCATCCATACTGTCCCTCGCTTGCTACGAAGCAGCAGGACCGATGTTCAGGCTGAGCAAAGCCCAGCGGTTGGCGATCATCTCACATCCAACCTTTCACTCCGTGCTCAAACCAGGAGCAGGCTCTCCAGATGCTTGAAGAGATTGCATCTACTGTACGGAATGATCGCGAGGTTCACGAGGATCGAAGAAGAGCTCGATTGAGGGCTTGAGCATAGTGCACTCTTTATCCAAGATTGAGGGATAGGCTGGCATCTTGTCGCAACCAGGTCCATGGTGAGAACAGCCAAGGTTGACAGTCATATTTTCCTCGGCTTCCCATGCACCAGCTATTCCGGGAATCAATACTTGATTGTGCAGTGGGCTGAGAGATTTGACGTACGTTCGTCAATCCTGACCCACAATTTCATCCAAAGAAATCCCCAGCAGCACGGATGCCCTGCTGAACGTTCAGCTCAGGTCACTCAGTAATGCTAGCTTACAGCGAGGATCAACGGTGTTGAGGTCGGCACTGATCTGTAGCTCGACCCAAACCTCGTCCAGATAACGCGTGTCGCTGACGGTGATGTGCGAGCCAGGCGGCGAAATGAAGGGCTGCCGCCGTGCACATCAGTCATACATGCACGACGCCGCAAGAAGATGCTCACAAAATGAGGAACAGCGTTCGTCACGTTAACTCTCGCATACACGAGTGGTGTGTTTGCTCTGATCGTGTCACATGTCGCGATACCATAGGCGACAATATGGAAGCTCCACTGCTCGTCGTCGATCGGTCTCTCTTCCTTGAGGGCAACACCGGTCTGTACAGTATTTTGTAGCGGTGCGACGTTCGCTGAGCGCGATGCAAGAGCTGTGTGCTGCTGCTTATGATTTTCGTACAGATAGCCGAACTCGACAGTGCTCTGCCTGTTGTCACATTCGCCCTGTACAGGCCAAGGAAAGTACGCGTCGCACTCGTCCGAGTCGGCTCGACAATTCATGCTCGCATGGATCCCCTCGCTCAGTCCATCATCTTCTTCGTCTGTTCTCAGCCAGACGTTGACGCTTGCGAAGCCACGACAGCAATGCTGCTTGACTTCATCGAAGGGAATGGCCGATGTCTCTATTTCGAGCTTTTGCCATGTCCCTCCCCATTCTTCCTTTGTTCGACCGGCGTGCACGGTTGCTTCTGGTGATACGATGGGCTTCATAGAGCCCCTAATGATCAGTCAACGGATCACTGCACTTTGCATGCCACGAACATAAGTGACAGTGCCGTCGCGGGCAATCGCAACCTCGACGTTGATCAAGGGCGTCGCGCCGTGAACCTTACCGGGGCATTCGACGATAGCATACGCTGGAAGACTCGCTGAGCCGGTATAAAGTCAGTATATACGGAGCTGACCGGTCAGTTTGTAAAGCAGGCTGTTGTCATCTGGCCTCCTGAGTACCGAAAGCTTGAGGCCTGATCCTTCGTTACTCCCCGATCGTGGTATAGTGGTCAGAGGTGGCGCAGAGAGGACGTTTATCGCTGATTGAGCAAGTACGAGCCAGGCAGACAGCCACATAAGTTTTGTGAACCGCGTGCAAGGGAACATCGCGACCAAACAGAGCGATACATTGAGGAGCACAGATCTCTCCTGAGCTGGAGCAGACTACGAAGCCGTTGCTGCTTTGAGCGAGGAGACAATTTCGATGCCCGAACGGATGATGTTGCAGCGACCGGACTCTGCGAGGCAGCACGCTCAATAGCTCGCGTCGAGGGTGTGGCGCGGACATACCCGGCACAGGGAAAGCGTCGCGACAAGCGATCGTGCCATCGTTCTGGCACTTCATCTCCATGTACAGCGACTCGCCTTTTGCAGTTGAAGGTTCGACTGGCAAGCTCTGAGCCAGGCTGATATCTTGTGACCGCGAACGTACCTTTGTCAGCTCTGATCCAGCTCGTGGTGACTACTGTGCCCGAGCAACAGCGCGTGTCTGCCAGGGCCAGTCAGTTTCAGTGCAACATTGCCCAGGAGCTGATCGTGCATGCTGTATTGACGGGCCAGACGGGGTGAGAGATCATGATTCGGCGGTAGATACCCCCGCGCTGAGGAACTTCCTGGACAACCTTGGCATACGTGTCGACGGGGTAAGCGAAGGGATACTGCGTCTCTCCAGATGTGGCGATGGAGATATCGACGTTGATGAGCGGCGAAAGAACTCTGTTTTTTCCGCAAACACCGACTGCCCAAACTAAGCGATACCGTCCTCGTCAGCTCGATTTATGATCATTGGCGCAGCAGTCGCACTGATGGCACCGTAGTAGACTCCATACTGAGTGATGCCTCTCTCTTCGAAAGATGATGTTGACGACATTTGTTTGTCGAGATCGGCAGCGTCTGCCGATCCGTTGCTTTTGAGAGAACCTGCGCTTGTCGGACTACGAACTTCGAGCAGCGGGCTGGCCATGGCCATGCCGATCAACAATAACCACAGCAGCATGATGATCGATAGATGCAAGAGAGGAAGGGAGACAGGGAGCAGCTAAGATACGCACAGGAGTTCACGAAAGGGAACAACTGCGACACGTGTACACGTGTGCATGTGACACAAATCGGAGTGCGTCAGCGAACCCAAGCAAACCCCGCGGCGGCCATTTTCCTCAAGGCGGCGATGCAGCCACAACTCTTTCTGCCCTATCCTCTTCTGTTGGCGTTGAGTCAGAATGCGCCACAATGCCTATGCTCTGCTCGCACTAGCTTCTTATGCGGCAGCTGCAGCCATTACGACCGACGTGCCACAGATCAGCTGGGTAGAGCTTCCCATCGACCATAAAAACCCCAACGCGGGTACTTTCAAGAACCGCTACTGGGCTAGCGATGTACACTACAAGCCCGGCGGTCCTGTTCTGATCCTCAATGCCGGAGAGCAGCCCGCAACAGAAGTCACTGAGCTCTTCAAAGCCGGCCTGCTCGAGAGACTGTCCCGTGTGAGCAACGGCATCGCTATCCTCTTCGAACATCGTTTCTATGGCGAAACGATTCTTACCAAGGATCTCGGTACGGACTCGTTGCGTTACTTGCAGATGGATCAAGCGATTGACGACATGGAATTGTTCGCACGTACGTATAAGCACAACGGACAGGATCTCTCTGCGCCAAACACGAACTGGATCATCTTGGGGCTGAGTTATGCTGGTGGATTGAGCACAAAGGTACTTTGTCTCAGCATTCGATGTTCTCAGCTCGCCTGAACATGCGATTCAGGCCCGCGTACTTTATCCAAAGACTTTCAGGGCGGCGATCTCGTCATCGGCCGTCGTAGATGCTGCAATTGACAACTGGCAATATACTGAAGCGCTTCTAAACTACGGCAATCAGACCTGCGTCCGGATCTCGCAGATCAACTCTTTCGTCATCGATGCCATCTTTGACTCGGATGATGCAGCGGTCATTCAGAACATGAAGACTTTCTTCGGTTTGCCATATGTTCAGAAGCCTGATGAGTTTGCTGCGGCTATCTTGGACTATGCTTGGGCATGGCAGAATCACCACTGGCTCGCAAGTGATCCCGCAATAACGATGAAGACGTACAGCTGAAAGTGTCCTTGCAGCCGCGCGCTAATGACCCGACCTATGCGACTTGGTGCAACAAACTAGCCTCGACTGATGGCAAATATCATGCTCAGGATATGACGACTGCTGCCGGCCTCATACAAAAGTCTGGCTTCTTGACCTCAAAGTGGCATCAGTCCGAGACGGCAGAATCAGTCCAGCGCGGTCTACTCAACTTTGTGGCCTATCTCAATTCTACGATCCAGCCGACCGGCTGCGATGGCAAGAGCGATTGTCCTGCTGGTTCGGCTGCTGCTCTCGGCGTCTCGGATCTCAAGCAGACTTGGCGCTTGTGGTCGTTCGAGAGTTGCGATAAGTTTGCTAATTGGATCTCCGGCCACGGACCTTTGGATCGCCTGCCCGTCGTGCCACGCCATACGGACGAGACCTTCTGGGTTAATGGATGTCCTCTCATGTTCCCACCCGGCAAGGAATACACCGTCAAGATGCCACCCGATGTAGCTGCCGCCAACGCTTTCTTGGGCTTTGACTTGGGCAAAGATACTGATTTCATCATGACGCTCGTTGGAGATCAAGATCCTTGGCGACCTCGACAGGCGCCCGAACGTCCTAGTACCGATCTTCAACCTTTCATTACATGCAAAGGCTGCGTCCATCACTGGGAATCCCGTAGGATCTCACTCGTTGAGGAGGCGAAAGTTCACATCATGTTTTGCAGAGGGCTTGCTTCCTTCGGAGGTCGGGGTGGTCGAGATACCCGCAGAGATCAAGAGAGTACAGGATCTACAAGACGCGCATCTTCTGACTTGGCTCAAGATGTGGTCAAGCAGCAAGTAGATCCGACGCAACATAAGAGCTTGTCTGCAGCGCACCACGCTCGCGTAGAATACGTAAATCAGACTAGATGGTCACACAGGGTCTTCCATGCATGCAAGGTGACAACATCTCTCGAAAGACGTCAGTCTTCGCGGGCAGACGTGGTTTCCATTGCATTTCGGCCCCTGATAAACTTTGATGCTGACGCGCTGTCATCGACAAGGTCAGACCAGTGCAAGATCACTGCAAGGCCCGGCGGGGCTGCGCAGGCAAGCTGGTGATTACTTTTGACGCGTCTGACCTCTCTTCTCGATAAAGGCCGCCGCGGGATTGTTGCACCCACTGGGCGCCGAAGTTGGCGTGAAGACCTGTCTGGCGAGGTCAAGCGATCAAGACTGACTGTCAGCAAGGCGGATGCTACCTCGCTACTTGACGCGCCAAGCTTCACGACAAGTCTGCCTTTCGCTTTCCTGCAGCTGACTCTCTAGCACGCGATATCTGCTTACGTGAACGAAACCGATGCGGTTCAGCGCAGACGACGTTGCCTCCAGCGATCCAGCAGGACCCGACGAGACCGAAGAGAGCGAAGTGTCCTGGATCGAACGTCTCAGAGAACGCCTCGCTCGCTCATCTCAGGCAACGCAGAGCTACCTCGATCGCTACGCTAGTGANCACCATCTTCTCNTGGCTCGACACGATGAGCTCTGTGCGCTGCTCCATGCGAAAGACGAACAACTCGCCGAACAGAATGCGCTCATCACCACGATGCGCAGCCGATTGCTGGACCTCGAGCTGCAAATGACCGGACCGCGCGACGCGACAGACTTTGCAGCAGAGTTTCGTTTGACTCCTACCGAGCAAGCTGATCTCCTGGCATTTTCACGAAAAGCCAAATTACCCCGGCATGTCGCTACAAGTGCGATATTCTGGACCCGCAGTCAGGCCGTCAAAGCAGGCGCCTTCCAAAGGGGGGAAGTGGGTCGACGTACGGTTCTGGGTGCGCGACGTTCAGTACAGCCCCATATCGGCGGCTTTCGGCATCGAGGAATAAGCCAAGTTACCCCGGCATGTTGCCCCGGCATGTCGCTACAAGTGCGATATTCCTCGATGCCGAAAGCCGCCGATATGGGGCTGTACTGAACGTCGCGCACCCAGAACCGTACGTCGACCCACTTCCCCCCTTTGGAAGGCGCCTGCTTTGACGGCCTGACTGCGGGTCCAGAATATCGCACTTGTAGCGACATGCCGGGGTAATTTGGCTTTTCGTGAAAATGCCAGGAGATCAGCTTGCTCGGTAGGAGTCAAACGAAACTCTGCTGCAAAGTCTGTCGCGTCGCGCGGTCCGGTCATTTGCAGCTCGAGGTCCAGCAATCGGCTGCGCATCGTGGTGATGAGCGCATTCTGTTCGGCGAGTTGTTCGTCTTTCGCATGGAGCAGCGCACAGAGCTCATCGTGTCGAGCCACGAGAAGATGGTGATCACTAGCGTAGCGATCGAGGTAGCTCTGCGTTGCCTGAGATGAGCGAGCGAGGCGTTCTCTGAGACGTTCGATCCAGGACGCTTCGCTCTCTTCGGTCTCGTCGGGTCCTGCTGGATCGCTGAAGGCAACGTCGTCTGCGCTGAACCGCATCGGTTTCGTTCACGTAAGGAGATATCGCGTGCTAGAGAGTCAGCTGCAGGAAAGCGAAAGGCAGACTTGTCGTGAAGCTTGGCGCGTCAAGGTCGGGGGCGGCCTCGGTGAGTCGCACGCGAGTCGCTCGACGTGACTGGCAATGATAGAGCGAGCGTTCTTTGCTCTTTGCTCTCGTACTCCTTTCACCGAGGCAGGTACCGATTGAGGTCAGGACAGATTCGCAAGCCGCTCATGTTGAGGCATGACTGAAAATATTCCAAGCAACAAGTAGGTCTAATGCAATCTATGCGCTTGGCTGTAGCTCGTTACGCGCGGGGATACCGGCAGTACGCAGATGAGACTTGACGTCCGCTATAGGTACCTCCTTCCGATGAAAGATACCTGCAGCGAGTGCTGCTTCGACCTGACCCTCTGCAGAATCGATGCTGAAGACGTCTGAGAAATGCTCGACTGATCCTGCGCCTGATGATGCTACAATGGGTATGCTGACGCTTCGTCGAATGAGACCGATCAAAGCCTTGTCGAAGCCTCGTTTGGAGCCATCACGATCGACAGAATTGATGAGGAGCTCGCCTGCGCCGAGGAGTTCTGATCCCTGCGCGAGCTGGACGACATCGAGATCTGCTGTTTCTCTGCCGCCTTTGATCGTGCAAGCATACCAGCAGTACCTTTGCCCCTCCGGACCCCTATCGCGTGCATCGTTGGCATCGACTGGCACGACGCAAGCCTGATGAATTTCTGGCGCTTCTGTTACAGTGTTGACGTAGACTCGTCGGGGGTCGATAGACACGACGACAGCTTGACGGCCATAGCGTTGCGAGATTGTTTCGATGGCAGTCTTGCCCGTCTTTCGCTTGCCGGAAGCGAGCAGCTCCTGCACTGCCGTGACGGCATCCGAGCCAATGCTCACTTTGTCAGCGCCATGTCGAAAGTATAGCCCGGCTACGTCTAGTGCGCTAGTGAAAGTGCCATCTGGATCGGTCGTATCTCGTATGCCGCCGCCTATCGTCAGAGGCACAAAGACAGTCTCGGCAGATCGACGGACGACGTCGAGCATGGGTTGATCGTTGAGCGGACAGCTACGGAAAGATGTGATGTTGAGGAAACAGATCTCGTCCGCTCCTTCTGCATAGTAGCGTTGCGCGAGATCGACGGGCTTGCCGAGGTTGCGTACTGCTCCACCGCGGGCAGTCTTGGAAGTTTCTTCGGCTTCTCTTACGTCGTACTGATCGCCCTTTGTGACGACGAGATCGCCTTGGTCGTTACTGCGTACATCTAGACATGCTATGATACGTTTGCTGAATCCGTTGCTCGCTAATCGCGCTTCGAGACTTGGTCCGGCTCGACTCGAACGCGACGTTGATGCACTGGTCGCTTCTGCAACACCGCTTTGACTGAGCCAAGCGTGAAGCACATTGAGGCCTGCTGCGCCGCTCTTCTCTGGGTGGAATTGTGTTGCAAATACATTGTCTTTGTGGACAGCAGCGACGAAATCCTCCTTGCCGTAGCGCGACACAGCGAGAGGCCAATCAGGTGCGAGACTGAGCGTCTCTTCCCAGCTCGCTCGAAAGCAATGCACATAGTAGTAGCTCCCCGTATCCTGCAGCCCATACTGGTGAGCCTCCGCGTCGTCGCTCAGAGTGTCTTGCACGACGATTGCTCCATTCCAGCCCATGTGAGGCACGCTCTTGCCCTTGCGATCGAACTCTTTGACTTGCGCAGGTATGATGCCCAAGCCCTCTGTCCCGGGCGCTTCTTCTGAGCTCTCAAAGAGACATTGCATGCCTATGCAGATGCCCATGTAAGGTTTGCCAGACCGTATAAACTCTTTGAGCGGTTCTGCAAATCCCTGTCGTCTGAGTCTCTCCATGGCCGGGCCGAATGAGCCCACGCCCGGAAAGAGCAGTTTCTGCGGAAGACACCATCAGTCGCACGAGAGCCCTAAATGGAAGAGCGCACATCTGCACGAGCGATATCGTCTGGCGTCTTGACCCATCTGAACTCGAAGCCTAGCCGTTCGATGGCGTTTGTCAAGCTCCTGATGTTGCCTGCGCCATAGTCCAAGACGTAGAGCATCTTATGACCGGCCTGGCAGGGGTGTGCTGTCGTATGGATCGATGCGTCGACGAGTCACTTTTGACAAATCGCTGGCTGTCGTCGTGGCGCGTCGTTGGTCAAGAGCAACTCAGTCAGTCATGGATCTCAAAGGCTCGTGCTATTGCAAGGCTGTCACCTTCAGCCTGACTTCGAGCTCTCCCGTTCCGTACTTGGCTAGTCTCCAATCTCCAACACTGGTCTGTACGAGCTCAACAAATCACGCAGAGATGTTTCTGTTCGATCTGCCGCAAGACAGCAGGCGGTGGCGGCTATGCCATCAACTTGGGTGCCTCGTCTGACTCGCTCAAGATCAAGGGCGAAGGGAACATCACGCGATACAAGCCATTGGGAGATAAAGCCGGCGAGAGGTACGCAGCAGTGACATACGCCGAGCTCTTTTGTGTGAACGAGTCAGCAGATCCTTCTGCAAGACGTGCGGCTCTGCCCTCTGGAACTACGACAAGAGGTGGCCAGACTTGATCCACCCGTTTCCTTCCGTCATTGACACGGAACTGCCAGTCCCTCCCGAGTTCTGCGACATGATGTAAGTTTCGTCATCCGGAGTGCGATACAACAAGACTGACCCAAAGCAGGCTCGGCTCCAAGCCAGCCTGGGTATCGCTTGACAAGCCTTGCGAGGAATACGATGAATACCCCAACAAGTCCCTTGACGAATGGCACAAATCACACGGCTTCAAATATTGATCCCGTTCACAATCTCATCGCTCTGTTGAGCACACGCATGCGTATCTTCCACGCGTCTATGCATAGGCTACGAGGAATCTGGCAAAAGCGATGCCTCGATCCATGAGCTCTCTTCAATGACTTTGCAAGTCGTCCAACCTAAGTTGGCATCTTAGCAGATCACATGCTTTCTGACTCGACGAACTCACGACGCTGAATGGGACATCCTTCGGCAAATGGGCCGCATTCGATGTTGAACTCCCTGCCGAAGTAAGGTCCATCGATGAGCCAGCCATGAGCCGAGTATTTGGCGATGGCCACATCGAATTGGATACTGAGCGGCTTGGGGCAGCAACGTGACCAATTGGCATCTTCAGGTCTCAAGTCGACACTGTAGCCCTGTCAGCGAAGTACTTGTCCAGACTGACACGCGCTCACGTGACGCTGTGTGAGTACCACTCGGCAAAGGGCTTGTTGGTCCAAGCGTACGGTATGACAGCTGTCAGTGGAGATTGGATCGGCGACTGCTCACGATCTGGATATCAGTAACGCATACGCCGGCTTGCGCGGAGGGGTGCCATACCACCTCTGGGTAAGGATTCTTTGCGCCTCTGACGCTGTTCATGGCCGTATCGAATCTGAACGAGCCCGACGACATGTAGCCCGCCGTGACGGGGCAATGGGCTGCGGCGGTCAACCGTGATGCTCGGAGGAAACGAACAGACAAGACGTACCGAACACCATGCCATCGATTCGTACTCTCCGATTGAGTGGCGGAGAATGCGGAGCAGGTGCAGCGACCACAAGACCAGCGATTGCAAGCAAATTGATGACCAGCATACCGAAAGGGACAGGAAAATAGAGGGAGAAAATGTCGAGAATGAGGGAAGCAAAAAAACGAGACAGGAGCTTTCAACAGATTGCGTGCTTGGCAACGCGCTCGACTTTGCCGGATCGGAGCTACGATGGCGAGCCATGCGATAGACTCGATGCTGTACTCCTTCAAGTCATCTGAATCATCTGGCATGCAGATGCACGCCTCCACTCCTTATATACTCAGGCTAGGAGCCCAGTGATGCCTACCTGCTATTGCGCACAAGCATGCGCAACCATCCCAGATTCAACGCGATTTGCGTGCGTCAAACTCTTCTGCGGTGAAGGCAGGTATTCTGCGACATCCATACGCTATCGCGAGTAATCCGGTGGTTCCCACGCAAGGATGTATTCCAGCTGGATTCCTCTGTACGTCGCAAGCATCATTCATCATCGCGATATGAGCAACGATGCGTATCAACGGATCGCAACAAAGATGACCAAATTTACAGTTGTCGCACTTGTTTTCTTCATCTGCACCTTTGTCAGCCAGTAAGCGCTTATCGCTCTCGGTGCTTTGGCCGCGCTGACGTGTTTAGCAGGATGGGCATGGCCAAGGCAAATGTTTTCGACACCTATTGTGCTCTACTCTGCGAGGTAGTCCTTCACTGACGCAGAGTGATGTCCCGCTCAGAAGTCTGCAGGGCAAATGCCTCCGAAAAAGTCCCTGTTATATCGAGATGGACGGAGACGATCGATCTTGCTGCTGAGCACCGAAAAGCGGGCAGTCTCCTGCCACCCTCTATGTATTCATTGTCTCAGACTGGTCGATGATATTGAATACATTTCAGAAGAACCATCTGGTTGGCCAGGTTTCGAATGAGATGGCGTGCATGACTTCGTCACAATCTTCGACCACTGAGAGTGCGATCAGCCGACCGTCTGACGCGGTGCCACGAACTCACACTGCCGTGGCGCCTCGTATCTTGCCGGACAGAGGGGAAACGCGACGGGCTCCAGCGGGTTCAGAGCAGCTGAACGACAATGACTGTGGGCTTCGTCAGATCTACACGAGCGAGAGCGATCTGCGTCATACCGATACATCCGCGTCTGGTGCACCAGTAATCGTGCTGCTGAACATTAGCTCGTCATGACCAAGCTGATTTCGTTGCCCTACTCGACACGAGGCCCAGAGTGATATCGAATGCGACGATCTGCGAGTAGCATAAGCTGCGCTCGCTCCTCGGTAGCGTGCGCCATACGATCAGGCAGCAGCTACGATAAGGCTCATCCCAGTCAATCGGATCGGCTTCCGTTTCCCAGGGCTTGATATGGATCGAAACGGTCAGTGGGACCATGACGTCGTTCTGATCAACCGAGCTCATCTCCGGGAACACCTTGAACTTGATCTCGGAAGGCGGTGTGGGCTACTGCAATTCATTGATGAGTCTATTGCAAGGAGGTCGAAAGCTGACTGCATCGATCTCGCGAAAGGTGAAGAGGCCACCCTGCCATGGCTCCATCTGCAGGCGGAGTCGGGAAACTCGCAGGTAGAGCAGGTCTGCTGGCTGCGGTTCGACGTTGTGGCATCGGAGCCAGAATGCAGCTGGATGCAGCGAGTGACTGGTGAGCGTAGGTTACGGTCACATGTTGGAAGCGTAGCTGACGTTCGAGTTGCCAGATACGTGATCGAACGCGGAAGCCTTCAGATCGATGGGGAAAGAACAAGCAGAGGTAAAAGATGAGCAAAGCTCGGTATGCCGCTCCCGACATGGTACTCAATTGCGATGGCTCCTGAGCGTAGCTGCTTGCGTCGTCGAGTGGATTGCGCACAAGCAAGGGGCGCGAGTGTCGAGAGGGCATGCATTTGTGAGATCACGCGTCGTCAACAAGAATCTTGTAGCCTCCCTTTGCGCCTTTGGCAACACTGTCGAGCGTTGCGAATTCGTTTGTGCCACCCGACCGGGTGATGAGCCATCGATACCAAGATGGCGCGACCCGTAAGAGGGGACTACACACGTGAGCTCGTATCGATGACGAGCGGCAAGGACGTACAGACTCCATTTGACTGCGCGAGGGATGATGATCGTTTGCGATAGACCCCCTTCGATGGCTTGGATGATTCCTTGGGCGATATCATCTGGCTCAAGAAGAGGTGTGAGGAACTTGTCCGGGTGGTCATTGACTGCACTGCCGAGTGCTGTGTTGACTTTGATGGGCTGTATGAGTGTCGTACGGACAGCAGGCGCATTGTAACGCCCTGCAAGTTCTGCTGCAAGAACTTCATGGAACGCCATGACGGCTGCTTTCGAGGGTGAATAGTCTCCGCAGCCGGGCGCAGAGACGAGCGCAGCTGCAGAGGATATGTTGACGATATGACCGTGATTGGCTTTGACGATGGCGGGTAAGAACTCCTTTGTGACATAGATGAGACCGAGTGTGTTGACTGCAAAAGTGAGCTGTAGCTCTTTGGGTGTGATGTCGATGATCGACTTTCCGCGCAAGATACCCGCACAGTTGATCAAGATGGACGGGTGACCAAAATCATCTCGAATGGCTTGGGCGCTCTGGCTGACTGCTTCTGGGTCGGCAATGTTGGTCTTGTAGTACCTCACATGACGATCGTGATCTGCAATATTGGCAGGAGCGATATCCATGACTGCAATTTTGACGCCCCGCTTCCACTTGAGCTCTTCGACCAGTCGCGCTCCAATCCCCTGCGCTCCTCCTACAACGACAATGATTTCCGATCTACCGCCGGTATCGGGTGCAGCCTCGAGGTAATACGGTATCTGACGCTTCCACACGCCGTTGTTGTCGACCAGTCTGCTCAGTGCGCCATTGCCTCTCCGTAGCAGTACGAGCAAGAGGAACTGCTTGATTCGGTAGTGCTCCTTGAAAAAGTCGCTCAGTGCAGAGAGTGAGAGCGGGAGAGAGTAATCCCGGACGAAGTTGCGGAGATAGTAGGCGAAGATGAGCGCAGATGCTGGCACGGAGAGAATTGTAGCATCGATGACGTCGAGTGCCGTGTCAACGGGCGAATACTGCGCACTTGTGAGCTCGCAACAACTCTAGCGAGCTATGACATACTCTGGGCGACATATCGAGCGTCAAGTCGTCTGAAGCTGGCCGCCAAGGTCGCCGGAATCGAGTGGAAAGTGCGGAGAGATCGAAAAGCAAAGGACGCGTTTCTTTAGCTCTTTGGACAAACCAAAAAGTGCTGAGGAGGATGGAGCTTCGAGTGGCTCCATCGACCAGCGAGAGCAGCCAAATCACATCTCGTCTCACCCGACGTGTTTGCATACCCATAGACGTGCTCAAAGCTCGCAAGATATGTGCTGGCGATCCTATCACGCTCACGAGAAAAGTAGAGGATGCTTTGCAGTCGCTCAGCCTAGGAGATGCTGAGATACAGCCTGTTGTCATCGGTATCGCATGGCCATGGGTGGAGGCAAAAGGCTTAGCAGGTGAGCGAAGGTCAGAACATCAGGACAGATGTGCCTGACGATGATGTGACAGTACAAACGAGCGCAGAGCTCTTGCAAGGAACAGGCTTCGTGTCCGGCGACAGTATCGCAATAGACCGCATCGACAAGACACAGATACACACGCTCAAGTCTATCACACTCTCTTCGCAGCTCAGCAATGCGACCGCAAAGTCAGAGACGCTCGACGCTATGCGCGCTTACGTCAAAGAGCTCCTTGTCGACATGCAATTCGTTTCGACGAACATACAAATCACGATACCCTATGCTGGTACGACTGCCACGTTGACCATTGCCAACTTAGTTGCCAGCACAACATCGAGTCAGACCACGCTTGGAAAAGTCACAGCAGACACGGCGGTCGTTATCACGTCTGGCCTCGGCAAGCCTAGCAAAGCTCGCGTGATCGATTACACGAGTGGATATGATGCAGTCGGCGGTCTGGGAAAACAGATTGAGACTATCAGAGAGCTTGTCGAGTTACCTCTCCGCCGACCCGATGTCTTTGCACACTTCAACCTCACTCCGCCCAGAGGCTTGTTGCTGCATGGCCCGCCAGGCACAGGCAAGACGCTGCTTTGCTCTGCCATTGCCAAATCGCTTGCTCTACCGCTCTTTTCGATATCTGGCTCCGCTCTCGGCTCGCCCTATCATGGCGAGACAGAATCACGATTGCGGGCCATCTTCGAGGAAGCGAAAGAGGCCTCACCAAGCTTGGTCCTGATCGACGAGATCGATGGTCTGGCGCCGAAGCGGGAAGAAGCGGGCGAAGTCGAGAGACGGGTCGTTGCAACGCTTCTGACCCTCATGGACGGGTTAGACAGTAAGCCAGAGGGTGGAAGTGAATCACCGCGCATCATCGTCATCGCTGCGACGAATAGGCCCAATTCGATCGATCCTGCTCTGAGAAGACCGGGTCGTTTCGATCTGGAGGTCGAGATAGGCGTGCCCGATTTGCCAGCCCGACTCGAAATATTGCAGACGCTACTCAGACGGACGCCCCACTCGTGCGAGCCGGAAGCGCTTCAGTCGATCAGCGATAGGGCGCATGGTTTTGTCGGTGCAGATCTCGCCTCACTGGTACATTCTGCTTGCTTATCGGCTATCAAGCGATCATCTTCTTCTCTTCTGGCTGGCATGCAATTGCTGCCAAGCGATCTAGAAGCAGCATTTGCTACCACTCGACCGAGCGGTATGCGTGAGGTGTACATCGAGACACCGCGTGTGTCCTGGCACGATGTAGGGGGACAGGAATCGGTCAAACAGCGATTGCGAGAATGCGTAGAATGGCCACTACAGTATCCAGATTCATTCAAGCGGCTCGGTGTCAGACCACCGCGAGGTATCTTGCTATATGGCCCGCCAGGCTGTAGCAAGACGCTGTTGGCCAAGGCGCTCGCCAGCCAAGCCAAGGTTAACTTCCTCGCCGTCAAAGGACCAGAAGTGCGTTCACTGATCACGACGGCGCACGGACTAACCAGTGCGAACAGCTCTTCAATAAGTATGTTGGTGAAAGCGAGCGGGCCGTCAGAGAGCTGTTCAGGAAAGCTCGGGCAGCTCAGCCTTCTATCATCTTTTTGGTAGGTCAGATCGAGTGCTCGCACGACTTGCCTGATGATAAACATTACAGGACGAGATTGATGTCATTGCGGGCCATCGTGGCACGGAAGAAGGCTCAGGGAGCAGCGATCGCGTTCTGACAAGTCTTCTGACCGAGATGGACGGCATCGAGGAGCTCAACGGCGTCACCATTCTCGCAGCGACAAACCGGCCCGATGTCATCGTACGCTCCATCTCCTCACTGAGCCCAATAGATCTGATGCAATGGACAGGACGCTGCATTGATGAGACCGGGCAGACTCGATCGAATTCTCTACGTCGGCCCACCTGACTTTGAGGGTCGTCTCGCGATCTTTCAGTCACGCTTTGCAAAGATGTCTGTTGCGCCTGACGTCGCACCGAGCACCCTCGCTGGGCCCATCGTAGGCTGTCGACCTCTGTGCTAATGCCGTTGGCTGACTTCGAGACAGACCGAGGGCTGCTCGGGCGCAGAGGTGGTCAGCATTTGCCAAGATGCTGCGCTTCGAGCGCTCAAGGACGATCGAAAAGCGCCCTTTGTGAGCAGTAAAGCCTCGTCAATGGTTGCGCTTACAAGTTGGCAGGTCTCTCGCGCGCATTTCGAAGCTGCTGCAAAGGACATACGTCGCCGCATTACGCCCGACAGTCTTCGCTTCTACGAGCGATGGCGCGATCAGGCTGGCGTGCAAAGTGCGTAGCTATGGCTGAATAGCGGGATTGCAACACGCGGAAGCTATGCATGGTCAGATAGCTCTTCGTCCGTGAGTTCTTCGTCGACGGTGATATCTCGCCAGCCTGCCCGCTTCTTGAAATTGCGTCCATCAGTCGCTGGTGGGACAGCGATCGGTAGCAAGACAGTCCAGTAAGGGTATCGTCCCTGACTGGACGGTACGTTGAAGAACTCTTGTAGATTATGTACCCTGCCGAGATCGTAAACATTGTAATAAATTGTGCCCGTCTCTTTGGCACGCTGATGGTACCATTCGTTGTCTGAAGCTTCGACGCTCGTCTCGCCGCGCATGACGAGCCAAAGCTGCCATAGGCTCATGACGATCAAAGCGGCGCCAATAGCGGCGCAGAGCACCCAGAGGAGCACAGTCGCTACGCGCGGTGATCGGTATGGCCACCGCTTGCTATGATCAAGCGTCGCAAGAAGAGACGGCAGACCCCACGAGACGACGCAGATGCAAGCGATGGAGAGATAGACCATGAAGAGCACGAAATAGCGCTCGTTGCCGTGCGCGACACAAGAGTTGAGCCAGGGGCAGTGGTGATCGTACTTGAGGAAGCACTTGCGACAGATCGAGCAGTGATGCGTTCGCTCTGGCTTTGCAGGCTCTTTGCCGTCCACGCGAGGACATTTCTTGCAGGTTCTGCCGTTCATTGATGCTGGCGTATCCTCGCTTTTCGGGCGACCTGAGCCTCGCGGCAGGCCCGCGAGCGCATTGATGAGCTTGTAGCGCGGATGTCGTGCAATGTCCGGGGCGGAGAGGTGGAAATCGCTGGGCTGACCGGGCGGAGACTTGATGGCCATCCAATAGTGAAAGCAGAAAGCGTAAACGATGTAACAGCACCAGAAAATGCCAAAGCTGCTTCTCAGAGCAGAATGCTCGGGCTGCCAAAAGATGCGAGGGAAGACGACTTCGACTGTTGAACGAGTCAGCGCGAACCGACGAGAAAGCGCTGGGATGACGTACAAAAGGTGAATGCACAGATGCTGATGAGGATGGCTGCTAGTGCGACAAAGAGTGGACCGGCCCGGCCTGTGACACGATCTGCCCAGTGCTCGAAGCCCCGAAAGGCGGCGAAGACTCGCTGGGCGAGGGCTCTGAGGATGCCCATTCGGCGCCTGCTGGCGGAGTGTCACGAGTGTCGCGTGACATCGACGCGATGATACCTGGCAAGGAGGATCTGTGGAAGCTCCAGCTCGGCTTGCTTCTCAGCTTCGGTCTATACGTGTCGCTGGCCGAGGTCTTTGACCGGCTCATAGTGGTAACGAACAGTACAGACTCATTGTCCAAGTTACAAACGGAGCAACGGGTCAAGACATAGTTCTCGCTCATGCAGGGCGCTTGTTCTGTTGCAGTGAGCTGCATAGCTGATGTATAACATGATGACATGATTGTTTCGTCTAATTACCTGGCCCTCTTGCGTCTTCGAGCAGGTCGAGTATGGCTTGTATGCCATCGTCATCCCGCTGGACGGGTGGCTCGCCGTCACGGACTGCCTCCCGTTGTATGCTACCTCTATAGTTGAGCGAGACGCTATAGCATGCACATGCATCGCACCTCGGTAGGATTGCTTTCGCTTCCTCGACTGTCTTTGGGCGTAGATTGGCAAGACTACATGCCTCGAAATCTGCCAGGGACTCGCGCAACAGCGCCCTGCCATGATCACTCTTGCTCAAAAGCCTCTCAAGATGCCTGAGAAGAAATGCGACTGACGATCTGAGTCGAGCAATGTCGGAAGGTTCGAGGCCCGGACTGAACCGCTCGACGTACTCCCACATCTTCTTCGTCACGCTACCGGCACGTCAGCGCAGACACGCGACTTGACATCCAATCAGCCTACTTGAGTTGACCAGGTTCTCTCGAGACTCTCTTGGCATCTTCTCCTTGATTGTCGATGAGCATCTTGACTTCATTGATCATCAGGCACGACGCCTTTTCGAACTCTGCCGTGTCATGTCAGCGCTTGCTAAGAGCGCCATCTGGTCTTGCAGGCACCCTTTCCGAGCTTGAGCTGTGCCACATCTTCACCCTCTTCGACGCCTATCCGTCTTCGGTGAGCTAACGAGGTCATGTAGCCTGTGTCTTGCTCGAGCCCGATATTGCGCTGACCAGGCCGTCAGCTGAATACTTATCAGCTGATCTATCTCGATGCCCCAGAAACCTTACGGCCAAACCACAAGGTTATCATCTCAAATTTAGCCTAGCCTATCTCATATCATATCCCGTTTGCGAGACAGCCCCGGCTTCGGATGCATGGTCAATGCCGCTGATCTGCTATAAGATGTATACCTTGTCTGAATGCTCGCTCAGCTGAGATGCGGTTCGGCACGCTTGCACTCTCCTTTGTCGTCGTCGGCGCATCGCCATTACAGCGTCGCACCGAGCTCGTCTCCTTCGATCCTCACCCTATCCCACAAGGATGGCAAGTCGTCTGACCATGCTGCTCGCGCTGAGCTTATCTTGAGGACTGACAGGGAGCGAGGAGAGCTTGCGCCCGATAGTCATACTGTTCCACTCAGGATCGGCTTGACGCACGGCAACTTTGCAGAGCTCGAGATACAGCTCGCGCAAGTCTCCGATCCGCTGCACGAGAAGTATGGACAGCATCTGTCGCGCGAGCAGGTCCATGCTTTGCTGGCGCCCAAGCCGGACACGCTCGCTCTCGTCAAAGAATGGCTTGCCTCGCACGAGATCATGGATGAGCACCTTTCCTCTTCCCCGGCAGGCGACTACATCAGTGTCCGTTTGCCCGTTCGCAAGGTCGAGGAGATGCTGGACACGCGATACCACCGCTATCACAAAGCATCACAATCGCTTGTTCGCACACATGACTACAAACTACCACACTACTTGCACGAGCATATCAGCGTCATCACGCCCACAAACTACTTGCATAGCATCAAAGCAAAGAAGAGCACAGTCAGACATGTCTCTACACTCTCTGGCTTCACAATTCCCAAATCCTTCAGCTGGCCCTTCAGCCTTCCTAATTTCGGCACGCCCGACGTCAGCAAAGTATGCAACACTTCTGCCGTCACCAATGTCTGCCTTCGTACATTCTACAAGACGATCGGATACACACCACGAGCGACTTCAAAGAACAAAGTCGCCTTGACAGCCTACCTCGGCGAATCTGCCAACGTTTCCGACTTCAACCTCTTCCTCGCTGCATAAAGACCTGATGCACTCGCAGCTGGGTACAAGTACCCTGTTGTTCAGATCGCTGGTGGACCCAATCAGCAGACGCCCGATACGCCAGCACAACTTGCAGCATTTACCGACCTGGAAGCCAATCTGGATTCGCAGACTATTGGCGGCTTCGACTTCCCCACACCCCTCACAGTCTATTCTACAGGTGGCGAGCCACCTTTCATCCCTGATGACAACACGGGAACGGACAATAGCGACGAACCTTACGGTTCTTGGGCAAGCTACTTCCTCGGTCTTTCTAGCCCTCCTCAAGTCGTAGTGAGTCTTCAAGCGCGCCCCACAGACTATGCCATGGCTGACACAGAGGCTTGCAGTCGACCTCGTACGGAGACGATGAACAGAACGTCCCGTTGGCATATGCCAAGCAGGTCTGCTCGCAATTTGCTGCAATCGGCGCTCGAGGCACGACTCTGTTCTTTGCCTCTGGTGACTCTGGCGTAGAAAGCGATGGTCCTTACTGCACCGTCAACGATGGATCTGGCAGGACAGCTTTCCTGCCCAGCTTCCCGCCCACATGTCCTTAGTGCGTTAAATCTATCCAAAGCGTATCGTGGGCTGACATAGAAGCCAGCATAACGACGGTCGGAGCTACCAAGAACTTTGCACCCGAAGTGGCTGCATATGATCCCGCAAACGGCTTCTACTCTGGCGCAGGCTTGTCGAATTACTTTGCAGCGCCATCGTATCAAAAGCTAGCGGTCGACGGCTACTTCGCCCAAGCAGGCAATATTTATGCTGGCAAGAACCTCTACAACCGCAGCGGTCGCGCTTATCCCGACATTTCCGCTCAAGGGCAATCCTTCTTGATCTATTGGGACGGACAGCAAAGTCAGTCAATCGCAACGAGTGTGACACCGGGTAGCTGATTAGGGTGCAGATCTTGTTGACGGCACTTCAGCTTCAACGCCGACAGCAGCAGCAATCTTTGCATTGATCAACGATCGCTTGATCGTCGCAGGACGACCCGTGCTCGGCTTTGCCAATCCCCTCATCTACAGCTTGCTCGCGCCTGGCTTTAACGATGTACGACTCAGCGCGCATGCCTACAGATGGCTCGCTGATGCGTTGACAGATCACATCGGGCGCTTCAGTTGGCTGTGGTACACAAGGCTTTCCGGCGAAGATTGGATGGGATCTGGTCACTGGGTGAGTTCTCGTCCGTCACAGATGAGCTGTAGGCTCACCATCACGAGCGAACAGATTTGGGACGCCAGACTTCTCGAAACTGAGCGCGTTGTTGGGCCTCTTCATCTAGAAAAAAACCCAGCGAAAGATTGCTGACTTACGAAAAGCAAAGATAGCGCACAGACCTCCGAGTGACAATAGGGCGGACGGACCTCGAGAATAATGCATTGGAATTTGGGGTAGCGCTAGTGCAAGTGTCTGCTAGTGCTCCATGAGCATAATCGACAAATTCTTTATATCATCTTCTACAAGGCAGAGCACGATGGAGATGGAGATGACGAGGATCTCGAGCAGACGCCTGGGGATGACTACGCGCTCCTAGGCGATAAGAAAAGTCGCGTTTGATTGGTCAGACTTCCCGCGGGGAGGCGGCTGTGGCCAGACTCAAATTAACAGCGATACAGACTCGAACGGCAGTGGCTTGAGATCCGGTACGTTGCTACGAGCCTTTGGCGCTGATATCTGTACGCCCGCTGACCATGTTGACCTCATTTTCGTCCCATTACGACAAAATTTCGCCCTCGCTCTTATTGCGGTGACGCCGATTGCTTTTCATCCGTGACTGTGCTCGCGGTCTACTCTGATTCTCGTCTCTGCCCGCCGACGCTCTTGCCGCATCATCATGACACTTCGCTCGACTCACAATGCTGTTCTGATGCCGGCAACACGGTAACCCACTTGGATGACTGATCTGCATCCATCATGATCTTTGACCGCCACAGTCTCGCCTTCCGGTCAGTCTTTCCCCAGCCAAACGTCGAGCACGCTTGAGAGCAATCTCGCGGCCGACTTTGTGCTCCCTAGCGATCAACAGCGATTAGAAACGAAAAGCCAAGTTTTGCGAAATCCGTCACTCACCCTCTCCCTCCCGCCTACCTAGCTCGTCAGCCTGTCGCGCGCATTACCTGTCGCTGCCATGGCTGTCGATATCTCTGTTGGTCTCGTGACCGACGACACCATCCCCTCTCGTCCTGTCAAACCTAGACACAACTCGCAGCCGTTCCTGACGCTCGAGAATTCGGCCCACTATCAGCCCGTCAACCCTGCCGATATCAAGCCTTTTGCCGGCGAACGCACACTTGCGTCTTCAACCTCGATCAAGAAGGGCAAGAAGCTGCCCACAAGCGCCGAACGCCGTGCTACTCACAATGCGACCGAGCGTGCGCGTCGTGAATCGCTCAACTCGCGCTTCCTGCAATTGGCTGGCTCACTTCCTACTATGGTACGCTCGCTTGCTGCATCAATCTACCGACGCTGATGGTACGTGATAGGCTCGAGTGAAGCGACCCTCCAAATCGATCATTGTCAGCAAATCGCTCGAATTCATCAACAATGTCCGTTCACGCGAACGATATCTACTTGCACGCAACGCCAACCTTCGCGAACAAGTCGATTCGCTCCGTGAACAGCTTGGACTGGAGAAGCTTCCGCCTGCTGACGAAGAAGACACACGCATGGACTCAATGCCCGAGGGCTTTGTCGAGGGCCGCTTCGGCGTTGGCAATTATGACATGAACGGAGACAATGACGACGAAGAAGAGGACGACACGGCCAGCGTAACCGTCAAGCCAGTCATGCACCACTCCCGCGCTCAGTCTTTGCAAGCCGAATCTGGCGCCTCGCAGAACGCTCAGCGTCTGCAAAATGTCGGCACGACCCTGGTCGACCTTGGCGCGATGCAACAGCAGCAGATCCAAGCGCAAGTGCAAGCTATCGCGCAGCAGCAAGCCTACTACAATGCTGTCAGCCTACAGCACCCAGGCGTGTTTCAAGAACAGCAGATGCACGCTAATGGCGCGTTTGCTTATCCTGCCCTCGCCATGCAACAACATCAACATAATCAGCGCAATCTGGCCATCTTTCTGCAGCAACAACAGCAGCAGGAGCTAGCTCGCCAACAACATGAGCAGCACAACAATCACCTCGCACGCCAAGCGGCAGCGCCTACGCCCTTTGCTCCGTCGGAAGACGAGCGCGCCTCGGTAGATCCATCGCAAGACTCGTACACTGATTCACCCTCGTCGCCCTTTGAGAGCATCATGGGCTCGCATTCGAGCGAACTCGAATACGACTCATCTTCGCTCGAGTCATCGCTGCGTCGTGCGTCAGAGGCATCCTCTGCCAGCAGTGTTCACAGCCTGCCTGTTGACTTGACGCCCGCTAACAACTGTCTGCCTTTCGGACTTGACGCTTTGGACGTCCCAGCATACAATACAAACTGCTCGCGAGAACCTTTCAACAATGCTGGCTTCAATGGCTTCTCCTTCCCGACCCAAGCCTTTGCTGCCTATTAAAGCTCCTCAAAAGATGGTCACCATCGCCGCTCCCTCAATATCAGATTCACGTCTTCTCGCCTCGCTCAATCGTGGCGACGCGGCAAACGATCTTGTTCAGCTCCATCGTCGCCGTGTTGTCATTATATTGTATTCACGTTTATCTCGAACGATGCTATCAGCTAGATAGTCCGGCGGTGACCTATACCGATTTTGTTCTGACCTTTGTCGAGCACGATGATGAATTTTTGCAGAAACGCTGCACCCCATATGATCACTTGAGGGGCATCTTTGGGTAGCCTTGTACATCCATCAGCACAGTGTCTGCGCAGAGGTGGCGAAGAGAGACGCACGGAGTGACGAAAGCGAATCGCGTGCCTGGCGACTGTTCGCTCGTGAAGACCTGCTGCTCTCCCGTCAAGACGAATTCCGTCATGCCGACCTGCAGCGTGCTGTCAGCATCCGCATGACACAATCATTGTGGCACACGAGAAGTTCGAGCGGGGGTGGAAGCACGCCATCCGGTAGGACTATTGCACGGTTGCGCCAAGAGATCCAAGAGCCGGGTATTCTTCTCTGATACTCTGTGAAAGCTTCGAGCGGGACTGCGACTGTGGGGGTACCACTATCGATAACCCCCGCAGCGAACCAATTGAGCATCTCGGGAACCTGCCGACCAATCAGCGCAATGGATGCAGCGAAGCTGTCTACGCGCGAGTATCTTGATACCCCAAAGCTGCATGCCGGCTATATCCTGTCGCGGCGTCCATACGAGCGTTCCGACGAGAAAAGCAGTGTTGAGTGCGCCGAAGGTGATGCTCGGGCTGCCCAGATTGAGCGTGACGATGTTGTCGGTGACAGCTTTTGCTGCAAACGCTTGGTCCATGAACGTCCCGTAGTTCTGATGCGTGCCCGCGCCTAGACCAAGCACACCGCTAGCATAGGGTCTGAAGAAGGTTCAGGAGCTGACGGAAGAATCGTGATCGCGCTCACGGCTGGTCGAAAGAGGGCGAATGCTCTACCGCGCCAAAGGTGGCCTTGAAGGAGACATCCGATAGCGTCATCTATCAAGAGTCGGCTCGGGTCGCTAGGAGGCTGTGTAAGCTCACTTGATCGATCACAAACTTGCCGGTGACCCGAGAACGATCAATGAAAGCTTGCTGGAAAGGCTCAACGGTAGTTTTCGTCGAGCGAGAGGGCACAAATGGCTGTGCTTTGGATGCTCCGATGAAGACGCCATTCGAGCCTGTATCGATGATGACGGTATATTTGCGAGGCCAGATGGATCCGATGGATAATTCGAGCAGGTAGTGATCACCATCAAAAGTCAAGTGAGTCGCACGAGGTCCTCGCCACCCGCGTCTCTCCAGCCGCGACGTCGTCAGGTTCATCGTCAATGAGGCCGTCACTACCCCAATATCTAGACAATGGCCTAGCATCCATTTTTCCTTCTTCATCACTTGTACTGTCTGTGCTGCGCCCGCCGTGCTGTGTCGTAACGTGGCGACAGGGGTCATGTGTCTGCGCTCCCTCACTTCGTCACAACAGCCATCACACTCGATCAAGCGACGAGGCACCAAGATGATCGCATACACTATCGCTGCTTTGACCGTTCTCCTCGCCGGTACCGCTCGCGCTGTACAGTACGATGACCTCGATGGCGGCAACATGCCGCGTTGTTTGCTCGAGATCCATGTCCCGGATGTACCCAACATGGCAACGTTGATGTCCAAGTTCGAATACCGTGCTCTCGACGGAGTGCGTGCTTTCGACTTTGCGATGGCCGAGAGGCTGATGGCGATCACTCAGATCATCTCGTCTGCTACTTATCTTCCTGATCGCGCGGGCGTACCCACGGCCAACGTGACCCCAGCGGGCAAACAGAAGTTCAAAGGACAGTACCTGAACGCTTCACGCATCCAATGTCAGCAGATACCCCATCACATCATTCCTGATCTAACGTTGTTCGTGCAGTCAAAGGCAATTCTGGTGGCCTTGACGCAGACTTCACCATCACTGTTCTCTACAACAAGCCCAACACACTCGATCTCTGGTTCATCGACGACATGTCCGTCAATGGTCACCCCGCTGGGAGTAAGCAACCGTTTGTCTGTTCTTTGATCGGCCATTGACCGGATTGCAGTCGCCAACGCAAACCTCTGGTGCGGCGCCACAGTCAAACAGCCCTCCGATTACCCAGGCTGCTCGCTCGACAAGCTCGCCACATGCTAGTAGCAAGGCAGAACCGACAATCTTCAGGTCCTCGATGCATCTTTTGTGAAACACAACGCTGTCAGTCGCGGCTCGCCCATTGCATGAAACCTCCCTCCTCAGTATGACCTGCTTAAACCAAGCTTCGTTTCTACCCACATGACCGCTCAAGAGATCATGTTCCGGGTTCTCGCAATCTTTGCACTCTTCTTCTCGTCAAGCCTCGCTATCGTCGTACCACAGCGTTCGACCGGCCTGGACAAGCGTTCTCTCACCTGCGCACTTTCGATCACCGTCGAGGGCTTTGGCAGCTTTGGTTCGCAATTCTCATTGACTGCTGTCAACGGGGTACAACATGCCTCATCAAGCTGCTCGTTGCGCTCACACGTCTGCAGGATGTGGCTGCTGCAACTCAGCTGCCGGGCGTGCCCGGTGTTGGCATTGTTGGCGTGACCACAAACGATCGATTGCAACGCTTCCAGAATCAAGAATGGACCTTATCGCAGATCCGCTGTAGGTCATTCGCGCATCCTTGGAATCTGAGCTCATGCGGTCACAGTTGCATCGGTGGTCAACGGCAAGGATGTGGCATTCAACATTGTGCTGCTCTATCAGACCCCGGGCGATTTCAAGCTTTTCAACTTGGCCTCGATCACCGTCGGCGGCGTGACGCCAGCTTCCAGCATGCTGTTTCGTCCAGTTGCCTATCCACAGCTGATTGATGTGCAGAGGTAACGGCCGGCATGAGCTGCGGCGGACCCGTCTGGCAGCCGAAAGATTACAAGTGCACATGGGCTACTCTCGGCACCAGTCAGGCTTGCTGATACGCGCCTCACGACTTTGGCTACCCGGGAGTTCAGTCAGTCGAGCAATGCAATCTCGCGTTCCGGCTGATCTTGTGGGCTGCCGCATGAGTGACGAAACGCTCTCCTGTGCGATCTGGCGAGTCATGCGAGGAACCCTATGCCAGCCGCGTGGTGTGCCGAGCAATTTCCCGTTTCAGCAGAGCCATCACTGCACGGCATCCACGCCAGGTCACACTCTTGATACTCGTCTCGGCCACGACCTACTCTCGCAGAGAATTTTCTTCTTCCTGTCCGACTCGACAAGCAAGATGTGTAACTTTGCCACATCGCTTTACCTGCTCTCCTTCGCCTCGCTTCTCTCAGCCTGGCTCATCCAAGGACCGCCGTACCACAAGATGCTCGAATCAGCTGATTCTCATCCGATCACTGTGGCATACAACCTGCAATGCACGTGGATTCTCCTTTTTGGTATGGCCAGTGTTGATAGGATGAGCAGACTCGTTCAAGTACGACTGCGGTCACGAACAAGCCTTTCCGGAGAAAGTCACCCATCCGTCGGATGCATCGGTCTCGGGTAAGATCATCGAGTGTTCAGCACGATCCTTGCTGAGCACTGTCGGCGTGGTCTGCAGTCAAGGTTGTCTCGTCGACCGTCGCAACGAAAGACGTCTCGGTCACCATCGTTCGTCGCATGCGCGACGCGTTCGCGGCGATCAGCTGACACAGACTGCAGGAGAAGTCTCACGGCAAACATGCATCCTCTGAAGACACGTTCGCCGGCACTCTTGTGGGCTTTGTCAACACGAAACCACCTGCCATTCGCGTTCGAGTGATCGAACGATTCCCCTCGCCCGTCGTCGCTTATCAGTCTTGCTGTACTGGCGTCTTCAATGCTACGTGTGTTGCCATTCCATCCCTTCCAGCAAAGGGCTGACCATCACCCCACAGACTCGATCTGGCATACCGCGAGCGCAGCGTGATCAAGACCGATTCGCACTTCTACCTAGACTGCTCGTCTTCGGCCAGCGCTCATGTAAGTGCACGACCTACTGAAGCAATTACGCTGATATGAAGAAACAGAAGGGCGATGCGTGCTCGAAGGACCACCTCAAGGAGCTCGGCTTGTCAAAGAGTGCGTGACGACACTCGCTCAATGAGCGACACCTGCTGATTGTTCGTGCGGTTGCGCCAGTCAAGCATCACTGCGAAGGTGCTCAGGCTGTGTTTTCAGACGACGAGACTGAGTCGTGATGACGATGCTGATGATGGTTATGATGATGATGATGATGAAGGTGGTCATCTGTCTGTCCATCGCACTGGCAATTGCATGCAAGTCGCGTCGCGTGTTTGGCTTTGCTTTCACGCTTGGTGCCTAGCGATATCACTGCTCGCGCTACAGGCGCCGATGTCCAGCTCCGTAGACTAGCATCATCTTTGTAGCCTTCGAAGCACCTGCGACCAGTCAGGTAGCAGGCTCATACCTAACAACGAACGCACGGGCTCGTTGCTGTCAAACCGCCATCACCGCGACAGCCTCGCGTCACAAGGCGACAGTCAGTCCAGCTGTACATCTACGCATCAGACATAACCAGTCATCATGTCCAACTCGCCTCTGGACCTCTACGCCAAGGGCACTCGTGCCTGGTTTGAGGACACCAAGGAGGGCTGGATTGGAGCAGAACTCGTCGAGAAAGATGTCCAACAGCCGTCAAAGGTCGGCGTCAGCGGCCAGGGCTCAGTCAAACTGGTTTTCAAGGACGCCAATGGCAAGGTGAGCTCGGCGGACGCAACCCAACGATGGATAGCTCATGCAAGTCCTGCAGGCTCATGTGCTCGAGACAACGCTCGATGACCTGCTCAAGACGAATTGGGCAAAGCTGCCGCCCTTGCGCAATCCTCCACTGCTCGAGCAGACCGAAGACCTTACCAACTTGAGCTATCTCAACGAGCCAGGGGGTACGTCACATCACGCACATCAGGGCTCAAGTTGATGACATTCAACAGTGCTACATGCGATCAGGACTCGCTATCAGTTTCAGCAGATCTATACCTACTCTGGTATTGTCCTAGTCGCCGTCAACCCGTTTACGGCAGTACGTACAACGCGAGCCAGCTAGAGCAGGTCCTGATCATACCGAGCAGGTATCGATGTATTCGGACGAGTACGTACAACTGTATGCAGGCAAGAAGAAAGGCGAACTCGATCCGCATCTTTTTGCCATTGCCGAGGATGCGTACCGGTGTATGATCAGGCAAAAGCAGAACCAGACCATCATTGTCAGCGGCGAAAGGTTTGTCCTCGCTCTCGCGCCGAGCGTCGCGCTAATGCGCTGCGAGTAGTGGTGCAGGCAAGACAGTGTCTGCCAAGTACATCATGCGCTACTTTGCCACCGTTGAAGATCCCGAACAACCCAGCAGTAGGCGAAAGGTAAGCCAGTCCATGTGATATCTTTGGCAGGAACTCACGATCGAAAGCAGAACTCTTCCAAAGACGGCATGACAGATGTCGAGAGACAGATTTTGGCGACCAACCCCATCATGGAAGCGTTCGGTAACGCAAAGACGACACGCAATGACAACTCCTCTCGCTTCGGCAAGTATATTGAGATCCTCTTCGATAACAAACAGAACATCGTTGGCGCAAAGATCAGAACATACTTGCTCGAGCGCTCGCGACTCGTCTATCAGCCAGCGACCGAGCGCAATTATCACGTCTTCTATCAGCTGTTGGCCGGCGCGAGCTCCTCAGATAGAGCGGCGCTCTCCCTCGATCACCCTTCAAAGTTTGCTTACACGAACGGCGGAGGAGCTGGCTCAGAAATCATCACCGGCGTGGACGATGCAGCTGATTTCGCCGCGACACAAGCAGCACTCAGCACAGTCGGCATCTCTTCAGAGCAGCAATGGATGATCTTCAAAGTCCTCGCCGGTTTGCTCCATCTAGGCAACGTCAAGATCACTCAAGTTCGAAATGATGCTGTATTGGCAGATGATGACCCTTCTTTACTACTGGCCTGCAAGTTGCTCGGTATTGAAGCAGGCGAGTTCCGCAAGTGGATCACGAAGAAGCAGATCGTTACGCGAAGCGAGAAAATTGTCACCTCGCATACCGCTGCCCAAGCATCTGCAATACGAGACTCGGTCGCAAAGTACATCTATTCCAGTCTCTTTGATTGGCTTGTCGGCGTCATCAATGACAGTCTTGCAAAGCCGGATGCATTGAAGCAAGTCGCCAACTCGATCGGCGTACTCGATATCTATGGCTTTGAGCATTTCGATAAGAACTCGTTTGAACAGCTCATGATCAACTATGCCAATGAGCGACTGCAGTACAATTTCAATGCGCACGTCTTCAAGCTCGAACAGGACGAATATGTCGCCGAGCAGATCAATTGGAAGTTCATCGACTTTGCCGACAATCAGCCCTGTATCGACATGATCGAGGGCAAGCTTGGCATCATGTCGCTGCTTGACGAAGAGTCCCGGTTGCCGGCCGGTACAGACTCATCCTTCGTACAGAAGCTCTACAGCCAGCTCGGTAAGCCAGAATACACCAAGGTCTTCAAGAAGCCTCGATTCGGCAACAGTGCCTTCACGGTCAAGCATTATGCGCTCGATGTCGAATACGAAGCCGAGAGCTTCTTGGAGAAGAATCGCGATACCGTTCCTGATGAGCAGCTCAATGTGCTGTCGCAAACGACCAACGAGTTCTTGAAGGATGTCTTCGACCGTGCGGCGACGGTTGCACTGGCATCGAAGCCCGAAGCTACCAGCGCCGTTGTCCCGAAACGCGGCGGTGCAGTCAAGAAGCCGACACTGGGCTCGATTTTCAAGCTGTCCCTCATTGAGCTTATGAAGACCATCGATGCTACGAATGCGCACTACATCCGATGCATCAAGCCAAACGAACCCAAGATTGCATGGGAGTTCGAGCCGAACATGGTTTTGGGCCAGCTACGTGCTTGTGGTGTGCTCGAGACAATTCGCATAAGCTGCGCTGGCTACCCTACCAGGTGGACCTTTGCCGAGTTCGCAGAGCGGTAAGCGTCTTGCCTCAATCCGAACGCTTCCTGACTGGTCTGCAGATACTATATGCTCTGCGGATCAGAGCATTGGGGACCCGATATTTCGGGCTTGTGCGATATCATTCTTCGTGGCACGATTCAAGATCACGATAAGTACCAAGTCGGCAAAACTAAGATCTTCTTCCGCGCCGGCATGCTCGGCTACCTGGAGAAGCTGCGCGGCGACCGGCTCAACTACCTAGCGACGCTACTACAGAAGAACCTGCGAAGGCACATTGCAGTCAAGAAATACAAGTCCATGCGCGTCGCGACTATCGGCATTCAGGCAACATGGCGTGGCATCCTTGCGAGGCGGGAGCTACAGCGACAACGACAGGAAGCTGCCGCCATCGCGATTCAGCGCTACACTCGAGGATATGTGCAGCGCAATGCCTACCTCAAGACGCGCACAGCTGTCACTCGGATTCAGGCTCTCGTGCGTGGGCGCACTGTGCGTGCCAAATTCGCTAGCACCAAAACGGATCAGGCTGCAACGCTGCTGCAAAGTTTGCTGCGAGGCAGGATTGCCCGTGCTCGGTTCCTGCACGAAAGACGCCTCGTCATCTTACTACAAAGCTGCACACGTCGACGCGCCGCGAGGAAAGAACTGCTCGGTCTTAAGCAAGAAGCCAAATCGGTCTCGCACTTCAAAGAAGTCTCGTACAAGCTCGAGAACAAAGTGGTCGAGCTCACGCAGACATTGCAAAAGCGGACTGCCGAGAACAAGTCGCTGCAGGTCCGCGTGCGAGACCTCGAGACATCCATTGCAAGCTGGACGAGCAAGCATTCCGAAGTCGAGACGGAGGCTCGCGCTCTGCGGGCGCAGGCAGCAGTACCCAGCATTCCGCAATCTGTCTTTGAGACCTTGCGCGCTGAAAAGGCAGAACTCGACGAGCAGATGCGCGTCTCTACTGCTACTTTGGCGAAGAAAGACTCGCAAATCACCGCGCTCGCTCAGCAATGCGAAGCACTGAATGCAGACCTTGCGTCAAAGCAAAAAGCGCTCGGCGCGTACATGGAACGCAACGGCTCGGACGAGACCTCGACCATTGCAACTCTTCGCACAGAGCTGGCTGTCTTGCGCGAGCAACTCTCACGCACAGTTAACAACACGAAAGGCAGACCAGATGCACCTCCTGTATTCGCACCTTCTACTGGTAAGTTGAACGGCGGCTATGATCATGGCATGACGAACGGCACGGGCGCCACTCCACCGCGACCGAATCGTGGGCGTCGCAATAGCATGGCACGCAACATGGGCACGGAAGACATCGCTACGAATGGTATGCACTACGACGATGCGCCGAGAGGCGTCCAGGCGAGCTACGATCAGCTCAATGGACAAGTCGCTCGGTCGCCGAGACATCAATACATACAAGAGCCGGAGCCAGAGCCAGAAGAATTGGCAGAAGAGATGATGGCGCTACTCGAGGAAGAAGAACCGCTAGATGAAGACATCTTGATCGGCATCATCCGTTCACTCAAGATCCCACCTCCTTCGTCTAATAACCCGCCACAGCCAAAAGAAGTTTTGTTCCCAGCACATCTCATCAGCTTGGTAACGAACGAAATGTGGAAGTACGGTCTGATGTCGGAGAGCGAACGCTTCCTGGCAAACGTCATGCAAACAGTACAACAACACGTCATGTCATTCCACGGCGAAGATGCGATCATACCTGGCACTTTCTGGCTTTCCAACATTCATGAAGTTCTGTCGTTCGTTTGTATCGCAGAAGGCGACATCCTGCAGGGCATTGGGCCTGGAGCCGAAGGAGCAGGAAGAGATTTTGAATGGGAAAACTACGAGCGATTGGTGCGATTAGTCAAGCACGATCTCGACAGTCTCGAGTACAACATCTATCATACTTTCATGCAAGAGACGAAGAAGAAACTGAATAGGATGATCATACCGGCTCTCGTCGAATCGCAATCTTTGCCTGGCTTCGTCTCGAACGATTCAGGCAGCGGACGCTTCTTCAACAGGATCGTCGGCGCAAGCACTCAGCCTACGCACAGCATGGACGACATACTCAATTTGTTGAACTTGGTCTGGAAATCACTCAAGAGCTTCTACATCGAGCACAGCGTCGTACAGCAAGTGGTCACTGAGCTGCTCAAGCTCATCGGCGTCACGAGCTTCAACGACCTACTCATGCGACGTAACTTCTGCTCTTGGAAGCGGGCCATGCAAATTCAGGTGAGCCGCAGAGCCCTTGCCCCGAAGCTTTGCTCACGCGCGAGACAGTACAATATCACGCGGCTCGAAGAGTGGTGTAAAGCTCACGACATGCCCGAAGGCACGCTTCAGCTGGAACATCTCATGCAGGCGACGAAGCTCTTGCAGCTCAAGAAAGGGTCGCGTGATGACATCGAGATCATCTACGATGTCTGCTGGTTCCTCACGCCAACACAGATCCAGAAGCTCATCTCCCATTACCATGTGGCGGACTACGAGGTGCGTTCAGGTGCTCTCTTGCTTGCTCGCCCACTGACCTTCTTGCCTAGGCTCCCATTGCGCCAGAGATACTGCAAGCAGTTGCAGCGCGAGTGGTACCTGGTGACAAGGTGGGCTGCCGACTGTCGTCCATGGCATTGGTTTTGACACAATCATGCAGAACGATCATCTGCTGTTGCCGCCAGAGGTCGAAGAAGCTGGCCCATACGATGTACCCTTGCCGCGCGAGATCACGGGCATCGAGGTACGGCGTGTGCTGCTCTATTACGTGCCTCGTCTGACCTGCTCTTGGCCAGACTTACATCCCGTCGTTCTTGCCGCTTCCGAGAATCCGCGAGATCGTCCGTTTGCTCACTTAGCATACCCCCGCAGTCTAGACGTTCGTGTACGATTGCAATGTACACATCATGACTCGCGAACCGAGAGATTGTTGCTAATCACGTCTGTCGATGTAGGTCAGTGGATGCATCGTAGAGCAACGTGAGAAGGGCTTGCAGCAGGCCGACGCTTCTTTGACGCGAATCCTGAATGGCTTGCACATAGCCGACGTCGGAACTGATGAGTAGCAGCGCATGTCCTGCTGATCGTTGCTCAACAGATCCACGTCGAACTGATGAAGGTCACTTGCCACTTCGCGCGTCGGAGGTGTTGCCGCTTGCCATCTCCCTGTACATAGACTCAGGCGGGCTTGCAGTTGCAGATCCACATGAGAGGCATACAAGAGTCATACTGATTCTCTTAGTCCTGTCAGCTGGTGAGCTGAGAAGAATGCAAAGACTGACCGAGAGGACTACGCTGGTTGTGTAATCGCCACTGCAGCATGGGCTCACTGTCACGTCGTCAGCTCAGAACTACACACTACGAAGCATGGCTTGCAAAATTTGCCATCCAGGTGCGCTTGTGTGGTGATAGTAATCGTGACTGTATTCGCATCGTCATCGTGGTCAGATACCAAGACCTTGACGGGCTTTTGAATGCCAATCTGTTGCAACCATTCAGACTACGTTAAGACATGATATCAGACAGCGGGCAAATTCCACGAGAGGCGGCTTTTTGGTGGGTCGGATCATGACGGTGATCGTATCCGGATCCACTGATCCGGCTGCCATCTCTGTCTGACTTCCAGTCGCTTTGCTCCAGACGCATCCCAAACGCGAACTGACTGTTCGACTGCATCAGATCTAGTCTTGTGAGGTTGGAGTCACGGACAAGTGATCCTATATACCCACCATAGCGGCAAGGCCTGTCGTTCGGCAAGATCTCTTGGCTCGTTTGGGGAAGCTGCCATCGCATCATGGAGCGGCAAAGACTGCTCGCATGCTACGCGAACGGTCAGAAGCAAAGAGAGCAAGCAAAGCGCCGCGAGCGGTAGCAATCGCATGAGGAACGGCGCAGAGGAGTGAGGCAATCCTCGCAAGCGCACTCGGCAACGGGGTAGAACGTGTCAAGACGACCGAGTTCATGCTGATGCATTTGGACAAACAAGCTCGTCGCCCAAATTGTACGGTCAGAGAAAGGTAGCTTTTGTGATCAGGAATAGTCTGAAGACTGTAGAAAGTGGCGCTAGACATTCCGCCGTTGCGCTGATTCGCGCTCGCTTCTTCGCGTTATCGGGCTCCATCTTTGCGTCGCTATCTCCACTGACATGAGAGTGATTCACACTCTTGGCTTTGTTGCTCTGCTAGAACTGCCAAGAGGTCGTCTCAGCGCTTCTGACCGTGATTTGTTGCAAGAATGGACGTTTTGGCGTCAGTCCGATCATGTTCCAGAGTCACATGCAAATGAACGAGCAAGGCAGCATACATGCTCGTCGATCGTCCATCGCAAGACAGCCCTGGCAAGGGCAGCGTCACTTTCCACGGCCTTGACCCTATGCTATAGACTTTCGAGTGACGCAAGCGAGTACTACTTTGTGGCTCGTGAGACGGCGAGACTGCTTTAACATCGATTGCATACCGCTCATACTGGCTTGCTAGGAGCACAGTGTCCTTGCAGCGCGAATTCGGCATCCCTCATGACCTCATCTTCCCAGATGGCACGCAGACGATCATGCCCGTTCGTTTCTGGCTGACCGTTCCGACTAACGTTGCCCGCTTCGGAACAATCTTCGAAGGATCGGATCGAGACCGCGGCGAAGTGGTGCGCTCGCGTCTCACGATACCTGCGCTGGTCATCACAGACGGTGTCATGGCACATGCTCGTCAATATCGACAAGAGTGCAGAAAGGTCACTATGGTGAGCCTGCCAGGAGGCTGATGATGCGAGCAGTAGAAGTCACGTTTCAAGGTACTACAGTTGGCGGGTAATCGACCCGCCCTCTCTACGCTTGCCTCGTTCTGACGGTATTTTGTCCCTATGCAGACGCTGTCGCGATCGTCCCGGCCGTCTTGGGCCGAAAGATGGCTTTCACGAGTGTCCCGAGGGATATAAGCCACCGTACATGCGTGCGCAATTCCTTGCCAAAGCGGGGCACTGATGTGGTCCGAGCCGCTCGATGGAGAGTATGTACCATGAGCGGCCAGCTACGTTGGGAGGGTCACAGTCCTCAACATGCCATTCAGTAGAATGTGGTGGTTGCAGAATAGGCATCCTTCGTGAGCTATTGCAGAGGTAGAAGTGCAGCGGCGAGGGAGAGCAACGTGCGGTCTGCATGAGATTTTGAGCGTCGAGCAAGAAAGAGCGCGGCGAAGTGAGTTGACCCGTTCGGTTGCCCGCCATGGAGCCAGACATGGACGTTGCGACGATGAACAAGGCAAGAGAGGATGTGCAGTGGAGCAGTAGACGAGCTCACGCAGGCCTGTAGATTGCCAACGAAGAGTACAAGCACTGGAAGAAGAACTCGCCCTTGCTGTACGACCTTGTCATCACACACGCCCTGCCGTGGCCAACGCTCACTGTCCAATGGTTTCCTGACGTCGAGACGTATGTCTGTGTGTGTTCCGATCAGCCTTGGTCGCTGATCAGGGGACATCTATCCTCAGGCCAGCTGGGAAAGACTACCACCTCCACCGACTGCTTGTGGGCACAAACACGAGCGATGCAGCGCCCAATCTGGTCAAGATATTGACGGTACAAGTGCCAAAGGCGAACGAGGAGCTCAAGGAAGCAGAGTATGACACCGAAAAGGGAGAGATTGGGAGCTATTCTTCGACAGAGGCGAGAATAAAGACGGTCCAGTCGATTCCCCACGAGGGGGAAGTCAACAGGGCGAGGTACATGCCTCAGAATGCCGACCTGATCGCTACAAAGACCGTCATGGGCGAAGTCTACGTCTTTGATCGGACAAAACACCCCAGCCAGCCTGCAGATGATGCCGAATGCAAGCCTGATATCACCCTCAGAGGGCATACCAAGGAAGGGTCCGCGCCACACACGCTGAGTTTCGCGACCCTATGCTGACAGGCTAACGATGCAGATACGGTATCTCCTGGAGTCCGACGGTCGATAAGCAGGGTCACATTCTCTCGGCCTCTGAGGATACGACGGTCTGTCACTGGGACATCCGCGGCTACACCAAGAAGCATACCACACTAGATCCGCTGACTATCTACAGGGGTCACACGGCCTTTGTCGAGGTATGCCAATGCGCCGTTGGTCACGTACGAGACTGACGAGACAGTAGGACGTCGCGTGGCATCAAACGTACTCAAACGTATTTGCATCTGTAGGCGACGACAAGCAATTACTCTTGTGCGTCTCTCTTACACCGCTGTCTCCAAACGCAAGACTTAGCTTGCTGCGTACAGGTGGGACACACGAGGCAGTGGGACTGGCCCTGTGAAGCCGACTAGCAAAGTCGAGGCTCACTCTGGATTCGTCAATGCTGTCGCTTTCAGCCCTCACAGCGAGACTGTGCTTCTGACCGGCTCATCTGACAAGGCGAGCTACTCCGCTCTGTCTGAAGGGGTCATCGCTGAGACGGATCACGCAGACTATTGCGCTATGGGACACGAGAAACCTGAAGCTCAAATTACACTCGTTCGAAGCACACGAAGACGACGTGCTACAGCTCGCATGGTCACCGCACAGCGAGACCGTCTTTGCATCGGGATCTTCAGATCGGCGCATCAATGTCTGGGATGTGTCCCGTATCGGGTGCGAGCAAGTGCCCGAGGATGCAGCGGACGGGCCACCCGAGCTCATGTTCGTCCATGGCGGTCACACTTCACAAGTCACCGATCTCGCTTGGTCGCCTTCCACTGCAGGTATCTGGCACCTCGCCAGTGCTGCAGAAGACAATGTGCTTCAGATCTGGTCGCCCTCCAAAGCGATCTATGCGGCTGATATCATGCCCATCGCCGTCGACGATCTGGAATGAACACTGCCGCGAACAAAAGAGGAGAATGGATCTTTGGGATGTACCATGTATTGCAACAGACAGGCCTTGGCATGCAGGCATTCTACTTGAGCACAATCAGCCGTAAGAGCTCGAATATCACTACACGTCATCAATGAGCAAAACGCCTTGTCGACGACCCAGGACACGCTTACATCCTCCTCCCAAGATGACGACAAAGATGATGGCAGCTCGCCTCAGTGTCTTGCTGGGCTTCTTGCTCGCTACTGAGGATTTGCGCCCGGGCACTTGATGTTGCATCGATTGTTCCTTGAAGCGATCGTTTCGTTGCCTCAGCGCATGCGGCGTCGACTTTGCTTTGGGCTATCCGACGGCTCTCCGATGAGCACAAGGGTGCCACCACAAAGCGCAGTACGGACCATATTTGCGTGCTATCTTACGTCGTCGTCGTCGCCGCCGATGTTGTCAGGCGCGTCGAGCGAGCGCGGTCGTGCGGCCAGGATGGCAAGCGAACGAGTCAAGTTCTACGATCTCGTGGTCGAGCCGGGGCGCACATTCTACTCTGGCAAGCATCTATACGGGCCAAGAGAGGCCAAGTCTGACGCAAAAAGGTAGCAAACACATGGAAGACTCGCTTGTCGCTACTTCACAAAAATGTCCCGTTCGATGGTTCGCTGCTTGCTCGCTCACCCGGCGAATCCTCACAAACTCCCCCTCCAGTGATTGAAGTGACCCCCATGATGCTCCAAAGCGACGAGTTCAGGCAACGGACAGGCTCAGCAAGGCCGTTAGGTCCGATACAATTCCCAAGTCCTCAACGAACTCGCTGAAATGGAAGTCATCAGTGCCCATGGTCGAGTTCGCGCGTGACGACATGGTCTTCAATAGCTTCGTCATCGCGGACCGACTCGAGCGAGACTATGCAGATTCAAGCTCGCTGTACATACCAGAACAGGATACATCAGACTGTCATCCCGCCGCGTACGCAAGCGCGCGTGCTGCTGCAAGAGTCTTCGAACGAGGACTTGGAGACTCGGATCCAGGGTGGTCGACGTTCTTCGAGCTCATCTATACAGATTTGGCCAGAGCGTACAAACATCTGCCGGTCGACTATGAATACGTGACTTCCGATCGCAAGCTCGGGTTCGCCAACGCGCATGCCAAGCTTTCAGCGCTCAATATGAGTCAGTCGCCAGCGGTACTACGCAATGTACGCTGAGAAAGACGCAGACGAATTGATCGAACGAGCGAGAATGTCACTCTTGCCCTTTGAAGCGCTTTTGACCGACAACTTGCCCAATGGCGGCAAAGCGTCTTTTATTACTTCGCCAACAAAGGCCGGCTTCACAGACTATGTCCTGTTCGGCAGGTATATGATGGTTGCTACCCTCAATGCCGACAAAGCCGAATTAGTCTTCAGCGCCCATCCCGCCGTCTCTGATTGGGTAGAACGCGTATGTGCCCGGAGTTTGTCGCACCAGGCTATGCTGACGAGAGTCCCACAGATGCTTGACCTATATGATGGTCACGCCAAACACATTCTGGACACTCGCAAGTAAAATATACATGCATAGATAGCACGCCCAACCCTGACCACTCATCGGCATTTGTGCTTTGGCGAAATTGGGCACGCGCTTCGTTCAGCAGATGCCTGCAAGCAGGACCGGCATATCGCAGCCAAAATTTTGCGGCTTTGGCACAGGCTCGTCACACGTCAGATGATAATTGAACTGCGCACGCCGGTCAGTCTAATGGTAGACAACCATCGTGAACGTGCTAATAGGTGTGGCGCGTTGAGTAATGTTGCAATCGGAGACCCAGAAGAGCTTGAAGTTTTCGATGATATTGGACTATAGATTCAGCACAAAGGTAACTTGATGTCCTTTTCAATGATCATTAAATGAGCCCGGTCAGCTGGAGACACCTCCGATTCACATCATCTCACAGTGTATGTGGGTCTAAGTGTACCACTTGTCGCGAAAACGCTTCAGCTCTTCGCCGTGCGTCTCTGTTCGCACAGGCGGTATCGCGACCGCACACGTCTGTGCAATCGCCAACACGATGATTAGCTGCGCAGGTCCATGCATTGAGCTATGCATGTTTGCGTACATAGCTTTTGGTTCAAAGGGTGAATCATGAGCCAAAGCGTGAACCTTTCCAATTGTTCGTGCTCAAGCAACAGCCAGCAAAGCGCTTGCGCAAGCTGAAACCGCGTGCTAGCGATGTAGCAGCAGCATGCCCATGCCGGATAAGATCCGTTGAACCATCTTTGATTGCGGTAGCAGTGGTACGGCTAGCAAAGCCGTCATTCCAGCCGAATGGGGCTTGAAACGCTCTGAGTGTCAGAGATATGATCCGGGATGATCGTCGTGAACATGGGTTTCTCTTGACGATAGAGACTAGCAATAGTGTGCCTATTGCAGTGGCAACGCAGGGGCCTTCATGCCTCTGCAACTGCTGCCCACATGGTGTCGCCGCCCAATTGCAAATCGAGAAGACGCAGATGATCTGCACCGGAAATGCGCGGCAGGGCAACTTGTGTCGCTCGATGGACATGGGAGCATGTCGACGGTTTGCCGAGCCCTAGTCGACCCTGCGGATTATTGAGACCCCATGCGAAGATATCTGGACTCGCATTGACGCGATCTGCTTCATGACAATTAGAAAACTATACAGTCTTGCTGAGAGACTTGCCTTTGATCGCTGCGGCATAGCCGTGACCGCTGCGGATGCGTGTGATGCCCTCGAGCCCGTCCGCTCTTGTCGGTGAGTGCGCTTGTAGCTCCGCGCCATGCGCGATTGCGCCATAGCCAGCCGTATAAACCTGCCCACGGTCTACTGACCGATTAGCTACCGCATCACAGGGGGTTAAGACGCGATGATCAGAGGTGAATGCCCGAAGGCAGAGATTAGCTTGTTGCCGGTCACGAGTGCATCTCTGGCAAACCAGATCATATGGCCCCGGCTGTCTCATCATTGAGGATGGCAAGATGAGGATGCCGCTTACCGTCGAGCAGGACGGCGTGAGAACCGCCGAGCTGGATATCCTGGACGCCTGCGCCCGACAGGAAATTCAAGCTGACCTCGGTAGGCGTGCCTATGCGATCGATCTTGCGCCCATGTAGGGCTTGAGCATACTCCTGCCCATTCGATTTAGCGTGCGCAGCTATCACTGCTGCAACACGCACAGAATTGCCCCAAGACCAGACCGAGCCTTGGGATGTAATGATCAAGCTGGTATCAGCGCCTGCGCGTATATGCTCCGGTTGCTCGCCCTTAGGCAGCTGTATCCGTGTCAAGACTGTGACATCGCTGTCCGATAAGCCGCTGCCGATTTGACCGTCCGTATTGATGCCGCTCCCATAGACTTCGCCTTGGTCTGCTCTCCTTGTCAGCGCGCAACCCATTATGGCATTCTACAATGTACCCGTGAGGGCGAGAAAATGCTCGAGCCCTGCTGCGATGCTGATGATGCTGCCTTGCATATCTTGAGGTCTAGGCACCAGTGTGGCACGACTAAGGAGCTGATCATCTCGTTCCTTGCTGTCTGCTTTGCGCGGGATGCCCAGCTGGCCGCGCGAGCTCGATCCCATTGCGAAGAGGCCATTGCGGCCTTATGTAGTCGATCAGATTCATCTGTAAGCTGCAAAAGGAGCCCACCCGACGCATTTTCTACGAGCACAAAGCTGCCTGAGAGGCCCAAGGTTGCGACATTGAGAATGCGGTCGCCTTGGAAGCCCTCTACGAGATTGCGAGTCGTCTCCTGAGAATTGTATCCTATACCCAACTGTCCAGATTCGTTGCGGCCGACGGCGAAGATGCGCTCGACGCCCGTGTTCGTTGAACGATACTGCATGCATAAAACCTTTGAGGACCTGAGCGGTTTCATTGCTCGGAACGCACAGCAATGAGGGTATGAGACATTCCCGAAGCCAATGAGATGATTTCAATCGCTCCATTTTGCTCCGTGTCTTCGGCGTATCCTACCGAACCGAGCCAATCATCGAATTCGACAGGCAAAAGGTGATGATGATTGCGCTCAATCTGCTTGCTACCGCCTCCCGGGGTACGCTTGAGCAGCCAAGAAGCGGGCACATCGGCCGAGGGAGCGAATGGGTTCAAGCCGGACAGACAGAGATGCTGGCGAGGGCGTAGAGGCGGGTTGCCATCGCGTACCGACAAAGTCGATGACCGGCATGCTGTCGGGCTGAACACGGTTCGTGGGACAGTGCGACATGCTAGACGAGGCCGGCCAACACTGTGCATGCCCCTGCTTCAAGGCCTCAACTAGTGTGCAGTGTTTTGAGCGAGATAGAGAGAGAGCGCTGATGATGCTGATCTGGTTAATCTGATAAATTCGTGATCAAGTTGGTCAGCTTCGAGCCTAGCTCTCTGCTGCCGCACCGCGTTTTTCCTCTCTCTATATTTGGACAAGACACTCAGATTTCCTCGCCACAGGCACTATGGCAGAGCACATCGGCTTATGCAATCCTACGGTTTCGTGAACGATCAGCGCCCGTCGGCCAGACCGCCCTAGCCCTCGCATATTAGAGCGTCCATGGGCCTGATGATCGACTGATGAAAGCGAGAGCTGTACCGATAGCGCATCGGCATCGCGAATAGCGTCCGCATTGACGATGGACGGACAGAGGGTCATGTTGTTGGGCCAGGGCTTGATTGTTTCAAAGTCGGCGAAGGCAGAGAAGCGTGACCTTAAGGCTGAGAGACTCCTGAAGTGCGCCTTCATGGACCTTTTCGAGCAAGGTGCCGTAGATGTCAGCAAGGGCATACTCTACGCGGTTGTTGCCCCAACCAGCTGCGGTGAGCGTGAGACGCAGATGGTGATCGTAGATCCTATCGCCGAATCAGCCAGAGCAGCATTCCGACGATCATGACGTACGATTTGACTAGGTCCACAGTACGTGTTGCTCGACACTCTGCATCTGTCGCGGAAGAGAATCTGAGAGGCTCGAGCGTGATAGCAACGCCATGTTGCGCAGGATCGTCATGAAGCTCCACATTGTGCGATCGGAGAAGTGTTACAGCTTTTTGATGGCCAAGTCGTGAGGCTTCGACAGCCCACACAGATTTGAGCTCAGCAAGCGTTTCGATCGTGCTTTGCACAGAAACAGGTCTGAAGGATGTCGTGAGCAGTTGGTGAGCGAGACTGGAAGAAATGACGGTGCGAGTGACGAGGCGCTGGATGCAGACCGCCATGACAGACTTTACAGGCCGCCAGACATCCTTGGAATGAATGGAGGGTTCGACAATACCATGGGAGCAGTGTTCGAAAGGCATAGAGCACGGCAAAGGCGTGTGGCTGGCCGAGACTGAACGCGAGAGGGCAGGTGCAGAGGCTTGACAGTAGGTGACATACAGCAATCCGCCTTTCGCAAATTCATCGCCGCGTGCTTTGAGAAAGGTCGACAGCTCACTTGAGACATTTGTGGTGCTGAAGATAGCTTCGGGCTCTGTGTGTCGCCAGTCGAGATCAAAGACAGAGAAGCCGAGGTCGACAGATCCAGCAGGAAGGACAGTCTTGCCAAAGGGAGAAGCAGCATAAGAATCGTAGACGATTTTTGAAGCTGCCATATCGTCCGTCGAGGCGCTGGCAGACGACATGAGATTGAGGCCGGTCAGACTTTGACGAGAAGATTTGACTTGGGCATTGATGGATCCGTTGGAATGGCGCGTCATGGTACTGATGAGTGCCTCTCGTGTGAAGTCAGTTCTGAGGAGGCTGAAAGCGAGATCAGACTGTCGGCGAAGCATGCTTCGTATGCAGTAGCGTGTGAGCCGAAATGATCTGCTGCGGGTTAGAACGCAGGTAGCAGTCATAGTTGGGACTCACGACGTCACAGCTGCAGCGTACTCGACAATCTGAAGCATCGATTTGAGCGTGTCAGGTCCTCGGCTTAGCTGCAGGATCGGCAAAGTAAGCTTGAATGTACGGCGCAAAGCTTCCAGCAAGGGTCCGACTTGAAGACTAGTACACCAGACATTGTATGGCGAGCCAACAGCACGCGAGACGAGCGGGCCATTTCCACCGCCATAGGAACGTGAAGGCGACGTAGTGGTCAATGATGTGGGGATGCCTGCAAGTAGCTGCAGACGCATCTCTTGCCTGTTCATCTTGGCCAAATTCTCGAAATTGAGTAGATGATCATTGTGCTTTGTTTGGGGCGCGATAGGCGACAAAGGTCTCGACGTGGTTGCACGGGTGTACTGAAGCGGCGAGCCCCCTGCTTCCAGCCGCGCATCCGAATTGGCATTGGGATCGAGATAGGACGATTGGAAATCGAGCGTTCGACGAGCAAATCGAGCCGTTGAATTGAGTTGACGTGCCCCTTGTTCGGCCGAATGTTCTTGCAAGGCAAGTTTGACCTCCCTTCGATCGGGTGTAGTCATACCAGGTCGCGGCGGGACAGGCGAAGCAGACTAGATCGACAGTCTCAGCAGCCTAGTCTCGCGAATGGCCAAAAAGCTCACCTCTCCTTTGCCAAAGAGGAACAAATCGCATTGTGTCGCATGAGGAGGAGTGATGAAAGGTGCAGACGGAGGCGTTGTGCGACCGAGAGACGCACTTGAGGTAGCAGGATCTTTGCCGACATGTCGAGGCAGAACAGGCAGTGTTTTGACTGCGCCGAGCCCGTCATGCTGCTTGTCATGATATGAATGCGATGGCGCGCTCTGGCTAACAGTAGTAGGATCTGTGGAAGGAGGAGAGGCACGCGAGCTGTCATTGGTGGAGAGACAGTCGCGCGCTTTGCCACGGCTATCGTCAGAGCTTGACTGCTCGTTGGCGGGCGAATCCTCGAGAGGTGATACCGAGCCAGCAGAGCCAGAACCGTCTGCTTCGTAGCCGGGCGAGCTTTCTTGCGAAGCTTCGCTGGCGGGGGTGTCGTTGGCGCTTGGCTCAGGCGTGACCGAAAGGCCTACGGGTGCGAGGAGCTGATTGGGGAGTCCATAGAGCTTTGCAAAGCCGGCGCCGAGCATGAGCGCACGACCGGGATCTGACACATCTGATTGAAGCATATGAGGAATGTATCGCATGGTCGCAGAGTGCTCTCTCCGATTTGTTGCTTTGCAGCCGGGGAGATTGGAAGCGGGCAAGGATCAGAAACGGGCAGCGCCTTTTTGATGGTCATGATGGAGTTCAGATGTGCGAGTCCCTTACGATGGGATCAATCGTTCATCGGTCGATGGAGATGAGATTCAGAAGGAAAACCATGCGCATCGGCAGCTTTCGAGGACGGAGAGAGCGACTGGACGCCTTCGACGGCGGTCGATGTCAATTGAATTGACTTCGCGCTTTCCAGATTCTGTCATCTCGAGATTTCAAGAGGCTCGATCAAGCAGCGCAGCGAGCCATGGCCAAGAAGCAGAAGCGAGTCGCCGAGCCGCAGGAGGCAGAAGAAGCTCCGACAGTGCCCAAGAACAAAAAACACCGCAAAGATAAGCGTATGTTCGTCATTGACGACACCTTTTACCGCGCTGAATCTGTTCTGGATCAGCATGGGATACAGAGGATATTGATCAGTAAGCTCCGTACGAGATGTCCTTCTGACCCGCTGACAAGAGACTGCAGTGTGACCTCGCTGAATCAGCAGCGATGACTCGGCTGATCAGCTTGCAGTGGGCTGTCGCCAAATTTGAAGCGCCCGCCTCGACGTCTGACCACAAGCCTTTCCTCGAAGAGTCATCCTTCTCGACGCTGTTCCCAAAGTACAGAGAAGTCTACCTGCGAGAAGTATGGGCGGGCGTCACTTCTCAGCTAGACAAGCACGCAAGTCGACCTTGTCTTTGTCACTCACGATGCATGCTAAGCCGAGATGTCTTGTAGGGCATCGGATGTACACTCGATCTTGTCGAAGGCTCCATGACCGTCCGAACGACACGCAAGACGTTTGATCCTTACATCATCCTCAAAGCGAGAGATCTCATCAAGCTCCTCGCTCGAAGCGTACCTTTTCCTCAAGCAAGTGTGTTCCTCGCTTTATGGGCTTTTGCTGATGGTCCCAAGCAGGCTATCAAGATTCTTGATGACTCGGTCGCGTGTGATATCATCAAGATTGGCAATATTGTGCGCAACAAGGAGCGTTTCGTCAAACGGCGCCAACGCATCCTCGGTCCAGGCGGCAGCACTCTCAAGGTCTATCACTTCTCTCCTGCAACTAAATCTCCTCTGACTTATTCGGTGTCAGGCTCTGGAGCTGCTGACGAATTGCTATATTCTCGTGCAAGGCAATACAGTCGCTGCTATGGGACCTTACAAAGGTCTCAAAGAAGTCAGACGCGTTGTGCTCGATTGCCTCGCAAACGTCCATCCTATCTATCACATAAAGGCAAGCATTGAGTGCCAGCCAGGGAATCTCCGCTGATGTAAGAGTTGATGCTGCAGGAGATGATGATCAAGCGCGAGCTCGCAAAGGATCCCAAGCTTGCCGAAGAAGACTGGTCTCGCTTCCTGCCACAATTCACCAAGCGCAAGCAGAAGAAGCGTGCGGAGGTACGACCGAACGGAGAAGGCGGTAACGGCTACGAAGAGCATCCGCTCGAATCTGCAGCTGGCAAGGCGCCAAAGAAGCCAAAGATCATCAAAAAGCCTTACACACCCTTTCCGCCGGCTCAACAGCCTCGCAAGATCGATCTACAGCTCGAGTCGGGAGAGTACTTCCTCAAGCCGAAAGAGCAAAAGCAGAAAAGCAAGGACGAGCTGTCAAAGCGGGAAGAAGCGGCCCGTGCCCAACGGAAAGCAAAGAGAGCAGAAGCCTTTGTGGCGCCGCCGGAATGACGTACTCGAATGCACTGACCTTTGCCGCTCGGTCGATTGCCTCTGGCTCTGAGAACCCTGCTGAATATGATAAGAGCACGCTCTGCTTTCTGATTCCCACGTTACAGCGAGTAAGAAGCAAATTGTCAAGATGAAGTACTCATTCACTGCCATGATCGCACTCTTTGTCGCTGTTGCCATCGCTGCACCTGCGCCCCAGATCATTGGAGGCTCTGGCTCAGTTGGCTCAGTCAGTGGCTTCAGCTCAGTCGACGGACTGCGTACGTCTTCGTTCGATCCTGCTCGAGCAATACTGATGAGCCCATTGGTAGCTCCCGTAGGAGGCAGCGTCACGGGAGGTACCCTCAATGGACTCCCTACGCCCCCTGTTGGCGTGTTCGTCTAAGCAGATGAGAGCCATAGCTCATCAACCAATTGCATTGCATTTCACTCTCTTGGTTGTAGATCGTACGATCTCCAACCTAGCTTGCCTGATAGCGTGCAGCTTTGCCATTCCGCTGAACGTGATATCAGTGGCGTTCCATGCTCAATTATTGACTGACGATGAGCAGGCGGCACGTCGTAGCTGAACGGGCAGATCGTAAAGCCATCGATCGGTCCATGTTGGGTTCTACGATCCGTCAGAGCTTCAGTCGAGATAGCGAGTAGACTCACGATGGTCTGTCGCGACATGACCGGCCAGCAACAGCCGAGTCGAAAAGGACTTCATCTGTCGAGGTCGAGCTGAGCACGACGTACTGTGCGAGTGAGAGACTGACCGTTGATGGGATCGATGGCTATGTGCCATTGTGCGCCGACCCGACAGCATACACTATCTGGCATCTGCCATGTACTGAGGCCTGTGTAGGTTCCGGGCAGAACGGAGAGCCACAACCGGATGGGTAGCACGATCTTGAAAACGTCCGGCATGATCACATCCTCTCTGTGCTCCTGCTGGTACTGGAAGTACAAGTCGTCTCTCCTGTCCTAGCGGGGATTTGAGGTCCTCAGCAATGCTCAGCACCGAGCTTGCCTTTGACCCAACTTCCTCCTTTTCGCTCTCGTAAGCCTCGAGGACGAAGTTTTCTTCCTCGTCAAGGGACAGATCAAACCGGATGACAGTGGGAAGGACATGCAGCCATCCCATGAGCGGATCTTCTGTTGTCCGACAGTCTATATCGACGAAATTGGCTAGCAACCTGCGTCAGCCCTGAGTGCGCATTGCTTTGGTAAGAGTATGCCTGACTGTAGAACTCGTAAGCTCGCAGAGGACCAGATCGAGCGGCAAAGCAGTTGCTGAGCATGGATAGCGTGAGCAGTAGCAGGCAGGAGAGTGACATTGGCATCTTGTTGCGACGCCCGTAGGGAGGGGGAAGCGCGAGCGCGCATGTCAAGCAAGTAGCAACCAGCAACGCGCCGAAGTTGCCAATACTCCAGCGCCAAACATGCTCGCAATCCTTCTTCTCGTACTCATCGGCCTGCTCAACGATGCATCGGCAAGCTCCTTGCCTGCTCCTGCTCGACTCGAGAAGCGATTCGCCACCTGTGCATTGTCAGTCACGATCGGAGGCTTTGGCATGACTGGATCGCGCTTCACGCTCGAGGCAAGCAATGGCGTCAGTCTGTTCGCGGCCCAATCCTTCCACTCGTGCTGAGGAAAGCACCATAGATGATCTATGCCGCTGACCTGGTTCCGGGCGATCCTGGCTTGCTGCCTGTTGCTGCATTCACGAATGGCGCCCAACTGCAGCGTTTCCAACAGCATCTCTACACAAGCACCATTGTCGCCTGTATGGTCGCAATCATAGCACACACCACGTCTGACCGTCATCACAGTCAGTGGACACGTCAACGGCATAGTCGTCAATTTCACCATTCGCTTGCTTTACAATAACCTGAACGAATTTAAGCTCTTCTACGTCACCAAGGCTTCATTGGATCATGTACCGACACTCGGTACGCTCTCATCCGAGGATCAAGCGCTCGTGCTGATCTGATATACGGCAGACTTTACCGCCGGTATGTCATGTGGCGGTCCTGTTTGGCAGCCTTCAGACTTTCATTGCACCGTCGACAACCTCGATACTTGCTGATGTCTGATCAATGCATTCCGCTCTGCGTCAGTGACGCAATCAGTATCAAAACGTTTGATCGTGCAGTGATGCCTATAGGGACTCATTGTCCTACTTCAGATCCGGGCAGGCCACAATCAGCGACTTCAGCTATCAAGCACTCACGATCTGGGAGACTCTTCTGGAAGGACAGCAGCGTGGAGAGGAATTCAGGTCGGACGTAGCAGCAGCACCTAGGCAGAAGGTGGAAGCCTCCCGAACCGATAGCGCAAGTACAGACGTGATGCATTACATGATTGTACAGTTCTCCATGTCACTCGGCAGGTTGTCTAGATTCATTCCAGGTGGCATTTCTCCCATGAGCTCCGTCGGCGGGGCTCCAGATTCTTGCATCTTGGACATGAGCTCGACGATATGCTTCTGCTGCGCCTCGTCGTCGTCGTTGAACTTTGGCGATTCGTAACTCCGCACAATCTCGTCTACTACTTCTTGTTGGGCTCTGTACCTTTGCACCTCGCTTGCTTCGATCTTGCTCTCATTGTCCCTGAGCCATTGTGGGTACTGCGCATTGTCAGCCATGCGCGCACATTCGCTGGTTCGTCGGCTGACCTTGGTGGATAGCTCCTTGAGAGGCTCATATAGCAGGTCTTTGCTCATCAGCTGACCCATCATGGATTCGATGGCAGCCTGTAATTCTTCTTCAGAGCCACTGCCGCTCATCTGGGCTAGCAGTGCAGCCATTGGGTCATTCGAGGTCGCGTCAAGGTCCGCCTACGCTAGAAGATGAGCATGCAGCGGATCAGCAAGGAGTGATACTCACCTTGACGCTGTCCGAGGAGCCTTTGAGCTTCTCCATTGTCTGCCTGATGGTCTCTTGAAAGTCTTGCGGCGCTTTCGGTGCGTTTGCCTGCCGCGCTTTGCCTTTCTCTGCGCCTGTGGCAGCTGCTACGCTGCCACTACTCGAAGCTGAGAGCGGCGGCGGTATGTCATTGGCCATGAGTGAAGCAAAGTCTGGCATGCCCGACCCGGACAGCATTTGCTCGAACATCTTTCGCAATGCTTCGTCGCTCATCTCGCCGTCTCCGCCAGGACCATCTAGTCCTAGCGCAGAGAGATCTGGAAAGCCAGGTGGAAGATCGCCTGCCGCCGTCTGAGCAGCACCAGAAGCAGGCGGGGGTCCGCCGCCCATCTGAGCAATGAAGGCCTCCATTTCCTTTGCGAGATCGGCTTCGAAAGTCGCATCCAGCTCGCCTGGATCACCCGGATCTTTGGCGCCATCTCGGCTTGCTAGGAGCGGTGTGGCTGCTGTCTCCTGAGTTGTCTGAGTAGCTGTCTGTTCTGGCTCTTTGGCTGGGGCAGTGAACTCTCTGCATCGATTGTTGAGCTTGCGTGGCTACGTCACAAGAGAGCAACATACTCTAGCACATCGTCCAAGTCATCCAGATCGTCAACATCCTCTCCATTGGCATTGGATGGTGCCATGCTCGCACCGACTAATGACACCGGCGATTCGAATTGAACGCGCTCGGCAATACGCGGCAATCGATCTCGCGTAATGACTACGATCTATGCAAGCGACAAGAAAACAACAAGTCTGCAGCGATGTCTACGGTGGTGACTGAAATGCAGAATATGCGTTGAACTGCGAAGGTGAGGCGTATGCGGATGCAAGATTTGCCCAGTATTGCGGCTGGTCGAACCAATCGTTATTGAACACGAGTGGAGGTGTAGCGGGAGCCTGATAGGTCGAGAAACGACCGTGCTGCGAATGCCCGAGATTGGTCGTGATTCGTGAGCCAGTACCATAGCCTACAGTGGATGTATCGGTCAGTCCCGACTCGACGGGCGGCTGATGATGGGTGTCTGTTTGGGAGAACGGGGTAAAATCTGAGAGCGACAGCATCTGCTCGTAGAACGCTGCGGAGGAGGGCTGCGACGCTGCGGAGGAGGCCTGCGTTGCAGTTGTGGGTGATGTGCTGCTGAGCCCGAAGCAGGGATCCCTGTTGAATGTGTCCATTCTTAGATCTCGGGTATTGGACGACGCGTCAGGCACGACTAGCTCGGGCTGACGTTCTCGCTTCCGAGGCGGCACGTCATTCACGTCTTCGTGCTGCAAAGGTGGGCCAGTGGATGCTTCTCTGGCTCTCTTGATCTCTGAGTCTGGACCAGAGCCATGCATAGTCATGTTGACTTTGATTTTAGCGTACAGACGCTGTGCAACAAAGGTCCTGAAGAACGATCAGATTCGGCCAGAGCGAGTCAGACGCGGCACATACCGCTGAGCGAGCACACCCAATGCGTCCACGAGCTTCGGCATTTCCATCAGAGATGATCCTGACAGGCCTCTGTACGCGCTCGGACTCGATCGATTGACGAGTAAAATCAAGAGGGCAGAAATGGCTGCGAATGGGGCGGTGAGCCAGCAACGCTCGAGCAGCTGCGCGCGTCTGGTGCCCTCTAGCAGGTGAGCGATGGAGCGAGCTGCGTTTGTGCAGATCGCTAATGAGGGGTATCCGATGTCGGTGCGCTGTTCAGGCGCCAGTAAATCTCGATGGACGAGAATCTGTAGCTCGTAGTAATTCAAAAGACATTCTGCTGATTGAACGCCGAATGTTCGGTGTGCACGTTTGGGGTCCCATTGCAGATGCGCAGGAAGATTGCTCAGCCATTCGTTGAGGGCAGAATCGAGGCCAGCGATCGGTTTCAGGTCCACTGGCTCGTTATTCTTCTTCGAGTCGCGCTTGATCGAGTACACCGTATTCAACGCCCTGCCGCAGATCTGTGCCAGTCTTACTTGACAGTTGAGACCTGTGATCAGGTTGGGCGAGCTGGTAGCCGGCGATATTTCTTCGTTGCTCAATTGCGTGAGCGCCGCATCATCGATTTCGAGCGGCAGCTCGACATCAATATCCTCGTCATGAAGAGCCAGCGGTCTGCCAAGAACAGCGCTCAATTTTCTGTCGGCAATGTAGATTGTCCAGAAGAGTCGCTTCCGTAGCTGATCGCGTAAGACTGTCGTTGTCCAGATCTGGTTGTTCTGTCGCTGGCAGCCAAGATCTTGCGCTCGACGGACGACCAAGCCGAGCGTAATCCAAGCCGATATGAGCGAATTGGACCCCATGAGATACAGACAAGACAAGCACAGGCTTTGCAAATCGTATAGTGAAGCGGGCGAGCAGACAGGTGTTTGTAATCGCCAAGCGCTGAACCAATATGGATAGCCTCGGGCATCTTCCGTGGGGGTCAGACCGAGTGGCCGACCCAGTCCTGACCCTGACTCATCGAGCGTCCGAGGATCATCAGAGAAGCGGGAGCCAATGGCGAGTACGCTGAAGAGCAATGCGCGAAAGGCTGGCTGCCTGTCCTGCTTGCCAGCCGAAACTTCCTCTAGGAACGTAGGCGCGTGTAATATTGGGCAGCTTGCATGGAAATGATGAAAGTAGAGCCCGACGAGCGAATCGACCAAGTCGCGCGAGGGCAAAGGATGAACATCCATGCTGACCCGAGCATCTGCTGCCATTCGACATTCCATGAACGATGCGGCATCTGCGCTAGCAATCATGCCTCTCTTGCGTGTATGCTCAGAACTCTCGTCTGCGGGAGCGGCGGCCAAGACGAGGAAGCTGCGATCGCCCTGGGGAGACGCAGCCAGAGGCGTGCGGACATTAGAATCACAAACGAAGATTCCTGGATTACGGTCTCTTGCTGCTCGTGAGAGCTCTTTGGAGAACGAGTGAGCGAGCGGCAAGCCTGACGAACGTCCGACGTATCGACCGGTCTCGAGTGCCAGCTTTCCGACGTCGTCTGTCAGCTCATCGACTTGAGTCGTAGTAGACTGCTCCTTTGGTGCGCCAGACGTGGATAATGAGCCCGAAAGATCCTGTTCATCAGAGCTTTCGCTTTCGCTGTCGACCTCCTGCAGTCTCGGCTGGCTCGCGTACGACTTGAGCTGGTCCGCGGTGACATTACCCTCCTCAAAGGAGCGGATGAGACTCTCTGAAGCTGCCAAGCGCCGCTCAAGCTCTTCGACATATTTCTTTGTGATCATCCGCTTTTTGGGCTGTTCTTCAAATGTACATTGCCTGGTGGTGTTGCGACAGTGTAAGCAAGCCAAGTCTGGCGTGCCACCGACGCATTTTATCTTCTTCTTTCGACATGAATCGCAAGCTCGCTGTTGTCTACGCTGTCTGGGTTTGCCATCCGTGCCAACGAGTCGATCAGCCATATCATCCACGCAATAATCGCTGCAGGCAGCTGATTGCTTGGCGCCGCTGGATCTGCTCGTGAAAGCGGGCCGTCGCGCCGGTGGCTCGACGTGTCCATCAGCGGGCTACGTGTTACGCGTTACGTGACGCTGATTTGTCAGCGTCAGAGCGCCGCTTCGATCCATGCCG